CTAAACACCTATTTTTTAAGCTTAAGGTGCTTTGATTCTCAATGGACAATTTGTAAATGAATAAGGTAAAGATTTACTACAATTATTCAAATCTAAAGAAAGTTAAATTTTAGATAACAAAGTTAAAATATCATAAAGGATATATGAAATCTGAAGGATATCATGAGAATTATATCTATAATTTAGATTTAATGATATTTTTCTCATTTTGCTTCAATTATTTAAGATGTTGTAACTTTTCATAATTATTTTTCAAAATATTTTCCATTTTCTTTTTAATACTTACCAATTCTAAATTTTTTTAAAAATAACATTTAATTTAAAACTGTTAAATTAAAAAGGTGAAAAGTTATCGATTCTAATATAATCTTCAATATTCGAATAAGTAACCTGGAAAATCATTTTATATTTAATGAAACAACCAAAATATCTTTTCAGCTTCTTGTATAATTGGTGATTACTTTTTATTTTTATTACTAATTGAATTAAATCAGAATTTAAGACTCACAAGATGCTAGAATATCAATATTACTTCAATTATTTTTGTATAAAGCTTTGTTTATTAGAATAAATGTAATAACTTATTTATTAAAAATTATTAGAATTTATGAACTGTTGCATTAAAGTATTTACAAGTAATTTAAAAATTTATGTAATATTTTTTGCCAATCCCATATAGATCTATTAAAGTAATTCTACCTTGTCCTTAGATTATTTTAATTCCATCTTCAGTTTCCTTTTTTTTACTCATCCATCATCTTAGCAATTTCTTCCTATTTTTTGACCGTCTTTTATCTGAATTATTTATATCATTTTTCAAATGTTTAGTTTATATTTGCTAATTTTAAATTGTAAGTTCCTAATTTATTTGAGCATCTATTAAGAGAGTATTTGTTAATTAAATTGTTTTTATTCTAAATATAAAACTAGAAAGATTCTCTCCAAAAATCTTTCCACATGGTTCAAAATTTATTATCAATCTAGGCCTCAAAATTAAAGAATATTCTAAAGTTCATTTATTTTTATATAATAGAAATCTAGGAATCTGAGATTTTGAAACAAAAAAAAAATATATATTAATATTCTATCTTTTTTAATTTATGATATTCAAACATTATGCAAATAAAATTAATTTGAAAGACTATAAATTTATTTAAATTGATAAAATATGAAATCTTACTTTGCCATAATTTTGCTTTTTTTTTTTTCAAAAAATTCTCAAAATCAAGTATCGGCCTTCCCACATACATTCCTCTCTTACTAAAACCCAAACCCAAACCCAAAACCCATTCAGAGGGGTCGTTAACTTATTTAGACCTAAAAAGGTCGACAATATAGACATATCTGGTCCCTCCACCCCACCTAAAACAGTAGGTTCATAGTACTCCAGCCAGATCTATTATAGACTAAATTATTCATCTCTATATTTTTTTAAGCCAAACCCAACTCGCGCTAACCATATTTTCTATTCAGTGTAACAAATAACTTAAATAATAAAGTATCTTATTCCTAATAGTATGGTAGAGTTGTTTGAATTCCATATCATCCTGTATACACTTTAAATGATATAGAAATCTAAAGGAAATCAAAGTACAGGTTTATGAGGATCTTCAGAAATGATTTCAAAATAAAAGGAAGGACAAGAATGAATATATCTATAAAATTAATTTAATCAGTCCTTAATTAAATATTTATTCAGGTATTATATAATGAACATTAATCTTTTGAAAGTAATTTATACTTTTAACTTTACTAGCTATAAAAATGCTAATACCAACTTTACCTTGAGGTTCTTAAAAAGTGTTAGATATTCATTTAAACAATAAAACTGATCTATCAAATGTTTCGAGTATTTTCTATATTAATCAATAATCTGAAGGAATTTAAATAAAATTTATTTTTGAGATAAATCATAGATAACTTGTAAATACATCTTAACTTAAAGATTGTTTGTAGAGGTTTGGTAATTCTGAATTTAATGAATTTATTTAAAAATTTAATGAAGAGCTATTAATAAAAATTTAAATTTAAAATAATTTTTAATTAATTAAGATCGAATATATTTACAATTGCAAAAATGTTGCCTTTATCTTAAAGATATTATAATTAAATTTGTCTTAAAAATCATAAATCTTGATCCTTACATATTCTCCTTTAACTTTCAAGATATTATGTCGTATTTTTAATTCATTCAATCTGAACTATAATTATTTCATTCAAAAAACATAAAAAATCAATTTTTGATGTTTTATCCTAATAATTTAAATAATGAACAAAAAAAATTTTCAATTTTATCAGTATTTAAAAAAAAAATTCTTTATCTACAAATTAAAATTTATGAGGAAATATAATTCTATTTTAGTAGATTTAATCAATGATCAAATAGTTATGTTAATCATTCATTTAATTCATAACTTTCCACTAAATTGCTAAGTTATGTACATATAGATAATTTTTTTGATTGACTGATAAATATTTTTGCAAAGTGATCGTCAGATTATTAAGCCAATTATAATTTGCCTTTATTAATTGTTGACCTAACATAAATCTAATTCAAAAATGCTAAAGACTAATATAAACTTATTTATAATTAGATTCTAAAATAATTAGATTTGCTAACTTCATAATTATTTTCTCTTTAACATGTGATGAAAAAAAAGAATTTCTTAATTCATCTGAAATTATGTATTGAAAATGGATAAATTTTAAAAATTTTAAAAAAGTGTTTCTAAAATTTACTATTTAAAAAATATTTTAAAAAATTTTTAAATTTATTTATCAATTTACAAATCAATAATTTGATTATATATTTTTATGGTTTGAAGTTAAGTTCAACTATTCGATGAAATCATATAAAAAGAATGAAAAGGGCATTGTTTTAAAGCAAACTTTAGTTGATTAATATAATGATATAATGATTTTAAGAGCATTAAATTTAATTGAAATTATCCTGATTATTATAAGATAATTTTGAATGAGTAAAGATTGATAGTTAGACTGATGTAAATTAGATACGAAATCTCTTCTCTTTTAGAAATATAGGAAGAGTGAGTAGATTTTTAAGCTTGTTATTATTGAGTTATTCTAACCCAACCTTCAAAATAATAAGCAAGTAACTATTTTTATCAAAATAAGTATGGGAATCTTTTTTATAAAAACATTTATCAGAATAATTAAATGGAATAAAAGATTGATAATGTTATTATAATCTCATTTCCAAGTTGAATTCTGGTCTTGTTATTCTCTCCTTCTCCTATCTTCCTCTTATTGCCTCCAATATTCTCTTTTCCTTTCTTCTTCTTCTTCCCTTTTCCTTTCAATTTCTCTTTATCTTTCCCTTTCACTTTCAATTTATCTATTTTCCCAATATTCTCGATTTTCTTATTATCTTCTTTCTTCATCTGCTTTTCTATCACTCTCGTCCTTACAATATTTACACCATAAATTGTAGTTATGATCATGTTTTAAACATCTATCTTTTGAACTAGTATTATTGCACCTGGGGGAATTACATTTTGTCTCACTACTCCCCATTATTGTAATTTAATTAATGATTTATTCCTTGAATATTAAACAGTTTAGAACCAAAAAAATATTCTATTATATTATAATTGTTCTTATAAAATGTAATTATAATTTTGATTTTTTAGAATATAAAATTTAAATGCACTATTTTTACTAATGAAGAGCATTTATATTTATATCATTAAAAATTTTCTTAAGCTATTATAATTTATTTAAGTAAATAGAATTTAATGTAAGATGAATATGTATAAGGAAATGTAAATTATAATTAATTTTCCTTTAAAAATTTTACATTGTTGGTTGATTAATTATTTAAACCATGACGAAAAAATATAATTTTTAAATGCGGAATTGGCTGATCTTCCAAATTATTTAATAATTAATAAAATTTAAGTACAAAACTATATTTCTATGTATTTCAACTATAAATAGAGTATATGAAAAATTAGTTAAAAAAATTAGATTGTAAATATAGAAAAGATTAGAAAAGAATAAGAAAGTTAATAGTAATATTGTAAAATTTTCTAATTTTTATCATCATTTTGAAAATCCAAATAATATTTTTTAAATTATTTTAATATATTCTCAATAAAAATAAACTATAACTATATAAATTGTTTGAATTTATTTCATAAAAAAATATTTTAGTTAGAAAATTTAATTGTGACAAATAAAAAATTCTCTTTTCAATTCATAATCAATATTTTTTATGTCATATTAAAAGATAAGGTAATTCAAATTGATGCTTATAGGTGAATAAGAGTAAGATAAAAATATTAATATTTAGGGTTGGGAAATCAACGTTAATGAATTAGATTCTTTTAGAAAGATTTCTTTTTTAACTATACAAGTACAAAAGGAATCATTGGCCATTTCAAAAAAATAAAAATTGAGGATATTTAATATTTATCTGAATTAATTATTATGAGTTTTTTAGTTTTGGGATACATCTGGATAAGAAAGCTGTAGAGCAACAATTTGAGAATATAATAAGAATATTGATTGTTATGTATTACTGTATGAACTTATCTATTTGGAAGGATTTAAATTAGCATAGGAATGAATGAATTATATTTTAAGTTCTTAGTCATAATTAATATTTATTGTTATTAGAAATATTAAATCAATTTGATAACTTAAATTCAATGCTATAAATATGTTATATATCATTAAATATTATCCATTTCAATTTAAAATATCTAGTTCAAAAGAAACACATAACTAGGATTAAAGTTCTTTAATTACTCGAGGTCAAACAAAAGGTACTTTCATCAACAAATCTGATTATTTTATCCTACACTTTGAACTTATTCTTCTGATATTGAATGAATATTTTAAAGAATTTTTAATCGTTTCTAATTTATTTTATCAATGTATAAAGATTTTAGTTAATTTAAAAATTATATATTATCAATAGTTATTATCTTTTAGACAAATATTGGAAGATGACCATTCCTTTCATATGAATTATTTAACTTTTTTCAATAAATTCAAACTCAACTCTGTGTTTTTTACTTCCTTTACATTTAATCCTCAATATTTTGATTGTCAGAACTATTTTATTTACATTCTTATAGCTTTATTGATCTAAATGATAAGAACTAAGTAAATTTGTTTAAACCAATTTGGATCATATAAATAACAGTCTGGTTAGCTCTTTGACTAACTAATCTAAAACTTAAGAAATATAAGGTCAATAAATTCTAAAATTTGATTAAAGATTTCAAGCCAAACTTTATAAAACAGATTCTATGATTTTATAATTTAAACATTAAAACTTTGTAATTAGAAGTGATAAGACATATATTTTAAAGATTTGAGGTTTAATCTTGATTCTTACAATTTTATAGAATATATGTATTTCGTATTAAAGTTTTTTCAATATAAAAAATTTTTATTTGTTTATTTTCTATACTTTCAAAACAAAATAATCCAAGAAGAAATTTTGATAAATTAGGTAAATTTTAATGAATGTAAATAAATTATATCATTGTTTCTTTAACTAGTTGCTCTTGAATTTAAATATTATAATATTTTTCGATAAAAAATATGTTTAGCTTAAGCTTATAAATCAAAAAGTAATTGTTTTATTAAAATTATTACTTTCCGATCATTTATTGAATATTATTTAATTCAAAAATGTTATTTGAATCTATTACATGAGTCTTTCATCTTAATCATTTCTCATTTAATTGTTTCCAAATATCGAATAAGGCTTTTCTCCCAGATCTAGAAGTCTTTCTATAAATTTACAAGTTTACTAAAACCTTCAAATCAGTAGACAAAACACAATTATAGTGTTTATTAATACAAAATTACAATATGAAGAATCAATCTTATTAAGCAACCTAAAAATTTATTATTTATGTTAAGCTCTAGAGAAATATTTATTAAGAATTAAGAGAACATCCTCCTTGAAGACTGGTTTTTATAAATCTAATTCAAAACTGATTTTTATTAAATATAAATTCAATAATGAAAGTTTAAAATTAATTCTTATTTGAAACTAGAGTCTAAATAGATTAAATGTATATTAACTTGTTAATTATTACTATATATTTTCAGGCTAGCTAATAATTATTAAACTATCCTTAATTTTCTATATTTCTTTATTAAAGAAACTACGTTGAAGAATTATCTTTCAATTATAGGATATTTATATTTTTATTATTTTAAGAATGTGAAATATTAATGAAAGAAAAATAAAATTAATATAATTTTTTATATTAATAAGATGATAATTTTATGGAATATAAGAAACTAGAGCCAAGTTATCTAACAACTTTGAATTTTCACCTTTAAAAATTGAGATTTCATTTGAAAAAAATAAATATTAAAAAATTATTGATATTTTAATATATTTCATTCATTTTTTCTAGATTTTAACAACATTTATATTTTTTGAGAAATTATTAAATATTTCTCATATATATTGGTTGTAAACTCTTTTAATAAAAATACAAATTAAATAACAATAGATAATCCTATAATTGCAATCATCACCCACCCTAATTAAAATTTAATTTCAGAACTCAGAAAACCAGTCTAAATTATAAAGAAATAATATACTATATCATCAAGTGCAAAGCCTGTTGATAAAAGCATTAATAAAAAGATACAAAAATCTGGAATTCCATTTTAAATAAGGTAAATTTTAGATATGAATGGATTTTCATAAATCATTAAAGCAATATTTAAAAAACTAATAAAACAACAGAATAATGTTTATAATAGAGGCTGATAATAAAAGTACACAACTACAATTATGAACAAGGCTTTTCTGTTCAAATTTATAAATGAATACATCAAAGCTGTACTAGATTTAGTATTAATATTTTCATATAAAGTACCATATTAATTTTTATATATATTATGATCCAAAAGTGAATGATGTTTAAGTGTAACATTGTATGATAAATAAAGAGTGAAGAGACAGATTCCAATACTAATATATGATAAAATTTGATTGATTAACACAATTGAATAATCTAAAAGGTATTTTGGAACTGTAGTAATTTATAGAATAATAGCTAATACTAAATCTAAAAAGGTTAAGTTTAAGGATTTAATGAAATTTGATAAAAAGTTGATCTTAAACTCATATAAAGGTTGATAAATTTTATTTATAAAATCAGGGAATCTCTTTTTTTAAATAAGAACATGAGTAGCTTTTATTTGAATTTAAGAATTTTATCTATTTTAAGCTACTTCATTTGCATAAACTTTGGTATTATTCAAAGAGAAGAATTTATTGAATGATACTTAAACTTATTTCTTTGTTTATTTTAAAGGAGGCCATATACATTCTAAGATAAATAATAATAAATAAGATATGATCTAAGCGATTATAGTTAAAATAATGATAGCAAAGCACGTCCATGTATTATTTAGAAAGATGGGGTCTACTCCTTTTTCCATAAATTTAGTTGGGCTTTCAATGTAATAAGGATCAGTAGATTGGTTAATTATAAAAAAGGTTGGGAATATTATAAAATCTCCCCATGCTGTATTTTGAAAGAACATTCTAACATTTTCAGGGAAATAAATATTAATGTAGTATAAATTATTAATCCAACTTAAAATATCCATAATAGTCCAAAAGAAATTAAATCCTCCTAATAATATGGCAGCAGGAGCTATAAAATAAAGCATATCTCCAATTATTGATTAAGTATCACTAGCAGTTTTAGCTTATTAGACTTAATTTTCTGAGTAAATAATTTTTTTTCTTGGAGTTATTATAATTTCTCTTGTTTCTTCTTCAATTAGATTTCTATATAATTTTAATTAGATTGGTATAAATATGTGTATAAGATTTGCAACATCAATTGTTTTTGTGAATATAAAATCAATATTACATAAAGATATTTGATCATCATATTATTCAAATTTATTAGTAAATTCAAAATCAATAGGAAGGAAATTATCTATTGTAATATGAATATTAATACAAGGATTACCTTAATCTATAGGAAATTTGATAATCATACTATCTGAAGTAGTAGAATTTACATAAGTAGCATTAATTTAAGGTTAAGGTATTTGAATACAAGTTGTTTGAGAACATGTATAATACTTTTCAATTTAGCATTAAGAATTACAACCATCTCCATTTAGAGAATTTCCATCATCGCATTATTCATTTTCAGTTAGAATAGCATCTCCACATTTTTAAATACATTAACGATTAATAATGTAATATCCTTATTAATTTATACATTTTGGACATTGTCCTTTTTCATCAGGCTAAGAATTGATAATCAAACATGTTAAACAAGTTTTTTAATTTATACAAGTATTACAACTACTTTAACATTTATTACATTCATTATCTTTAAGATAATAGCCATCAAAACATAAATCACAAGTATTTTTAAAATTTTTTATAGTGCATGATTAGCAATTGGCAACACATTAAAAACAAATAGATCTTGATAATATTTTATTTACACAAGTAAAATATTAATCAATTTTACAATTAGTGCAACCATCTCTACTATTTTAATTACCATCATCACATTATTCTCCTTTAGTTAATTCGCCATCTCCACAATTAATATAATTACAAATATCATTTACCTTACCTTTATTAGATGTACATTTCTCACAATTATACTATTCATTTTCAAAATATCCTTATATACATTCACATCTAGACTATATTACTTATCTATTTTCTATTTAAAATAAATTAATAATTATTACCATCTATACAACTTAAACAATCTTTAGTATTAATACAAGAAGAACAAGGAGGAGAACATTCTATAATTATATTAATTTATATACTTTAACAAATTTCTTTCTTATTTTCAAAGTATCCATCATTACATATACATTAAAAACTATCTTATTTTACTGATCGATTATTAGAACATGTTAAACATTCATTATATGATTTACATTTTTCACATTTACCATTACATTTAATACATTCTTTATTCTCATTTTAGAAATATCCATCTATACATTAACATAATTTATTTTCATGATTCATTTTTCTCAAAAATATACAACCTAAACATCCAACTTCTGAATCGTTTATACAAGATATACAAGTATTATGACAATCAGAACAAACTTTATTTTCATTTAGATATTAATTAGTATTACATGTACATTCACCATTTATAAGTTAATAATTTTTAGTTTTATCACAACTTAAGCAATTTGAAGCATTTATTGAACAAGTTAAACAATTATTTGAACAATCTAAAAATATATGATTGATAGAATTGATTACCTTCACATTAACCTATATTATTTATAAATTGATTTGATTTCTCACATTTACATTCTGATTAATATAATATCAAGTTTGTATTACAACTTAAACAATTACTAGGATTAATTTAACATGTTAAACAATAATTATTGCATTCTATATCATATAATTTTAATTAAATTACATAAACAAATTCCATTAGATTCAAAATAACCATCTATACATTTACAAACATTTTAATTAGAGTCTAGCTATTTATATTCATTTGCAAAACAACAATTATTAGAATCAATACAAGTTAAACAAGTAGAATGACATTAAATACAATCTGTAAAATTAGAATTCATGTAATAATTTGAAGGACAAGTACAAACCTTATTGACAATTATCATATTTAAAGAAATGCAATTTAAACATTCTGTAGATGTATTTATACAATTTATACAAGGAGATGTGCATTCTAATATAATTATCATATAGATACCTAAACAAATATTTGATGATAGATAATAATAATAATATCCATCTTAACAATCACAAGAATTAGTTATTATATTTAATTTTTTGAATTCCACTGAATAGCAACAATCATCTTAATTAATACATGTTGTACAAGTTGGATGACACCCTAAATATTTGAATTAATTTTTACTTTCACATCCATTGATTGTTTATAAATAACCAACTTAACATTCACATTAATTATTTAGATTCAATGTTTAATAAATACCACAACTAATACAGTTGGTTGATGAAAATTAACATTAATAACAATTTAAATCACAGTCTTGGCAAATTCCATGAATATCTTCGTATTAAGTTTATAAGCATTCACAATAACTATATTGATTAGTAGGATTTAAAACTAATTATTTTTTTGATTCTACTGTGCAAGATATACAATTTTTATAATTTAAATTACAACTTAAACATCTAGGATCACAATCTACACAAACATTATATTCAATATCTAGATATTAGTATTGACTACAAGAACAATCAGATAACACCTTATTACATTTTTGTAATTCCTCTATATAATCACAAGATTTAAATGGATTACTACATTCTATCGTTAAATATATAAGATTCGCTTATAAATAATCAAAACTTGCCAATTATTTTGTTTTCAAACTATACTATACTTATTTTGGTCTTTTCTTTTCAGTAAGGTAATATAAAGGTTAATTAGATTACTGACATTTTATTCTATTTATTGATAAAAATGTTGGAATGCTTAAAGGAATTTATTAAACATTAAATGAAATTGTTGAACCTCCTATTGAAAATCCTGTTGATAATTTTGATTGATTAAACATTTGATTAAATGAATAATAGGTATAATTATTAAATTCAAAGATTTAATATTTTATTAAACATAATTATTGATCGGATGAGATTAGAAACTATTAGGAGGACTGTTATTACATAATTAAATCTATTTTATTTAATTGCTCTATTAAACACCATCCTAAAATACTACCAGTTATGTTATTTTAATTTCCATAATTTTCTGAATAACTTAATAGTCCTCCTGAATAATGATTCTGTAAAACCTTTAAAAATCTACTGCTTTTTCCAGCTACCCATTATATCTTAAATCTAGCATCAGAGTTCTTACAAATTGCTTTTAAATTAAAATAATTTGTGTAAATGCTTTCAACAAAAACTTAAAATTCATTGGATTATGAATAATCTACATGTCCTATTAAGCTTATTGCAACTTAAGGAAGTGATTAATAATTCTTAAGAAAACTTATTTATTAAACTATTTCTGTTTAATTAGAACATTTAAATTCATTCGTACCTTGATCAACAGTTAGATCAGGTAAATATTCTAATAATAAATTTATATCTATTAATTACTGATACATTCAGGTGAAATTCCATCATCAAAATATCTTGGAGGACATTTACAATATGGTGCATTTATTCTAATACCAGCACAAATTAAACACTAAGTCGGATTTGTTATATCACAATCACTACATCTAGAATGACATTAAGGTATGCATTCTTTACGTAATTCATTTATTACATAATTAACTGGGCACACTTATATACATTAACCTTAAAATAAATATTGTCCCTTAATATAACATTTTATTTTTTACATTTAAACAATAAAAACATTAATCAATAGAATATGTACAAATACCATCCATTATTTTTTAATAAGGTGAATAAAATCCATTACTAATTCTAATATTTTAAATATAAAATGGTTCTTAATTTTAATCTAATAGTTTGTTATATAATATATATACTTTGATCTGATCCTATTTCTAAAGTATCTGTATTAAATATATTAAACTTATCTAAATATATATTAGACTTTGCAATCGTATTGTTTTAAATTAATAAAACATAATTTAAATTTATCAAATTTACTATTCCTATCATAAACTTTTATTCAAAATTTATAGAACACTAAAATTCAACTTCTTCCTACACAAATTTTACTATTATTTTTTTTGTATCAAAATCACTTAAAATCTACATTAAAGATAATGATTTTCTTTTTGAGAGGAATGTAAGTATAGTTAACACTCCTGATGTTAAATTTGAAGATAATTATAATTCTATTGTTATAGATTTGGAAATTATGAAATTATCAATCTTTATGTATTAACTGTTATCAAATGATAATGAATTATTAGTAATTATTATTTATGGATCATTTTAATCTTAATCCAAAGATTATCCCATTTATACTATATGTTAATAATGGCTATAATCTTTTAAAATTTATGTCTGATATCTTTCATATATTTTTAAATCTAAAACTACTTCAGGTTCAATATATGATAATAAAGTTATTTAATCAAACATCTGAATATTATCATCGTTTAAGATTGACATTTTTTTTAAGGTAATAGAAATAGCCTCACCAATAAAATTATAAATGTTAAATTAATAAGTTGAGGAAAAGAAATTCCATAAATCTTAATTTTATTAAACAAAACCAAAAGATGAGTAATCCAATTATGGCAATTTATAACAATAATGGTCAAAACCATTATCGATTTCAATATAACAAATTTATTTATTTGCCTTTATTAAATTTTGTGTATAAAACACATATAACCATGAATTAGGATTTTTAAGTTATGAAGTCCATTTTACACCTAAATTTTTGATATAGACATAAATGTTTTAGTTATAATATGATAAACAAATATAGTTTTAGTTAATTTGCATGATAAATATTGCTATATTAAAATCTCTTACAGGATTCACCCAAACTTAATTTTTTATAAATAATACCTCCAATTGCATAATCATCCTATAAATTATTGATGCCATAGTTGCTAATAATATAGTAATAGATATTTCTTTCATAATAATATCCATATTTCTAATCATATTCATATGGATAACCAAGGTTGCTATAACATAAATTAAAGAAATAATACTCTTGTTCTATTGTATAAAACTGACTCTAGGAAACAATAATTAAAAATGCCACAATGATTGCGTAATTAATTATCATATTAAATTAAAAATTAATAAAACTATATAATTTTTTTAAATATTTTTCAGTTCATTTAATATAATTTAATTTATAATTTATAAATAATTGTTTATATATTGAAAAAAAAAATTAGATTTGTAAAAAAAAATTTCAATTTAATTCTCATATTTTTCTGATATTTAATAATAAAAAGATATCTATGTATATATTTTGGGAAGTTGTAATAAGTTAAACTATTGAAAATAATTGAAGTAGAAGGCTATTTGAATATTCTTTATTAATTTATCATGTTTTAAACAGTAACAAAAGTTTTTCTGTATTTTTTGTTTATGAAATTGAGCTTAGCTTGAATTTAATATTGTTTTTTTTATTATATTAGTCTTATTTACTTTTTGCCTTTTATTTTTTTTACTTTGTAGCTTAAATTGAAATTTTATATTAAATATTTAGCTGTTTAAAATGATGTGTGTTTGTTATAATATAATGATTGCTTAATGAAATTTGAAACTAGGTCTAATAAAAATATAATTAACTATAAACATGTATATTCTATATGTTTTTTTCTCTTTAAATTTGTATTTTAATGCATACAGTATTACTAAAATAGCATTTTATTTAGTTAGATAACCATAATCCCAAATTTAGAACACTCTTTAAAATTCAAGTTGACGAAAGAGTTTGAACTTTTTTTAATTAAAAATATTTTTAGTAATGATTTATATAATTAATCAACCCAATTATCAAATCTATATGATATTTTCTTTTAAATGATACCATAACTACTTTTTTAATATTCTAATTGTTTTAGATTATAATTCTAATTCTCTTTACCACTCTTTTGAATTTCAGATAAGAATACTAATAATTTAATAATCATATTGTAAAATATTAAATCAATTTTTCAAATAAAGTTCTTGAAATCAAGCTGATAATACATTTTTTATTTTTATTTTCACCTTGATATTCTAAAGAGTAAAGTAAATAATAAACTTGAGATTTTTTATGTCTTGAAAGAATAATTTTATTAGGTTATACAAAGCTTTAAAACATAATTCAGGCAATAACTTATTTTCTTACATCTAATAATAAAAATAATTCTCTCAGGATAAGCAATTTTAAATTTATTTTTATTTTCTCTATACATTTTTATTAAATTTTAATCCATTTTTTTTTAAAGAAGAATAAAATATGCAGAGTTAGAATTTTTTCGAATAATTGAACAATATATTATTGATACACTTTATGATTTTATAATTTAATCAAATCAGGATAAACACAGCATAATTAATAATAAAAAGATGAAGAGTATCAGGTTGCCAATTTTTTTATTTAATTTAAATGTATTTTAATTGGTAGCTCTCCTCTCCGATTCCACTTTTTACGAGTTTCCTTTTAGAATTTTTATTTCATTTCATTCGATTATCTAATTTATATATTATATCCAGAAATTAAAGAGAAGTCGAAAATAAATGAATTCATATTAGATAATATCATTTATGATAAATAATAAGTAATCCAACTTTTTAATATTTTTTTTTCCCATATTTTATTATTTATTGATATATTTTTCTAGACCTCATCTATTTTGAGAAATTAAAAACAAAATAAATTACTCAAATTTTGTTTTGGTGTAATATTATTTTATACACAATAGTTTTATAAATAATTTCTATTATTTAGTAAGATCTTTTTATTAAAGTATTTCTTTTAATTATTTATTTTCTAGTTAATAGTTTTATATTTAACAGACCTCTAATTAGAAATTTTGATTCTTTCCATTAAAAATCTCATCTTAATATTTAATTAATTTAAATATTTCTTTATTTAATAATGATCTATTAATAATGGTCTTAATCTTTTAGATCTAATTCATCAAAGCTATAAAGAAAATAAAGTAGAAAGTTCTGCGTTTGGTTATTATTATTCTTCTTATATTATACATAGAAATTCAAAAATATAGAATAATTTTTCTTTAGATTTTACATTTATAATAAGCTTTTTGTATTAAAAAGAATATAAGAAATTGTATTTTAATGACAAAATTTTTTATTTTTTGTAAATTGATGAAATTGATGAAGTTCTACCAATTTTTTAAAAAAATTATACTTCTTTCTTAAAAAGTTGTATAAATTCATCATTTAAATATTGATAATTATTAATGATATTTTTCCATAAATAAATGATTTGGAAATTAAGTTCTAAAGTCTAAATGTTGTTCAAAATTATTGGTTTGTACTAACATATTATCTTTTAATATCCTAATCTAATGATTGATATATTGGATCTATTTGATTTTAAATTTCTTCATCATCTCTATAGAATTCATCACTAATTTCTCCAAATATCTTTCTTGGTTAACTACAAGAAATATGAAATGCTTTTTTCTATCAGATATAAATGAATATATTTATTTATTTGTTGAAAGAATATAAAAAAGAAATGAGAGAAATTAAATTAAATAATTGTATTAATGGGTTAAATTTCTTGTTTTTAAGGAAATGAATTAACGGAATTTAATGTATTGTTAATAGGTCCATCTGGATCAGGGAAGACAAGGGTGGTTACAGAAAAGACTTTAGGACCAACGATTAGTAATGAAATATTTAATTAATAGAATTAGAAAAACACTTAATAAAATTGAATGATACTCATGGGTTGAATTTTTATGATACTCCTGGTATATTTAGTTTATTTAAATAATGTCTAAATTAAGATATTATATAATGTTTTGATATAATAGCATGCTTTCCAAATTCAGAATAATATAAGGAATATATTAAGGAATTATTATAAAATAACACAAAATTGTTCAAATAGATTCCATTTTATGATATTCCAGGAGATTTAGAATCGAAAGAAATAAGAAATAAGATCTATTTGTAAATTTTATCATAAAGTAAAAGAAAATCAAAAAAGCCAAGTTATAATTAAGAAATAGTATGATTTTGATTAATTTATTGTTTATGTTTTTGATATAATTGATAATCAATGATTTTTAAGGATAATCTTATGTGGATCAATATTAGATCCACATAATACAATTAAACACGTAAGACGTCCTATTGGATAGTTCATGAAGCCAGCATAAGCCAAAGCTGCAGCTCCTTCAACCACAAGTTTATGTTCATTCAATAGTTTTATTTAGGCATCTCGTATTTGATCTTCTTTTACTAGAATCCAATCATCAACAAGATGCCTGCAAATTTCGATAGTAATAGCATTTTCTTCTACTCCTCCAGATGTTCCATCAGATAGTGTTTCAAGTAATTTTTAATCACTTTTATTACGTAAAATCTAATTGTATATATAAAAATACATTGTACATAGCTGCATTATTTTTTGGTTAAACCCCAATAATTTTAGTGGTTTTATTTTTTAAATATTTAAAATATAATGCTATTCCTCCAATCAATCCACCTCCTCCACAAGATACAAAAATGAAATCAAGTTCTTCATTTAAAGAATTAAAACTAAATATATAGAATCATTTTATTACTAAGTATCTAATTCTTCTCCTATAGTACAACTACCCAAAATCATATTTATATCATTATAAGGGGAAGCATAAAAGCTATTATGTTATTCAGCATATTATCTAGCTTTAATTTCACTTTCAATACAATCTTAACCTATATAAATAATTGGACATTTAATATCTTTTAATTTGTCTTTATTTACATTTTCAGGTACAAAAATAATTAATTTAGATTTATTAAGTTCTTCTTAAAGGTATTCTTATTTTTATTATAATTGTTATTATTATTATTCTTATTATTATTAAAAATCAGGTAAAGGAGTAGGAGTATTATATTCATCTTATTTAATCTATTATTATATTTGTTTTTCTTCTTATTAAAAGATTTCACTTTAATTATTAGTTTCTTCTTAACAACTTTAATATGCATAAAAACATGCCTTAGCAAAATTACCTGTACTAGCAACCACTATTTATTTATTAGGTTAATCTTGAAAAAATAAGAAGGCTCCTCTAATTTTAAAACTACCAGAAGTTTAGTGACTTTCAAGTTTTAGATATGTTTTGTCTTTAATTTTTAAGACAGGAGTATTAATTATCGGAGAAACATCTGATTTTAAAATTTAATTGGCAATGGGGAATTTCTTTTTTATTGTTTTAAGGAATTCTTATGAAATTGTATCAATCATAGGTTTTCTGGATGTAGAACAATCCAATCCCATATATAATATATATATATAAATTAATATTAAATTTATGAGTGAAGAAGAATCAACTAGTGGAAAATTCGATTATTTAAAAGCTAAATATGTATTTAGATTTCCATTTACAATAACAGCCTTAAAATGGGGATTTGGATTAGGTACTTTTTTTGGGATTCATTAATATATAAAATCTAGAGATGGGATGGCAAGTATGAGATGGTTTATTTGGGGAAATGTTTTAACTACTTTACCAATTTGGGGATTTTTTATGATGAAATATTCATTTTATAGTAGTGCATTAAGAAAATTTGAATCAGAATAATCAAGATAATATGAAATTCAAGGATTAACAAGAGTTTATTTAGCAAATAAGATGGGAATAGATCCAGAAAGTAGTGATGAGGATCTTTTGAAGTAATAGATAATTTTGATGTTTTTAGAGAGTATTAAAATAAGAGTGAAAAGATTAAGGAGAAGTATAATCTATTGGATGAATTATTGGTAGGTGTTGACTTTTCTTAATTTGAATTTCCAAAATGAATTATTCAATTTTATAATTGTTTAAAAAGCACTATAAACTAATTAACATCATATAATTATTAATATGAATAAATTATCAAAATATTGCATATGGTTTAATCTCATTACGTATTTTTACTATTTAAAAAGCGTTCTTGTATGAAATAATGGCTTATATTAAATATTTTATTCAAATAATTACCTATATGGCAGACATTTTAAACAGAACAAAACATTATGTTGGAACTATTTAATAAGCAGCCAAATAATATACAGTTGACAATATTTATATTCTTAGTGGATATAGAATCAACTATTCAACACCTTGGCTTATATTAAAATCGCTATTTTAGAAACATAATGAACTTATCAATGTTTGGACTCATGTAATAGGATCATTTCTAACATTCCTATTAATAATTTATATTGTTAGTTATCATTATGATCACAAATAAAGAATAGAATAAGATATTGATCAAATATTTAGTTTTAATTCAACACAAACCCAAAATTCAATTAGCAATCAAAATATTCTGGCTGATACACAAAAATATTAAGAAATATTTAATAAAATAGATCATTTTTAAAATTCTATGCTTACTTCAGAGACCTATAAAGAGATAGTTCATTTAATGAAAATAACAGTAGAGATATTAAATTTTGAAGAAGTAGCAGAGTATGCAATAATATTCTAAAATAAATTCAATTTATTTAAAGATAAAATAATTTAAGAAGTAAAGATTATTTAATATAAATAAGATTGATAGTGAATAATTTGATTGGGTTGAGATTTATAAGCATGATTATTCTCATACTTCTATTTTAAAATAAGAGTAATTTTTAAGAAATAACAATGATCCTTATCATGTATCAAGATGGCCAATTGTAGTATTTTTAGTAAGTGGATTAATGTGTATGGCTGGATCAGCATTATTCCATTTATTTTATTAAATGAGTGAATCTGCTAATAAATATCTTATGAGAGTTGATTATGGAGGTATCTCTTTACTTATATTGGGTTCTTGTTTTCCTCCATTTTATTATGGATTTTATTGTGATGCATTTTTGAGATACTTTTATCTTATAACAGTTGGATCAGCTTGTTTGGCAGCTTATATTGTATCCATTTTTGATTTCATTCATACTGAAAAATGGAGAAAAATAAAAGGACTTATGTATGGATCTTTAGGATTGTTTGCAGGTGTTCCTGCTGTTCATCTTTATTTAAGAGAGTATAAATTATATATATATGTATATTTATAGATTCTATAGAGAAGAAATTTCAGACTATTTACCATTCCAACATTCATTTCTATTTTATATATTAATGGGATCAAGTTATTTATTTGGATTAGCTTTATATACATTAAGAATACCTGAAAGATTTCTACCAGGAAAATTTGATATCATTGTAATTATTAAATTTCTATATTTAGGGACATAGTCATTAATGGTGGCATTGTTTTGTCTTTTTTGGTGTATTCTTTCATTATTTTGGTTCTATTTATAATATGGGAGATAGAAAATTTACATTTTGTCTTATGTGAATTTTATTTATTTATTATTTATATAGTATCAATTCTTTAAATTTTAGTATTGAAATTACTTCGAACTTGGAGTTATATTAGAAAATGTCATCTCTCCAGTACTTAATCTTTATTAATTATTTTTATGTATCCCTTGTAAGACTCTTTGTGCATTATTCTCCTTACCATTTGATCTTCCTCTTCTTTATATCTCAGCATTCATCACAAATATCTAATTTTCCAAATTATTTATTATTATTTTATACTCTGCCACCTATTCTGATAATATATTAGCCTATTATTAAATATCCTCTTAATAACTAAAATTTATAAATTTAATATAAATACTTTTAACCTAATAAATCTAATTGATTTTGTAATTATAAATTCTCAGAGTATAATTGTTATGCTTGATTATGTACATCATTTATTTAAATTTCTAATTAATGAATTATTTCATCCTTATTTTCCAATTATTATTCAAATTCTTCTTATAAATCTAATTTTTCTTTTGTCAACTATTCAGCAATATTTGACAATTATTTCTAAAAATATTACTCTATTTCTTATTCTTTCTTGCTTAATTATTCAAATAAATAATTATTTTATTCTTTTATTTCATTCATTTAATGTTATAATTCTTAATATATAGATAACTTTGATTCCTGGCAACCCTTGTTCTATAATTAAGTAATCAATTATTATTATTCTTATTCTTTAATATAAACTTATAATTTGTATTCTTAAAACTATTATTACAATGATTCTTATTCCTTATTTAATTTTTACAACAATCTTTTTGTTTCATCTAATTATTTATCGTACAATTCATTTTACTATGTTAAATTTTCATTCTATAATTATAACTCTTCTAATTTTTATTCTAATTAATGATTCTATTATAAAGAATCGAAATTATCTTGATAATTATGTTACATAACTGAATTCTCCAATTTTTATTACAGATCTTTCTTCTCATTCAATAATTTAGAGATTGTACATTATTATTATGCCAATAGATTTTGATACTGTTCAAATTTCATCTCATAATAATACTTATCAGCATAAGCTTAGGACAATCTCTGAATCTCATTTTCTTATAAACAAATAGATTTCTGAACTTCTGGATCCTTATTTAGAATGTCACTCTATTCATTGGTTTCTTGATCATTGTAATTTGTGCTAGTATCATCAATATTAGTGAACTAAGATGTTTTCTCTAATTATTATTGATGATCCTCCATCTAACTATGATCATTTGCTTAATTTTCGAAGCAATTTTATTTATCAGTCAACATTAACGAATTTATTTTATTAATTAAATATATATATTAAATGTATGAAATAAGAATGTTATTCGCCATTTTTAAACTAGGACGTTGTTCAATTATTTGTACATATAAATACATGTAAATTATCTTATTTTATATACAAATAAAAATTATTAAAAAATGTCTGAAAATATCTAAAATAGAGTCTCTTCAATCTTTGAAAAATTAAACAACATTTCCACTAGTGTTCAAGATGAGTATTTATTTATTTTATGTTTTAGAAAAAACAATCGTTTTCACACAATCAGTTAATTGATCATGGCATTCGAAGCATAATTATAACATTAATCAGATTAAAAGGAAGAAAAGTTTGCATACATTGCTGCCAAAGTCAAACAGATAACAGAATTTTTAGAATAAGAATAAGAAAAGTATTTTCAATAACTATAAATTTAGTCGTGAAAGACAAGAAACTGAAACATATAAATTGATAACAGATTTGGAAAGGCATGCAAGAAGATTGATTGAATAAAATTCTAAAGAGAGAGTAGAGTAAGAAAAAAAGATTGTGTATTCAATTGGTTAATAAATTGAATCCTTGTAACAAGATGTTATAAAGGAAGGATTGGTAATAAGTTTATTAATTTAGGCATAATCAACATCTCATGAATATATTGATTCTTATTTGAATGAGGATTTACCAAAAATTGCAGATGAATTGTAAAATGAAATCACAGAAAGAAAAGATGTAGAAGAAAAAATTTATCATCAGTTTGTTGAATAATTGAATGATTTAAGATAACTATTTGAAAAGTAAATATAATTCTTAATTTTTATAGAGAAAAAAAAGAAAGAGAAATTAAAGAGGAAGAAATTGTTGAGAGTTTAAGAGAGATCTCAAATAGAATCTAAGATCAATTAAGAAAGACAAGAGGAGAACGGGAGAAGACAGAAGAAACATTAGTGACTTTGGTTGAGAAGGTTATTGAAAAACTTAAGAGAGAAATGTTAGAAATGAATTTATGAATAAAAATATAAATCGAATTTTAATATAAATAAATGTGTTAAAGATAACTTTTACGTCAAAGAATAAAAAATTGGATTGTGATTCTATTATGGTTAAAAAGTTGACTTCAATCAATATATTACTGATTTCTGTGTTAAAAAATAACACTTCTCACTGCCTTAGCAATGATCATTTATATTGTTATCATATGATTTTGAAATGCTAGAATAATATTTTGTATTTTAGTATATTTATTTAATTAATTATTGAAAATAGCCAGGTGAAAGTTCATGATCATATTATTATAATCTTGAAATTGTATAAAAATGTTTCACTATTTTATAGAACAATTTATTAGATTTCTATTCTTTATAAGTTCTTATGTTTTATTTTATATTATTTTTCTTTATTTAAAAAAGCTAATTCTATTAAGAATAATATTTCTGATTTTAATATATATTTATAAAAAAATTATTTATATTCTTTTGATGAATGAAAGGAATGCTTAATGATTATACATTCATATAATAATACTCTAAGATTATTTAGATAAATAAAGAATATATAGAAAGTATATACAGATAGATTTATAGTAATATTATTAATTTTTGGTTTATTGAAAAAAAGAAGATTATATATATCAATATTTACATATATTTTGAAAGGACAAAGTCGTTTAACTTTGTTAATTTTAATATTTAAAAATGCAAAATATTATCTTGCCTTTTACAAAAGTGCTTGAAAGTAAATTAATTAATATATGAAAAGGATTTGAAAATCGTATCGAAAAAAGAGTTTAAAGTGGAAGATATTTGAGTAATCTACATGGTATAAAATGAATAATTTAAGATCAAATGTAAAGGGCAAAACAAAATATTATTCGATTGGAAGCCATTCATTCAAATAGACAGAAAATACTAACTGATTAAAATGAAAAGTTAGAGAAGTTAAATAAGAAAATATCTAATTCGATTGAAGCAAGTTAATAGAAGAAAGATGAAAAGTTATCTGCATTACAAAATAAATTAAAAACTCTTAATAAAAGAAGATAACCTCGTCAGATGTCATTTTAAGAAGTAATAGATGAAACAGAAGTTTAATCTCCTTCTAATAAACATGAAATAAAATAAAAACAAATAAGTAAATCCGTTTAGAAATAAGAGATTCATGTAAATATAACTCCTAGGATTAAAGTAGCTCAACCAAATAATAAACTTAATCAAGTAAGAATATTGATATTTTAAAAGAGTTAATTATTTGATTAATTGAATAAAAGCATTGATGCAGCAAAATAAAGGAAATCTTAGAGATTAAATTGTATAAAATAGAAATTGCATGATCAAGATGAGATTGTAAATAATGTAATTGATTTAAGGTTCATTAACATTTGGAAAAATCTCAAAAAAATAAAGAAGAAGTAGAATAATAAAGATTGAATTAGATTTATGAAAAATTGTTGTTTCTTACCAAAAGATCTGAAGTGAAATAAGCAAAAATAAAGAGCAAAGAGAGAAAGAAATCGATTAAAATTCAATTATCAAATAGCGAATCATAAAAAATATATAAGATTTAAAAGTATGAAGAGTAAAAAACAGAATCTGCACGAACAGCATAATCTATTAATAATGATTATAAAATTAGGTAAGTTAGAAAGAGATTAGAAAGTTTAAATAATAAGAGAGAAATTTAGGCTTAAAACATTTTAGATAAACATAGACAATTTTCAAATAGAAATTAATAAAATAAGTAATTATTAGATGAATTAGCTAATACGTGTTAATATTATAATTTTAAGATCAAAGAATAATATTTGTTATGATTTATTTATTTATTTTACATATAAAGAATTGAAGAACATAATTTAAACCTCATCAATAAATTTAAATTATTGGTTTAATTATGCTAAAGCAAAACCCTATTTTAAGTTTATTCTAAGATAAAAGTGATATTCATCATTTTTTTAAACAATATAGATAATAAAATAGAGAATTGAATTATGAGACAATAAAAAGAAAAGATTTTCATTCTTAAAATAGAATGAGAAAGTTAGTAATTGAATGTGGAAATAAATGTGAAATAAAAAATAAATTTAAACTTAATGGTGAAGAATAATGGAAATAAATAAAATTCTTGCAGATTAGAAATTGTTAGGTGGTATAATTAAATATACCTATAACAATTAATTAAAAACCGAATTTTAAATATAGATCTTTATCATTATAATAAAATAAAAAAAAGGATTAATTACCTTTGATTGGATGGACAAGAAAAAATACAGAATGTTCCCAACAATTATGATTATTACACATAGTATGCTGTTATAATAAAATGAGTTTTTCTTGATTGATTTTTTCATTTTCAAACTGAATAACACCAATAAAATTTATCATTAAAATAATGAGAATTACTTTTTGTTTGCTATTAAATTTACATTTGAGTAGAATAAGATCTATTAGAACTCTTTTGGGTAAATTAGAAGAATAGTGGAAATAATAAATCAAATTCTAAGTAATTTACAATTTTTTAAGGTATTTTAGAGTTAATATAGAGTGAGTAAATTGTGATCATATATTAAATATTCATCATTTTGAACACACTTCTGAAAATTAATTACATTAAATAACATATTAGAAATGTATTAAGAAATTGAAAAGCATTAGCTATAAAAAAATAAAAAATAAAAACTAATATGAATTCAAAATATAACAATATTTCATATTTATGAAATCAATGAACATTCATTATTGCTTTATTTGTAATGGATTAGAAGTGCTTCTATGTTTGAAACTAACTTGAACTTCAAAGAAATTACCAGATGTGCAGAAATCTGTAGAAAGGAGTTACTTAACATTTGGAAACCTTAAGAGTACACTTCAAACAACATATAATATTAATTCTAAATCAATATTATTTCAGATGCCTCTTTTTTAAGATTGCATAAAAAGATTAGGACATACAATTACTAATTGGTTATTTAATTTTAAAAACTAATTGAATTCAGATTTAATTATGTTTGGAGATAAAATATCATTAAAAATTTGCTCATAATACTTGATTTAATTTCTTTATTTAATACCAAATAAATTTAAAATTTATAACAGCAAAATGAATATGCAACTAATAATAAAAATATAAAAAGAACAAAATGAATATCTAGTGATAAATTTATTGAAATGAAGGAGAGATTAATAGAAAGGAAAAGTGAAGAAGTGAGTTATAATATATTATCAAAAATGCGAAAAAAGTATTGTCTGAAACTTAAAATGAAAACTTAATGATAAAATTATAGAATATGAAATAGTAGATAAGACTAAAAATAAAAATATTTATAATGTCATCCTATTAGATAGTTAGAATTATAACTTAATTATTTTAAATTATTGAATGAGAATTATAAACAAAAATTAGAAAAGAATGGATATTAAAGTAGCAAGTTTTTAGATATATATTGGAAAATCAATTAATTAAGTAGATCTTTGTAATAGGATATAAAATTTGATTATGAGTAAAAAAGATAATGAATTATGAAAAAGTATGATGATTTAGGATAGATTAAATATGGTTAAGATTAATAAATAAGGAAGAAGTTGAATTTAGAAGTAAAAGTTGTTGAAGTGACATAAAGATGAGCTTAAGATCAATAGTAATTTCATAAAAAAGCCATGAAGTTATATATATATATAAACCTTACTAATAATAATTATTTCAATGGGATAATGCGTATGTTCTGAGAAAGTAATAGTACTAAGTGAGATTCCACCACTAGAATACACTGAAAAGGTTGAAGTCATAAAAGAGCCCTTTGCTATATTAGATGAACCATTAATCTAAGATGATTTANTAAAAAAATAAAAAATAAAAACTAATATGAATTCAAAATATAACAATATTTCATATTTATGAAATCAATGAACATTCATTATTGCTTTATTTGTAATGGATTAGAAGTGCTTCTATGTTTGAAACTAACTTGAACTTCAAAGAAATTACCAGATGTGCAGAAATCTGTAGAAAGGAGTTACTTAACATTTGGAAACCTTAAGAGTACACTTCAAACAACATATAATATTAATTCTAAATCAATATTATTTCAGATGCCTCTTTTTTAAGATTGCATAAAAAGATTAGGACATACAATTACTAATTGGTTATTTAATTTTAAAAACTAATTGAATTCAGATTTAATTATGTTTGGAGATAAAATATCATTAAAAATTTGCTCATAATACTTGATTTAATTTCTTTATTTAATACCAAATAAATTTAAAATTTATAACAGCAAAATGAATATGCAACTAATAATAAAAATATAAAAAGAACAAAATGAATATCTAGTGATAAATTTATTGAAATGAAGGAGAGATTAATAGAAAGGAAAAGTGAAGAAGTGAGTTATAATATATTATCAAAAATGCGAAAAAAGTATTGTCTGAAACTTAAAATGAAAACTTAATGATAAAATTATAGAATATGAAATAGTAGATAAGACTAAAAATAAAAATATTTATAATGTCATCCTATTAGATAGTTAGAATTATAACTTAATTATTTTAAATTATTGAATGAGAATTATAAACAAAAATTAGAAAAGAATGGATATTAAAGTAGCAAGTTTTTAGATATATATTGGAAAATCAATTAATTAAGTAGATCTTTGTAATAGGATATAAAATTTGATTATGAGTAAAAAAGATAATGAATTATGAAAAAGTATGATGATTTAGGATAGATTAAATATGGTTAAGATTAATAAATAAGGAAGAAGTTGAATTTAGAAGTAAAAGTTGTTGAAGTGACATAAAGATGAGCTTAAGATCAATAGTAATTTCATAAAAAAGCCATGAAGTTATATATATATATAAACCTTACTAATAATAATTATTTCAATGGGATAATGCGTATGTTCTGAGAAAGTAATAGTACTAAGTGAGATTCCACCACTAGAATACACTGAAAAGGTTGAAGTCATAAAAGAGCCCTTTGCTATATTAGATGAACCATTAATCTAAGATGATTTAGATAAAATACAATCTCAAGCAAAAACAAGATAAACAGAGGGTTCAATGATTTTTGAGCTTAATAGAGTAAGTTAGAAGGATACAAAGATGAACAGTGAATAGTTTTAGTTACCTTCTGAAAAAGTGAAGGTATTCTTATTTAATTATTAAGGAACTATTAGATAAATTAGGTCCTTTTGTAATAGAAAGTGATGAAACTAGTAACTAATAGGTATTAGATTAAAAAATGTAAATGTCTTATCAATAAGATTTGTTAGAGTATGTAAAGAATGAAAAAGGTAAGATATCAGTTGCAAAATTAAGTAGGTGTAGAAATAATGAAAAATGGATCTCTATATGAAGGTTAATTTAGTGAAGGATAAGCAAATGGAAAAGGAAGGATGATATATTGTGATGGTGATTATTATATTGGAGATTGGGTTGATGATTAACGTATTTGTAAATGATAAAAATGAGATCATGGATATGGAGAATATTACCATTTTGATGGCACTTTGTATCAAGGTTAATGGTTCTAAAATTTATAGCATGGTGAAGGATTTGAATTGTTTTTAGATTAATCTACATATAAAGGGGATTTCTAATTTGGTAAAAGATCAGGATATGGTGTATATAATTATTGTGATGGATGTGTATATAAGGGAGAATTTAAGAATAATTAATTTAATGGGAATGGGTATAAAATAAAAGATTAATTTAGAATATTTGAATGGCCTGATGGAAGAGTATATTAAGGAGAATGGAAGAATGATAAAAAAGATGGAAAAGGTAAAATGATATGGTCTGATGGAACTATATATGATGGTGAATATAAAAATGATAAAAAACATGGATTCGGCATATTAACATGGCGTAATTTTGATGGAAATTTAGATAGCTGATCTTAGATAGTATAAGGGATAATGGGAGAATGGAAAATAAAATGGAGTTGGAGAATATAGAAATATTTAATAAGGAAGTAGAAAAGGACATTGGGTTAATGGAAAAAGAGTTTTATGGTCCGATTGATATAAGATTATTTAATTATATTTTTAATGGATATAACTACTACGTTATTCATTAAAAATAAAACATATTATTTAATTTAAAACAAATTTATATGATAACAGTATTCAAACATCGTGGATTGATTACATTCTCTTTTATTTAACAGGTTTTGTCATCTAATCTGTTATATGAATTGTATTAGATCTTGTCTTTATTGCACTCTTTGGTTTCTTCTTTCCATATAAACTTGCTAATTCCTACATTCTATCTATTGTTATTGTCTAACCCAATATTGATATTGAATTTTTTCTACATTTAAATTTCAATTTAATTACAAATTTTAAGATGTCTTCTTTTTTGGTAACTTAATCATTGTTTTTGGTTGTACCTACTATTTCTATTGTGATATTATTGTTGATAGTCTATCTTAAGTAGTATCAGTCATCAATCTCTCTTAACTTGATATCTTTATTTATTTCTTCATTCTAACAATCTCTTTTGATAATTGCTTCCGTAATATTAATCATTTCTATACTATTATTTATGAATTAGATTTCTCCAATTATTTTTGCATTTCTTCACAAGTGTCTTATAAGTCTTCTGCATATATTTTTAATTGTTATTAAATTTGAATGTGCTTTCTTGCCTCTGTCTCTTTTGATATTAATTAATCTTCCAATAATTTATATTGGTTCTTAAGATCATTGTATCCTTAAAGAAACGAATCCACTATTTGGCACATTATTCGGAAACAAACCTATACATCTTCAACCATATTGTCCTAGCATGGTATGTCATCACTCTCACTTGTATTCTCCATTAACTTCTTATAGTAGTTCAGTATCTAATGCGAATCGGCTAAGGATATACCTCCTTAAATAACTACTTGATTAACTTCTCTTCACACTCCTTTTACATTTATTTTATATAATTAATATTATTTAATTCTCTCTTTAGATATTAATCCTGTTGTATCATTATATAATTATCTTATTAAAGATAATTAGATGCTAAATCATCATCTTATATCTAATTATGATTATCTAATTATTAAAAATATAATTAATTAATTATCTAATAAAGGAATATATCTTACAAGAAATTATTAAATTAACTCAACCATTTCTTTTTTTGCAATCTAATTATCTTAACTTTAAAATTAAATCAAGAAATTTAAGATAGCTAATTCTAAATTTATTAACAAAATCATCTTTAAATTCAATACAAAAAGACTTAATATAATTTATATTTCAATAATACAATCCCTTTCTAAAATGCTTTTTTTTTTATTTATTTATGATTGCTATTTTTTATTCAATTAATAGGTTAAATTTCAATCGTAAAAATCAAAAATCTTTACTCTAATTTAAATAAATTTGTGAGAATTTATAGTTTATGGATAATTGGTTGAATTTTTTTTTCAATTTCTTAAATCAGAAAAATGGTTACCTTTGCAAATACGAAGAATAGTGTAATTATTGCAATCCGAGATTGATATGTATTGAGAAATCAGAATTGATTATAATAATGATTGTGATAAAGATTTTTTTTTAATAATTATAATAATTTAACCTAGACAAATACATGAATTTTTATAGCTAAAAGGATATAACTCCTTTAATAATCAATTAAAAATTATAAATATTTATGTTATTATAAAATTTGAAGTGATGAAATATTGCACTCCTGACTAGAACATTTAAAAGTAATAAATATATTTAATCAAAATTTTTTTATTGTAATTTGTTAGTTTTTATAGATATTACTTCATTATTATTATATATTTAATTAAATAAAATAATATAATAATGAATAATATCCTATGCAAAGATCATCCAGATAATTCAATAATTTTTATTATTTGGAATTATACAACTGTTAAATTTGTGTGCGATGAGTGCATGGGAACAAATTTACTAGAAGGAGATTAAAAATAAGAAAAATGGAAAAAATTGGCAATCAGGAAAGCCTTCAAGGAGCCAGAATACTTCCTAACTTAATTTGATTTAAATGAATAAAGCAAATTAGTTATGACTACCCTTTAAAAATGTTAGGATGCTTAACTTAAAGATATTATTTAGAAGATAGAGTTATGCATTAAAGAAATATAGTTAATTTGTGATAAAATTATTGATGAATTAAAATAGGAAGTTATCAAATTAATAAATGATAAAGACTTTCTTAGGAATTAACTTCATAAAGTATGATATATTTAAATATAGGTTTCCTATTATTAAGAATTTAAAGATTTAATCGAAAATCTTAATAATACTAAATCAACAGTCTCTCATGATGTTGTTAAATAGGCAGAAAATAAATTAGAAAAATTATTTTAGGATATTGGAAAAAATTCAGCAAGTTTTAATAAAGAAATATAATAAGTTTCAGAGACAGTTAAAATACATAGGATTAATGGCTTATAAGGAATAGTATAATTAAAAGTGTAAATAGAATAATTTAAACAAATATCCACTTTTAAATTTTCAAGATTAAAACCAATTGTTCCTGAAGAATATTTTTAATATCTTCTAAATAAAATAAGTCTAGATGCAAAAAAATAAATTAAATCCACTGATCGCATATTCAATTTATACAAGGATAATCTGAATTCAATAAATTTTTGGAATTGTGTTAAGGATAAAGAAAACTTATTAATGATATTTGAATCACAAAGTGGGAATATTTTTGGTGCCTACACTCCTTTAAAGTGGGTTTATGAAGATAAGGAGATAATGGATCCTTCATGCAATTCATTTTTATTTTCATACACTCACAAGTCTATACATTAAAATATAAAGAATCGCTGTGCATTACTTTTAAAAAAAGGTAAAGGTCCTTGTTTTGGATAATATACATATTCCTATACTCCTTCAAAGGATTTATATATTGAAGGTGATTTTCAAAATGGATCTGCAGATTTAGGAAATGCATATACTAAAGAATCCTCATAACATTCTTCAACACATTTATTTGGACAAGACACTCCAAATATAATATAATGCCAGATATTTTAGATAATATTTAAATGGTGGTGAATTTATATATAAAAATATATATAAATATAATACTAATTATAATCCATCCTCATAATAAGAAATATGTAGATCAATTTTCATCAAATTACAATCTGAGTAATGCTATCTAGAAAATAAAAAAACAATAAATGCTTCCACAATAGAGATTTATTTCTTGATATTGAATTGATTAATAAAGAATTAATTTAATAATGATGAAATGATAAAAAAATATTTATTAATTGCCCAATGAATAAAATTTTAGATTTAGGTCTTTATTTTGTAAATTTATGAAAAAAACTTTCATAACAATGTTAGACTGTTCACTTGAATTAAGTTTATGAATACTTACTAGTTCTTTGTTTAATTAATCGACTATTAAACTTGCTAAACTAGAATAGCATGTTGTAAATATCTAGTTTTATTTTTCATTTTAATATTTTTTTGCTGTCAATTCGTGCTTCATGAGTAATTTCAAACCCTTTTTAATTTATAAATACATTGGTTCAGTAAATGATTTTATAGATTTGGAAAACTTCTGATGTTCTCATTCAACCAATAAAAGTTCATTTTAACATTTTCAAATTATTTAATAAATTATCATTATTATTTAACTCATTTTTTGATCTAATTCAGTTCTTAGTTTATGCAAATAAGTTCAATTGATTTGATAAGTTTTTTTACTCTTTTCTTTAATCTTTTTCTGTTTTAATTTCTACTTCTAAAAAAATATTTAATTTAATTAGATAGTGTGAATTTAATGTGATGTGATGAAATCGAGTAAGAGTTATTGATTAATTTCTGATTTCTTGAAGACAAATAAAGTCGGTTATATTTTATAGTTTATAAAATTAATGGTTAAAGAAAGCTGATAATCAAAGAATTTAGATTGATAATTATTGTGATGAAATTATGGCATATTTAATATATATTGCTGAATTTATAAGGGGAATTCATTCGCTATTTAGATTAACTGGAGTCTGGTTTGTGCTTAACTCATTATTTATATTAACAAGTTATCATGGGAGATCCCTTAAGGAAATTTTTTTTAAGATTTTTTTCATATGTGATCGATAAAGCTTCAAATCATAAAATTATTTGATTTCCCCCCGCATATGTTGCACATTTGATTGTCATTCTTAGATATTAGGTAGTAGTGCACTTTCCTTTATGATTCATTTTAGTATACTAATAAGATTATTTTCAAGAAATTTAAAATGGTACCTTTATTATTGATTTTTATACTTAATTTAATAAATTATTTTAAATTGAGCTAAATTTTTTTTCGATCTATTTTAAAAAAAATTTTTAATGAGTAAAAATAAACAGTCAGAGTGACAATTTCTTTATACTAATAATAATTTAGTTTAGCCAAAAAAATTTTATTTTTACAAATGATAAAATTTAGGCAGAAGGAAATCTGATTCGCTAACTCAACAAAAATAAAAAATTTTAATCCAATTTATTTACTCATAAAAATTATAAAAACTCTCAATTTAGGATTAAGAAACTTTTCCAGATTAATTTTAATTCGTCTAAAGATAAAAGCATATTATAAGATATCACTCCAAAATTCTAAATAACAATTAGCTGAAAGTAATGCAAATTTACACTGAAGCTTTTAGTAAATTAATTTTGCTAATTAGTACGTCTGTATAAATATACATAATATGAAAAATATTATATTCTTTTGAGAGAACAATATGGCATCACTCTTGCTTGTATTCTCCATTAACTTCTTATAGTTGTTCAATATCTAATGCAAATCGGTTAAGGATATACTTTTTAACTAACTACTTGATTAACTTCTCTTTACAGTCTTTTACATTTACATTATATAATCAAGATTATTTATTCTGGATTAAGAATATGGCTCATCATTTGAATTAGTATTTTATAACAAGTTTATATATAAAAATAGTAAAGGAATAGAAGTGATATCTATTGCATTGACTTAATTTTTTTTGCAAATAAAATTATCTAATTAAATCAAAAAAATTAGATAAAAATTTAAAATAGAATTAAAAATAATATAAAAGAAAACAAAAAAAAAAGTTCTATATTAATTTTATTCTATTTATTATATCTTTAAGATTATTATTATTATGATTATTTTAAGTCATATAATTTGTTAATTATTGATAGATTTTATTATTTTCTTATCAAAAATTTAATTATAATTAAATTAACATAATAATGAATAATATTCGATGCAAAGATCATCCAGATAATTAAATTATTTTCATTACCTGGAACTCAACAATCGTTAAATTTATTTGCGATGAGTGTATGGCAATTGATTTGTAAGAAGGAGATTTATTATAAAAACAATGTAAAAAAATGGCAATCAAGAAAGCCATCAAGGAGCCAGAATACTTTTTTACTTAATTTTCTTTAGATGAAAAAAACAAAACATTTTTCAGCGCATTTAAAAAATTTCCGGATGTTGAACTTATGAATATAATTGAAAAAACAAAATAAAACATACAATATATATAGTTAATTTTAGATTCAATAATGAAGGAATTATAATCGGAGATTAATAAATTAATAAATAATAAAGATATTGTTAGGAAATAACTAAATAAAGTATGATATATTTAAAAATAGGTTTCGCAATATCAAGAATTTAAAGAATTAATTCAAAGTCTTAATAAAAAATAAAAAGTCACACATGATGCCGTAAGACAGATAGAAATCTAATTAGAAAAAATATTTTTGGGTATTGAAAAAAATTCATCCGATTTTAATTAAGAAATAAAAAAGGCTTAAGAAATATCTAAAATAGATAAGGTTAATGATTTTCTAGGAATAGAATAATTAAGACTGTAAATAGAATAATTTAAATAAATATCTGCCTTTTTTATGCCAGTATAAAAACCAATTGTTCCTGAAGAATATTTTTAATATCTTCTAAATAAAATAAGTTTAGGTGCAAAAAAATAAATTAAATTTACTGACATCATTTTCGATTAATAAAAAGATAATCTGAATTCAATAAATTTTTGGAATTGTGTTAAGGATAAAGAAAACTTATTAATGATTTTTAAATCACAAAGTGGGAATATTTTTGGTGCCTACACTCCTATAAAGTGGGTTTATGAAGATACGGAGATAATGGATCATTCATGCAATTCATTTTTATTTTCATACACTCACAAATCTATACATTAAAATAATAAGGGTTTTCATGCGTTGAATTTATAAAAATATAAAGGTCCTTGTTTTGGATAAAAGTATCTCTCTATAGATTTTGATTTATATATTGAAGGTGATTTTTAAAAAGGATATTCAAATTTAGGAAAAGCATATACTAAAGAATCCTCATAAGATTCTAAAACACATTTATTTGGACAAGAAACTCCAAATATAATATAATGTCAGATATTTTAGATAATATTTAAATGATGAAAATATATAAACAGAAATGGAATAAAATACAAATATATATATAATAATATAATACTAATTATTTTTTAATCCATCCTCATAATACTAAATATTTAATTTAATTTTCATCAAATCATAATCTATCTAGAAATAAGAAAATAATAAATGCTTTCACAATATATTTATTTTCTTGATTGTTTTTAAACTAGGTTGAATTGATTAATAAAATAATTAATTTTATAATAATAAAATATTTAAAAAAATATTTATAAATTGCCCAATAATTTTTTGAGAATAAAATTTTAGATTTAGGTCTTTATTTTGTAAATTTATGAAAAAAGTTTTAATAAAAAATACATGAATAAATGTAAGGAGAATAATATTTTGTATTTTTATGAATATTTAATTAATATTTATATTAATTTATATAAACAAGATAATTTTTTATTTCATTTTTAATTTTTTTTATACTTTATATCTAATTGTTGAATGATAGTTTTTGAAAATTTGTATTTAGTTAACATAAGGTTAATAAATAAATTTGAATCTAATTATTATAAATCTAGATTAGACTTTAGAAATTATAGTCCATTTTCAAAATCATTTAATTAAGTAAGTTTTTATTCTTTGTAATGAATAATTGTTAATGCACATCTAAAAATAGTTTTTTCTCCTTCAATTAAAAAGATTTCAAAGACTCTGTAAAATAAATTTATTGGTAATGCAGTTGAAAACATGGTAATAAACCTAAGAATAATTAAATAAGAATAACCATTCTGTTGTAAAGTAAAATAAATCAATATTATGGCGCTTAAGTATTTTAGAAGTATTTGGATGATATTATGATATCAAATTATCAAGAATATAAAATTCTCTATAAAGAGAATTAGGATCTTTGTATTTAGCAGTTAAATTATAATGGGTCATTAATCGATAAAGAATCCAGAAGGCCTGAGAATATGGAGGATTCTTACATTTTCATCATTTGTAACCATAATGAGAGCAGCAGTTAAAAAATTTAATCCTTAACAATAACCCATATCTGGAATAGCTTCAGATAGAGCTTTTAAAACATTAACTAGAGATTCAGATAAGACTGTTTAATCCTTAAAGATTAATAATTGAAATACTTAAAAATTAACATTGTCAGGAAATGTACGATTAACATCTAATCTAATCTGATGCTCAAATTTAAATTCATTTTTTGTTAAAAAATCAGAATATTTGATCTTTTAAGTAGTATTTGTTTATTCTTTAGCTTTTTTAATATTTGCTAGAAGTGGCCAAGCTAAGATTCTTAATCCATCAGGTATTCCCTTGAATTAAATTTATGAATACTTTCCGAGTTCTTTGTTTAATTAATTGACTATTTTATTTATCAAATTCATTTATCATTTATCTCCATTTTTCGACTCTTGCATTTAAGGTTTTTCTATCCTTTTAATGTTAACAATTTATTTATGATTTGAAGCCATATTAATCAGTTTGCTGAATCTAATAAGAATATTAGACTTATGAATGAGCTTCATTTTATTTTGTAGCACAAAAATCAGGTGTCTATAAGATCTATAAGGGTTCAGATTAATAATCAAAATCACAATCAATTTAATCTTCCTCTTCTTTCTAAATACACTATCTAAATTATGTTGATCTCATTATATAATTAAATGATTATACTATCAATTATTTTAGCAATTGCACATTCTCAATAAATAAAACCAACTGATTATGCATTCTCTTTAATTTAAGGTATTACATACATTTCTATATATAGTATAGTCATTAATACATTATGATTTGAAAGTAAATTAAAATGCAATACTCTATACTTATCCCAGAGGTACAATTTATAAAAGCAACATCTAAACTAATAATTCAAATCTATTGTGTAGTGTCTAACATGATACAATAACATTGACAAATAATATCACTAAATAGATTACATCAAAAGATAAAATGGAAAAAGAAAATGATTAAATCATTAATGCATTTCTTCTTAACAAATAATTAGGATTAGTAACAGAATAAAATTACTTTATTTAATTTAATTTAGAGACACTTGAAATAATTCAAAAGTATCAGCTATCTGAATTTTTTGCAGCTAAATAATAATTTAAAAAAGGAGTGTTCAGTCCAGAACTTAATATGACTTTTCTATTCTATTAGAATATCCTACTCATTTAGAATGATTAAGGAATAATTACGTCCTAAATTATTTAAGAAATGACTATTACTAAAATATTATGTAGTTTGGGATACATATTCATTTCAACAAATGATGGATTCTTAGTTTATTGGATAGATGTTGAAAATCAAATAATTTTATTAAGAAGCACTATTGATAAAAATGAAAATATTATTGATATTCAATTAAGTACTAAAGGAGAATATATATTTTTATTAAAAAAAGATGGAATTCATATTTATAGAGTACTTTTTGATAGTTAGAAATGGATTTAAATTTTACCATACTCTATATTATCTTTCATACCTATTGAATCTTCATTTGCATTTAATTAAAATAATGATTAGAGTTTTGTTGTCCTCATAAAACCTTAAAAGTAGGTGATTTTTTTAGATTTAGAAATAAATTTAGTGTAAGGAATTTGGTTTGTAGTAAACACTCATAACCTTAAAATAGATGCTTAAAGCTTAGAAATAAATAACAATTATGTTATTATTAAAGGTTCTGAGACTCATAGTATAATTAGACATTCATAACCCAATATTTTTACGGTATTAAAAATTAAAATTATAATTATAGAATATTTTTAATTAATATCCATTTACTCAAGCACATGTCATTAAACTAAATTTTTATGAATCTATCGAAAAAGATATTCTATTTGGTGTAGATACAGATTCTATAACTTTCTATCGTTTAGATTAAATAGATGGTAACATATTGTGTTCAACAAATGATACAAATTTAATTGGTTAGGTATTGATTTATTTAAATTAGAATTTTGTATATTAAGTTTATTCTAATTTAAGTGATTGCGAAAAAAAGTAACAATATTCAGGAGAGATAGAAAGCAAGGATTTGATAGTATGTTAATTTAATATAGATCTTGAAATAAATGTTATTTCTGAAAATTTAAATGATTTTAGAAGATAAATTTTAATAATAATTAGTATTTGTTTAGGATTGGCATTGGTTTTAAGTATATTGGGATTGATTTGTTATAGAAGAAAAACAAGAAAGTAGCTTAATAAATATGAATAATAAATAAAATAGTATTAATAATTTTAAAGTGATCAAAATGAGAGTAATCGTACAAAACAGACAACATTAAAAGTAGAAAATAATTTTAAGATTGATGAATTTGAATAATGAATTTATTTTTTGTTTAATTAAATATTTGTTATATAGAAATAAAAATTGTATAGATAATGATTCATAATAATTCAACATTAACATCTAATCCTTTATTTTTAATAATGTTTTCAATGGACTATCTAGCCAAAGGATGATAAAACCTAATGTTTTCATTATACCAGGTTTCGGCAGTTTTTCTATATATAGAAAAGATGAGATATACTTATCTAAGGCTTTGTAAATAGGATTTATCATTTTCATTCTTCCTATTTTAGATACAAATGTTCTAATTTTTTTGAGATTAGTGAAATCGGTGGCATATTTTGTTTATATAGATAGAGTATACCATCTAAAAAGTAATTCTGCATCTAAATTATTAGTAAGATTATAGGTAGAATCTAATTATTTCATGGTGACAGGATCTAGATTTTTCTTTAAGAGGGAAGATAAAAACAATTATTTTTGATTTGATTAGAATTTATCAAAGATTTCATAACCTTAAGGTTATTCTCCAGGTCTAGATGAAGCCCAATCCTCTGCTAAATTAGTAGCTAAAAGGGAGGCATCATTAATAAATCCATATTTATAAGGAGGAGCATCTAATATGATAATTGAAAATAATTACCTGTATTATATATCCATTTTATATAGACAGAATCAATTTATTATTTAATATATAGAAAGTCTTTCATAGAAAAATTAGATTATATCCATGCAATCATAAAATTGTAGAAATCATTTTCATCAACACTCTAATACTAATTTTATTGTAACCAAGCTTATAATAATAATTAGAATTTATCTTCTGATACTAATTTTTCTAAATAGAGTAACAATTGATATCCTCTTTCATATGGTATAGTCTAATTATAAATACTAATAATTTACACTAAAACTATCATCTGCATTATGATTTTCAGTAATAGGATGTAAACTTGCATAAGACTTAATAACAGGATCATGATTAGAATTGAATTCTTTAATTAATGCATTCATTTCATCATTTCCAACTAAAGAATTAACATAAACTAAATCAATAGATTCATAATGTTATAATAATCCTTTTCTTTCTAAGAAAACACAGAAGCCTTCATTAATCCACATATTAGACCAATTATTACAAGTAACAGTATTACCAAACCAAGAATGTGCAATTTCATGAATAGCAACACTTATACCACTTTTATCTCCTACAATTATTGATGGATTAGCAAATGTTAATAATGGATTTTCCATTCCACCAAATGGAAATGAAGCAGGTAATATAACTATTTTATAGAATCCCCATTTATAATCACCAATATAATCTTCTAAATATTTTACATATTTATCTAAATGTTCTAATTCCTTTTAATAAATTTCAATATTTTTAGCTTCTGATATTACTGATGTCCTATCACTAGTCTTTCTCTCTTATACTGTACCTGCAACTATTGCAATTAAATAAGAAGGAATCTTAATTTTTAATTCAAATTAAAATATATTAGCTATTCCATTCAAATTATATTATTCCATTAAAGAAAATTTAGTATTTTCTACAGGAAGTCCACTCATAAATACATTTATTTATTAATCCTAAGTTAATACACTTGCTGAATATGTAAATTTTATGCTTGGAGTATCCTATAGAGGAATCATTGATCTACAATTATTAGCCTCACATTAAGAAAATAAATAAGGTGCCTCTATGTTATTTAATATACATTTCTACTTTTATCATCAGTCTACTCTATATTCATGAAACTTAATGCTCTAGCTTACTCTCCTATTTAGTACTTTATTCTTAATTTAAATATGTCTCCATATCTGAATGATTATCCTAACTCTATTATTAACTTATCTCCTTATATTAAACTCTATTTTGGATCAGATTCTACATGCCAATCTAGCACTTTCCCAAAATTTGGATAATATGCATACTTTATATCCATCTAATAAATATCCAAATGAACCTCATACTCTATAATTAATATACTTCTTTCAATTCTGCTGTTGTTACTCTAAATGTATATTCAGCTGATCCATCTATAATCTTTTAATTTAGATTTAATAGCCATTCAATATGTAAATGTTACATCTATACTTCTCTGTAATTTGAAAATGTATTCTTATCTATATCTACTCCCATTACACAACCACATAGCAATAATGTAATAATATAGAATTTCATATTCAATTTAATTTATTTATATCAATCAATTCAATTTCTATCTATCTATTTATTCATACTTTCTTTATCCCTTTACTACTATCTCAACTAAACTTTCTCTCAATTACTCTCGTTTATACGTATATCTAATTCATATCTTTATTAACAAAATTGTGTACCTCTATTTAAGAATTTCTCAACGCTTATATCACAGTTTTGGACTTAAATAAATATCAATATTATCTGAAAAACTTCAATAAATTCTTTATAAAAACAATCTAAAAATTATTATTTAATAATTTATTAAGCGAATAAACCGATTTCAAATTGCCAATATTTTAACTATTACTGTTGTGTGTATTTATTTTAAATTAATTAATGCTAAATACATTTTATGTACAATAACCATTCTTCTATCCTTTTGGATACCAATATTTGATACCAGTTGCACTAAATAATAATTAGATTATTAATCCTACAATTTAGGTTATGCAAAATCTTTATTAAACAAATAATATATCATCCACTTAGAACTTAACATCAGAACAACAAAAACAAAAAACCATCTCTGAAACCGAAAGCGAATTAGATTCTGATAGTAACAATGAAGAAATGAGACACACTTCTACATATTCTAAATCAAATTAGCTTAAAAAAAGTAAAAAAATTTAGAAAGCAAACTTTTTGGTTAAATCGACTAATATCTAGAAGAATTATGCTAAAGCTATAGTATGTTATGCTTGTCGTTAACGTTCGATAGTATTTAAGAGATTAGGAGATGATCGTGGATAGGAATTTCTAAAATTAATGAATTGTCTCAAAAATAAGCTGAGGAATATTGGACACATTACAAGATTTACTCATTTTGAAGATTTTATATAATTATTTAGAATTTTAGGGTATGTTAAGTTTAAATAATTTTAGAAACAATTTCATGAAAAAAGACTCAGTTAGTTATATATACAATTCCAAGATTTAATAAAAGAGTTGTCATTTGTCAAACATGGCCTTTATTAGAAACTCTCTATTAAAATATTGATATCTCTAAATGAATTTCAATAGTATTTTATTAATATTTAATTAAATAATGAATAGAATTAATACAAGTATGTTTGGGTATATTAATAAGTATTATATAAATATAAATAAAATATAATGAATTCGGATGAAGTAAAAAGTCAGATATAAGATTTAATGGCTAAGTTGAGATAATTGAAAGAGAAGATTTCAAACTTAGATATTCCTGAATTAGGAAATCAAGCAAGTTATAATAAAAATACAGATATGATTGAAAATTCAAAATAACAGCTGCATCACATAATTACTTAATATTTTAAAGATATTTAAAATATATACATTTACTTGAGTCGATTTTATCCGACGACAGCATTGAAATGTAAGAGTTATTGTATATATAGAAAGAATATATGAAGTAGGAAATAGAGAGTATCTTCGCCTAATTATCAGAATACAAGAAGAAAATGAATGATAAATAATTTTCTTAGATAGATTATGAAGAATTTTAGGCAGCAAATTATTCTGCAAAGAAGGAGGATATCTTATAGGAATGTATGTAAATTTAAAGTGAAAGTTATCCAAATCATACAAGTGAATGTATGCCAAATATAAAAATTCAAAATAGAATAACAGAAAGTTTATATTTTGGTTTAAATTAATATGCTTCAGTATATTGGCCAAGTAAGAAAGGATAGACGGCAAGTTTTTTGATAAATAAAGGAAATTATTTTATAGAAAGTTAAATGTAAATAAGTTAATAATTTTCAGATGCATACCATATGCTTAAGATAATAAATTATATGGATATGATTATTCTTCATAAAAGATTTATGAGACATAATTAAATGAATAGATTGCAGATCATAGTTCAATGTTAAATTTGCCAAATGGTAATTTATTCATAAGTGGAGGAGTAAATGCATAAGGTTAGATATTAGGAGAATGCAAATTGATTGATATATCAAAGGGAAGTATTTAAAAGATACCTGAGATGTTGGTTAAAAGAGTGGGACATACATTGGTATATATATAACCAAATACATTTTGGTCAGAAGCACCAAAAGGTTATATTTATGCAATAGGAGGAAGAACACACAATAATTTTAGAACTAGATTATGTGAGAGATTCAATCTAGAAACGTAATAATGGGAAGAAATAGAAAAATTAAATGAAGCTAGATCAAGATCAGCATGTGCTTATTGTGAAGAAATGCATAGTATATTTGTCTTTTTTGGAACTTCAAGTTAATAACTTAATGTTGTTAGTGCTGAAAGATACGATTTATTATCAAAAAAGTGGGAAAGATTAATTATTAATAATCAATTAGAAGGATTTGATGTAAGTTGGGGAAATGCTATCTGTATTAATGAAGATTAAATATTAATATTTGGAGGACTTAAAGATAGTTAATATTTTGAAAACAATCTTTATTTTAGTAAGAAGATATTAGTTTATAATATCTAAAATGAAAGGTATATTATATTTGATAATAATTAAAAAGTATTACAGTAAATGATAGTCAATTACCTGTAGATTTATTACCTTTGACTTCAGTTATCCATTAAAATAAAGTATATACTGTTGGTAAGTATATGAGTTGTGTTCAATTACCTCCTTATTAAAGTTTAGGAGAAGGAGCATTTCTAGTAGAAATTGGGGAAGTCAATTCTATCTGTTGCTTTTTTGGATGATCATAAATAATATATATATATATATAATATTAATTATAGATTATGCACGAATAATACGAGTTATATTATACAACTTACAATCAAGAGAGAGATAGAATTAGGGTAATGATAGAGTTTTTATTATTTTAGAAATTTTACACCAGTCTAAAATCTGAAGAATCTAATAGATTGTTAAAGAGTTAATCTCTTAATCAATCATTGAAGAAAGCTGAAGGATACAAAAATGATAAAAAGATGTAGATCAAATAAAAAGCACATAAATTCAATATTAAAGCTAAAATCATTTAAAGAAAAAATAATTAAATGTAGGAGCATCAATTTCTAGGAATTATTAAATAAAAAAATGAATTAGTCAAAAAAGAGATTGAGCTGTAAGATATAATCTTTATATAGAGAACATCGTCTTAATATATTGAATGCAGAATAAACTGAATAGATTAGACAAAATCAAATCTATAAATCTATGAAACATAAAATCTATTTAGAAAGAGTAGAACAACATTAATTAGTAATCTATTCATTATATTCTAGAAAATTGAGTAAGAACATTAACAATTACTAGAATAAATGAATAATAAATTCTAAAAAGTTGAAGAATATATTCAAATCTCTCGAGAATCTTAAAAATAAAAATTTAGAAGTCTTAGTTAAAAATATCTGACTTATAAATAAAAGGCTGAAAATCTTATACTAGAAAAAACTGAAAACACGTTTCAAGAAGCTTTAGATAACATGTCTAAAAGAGAATAAGTTTATGTATATATTTAATCTAATCTAAAGGAAAAATATCTGGAAAATAAAGAAAAAGAAAGAAAAAAAATTGTTAAAAGAAACAAACTAGAATTAGTTAAGTTTAAACGCAATAAAAAAAAACAAGAATCTAGAGAAAAATCTTAGAAGAAAATTTAAGAAGAGGAAAGACAAAAAAGAATACATAATAAATCTACATCTATACCCAAAATCATAATCACTGAACATGATGATTAGGGTAATAATAATGTAGAAGTCGAAGTTTATGAAGTACCATATTCTGAAGAATAAACTCAGACATATGACGAGAAGAAAACTTCTTCAAAAAAGAATTTGAAAGAAGAATAATCCATGTGTACAAATATTAATGAATCATCAATGTAAGTGACTCTTCCTGAAACAAAAAATATAGAATCTCCAAATTATAAGAAACCTAGACGAAAATCAGAAAAAGAAAGATAATATTAAATTTTGATGTATTAGTTTTATATAATGTTTTAGGAAATTAAGGTTGAATCTCAAACAAGAAAGAGAAAAGTTAGACAGAGAATTAAACTCATTTTTTATTAGTCAACCTATACACACAAATTGATATTAATAAATACTTATGTGATTATTTAGATAAATTCTTTTTTGGATATTTCTCATCGGTTTATGAATAAATTTGAATTAGCTCTCCAAACTCAGCAAGAATTATTAAACTACATTCTATCAACCTAATGGAAGGATGATTTAGATAAATAAGAATTAGAAGTAATATTTTAGAAAGTTTAAGTATAATAATAATCCTATTAGAATACTTGCAATATTAAATTGGATATTGACTAATTCTTTTCCAAAGAGAAATAAGAATAGTTAAAATCATATTTATATGAAAAATAATAACAAGTAAATATGGACACAATTATTTCAGATTAGAAGAATAAATAAAAGTTTACAGGAAACTTTAAATAAGTCACCATAAGTGTAATAATCTCCAACATGTGTAATAGCCTAATTACCTCCAAGATTCAAAAATAACAAAGTGTCTTACTTCTAATAGATGTAATTATAGCAATTTAAGAATTTAGTCATTATTTCAAAACTAATCTGATTGAATTGAAGAGTTGCCATTAAAAATTAAGCTAAGAGATAGAATTAAAATAATCTAGAGAAGCAATATAAAAATAAATTAACTTATTACAAATAGCGGAAAATTTTAAATTTGAACTAAATTGTTTAGAAAGTGAATTGATGTAAAATAGACTTTAATTAAATGAATAATTTGAGGTCATCAGAAAATAAATAGAAATTACTATTGAGGATGACTTGCTCCAAAATTTAGTGAGTTATTGCACAGCAATTTCAAAAGCAAATATAATATTAAAGAAGCAACTAATTATAATAAAACAAATATATTCATTTGATACAAAAGATTTGTAAATACAATAAATTTATTTTAGTTATTTGTAGATGATGGATATAGATAAAGAAAATAAACAAACTAGTTATTCTTAAGATACTGATGTTACAAGTTAATAATCACCATAAAAAAATAGCGATTAAAATAAAATAATCAACAAAAATATTAGAAATCAAGAATGTTTGTGTTCAATATTTTGATGAGATTTAAAAATGTGTATTATAAAAAATAGAAAATTAGATGATCTTTTTTTAATGTGTAATTTTAATAAAAAATGTTAAATCAAAAAAAATGTATAATGGCAAATCTTATACATTGCATGATAATCTCATATTCAATATATTTCTATTTGAAAAGTTCCAGCATACTGAATACAATAACTTTGATAATTACAACATCTATTACAATGGTATATTTAATACTTCAAATTTTATTTAATAAGTTCGTGTGTTAAGGAACTATCATTTGTCTTCAATTGGATTTAGTTTGTTTAATATTGATGAATGTTTCAAATTTATCAAGGATACCTATACCATAACTAATAATTTCACAACTTTTAACAAAAGACTTATTTCTTGAATTAAAGCAAAGTAAAACATTTCCTGTGATTATCATTCAATTAATGGTATCACTCTTTTTGATTATATATTCCTACTCATAAATTGAATATGATATAGAACACCCTTAACTTTTAATAAGCTTTTTCTTTTCATTATATTATTTTACCATATCACTTAAATCTTAATAATCTTAAGCTAGTCTATTATTTACAGAAATAAGCAATGCAAATAAATAAGATAATGTTAAATTTAATAAGAATACATCCTAATTTGACTTAGATTAAAATATTAACTCAGCGTGTCTAAGAGAAGCTACACTCTATGATTAATCTATTATTGATACAACTTATCATGGTTTGTAATACTTAAATGAAGGTTTAATCATTTTAGGAACTGAATCAGAAAATCCTCATTTTCCATATTCACTTAAATATACTAATTAAGCAACTAAAGTTATTTTCGCAAAAGAAACTGAATCTGAAATTATGCATTTTTTAGAAAATCTCATTATTTTCACAGGAAATGATTATACTGATGGATTATTTCATTTATCATAGTTTCAGAGAAGATTTTCTTATTATAGTATGAAATAGAGTGAAGTTAAAGATCAATTTACATCATAAAATAAAAATTCAATCCAAGATTCTTAATTTGATTAATTACATAAATATCAATTCAAATAAGCATTAGAAATGTTATTTAAACCTTCTAATTAAGAATTTTTGGTTGTTTAAGCTAATTTGCATTAAAAATCTTCAACAACAACTAATTAATTACTTTAGACATCATCAACTATGATTAATTCTGAAAATTATTAATTAGTTGAATTAACTTTGACATTAAATAAGAATAAAAATATTATTATAATTTGTAGAGATGTTACTCATAGATAAAAAATAAGATATTTAAGAGAATATGATAAATAAAAATCTAAAATGTTAGCATTTGTTAGTCATGAATATAGATCACCTTTAAATTGTATAATATAGATTTTAGAATGTGTTATGAATGATCAAGCAATTTAAGATAATTCAGATTTAATAGAATAATTATAAGTAGCATCAGATAATTCAAATTACATTCTTAATTTATCTAATGATTTATTAGATTTAGCCTAAATTAAAAATGGAAAATTTAGAATTGATAAGGTACCTTTTAATTTAGAAACATTGATTTAAGAATGTATGAAAATGTTTGAATTAAAGGCTAAAATGAAAAAAGTAGAATTTATATTTAATCTTGGTTCTCAAATACCAAAGATAGTATTTTCTGATAGAAGTAGAATCAAATAAATAATTATTAATTTATTAAGTAATGCATTTAAATTTACTTAAAATGGGTAGATATCAATCAATGTTTAAAAGATTAATTCTAATATGTTGAGAATAGGAGTTATGGATGAAGGTATTGGAATTTCAGATGAAGATTAAATGAAATTATTTAAAGCATTCTCAAAAGTTAATTCAGAAGAAAGCAAAAAATTAAATTAATAAGGTGTAGGTTTAGGTTTAGTAATAAGTAACCAAATAGCTTAAACAATAGGTTCTACTGGATTGTAACTTGAATCAAGCAATAAGTAGGATAATCATTATTCAAATTTTTATTTTGATTTACCTTTAGAATAACCACTTAGAAAGAAAGTATCTAGTTTTAAAATTCCAGAAATTTCACTTCAAGTTTAAGAGGTAGAGGAAATAGCAAGTTTTAAATATATACATTCTCATATTAAGGAGGATTCATCAACTTCATAAATGTGTTCACATTATTTAATTGTAGACGATGATTGTTTTAATATTTTTGCTATGAGAGGATTATTTTAATAATTAATAAAGAACAAAAAATATTTATTTTAGAATGATTTTGATGTTGATTCAGCTTTATCAGGATAGGAAAGTATTGATAAAATAAAAAATAAAAAATGTAGTAATTCCTGTTAAGGATATAAAATAGTATTTATGGATATAGAAATGCCTTTTATGAATGGTTAAGAAACTACAGAAAAGATTCTTAGCATTTATCCAAATTAAATAATTGTTGGATGTAGTGGACATTCAGACCAATAAGAATATGAAAAATCAATTAGTTGTGGAATGTCTGATTTTTTAGTTAAACCAATAAATGAAACTTAATTAATTTAAGTACTTAAAAAGTTTACTTGAATTAGAAATATGAAATTTATATATTTTTTTAATAATTCATTTATTATACTATCACAAATTTTAACTTTTAAAATTTATTCTATTATAAAATTAACAATCTTGAATATACTATCTTGTAAATATCATGAGAGTAAACAAGCTTTATTTATAGTTTGGAATCATAATTATATGATGTTTATTTGCGAAGAATGTATGAATAGTAATTTAATTGATGTAAGTACAAAAAATAATTTATTGGAAAAAATTATCAATTGAAAAAGCAATCAAAGAACCTGATTATTTTTTTCATAATTTAAATTGAATGAAATAAATAAAACTAGAATGAATGCTTTGTAAAAGAATTCTTTAGAAGAAATGAAACATTTAGTAGACATATACAAGAAATTTAATGAATTTTAGACAATAGTTGTAATAAAAGGAAGGATAGATCAATTAAATAAGATAATGGAAAAAGATGGAGCAAATTAAATAATAAAGAATGCAAATATATTTTATAAAAATGGAATTGCAATAAGAGGATTAAAATTTTTTAGTTATGGTTCAAATGATGCTTATTAAATATTAGCAGATATATATTTTAGAAAGATGATTATTTAAACAAGTTTAGAGGATTGATGATAAGTGCTTAATTATTTTTGAATTTGATTTGATTATTTATTTTTGATTATATTTTGATCAAATATCTTATTCATTATTTAAGAATGATGGTTATCCAGTTCCAGCTAATAATCTTTACCATGAAATATTTGATGGCTAAGAATATATAAATATAATTACTGTAATTCTATTGGCATAATCTCCTGAATTCATTTCATTCAATGGAATCATACAAGTTTTATTACTGACATGACCAACAGCAAAACCAGTAAAACCAGCCATAGAAGCATGAATAGAATTTTAAGCTAATTAACTACATAATTTAGAATCTAATGAATTAGCTTTACCAGCTCTAACCATATATTATGGATCAATATATTTGACTTCAGCATTCAAACCTTTTTCTCTGGTGAATTCTAGTATAGCATTTTTTAAAAATTATCCAATATCACCTTATTTAACATTTCCTGAAGCATCTCTACCTTTATCATTAATTTTGCAATCTCTTAAAGAAGATGCAGCACCTTCAGCTACTACTATTATACATGTTCCTTTATGTTATAATCTTTAATAAACATATTATAATAATCCCTTTTCTCCAAGAAGATCAAATTCAAATTCAGGAACTAAACATATATTTACACTTCTAAATGCTAATGAAGCATTCAATGCTAAAAATCCAGTATGTGCTCCCCATAATCTAACTATTCCAACTGAATATCTTTTTGAATGTGTTTCTTAATATGCTGCTTTTAAAGGATTTTAAGCTTCCTTTAATTTAATATATATTTTACTTCTATTGCTGTTTCAAATCCAAAAGATTTATCAATTATAGGAATTTCATTTTCTATACTTTTTGGTATTACTACAATACTAATTTTAAGATTTCTTTCTTTTATAATTGTATGTAAGTATTCAGCACTCTTCATACAACCCAATCCACCAATTAAATATAATTAATTTATTCCTTGTTTAGCTAATTCATCAACTATCATTTCACCATCAAATTTTGATCTAGCTGTTCCCAAAAAACAACCACCTTAATGATGAATAGTTTTAACCAATTTTGGATCTAATTTTATCCAATCATTATTATAAATTCCATTATATCCATATTTAGCACCATAAATATTTTATACTTTGTAATTGTAAAACAAACACATTGTTAATTCTCTAATTATTACATTTAATCCTGGTAATAATCCACCTACTACTACTATTCCTGCTTTTACTTCATCTGGACTAAATAATAAATGCTTTCTTGGACCAGATCTTAACCATCTCTTTGTTCTTGATAATAAATCATTTGGTCCAAAATTAGGGTGTTCTAAATTAATATCATAAATATTACAAAGAATATAGCAATCATGATTTACAAAAGCAGTTTCAGGCAAAAATCCTTCACCACCAAACACACTTCGATAATTTGAGTTACCAAGCATAGGATTTACATTCAAAGGTAATACTTATAGTTTTAAATCATAAGCAAGATTAGAAACTCTTTCAATCTCACAGGTAATATCTTCTAAATTTTTTAATTCTTTGACTAATTCATTTTCATTAGCATTTTTTGCCATCAACTTATTGATATTTTGTTTTTTAGTTGGTTTTTTGGGAGATTATGGAGCAGATGCTGCAGCTGACATACTTTCTTCAAAAACATGTCTAGTAGTATCTGTAGAAGCTTTTCTTAAGGCATTAAAAGCAGCAGCTCCAATTGTACCCAAAGCTAATGAGGCAAGTAAATAGAATGGATTGATGGTTTGGGTAAGATTTTTTGATTCCATTAATAAATATATTATGTAGTCAATTTCATCTGAAGTACTAAAAGCAGGAGTAACGAAATCAAATATTCGTTCTAATGTAACAGCAAAGAGGTTAAATTGAGTATATATTAATAGACCAAATCAATTAGGTGGAGGAAGAACATAGTTAGGTCCACCTTAAACAGGAAAAGACACATAATAATCTTCATAAGATAATGTGATAGTTAAGTATAAGGATAATATAGTAACACCTAAAGAGTAAAATAATTATATGAAAATTAGATTGATTACTAAGAGGTTTTTGTAATTGGCTGAATCGTAAAATAGAGAAGAAGAATAGAAACTTAAATAATTATAGAAACCGACAGATACAAAAGTTAGTGCCAGTGTTATGGATAGTAATATGAAATCATTCCATTAGAGTGCAGTACTATTTATATTATATTACAGGATAAATCATCCAATTCAGATCTGAAAGTTTCAACTTCTAATAATCCAGAAAGAAGTAGTTTTATGGAATCTAAGCAATCAGATACATATTCGGATTCAGATTCTAAAAGAGATCAATCAGAACAATAAGAAAAAAAGCCTAAACAAAAAAAAGGTTTAAAAGAAGAAGATTTAGAAGAGAATATCCCAATTAATTTGAGTGAAACACCTACATAATGTTTAATGTTTATGTAAATAAATATATAAATACTCTTATTAGACCATCATCATATGTAAATAGTGAGGATGGCAAAAAAACAGGTCAAATTTAAAGGACTTAAAAATATGAATAATTCATAGTGGAGAAAATTGGAAGCGACAATTTTACAAAGAGATTTGCTTAAACATTTAATTACATATAAAAACATAAACCTTAATAATGTAACAAAATAGAGAAGAATGATACAGGAGCATTTACAGCAGTATGGGATTTGTATGATGCATCAATTACAGATTAATTGAATGAATTTGAAATATTACAAGAAGAAATCAAAACGAGTATAGAGAATGAGTACAAGCAATTGAATAAAAATCCTTATTTCTTATTACCAACAGAATTAGAAGCAATTAAAATACATGCAGAAAGACCAGTTTTAGGTAAAGAGACTTCTGAAAAATCATAAAGTAAAACTAGAAGTGGAATAGCTACTAATACTAAATAATAACCAATAAATAATTTGAGTGGTGGATTAACTGGATAAGGTGGTGATGAAAGAATTTAAGATAGTTCTTCTAGTCATACAGGAACCAAAGGAGCAATTAATATGGGATCTTAATAAGTTAATATTTAACAATAAGTTACTAAAAGTCATGGAAAAACTAGTAATCCATTACCTGAATAATAATAAAAATAATATGAATAAAAATAAGATGAATAAGATTTAAAAGAAGAAGAATATATGAAATTATATGTCTAGAAAACTAATTCATAAATAAGTGAATAAGAATAAATTATTTATCAAAGTTAATAAGTACAAACAAGTTTGAAATATGTTGAAAGAATTCTTAATTAGAATTTATATCATAAACAATATATTCAATATAGGAATTATCCTGAAGTTAAATTTGAAAAAATGACACTCAATGAAGATCCAAAATAAAGGGGAGGAGCTTTTAAAAGAAATTTCCCAAATAAAATAGAAGATGAAGGAATTGTAGAGAAAAAATAATAAGATCCAATAACTTAATTATTTTCATATAAATGTTAATTAAGTGAATAATGTAAAGTTACAAGTGCAGATTGGAACCCTGTTAATAAAGATTTACTTGCTGTTTCATATTCAAATAGAGAAACTTCTGATGGTCATATAATGTTTTGGACATTAAAGAATCCCACATTTCCTGAACGTATTATTACCTATCCATCTAAATTTAATTGTTGTAAATTTTCAGAAAGTTAACCTAATCTTATTGCTGCAGGAACTGTTGATGGTATTGTAGCTGTTTGGGATATTAGAAGAAAATCTAATAAACCTATAACTGAAAATAAAGAAATGGCAGGAAAACATAGTGATTCTGTATGGGAAGTCTAATGGATTGGAAAAGGAGCAAAAGGTACTGATAAAGGAGAATCACTTGTTAGTATTAGTAGTGATAGTAGAATTGTAGAATGGTCTATGAAAAAAGGATTAGAATATACTAATTTAATGAATCTTAAAAGAGTTGTATAATCATCTTAAAAAGAAAACTTATAAGAAGGTGTTAATTTTAGAATGTCAGCTGGATTCTCCTTTGATTTCTTACAAAGAGAATCAGCTATGTATTTGGCTGCTACTGAAGATGGTACCATTCATAGATGTTCAAAATCATATACTGAATAATATTTAGATAATTATTTTGGACATTCTGGACCTGTCTATAAGGTTAGATGTAATCCTTTTTTTGGAGATATCTTTTTAACTTGTAGTGCTGATTGGTCATGCAAATTATGGAATTGGACAGAGGAACTTCCTAAAGCCAATTTCTAAGTATTTAAGTATTAAAAATATTAAAGCAATAAAATTTGAAGGATGAAGTTTTAGATTTTGAATGGTCTCCTCATACTTCTGTTTTATTTGCATCAGTTTGTAAAGATGGAAGATTGGAATTATGGGATTTGACAAAAAACAATATGTTAGATCCATATTTTACCATAATGCCTTAAGAATAAGAAAATTGGCCAGCTAAAACAATGGTTAGATTTGCTCACAATAGTCCAGTGCTTATTACTGGTGATGCTCGAGGTGATATCAATGCTTATAGACTCTATGGTAAATTTATTTATTAAATTTGAAAGGCTATGAAGATAACGATCCATTATAAGAAGAGGAAAAATTAAGAAAACTTTTGTATCCTACAGGATATTCTAAAGGATAAAAGGAATAAAAGGATTGATTGAATTAATTAGTATATAAATTAGTGTAACTTCATTTGAATAATTGATTTCGCATATTTTTTTCTGTTAAGCAATTTTTCTATTTTTAGATTCATTTATCATTATCAAAAAATGCTTTATAATCTTTTGATGATCTTATTGAAATATTTAAAGAAGTTTTGGCTACAAAATTTTGTTTAATTTTTAAATATTTTTTATTGTTTCTAAAAACCAAGATGTAATTTATATTCATTTAAGAAATTATCATAAAGTCTTAGTAATTACAGATGATTAATTTTACTAGACTTCTTTTACTACGATTCTGACTTCTTATTCATTCTCCCTCTTCTTAAAAATTTAAAATAAAGTTATCCTTCGATTTTGATTGAAATTCATTTTAAATCATAATTATATTAAAATGCGTCCAATTAAATTAGGTTTAAGATTAACATTCTTGCTCATCTTTAATTGGACATTACTTCTGTTTTATTTTGCATATATGACTTAAGATCAAGAATTTAATATAAAAGAGACTAAATTATTTATAAATAGCATTTTTGAACATCATATAGAAGAACCTAGTATTCCAGATTAAATTTACATTGATACTTAAATTGAAATGTCAGAGGAAGAAGAATTTCAATATGGAGAAGAATATCAAAAAGAAATCTAATTTATTGATGATTCTAAAGGAGATTTAGTAGCTGTTGGAGATGATGATATAGATGATAATTATGATTATACTATCTAAGTTATAAGAGAAATTAATCCTATCTAATAAAGTATTTTGGCTACAAATGAACCTATCCGTTAATAAACACAACTCAATATCATCAAGGATTATCATTATTGTGAATTGAATAATCTCTACGTTATCACTCATCATTAATTTCCTATTAATATAATTACAGATTATCCTAATGATAATATTATTACATTAGCCTTAGATGCTGCTGGTAAAGATCTAATGCCAAATGTTATACTAGAAAGTAATAAATTATATCATCTACCATACAATGCAACAATCTTTTTCATGTAGAACTTAAATTTTCATAAATATTTTGAAATAGGATCCTAATTTTTATGTAATTTCTAGGCTTATAATCATATTCCTGGGATGGAAGTATTATTTAAAAAATCTTCTCTTTACTAAATTCTATAATAAATAGAAGTACCATTACCAGAAACATTCATCATGAATAGTACATCTTCATTTACTATTACCTAGATATAAGTCAATGCTTAGATTATTTTAAGCAATATAAAAATTTAAATGAAACAGAATATATTGTAAAAAATCATATTAAACGACAAATTTCATAATAAATTCTTGAACATAATATAATTCGTAGAAAATATTAGGATGGCAAGAATTGTGGAATTGTGATTGATGATTTGGTCATCTAAAAGAGAGTTGAAAATAGATAAAAGAGATTCTTTGCAATTCTATTAATTAGTTTTGTTGATCCATTCTAATATTAGATATTCGATGGTTTTTATTACAAGATATAAAAAGTAAATTAATTTTGAATTAGGGTATTCCAATAGATCATCAAAGATATAATGAAACAATTAGTAAAATGATCACTGATTAAGTTGAATAGTTTATTCATAAAATACCAATCCTAAGAGATAATAGATTCTTTTCACTCTTAAGAATGGAATTTATAGAAGCAGATTAAATTTATCTTATGTCGATAAGTAACATAAAATACTCATTTAGGTCCTAATATTGATAAAGATACATAGATAAAAGAATATATGACAAGTCTTGTTGTTTCTACCTTGTAATTGATTAATTTCCAATAAATCCAAAGGTTATCCTTGTATCAAATTGAAAATCATTATCAATATTGAATATTAGTTAACTGATTATTTAAATTAAACAAAATGGACAAATTACCAATTGGATATATCAAAGGAAAGGGAAATGTATTCAATTGTTCTTACATCTATAGCCATTAGATAAGAAGGTTCCAAAAAATAAAAAATACGATTATGTTAAGCAAACTCTAAATACTGGACCAACAGTTCGAGACATTGAAGTTATTAGCAATTCTACAATAGCAAAAAAGAGATCTGAGATTTTTAAAAGAATCAAATGTTCTACAGTATTGAAACTTATTAGTGTACATTATTATTTAAATTATAGGAAGAACCTGCATAAGAATCAATACATAATATAATTGATCAATAAGAATAAGATTAATTGAAATAATTTGATGCTTAAAGTCAATATAGTTAAAAAACAAGATTTACAGAAGTCTCATAAGTTTCTGCAATTACTTATGCAACTGAATAACTTGGTCTCACTGATTAATCTGAATTTCTCCTTATTGATTTAAGAGATCAAGATGATTATTAATTGTATCACATAAAAGAGGCAATCAATTTCCCTGCTCCATAACTTAGATAAGACAAACTTACTTAATAAATTTTTAGATTTGTAATATCTTTATCATAAACTTTATTCATAGAAAAATTAAGAAGGTAAATTAATCATCATTTATCATTTTGATGAAAAAAATGGTATACCTTCTGCAACACTATTTGCAGAAAAAGGCTTTGAGAATGTTTATCTTCTTAGTGGAGGAATAGAAAAATTTCTTTAAAATCATCCTGAAGGTGTCATTGGAACTAAAGTACCTTATTTTCCAAAACCAGAATGTAATCTATATTATATATAAGTTAATCAGAAAATCCTAATAAAATTATCAAAAGGTCCAATTATAAAGAAAGCGAATCTTAAATAAATAAATCAGAAAAAGCTATTAGTGATACAAAATCATAAATTAGTTAAAAATCAAAAATAACTCGATAATCAAGTACTTAAAAATAACAACAATAATAATAGCAATAGAATTCATAATTCATAGAAAAATGATTTTATTAATAAATTAATTATGTAGTAATTATAGGAATCTCATTCTCAATCAGATTTCAAGCTTCCATCTATAGATATTCATACTACTCATAGACTTCCTATAAAAATGAATCCTAGTTATAGATTAAAATATACTAACCCTATACGAGTTCAATACCTAAGATTTTTAGATCGAAGAAGTTTGGATGAAAAATTAAATGAACCATTTTGCTTAGAAAAATTTGCTAAAATTAACAATTACTCTTATGAAAAGAGTTATGAATAGTAAGACAATCTATCTTAAAATTTTAAGTGAATTAAAATGTAGAAAACCATAAAAAAAAGCATAACCACAACAAAAATAAGAATATCGTAAACCAAATATGAGATATTTCAATCCTGAAGACTCAGAGATACGTCAAGATGATATGGATTTAATCTTAAATCCAAAGGCAAATAAACCTGTAACTTCTAATAGCAAAGTCTTTATTTCAGAATGAATTTGTTACTAAAAAAATTAAATTTTATTCATTTTAATTTCATTTTGGTATATCAAGGATGTTTAATGTCATTGTTGACTATTCTTCAAACTATCATTCTCCATAACTATACGTATAACTTGCATAAAAATTGAATTATTGTTGTATATGTAATATATATTTATTCAAATTAATCATGTTCTAAGAATATTAATCGAATTCAATTAATGATAAGCTTAGATAAAACTTTAATTTTGAAGATTAATTAGTAAAAATTAATTTATAATTAATAAATTTCTAAGCTAGTCTTATAATTAATTTTCATTACTAAATTGTTTTTGTTAGCCTTGTAAGTAATTAAAAGCTATTATTAGGATGGCTATTTCAAAATCATATTCTAAAATGAAATGTATCTAAATAGAAAATATCAAAACATTATGCCAATTATTTTGAAGGTGTTTAAATTCTCTCCCAATACTTAAATACTCTATAATTATCTAATACAACTAATTTAGATTAAGGAGGAAAGGTACAATTCTCAGACATTAATCAATTGATAGATGTTAGATACAATGATAAAAGGAATGTAGATTATGGATTGAAGATGATGAAGATATAGGATATTAATTAATAAAAAGGGATTGAAAATGAGAAACGAATATTTTTAATTAAAATCCGTTTTTTAGTTATATTATTTATATTGTCAATGAGAAGGGAAATATTCAATAATAAAAATGAAATTGATTGCAACATTATTGGTTGTGTTAGTATGCGTAAGTGCAGCTCCAAGAAATCCATTTGATTATTCAAAGAAGAGATCTTTGACAGCAGTCATGGCTGAAGTTGAAGCAAAATTAAACAACAAATCACCACTCGATGCTATATTGAATGTCTTAAGAGATTTCAGAGATGCAGTAAACACAGAATAAGTTAATCATGATGAAATTTACAACACATAATAAGCTGAATGTGCTTCTGAAAATGAATTCAGATCTAGATAAGTTTAAGATGCTTAAACAGTATTAAGAGATTCTACTGCTGCTTTGAATGTCTGCAACACATCTAAGATTAGAACAACCAACATCTAAGAAGTCAATTAATAATAATATTAATCAGCTTAAGAACATATGGCTACAGTCTTGAACACTGCTGAAACTGAAGCTGGATATTTCAAGAGAAGAGGAAGAGATTATGAAGATGCTCTCCATGCTATTGATGAAGCTTAAGATATCTTAGCTACAATTTATAGTGGATCTGGATCATTTGCTGAAATCAGTAGAGTTTCAAAGAGTATGCTTTAAACTGCATTCAACATCAAGGAAACAGCTAAATTTGCACCAATCTTCTATGCCTTTGCTTAATTAGCTGCATAAGAAGGATAACTTGATGAATCAGCTCTTGAAAGAGTTGCTTAACTTTTAGATACCTTGAGATCAAATATCTAAGAAGCTTATAATGATTACACTACCTCAAATGCTGCTTCAGTTGCTGCTTTCAATGACTAAAAGGAAAGATTAGGATAAACCATTGCCAGACTTGAAGCTTAAAATGAAAGACTCTAAAATAAGTTAACCAACTTAGTTTAATGCATTGGAACTCAATCTGCTATTGCTTAAACCGCCTCTGGTAAACTCTAAAGAAACTAATAACTTTGGGATTAAGCCTAAACCTTATGTTCAACCTTTGCCAATGAATACAATTATGCCACTTAAGCCAGAAGAAACGAACTCTAATTAGTTGCTTAATTAGAAGAGATGGTTGCTGAAAGATTCGACTAAGTTGAAGATGAAAATCACGAAAGAAACCAAAGACTCGCTTCATAAGTTGATTATTGATTTTATCAACCATAAAAATATTTTAAACAAATATCAATTTTATTATCTATATATTATAATTATTTATTTTATATATATTTTTAATTATGCTATAGATTCTATTCAAATTATTTAATTATTATTTTCATTTTAATACTTTATTGTCAGTCGATATTCAAACTTATTTATTTCATATCATTAATGATATCGATTATAAAACAAATCATATAGCTATTGAAACACTTTAAGATATTATTATTTATAAATAGAATTTAGAATTAAATAATAATCTACTATTCAAATTATTTGCTATCAAATTATTATAAAACCAAATAAATCTTTTTTTTTATTTATCACTAATCAAACTAGGTAGTTAAATATGGAGTTAATTTAAACAAATTTTTATATAATTTTAAATAGAGAGATTTACAAAGATTTTATTAATATTCTCTTTAACAGAAAATATTTAAAAATCAATTCATTTACTTACATTAGGCAAATTAAGCTAAAATAGACTGATTATAATAAATAATTAGACTTAAAAATAATATTTTAATTCAATTTTAATTAAAATATAATTTCAAGCTAAACCAAAAATCAATTTTTCAATCTTTAATTTGAATTCAATTTCAATTTAAACACTTATTAATGATATTCAAATCAAAAAATCTGAAATAAGATTAATAATGAACAAATTTCATCATTGTAAAAATGATACTAATTTACTATTATGTTCAAAAAAGATAAAAAAATTTTTCATTTGAAGAACTATGAAGAAGTTATTTAATATTCTTAAATGTTATTAATCCTACTTTAAAACATACATAAACAAATTTTATAATGGTTAAAAAATCCAAAAATAATTTAATATAAAATATTCAAAATTATTTTTTCATTAAATCATAATATACATTTGGGTTTGCAAATAATAATGAATGTTTGAATATAAATATTTAATACAAATTCTTTTATTTTGAAGAATCTATAATTAAAATTTGATTCTAGAAAATTATTTACTTTTGTATTAGCTTCAAAATAAATCAAAATAAATAAATAAAAATTAAATGAACAATGTATTTTGTAAACACCATCCAGATAATCAAATTATATTTATAATTTGGAATTCAACAACACTTAAGCTTGCTTGTGATGAATGCATGGGAACAAATTTAATTGAAGGAAATGCTCAAGAAGAAAAATGGAAAAAATTGGCTATAAGAAAGGCTCTAAAAGAACCTGATTATTTCTTATCTTAATTTAAGTTAAATCAAAAAAATAAAGTGATAATGCTTGCCCTTGAAAAATATCCTCATGTTTAGCTTTTGGAGGTTGTTGATAAAATAGAGTAATAAATTAAATAAATTCAAATAATATTAGATAAAATTGTAGATCAATTANGTTAAATATGGAGTTAATTTAAACAAATTTTTATATAATTTTAAATAGAGAGATTTACAAAGATTTTATTAATATTCTCTTTAACAGAAAATATTTAAAAATCAATTCATTTACTTACATTAGGCAAATTAAGCTAAAATAGACTGATTATAATAAATAATTAGACTTAAAAATAATATTTTAATTCAATTTTAATTAAAATATAATTTCAAGCTAAACCAAAAATCAATTTTTCAATCTTTAATTTGAATTCAATTTCAATTTAAACACTTATTAATGATATTCAAATCAAAAAATCTGAAATAAGATTAATAATGAACAAATTTCATCATTGTAAAAATGATACTAATTTACTATTATGTTCAAAAAAGATAAAAAAATTTTTCATTTGAAGAACTATGAAGAAGTTATTTAATATTCTTAAATGTTATTAATCCTACTTTAAAACATACATAAACAAATTTTATAATGGTTAAAAAATCCAAAAATAATTTAATATAAAATATTCAAAATTATTTTTTCATTAAATCATAATATACATTTGGGTTTGCAAATAATAATGAATGTTTGAATATAAATATTTAATACAAATTCTTTTATTTTGAAGAATCTATAATTAAAATTTGATTCTAGAAAATTATTTACTTTTGTATTAGCTTCAAAATAAATCAAAATAAATAAATAAAAATTAAATGAACAATGTATTTTGTAAACACCATCCAGATAATCAAATTATATTTATAATTTGGAATTCAACAACACTTAAGCTTGCTTGTGATGAATGCATGGGAACAAATTTAATTGAAGGAAATGCTCAAGAAGAAAAATGGAAAAAATTGGCTATAAGAAAGGCTCTAAAAGAACCTGATTATTTCTTATCTTAATTTAAGTTAAATCAAAAAAATAAAGTGATAATGCTTGCCCTTGAAAAATATCCTCATGTTTAGCTTTTGGAGGTTGTTGATAAAATAGAGTAATAAATTAAATAAATTCAAATAATATTAGATAAAATTGTAGATCAATTAAAGGAAGAAGCTACAAATATAAGAAATAACAAAGAAGCACTTAGAAAATAGTTTGAGAATGTATTATTATTTTAATTAAAAAGATCACACATTATTCTCAGTTAAAGGAATTAATTGAGGGGCTAAATAATTCTTATTAAAAAATAACATATGACATTTTTAATCAAGTAGAAGCCAACTTAGAAAAAATATTTATAGATCTTGAAAAAGATTCAACTTGCCTAAATTAAGAAATAGAAAAATATTCAGCAAAATCAGTTATAAATCGAAATGAATTTTATTCTGGAATAGAATCATTAAAATGCCAAATAAAATAATTATAATCTGAATTACAATTACCTCAATTTAGATCATAATATATTGTACCTCATGAATATTTTAAAGAAATTATCACTAGAATAAGTTTAAATGCAAAGTAAAATATTAAATCTTGTGATCTCATATTTAATGAATAGAAAGATAATCTGAATTCCCTTACCTTTTGGAACTGTGTTTAAAATAAAAAAAACTTATTAATGATATTTAAATCACAAAGTAGTAATATTTTTGGTGCTTACACTCCTTTAATATGGGATCCTTAATTGGAAAAACAATATGATGATTCCTTATAATCATTTTTGTTTTCTTATACACACAAAACTATTCATTAATATTTGAATAGATGTAAATATTCAACTCGTCATTGCACATGTAAATAGGCATGCAAACCTTCTGATCGTTATGAAGCATAATTTTCAACGTAAGTTAAAGGTCCTTGTTTTAATTCTGATATATTAATTGATGGGGATTTTTAAAAAGGTTACTCAAATTTAGGAACTGCATATTCTATAGAATAATTTCATTATCCAAGCAATCATTTATTTGGATCATAATCTCCAAATATTATTGAATGTCGAATATTTGAAATTAATTTTGAATGAATTTATATCATTTTATTTTAAAAATAAAAAAAACATTCAGAGTAGTGAATTATTAGGTTTTTTCTTCATATAATCTGAAAATTTTAGTTATTATAAATATTCATGTAAAAAGGAAATTCTAGTTAAACTTCTGTTTTTTTAGAGCAATTAAATATCACATTAAAACAGGTTGATTGTTATTTTTTCTTTATTCTTTAATTACTTTTTGGCTTCTTTAATATGTAAAGAATCAACAAATCAATAAAAGAAGAAAAAATTGGCTTTTAGAAAGTTTATTTATCATCTTAATTTTAATTAGATCAAAAAATAAAAATATAAAAATAAAGAATTTTCTAAAAAATTTTTTATGAAAGTTAGAATATAAGATAAGTTTATTTTAATTAAATATGAAAGTTAGAATATAAGATAAGTTTATTTTAATTAAAGAATCATAATAGGATTAACCTTAAAATAAAAATAAAAAAATGAATTTTAAGTTACATAAATATTTAGAACACTTTAAAGTAAAATAAGTTTAAAGTTGAAAGATAAAGTAAAAACATAATCCATGATGAATAAAAAGATTACTTGAATTTTTTTCATTTTGAAACATTTTTCAGAATAGAGGAAATTTATTGATGATAATTTAATTATAAACAAATAATATCTTAAGCGTTTAAAATTTCTTTAAGCTTCTGAATGTTGATGTTGTGAAATAAGCAGAAAATAAAATATAAACAATATTCTTGGATTTTTAAAAAAATTCATCAAATTTAAACTCAGAAAACAAAAGATTTCAGATATTCCTAAAATACACAGGATTAGCGTGTTGTTTCCAAGAATATAATAATTAAAGCTTTAAATAATATAATTTAAATAACTATTTACTTAATTTGAATCATCATAATCTAATAATAAATTTTAAGAACAGTTTACATAATTTGAATAATTATAGATCCAATATCTTAAGGATAATAAATTTAAAATTAGTTTGCAAAAACAGAATAATCATTGATCCAATAAACTTTAATATCAAATAAAAAAATGGTTTCTGAAGAATATTTTTAATATCTTCTCAATAAAATAGGTTTAGATCTACTGACATCATTTTCGAGAAATAAAAAGATAATCTTAATTAAATAAATTTTTGGAGCTGTGTGATGGATAAAGAAAACTTACTAATGATATTTAAATCATAAAGTGGCAATATTTTTGGCGCTTACACTCCTTTAAAGTGGATTTATGTAGATAAATACATAACTGATCCTTCATGTAATTCATTTTTATTTTCATACACTCACAAGTCTATACATTAAAATAAAAAGGATGAAATTGCATTGGATATACGGAGAGATGATGGTCCTCGTTTTAGTGTAGATTTAAATTTAGATGGTGATTTTGAAAATGGATATTGAAATTTAGGAAGTGAATACACAAAAGGATTATCATAGGATGATTCTAAAACACATTTATTTGGACAAGAAACTGCAAGTATAATCTAATGTCAAATATATTAAATAAAAATGTTAATGAATATATACAAATTGCATAGAATACAAATATAATAATATAATATTAATAATAATTCATCCTCCTAATAAGAAATTTGCTGCTTATTCTTCATCATATCCGAATCTGAGTAATGCATCCTTAGGGAATAAAAAATAATGAATTACTTTAACTTTTTATTCATCCAAACCTAATGCAACGAGATTGGCAATTTTCTCATTTTATTTATTTTTGGATGCATAATTTAATGTCCATTCTCTTATTTAATTGAATAAATAAATACTTTGCTGTTTTAATAAATAACTCTTTATTGGTTTTATATTGATTTGCTACTACAGCATCTTATGGGGAATCTATAAATGATGCTTTATGAATTACCTGGTTATGGATCACATAATAAGGCCTATAATGACAATAAAGCAGTTCGAATAGATAAGGCAGGTGACCATTCATCCTTTAAAATATCAAGACATATAGCACCAGTTTATCTTATTATTATATGTTTAAAATACGATGAGATATTAGGATGCCAAATTCGTGTATCGAATTTCATTTTAGGTGGTTTGTAAGGATAATCAGCAGTAAGTACAATATCAATTTAGAAATATCCACCTTAATAAGGAGTATCTGGTGATCCATTAATGAATCCTTTCCAATGTGTAATGTTGTTATCAACAATTAAAATAGTTATCCCATTATCTTCATTCTATTCATAAATGACAATATTATATACTTTTTTTTATCTTTATTCGAAATCTTAAATTTCTTTGTTGATTCTATTCTTTTGTACTTATTACATTAAATAATATATATATATTTTATTATATATTTGATTCAAGCATAATAATTTAAGCTACCTTTCTTTTTTGCTTGTANAACAGTTTACATAATTTGAATAATTATAGATCCAATATCTTAAGGATAATAAATTTAAAATTAGTTTGCAAAAACAGAATAATCATTGATCCAATAAACTTTAATATCAAATAAAAAAATGGTTTCTGAAGAATATTTTTAATATCTTCTCAATAAAATAGGTTTAGATCTACTGACATCATTTTCGAGAAATAAAAAGATAATCTTAATTAAATAAATTTTTGGAGCTGTGTGATGGATAAAGAAAACTTACTAATGATATTTAAATCATAAAGTGGCAATATTTTTGGCGCTTACACTCCTTTAAAGTGGATTTATGTAGATAAATACATAACTGATCCTTCATGTAATTCATTTTTATTTTCATACACTCACAAGTCTATACATTAAAATAAAAAGGATGAAATTGCATTGGATATACGGAGAGATGATGGTCCTCGTTTTAGTGTAGATTTAAATTTAGATGGTGATTTTGAAAATGGATATTGAAATTTAGGAAGTGAATACACAAAAGGATTATCATAGGATGATTCTAAAACACATTTATTTGGACAAGAAACTGCAAGTATAATCTAATGTCAAATATATTAAATAAAAATGTTAATGAATATATACAAATTGCATAGAATACAAATATAATAATATAATATTAATAATAATTCATCCTCCTAATAAGAAATTTGCTGCTTATTCTTCATCATATCCGAATCTGAGTAATGCATCCTTAGGGAATAAAAAATAATGAATTACTTTAACTTTTTATTCATCCAAACCTAATGCAACGAGATTGGCAATTTTCTCATTTTATTTATTTTTGGATGCATAATTTAATGTCCATTCTCTTATTTAATTGAATAAATAAATACTTTGCTGTTTTAATAAATAACTCTTTATTGGTTTTATATTGATTTGCTACTACAGCATCTTATGGGGAATCTATAAATGATGCTTTATGAATTACCTGGTTATGGATCACATAATAAGGCCTATAATGACAATAAAGCAGTTCGAATAGATAAGGCAGGTGACCATTCATCCTTTAAAATATCAAGACATATAGCACCAGTTTATCTTATTATTATATGTTTAAAATACGATGAGATATTAGGATGCCAAATTCGTGTATCGAATTTCATTTTAGGTGGTTTGTAAGGATAATCAGCAGTAAGTACAATATCAATTTAGAAATATCCACCTTAATAAGGAGTATCTGGTGATCCATTAATGAATCCTTTCCAATGTGTAATGTTGTTATCAACAATTAAAATAGTTATCCCATTATCTTCATTCTATTCATAAATGACAATATTATATACTTTTTTTTATCTTTATTCGAAATCTTAAATTTCTTTGTTGATTCTATTCTTTTGTACTTATTACATTAAATAATATATATATATTTTATTATATATTTGATTCAAGCATAATAATTTAAGCTACCTTTCTTTTTTGCTTGTACAACAGCAATTCCTTCAACAAAATCTTTATGTATAAGAATGTTTCTCTTCTATTTAATGCAATCATACCTCTAACTTCTTCATTAGGTAATGGGAATTCAATTTTTCTATCTAACCTTCCAGATCGTAACAAAGTAGGATCTAAAATATCAGGTCTGTTAGTTGCTGCAATAACCTAATATAATTATTATATATATATAGTACTTTAATTCTATAATTAGGACTAAATCCCACACAAGTTTATTTAATAGTTCAAGCATAGTTCTTTATACTTCTCTATCACCATTTTTATCACTATCATATCTTTTAGTTCCAATAGCATCTATTCATCAATAAATATAATAGCAGGTGCTTTTTCTTAAGCCAATTAAAATACATCCCTAACCATTTTAGCTCCATAAACATTTAAACTAATTAAGGTCCAGCTAATTTTAAAAATGTAGCTTTAGTTTAAGCCACACATGCTCTAGCCATCATTGTTTTACCAGTTCCAGGTGGTCCATACATCAGTACACCTTTAGGTGGTCTATTTAAATATAATAATATTATATTTATTACCTATTACCAATATTTTTAAATCTCTCTTTATGAACAATAGGTAAAACAATAGCTTCTCTTAATTCTTCAATTTATTTATCTAATCCATCTATATCGTTATAACCTTCTTAGGGTTTTTCATCTACTTCCATAGTTTTTACTATTTATTAATTCATTTCATAAACCTCTTGCATCATATTCAGTTGGTATTTTTTCATATAACATATATCCATCTTTATTTACTCTAATCAATTCAGCAGGTTTCAATTAAGATGCATTCAATAATCCTGTAAGTGGCAAAAAAAATTGTCTATCTTGTTGTAGTGTTAATTACCACACCTTTACCAGAAATCGTTGCATAATCTTCTGTTACAGATTAATCTTATTAATCTTTATCTATTGCTTCAATATCTAATATTTCTACAATATTTCCCACCAAGTGAGGTAACGTTGTCATATTTCCACTTCACATATTAACCATTTCATACACTCTCTTTTTGTACCATTTCATTGATCTTCATATTACTTTTTATAAATCATCTCTTTTGCTTGCAGACTTTTCAATTCAAGAATTCTCCTATTCAGTTTATTTATTTCATCTTATAATTATTCTAATGATAATCCTCGATTCTATGCTAAATAATCAGCTTCTGTTTTTACTATTCCTTTCTCTGTTTACATATTAATTCTAATTATTATTATAAAACTCTTTTATTAATATTAATCAAATCTAATTTATATAATCATGATGAACAACATTCTTTCTTTTTCTTCTACTTTTTATTTGATAAGTTTGATACCGATAGTTTTTACCCTTATTACTATTAGTTTTATTGTTATTTATTTTATTTTTTTCCTTATTATTTTTATTCTTTCTATTTTTATCCAGAAACCTTTTATGATTATGTTGATTATACTTATTATGATTGTGTTGATTATGCTTATTCTTATTATGATTATTCTTATTACGATAATAATAATTATTATTATTATTCTTATTATGATTATTCTTATTACGATAATAATAATTATTATGATTATTCTTATTATGATTATTCTTATTACGATAATAATATTTATTATGATTATTTTTATTACGATAATAATAATAATTATTGTTATTCTTATTATGATTATTTTTATTACGATAATAATATTTATTATGATTATTTTTATTACGATAATAATAATTATTATTATTATTCTTATTATGATTATTTTTATTACGATAATAATAATTATTATGATTATTCTTATTATGATTATTCTTATTACGATAATAATATTTATTATGATTATTTTTATTACGATAATAATAATAATTATTGTTATTCTTATTATGATTATTTTTATTACGATAATAATATTTATTATGATTATTTTTATTACGATAATAATAATTATTATTATTATTCTTATTATGATTATTTTTATTACGATAATAATAATTATTATGATTATTCTTATTATGATTATTCTTATTACGATAATAATATTTATTATGATTATTTTTATTACGATAATAATAATAATTATTGTTATTCTTATTATGATTATTTTTATTACGATAATAATATTTATTATGATTATTTTTATTACGATAATAATAATTATTATTATTATTCTTATTATGATTATTTTTATTACGATAATAATAATTATTATGATTATTCTTATTATGATTATTCTTATTACGATAATAATATTTATTATGATTATTTTTATTACGATAATAATAATAATTATTGTTATTCTTATTATGATTATTTTTATTACGATAATAATATTTATTATGATTATTTTTATTACGATAATAATAATTATTATTATTATTCTTATTATGATTATTTTTATTACGATAATAATATTTATTATGATTATTCTTATTATGATTATTCTTATTACGATAATAATATTTATTATGATTATTTTTATTACGATAATAATAATTATTATTATTATTCTTATTATGATTATTTTTATTACGATAATAATATTTATTATGATTATTCTTATTATGATTATTCTTATTACGATAATAATATTTATTATTATTATTCTTATTATGATTATTTTTATTACGATAATAATATTTATTATTATTATTCTTATTATGATTATTCTTATTATGATTATTCTTATTAGGATTATTCTTAATATGATAAAAATGATTATTATTATTATGGATTTTGAAGTTAAACTAATTAGAAATTTTATTCATCATTTGAATTTGTATTCACCGATATTTATGACCCATATATTTCTTATCGATTCTCACTTTTATATGATAACATACTCTTTTTATTTTTATTTATTTACTTGAAAATTTATCGATGATGCTCTATTTTACTTAGCTTCGGCACTCAATTTGATAATCAATTAAAATACTTTCATAATCGACTCTTCTTAAGAAATGGAAGTAAAATATACATCTCTTAAACTTTCAAATTTGCTCTATAATTTATTATAATAATCTTGTAATTCAATTTCAGAATTCTTATAAGGTAAATCTTTTTTCGTTCCAACCAATAAAAATTAACATTGAAATGGACATTATTCAACTAAAATTTCCATCTAAGATTATATTGATTTGAAATTAAATTATTTGTTGACATCAAAACATAATATTATTCCATCAGCATCTTTAATAATTAATTTAGGAACGTCTTATTAATACTTTTATCCGATACTCTCCCATACAGCTACATAATAGTTTTCATGTTCTATTATTTAATAATCAAATTTTAATTTTGATTCTGATTATCTTCCCACTTTTTACTTTATGTAACTAAGGATCAAAGATGTTTTTCCAACCTTTGAATCTCCAACTACAACTATTTTAACTGGAATTGCATCTGACACAATCATTTTTTTTATTTAACTTTTATTATAGAATTTCATTTTAAATTTTTGTTTAAATACGGTAGTATATATAATCATTATTTACAACTTAATCAAAAATGCAAATTATGCATCCATCCATCAATCAAACTACATTTGCGAGATTCTATATCACTATATTCATCTTTTTTTTATTATTCTAATACCAACTCTCCTTTTAAAATATTGATTTCATTTATTCTTCTTTATAAACTCCATTTATTAAATCTTCTGACTCTTATTATTATTTCTAGACTAAAATCAATTATGAATCAGTCTTTCCTAAATAATACTGAGAATATTTAATATTCTATTTCTTCATTTCAATTTTTGGATAATCTTAAAATTGAAGTATAAAAAAATATTAAAAAAGAGAAATTATGCATCTGATCAAAAATTCTGTACTTTATTTACAACATTTCAACACTTCCAAACTCGTTGTCAATTTTACTAAACTTGGAATCAAATTATTCATTATAATACATTCAGAAAACAGTAATTATTTTTCTTATTCATTAATTTAAGAATACTATTGGGTTATATAATTTGCTCTTTCACTGACGAATTTACTAAATTATTTACGATAAGCAAAGTATTAATCCTAATGAATTTATAAACTCAATTCATTTATAAGGTTTTTGCCTGTTGTCATCACTACAAGATTTGACATTGCAAATGTAAAACTGTTTTAAACAAAAACTATTGCCTAATCAATTTCAACTGAAGTCATTGTTTAGGGATAGTCCTACAAATTTTATAAATTCATATATTTACAATAAAATTCAATTTTTACTTTTCTAAATTTTTCTACTGAATAATTGAAATCACTTTAGAAAATACCATTTAAGTCCATTATTTTATCTTTATTATTGAAAGGCTTTCATTATATTTTAAAATCTTCTAATTTCTCTTTAAAATATCCATTTACAAATTCCAAGATTATTTCTTCTAACTAATGTTTAATTAATTAATTTACTTGCACAATGTCTTCATCCTAAAAAGTGCCTTTATTATTTAAAAACATCTTCTTATTCTTTTAAATTTCACCCTAAACAATGTGGCAATATCATTTGTTGAAATTAAATTGTTTGACAAATTCATACTTTTTACTTGCTTAGGTGTATGATCATTACTCCCACTTTGAAAATTATCACTTATATTTTCATAAGACCCCTCACAATAATGAAATGTTTTTCTGATGTAATTAGGATTATAAGGACTGTCAGATGTGCTTATCATTTAGTCATTATTATTAAAAATTTCTATACTCTAGCCTCTTGCTATAAAAGAAATTTATTGAGATTATCGACTGGAAACTTTTTGAGAGGATTGAAAATCAGTAGAAACAGGAACTGCCTTTGTTTTTTTCTGGTATTCTTATTAATTCAGATCTTGAGAAACTGAATATCCAATTTTTTAAAGAATGCTCTAATGATTTGTTCTTTCGCCTATGAATTTTAATTAAAAGAAATACTCTCATAGATATTTCTATTAGTTTGTTCCTAAGTCAAAGAAGAATCACAGTTGAGAATAGTTTATCCGGCAATTTTAAAGTTTGCTCTATAGGAATCAAGATGAGAATTTTATCTATCATTCTTTGTTAATATTTCATTGTTTCTAATCATAGTTCGTCTTTATTTTAGATAATCCAAATATTTAATAAATTATTCTCAGATAAACTACTTAAATATATATTGAAGTAAATGATGTCATGTAAAATCACCACTTCACTATATAAAATTGATTCATCAATTAATATTTTTTTAATAAATTTTAACTGATATGTACATTATATAAAAATCTCATTTTTAATCCAATTTAAAGTGCTCATAATTCATGTTATTAAAGATTTTAAATTATCAACATAAGGATTGACTTTATTTAAAGTGTCCATCTCCTTGAATCCAATATTGATTTTAATTATTCGTAATTATAAATTCCCGTTATCAAATATTAACAATCTCCAATTGAAAGTAAATCAATTAATTAAATAATATATTTGAATTATTAACTATTTTTAAATTAATTCTTTTTTCATTTTTTTATTAGGATTCCAATAATTAGAATAAATTTTAGTAAAGACAGTGAAGAAATGAAATCAGTAATTTTAATAAAAAGGTTATTATATTAATTGAAGTATTGAGGATTCTGTCCTGTTTGATGAGCATCTGAATATTTTGTATTATGATCTTCATTATTATAAATTCAATAAATTTGAATAAATAATAAAATAAATATAAAAAAATTACAGAAAAAATTATTAAATTAAGAAACTAATAAAATTACACTAGATAATTGTAAAGATTTTGTAATGAAATTCAATGAATGGATAGAGCAAAATTAATATCTAAAAAAGAATAGTTTTTTTTGAATAATATATTAAAGATTTATAATCTATCTTGGAAATGTCATAATATTATATAAACTATAACGAAATCCTAGTCCCTTTAATAGTTAACATTTAAAAATTTTGATTCTAATTTCTTTAAGACCTCACCTTAATTGCCAATTAAATATAGCGAAAGTTATTAAATAACTAATAGTAAAAAATGAGTAGTTAATTTAACTGATGAAAATTAAAAAAGATTTGATTGGATTTCGTTTAAATTCATATGATATTATATTATTATAAATCTAAACAATAAAATTCTTTAAAAATAGATATAATTAAGGAAACAAAAAAGGAATTTCAACCTTTAAATAAGATTATTTATATATATTATTTATATTATAATTATACTAATAATAAACACATAGAAATATTTAAAATATAAATAATTAATGAGGCCTAATCATCCATATAGTATAACATTTCCAATATGGTAATGTGAACAATGGACTGCATTAAGAGGAAGGTTAAAACTATCTGATGAATAAGTGATAATAGCAAGATGGAATAATACAATGTATTTAGATGAAGAATTAGCGTTTTTTGATTCTTAACACCGAATTAAACCATCAAAGGATAATAAGTTGTTAAAACCTCAGATTTGTTTACTTCCTTAAATATTATAGATAGTAAGAACTAATACATATACGGATGTTTTAATAGAGAATGTATCTGAGTGGTTTTTAACTAGCGGAGATCTATCAAAATTATTATTAATATATTTTGGATATGATCTATACACAGGATGTACTCCAAGAGATTGTACTTTAGAGAATATAATAAGAAATAATGATTCAATAGTAATTCTAGATTTTGGTTTGAGAAAGAGAACAGAAAAGTATTGCGTATATTGGAATCCTCTAATTCTGAAGGGAAAGCCTTGTAGATCTTCTTATTAATGGTCTTTAGGGATTATGTATTTAGTAATGACATAAGGGAATTACATTCTTAATGAAGTTTAAAAACATATAAATTAATGGTTAAAAGGAGGGAGATTGGATATTGGGTCTATGATAACAAATAAAAAGTAATCAGTCCAAAATTTAATATCTTCTCTTTTAGATCCAGAGAATCCTATTGCTTGGAATTAAATACCAAATCATCCAGCGTTTAGAGAAGATAATGCTTGCATATAAATTCTTAAAGAGTTTTAGAATAGATGTAATAAAACTGAAACAAAAGGACGATCGACATCTAGAATGAATAGTATTGATGAAAATAGCAATTAGATTAGTATTATGCCATGTCCTTATGGATTAAAGAATCCTAAAATATGTGATTAAAATATATTGAATTAATCATTGATAACCAAGGTTGNTTAACATTTAAAAATTTTGATTCTAATTTCTTTAAGACCTCACCTTAATTGCCAATTAAATATAGCGAAAGTTATTAAATAACTAATAGTAAAAAATGAGTAGTTAATTTAACTGATGAAAATTAAAAAAGATTTGATTGGATTTCGTTTAAATTCATATGATATTATATTATTATAAATCTAAACAATAAAATTCTTTAAAAATAGATATAATTAAGGAAACAAAAAAGGAATTTCAACCTTTAAATAAGATTATTTATATATATTATTTATATTATAATTATACTAATAATAAACACATAGAAATATTTAAAATATAAATAATTAATGAGGCCTAATCATCCATATAGTATAACATTTCCAATATGGTAATGTGAACAATGGACTGCATTAAGAGGAAGGTTAAAACTATCTGATGAATAAGTGATAATAGCAAGATGGAATAATACAATGTATTTAGATGAAGAATTAGCGTTTTTTGATTCTTAACACCGAATTAAACCATCAAAGGATAATAAGTTGTTAAAACCTCAGATTTGTTTACTTCCTTAAATATTATAGATAGTAAGAACTAATACATATACGGATGTTTTAATAGAGAATGTATCTGAGTGGTTTTTAACTAGCGGAGATCTATCAAAATTATTATTAATATATTTTGGATATGATCTATACACAGGATGTACTCCAAGAGATTGTACTTTAGAGAATATAATAAGAAATAATGATTCAATAGTAATTCTAGATTTTGGTTTGAGAAAGAGAACAGAAAAGTATTGCGTATATTGGAATCCTCTAATTCTGAAGGGAAAGCCTTGTAGATCTTCTTATTAATGGTCTTTAGGGATTATGTATTTAGTAATGACATAAGGGAATTACATTCTTAATGAAGTTTAAAAACATATAAATTAATGGTTAAAAGGAGGGAGATTGGATATTGGGTCTATGATAACAAATAAAAAGTAATCAGTCCAAAATTTAATATCTTCTCTTTTAGATCCAGAGAATCCTATTGCTTGGAATTAAATACCAAATCATCCAGCGTTTAGAGAAGATAATGCTTGCATATAAATTCTTAAAGAGTTTTAGAATAGATGTAATAAAACTGAAACAAAAGGACGATCGACATCTAGAATGAATAGTATTGATGAAAATAGCAATTAGATTAGTATTATGCCATGTCCTTATGGATTAAAGAATCCTAAAATATGTGATTAAAATATATTGAATTAATCATTGATAACCAAGGTTGGCAATTTGTATAAAGCACATTAAGATAAAGTAAGAAATGCTCTTTGCAATTCTTATTCATCTTTGTAAAATAGACATTCATCTACATCTTAACAAAGTAGATAAATGCAATAAACTAATAATAGTACTAATAAATTTAATAATTTCTTTAATTCAACAAAAGTTTTACATAAATCCTAAGTTAAGATACCGAACCTTGGTTTCAGAACTTTTAGAAATTAAACATAAAACAGTACTTAAAATGCTACGTCTGATTCTCATAGAAAATCTGGAGATAACACATCTGAAAATAACAATTAGGCTACAATAAAATAGGATTACTTTAATGATAAAATTAGATCTCGTGTTTCATCGATAAAAGGAGATACAATTAAGTTATAGTAAAAGCCTAGAAATGGCTCTACACATTCTATTTCATAAGAATAGCCTAAACTATAATAAAATCATTAAAAAAAAGTATCTTAGAATTAAGAAGAAGTATAATAAATATATTAACAATAAGAAATTTTGAATGAGTAATCAAAATAATAATAAATTACTAAATATTCTTATTTAGATTAATAAAATTAATAACAATTATAAATTTAATAAGCTTAATTAAAATCATAAGATTAAGATAATGAAATAAATGTTAGTAGTGCTAACAATTATATTTAATTAATTAAACGTAATAGCACATAATTGCAAATATTTTCATAAAAATACAATAGATCTTTAGAAGCTATCAATGTAATTGGGTAGACTGTTGCAAAATGTTTAACTTTTTTTAATGGATTATAAAACTTTTGGGTTATTCCTTTATTTTTAGTATTTAAACGAATGCTATAATTGAGAAAAAAGATAGAAAATTTGTTAGAGTAAAAGGTAAATTCTTTTAAACTTGATGATTGGGATGTGATCACTTGTAGTGTAGATTATGAAAATTATTTAAATAAAGTTAAAAAAGATAATTAACTTGTTCAAAGTGAATTAAGTCTATTACTTAATTCAGCTAAAGCCAAAGCTGAAAAATTAGACAAAACTAGAAGAGAAAAAGTTGAGTGGTTCTTAAATGATGATTTGAATGATAAAATAAAAGATGTATGTTATACTTATTTTCATGGGTAAATTTATAAGAATATCAAAGACAAAAAGGGAATAGACAAATCCAATTTAGAGTGGTTAAAGTTACAAATATAAGCTTAAGCTTCTCTTATCATATGTGATTTGCCTATTTTGATATGTGACAAAGAAAACTTTACTTATGAAGAGTATTTATAAACACTTGAATTAACAGATGAAGAATAAATTTCCTCATACTTAAAAAGAAATGAATTGTATCTCGAACGTAAATGAAACAAAATTCTTAGTTTAATAATCATATTCATTTATATTGAATTTAAATATTAGAGACTTCTTAAAATTTTGGTGAACTATATTTTCTTTATATTGCTTATAAGGACATAACTTTTGCTTGACACAATTATTAACAAATTTCTTTAGCTACTGGTCTAATTTAATTCTCAGTATATTATGAATGTATTTCTAAATAAGTAGGCCAGCAATTCTAAGATCTATTCAATAAATTTCAATTTGATATACTTTTTATAAATCTTTTAAACTAAATATAGAACACTGGCTGCTTGTAAACTTGGATTATATTAAATAAATTTATGATCCAACAACATTAATTCTAAGATGTATTTTCCTAATTAATATGACTTTTAATCTAATTAAATTAGTTACTAATATCTTTCATAGAATTAATGTTGATTCGTAAAACAAATTTCAAATTATAATTACATTAATATTTTACCCTCCATTTCTAATATTTCTTCTTTTGTATATGTTTTATCTGTTACATCTGAATAATAATTTAATTTTGGAGGATAGATTTCGCAATATTTAGATGCTATGAATAAAGCAGAAACACCAAGCAATTGAAATTTATTTCTGGATATTTGAACTGTCTGTAAATATGCATCAATAATATAAATAGTTAAGTATAATGTGTCTGGAACTAAATTAAATCTGTAATGCACATCTACTAACCAATCTATGAGTATTGATCTCATTTTATAATTGATTTCTATTTGTTTATCAATATAAGTATGATCAAGTGATTTGTCTTTACTTCTACAATATTTATATATGTCTTTAGCATAAAAAGACACTAATTATGGATTGTTATTATTTTTATTGTCAATTTGATCTAATTCATCAATTTTCATTCTTTGAGTTTAAGATTATGATTTACTTTATCTAAAATTAGATAAATCCTTTCCAAAACATCTCTCCCCCATACTTAGACGAGGCACTCTACTTTTTTATCCCATTTCATTTTCATCAATGTATTGCATTTAGAAAATTTGAATAAATTAATATTACAGTTAATAATTATATTATTATATGCTCTTTTATAATTTTATTACATTTAATCAACTAAAATCAAATAATCAACCATTTTAATGATAATATGAATCATGAAAAATCTATATTTCATCAACAAAATATTTGTCTGCGATAAACTCAGAAAAACTTTAAGTTTCCTGATTGAATTCTTTATGGTATTTTATTAAAAAACCGAGTATTTTTATTCCATCAAACAATCCTATATTTCCACTTCTCTTTTAATATGATTCATGTTGACATTTCGATAAATAATCAACACAGAATCGATTATTTAAAGATTCCCCATTCTAAATAAAATTCAATATCTTTTCGCTATTTGAATTAATTAATGTATTAATAGCATTTATCATAGAAACTACCAAATCATTGTTATCTTTCTTTTTTTTACATATTTTTTAATTATGCCAAAATTACATAATAGGAAATAAAGAAACATCAATCAAGGTTAGTTTCATATCATATGATTATCCAATCAATTCTTTTAATTGTTCGAAATGTTTGTCAATTTTTTTGAATCTTTTTTTTAAATGTGTTTCCAGAAGAGTTAATAAAGTTAAATATTTTTCATTTTACTTTTTCTCATAATCATTAGCTTTTGGATCCAATTAGCAACATCCAATGAATGTAATCAATGTAAAAAGAAGACTATTTCTATAATCTTATAAATATGATTTTTCATTTATCAAATTTTCTAAGATGTATCATTATTCAATAAATACCTAATGTTTATTTATACAAATTATTTTGATTATCGATCTTGAGAGCTTATTCATAAGCTTTCTTAGCTTCTTCCAATAGTTTATCTTATTTATATACATTTCCAAGTTAAAAATATGCTTCAGCGTTATTAGGATTCAATTAGATACAACGTAAGTAACTTTCAATTGCTTCATCAAAATTCAATAAATATAGATAGGCTTAACCCATCTAGATTAATAAGAATATTACAATAAAATAGACTTTTTCTAAATCTTCCTTTCCATTCTTAATATATAGATTTAAATATTTTAAGGCATCTGAATATTCCTTTTTTTCATTATGACATATTCCAATATAATAATCTAACTTTTAGGTATATTAGCTTTTTTCCAATTATGAAAAAATTTCAAATGATTCACTAAAGTTATTTAATCTAAACAATATTAATCCTAATCATAATTGAAAGAATTTTAAACCTTTTTCATATAAGTATTATTAATTAGATGGTACAATATTGAGGATTTTTTAATAAACTTCAAGAGCTAATTATTCCTTCATTGTAATTTTATATATAAGTGCTAATAAATTTAAAATTTCTATATTTAATGGGAATTTAGAATGTCCATCATTCAAGCAAATAATGGCATCATCAAATTTTTTTTATGTTTAAAGTAACTTTCCTAATTTAGAATTAAGTATACCTCTAATAATAAAAATATTTGGATCATCTTAATTTGATTAGGAATATAAATATTCATAAATTTGTGATGCTTCCTAAATTTTATCAAGTTTAATCAAAATAGAGGCTAAGAATAATTTTTAATTTAACCTTTTTTTTCCATTATTTCAAAATTTGATTATTATGCAAGGATAGAATCATAACATTTTAAGAGTTCTTCATTTTTATTTAAGTATTCTAAAATTTTGACTGGAATGATTAAATGAATATTATACCTTTTTCTTTTAACGCATCAATATCATTAGGTTAGATGGTGAGAATTTAATTAAGAGTGATGAGAGAGCCTGCTTATAATTTGAATTAAATTTAAATTTAAGCTTTTAATCTTAAGGCTTATAATAAAGAAGCATTTTTATCTAAGATTGAATTTAAGAGATCTAAAGCTTAGGTGAGCTTTTAATCTTATTACAATTAAAAAGCTATAAAATTATGATTAGATAAAACCTTCTTTGAGTTAATCTTCAACAGTAATTTATTTTAATGGAATTTGAGGTTACTTTCCTGATTTTTTTTGAATTTCTTGTTTGCAATTAAGGGCAAAATAATTTTGATTATCTAACTTTAGAATTTGATTACAGACTTCTTCTAGTTTATCATATTATTTAGATTGACGATAGATATATGCTAGATGATAAAATTATAATTTTACCTAATGCTTATACTCCATCAATATATTCTGAATCGATGTTTAATGCATTCTAAATAGTTTACAATGCATTATCATATTATTATAAATCAGATAAGGTAGTTGCTTTACTAACATAATAATGTTTATTAGTAGGTTCTTATTTAATAGCTAAATCAAAATAATGAATTGCTTCATTTTTTCTTTTTAATCTTGATAAAACATATCCTAATTATAAGTGAAAATGAAATACCTAATCCATAATTAATGTCAGGTATACCAGGATTAGATTGAAATCCTTTTTCTAGAAATCCTAAAGCTTGTTAGTAAGATTTATTTTAAATCATTATACTTGCTAGAATATAAAATATGAAATGAAACCTAATTCATTAAGAGCAAGAGCATGATTTGGTTATTTTTCAAGTGTGATTTAAAAATATTTTTAAGCAGATTCTAGATTATTTGAATCAAGTTGTATGATACCTAGAGAGTGATAAATTTAAATATGTGACCTTTAGAGTAATATGCATCGATATACTCAGGATCAATTTCTAAAATTCTTTCTAAAAGTTGTGTTGCTTAATCATACTTTTGATTTTTTATAAGATGATTTGCTAAATATTATAATATTGAAAGAACCTCTTCTATATAATTTAGTAGTTTCAGTCTAAGTTATTGATGAAGAACTTGAAGATTTTGAATGGTTACTTGTAGTTTTAATTTATTGAGTATCTTGAACATCAAGGGGCTTAGCAGATCCACAACCCATAATAAATAAATATAATAATAAACGAATATTAATTATGATTATATTGTAATGTATGATTAATCAAAGTTTTTATCATTCTAATAATGGGAATGATGGTGCAGCACAAATACCACAAGTATCACCTCCAGCAAGTCTAATATGTCCAGCTTCACCCCATGTAGATCCCCAAGAATTTCTAATCTTCCAAACTCCATCAGCTGACACACCAACAAGTACAACACCATGATTTAAATTTTTAGTACATTTAGTTAAAATACCACTTCCTATTAAAATTAATATAAATAATTACTATAGAACTACCATGGATTGGCATCAACAGCAACAGCAACTGTTCTTTATTATATTGTTTCTGCTAATTCAGCACATGTATCAATATCATAAAATCCTACAACATGTCTGTAACCTCTTTTGACAGTTGTCTTACATACTCCATCCTTAGCAGTGTATGGATAATCTTTAGCTTCAGCCAAGCCATTATCAGCAACATATTCAAAAGCAGAATCCATCCAACCACCGTTACATCCTTCATTATCATATGGTCCTGAACAATCGACTAAATCTTATTCAGATAAATCATATCTTCTATTCAATTCAATATCTGTATTTATTTCAAGTGTTCCTACTGCTGAAAATGCCCAACATGAACCACATGATCCTTAATTCTTAACTCCTGGATATTTTATGCTCTTATCTGTTGTCCAATCTACTTCTGCACCTTTATATTAGAAATTCTCATTTCCACTACTCAAATTTACTCTCTAAGGAACTCTTAAACTTAAATATGTTTAAGCAAATTCTTATTAACTCATATCAGCAAATTAATTTAATTCCAATGTGTATGTTGTCTCCTAAAAATCTCTGATATATTTAAGATTATCTGAAAACACCTTGTATCTGTACATTTCATCTCTTTAATTTGTATATCTTCTTTGATATTTCAATTTCCAATTTGCATAAAGATTTGCTGTGTCAATTTCATCAGATACTTCTTATGTGTTGTTCAAGTAAAGGCTTGCACCCAACAACATCATCAAACCAACTGTCAATAAGGTTTTCTCCATTTTAAATAAATATTCTTCAAATTCCTAAAATTTATGGCATAAATATAATTATACGATGACGTAATTATTATGAACCTAATCGCGTATAAATATTAGCTTCCTCACATTTTATAATCAGTTCAAATTCAATCTTATTTTCTTTTTATTCAATTCTGTGTAAACTTATGAATATTCTCATTCCTTACCATTATCCTTCTCTTCTCTATTTAAAAAATAAAAATTCAATATTATCATTTTACACAAAAAATAAACAAAATTATCTATCATTTCATTATATTGCTTCTGTCTAATTCCTCCATTCTCCTTTTCTCCTTCCCTTATCTCTTTCTTTTAGTTTTTATCAGATTTCAAAAATCCTTACTAATTCTACTATTCATATTTCTATCATGCAAAAATATCATTTTATTATTTTATCAAATTGAATGATAGTCAATTCTTATAATTTATTCATATATAAATCATTCTTTCAATCCAATATTCCTTTATTTAAAAGAAAATTTAGGCTTTATAAATAAAATTTACTTCTAATTATTTATCATTTTTGTAAGTTAAAAAATCTATTGATAATAAGGATGTTTCCAAAAAATTATAAAAAAGAAAAGTTAAGAAAAATAGCTATGTTAAAATATTGCAAGATGATTTTCACATTATCATTTCTTATAATTGATTTATATTTAAATATATCTTATGATTTATAATTTTTATTTAAAATCTCTTATATAAATAAACATGACGATGGCTAATTAAAAACTTTCACTTTGTTTTTTTCTTACTATAATATTGAAATATTGATTTATCAAGGCCTCAAATATTCAAATCACCGATAATTTATAACAAAATTTAAAGATTAAATTTTTCATTAAAAAATATAATTAATAAAATTCTCTTTAAATAAAATATTTTAAGTATCTTATGTAATTTAATCCTAATGTTGACATAATACTATCTTATAAAATAAATTTCCTGTTAAGATAGTTAGAAACATTCCAGAATCCAGAAATAAATTAATAAACTTTACAGTATTATTAAGCAAAGTGATCTAACATTATAAGCTATTCAGCAGAAGATTTTCTTGTAGCTAAAATTGAATATTAACGCAGCAGATAAAATTGTAAAATTCTTATATTAAATCAATTAATTATATTGAAAATAGATTTAAAAGTCATCAATTTTATTTTTGTAAAATAAACAATTATTAAAGAAATATACTTGAATTTGGAAATTATTTTTGAAATATTTTAGTTGAATAATTTTCAGAATATTGATTAAAAATTTTCGGAGAAATTATCACTTAAATTAATTTTTCAGTACTAGAAATTCATATTTAATTCAGATTTTAATGAAAATTTATTGAAATATCAAATTCTAAATTATCAAGTTTCTTAACTTAATAACTCATTAAATAGTTTACAATACTAAAAATATATATTTAATATTGATTTCTATATGGATATAAAATACTAATATTATTTATAAATGTAGTTTTTATTAATTTTGGATTTATTTTCTTTAATTTAAGAATAAATTTCTGTAAAATTGAAAAATTGATTAAAAAAAACAACTTGATGAAAAATTATAAAGTAAATTTGATTATTTTTAAATTGTAAGTATTCAAAAAAAGTAGTTTAACATTTATTCATAATATTAAAAAAAAAATAAAAAGGTTTTTAAACTCTCTAATCTCCTAATTTATAAGTAGTTTCTTGGATAAAATCTAAGATGATTAATGGCATATCTATTATAGTATATTTTAAATAAAATTTAACTTGATACTAGAAAGCATCATAAAAAAAAGAGTTAATAATATTTGATGAAATGAGAACACAAATTTAAAGAATAACTTAAAAGGATTGTAAAAAGTGTATTTTAATTAACTAAAACATAATAAGTACTGAAAGATAATATCAAGGGATCCTTCAAATTAATTGAGAATTGATATGTGATTAGAAAAACTCATATTAAAAATAATGATTATTAAAGTTCTCTTTTTAACTAATTTCAGTGTGCTTGAGATTCTTTTCCCTCATTGGTTGGCTAAGAACTAAGCATAGCAGGTTGATTTAATTTTTCTGATAATGGAAGCTTGGAGGCCGGGCATTAAAATTGATTAAATGGTAAATCAATAATATGCATAGAGGAAGGCAAACTAGGTGGTGGGCTATCGATGATAATTAGCAAAGTAACTCTTTTTGGTTTTGCTGTAGCACATCCCATATTATTGTATAATTATAAATGAATTAATATTTGTCCATTTAGATCCAAAAAGAGCATTTTTCATTGTAATGTATTCATATTTGATTTTTTGATAAAAATATTATAAATTGTCTGTTAGAATTTTACTAGATGTCTCAATTATTAAAGCCTGTATCTGCTTCATCACCTTCTAAATAAAGAAGTTCAACATCTCAATACACATAATCTAAGAGTCCTTATTATAATGAAACACAATAAGGTAATTTTATATATTATTTGAAAAGGTTCCACACATCAAAAATCTTAGTAGAGTTTAAGAAATTCCCATTATACAAGTAAATTTGAAAAGAGTATTGATATGGATATGAAATAGAGTAATAGTTTCATTAATCCTGAATTTGAGATTAAAAAATTGATGAATTTAGTTGAATTATAATAGCATGAAATAAATAATTGGAAACGTAGATATGAATAAGCAGAAGCAAGAGTATTTTATTTATTTTTTATATTTAGGGTGTGTCTTCCAATTCAGCCTAAACTTTAATGGATTATGAAAATCATTTAGATTAATTAACAAAAGAACTGAAAAGTTATATGTCTATTAATGATGATTTAAACTCTAAATTAAAAGAGAAAGATAATTAAATATCTAAACTCAATAAATAATTAGATAATTAATAATAGTAGTTGAATGATTATTAATCTTAATTAAAGTATGCGTAAAAAGAAAAAGTTAATTTAGATAAAGATGCTTCTTTACAACTTTATTAAAAAGATTAAAAATACAATCATAATTTAACAGAAATTTAATAAACACATTTTTAATAAATGTAAATGATGGATGATTAAGTTTAAAAATTACAAGATGAACTAATCAGGAGAAATTAAGCTATTGAATTTTAAAAATAAGAAATTTAATCATTAGATAAAATTATTAATGAAATGAAAACAGGTGAAAAGACTTTGATATAATCTGTAGAAGCTTATAAAATAAAATATTAAGATTTATTTGATGAGAAAAAAAAAGAAATCAATAAATAAAATTAATAGTTTGAATAAACAATTAAATAATTAGAAAAAGAATTTCTTGATGAAAAAGAATGTCTCATTCATAAAATTAGTTAAATGCAATATGAAATAGAAATGTTAAACTAATAAATTTAAGAATCTACAAGTAAAATTCATTATATTGTAAGATCTTATATCTGGATTATAAGATGAAATTCAATCTTAAGTTGAATAGAATTGCTATCTTTAAGAGTAACATCAAATTACTACTTAGGATTTAGAATAAAAGCATAAGAAATTAATTTAAGAATTTAGGATTGAATATGAACAACAAAAACATAAATTATGTTCAGAAGTTTCTAAATTAACACAATAATTAGAAAATACTTAATAACAACTTCATGAAAATTAAGAATTAAATCAAGAATTATAAATAACTTTAGACACTTTAAATAAACATAATGAAAATACATCTTAACAATTAAACAGATTATAAAATTAATTTGAATCTTTGTAAAATTAGTATGAAAATGATATATCTGAACAAAATTAAGAAATTGAACAATTAAATGATTAAATTGCATAATTAACTGAATTGTTCGAATAAAGATCAAATGAGCTTGATGATGCTAGATAGCTTAGAGGAGAATTAGCCTTAAAAAATAACGAAAATAATGTATATAATCTCATAATTATTAGCTATCAATCTAAAGGCTTTAAAATGAATTAGAATCTTATAAGTAAAAATTAATTGAAATCCAAAAATAACACCAAATTCAAGGATAAGTTAAAGATGAAATTAATAAATCTCAATTTGAATAAATGAAAAGACAAATGGAATCTTAAATAGAACTTTTAGAGACTGAAAAAAAAACAATATTATATTAATTTGATATGAAATCAAGAGAATGTGAAGAATGGAAGTAATATAATAAAAATTTGTGATACTTTTTTTTATTAAAATTACTTTTTAAAAGATTAGAATATAATAATTTAAAATTTTCTAAATTTTATTAATAAAATTTAAGCATTCGTAAAGTATTGAAAAGTTTTTATCTACAAAGAAATTACATCTCATAACATATTACCTAAATTTTAAACTTATTGAAATTGATAATTATATGCAGAAATCTTAAAACTAGCATTATTAATCATAATCGTATTAAAATAAAAGGAGAAAACCTGAAAAATTATTTTAAGAACCTCAATTAGAGACTTAATCAGATGAATCTGACACATCAATTATTGATGATAACGATCTTGAATAATAAACTCAATTTAGAGAAACATCCATAACGTTGAATCAAGATTAGTTCTAATTAGTTTGGAAATCACCTTATAGAACAGACTTTTATACTATATAATTTCCTTATCCAGGTACACGTTTTGAATATTAAAGAAATGATTTTTGATATAAGAACAGAATAAAACCTTGTTGAAAAAGCTAAAGTGACCCTATTTTATAAATTTAAGAATGGTAAAAGGACTTCTGAATGTATAGAAGAAGTATTAAAAGCAGCTGGATTTTAGAGAACTTATAATAATAGTAAATGGTTAATTTATTGGGGTAAGTTCAACTAAGAAAGATGTAGAAATCTGAATTAATATTAAAAAATTAATCACTTTCCTGGATGTTGGAGTATTGGACGTAAAGATAATTTATGGATTAATGTATCAAAAATGAAAAGAAAGTTTCCTAAAGAATATTAATTTATCCCTAACACTTATTTATTAAATACAGATTTCTAAAAGTTTGAATAAATTCAAGAAAAAGCAAATGAATAAGAATTATGGATTAAGAAACCAGTATGCTCTGCTAGAGGAATTGGTATAAAAGTTATTAACAAAACAACTAAATTATAATATAATAATAAATATTTGGTGATGGATTATATAACTAAGCCTCATCTCATAAATTCATATAAATATGATTTAAGAGTTTATGTTCTTGTAACATCTGTTGATCCATTACGAATTTATATGTATAAAGATGGATTAGCTAGATTTGCTACTGAAACATATTCGATTGAACCACAAAATTAAGATAATAAATTTATACATCTCACAAATTATTCTATAAATAAATAGTCTCCTAATTTTAATAATAATTAATTAGATTAGCAATCAAAAATATCTCATAAAGAGTATAAATCAATATTATTAAATTTGGGAATTGAACCAAAATTAATATTTAAATAAATATAGGATTTAATTATAAAAACTTTTATAGCTGTTGAACCACATTTGATGAGTTAAAATGAAAAATGTAATTTTATGATTAAATTCAGATTACTAAAATAAAGGCAATTTCTTTGAACTATTTGGTTTTGATATTCTAATAGATGAAAAATTAAAAGCTTGGCTACTAGAAGTTAATGTTAGTCCATCACTTAATACTTAGGCTGATTTAGATTTTAAAATAAAAACAAAATTGATATCAGATATGTTTCATTTATTAGGAATATAATATCATACATCTTCAATCGAAAATTCTCTACCAAAAACTAAATTAATTAGGAGAAATCTTAATGATATAAATCAAATAAATGCCTAGAATTTTAAATCTAAAGTTAATTCAGAAGATTTAGAATTAATGATACTCACTTTAGAAGAATAATTAAGATTAGGATAATTCAAATGTCTTTATCCTAATTAAAAAACTGTATCAAAATATGATTAATATTTTGAACATCCAAAATTTTAAAATAGATTAATCGAAAAATATTTCTTAGATGGATCTAATTGGATTTTATGATGAATTTTTATTATATTTAAGAATAATAATATGTTAATTATTTGGATTTAAAATTTCAATTTTAATCATCACCACGATTATTTGAATATAACTATAATAATATAATAATAGTTTAATTATAATAAGTATCAATCATAATTATACTTCTTCTAATGAAATACTTATTTCTTTCAAGTTTTATCATCTAATTATTAACTATTAAATAATGATAGAATTCTCTTCTAAATCTTTAATTATTATTTTTTGATTAATAAGAAAAAATTATATTTTATGAAATCATCAATTCTTTTAACATGTTGTTATGAAGAACATGAGAACAGTTAAATAATAGGTGTTTGCACTAATATAAATTGCAAACATACAAGAACCTATTGTATTGCTTGCAAACCTTAATTTCATTAAGAACACAATCAAGATTTAGTCAGGTTTAATGATTTAGCAAATTGGGTTAAAAGTAGAAAATAATTAATCCAACCTATAAATGAACTTATAAATTAAGTCTAATAATTTTCAAAATCTCTAAAATCATTAGTAGGAAATGTAGATTATTAAAGTTAAACAGATTTTGAATCTTTGAATAATTCAGAATTACATGATTATATCAAGCAACTGATACTTTTAGAAAAATCCTAAGTTCTTTTAGTTCCAAAAATTAAATTCTTAATTTAATAATAAGAAAAGTTAAAAAAAGAGATTGAGAGTCTAATTTTAAATAAAGAATGTATATAAATTTTATAAAATAAGTATGCCAAAGCTAAGTGTTGTCATTAGAGGAAATATATTTTTCATCAAAAATAATTTGTACAGACTCAAGAGATGATGAAGATATTAAAATTGAGGAACAAAAAGAAATTGATAAATGCTTAAAATATTAAATTAAATTTTCATAAGAACTTAAACATGAAGAAATTCAAATTCTATAAAATTAATTAATTGCTTAAGGTGATTGTTTTGCTCTTTGTGAACCAACATTACCAACGAATACTTCAACAAAATTTGCTTTTAAATGTCATGAAGAAGGAATCTATATTGGTATTTGCCATATTGATTTGATATAAAAGGCTTAATTTAATCCTAAACTTAAATAATTAAAACATGGGTATTTTATTTTTTTTATTTTTATTAGAGCATATTTAATTTCTTCAAATGGTTATGTTTACTCACATCTAGAAAAGGAAATTAATTCTTCAAAAAAATCATTCACATATGGAAAAAATGATATCATATAAGTTTTAGTATAAGTAGAAGATAAGAAAATTACATGGATTAAATAATCTACTAATGAAGAATTTGTAATATATTTTAATTTATAATAGTCAATGAAATTTGAATCAGTTAAAGATCTATGTCCTTGCGTATAATTGTGGGGTAAAACTGGAACTTAAGTTGAAATCATAGATTTTTGATATACATTTCATTAATTTATAGAAAAAATTAATAAATATAATAGACTATTTTTAAGTTCATTTTTATTTCTTTAAGTTTTTAATAAATAATATAATTATAATTCATTAATTGAAACTTTCATCTATTTTAAGGCAAGTTTGTTCTAATAATCTCAGAATACTTTCATGAGACTTTTCTTTTTGCTGTTTTTCAGCTTAAATTTCTGATTGAATTTTTGAATGAACTTCTTCAATCATTGAAAATATTTTTTTCTCTGTTTCTTCTCTGACTGACCTCTCTATTGACATCATTTCTTAAAATTTATTTAATTCTAAATCCATTTATTCTATTAAATGAGCTTATGAATCAGATCTTGAATATCATTTAAAATATTTACCTTGATTATTATTCATTTTCTATAGTATATCGTAGTTCTTTTAATTAATTACTTACATCTCCTATTTATCTATTTAATTTATCATAATAATTTGAATTATTTTTCTCAAGCATTCCATGAACTGTATCAAACCTATCTTCTATTTATTTTAAGAGCTACATTTCTACTCTTCTTTTACTCTATTTTTATTTTCAATTAAATTTTACATTTTTCTCTTCATCTAATTATTTATTTATTAAATCTTCAAATTGTTAAAGTTAATCTTGATATCGTACATAATGCTCTTTCCCGAATTTTTCATTATTTATTTGGTCACTAAGTTTTAAAATTTATTCTTTGAGCATCTATTGAAATCATATATATTTTACTTTAAATCTATCTTCATCCTTAAGTTTATCATAATTCAATAGACTATCAATCTTTTAGAGAGATGCATCAATTATTTCTTTTTTTTCAAATTTATCTCTATCTATTCCAGCTTTTAATTAAGTCCATTTATCTGCTAATGCTTACATTTTTTAGAATGATGGCGATTCTGATCTTACTTATGAATTACTGATTATCTAAGATGTTGAAAACTTCATTTCTTCTATATTTTTAAATTAAAATTTTTTCTTTTGTTGGTTAGAATTAATAATAAATAATCTCTATATAAATTTTAAACAATAGTTTTTCAATAATTATCTACAATTCTCTCTTTTTTTTCTATTTTTATTATTTAAATATTCCATTTTATAAATTAACAAAGAATTGAACTATTATTAAAAGTAAAAATGTCTTATCAATTTACTATTTACAATAATCATTTACAAGTTAATTTTTTACTTTGAGTTAATTTCTACAAGCATTATATAACTTTTTTTTTCATAACAAAATTATTTACAATTAATTTAAGGTATATCTCTATTTCAAATTTTATTTTATTATTCTTACAGAATTTATAGTATCTGCATATTTTTGGTTTTGAAATATTTAATTAATCGAATTAAAAAAATGACTAATAAAAATGTTATTATAAATCATTTTTTTATAGTTTGAAACTTATCAAAGGGATATGAAAGAAAAATTAAAGGAGATATTTAATTTTTTCAAAAGAATTAAAAATTATCATATAATTAATTAGTTCTTTTTAAGAGGAATAGATGATAACTTATATCTAAAAATATTTATTTTTATATAAAATCAATAATTTTTATTTTTTGAATTTGAATGAATAAGACAAAAAATAATCATAGAAGAGCATAATCAAATAATGATTTTCAATAAGTAATGAGTTCTAAAATAGTTGGACTGATTGAATCGAATTCTCATAAAAATTTACATAAAAACCAAAGCTTTGGTAATACGTTGTTTTTAATACCTGAATAAACAGATATGGGTTCTTCAACAGAATAATCTCATCATTCTGAAAAGAAAAGCTGTATGAATGATTATGTATTAAATACAAAAAAGAATCATTCACAAGAGCAAAAAGAAAATCTAATAAACTCTAATTCCTGCACAAATATTATCTCATCAATTTAATATATGATAAAAAGCAGTCATCCTATAAAAGAAATTGCTTAAAAAACTTTAAATAATGAAAGTTAAGGTAAAAAAAAGCATCTAAGTTTTACGAATGAATTGTAAAAGAAAAATAGCTAAATTCTCCATTAATCAAATAAAATAGATATCTCATAAAGTTTAACACCAGATAGAAAAAAAACAGAAAATAATAGTAAATAAAATAGTTACAAGTAAAAATCAGATTAATAACATTTTGATGGATTAGAGAAATAAAAAATAGAATTATCAAATTTTTTATTGAATAATTTATTAAAAGGAGATTAAAAAAAGAAATCAAATTTAGAATAATAATAAGATTCATTTAGAAGAATGGAATTTTAGATGAATAAAATTTAGAACGACATTTCTAAAATAAAAAAAAGATAAGATGAATTAGATTTATTTAATAGAAACATATAGACTCAATTATTTGATTTTATTTCGGAAAGTAGAAAATATTAGGATGTAAGTATATATAATATAAGGTATAGTATGGATATTAATCTCTCTAAAAACTCGAATAATTAGAATAAATAACAAGGAGGAATGAAGAATCAATAAAGATACTAAAATAAAAACTATTCAATAATGAATTTTAATAGACAACAACAAAAAATCATGAAAATAATATCAATTTTGGGTATCTAATTAAATAAATTTAGTAATATATCTTCTTACAAATAAGAACTTGATATACAAAAAAAAATATCGGATTTTAAGTATATCAATAAACAATATAATTGAAACTTAATTCAATTTTGAATTTATTATTAAATTATTATATAATAATAAATTTAAATAAAGATAATATGTTTTAAATAAATAGATATAAATAATATAATTTATAGAATTTTAATTAAAACCAGCAACAATAATAAATTCATTTTTGGACTCTACTTAAGAGAGTATTAGATCTTAAATATTTGTTTTCTGAATCCTCAACAGATGTTTAAAATCTTCTATTCAAGTCATTAAAAAAACTATGATCTCTTTTTCTCTCACCATTGATTTCTTTACCTACAAATTAACTTGATTTAGTAGAATGAGTTTTATTAGTATCTTAAAGTATTTATTTTTTCAATATCATATATTCTTCTAAGATATTTTTTAGCCATTTCCAGCATTCTTTCAAACTGATAAATAAATAACAATTAATACCTTGGTTTAGCTTAAGCCTAACTCAAAGTGCAATTCATTACCATATCAACAATACATTCAACAAATTTATTCATCTAATGTTAATCATATTAATTTAATTAAGGTGATTTTTCTCTCAATACAACTGACTTATATTATTTACTAATATTTTCTTTAGAATTCTTTCTTGATAATTAAACCTAAAGTATAATTATTAAATTTATACATCATGTTATAATTTATTAATATAGGATTCTTATGATTAGATATATTATTGTAACTCAAAAATTTTAGATTAATTTATTTAATCTTATTCTTCTAATTTTAACTTTTATTGCTATGCATAATTTAAATTGAAATTACTTCATTAATTTATTCAACTACTTTTTATTGATGTTACTACTAAAATAACTTTTACTCATATTCAAATATTTTAGTTTTTAATGTAGAATTTTCTTTCTCTAATTATCCAAGACTTTTTAAACTTTTATGGTATTGCTATTCAGATTAACTAATTTATAATTCTAGATCTTCAATTTTTTAAAGATGTCTTTTTGATGCTGAATCTCTTTGTTATTAGTTCATTGATTAATCTTCACTAATATTCAGATGAAATTTACATCATCATTTACTGATTCAATTTCAATTTCTCATTCTATTCTTACAACCATACTTAGTAGTGTTCTAATTCTTCAATTCTTTTATCCTTTTCTTTTAAGATTAATAATAATTATTTATGTTCTTGACCTTAAACATCATCAATATGAATTTGATTGCATTTTTTCATAAACACATTACCTTAATCTTTTTTGGTCTCACAATAACTCTATTGTATTTAATAATATAATCATACTCCTTGATCATTTGAGAATTTACTGTAACTACATAATACATCCTCATCAGTTGTTAATCTAATTTGTTTATCCCATGAATATTAACTGATTGACAAAAGCAGAGCCTAACTTAATTCTTGCTTCTCTGGTGTTTTTTGCATACTTATAATATTTATATTTGAAAATTTAATAATTGTTAACGTTTATCATTTACCAAATCTGTAGGGAATTTAAGAAAGCGATGATCCTGACACCATTTCAGCTTTCTTATTTTATAAGCTTAATTGCACAATTTTTGAAAAATCTATATGTGTAGTTCCTTAATATGAATAAAAATATACTTGGAGAACAACTCAGTATTCTAGCTTAGTCTTCTTCTCTTGAAATTTAACAATTCAGATTAAAAGTTTATTCATTTATATTTCTTTAACTATTCTTTTTTAAACTATTTTCTAGCTCAATTTTTTGTATTTACAACATTTAAATCTGTCTACTTGATTATAAATCTTTTTCCATTAAATGCTTTATCTAATTTTAAGTTTATTCCATATATTTAATTTTATCCTCCTTTGCTAAGATTAATGCACTTGATAAATCATTTAATTTAGATGCCATTTATGTAATTTCAAGATTAAGTTTATTAATTACTACATTCAAAGCAGAAATTTATAAATCTTTGTCTTCATTCTTTTTTTTAAATTATAAAACTAATTCACTAATTTCTTTATATTATTTTTCTGCTTCTTTTAATCCTTCATTTCCTGAATCTGTAGTTTTCTAATTTGATTTCAATTATTCAGTTAAATCAATAATCTATTTCCTATCATTCTAAGATTCAATTATTAAATAAATACATTTATTTATTCTTATCTTGCTTCTTCAACAATAAAAATTGCATTAATAATATCTTCAATATCTGAATTAATCCCTAATTTTAAAATCTCTTCAAAATCATCATTAAATGATTTTGAGATCTGTGTCCATAATTTTAACAAAACTTGCTTGAATTCTTCCTTCTCAGATTTTAGAATTTATATTTCATTCTAGAGTTCATGAAATGTAGAGTCATTTATATCAGGTGTAGTAATCATTATAAACAAATATTAATTTTATTTTATTTCTTCATAACTGCTAGAATCATGATTCGATTGGATATTTTCTTTATATAATTTTCTTTTAACGCTTCTTCTTGGATACTTAATTTACACATAACATTGAATTATTGGCAATATTATCCAAATAAGATCGGCTTCTATACTCTTTCAACTTTTGCCTATTCTAATGATCATTTCCTTAAAATATTGACCAATATTACGAACTTTATTTATTTCATTATCTATCATCTCTATTTGTTATTTAGATTATTTTTCTACTTGGCCATTTCCATTTTACATTAGATTATTAATAGCTAATTACCTATTCTTATTTATAATGTATAAATTATATGGTAACTTAATTCCATTATAAAGAATTAATGATTCTTGCTTCGATATTATTGGTACACTAAATTATTAAGGCTATTGATATTTCTTAACTTTATGAAATTATTTTCTATTTAAATTAAGCATAATGATGTACTTGTATTAAGAATATCTCTTTTATAAATCTGTTAGTTCTTTATATTTCTAATCTTTGCTTTTATTTAAGAATGGAATATTTGGAGAAACCTCTAAACTACTTAAACTTAACTTGCTTTCTTTTCTAATTTTTTAAGGATTTCATAAAATGATTACTAGATCATATGATTATGTTCAACTATATGTAAATTTTATCTAGTTGTCATAAAAACATCAGGCAATTAAAATGTTTTTTTAGGTTGTTCTTCAGTATGTATTTTAAATTAAGGTTGTCGTACATGTATAGAATTACTCTAGAATCGCCATTTAGATTTGATGGCTTATATGTTCTGGTTGTCAGAGTTAGAGAGTTGAAAGTAATCACAACAATGATTCATATATAATTAATATTACAAATTGTGAATAGTATTTCTTCATGATTGAGCCATCTATTTCTTGCAATGAATTATTATATGCAAGTTGTTTTTATGAAAGGGATTCACCCTTAGTAACTCATTAGATTTAGAGAAACATGTTTTGATTTATTCAATTGGTGTACAGATTTCTCTTAGAGAAAATGGTGACATGGCTTCAAGATCATTCTAGCACTTATGTTCATAAGATTTGATATGATGTCTAACATTTTCAAAATAATTTTATTGCTTCTGTGTAGGGTCAGTGATTTGAAGTTCGATTTAATCGAGATACTCATTCACTCTTTATTCTATTGAATTCATATCAAATTCTGAACTAGATAAAGATATTAATATATATATCAATAACCTGCATTTTGGATAAATAAATAATTAAAGTACGAGATATTTCCCTCATTTCATACTTATTAATATATCATAATTAAATTAGGTTCATAATCTATTCTAAAGTAGACAATTATTTGGATTGATGACTATAATAAATAGATTATAATTAATATTTATTTGAAACAATAAGCATAATTTGTATCAATACTTATATACTAATTGTTATAAGTGTAAATAGCAAAGATGAAAAAAAAGAACTAGGATGATGAAATTAGATTCAAAATGAAGCAAAAATATGCAACAATATCTGACTGGGCATTTAAAACATTAGAAACTCAAAGAGTACAAGAAATAAGAGCTAAATCATTATACAGTGGTTCCATAAAGATTCAACATCAAGAGATGTATTCATTTCATTACCCGTAAAAAACAATAAAAATATTTAGATCAAAGAGTATAAATACTAAGAAAGCATAAGTTATAATATCTTAATAGCCTAGAATATAGAATCAATGTAAAATTAATAAGAAACTAATTGAATCTAATTAGATTCCTAGATCACTTGATTAGTCATATATAGAAGATTCCAAAAAAAGAAATATAGACAAGAAAAGAGTATTATAAGATTAAAAAGTAAGTAAATAATTTTAAGCAATCCATAATAAGATGAAATTAATTATGGATTCCTACAAAAATAGAGAACGAGAATTATTGAATTATATAGTTTCTTTGTAATAAGAGATTATTGTCTTAAAAGAATCTTAAAATGATTAAACAAATTGAATATTATTATTTCTTCTTTTATCATATATTTATTTCATAAAATTAGAGAATTAATAATGTCAGAAAGCGTCAAAAGGAATGTAAAATCATTCACACAATATGTTTAAAAACCTTCAGAAATTGGGTCAGTTGAAGTATCAATAGATCCTCTAAGATAATTTAAACCATTTGTAATAGTCTAAACTTCAAATGATCCTTAGGTATAATAGATGTCGATTGATCATCACATTTAAACAAACTTATTTTTCAATACTCCTTACTCAAACTTTGATATTTCTTAAAGAGTTTCATTAGATGGTACTAATGATTACTTATTTAACCATTAAAAATTCATAGGACCTATTGTAAATAGTTCTCTTGATAGTAAATCTATGTAAAAACAACCTGATGTTTTACAATCATAAAGTCGTTATTTTGCTTCAATAATGCCATTCTTTTCACCTATGCAATCATGTCACCTTTATTTACATTAACAGTGTTAAAATGAATTACCTCGATTATCAAATAATAGTCTTGATCGATAGATTAAAACCAATCAAAATAATATGAATTAATTATCTGTTCTTATACCTCCTATTTAATCATTATCATAGTAATATCTTAAATTTACTCATTTTTAGAAACAAATAAAAAAAATGGTTAAGACATGTTAGTTCTTGTGAAAGTTTAGACATAAAAATTAAGGAAAATAGTTAACATCAATCAAACAACAAAGATAATTAATTAAAATTAACAAAACGAATCAGAAAAAAAGTTTCAGTATAAGAGAGTTCTGATTCTTATAGATGTTAACGTAAAAAGAAGGGACCTAAAGTTAATGATACTAAAAATATAACTAAAAATTTCTCAAAAGCCATTATTTCTTATATTTTAAATAATGGGGAATTAATTTAAAAATTCATTACCTTAGATTAATATGATGGCTTTATTATTTTATTAAAAAGTAAAAAGAATCAAATGACTAATATTAAATAACTCCGTGAAATATGGGTAGATAATGGTAAGAATCCTGAATTTAATAAAGTCTTTCGAATCATTAGGTATATTTTTAATTTATTAACTAGCCAATACTTTCTTAAAAATTAGGCAATTCCATATGTTTATAATTCAAGAATTTCAAATACCGCTTGGCATCTCAAATATCGATAGAATTTATTGAGAGCCTTAAGAGAACCTGAAAACTTTAAATTTATTAAAGATATATGATAATCTTGATTAAAATATCTAGGATTATCTTTTCTTATTTTAATTTTATTTATACTTATAATTAATTACTTATATTATAAAATATTTATATCTCTTAAATTACATAATCTCAATCTGTCTTAGCTTTTCTCATTACTTTCTATATTTTCTAATTTACAACCAATAAACAATTTATTATTAAAATAATCAATCCTATTTTATACATTATTTATTCCAAATTATAGATATGAAATATTTGAGAAAATAAAAGTAACTAAATAATACTAAATAATTACGTAAAATCCTAATTTTCTTAAAGATTAAAATTAATATTATCCATGTCTAGGCATTTCAATTAATTAATTATTTCTTTGCATAAACAAATCTCCAAAAATATAATAAACCAATTTAAATATCCAGTTTTGTTAAGGTAATAATATTATTATATAATTTATTATTTATCTAAAATACTTAAAATTTAGCATTAAAAACACTGATAACATTTAATCAGAAATACCATTAGCAATATCAAATAATTTTATATTTAATATGATATTAAGCACACCTAATGCACAGTATTTTTCATTTAAAAAACTTAATATAAAAGCTGGAAATGACAAAATAAATGCAAATCCAAATATTAAAATATTGTAGAATTCATGATTTAAAATTTAATTGAAATAATTTATAAATGCTGATGGGTATATTGCCTAAGACAATGTAGAGCTAAAAAAAAATGGAATTAAAATAAAACACTAAACCATTATCAATACTAGAATTAAAAATATCAATTCTATCACTAATTCTTAAAGCCCTTACAAATTAGGCTATAAATTATAAGATAATTTTACTTTGATATTCTTTTTGGTTATTATTCCATGCTATTAACATAATCTTCCTAAAGAATATGTTGAAATTAAAGGATATAATAATAAACATTATGGTTCATAATTGACTGTTATAACATATAAAATTAAACCAAACCAAACATTTTCTGTAAGAATAAAAATACAAAGTGCCATTAATACTAAAATTTATTAATAATGTGTTTTACTTTCAATAATATTCCATATTCCTAAAAAAGTTGGACAAATAATTTAATAAAGTAGTATTCCTGATAAAAGTTCTTTATTAATTTTAAACTATTTTGATTTGAGTATAAAGTATAAGGGAATGTAAAAGATACATAAATTTATAATCAAATTTAAATAATGAAAGAAGGGTTAATTAATTTGTTCTTATTGTTGTTTAAATACATGTATTTTTGAAGAATCAAAGAAATTAATTATCAATCCAACCAAACAATAAAATTAAGCTTTTAAAGGTGAGAGTGGTACTTATTAAAATTGATTATACCATGTATTGTATCCAAAAAGAACAGTTTTTTCAATTAATTCTTATTATTCTTAATAGTTCGGTAAAAATAGTATTAAATTGGCCAAAGCTACTAATAAAAATGTGAATATGATAGACAAGTCAATAGATTTGGAAGATTTAGTAATTTTACTCATTAAATCAGAATAAGGATCTAAAGTGTAAGGTTATTTAATAAAGATAGTCTTTTGAATGAATTCATTTGATCTAAATAATTGATTGATAATACTTCTCTACAATTTGACTAACAGTTAATTAAGGAGTCCATTTAAAAGCTTTAAAATAGTAATCATACTAATTAAAGTCATCAAGATTTTTTATAGAATAGAAATCTTCCTCTAATTAGAATCTCAATTAAGGTTGTGAAAAAGGGTATAACTCATTTAATTTGATTTGAGTTTTGCATGCTTAGGTACTAATTTCAATAATATCTACATTGGAGTTTGAAATCCAATTCAATTCTAGGGATTAACAAATTTCTTATTCTACCATATTGGGTTGACTGAATTACCCTTTTTAATGCGATTAGGACGAATTGAATTCTTAAAAGGAGGTTTAGGGAAAAGTTATGAAATTAAGAATTCTATAAATTACATAAAAATATTTATGTGTTGTACAGATAATTAACAAAAGAATCCACCAAAGCCAGGAATTAAAACAAAATCAAATGCTCCTGGATAAAAGAGAGATATAAAAGTAGTAATGCTTGGTGATAAGGCTGTTGGTAAAAGTTCAATTGCTTCAAGATTCTGCTTTGATAAGGTATAGAATAAACTTAAATATCAATTAGTTTCAATTAGAATATGAAATAACAATTGGAGGAGTATATAATAGTGTGGATATGAATGTAAAAGGTATTTGAAATAATTTAAATGGATAGGTTAAAACTTAAAGATTCATTTATGGGATACAGCAGGAGAAGAGAAATTTAGATCATTACTTTCATTATATTATAGAGATGCAAATGCAGCCATAATTGTATATGATATTACATAAAGTGATACCTTTTAATCTGTTTCAACATGGCTAAAAGAATTAGAAGAGAAAATCTAAAAGGATGGTAAGAATAACTTACATAATTGAGGGATGGCTTTGGCTTTAGTAGGCAATAAATGTGATTGTTTAGAATCTGAAAGAAAAGTTCCAAAAGCTAAAGCTACTGATTTTGCAAAGCAGAATGGTATGATATTTTATGAGACATCTGCAAAAACTGGAGAAGGTGTTAAAAATTTATTTTAGCAATTAATTGAGACATATGTTGCAGAGAATATGTGAATATTAATCTTAAATATAATTTGCATTCCTAATCAATATATTTTATCATCCATATATTTTACATTTATTTATTATATTAAAATCATCTAAAACAAAAGATATACCAATATTATATATATTGTATAATTTTTACTATTTTTAACTTGCTTTTAATTCAAATATCTACCAATTTAAAAGATATCTAAATTCATTTTTTAATTTATTGCCACCATTATGTTTCATATTAATCAATAAATTTATTATTACACTAATTCTATTATTTTTTTATAAGTTCATTATTTTATATTTTCAGCATTACTTAAATCACTTTATCATTATTTTCCAAATCACTTAAATTTTTAAGAAAACTATTATAAAATTAGCACAATTATAAACATCTGAGAATTAGAATTAATTTTAACTTTAAAATCTTCCTGACTAATCAATTTATTACTGATAAAATTATTTCTTTAATATTACAGAATTATTTTAAATCCTACAGCAGAACAAAAATTGAAGTACAAAAAATTACATTTGTTAAACAAATCTTCAAATACTTGAGATAGGGTTTAATGTTAATGAAAATAATTATTTTAAAAGGATTTTAATTTAAATTATGATTAATTTATTAATAGAAAGAATAATTCTAATAAAATAACCGCTTATTTCAATAATAAATAATTAATTTCTAATCAAAAAAATGAAATTTTGAAAAAATAGGCAAATATTTTAAAATTACTAATCTTGAACTAATCAAAGTTGAATATTTAATCAGCTAGAATTAAATTTATTTAAATATAAATATAATTTTAGTCTATATATTTGAGTTAACATAAAGATATTTAATTTTATAAGAATTATTTAATAAATGAATATGATTACAATAAAGTGAAAATGAAATTTATATATTTAGTAAAAATGATAATTTGATATTTAATTATTAGTTCCTAAAATCAAAATAATTTAATTGCCATTAAATATTCAATTAAGTAATGAATCTCTTAACAAAATCTTATAGATTTATAAAATAGTGTCTAGGGATGTATGTTACTATATTATGAAAAACTTATAAACATTTTATTTATAATCAAATCTTTTCTGTAAATTCTAATTATCTTAAGGCCCTCTCTAAAGAATTATCTCCTAGAAATACTTTGATAGGTATGAGATATAAAGATTTCTTATACATTATAAATTCATTGATCAATGACTTTCTAAAGCAACTTAGTATAATAATTGACATGATGATCTAAGATGCCATAAATAAATAAGATAGAATCTATTTATTTAATATTCTTACTTCATTTGTTTGGTTAAAATGTTATGTCAAATCGATCATTCCTGATTTTAATTATTAAGATACATTCGAAAAGACTTAACTAATTATTTAAGCACCTTCCAATTCATAAAAATGTACTTCTACTCTTTTAGTAAAATTATTTATTGCTTATTAATTTCGGATGGCTGTAGATATATAATTTAAACTTGGAATCATACCCTTAAGTAAAACTCCATCTAAAGAAATTTAGCAATAAACTGTTAAATTGATGTATTTCTATGATATATAAAATAAATACAGCATCAATAAAATTGCACAAATTTTAATTCTCAACTTAACTTATAAAATTAATATAACTTTCTGATAATAGATATTAATCATTCTAAAGATCATTTTAGATATTTATATATTCTTAAGTTACATTCTATGATTTTTCAATTAATTAATATAAACGATTCAAATCATTTGTGTTTAAATAAGTAAAATTAGACCATCTAAATAATATCTCTCTATAAACATAAATAGTTCCACTTCTGAATCTCATATCTTAAACTAATCTATAAAAGTCAGTTGTTTGTTTATATTTTATTAGATAATTCTATGTTTACTAGTAAATTATAACTGAAAACACCAAAAAGTAAGCATACATTAAAAATATTCCCAATAATGGTATTAATTATGGTAATTTTTTATTTTTCCATGTTTTAAATTTTTCTGGCTTTTATTAATTATTATCCTTTTTTTTTCTTTTTATTAATTCTTCTCTCTCTTTAAAATCAAATTCATATTTCTGTATTGCTTCTTGATTTTGAGATAATTACTAATATAAATTTTTTAGTTTAAAAATTTCTTATTCTATTGCACTCTTATCAGAATAATAAAATAAACTCAATAAATTCTCATAAGTTTTTAGCATCCTTTTTTTAACTAACATTAAGATTATTCCCAATAATACTGATAATATTTAATATAAAATCCAAACAATAAGCCATTAACTATTTGAACTTATACTTCTTGCTTTTGAAAATTATAATATTTCATCAGTTAATTATTCTAATTAATCTTATAAATTAAAATAATTAGCAAATTAAAAGACTTAATGTGGTTATCCAGGTGCATTTTTTCGTTAATCAAAAAGTCTTTTGAACTAATATTAATAATTTATAATTGCTAAAAGTTCTTCTCTAAATGATAATACCTTACTATAAGTTTCTGTATCATTATTACCCATAAAATATACAGTTTCATACTAATCAATAAAAAATTCAGTTAGATGATCATTCTTTAAAACCTCAAAAAAACTATCTTACAAATCAAAATAATAAGGAGCATTGAATTAATATAAAGGATCAATCAATTTTTAAAAAGTTGTATTATCTATATATTTTTCTCGATATTACTATTAATAAGCAGTTATTGTAACTTTTATTGATGAATACAATTCATGTGGACCCATTATACTTGCATGCAAAGATATCATATCTATTTCTTAAATAAATTATAATAATTAAGATGACATTGCTGTTACCACCATTATTGAATAAGATATCCAAAACAGAGTTAACAATATTAGCAAAATTATATAAATAATTATGGTTCTAAATTTATTACTTTTAATTATCTTCTCTATCATTTCAAATTTCTTAAATAACTAAGATTCCTTTAAACCTCCTAAAGATGACTATTAAGATTATATTTCATCGTTTTGATCTATTTTCTTTTTACTATTTATTTATGATTTTTAAATTTCCAAAGAAGATTAAATATTTGAATCCAGTCTCAATAAATCTAGATTAAAGAACTCTTATTAAGTTTCATTTTTTCTATCTGACAATAACTATCTCTGGCTTTAGTAAGGAACATGAATTTATAATTCATCTTTTCTAAAAACTACTTCATCTTCTGATAATTCATTTTTCTAAATTTCTTTTGTTTTAATATCAATAACTTTTACTCTTTTTGGTTATGCTTCAAGACTTAAATTCATTTATGAAGCAATACTAATTGAATTTCCTCTTTCTTTTAGAAAAGGAGATTTTTAAGAAATTTAGTCAAAATTTTAGAGAGTCTAAAATTTAGAGACATCTTATGAAGATTTAGTTATTCTAGTAATTGATGAAAATTCAATTAATAGATAAGATTAATCATTTATAAAACGACTTGTAATCATAATTGTTACATTATATAAACAGATTTATTCTACTTTTTCCCATTATTTAAAATCTTATATATGTTAGCTTAAGTCTATTCCTTATTTTTATAATTCTTTCAATCTTTTATCAATTAAAAATCTCATTTCTGTATTGACTTATGATGTTTCTGTTTCTGAATGAGTAATTGGAAAATCAGGAAATAGATATTATAAATAAATATTATTTATGACAATGGATGGTAGATTCAAAATAACTTTTTAATCAAAACCAATTTTCTTAAAAAAGTTTTCAGAAAAAATTAATTTTTTTTTCTCACCATATGATAATATAAAACATTTTTAATCTGGCAGCTCTTAAAGAAATGCTGCAAATACTAAATTTTAATTTTTAATTATTTTAGTTATATCATAACTTAAAAATATTGTTTTTAATAGTCCAATTTTAGTTTAAATAAAACTTTAATTAAAATTTTTATAAAAACGAGATTGACCATTAATAAAGAATTTATTAATAATTATTGGATGAAACTTTCTCATAAACTTAGGTAATAATTATTTAAATTGTAAATCTTTATATGTTTCATAACCAGTGAGTTGTAAAAAAAAGGATGAACCTTATTCAATATTGAAATCATCTAAATCTCCCTTTATGGATAAAATTATATAAGCTGTTTATTCTATTTGAATTTCATAATTTCTTATTTTTTTATTTTTAAATATTTTATCATCTGTCATAGATGTAATAGTAGATGTTTTATTAGCTTAATAATAATTATTCAGTAATTCACTTTAGAAAAAACACAAACATCTTTGCATACTCTTACAAGGATATTGATCATAGATTTATTTAATCATCCTTTTAAATGAGGTTAATTTTGTACAAATTTTTTTAGTTTATTATGCAAAATGATTTAAATTTTATTTATCATTTTTAATTGTTTAATGGTAAAAATTAATTTTATCATGTATTAAATTTAATGTTTTAGATTGTATATCTCTTAAAGTTTTATCATATTATAAAAATGAAGTTATAAAATCAGAGACCATTAATTATTAATATGCATACATAGATGTACCTAAAAATGATTTTAATTTAAATTTAGCTAAATGTAAAATGAAATGTAATCTACAATATTCAGTCATACTTAATTAAACCTTAACATAAATATATTATGTTAATTGTGGATCTGATTTAACCTTTTTTGTAGATGTTTCATTTGATGAATCATCAAGATTGGTGGTTTTTTAAACAAAATTTTTAATAATTAGATTCTAATTGAGATCAGAACAATTCAATAATCTTGTAAGATTCTTAATACAATCTGTTAACCATCCATAATCATAATACATTAAAGTTTGTATGAATATTAATTCACTTATTTGAGTATTTTTTAGGATATTTTTATTTTCCATGATATAATTAATTCTGGATCTGAGAAATTATTTGAGAATAGGTTAAGTAATTGCATTTGCTTAAGAAATTTCAGAGATAAACATTTACGAGCATACACATTTTGAATTTTCACAAGTTTTGCGATGAAAATTATTGATTAATGATGATTTTAAGGGATTCAATTTTGAATTAATATCACATTGATTTAAAATCAATTTTAATTAATGTATAAGTAAAGGTATTGATAATTAATCTTTGAATAGATTTGCAAAAAGAGTATTTTAAATTTCATTATCTTGTGCATGACATGAATATAAAATTAAAGGATATATAAGTATAGGAATGATTAAATATTCAAAAATTAGTTTAGAATTAATTGTAGGTTGTAAATAATAACAGGATAAGGTAATATTAAATGAGGTAATAAAAAATAATAATTATTTGGATTATTGGAAAATATAATTATGATATTTAAATTAATTAGAAAGTTATGAAATTGTGAAAATTAACAATAAAATAATGTTTAGTATTCTAATTTATTGATTATCTGAAATGAAACAAAATATAATAATTTACAATTATTAAAATAAATAAGTAAAGTAATGTAGGATAGTGATTTTTGTAATATCTAAATAATGAAATTTATATGTGAGAGGAATACTACATAGCTAGAAAGTAAAGATATAATCAACTTACCATAAGATGTATGTAAACATTGATAGAAATACGTGAAAGTATTGATTATTATTGTTAATTGCAGATGCTAGACTCATCAAACAAAAATTAGAACTTAATAAATGAAAGGCAGTTAATTATAATTATACAAAAGTTGCTAGTACTCTTAACCCAATTTAGATGAAGTGGGTTTAGTCAATCTTTTAAAAGGAAAGTTCTCTGTCTTTAATTTAATGGAGTATAAAAGTAATAGTAATTTGCAAGGCTTTTTGAAATATTAGAAATGACAACACTATTAAATATAGTAGAGTACTATTGAAATTATAATCCAATAATAATAAATCCTGTCTGAATAGTAACAGAATTATGAGATGAGGTAGAGAAGTATTTGTGTGATGCATTTACAATCCAGTTTCTATTACCATAAATATTGGTTAAATCAATGTTATAAGTAATAAGAATAAAGATAACTTTCTATTGATGAGTGTGTAATGTTTCAAAATTATCATCATTTAGATCCATTATTACGTGAAACTAGTTTAATTTTAATTATATATCATATTTAATCAATAATCTCCAATGTATTTTTCATTTTTGATATCCATATTTCTAGATATTTTAGCTGATGTAATTTGTTGATTATTAATAGGTGGTTCAGAGACTGGTTATAAATATTTTTTATCAAATGGCCATTTCTCTATAGTAACTTATGGATCATCGAAATAACTGCTTGAACCAAAGTAAGCTTTCACATCGCTGACTTTACCCTATAATAATCAATAATGATTATACATAAAATTCTGCGAAATTCTAATCTTTTATAATATAGAAATAAAACACATTAGGAATTACATGAAGAGCATCTATTTTTTATTATTAAGCTTATTTAACTTATAAAGCATAAGCTAAAGCATTTCCTTTTTTGTATTAAAAAAATACGTAAGTCCATTACAATTATTCAATTTATATTTCTTCTACTTTTAATTCAAATAATGGAGTATCAAGTAATTTATATGTATCATAACTTAATTTATCATTTAATATACTAATAAGCAATGTTCTATCCCCTAATTATTAATCTTTCATAAATTATGGATGATTAGTTGTTAATCTTGCTATCAATCTAGGAATAGTTGCCATGCCTGGTAATAATGGAGATTATTAAATCCACATTCCATATGAATATTCAACAGATTCTTATTTATCCATAAATTTATAATCTATAAAATCAGTCTTAATATTTTCAGTTGTATCCATTTATGGTATTGTCCATTTAAAATCAGCTAAATCAACAACAGGTAATGGAAGTTTACGATGAATTTTCTATAGTAAATCTACTACTTTCTAACTTTCATTAATAAAACTTCCTTATCCTAAATATAAACGAGGATCATAAAGCCAACCATGAAATTAACCATGTCCAAATTCAGAAACACCTATCAATAATTTAGCATATCCTACTAATGGTATATGTTTTGTTGCGAATTCTACTTTTAATGCCTTTGCTGTATCTCTTATAATTATTATACCTACTGTTTATCCATCTTTATATCCCATATATATGAAATTCCATGATCCTTCAATCTAATCGTAGGCAACCAAACTATTGGCTCCAAAATTATTTGTTGTAATATCATAACTACTAAAATCATATGATCCCTTTTATAAAAATGCACTTAACACTCTATCCTAAATTTATGATTTGTCTTAATGTTCTCTTTTAGCTGTCAATCTAAATATAGAATGTGAATCCTTTCTCTCTACTAAATGATCTGGAAAATCTGTTAACCATCTTGTCCATATACCTACTGCATATTCAGTTATTGAATCTATTTCATCCCTAAATTCTTATACTATCAACTCTGGAGTCTATATAACACTATCCTTATTTGAACTCCATTAAAATTATTTATTAGCCTAAACTAAACCATAATAAGGAAGCAATTATTAATAACCATTTTTATTAACACTAACAAATCCACCTAAACCATATGCTGCTGTCCATTTATTCATCTAACCTATAAATTTATTCGTAAACTTATCTTATCCTATATACAACCCTAAGTAATTTGGTACATAATGTTACACTTATTCCCATATTATTGGTTTATCTTCAACTAATGTATGTAATATACAATGAACCTCACTAGTTCTCTAATTGTAACCCATATATATATAATTCCAAGCATTATTATAATCATTCAACTCTAATTAACCATCCAAAAATTTAGGTTCATTTGCATCTTTTAAATCTACAAGTGTGTAAGTTGAATACTTTATTAATTATGTATTACATATTGTTACATGCAAAGTTCTATCTCCCTATGATTTTCTATCATTCAAAATTTCAACATTATTATTTGTCAATCTTAATAATAATTAACAATCAGTAACACCAGTTCCTGTTGATTTAATCCATCCACTAAATGCATATTCACTAACACCACTCCATTTATTCCCTTCAAATTAAATACCATTTGTTATATCAATCTAATTAACATCTTCTATTATCTCAAATTTACCATGCTTTTCTTTATCTGTGTATTCTTATGTCAATTAAAATGGCAATGAAAATGTTGTTTCTATTTATGATTTGAATTAATCCTATTGTCTAATATATGAACCTGGACCTAATGATACCATTATTTTTGTTATGCTTCCTTAAAAACCTACAATTGAATCTTCCTTTCCTATTCTAAATAATAAATAATCAGTTAATGGTTTATGTAAAATCTTATCTATTTTCATTTCTGCTATTGCTACATCAAAAGTATAACATGAAACAGTCTCTATTTCCTTACTGTAACCCATATAAATATATCTCCAAACTCCTTCTAATTGATTGTATTTCATAAACTTTTGTTATATTCCACTTTCACTATTCAAATCATAAGTAGACAATTAATAATAATTAAAAACTATATGAGTAGCCAGAACACGATCTCCTGTTTGTATTACACCCTCTCTTGTTTATTTATTGATTGACAATCTTGCTAATTACATTAAAGCTGGCTTTTAAAGTTATCTTGTTGGAATAGTAGTGAGATATCGAGTCCACATACCATACGCATATTCTGTCATTTAATCAAATGGATATTAAAATCCATTAAATAACTCAATTTTGAGAGAACTAATAGTTTCATCACCATCTGATGTTAAGCTAACTTATTCATTTTTTTCCCAAGTAATTTTTTTTTATTTAGGGAATAGTTTATCAGCAACAAGATATTCAGCTAAAAATGGTATTTTAGTATTAGTATAAGATCCTGGACCAATAGTGAGTGCAATTTAAGCTAGATTACCTTCAAATCTTTGTTAAATATTATCACTACCAACATAGATCCAGAGTCTATCACTAATAGCATGTAATATAATTTCTTCACTTTTACATAAGTATTCATCAACAGAGAGATAATAATAAAACTTAGATTTAGTTTTGCTATATCCCATATAAATGAATGACCAATGGTGTTAACTTAATTCTGGTATTTAACAATTATATGGGATTCCAAAGTTCATACCTTTTAATAGAGTGTATGTAGAGAATTCCATATTATCCTTATTAATTTTGAAGAAGGCAAGAGTTCTGTCACCAATCCAAGAGGAATCAGATACTTTACCAATAGGATTTTGAGTAACTCTAACAATAGTTTCTTTATTGTCATTAATATTTTGGAATTATTTATACCATAAAGCCAAGGAATATTCATTAGCTGGGAAATCAATCATTTAAGGATTATTTGGAATAACTTTATAATTATCAATTTTTCCATCAATAATTGTATATTTATGAGAAACATCGTACGGTAGAGAAGGCATTAAATCTGTGTTCTTCATTCTTTATAAAATATCGCTTTTATTATCAATATATGCACCCATACCTAATCTAAATTTAATTCCAGTCAACTATCCATTAAAGTTTGGATAGTATTTACCACTATGACCAATTGTAAGTTGAATATAATTACTAATTGGATTATGTAATGCATCTATTTTAAGTTCATCTACAACATCCATTCTTCCTGTATATCCAATAGCTACTCCTTAAGTTTGAGAGATACGCTTATAACTGTAATAGATGTAAAGCCATTCAGATTCAAATTCCATTTGATATTAGAGATTACTAAAAATGTTTGGTTATCCAATAGTATAAGTTGAAAATTAAAAAATACCTTATGATTTTTCATCTTCTCCTTTACCAAATAGAATCATCAAAACTCTATCACCAACTGCATCTGCATCTCGATATTCTCTATTTGTTGTTAATCTACTCAATCCCATCCATTTAGGTTAACTATATAAAATACTAGAGCCATAATATCTAAATCTTATCCACATTCCATAACCATATGAACTTACTCCTTCTATTTTAACATCTGATTATTCATTTAATTCAATCATCCATGGAATATTTTATTTATCTGCTTATGAATCTATTATTTTATCACTATGATCTATTTCTTAATTCGTTGTCTATAATTTCAAATGATCTGTTCCACTATTAAATCCAAAATTTAATTCTACTGTTTCACTTTATTCATATCCACTTTCTAAATATGAACCATCTCCTACATTCAATACCCATTATTTCATCTAACCCAACCATTGATTTGCTAATTAATACCTCTTCCCTAAAAATACAGTAAATGTTGACAATAATATTCTATTTATCTCCTAAAATGTCTACTATTATTAATTAAAAGTGAATTTGCATAGTCCAAATAACTTTTTCTATTTCTAAGTATAACCTATATAAATAAATGTCCATTAATTATAATACTCATTAAATTCGATATTCTTCTCCTAAGATTATGAACAATCTTCTCCATTACAATTATAAGTTCCAAAAATAAAATCTTTATCTGTTCTTTATATATACAATTGACTATCACTCTGTCCTTGTTTGATATCTTATTACTTCTTCTAAACCATCATTAATACACTATACAATCCTCCTTATTTTTAATCTCCTCCCCATTTTACCCATCCAGATAAAGCATATTCATTTACTCCAGAATATTGTGAATACTCAAATACATTTTAATTTTCTTAAACTTTAATCATATCTGTTTCTTGACCAAGTAATTAAATACTTTTACGAACAGCTGATGTAATTCCTTATAGTGGTTTTTCTAATTATTAAAATGATTAATATTATGCAAGATCAACAAGGAATGCTCCATTTCCTAATCTCATCTAAACATTAGCTAATTTACCATTGAATTGAGGAATATTTGATTTTCCAAGATTTAATTCAACATATTCTAAAATGTAATCATGTAAGACTTCAATAGAACATTCTTTAACTTATCCTCCAATACCAAATTAAACATATCCTTTAGCTAAACCAATGTTATTGTTCATTCTTTTATAAGAAAAGGATAAATAATTCCAAGATCCTTCCAATTGTGAATCTAAAGGTATCATAGCTTTTTTAATATCATTAGAAATTAAATTATAAGTGGAAAATTCATATTCTTATTTAGCCAATCTGATTTGAAGTGTTGTGTCTTTAATATCATTATTAACTTATCCATTAACACTTTAGATTAACTTATTATTTTTTAATTCTATTAACTTACTTAGTGTTCCCATTCTAGCAATTTAATGAAGTTCACTTCTAGTTGCAATAAATTTAGGGAGACTACTTAACCAACATGTCCATAATCCTATAGAATATTCACTTAATCCATTAATTTTAATACTACTATCATCTTAAATTAGGATCTAATTGATTAAAGAATCTTTCTACTCATATGATATCTCATATTAATCTTATTAACCTCTAAAAATTAATGGTTTAACTAATTAAAATAATCTAACAGCTCCTTCTCCATATCCAAAATTATAATCTAATTTTTTAGATTTTGTATAACTTTCAGGTCCCAAATAAACTCCAACTTAAGATACTTTACCATTAAATGAAGCTACAGTCTAATCTCCTCCTAAGGTGAAATATAATGAATTAGTATTTTTATGTTCAAGTCCTTCAAAAAATACTTCTTCATTTACTCCTACTGTAATCATTAAGCCCTATGCTTTTTTTTCTTCTTAATTAAATCCAAAATAAACATATGTCCAAACATTTGTTGAATATGGTACTGATTTTACAATGATTTCATTTCCTTTACCTTCATTTCCAGATACAGAATAAGTATGAAAATTTAATCCTACATTTGATAATCCTCTAATAAAATGTATTTCAAGTGCTCTATCTCCTAATTGTCTTTTATCTTTAATTCTTTATTTATTAGATCTTAAATTCATAATTTAAAATGAATTCAATTCTCTCACATCTAAATTATCAACCCATCTAAACCAACCTGCTATTGCATAATGTTCATATATAAATGAATCCTTAAATCCTTTTTCATAATTACAATTAGTATTTCCATCCATATCTACTGGTGGCCCAACTATCATTTCTTCATGATATGTCTTTAATCCTTATGGCATAAATGACATTGTCTCTACTAAATTGAACAATTCTTATTCATTATCAATTAATGCAGGTGCTTCTATATCATAAAATATATTAGCAAATTAGCCTTATAATCCTGGATAATGTAAATGTTTCCCTCCAACTATCATTGACATATAAAATGGAGGTGCATGAGTACATGCAATCTCAACTCTCTAAAATTCTCTACCTTTACCATACTATAAAATTTGCTAATGTTCTATCTCCATAATTCTAAAAATCCTAAAAGTCTTTTAAAGATGTTAATCTAGACAAAAAATTATATTAGTTTTTCTACATCTTATATTCAAGACTACTTTAATACTTCAACCAATATCCATATCCATATTCTTCAGAATCTTATAATTCCCTATTCGAAAATTCAATCTCATAAGATGCTTTCCCTTCTACCGTTGAATCATAAAATTTCGATTATCTCACTAAAATATTTGCAGTGCTTTGTAGTGGTTTATGTTTAAATGGAATAAATTTTACTGGATCTATTAATTAATCAGGATTCTCATCAACTCCTTTTGTTGGCACTTAAGCTTAGTTATCTCTTATTAATTCAGTTGGTAATAATGACTTTTATTCTACCTCTTTTTGACCATCAAGTTAATTTATGTCTATACCTATAGGAGGTTGTTGTTATTATTATGTTTAATCTTACTTTTTATTTTCACTTTCATTATTTCTATCAAGTACAATTATTTGTTATTCTGATGATTGTTATGGATTTTTTTATTCATTTTATTATTACTATAAAGGTATAGGTTATTATTATTATTACTCTTGTTGTTATTATTATTATTACTCTTGTTGTTATTATTATTATTACTCTTGTTGTTATTATTATTATTCTTGTTATTATTGTTATTACTCTTGTTATTATTATTATTATTGCTATTCAATTTATTCTTATAATGATGATTTTGATTAAGTTTAATTTTAATTTTAATCAGAAGTTTTTTATTATACTTCTTATAATTCTTCTTATTAATTTTAGTTCTTTTATTAGGGATTCTATTAAGAATTAACTTGTTAAATTTATGATTAAATCTATTAATTAACTTATTATATTTCTTATTATTAAGTTTATTAATTATTTGAATCTGAATTTGATTACTATATAGTCTAAGGTTATTAATTGTTAATTGATTAACTTTACTGTTATGAAATATTTTATTGAGAATTTTACTGAGTATTTTATTGTTACTACTAATTATTAATAGACTATTATTAAGTTGTTTATTATTCTGGTAATTATTATTTCTATTATTATGATTATTACTATTCTGGTATTAATATTTATTCAGTTAAATTAAATTCTTCTGCTTATGCCTGAATTTAAGTAGACTGTTTTAATGAGTCTGGTATTGCTTTAAAATCTTCATCATTTTCAATATCTCCATTTTACATAGGAATAGATTACGTTTTAGATTTAGGTTATACCTCTTGTATATTGTTTATTTCATTTGATTAATCACTTTATAAATCTTAGACTTCTTCATCACTCTAATTTTAAGATTATTATTATTCAACTTCTATACCATTTTTTATTTCTTAATTTTCTTATTATTCAACATCATCTAACCTAACTTCATCTGTTATAACTTAATTAATTTAATCATCTTCTTGTTTTTAATTATCGATATTATCTTATTCATAAATGATATTATCTTCTTCATCATTTGTTTCTACATTTTTCGATAGATTTTCCTGTTAAACTTAATAATCATCATCCTATTAATAATCATATTCATCATTATTTAAATTAATAAACCTTTATTATTTTTAATTCTAGACTGGTTAAATAGTTTCCTCTTCATATTAATCTTAATCATGTTATTATACATAGGCTTATTCTTCCAAAACATCCTCTAAAATATCCTAAAAATCTTAAAATTCTTAATCATCTTACATATCAGTATCTTGATAGTTATTCTCATTTTAAATTTAATCATTATTATCTAAATTATTATCCTTCTCCTTATTTACTAAATCTTAATCATTATTTTTATTCTAATTTTAAATTTCTTAATCATTCACCACAATATGTGAATCTTATATAATATTATACTAATTGTCAGGATCAAGAGCATCATAAGGTTTTGAATCAGTTACAACATAATAATCATTAGAGTCTTAAATTTAATCCTCGTCCTAAATATAATTATTATCATCTTCTTCTACTTCATTAATTTAATAAGGTGAATCTTAATATTGTTAATCTGATTTTGAATAATCTTAATCCTACTATTCTTATACATCATCATCATTATATGATTATTATTTTTAAATTTAAGGTTGATCAAATTCTTAATCTCTTTTCTTTTTAAGTTATCTTTTTATTTTAGGTTATTTAGGTTATCTAAATTATTTGGAATTCTTTCTAGTTCTTTAATTAACTTATTTCTTATATTTACTCTTTTGTAATCTACTATAATCATAATCATCATCATAATCATAATAATTACTATAATCATAGTCATAATCACTACTATCATATAAAACTTATTAAATAGGATCATCATAATCATTTAAATCATATTCATCATAACTTTATGGTTAATAATGCTTATTATTTCTTTCAATTTTTTTTTAGCTTTCTTGCTATTTATTTTAACATTATTGCTTTATATACAATAATTATTTTAAATTAGAGATTAGTTACTCTACATCATAATTAGTAGCTTTTGATGACTGAGATAATATTGATTACATTTTTTATTTTGTTGCTTAAATGCAAACATCAATTTCAGTTAAGAGATCTAATTTCTCTTATTTAGATTGCTTTTGATTCATTTATTACATTAACTACATTATCTTTACAAGATCTATCTCAAATTTAGCTTAGAAATCTTATTTAACAGGCATTTCAATTTCCATTAATGATTATTAATGCAATAACTATTGTTTTGAATTTTTAACAATTTTCTCCACCTCTAACAATCCATTTAAATCATCTCCCAATTAACTATTTAATTCAATAGCTTCTTTCCACTAAATTGTATCAGAGATCATTATGTTTATGTCATCTAGGTCTAGACATCTCAAATTTTGCATATTCAAACTGACTGCTTGTTGGAGTGTTAGCTCTAAATATTTTATAGCATTTACTTGAACTTGCAAAAGTGATCAAACTCACAATGACTATTGTTATATATGCGTTTTTCATAAAATAAATAGAGAACTATTCAAAGAATTTAATCAATAAAATAAAACTTATTATACTCTAACATATTCTGATTTATTAGATAATAATTAACAAGGTTTTGTCTCTTTTTATGATTCTTAACCAATTAAATAAGAAGAGCAATCAATTTTAATTATAAGAACATTAATAATTATTTTGAATTCTTAATAGAATGGTTTATTTTAATTAATATAGATTAATAATAAAATTAATCCAAATAAAATTATTTTGAAATCAATTTTATTATATAACTATAATTTTTTAATAATCTAGAATAATTATTAAAAATAATATATTATGAAATAGAATTGTTAAATGGATTATATATTCATCTCTTTTTAGTCAAATGAATCACATGGAAAATATAGTATAATATTTTGCAATAATAAATTTTATGTTTTTTTAATTTAAAAAAGAAGAAGTTAAATTGCTTAAATTAAAAAAAATAACTGAAAATATAAAATTTTAGAAACTCAAACTATCTATCTAAAATTTTATGTCTATAAATTGACATCAATTAAAAATTAATGAATATTTACTAATAAAAATAAATGAATAATTGTTTTTAAAATAAACATAAAATATTGGAATTTAATTTCATAAATTTATTAATGAACAACAATAGCAACACTAAATTGGATATTCTTCCAAAATTGATAACTTCTTATCATAAACTTCTTGAACCAACTTACTTAAAGAATACCCAAATGAAAGTTAACTTAAATGAAAGCAAATTGTTACCTATAATTTAGAGGAGTTCCATGATGTAGCCTAACGTGAGTTCTAAATAATTAATTGTATAAAGTAAAATAGAAATAAATTATAGGATTGATAAGCAATTTAGACTTTAGTTCCAGACATTTTGGTGCTGCTTGTGATAGAGGCTTTTAAGGTCTGTCAAAATATCACTATTCCCAAAAATTTGGTCATTCAGCTGCTAAATTAGAGCCACTTAACAGAAACATTATAGCTGAACTTACAGATACAGAAGATGCTGAAGAAATTCCAAAAGATGAAAGAACTTATTACAAAAGAATATATAAATTTAAGAACATGCCAATTTTAGCATTAATTAAATCTTTTGAAATTGAATGGATAAGAGATTTTGAAGATGAAGTAAACAAAAAATCTACAAAATCCTTACAATTAAGCTTTTAAACTGCCCTTGCAATATTTAATACATTTCCAGATCCATTAGAATTTTTTCAAAAAAATCTTTAATTGCTAGAAAGAAGTTCTGTTGCCTTAAAATAAAAAGGACTGACTTAATTAAAATATAGAGTAAAGAATTTTGAATAAGAAGAATTTTAGAGATTGATAATCATTAAAAATTAATCAGGTTTAGGATTCTTTAGAATTAATTTTCCAACTATTTAATTATATTAATAAGAATACTCTCATAATTAAACTATTGATTTATCACCTATTAGATTATATGAAATTGTAAAAAATAATTTTTTTGAAATGGCAACAATAGTTGAATAATTTGATATGGAAAAATTTTAATTATATTTATCAGATTAAGAAAATAAAGGAATCCTACAATAATTAGATGAACCATAGATTAAATCAAATAATAATATAATAAAGATTGAAGATAAATAATCTTAATAACAAGATTTAGAATTAAAATCTTAAAAATAAATTTAAAATACTGAGGAATAAAATTAAGTATAATAAGAATTACTATAAAAATTAGAATAAGAATAAATAAAATAGTAAGAATAAGTTTTAATTTGTAATACTGTGAATACTGAACTTACTATTATAATAATTGATGGTATTAATATACATTTTAATATAGAAAAACAAGAATTTCTTGAGAAGATTCTATAAAAGAGATGGATCAAAAAAGTTGTTCCAAAAAATAATATATATTACACAGTTGATTTTTTACCATTTTAAATTTTAGTGAGAGAAAAAAGATCATAAAAAATTATAAAAATGTATTCTCCATCTTTAAAAGAGTTGGATTTTATATTTCTACAATTAAATCACAAAAGCCTACTTCAAATATTGAATGATTAAGTCTAGATTACTTTTGACATGCCTCCAGAAGCATTTGATTATAAAGATTTTAAAAAAGGAACTAAAATATCATTTTTGATAGGTGAAATTACAGAAACACCTCTAGAAGTGACAGAAGAATAAATCAATAATGGTTTATTAAATTCATGGACTAAAGATATAGAAGTGAATAACAAGGATTTGTAAATTATAATAGAGTACAAGATTTGAATAAATTTAGACCTTGTATGCTCGAAATCTACAATCAACTTACATCCAGTACAATTAAAAGATCCTGCACTTCAAAAGAACTAACACATATTTTAGAAAAAAGATATTCAATTGGATTTAGATTAATATGAAGTTTATTAAAATTTTTATTAATTCAGACATGTTTATCACATTCACATTAGCAGATAAATTTGTTAATATATAACTCTTTAGTTAAATGTTAGGAATGACAATCTTAATAACATTATCGACATAAATCTTTTTTGCAAGTTTTACAACTATAATTTATATAAATAATTACTTGAATTGAATTTGATTTTTATTTCTATCTTTATTTTGAATTTATTGAGTGCATGTTCCTAATAAATGACAATAGCATCTATAATCAAATGTATTAAAGGATTCAATAAATGTATGATTTTTTCTAATTTCATTCAAAACTATTTAACTCTTTGTGAGAGAATCAGATCCAAAACTAATTGTTTCTTTATTATTATGATTATTAATATTTTCACATTTAGAATGGCATTATGAGACACATATGCTGCAAATTTAAAATAAATGATTAAGGAAGAAAGAATGAATTTTTGAACATTTTATACAGTAATACATTTTACTCAGTTTAATTTATCTGCCTTAATTACATTTTGTAATCCCATAATCTTAAAACTTTTATAATCCATTATTGTGCATTATAATAGTTAATGTTGTATTTGTTACATAAAATTATAAGGTAAATATTGACATGTTAGGGTACATTTTTTTCAATTCTTTTATTTTTTATTTTTCAAATATTCTATCAATGCGTAAAACAATAAATTTAAGAGAAGAAGTTAGTTATTCAAATTAATTAAATATTTTTTCTAGAAAATCAAAATTAATATTGTTTCCTACTAAAGATAAATATAGTCTCTCTAATTTTTTTAATTTCCCAATATTATTTTTTAATTTTTCTTAAACCATCTTATCATAATTTGTTATATAATCCATAATTAAAACAAGATCTTTTAAACTAAATTTAGATCCTAAATACTCCAAAAATAAACTGATTTCAGAATTTTTTGATTACAATTTAGTTAAATTAAATTAAAATTTTTTTAAATCTAGAGTTCTTAAAGATGCTACTAATTAAGAGAAAACTTACTATAAACCACAATCATCATAATCTAAACTTAATTCCTCTAAAGAAGTTTAATTAAATAACCAAAGCTATGAAGTTTGAGTATAATTTAATTTAATTTTTGGTATTTTAAATTCAAAAGAGATACAATTATATTTACTTAATGTCCACATAATAGTTCTATGATCTTATTCAGAAATTTATGTTCCTATAGTTAAATTAACTTTAGGGATATGTTAGATTTTAGTAAGTAATTAGACAATATTATTAATTTATGGATTTTAATTTTGAATAATAATTTCTAATTATGTTATACAAGGAAATTACATCTTACATAAATTATCTGACCATTTAGAACAAGAATTATGATTTGAATCCTCAATTATTTCTAGAATAAGAATTTAAATATCATTTTAATTAGATAATATTAATTCAGGTGTTTAATTATTTAATTTTAAATTGAGAATTTTACATTTATTAGGAATTATACACTTGTTGTATAAATTATTTTGATTATTTTGATATAAACTAATATAACTATGATACTAATAAAGTACTGAAACTTTATTATAATTACAATAGAGAAAGTCATCTAAAGATTTTTAATCTTCAGGGGCTATCATTTAAATTGAAGGCATAGTTTATGAAGAACTTTCAGGGTGTATTCTTTTAGATTCTACAACAGAATGATTAAATTTTGATTATTGCCATAACTATCTCTATTAAAAATTTTATTAACTATGACTAGGAGATAAAGGAGCATTAATTTATCTATTTTTTGTTGATTGAGTAAGTTTAAGAGGATTAGCAGATGGTGTTTTATTATTATTAAATTGAGTATCCTTTGTTTAAAAATTAGATGGTGAAGATTATCTTGGAGATTTTGATGTTTATCTTTTTATGTTTGAATCAGTTAATAAATTTGTAGATGATTTCTATTTTTTTTGATTACTCAAATTAACTGCAATTTATTTAGCTGATTTCTATCTTTCCTATTAATAAAAATTAGATCCTGTATTTCTACCTCTATTAACTAAAATATCTGGAGAAAGATAATCAAATTATGAAATTCCCTTTTTAGGAGATTCAAATGATTCAAATGTTGTTCCTTTTGAAAGTGCAATTTATTAAGTTTGATTTTCTTTCAATTATAAATAAAAGGACTTCAATTCTATAAAATCAGGACGATTATTAGGATTTATTTATAACATTTTCTTTAAAATAGTTAAAATTATTTAATCTGATTAAGTAATACGTTCAACATATCTTATATAGTCTATTATTATTTCTTCTTCAATTTAAGAATTCACTTTTTACCTAAAATTCCATTATTGTAATGTCACTAAATATAAAAAGCATAAACCTAAAGAATAAACATCACTTTTAAAAGGATTATGTTTAAGTTTTGTTGTTTCTGCATTTAATAATTCAGGTGCTAAATATGATTTAGTACCTACAACATTTATTGTCTAAATTGTTTCAATCTAGGAACTACATCCAACATCACAAGCTTTCAATTAAAAAGGATCCATTATCAATATGTTTTCTAATTTTATATCTCTATGTGCAATGTTCTTTTATTATAAATACTCGAAAATATTGATTAGTTATTCTAAAATTTTATGCAATTCTTCAACTTCTAAATAATGCTTTTTATCCTTAATATATAAATCTAAATTTTGCTATCCTTTTTCCATTAACAAATATGCAAATTATTAACTTTATGCATATTTATCTGCTGATACAGTTTCTAATATCATAAAATCAATTAAATTAATAACATATTCTGATGGATACAATTATTACATGATTTATATTTCATTTTCAATGTTACACTAATTGATTATGACTTACTTAATACAAGAAATCTCTTACTTTAAGTGCATACATTTTACCATTCATCAAAACACTATAAACTCTACTATTTCCTTACCCTAAATGTCCATTATCAATCAAATTTTTACGAAAGTCATTTCCTTTAATAAATTTCATTTAGCTTAATTGGAGAGCCAAATCCATATTAATAAATAAAATAACAAAATAAATCACTTCTCTTAATTCAATCAAATCAAATGGATAACTCAAACCATTTTTATCTTTATTTTTGCATGATGAATTTTTAAATATACTATTTAAACTTCAATTCAAATTATTATTATAATAATCTAACAATAAATTCTTGTAAACACCTCCACTCTCTAAATTATTTAATTAAGTTCAAATTATTAATAACTTTCCTGTTTAGAATATTATTATATATAAAAATAATATTAAAATTTATGGATAAAGAAATAATATAATTTCAAGATAAAAATTAGGAATTGGAAAGCTTTTCATAGAAAATTAGATATACCACCTTAGATAAAAATAATCAAAATAGAATGAAAGAGTTAGCTATTGGAATTAAGATCATACTAATTATTCAAACCTTATTTATTGGAATCATTTTTGGATTAAATATATACTTAAATATATAATTTAGTTGGCCTTATGAGACATTTTTAAGCTAAGCTTTATATATACGAATTTTTTTTTTGACTTTGACAATCATCTTTATAATTCGGCTATTAATCTATAGATTAAGAAACAATATAGCTTAATGTAATTATCAATTATATAAGTAAGACATATTTATTGTAATTTTTATTGCAGCATATCTAATTTTTTTTATTTCATTAAGCTAGATTTCAAATATTTTTGATCTTCAAGGAGAGAAACTCTTCAATTTTTACATTTATTAGGTTTTATTAACCCTATTTATTGGATATATTTATAATCTAATTTATTTTTCATTAGCACAAGATTATATTGAGAGAAGTAATTAGTTTAATTAATTTAGAGGTTCAATGTAGTTAGGCGGTAATAATAATTATAGAGGTAATCGTATATATCTTAGTTTTTATTGGTTTTCTAAGTAATTAAAGTGATTAAAGTGATTAAAGTGATTATTTCTAAAGAATTGTTTCCATATTATTTCTTTAGGGAGTCATAACTTTATATTTACATATGTAGATACATTTATTGTTTAAAATAATCAATGGAAAATTAGAATTAAAACCTAACCAATATTTTTAGGGATATCTATATATACAAATTACAACATTTTTGGTTTGTTTTAAGGATTGATTATTATTATGATTAAATTTAAATTTCAAATCAAGACTCTGATTATATTCTAATAAAATTAGTGATTAACACTAAAAATAATCAATCATTAATTAAATTGATTAAGAGACATTAAAAACAATAAAAAGAGCTCAAATTTTTACTTGAGAATATGATTGAATTAAGATTCTTGCATATTTATTCATATCTAAAAAGTTCTTACTATAACTTTTAAGTATTAATGATAGAAAATATAAGAATATAATTGAATCTTCAGGCAATATATGAAGTTTCTGTTACTAAATTAAACTCTATAATAAAACAAATCCATAAAATTTTATATTATTAATTGTTTAATTAAACTTTGTGATAAAAATAAAATACAATTTTATCATTATTTATTTTTGATAAATTTATAGCCTCAATAAATTAGTAAATTTTTTAGCTAATCTATTATTATAATTATAAAAATTAAGTTCTAGTTACTACTTTAAGAGAAATTTATATTATAATTCTGACGAGAATTTCGATAAATTAATTAATATATTTTAATTAATTAAAAGCTTAATGGGTTGTTTACTAAGTGTATTTTCTTGTTAATAACTAGATAAAAAAAGAATGGCATTACTTTAAAAGTTATTCTTAATATTATTTTAAAAGCGCTGATGAAATTGATGATATTAAAGAAAAAATTACAAGTTATAGTATTTAAAATTAGTACATTAATTAAGAAAAAATTATTGTTGAGAAACCTCATAAAGATTTTACAAAAGTAATGAATCATTTAGAAACTAAAGATAAAATTTTTGAGTAAAAATGTACAATAAAAGATATATTTAACTTAAAATTAAAAAGATAAGGAGTATTACATAATGAAATCAATAAATAAGTAATATTTAGAGTACTCAGGAATGCAAAAATAATTTTAAAATGAGATTTAATTTGGAAAGGAATGTAAAGGGAAATTTATTTAAAAATACCATTAACATTTTATGACCATTAAAAAATGTTATATAATATTAGAAAATGTATAAGGTGGTAATTTGTAGTCTTTAATGAAAAGAAAAGAAATGAGTGAAGTTGAAATTAGATTTTATATCGCAGAAATATTGATTGCTTTATAGAATATTCATAAATATAATGTTATTTATAGAAATTTAACACCTGATAATGTATTGATTGATAATTAAGGTCATATAAAATTAAGTGATTTTTCAATATGTCATTTTGGTACAGAATGTAATTGTCTTAATGGGAATATATATTACTAAGCACCAGAAATCAATTTAATAAAATATTAAAACTAATTATCAGATTATTGGAGTTTAGGAGCATTAATGTATGAAATGTATGTTGGATATCCTCCTTATTTTCATCCAAATATAAATACTTATAAGAAAAATAAAAGAGATTAAAAGCTTGTTATTCCAAACTCAATTTCAGAGTCTGCTTAACAATTGCTAAGACAACTATTAGATAATGATGTATATAAATAATAATGATAAAAGATTTAAGTAAGAATATAGAATGAATCTATAAAAAAAGTGCAATATCATGTATTTTTTGAGGGATTGGATTGGGAATTAATTAAGAAAAAATATATACAAAGTCCATTTATTCCAGAACTTAGATCTAAATCAGACATTAATTATTATTTGCAAGAAGAGAAATAAAAATAAATAGAAGAGTAGTAATAAATATAATGAAAATAAAAAAAAGATTTCTATTTTAAAATGTATTAATTTATATTAATATAATCATTTTCTCTAAATAACATATTCTAATGATACTATTCTTACTCTTTTATCCCAACTACCTGTAATAATTAATTCTCTATATTGATTAACAGCAATACAACTAATTTATTCAGTATGAACTTTAATACTTTTTAAAAGAGTAGGTTAATCTTTAATTTCCCAAACTCTTAAAGTTTTATCAATTCCTGCACTAAATAAATATTTATTAAATCCTAAACTAGTTATAGTTTCATTATGTGCTTATAATTTATGAGCTTTAAAACCTCCTCTTAAATTCCAAATAATAATAATTCTATCAGCACCTCCACTAGCTAACATTTAATTAGGTAATTCTTTTAAACAATAAACATCATCTCCATGAGCAAGTTCATATTTTAATTATCCTTTAAATGCACTCCAAATCTTAATAAAGCAATCTCCTCCAGATGCAAAATTATCATCATCTAATTAAATTATTGTTCTGACTATCTTTTTATGAGCATCTTCTATTGTATAAAAACATTTATCTCTATTCCATATCTTTATTCTATAATCACCTCCTCCTGAACATATATATTAAAACTTTCTTAAATAACATAAACTTTTAACTATATCAAGATGACCTACTAAAGTAAATTCTAATGTCATATATTAAACATTCCATATATGAATCAATCTATCATTACCCCCTGATACTAATTTCTCAGCTATATCTTAATTAAAATCATCACTTATTCCACATAAACACCATATTTCACCTTTATGAGCATCTATTGTACCTAAACACATTTATGAATCTATATCCCAAAATTTTAATACTCCTTCTCCTCCAGCAGATGCAATTTAATTTAAATTTAATACACAAACTGCTGTTACTATATCTAAATGACCTTATATTATTGTATTCAAATGTTTTTATTGACTTATAAATATTTCAAAAGGAAGACCATTTAATTGAGGACTTTCTTTAGGAACTGTTCTTTATTTAAATAATTGATTACTTTGGTACAAAATCAGAACTTTAAGGAACTTTGTACTCTTTTCCTAATAAATCAGAATGTAAATAAGGTTAAATAGCTGACTTATAAAAATCCAAATTCTTTTATTTATTCTTTAAATTGACCTTAAATATAGTCAATGAATCATATTCAGGTTCATCCATTACTACAGGTTTTTTTTCATTATTTAATATGTTACTTACAACAAATGCTTTTTCAATTGCAACTTATACAGCTTTCTCAAAATTTTAATTTATTAATATATCACTACTTATGCTTGATCTACTTAATTCTTCTGCTTATTTAGTTAATGTAGGTACGATTATCTACAGTAATTTTTCTTATAAATCTAATAAGAAATCAAATTTTCTTGAATCATCAACTTCTCCATTTAAAATAGAATTCAATTTATTAATATGTTCTTCACAATTTTAGGTAACTTCTGCAATTTTAGTATGTTTTTCATTGTAAAATTATTCAATTTAAAGAATAACAGTTTTAATAAAAGCTAATAATAATGGATTAAATTATACAATCTAATTCATCTGTAAAATAATTAACAATATGTTTTTATAATTTTTTGCATTCTGATTTCCTAATTTCTCTAGTTTGTATTAAATGATTTTACAACATTGTCATTCTTTATCTAACAATACTCAAATCCTCTTTTATAAAATTATAAACAATACTAGCAATAGTTTTTGGTACAGAGTAACTAGAAGGATCGAAATCTCTTAATGGTAGAATAGCAGCTAAATGATTTTTAGGATGAGTGACTATGCAATCAGAACATAATGTTTTATGTTGACATCCTTTTGTAGTACAAACCATAGTTGACATCTTTCCATGATTAAAACAACGAATCATTATAATTATTATAATAAAGAAAATAGAAATGAGTAAGTATAGTATAATTAATATTAGGGGATCATTTACAGGAAAGTTTATGCATAAATTACAATAATTGATGGGTTTATATTTAGACTTAATGACAACAGCACCAAAAGTAGAATTGACAGAAAATTTATTTAGAGCAACCATCATTTTTTAATTTATGTTCCGTCTTCATTATTTATTACCAGTAGATGGATGGGGAGTATGGAAATATGAAGATTTTAAGATCAAAATTCCATAATAGATTTTATCAACAATATTTTCACAAAATGCAATTTTACTCAAAGTAATTCTAATCATTTTAAATGGTGGTTGTTTATTGATGAGTTTTATGAGAATTAAATTAATGTACTACTATAATAACTTAACTTGGCATATCTTTTTTATGCCTCAAGTTTCAATTCTAATAAATTTTGAATAAAATCCAACTCTATCAACAATTGCAATTTTTTTATTACTCCTTTAATCTTTTATAAATTTATACTTTAACAGAGCCACCAAATTTTTGCACAATAATCCATTTATTAGAAAGTATACTAATCTTACTCTTGTTTCTATAGCTATTGATACTCTTTGCTACATGAAGTTTCAATTTTACTTGATAAGATTAATATTACTACATTTTTCAACAATTGTTTAAATAGTTGATGTTTACACTTTTAACCCTTACAAACCTAAACTCAACTCATTTGTATTTTAATGTTCTATACTATAATATACTCTCATTTTCATAACAACAATCTCAATTATTTAATAATCAGAAAATAATTTGTTTTATTCTTATTTTTTATTTGGAACATTATCAGTAGCATTATCTTAAATAATAATAGAAAAAGGTTCTAGAAAGCAGACTTTTGATTAATATTATGTTTTAATTTAATGTTAATCGTTGTATCTAGCAACTAATTTTTAAAAGGCTATTTCACTTAGTTAACATAAATAAAATTGTAAATTTAAACATGAAAGCTGTGTGACTGATACTATAATTTGTATTCTTGAAAATTCAATAACTAAGAATAAATAAAATAAATTGGATTATGAAATTTTAGAATTAGCATTAATTAATTTCTTATCTTTATAAAAAGCAGCTTTGACAGCTTTTTGTAGATTAAAATTGTATTATAATGCAGAAGATGATCATACAATATATTTTTAGATAAGTTTTCCAAATATAGATAAGAAATTATGGAAAAGAGTTAGAGATGTTCAAAATAGAATCACTAAACAAATAAGATCAACTCAATATTATGATGAAAAAGATCTAAAAACAAAGGATATATATGTTGCATGTTTGATGAAGGATTAATTTTATCCAAAAATAATTGAAGTCTTAAATAGAAAGCTTGAATATTGGAATTAATTATTGTCAGATCTTGCTAATTATGAAAGACTCTTTGAACATACAATAAAGTGTAGTTCAGTAATGCATAATTTTAATATATTTTTAACCAATCTATTTTCTTAAGATTTAGATGAAATATAAAATATTAAAACTGTGATAGAATTAAAAATGTTAGAAATCTATTTTTGTGTAGTCAGAAATGATTAAGTTTAAGCCACAAAAATGCAAAAGTTTATTATAGAAATGTTGAGATAGGAAACCCAACAAGATGGTAAACTTTTAAATTGTAGCATTCTTGAAAACAAAGTTGTTCTATTATACACAAGTATAGTTAAAGCATCAGGATTTATAATAAAAACAAATAGTGGATAATTAGCAAAATTTTGGGGATATGAAAGTGAATTAGATTTTCATGATATTAAACATATTAATTAGTTGATGCCAAATTTCTGTGCATCTGTCCATGATTAATATATAGAGAGATTTTAAACTATAGGTCATAGTATTCTTTTTGGGAAATGTAGAACTATATTTCTAAAAGATAAATACGATCTACTCATTCCAGCTAGCATTACTATAGATAATTTCTTTATCAGTTATGATGATTATGTAATCACCGCTGCTTTTGCTAAAAATAAAGAGACTTCTTTATATATTCTATTTGATTGCAAAGGTAAAATACTTGGAGTCACTTAATTGATGTATAAAGTATTTCATACTATCGATTCAACAATAACTCCAGAATTATTAAATACTGGATATATTTTTTAGATAATTCCTAATATCTTCTATTTAGTTAATAATCATACTAATGCTGAATATGATAACCTTCTTTTTGAAGAGAGGATCCATTTAATTATTGGAAATCCTATTAAATAATAATTTGAAAAACCCATTAATTTATCAAGACACAAAGCTTATTATGATGATTTATGGACTCTTTATGATGATACTAAAAATCATAAAAGTGAAATGTTTCTTCAAGATTATTAAGATTCTTGTAAGTAATTCATAGATCATTTATTAAAAACAGTGAATTTTGAAATTATATGCCAACTCCATTATTAAATAATAGGACATTATAAAACAATGCCTTTGTTTACATTAGAAATTTTAGATATAATAAAAGCTGATTTATCATCAAGTATGACATATTCATCATAAATTGAAATAAAAACTAATGATTAATTTGAGCCAGATCCAGTTGATTTAAGTTCAATTTAAGAAGAGAGTTTCCAGAAAGTGAAATAAAATGATTTACAATAATTAGATAATACATTACAATAAATACCTGAAATATCTTTTATAAAAAGAAGATTTGAATCATAGATAAATGAATAAACTCAAAGAAACAATAAATAAAAATAATTCACATAACCATAATCTCAAAAGGCTACATTTTAGGTAATAAAACAGAAAAGTTTGAATGATGATCTAAAAAGTATAGAAGAAGAAATGAAGATAATTAAAGCTAATAGAAGATAAAGTTAAAGATAAATAATAAATCAAAAATAAAAAGAGGAACATAAAAGTTCTGAAAAATTGACTAAAAGAAAGAATATCATAGATTAAATCTAAGATAAACGTAAACAAGATATTAATGAAATGGATGCAGTAAATTCTGTTAATTCTATTACTTCTAATTTAATAAATTATAAATAAGATCTTATAAGGAGTGTATATAAATCAAGTAAAATTCCTTACTCACTTAAAATGATAATAATTTTTGATTTGATGATTATCTCAGCAATATTGGTCTTTAATATATTTCCAATTATTACAATTCATAATAATAATATTCATGCTATTCATTAGATAGATGCTATAATGGCTCCTTATCTATATAATTCTTACTATTGTTAATTATACGTTCATAATTTGATTTTTGAATTATAAAAACTATAAATAGTAAATTACAGTAAGGAATTGATTCATGATATTGAAGCTATTAATTAAAATAATACTCTTCTTTAAGACTTAAGTAAATATTATCCAGTCTTTCTAGAAATAGAAAAACTAACTTACTTTCCTGCATTAAATATTCATTTCATAAATACTGATGATTAATTTAATGTTTCATTCACATATATGTACAGTGTCTTAATTGAAAAACTTCAATATTTCACATAAAAAGGTTAAGACTTTGCTAAATATCAAATGAATGAATCTGAGATTATCTCTTCCTTATATTTATATGCAAATTTGTAAGAAAGTATATCCCTATATTCAGATCTAATCTAATTAATAGTGTTGACTTTTTTTGAAGACGTGGATTATGATGAGAGTAACTTCCTTAAATATCTTTTGGTTGCACTTTTTATAACTTTCTTTTTATTTTGGACATAGATTATATATTTTCATTAAATCTTTAATTATTTTAAAAAGATAATTTATTTGAATTGCCGATTATTAGAAAAGGATGTTCATTTGATAGTTTAGAGATTATAATTAATACGAGAAATATTAATTGAACATACAGTTACAAATTGGAAGAAGGCTGATTATGTTCATTTAATGTTTCAATAGATTTAACCAGACCAGATCTAAGTTTAATCCAAAATTAATAAGCATACATTACTATGTTCAAGAATTGCTTAAAGTAAGTTTTCATTACTTGGTATTCTTGGTATGATAATATCTGTTTAATTAATGATAATCGGTTTTTGTTTAGGAGGATACTTTTTTAATGAGATATAGTAAATAGAATTAACTCCTTAATATGAATTAATGTCATAATTCTTTTAATTTTCAATCACTATGGATTCTATGGTTACACAATCAATACGTGTTAAATGTCAAAGACTCTACATGCAAAATAATAAAATCAATGAATCTATAACAGTTTAGAAAAGTTTGGTTAATTAAAAACTTATATCTATTAGAACTACAAATTTAACCTTTTATTAAATTTTATTTAAAAATTTTGTTAAATCAGAAGAATTAATCCTTAAAGGATTAGTAAATGATGATTAAGTGGATAGATAAAATAATTCAACATTGTATCAACTTTTCTTTAATGATATTTGTTCATTAGTATGTCCTAATTCTACTAATGAAAAAGATTAGAATAAATACTATGTTAATGAAGGTATCTCAGGAGTATATTCTGGTTTAAGTAAATTTATAAAAAGTACTTTTAATTATGAATTGGAGAATCTATAGTAAGATCCTGATATCAAAGCTTAAATTAATGTTGTAAATTCTCATGAATTTATAATATTATTCTCAAGACATTTTTTAAATACAAAAAAAGCATTTCTAAAATTTTAAGAAGAAATTCTTGCTAAAACTTATGGGGTAATTTAATAAAATGATATTGAAATCTAAGCATATTTTTCATGTGCATTATTACTTGAAATAATAATAGCAGGAATTATTTTTATATATTGTATAAAAATAAAACAACATCAAATATAATTAATGAGATTGTCTTTAAGCAGTATTCCAATAGATTTATTAGATTAACAATCAATAAGTATTCTAAAAACATTATGAATAATTTATTTATTATAATATTAATTTTATGAATAGTTGAACAATTAATTAAAAAGTATTAATAAATTAAATGAAATAAATCTTTTTTTTTTGTATCTTAACTTATCAAGCAATAGGGTAAGTAATAATAGAATCTTCATAAAAATGTTTATGTGTTGATATTTAAGAATAGGTATAATGTGAATCAATAAACTGTTATTGGGATGAAAAATGCTTAGAAAATAAATGTGAAAATAAAAAATAAGCTAAATGTTTTGGAGAATGTCAATGGTCAAATGGATAATGCATAAATTATAACTTTAATTGTAATGATTACAGCACATAAAAGAGTTGTGATTAATAAAGTACATGTGGTTGGTCGACTTAAGAAAAATGTTTGAAATTTGAAAAATGTTCAGAGTATTTAGTAACAGATCCAAATTTATGTTACTCAAAAGGTACTGAATAATGTGAAGCAAGTACTACTATAATTAATGGTAAATATCAATGTAGAGATAAAGTAAATGTAGATTGTGGAATTATAACATCATAAAATATATGCAACAATTCTAAATAATCTAGTAATATAAAATGTAGATGGAAATAATCAACTGATTAATGTTTAGCTATAAATGATATAAATAGTTGTGAAAATGTAAAAGATTGGTAAGAAATGTGTGACACTAATGCTTGTGTTTGGTTAAATAATACATGTAAGACAAGAGAATGTAGCAGTTTCACCATCTAAAAAACTTGTAAATACATTCCAAATTATGCTTAAACTTAAATATCAATTTGTGTTTGGACAGAAGATAAATGTTAGACTCTCTTAAACTCTAATGAATTATCACAAGATTAATGCTTTCAAAATACAAAGGGAGGTTACATGTGGATAAATGATGGATGTGTATCTTGCCACGCTTACTTCTTAAATATTATCACAATGCTAATAATATTCATATTTCTAGGCTGAATATTTATTATAAATTATTTTATTATTATTTTATTGCTTGAATATATTATAAAAAGTGATTATTTAATATGATCAATAAGATTTCTTTTACTTCATTACTTTCGCTGCTTTTATTGTAAAAGTTATAGTAACCACTATCATTAATCCAATAGTTAATATTGAAAAAAGTATTATTTTACTTGAAATTACATTCATCTTCTCATTTCTGTTTGTCTACAACTACATTAAATCCTATTGAGCAGACTAATTGTTTATTTCAAGCATTTACTTTTAGGTGTTATAAAGTATTGTTGTATTATATCACTTACTTTTCAACTTCCTTCAAATCTTTAATAGATGCTAATTCTGCTTGTATTCCTTACTCATAGAAAAATTATATGTTCATCTAATAATGTGCAAGATTATGAATGCAAATTTGAATCTGTGTTGTTTCATTAAAAAGTTGAGTAAACTTTTGTGTTAATTCATGATACGTGTAAAACAATTGCTTATTCAGACCTGTATCTGTTATTTTAAGACTATAATCAGCAGACTCACCTTCCACAAACCCTTGAATCATTTCCTTTTCCTATAATCTATCACCAAAACATCTTATTTATCGAGCCGGCAATTTTAATCTTAAATCTACAGCATTTGCTAAGCAAATTAGAAATAATAACATTAAATTATATTCAAAATTAAAATAAATTCTCATCAAAACATAGATTATAATAAGTTACCCAATAAATATAGTAAAACATTAACTTAAATTAAAGAGTTAATGTAAAGAGACAAAAATATAATTAGAAAAAATTTTTATTTAATCTATGTAATANTACTATAATTAATGGTAAATATCAATGTAGAGATAAAGTAAATGTAGATTGTGGAATTATAACATCATAAAATATATGCAACAATTCTAAATAATCTAGTAATATAAAATGTAGATGGAAATAATCAACTGATTAATGTTTAGCTATAAATGATATAAATAGTTGTGAAAATGTAAAAGATTGGTAAGAAATGTGTGACACTAATGCTTGTGTTTGGTTAAATAATACATGTAAGACAAGAGAATGTAGCAGTTTCACCATCTAAAAAACTTGTAAATACATTCCAAATTATGCTTAAACTTAAATATCAATTTGTGTTTGGACAGAAGATAAATGTTAGACTCTCTTAAACTCTAATGAATTATCACAAGATTAATGCTTTCAAAATACAAAGGGAGGTTACATGTGGATAAATGATGGATGTGTATCTTGCCACGCTTACTTCTTAAATATTATCACAATGCTAATAATATTCATATTTCTAGGCTGAATATTTATTATAAATTATTTTATTATTATTTTATTGCTTGAATATATTATAAAAAGTGATTATTTAATATGATCAATAAGATTTCTTTTACTTCATTACTTTCGCTGCTTTTATTGTAAAAGTTATAGTAACCACTATCATTAATCCAATAGTTAATATTGAAAAAAGTATTATTTTACTTGAAATTACATTCATCTTCTCATTTCTGTTTGTCTACAACTACATTAAATCCTATTGAGCAGACTAATTGTTTATTTCAAGCATTTACTTTTAGGTGTTATAAAGTATTGTTGTATTATATCACTTACTTTTCAACTTCCTTCAAATCTTTAATAGATGCTAATTCTGCTTGTATTCCTTACTCATAGAAAAATTATATGTTCATCTAATAATGTGCAAGATTATGAATGCAAATTTGAATCTGTGTTGTTTCATTAAAAAGTTGAGTAAACTTTTGTGTTAATTCATGATACGTGTAAAACAATTGCTTATTCAGACCTGTATCTGTTATTTTAAGACTATAATCAGCAGACTCACCTTCCACAAACCCTTGAATCATTTCCTTTTCCTATAATCTATCACCAAAACATCTTATTTATCGAGCCGGCAATTTTAATCTTAAATCTACAGCATTTGCTAAGCAAATTAGAAATAATAACATTAAATTATATTCAAAATTAAAATAAATTCTCATCAAAACATAGATTATAATAAGTTACCCAATAAATATAGTAAAACATTAACTTAAATTAAAGAGTTAATGTAAAGAGACAAAAATATAATTAGAAAAAATTTTTATTTAATCTATGTAATAAAAAATACTCTCAATATCATGATTTAGTAGATCAATATTTTTAAATTAAACTTAATATAAGTATTTAATTTTAGAAATTTAATTATTTATCTTTTTAACATCCATATATATTTTAAGATTTTTGAAATATAATTGAAAACTTTTTATTTAAATGTTAAAGAAAATTAGTTGAAAACTTCTAACCTGAATTTACAAAATAAGATCTTTACAATTTTTCATATTATTATTTTCAAGATTATTGAATTATATTTCTTTGAAATTTTTGAATTTAAAAATATTTTAAATTGATCAATAACTTAGCATCTTGATATTTAATATGATTATTTCATTAATGATATATGTTTGAGAATAAAAATAAATTTAACTATTATAAATTAACATTAAATTATTCGTTATATACATAATAAAGAAATTCCTCTAAGAATTAACTTTACAACATATTTATGAACAATTTCTTATTTTGAACTTATTGGGCAAGATAATAAATTTATATTCTAAGAATGATAAGATTCATTATAATATTAAAGATTTTATTTTTGAAATCATGTTCATCAAGATGTCTTTTACATCTGGAAATAATTCTACTGTTTCTATAATCTCCTCATTCTATGGAACAGTTGTTTGACTTTCTTTATACATTGTATCATAATCTCTTGTATATAGATTGAATTCCTTACTTTCCCATAATTTATATCCATCTATATCTCAAAAATTTGTAATATCGATTTTTTACGGTACTAAGTGATTTTTATGGAAAAAAAGTTGATATAACTTTGAATTTAGGACCTAATTTTAATACAGATGAAAGAATTAATTTATCTTCAGTTGGAGTAAAGGATTCAAATGCTGGAATTTCTGTTCTTTTTCTTAACCCTACTCTTTTTGCTTTGGTATATAGTCTTTTGCGTTTCATTTTCTTTTTTACTATTCTATTTTCACTTTTGATTTTTGAAACTACTATTTGTAGGTTGTCCTATTCTTTTTTAATAATTGATCGTGTTCTTGGAGGGCCTTGACTATTAGTTTTTATCGATTGTTCGCCTTCTGTTCCATTATTTGACATAAAGATAATCAAGTAAATTTTAGGAATTAAATTATTGAATTTCTGTTTTGTGAATTTAAACAAAAATTTTATAATGNATCATGATTTAGTAGATCAATATTTTTAAATTAAACTTAATATAAGTATTTAATTTTAGAAATTTAATTATTTATCTTTTTAACATCCATATATATTTTAAGATTTTTGAAATATAATTGAAAACTTTTTATTTAAATGTTAAAGAAAATTAGTTGAAAACTTCTAACCTGAATTTACAAAATAAGATCTTTACAATTTTTCATATTATTATTTTCAAGATTATTGAATTATATTTCTTTGAAATTTTTGAATTTAAAAATATTTTAAATTGATCAATAACTTAGCATCTTGATATTTAATATGATTATTTCATTAATGATATATGTTTGAGAATAAAAATAAATTTAACTATTATAAATTAACATTAAATTATTCGTTATATACATAATAAAGAAATTCCTCTAAGAATTAACTTTACAACATATTTATGAACAATTTCTTATTTTGAACTTATTGGGCAAGATAATAAATTTATATTCTAAGAATGATAAGATTCATTATAATATTAAAGATTTTATTTTTGAAATCATGTTCATCAAGATGTCTTTTACATCTGGAAATAATTCTACTGTTTCTATAATCTCCTCATTCTATGGAACAGTTGTTTGACTTTCTTTATACATTGTATCATAATCTCTTGTATATAGATTGAATTCCTTACTTTCCCATAATTTATATCCATCTATATCTCAAAAATTTGTAATATCGATTTTTTACGGTACTAAGTGATTTTTATGGAAAAAAAGTTGATATAACTTTGAATTTAGGACCTAATTTTAATACAGATGAAAGAATTAATTTATCTTCAGTTGGAGTAAAGGATTCAAATGCTGGAATTTCTGTTCTTTTTCTTAACCCTACTCTTTTTGCTTTGGTATATAGTCTTTTGCGTTTCATTTTCTTTTTTACTATTCTATTTTCACTTTTGATTTTTGAAACTACTATTTGTAGGTTGTCCTATTCTTTTTTAATAATTGATCGTGTTCTTGGAGGGCCTTGACTATTAGTTTTTATCGATTGTTCGCCTTCTGTTCCATTATTTGACATAAAGATAATCAAGTAAATTTTAGGAATTAAATTATTGAATTTCTGTTTTGTGAATTTAAACAAAAATTTTATAATGATTTTGTCATTCATAATACAATAATTGATTAAACTTAAAATACATAGGTCTTCTTTGTTTTCTTTAAATTTACAAAGTATTGTGAAATATTTGATAAAACCTAACTAAATATATTATTATTTCGGTTTAAGTTATTTTGTCATTTATAAATGAATTTGAGTAAAGACCTATTCAATGATTGATAGATTATTATTGTGTGATTATTGACTAATATAATTATTAATTACTATTATCTAAATTCTCTTTGTACCTTTTTAAAATTAATGTTCATTTCAATGTTCAAAATTTATATTTAGATTAACTCATAAATAAAAAAAATAATCGCAAAACATCTAAAACTATTAATTAAGTAAAATACAATGAAATATAAATGAAGTAGTAGATAAATATTAATGCTAAAAATGAGTAATAATATATAGATAAATTTTGAAGAATTTGATGGTTTTAATTCATCTTATATTAAAAAAATATATAAATAAATGGGAGCATTCTGTCCAAATCAAAATATTAAAGTTCTTCCTTCGCCAGTGATTTAAGAAGAGATTACAGTTGACCCTCAAGTAGAAATTGATACTCTTATTAATTAAGAAACTAATTACAAACTTAGTTTAATTCATAATTTTTGTATAGAGAATCCAACTTTATAAACATGTGATGAAGTAATCTTAGAAATCCTCTCTATATCAATTTCATTTATGGTTAAGGATTTTTCTGAATAATCGAACTTTCTTAAATTACAAATATAAAAGCAGGTGTAAGACTTAATTCATCATAAAATTGATTTTCAGGAAGATCTTTTAAAAATGCTAATAAATTATTATGAGTTTCTAAGTTATGTTTAAGAAAAAGGAGCTACAAAAGTTATTTCTTGGTGGAATGATCCTGTTGGTGTAGTTGAAATAGTTTAAGCAATAAAGCATTGGTCACAAGAATTTATTAAATATGGGGGTAAATTAAGAAGAGAAAGAGCATTAAGAAAATTAAACTTTGACCCTAAACCACCAGAACGCTTTGTAAAAACTTGGGAATGGATTAAAAAGTAATAAGAGGGATAAGAGGATGATTTGAAACCAAAAAGGGAGACATTTGCAATTACTAATAAGTTTGAAGATGGTTTCGAAGAACTTTGATGTAATTTAGAAATATCTTTATTAATATCTATTAGTTAATTTAAATAATATATTTCTTAAATAGTTAAAAAAATTACCAATTAGTTTTTAATTTAAATTGTTAAATTTTGACTATAAAAAAAAAAATAGTTTCCATAAATTAGTTTAACATTTCTTTTATTGTATTAAATAAGAAAGTAATAAATAATTTAACGTTATAAATAAAGTTTTTATTTTATTGAATTAAAAATAACATCAGATAAATTTTGAATTCCATATTTGATATCTTAATTTAAGTTTTTTTAAAAATTTGATAAAAAGTGAAAAATAAAATTTTAAATATCTGTCATCGTTTAAACAAATTTAAAAATATACAGAAATGGAATAATAACTTTGTTATTGAAAATAAATAAGAAAAAAATTGATAAATTAAATTAAACAAAAAATGGCAATAAATAATGGGATGGTTGTTCACTTTAGAGTGAATTGTGAATTTGTATTTAAAGGGTACTTATAATGATAAAAATAAGATGGTCAACAACAGTAGATGAAACAGGATTGTTCTTTTTTGGATGTCTTATTGTAATGTTTTATTGCATGCTTCATATGAATCTCTATACTGTTAAGTTAATTTTACCAAAAATGTAAAAAGTATTTAAAATTAAAGTTTGTTTCTTGATATCATTTGGTATTTAGTTTATGCAATATCTGGTATAATGGTAATGTAATTAATAATGACAATGAATGGATGGGTGAATGTAGCAGTTGTTTTAGGATGCATTATAGGTTATTCAATATAGGAATCTTGGTCATAAATATATGAAAAAGAAAATTAAGCACCTCCCGGAGGTTGTGAATTTTGTAATTGAGATTATTCATATTATATAAATAATATGATGTATTAAAGATTTTTGAAATATTAATAATATTCGATATAGGTTGATTAATTAACATAAATAATGTAATTTTAGAATAAAAGAGAGATATGTGGATTTAAAATAAAATGATTATTAAAAGGAATTTATAAGTAATAATAAATCCACCTATTTTATTACGTTTTAATTGATTATCTACTCATTTATGCTTTTTTTTAGATTTTTCTCTTCTTTTTTATTTTTTAATAGGACTTTCATCTCTCTTCTTATGTTTTTTGACTGATTTGGATCTTGATCTTTCTCTAGGTTTTTTGGTTGCCTTAACTTCATCTAAAAATATGTAAGAGATAGAAATACCTTTTTTTGATTTTCTTCTTTTATCTTCTTCATCTTTTTCAACATGTTCTTCTTTAGTTTTTTTTAGTATTTCTTCACTTCTTGATCTTCTCAATTCTCCTAAACCACCACCAAGTCGACGGGGTCTCCATTTTAGAATAGTTCTACCTCTTTCGATGTCTACAACCAACTTTCTACCATCTATACGCTTATCTACTGCATATTTATAAGCTTATTTAACACTGTTCTTGCTTTCATACTCTTTTAATTTAAGATCACCCCCTTACCAATGAATGCATAGCCTCTAGGCTTATCTTATGTAGAATCACGTATGATTCTTATTGATTTGATTGGTCCATATTCTTCAAATTCTTTACGTAGTTTTTTATCAGTTGTAGAATAATTCAATCTACTCACAAATAATGTTTTATAAGGTTCTGATGTAATATTAGGATCTTCAAATGGATTCCACTATTAAAGTCTTTTCTTTAATTCTTCATTGTGAAGATTCTACTTTTCCAATCTCTTTAATATTTTAGCTGGCTTTCGAGATGGTTTTATAATATCTTTTATATTCATTCAAATTTACCCTTCTCTCTTTCCTCTCTTTACATTTACTCATATTCATCCTCAAATTTATCAATCATCCATTCAGCCTTTCTACCTAAACCTAATATTGGATCATAAGCTCTGCATTTTGGCTTAGGTTAAGATTTAATATGCGCTATTTATGGTATTACAAATATTGGTTGCATCTTATACTAATTATAATATCATACATCAGGTGGAAAGTCAGGTTTTCTTATGTTAGTCACCTATTACATTTAAACTGGGTTATTCATCATATGTGCAAGTGGCATCATAGGAGGTTAAGCTTGATAATACATTTTTAATTAATTTATAAATCAAATTCACATTTTCTATATTTGATCAATCAATTATTCTATAATTATATACTATTTCGTTGAATCCTTAATTATCATATATTCATAATATCAGTTTATTCATTAATACTCTAAAATAATATAAATCTATATTAAATGCATTTAATAATTTTATATATTATTTATATCTTTCTAACCTCAATTAAATAAAATATAAGAAAATCAATATTCTCTCTTTATTTTTTAAAATTATCATTCTAAATTTATACTTTAAAATCTTTATTTTTATTTTTATGACTTTTAGTTTCATCAAAATGGTTTTATAAATTTTATATTAATAATTCGTTAACTTATGATAAATGAATAAATACTTCAAGAACTTAAAAGCTCAAATTTTAAATCCATTATTGATAATTGTGTGTACCTTAAAAAAATATCAAATACATTATATGGAGATGCAGAAGTTTTAATTCATAAGATTTATAATGTTTAATTGATTCTGATCACAAAAATATTCCATAGAAAAGAAGAGGTTAAAAAACTGCAAGAAGAAACAGCAATGAGGCTAAACCTTATTTCAGAAAGAATACTACGTTTAATTTGTTTTAATAGTAATATGAAGTATTTAATATAGCAAAGGAAGTAAAGGAATTATGTGGTAACTTCTATAGAATCTAATGGATATATGAATTTCATTCATGTACACTTCAAGATAATATTTAACACAGAAAGAAAAAAGGAATGCCTTATACTGAATCAGAAATCATTAATCTTTTAGAAACAATACTATAAGGATTTCAAATTTTAAAATCTGTTTCTATTAGACATGGTTATCTTTAACCTAAACATATCATTCAAAAAACTAAATCTTAAAACTATTGTATTTCTGATATTAAGTTTATCACTAAAATGACTGAATATTAAGAAGTCTTATAAAAAATTGACTCTCTTTAACAATGTTTCTTATCTCCAGAGCTCTTAAAAGAACTGCAAAAAGGCACTTAATAAGAAAATTCAAATTATGAAAAAAATGAAATCTTTTCAATTGGATTAATCTTATTGAATTGTATGCTCCTTGATTATCCAGATATTTACGATCTCTCAAATTTTACTCTAAAGTAATCAAAACTTTGCTAATATTTAAATGCTGCTGAATAAAAGTATGAGAGTGCCTAAATTTTAAGAGAAATGCTTCTGATTGACATTTATCATAGGTATGCAATTAATTGATAGTAGACCATCATTAGAATAACTTATTTCATTACTTATGTAATTCAAATACAAAATGTAAATTAAACCATCTCCAAAACCTTAGACTAATTATATTCTTCATATTGATCAAAGTAAAGAAAACTATTCATCATTATACGATTGCAAATTTACCATTGAAAACCAATAACATTCTATAACTCCATAGAAATCCTAATAATAACGAGTTCATTCTCGTAAAATATCTTAATTGACACCAATTACACATCTTATACATTCTCCATTCAATTAGAACAAATAAGAAAATACAGAAGCTTCAACAATAAGCCAAAATAGTTACTTTTATTTGGATACTTCAAATATTAATTCGGATCCATATAACTTTACTTATAGGGATGTTACTCCAGAAAGAAATACTAAACCATGTACATCTCCATATAAATGTATTGCTTCCAACAATTTACAAAATTCAAAAACTAACAATTATTTCTTTCCATCCTAAAAATAAAATGAAAACTCATTCTTACAATAACAAGAATAAATCAGTTATGATTTTGCAGAAGGAATAAAATTAAACGTTCCAAAATCGTTATAATTAGAATTTAAGAAATTAGAAAAAAGAAATTACCAATAAATGAATTAATATTAATAGTAGTTATTTTGAAACAAATATTTTTTGATAATAAATTATGCTATTCAAATATTAATTTCTTATTTTCTCAAATTCTTTATACTCTCATATTATTACATTAAATACTAACTAATTTTTTTTGAATATTCTTCTTTTGTTAAATCCTACTCATTCTAGATAAATAAAATCTCCTCAGGAATATTGAACTTTTCTTTTATTTTCTTATTAATTTCTTTTATCTTATTCTATTATAATATATTTTCATCATTTTATATCATTTTTTATTATTATTATTCTAATAGTTCTTAATTTTTATTTTATTCTATATATTTAGAAGGGTCTGCAATTATTTCAACTTATTCTTATTACTTTTCCTCATTTTTATTTGATTCATAATATTCTTTTTGCAGAGTTTATTTAAATTAACATACTTACTCTTACTATTATTAGTAGTTATTTTAAAGATTATTCTGTATTGATTTTATTTCTGGTGGATTAAAAAATTTATTTTATTAGAAATTAAAAACATTCTAATCAACCCTAGGATTGTTGACATTTTATGAAGGTTAAAATACTTTTTAGTCGGTCTTTTAGTATAATTGATTTTAATTTTGATTCTATTCAAATTGACCTTTATTTAATAAATACTATTACCTTATTAGAAATTGAATTCATTTTTTTATTGTTTTTGATCCGTATTGTTTTACGACTATTTAAAATTATGTAATATTTCAGGATTGAAAGGAAATTTTTAATTGGGGTTAGGAAAATTTTAATTGGGATTAGGAAAATTTTAAGGAAAATATTAATTCATTTAATTTTAGTTCATGGCTTAAGTTGGTTAGAATTAGTTAAAATTTGGAATTTCACTAATAGTATTTTAATTCTAATGCTTAAATTAGAACTAAAAGTTATTTTACCACTACATAAAATTCTTATTATTTTATTAGTAAACATTTTAAGTGTTTTAATTAAAGTCAAATTATTTTCCTTTATTCTCATGTTAAAACTGAGCATTTTATAAAGGAATTTAAAAATTAAATTTTTATTTATTTAAATTCTAATAATCATTTTGAAAGTATAATGGTCTATTTTATTTAATTTAGTTTTAAGAAGCAACTTCATTTTAAGTCTTAATTAAACTTTAAGTAATTGTTCTTTCAAAATCTATTGCTTATTCTATTGAATATACTTTTTATATAATTTCTAGTGAAGGTCTATCTTTAGGATTATAGCTTAACATTTATTTTATTAAAGTTTTATATTTCATATCAGTTTGAATTTAATCTATTTTTTAATGAATAGCTTATTCATCTTATTAGCAAGATAATATTTAATTTTGTATTTCATATAGAGTTCTGCCATTAAATAAAGGTTAGCAAGTATAAAGCTCAAATATTAAAGTTCCTAAAGACCAAATATCTGCAGAATCATCATAATTTTATGACTGTATAACTTCTGGAGCTTAATAGTATGGTGTTCCTACATTCATAGTTTTAAGAATATTATTTTATAAGGTACCTCTGGCATTATTTGATTGAATTTCTTTAATTTCACCAAAATCACATAATTTATATTGATTTCTACCTGTTATTGGATCTTTCTAAATTAAAATATTTTCAGGCTTAAGATCTCTGTGGAAAAAGTATTCTGCTCTTAAAACTTACAATTATCTGCACACCTTAAAATATTAATTATTTTTATACATCTAACAAAATTTTTTATATTTCTTATTATTATAATTTTTATTTCTATAACATTTAATAGAGATTGCCACCTGAACAATATTCTTGAATGATTACAAGGTAATTAATGTGAAAAAAATATTNAAAATTATGTAATATTTCAGGATTGAAAGGAAATTTTTAATTGGGGTTAGGAAAATTTTAATTGGGATTAGGAAAATTTTAAGGAAAATATTAATTCATTTAATTTTAGTTCATGGCTTAAGTTGGTTAGAATTAGTTAAAATTTGGAATTTCACTAATAGTATTTTAATTCTAATGCTTAAATTAGAACTAAAAGTTATTTTACCACTACATAAAATTCTTATTATTTTATTAGTAAACATTTTAAGTGTTTTAATTAAAGTCAAATTATTTTCCTTTATTCTCATGTTAAAACTGAGCATTTTATAAAGGAATTTAAAAATTAAATTTTTATTTATTTAAATTCTAATAATCATTTTGAAAGTATAATGGTCTATTTTATTTAATTTAGTTTTAAGAAGCAACTTCATTTTAAGTCTTAATTAAACTTTAAGTAATTGTTCTTTCAAAATCTATTGCTTATTCTATTGAATATACTTTTTATATAATTTCTAGTGAAGGTCTATCTTTAGGATTATAGCTTAACATTTATTTTATTAAAGTTTTATATTTCATATCAGTTTGAATTTAATCTATTTTTTAATGAATAGCTTATTCATCTTATTAGCAAGATAATATTTAATTTTGTATTTCATATAGAGTTCTGCCATTAAATAAAGGTTAGCAAGTATAAAGCTCAAATATTAAAGTTCCTAAAGACCAAATATCTGCAGAATCATCATAATTTTATGACTGTATAACTTCTGGAGCTTAATAGTATGGTGTTCCTACATTCATAGTTTTAAGAATATTATTTTATAAGGTACCTCTGGCATTATTTGATTGAATTTCTTTAATTTCACCAAAATCACATAATTTATATTGATTTCTACCTGTTATTGGATCTTTCTAAATTAAAATATTTTCAGGCTTAAGATCTCTGTGGAAAAAGTATTCTGCTCTTAAAACTTACAATTATCTGCACACCTTAAAATATTAATTATTTTTATACATCTAACAAAATTTTTTATATTTCTTATTATTATAATTTTTATTTCTATAACATTTAATAGAGATTGCCACCTGAACAATATTCTTGAATGATTACAAGGTAATTAATGTGAAAAAAATATTCGTATTAAATCAGCAAGCAACTAAAAGAGTTCTATTTTCTGAAATAAATTTATAAGAAATTTATTTCACTCTATTTCATCTGAGTAACTCTTTTCAATGCATAAAATTTCTCATCATCTCCTTTTACTTGATAGACGTATCCTTAACTTCCATTATCTAAACTTTTAATAATGGTGTAGGTTGTTCTTTATCCTTTTATCCTCTCATTTGGAAAAAAGTTCATTTTCAATCAATCAAAATTTAAATAAAAAATATTTATTATGTTGTATTGATAAGTTAAACAATATTTAAATAGGCTTGTTGATTTTAGTTATAAAACAATTCTATAAAATAATCATAATTAAAATAAACAACAGAAAAATAGATTAAATTTATTTTTTTTTTATTTAATAACTTAGATTTATAGCATTCAATTCAAAATTTATTTGATTTACACTTAACAAATATTTAAAAATATAAATCAATATAAAATATAATATAAGAAGCATTTAATTCACTCATATTGAAATTAAAATAAATATATAGAAACTATATTAATTTTTTAAAACTTTATCTAATAAGAGTTATGGATATATAAATATATCATTATTTTTATTTGCTTTGTAATATTATTGGATATACATATTGAGATAAAAATGTAGCAATATTTACCTTAATTTTACTTGTTAGGAAAATATGATTTTCTTAATAATTATTTATAACTAAGAGTAATCAAAATCAGTTAATTCATTTTATTTTGTGGTATGTATAGATTTTTCTAAAAAATCTAAATTTGCCTAGATAGGTGAAATAGAAATAAATGTGATCTCTCAGAAATTGAACTCTTAAGAGTTTATGTTGACCAAAAATTTTAAGTTTAAATATACACTAATTTCAATGTTTTAAAAAATTTATATGTTAAGTGATTCACTTTTTGGATATCATTGTTTTTAAGTAAAGTAATTTTGATTCGAGATCATTAATGAGGTTTATCTTTGATTCTAAGTTTTCTTAAAAATCATCTAAATAATTTTGGTTCGTCTTTCTATTTTAGTTCATGCTTGATTCATTTTTTGAATGATCATTGTTTCTCTTTTATTATATTATTTTCTTTTTTTAAATCATTTTCGATGAAATTTTTGGGATAACAAGTAAGTAAGAAACAGTACAAATATTTTTCAATTCTTTACAAATGAACTCAATTTTTTCATTTTCAGAAGTTTTAAGTTCCTCATTTGTTTTGATTTCATTTTAAAGTTGACTCTTTATTTCCATAATACTTTCTAATTGTTTGGAAAAATTTATTAATATGTAAAAATATTCCTAATTTGGTAATCAAGATCCGTTTAATCTATTTTCAAAAAATGAATTCATAGAATTAAATGATGTAATATTTAATTTTATATAATTAATTTTATTATTATCGAAATATTAAAAATGACAGAAGAAATTTTAAGTCAATATTTTCCTAAATAAAACAGTGGAGCTGCTATATTAAAAGACATACTTCGAGATGGTCTAGAATAAGCATTCATTGGTAAATTTAAGAATGACAATGATTAAATAAATATTTCAGAATTTAAATTAAGACATCATTTCGATAAAAAAGATAATGATTAATTTCTTGAATAAATTAAAAAGAAACTCAAACTTAATAATCAGAAAGCTGAGATGAGATGTGTAAACATTATTCAAAATATCAGAGTTGAAACTGATTTAAATTACAATCCTAAATATTTCCAAGAAAATACATTCTTTGTGAATTAAAATTTGGATGCTATAAAATAGAAAATAATTGAAAAGAATATTGAAGAAAGAAATAAAAAGGCATAAGAATTTAAATCTATGCAAAAAGCTCTAAACATTTGGTTTTAATAATCATAATAATAAAAAAATGAAGATGCAAACAAATAATAGCAATAAACAAATAAAAAATAAATGAATTCTTCATCTCTTATTACTGTCAAACAACATCTAACTGAAGGAATTTAAGTTTCTGGAGTCATTACAACTAAATAAGGATATAAATTGACATATCCTAATTTAACATATATTATTAAAGCCACTGATATTCCAGAAAGAGAATCTTAATGCTCTTTTATTAAGAAAATCAGACCATTAAAATAAATAGATTTTGATTATCTTGATGATTTGAGAAGATATGTCTGGAAATACAAGCAATATATTTAATTTTTCAAAATCCTACTTAAAGTATCATAAGGAAATATAGAAATTTCAGAAACCCTTGTAAAAATTTAATAAAGAATGAAAACAGGATTTTATCATGTTATGACCTTCTACCACATCTCAAATAGAAGTTGGTCTATTTGTAAAATAATCAAGGATTTAAATAAAAAGGGACTATATCAAAGAGAAAGGTAGAATCTTTATGATGTATTAAATCAATATATGACAATAGACAATTTTATAAAATATTTAAGAAGATCTTGGGGAAATTTTCAATCCTTTTTTGTTTTAATCAGATTATGTTCCAATAGAAGAACAATTCATTTCATTTGAATAATATAAAAAAAGACTTCAAGAAGTTATTGTAATGAGAGAAAATGGAGCTTGACTTGATCACAATATATTATTTTATTAAAATCATTATTTTTGTAGAAACTATTGAAATATGATATTTTTGTTTCATTTAAAAGTTAAAAAAATAGAGTTGTTATAAGAAGTATCTTTCTTATACAGTTTTAATGAACTAATTAAAAACCTATTTTCTAATATTTAATAGATATAATAAAAGAAATAGTATCTTAAATTATTGGTTTTGTAAACTAAGCTTTAATTTTGATAATATTTTTGAATAAAATGATTGTAATCGTTTTTAGTAAGAGAAGGAAAGAAGACTTGAAGAAATAACTAATTGTAAAAGTACTCTGAAATTTTATTATAGTGCTTTGAAAATGAATAAGATGCTAAATAAGAGTTAGAGAATGGTATCTCAATTAAAGCATTTTGAACAATGAAATTTGATGAGATAACAAAAGCATTGGAGAAGGATTGGAAGTATATGATGAGGATAAAAATGAATTAAATTATTATGTAGATGGATTTGGAAAGGGATTGAAAGTATAAAGAGGAAGAAAGAGAGCCTAAAGACAGAAAATTGGGAAATAAAATACATTGGATTTGGAAAAGGTTAAAATGTTTATGAGGAGAAGAAGAAAGAGAATGATTAAGTAAAGGGGAGGATGTTTGTAAAGTGGAAAGTTAAGAAAAAATGAATTTCAGAGGAATGGTTTTGGAGAGTCTTTAGGAACGATTGATAATTAGGACAAATAAATAGAAGGTTAAAGTTAATATGTAAAGTTGCTAAGAAATTTAAGAAAAAAGGATGATTATTAATATTACTTTGAAAAAAGAGGATTTCAATTATAAATAGAAAAATATGGCTTATATGTTATATAAACGATTATGATAATCAATCTCTATCAAAGAGTCTGTCTAAAAAGCTCTTTTATTTCTATTGTGGTTATTGGGTTGGTTATGGGTTAGCTCTTGGGTTTTAAGCCTGTTGTAAATTAAAATATAATACTTATGTTCTATCCAATGGTTATTAGGGTCTAGCTTATGGGACTGTTCTGGTTGGTACTTAGGTTTAGGCTAATGGTAGACTAGCCACTGGAGGGGGAACATAAGTTGTTTATTAAAGTGGAACAGTTTAAACTGGGGCTGGGGCATATTAAATTGGTTATGGAGCATATTAAACTGGTTATGGAGCATATTAGACTGGTTATTGAACATATTGAACTGGTTAAACAACTGATTATGTGACAACTGGTTAAGCAACAACTTATTAAACAGGTTGAGCAACAACTTATTAAACTGGTTAAGCAACAACTTATTAAACAGCTTATTGATGAACAACTTATCTCTCCACTGGATAATATTCAACTCTTTCTTAATATCTATCTACAGGAACGTATTCTGAAAATTTAAATTTTTAAATGTTGTACCTGTATATTTTTCTTAGAAGACTTATGGTACATATTCTGTTTGATATTCAACTGCATAATAATCAGTAACATATTTCTCTCTTGGCACTTAGATTCTTTATCTCACTTCTTCATATTCAAGCACAGTTTTCTCATATGGAACATATTCAATTCTGCTCTCTCCTTTAATTGTTGGTTGAGCAACAACAGATTGAGCAACAACTGGTTAAGCAACAACTTGTTGAGTAACAACTGGTTAAGCAACAACTGGTTAAGCAACAACTTGTTGAGGTACATAGGTTTAAGGGACAACCTATTGAACGACGGGTGGTGCATATGAATATCTTAATGGTGAAAGAGGAGCACCATATGGTTAAACATAACTGGGTTATCCATAGTATGGTTGTTGTGGGGCTTATGGGATTTATTGGGGATGTTATGATGGTGGGATATTGCTCATATAAATTTTATTTAAAAACTGAGAGGGAAAAAAAGATATGAATTAGCCCTTCTTATAATTAATTAATTTAAATGAATTAAGAGGAATAAGCAAAAGAATCAATTGAAAGAGAGTCAGATGATAATGAAAAGAATGATAAGAAAGACCAAGGGGTACCACTAGAACAAAAGAAGAAAAAGAAGAAAAATAAAAAGAAAAAGAAATGGGGAGAAGAAGGTAATTTAAAATTAAATTATTAATAGAGGAAATTCTTACAGATTTTGATGATGATTGGCAAAATAAAGTTAAACAATCTAAAATTTTATAAGATCCAGATCTCCCTTAGCATATAAAGGAGAAGTATGCAATTTATGAAAATAATCCATTTATGATGATAATTTCAAATGTACCTTTAAATGTTCAATTGAAAGAATTGGAAGAGTATTTTAATACACTTATAACATCTCTTGATCCTAAAATAAGTAAATTAATTGCTGATATTAGATGAGAGACCAATCAAATCTATTGAATATGGAGCCACTAAGTCTTGGGTTGTTTTAGAATGCAGTTCAAAAGAAGCAAAAAGAGCTCTTGTCACTTAAGATTAAGTTTAATTTGTCAACAATTGTAAAATCAAAGTAGAAAGACCAAGAAAATTTTTAGAGAGAATTCTAAATCCATAAGCAAAGGATGGGGAACTGAATTAGGAATAGAAACAAGAAGATAATACTAGATTATATTTAGGAGGATTGCCTACTTATTTAAGGGATGAAGATGTGATGAAACTCATTCAATCCTTTGGAATAACTAAATATTTTAATCTAGTCAAGGATACAACTTCAAATACTGAAATTTCTAAAGGTTATTGTTTCTTTGAATATGAAAATGCTGTTTCTACAGCCAAGGCTCTAAAAGCATTGAATAATTTATAAATTGGAGATAAAAAATTGAAAATTTGCAAAGTTTAAGGAGAACCATAAACCAATAAAAAAATAAATGGTAAAGATCAACCATCTAATTATGCTGGTTCATTTTTAGCCTCGTGTGATTTATTAAGAATTCCTTAAGTTTAATAAATGTTAACTATACCATAATCTGCTTTGATTCCAAGCAAAGTTGTCTAATTTTTAAATATGGTAATATTGTCTTTTAATTATTTAGTGTTCAATTTAGGATTTATATGAAGATGATATTTTTGAAGAAATTATGGAAGATATAAGGAGTGAATGTATGCGTTTTGGATAAATAGAAAAAATTGAAATTCCTAGACCTGATAAGGAATCAGGGTAATTATATATTTTTCGAAATAGTTTCTGCAATCCTGCTGTTGGCAAAATTTTTGTTAAGTTTTACTATCAAATTCCTGCCAAAAAAGCAAAATTTCATTTAGCTGGAAGAACATACAATAAGAGAACTGTTATTACTTCATTCTATCCTGAAGAATAATTTGATTATAAAGACTATTTGATAAATGGATGATTTAATTATTATGATATAAATTATTAATGATGATCTTATTCCATAAAGTATTAAGGCTAATTCTCGCTTAAGGGATGCTTATATAAAATTTTAGGAACTTCTTTCAAGAGGCAAAATCAAATTGAAAATTGATAAGCAAATTAACTGTGATATTGCATAATAACTCTATTTCTTCAAAAATAAAGACACTCTCTTTTTCCAACACCCAGATAAATAACAAGATTACTATGAAAGTTTGCTCAAAAATCTCACAAAACAAATTAAGTATTTTGAAAATATCAATTAGACCACAGAAAACTATTCCTTATGAAAAGCAATTAATGTTATAAATCTAAGGATTGAATCAATAAAAATATACTCCTGATATTTTGAAAAAGGAAATTATTTTTTTCTATAAAAGGAAGATTTGTTAATTAAAAATTCGAAAATAGAGATCTGTTTAGTAAGAGGAAACTGTTTAAAGACCATAAGCAGAGTTGATTTATAAGCATAGATTATAGTTTATTGATAACTAAATCATTAATTTATATCAAAGATTGGATAGACTAAGAATTGATGATGGAATTAAAAATTATTAAGATAATCAATAATAAGTGTTTAGTAATATATTTATTGATGATGTTGAAATATATTTGAGAAATAAGATCTTTTTTGATAAAATTAAATTACCTTTGCGTAAATTAAAGTATGTTTGTAAATGGATGCATTTCTTAAACAGATTTGAAATCTAAGAAAATGCCAATAAAATATTAAATAATTTAAGAATCTAAAATGCTGATTTAAATTAATCATATTTTAATGATATTGTTGCTAATATTGAAGGCAAATTAAATCTAAAATATTGTAAAAATATGTATTTATATAAGAAATGAGTAAAGATGTGGCAATGCAATTATAAGAATATTTGAAACCGCTTAAATTTTCATTAGATGAAAGTAGAATAGCCTAAAGATTCGATCGAATCCCTTTAATAATTTTAACAGATTATGAAATGCAAAATCGTTTATATAAAACTGCATCCAAATTTCTTAAAAATCCTAAGCAATTTGGTGAATAAAAATTAATATTTCATCTTTGTAACTTATAACATATGCTTGATGGATATTAAAAGTATCTCTATGCATGGGATAAATCAGAAAAAAATGATTATGATGGCTATAGTGGCTTATAAAAGTTAACAATTGAACTTAGCGCTTTTGATGATTCAGAAGAATTAATCAAATAATTGAATAATCCATTACCAATTTATCCAAAAATATCATTAGTTTATGTAAAAAATGATTGGAAAACACTTTTAAATACTAAAAACATTATTCTTGATGAATATTAAACCTTTATGTAAAATTAATTAAATTTTGTAACTGTTGATTCATATACAGAAAAATTGATTTAATTACTACCCATTAATTTAAATAAGTCCATGTAAGCCTATATAGATTAATAAATTAAATAGATTAGATAGGACAATTATGCACTCTTCAATATTATTGAAAATAATGATTATGTTGAATACACAAGAGAATCATTAAGATTAAGATAGATTAATGAACTTTATGAATAAATATCCAATAAAGAAATACATTATAGACATAAAACAAAGTTTAAAATTGATCTTGTTAAAGCATTTGAAGAATTAATGATTGAGTTAGCACCAAAAGAAACACATTTGCAAGCTTATTTGAGTACTATTGTTAGTAAGATGAGAGAATTTCATCGTAAGATATTTTATATAGTAAATGCTTTTTAATCAATTGAAAGAAAACTTACTTTTAGCTTACTTTCTTTGAGAGAATGTTAAATAAACACAACTATAGATTCATAATTTCTTATAAAAGCTAATTCAGCTACAAAATCTGAATAAAATGATCCATAAATGAATTAAATTAATACTTCAAGAAGAAATGCAATTATTTCATATATTGATGCAACTGATAAATAAGCTTAGAAAATGAAAAAAAATATTACTCCAGAACTAAAGTATTCTAAGATAGAGGATGAAATTTTTTATTCTAATGAAGAATTACCTGATGTTTTTATAAGCTAAACAATATAAAATCCTATTTATGATAGTACTATTGATGAATTTTAAAAAATTATGAAAAGGATAGTTTAATCAATATCTATTTACATCAATAAATACGAAAAAATTAGTAGCATTAAATCTATAAATCCAATAGTTGATAGATTTTAATGTTCTCTTGATTGTTTAGAATAAGAAGCTATGTATTAATTTTAGAAATTAAAATTAATTTAATCTTACTTAAAGATATTTGATAATACAGTTGATTAATATCAAGCCTCAGAAATAATTGAAAAAATATTTGAAATAATGCATGAAATTCCATTACTAGATTTAGAGTCATTTTACTTTAAAGATAGCTACATACTTAATTAAGAATTATTGAAAATCTAAAGAGAACTTTTAGAATAATTAATAGATAAATAATAATAACATGAAATTTCATTAGTCAAATAAATAAATGAAAAATATATTAATATGAGAATACAATAGGAAGAAGTTGAAAGAGTTCTCAGTAGAGCTGAAACTCCAAAAGTTGAATAACAATCTTCAAAAAATTCAAAGCTAAATGAATAATATGATTATTACAATGTAAGCAATAAAATGTCTTAAATATTTTAAGAACTTAATTCAACTAATAAACAATCAGCAATTAATTTAAATTCTGGTACTAAAGATTTTAAAATTATCGATCCTAATGCTGTTTTACTTCCTTTTTAAATCTTAGAAGATTATGAAGGAATCAATTTTATAGAATCCTTATATTTAATTAACAATATAATGAAAACATCAAAAAATAGCTTTTAAATGCTCAATTAATAATTTCCCTAAAATTCAATTTAAGGTTACCTTAGTCTTTAGATTGCCACTTTAAAATAAGCTGAAATATATTCATTTTAAGATTAAAAATTACCTCATATTAAGAAATTTCATGAAAACACATTTTTTGAATCTGAATATGGATTAATTTCGACATATTTTGAGAGAATTAAATAAACAGTTTAAAATGACATTACTCCTTATATTCTGAATATTTCTTTAAATGATTTAGATAGGGCGTTAACTTAATAATAAATTTAAATATCAGATATTTTAGCAATAAACAATCTTTTAGAGTATATAAGATTAAGGAAGCAATTTTTTAAAATTTAATTAGAAATGAAAGTTTAACATAGAATTCACAAAAAAATACTTGGATATGAAAAAATGAGCAAAACAAATGATTTATACTTTAAGAGTAATCTAATTGATTAATAGAGTCAATACAAGAAGAATTAATCAGTTAAATATTGTTATTCTCCTTTTTGTTTTGAAGTAGATGCAACGCAAGAGACCAATTTTCTTATGTTGAAATAGTATGAAATTTTGGTTTTTCAAGATGTGATAGAAGAATTTAGAAATATTATATTATATGACAAAATCAATGTTATGTTTCTTTAAACATAAAATGAGCTCAAATTTATTTTAATAGATGACTACAACAAAGCATAAATCGATCTAAAACATTTTACTTAGTTTGGTTACTTACCTCAAAACTCAAAGTTAACTATCAAACAAATAAATTAATATGAATTCAATGAAAAATTGTAATTGTTTAAATTAAATATAATAGATTATTAGCTAATCTTCCTAAAAAGCCTTAAAATTTAGATGAATATATGAGATAAGCTAAATAGATAAAATCTGAATTATTTACTATATATGTAAATAAATATAAGGAGAGATCAAGAGTAAATTCTGTTTAAAGTGATAAAATGTAGATTTTAAATTAAAAAAAAGATTAGAAGTATTAATTTATAATATTTAGTTTCAAACTCTACTTAATAAAACGTTTAATTTAAGATTTTTTGAGCCTTACCTAGCATGAGGCTATAAAAGTTAATATTTTTAATACAGAAGCAAGAATAAAGAGAATTTTTTAAATTATACCAAATTCAAGCCAAATTGATAAGAATTTTTGGCTTTCAATTTAAGAATAATAGTAAGTTTATCTTTAGTAATTTAAAAATTTTGCTGATAAATTGTAAACTCAAATACACATAGATTAATTTTATTCTAGAGATGATTTTTAAAATCACACCAAGAATTATGATTAAAATAGTGAGTTAAATAAATATTATTAAAACTTAAAACAATTTTATATTGAAGTATTGAGACATAATACAATATTTTTAAATTGGTTTGAGTTAATGCATATGAATGAATTGTATTTATTTAATCTTTCATTTGATCATTACGATTAAACTAAAGAGATTTTGTATTAAGGAAAACTTGGGAAAAACCCAATTAGAAGTGTTTTGGAATATGATAAGTAAGAAAGTTTAATAATAATTTAGAAATTAAATGGATTTAAAATAATGTATTTCAGATTAAGTTATAGATTAAAAACCTTTATTAGCATAGGCAATTGATAAAATGATAGACAAAATAAAATGTTTTTATTAAATAAATAAAGCATTTGAACCTTTTTAATAATAAATAGAACAATTTAAAGTGAAAACAAAATTTATTGAAATAATACCAGTAATAAAGTAATAATATTTAAATCTTTATTGTAAAACTTTTTACATATATAATTAATGCAAGTATTTAATATCGAAAGATGTAATAATCTATAATATTTTTAAGTATCCTGATTCCAAATATTGTTCATAGTATTAATTGATAAACTAATGTCTATTTTTATAGCATAGGTTTAGTTCAGTGAATTTAAATTTTTTCAAAACGATATATGTTAGATATTCAGATACATATAATATGAAGGAAAAGGATAGGTATACAAATTTCAAAAAAATACATTCAAATATTTACACAGATTAGTTGAAGATGATTAGTTTAGTATTACCTATTCATAAAGAGAGACTTACTACTTTTTATAATAGTGAGCAAAATTAAAATATCAGTTTGATTTTATAGGTTCCTGGTATGATTGAGGTAAATGAAAAGATAATGATGAGAAAATAAAATATAACAGATTGTAAAGATTAATGTACTTCAACAATTTTGTCAGAAACATATATTTTATTATAAAATCCATAAATTTTTAATATGAGTTTTATAGAGTTGAAATATCATTTTTGTGATTTAGAAAAACAATTGAAAGATTAAAAAATGACTTTGAAAGAATTGGTGTACAGTTAATTGACAAATACATCAATAAAGGCGATGAATGAAAATATTTAGTTATTACAATAATATTTAAATACAACTCCAGAGATTGTTGAAAAAGCAGAGATTATGGATAAATTAGTTTCTAAAATAAATATTGCAATTCCAAGAGTGAAATTTATAAATAGTATGTAAAGTACTTTAAGTTAGAAGAGTGGAGAAATTCATAATGCTTTGAAGATATCATTTATATAAGGATTTTTGAATAGATTGAGAAATAAATCAATTCAAACAAATCTTTTAGTTAGTGGAATGGGTTATTCAATCAGTTCATAAGATATAGAGGATTGTTTAAATATTTTAAATAGAGATTTATATACTTTTGCAGAGAATGAAATAGCTGCGAGAATGGAAACATTCAATTTAGTTTATGAATAGTAAAAAACATAAATAAAATAATTGAAAAGATAATTATAAGAAAAAACAATAGAAAATGAATAATTGAAATAATGTTTTGATGAAAGATTATCAGCATTAGTAATAGCAAAAAGTAATAAGATTTTATTTGATTTGGATATGTTATAATCTAAATTCAAGGACTATTAAAAGTAATTTATTAATAATAATATTTAGATGTACATAAGGATTGGAAGAAAATATAAGAGAGTAGATTGAAAATAAATATAAAATTAATGTTGAGTAATTAAGTTTTGAGAGAGATAGAGTAATTGAAAGATTTATGGATTTAAAATAATAATTGATAACTCTTTTTACTTAAGAAGTCTAAACAAATTAAGATGCTTTAATTAAGTTCATATAACAGAAAACCAATGAAATGCTTTCAGAAATTCCATTATACAAGAGATCTCATAGTTAAAATAATGATTAAAATGAAATAGTTCATTAGGGTTAACATTAAAAAATTGAATTACTATTTGAACCATATAAATTTACAAAGGCTTTGCATTAGTTAAAGGAGAAATGGTAATAGGAAACTGAAGATTAGAAAATTAATTATGAAAAACAATTATCGTATTTTTAATAAATATAAATTTTAGATTTTATAAATCATAATGTTTAGAATTTGAAGATTTGAAATTTAAATTGAATGAAAGTAAGAGAAGAGAAACTACAATGAAATTGGAGATAATAACTTTATAATAGACAATAAATTAATTAATAAAATAAAAGGATGAATATGCTGAATAAATTGATTAACTAAAATTTGAGAAAAAGCGAATATTGAAGGCTAATGATGATTATTAACAATAATTGAAACAATATAAAGAGAAATTTAAAACATAGGAAATTAGAAAGAGAAATGCAATATCAGTAGATAATTATTCAATGACATAATCAATTGTAGAGAGGAAAACTTTACCAAAACTATTTAAAAGTGAACAAAAACCGAAATTAAAATTATGATTAAATAATTTAATATGCAATAATAAACATACATTGAGAGTAGTTTCAGTAGTCATAGCAGTAGTAGTAGTGAAAATGAAAATAAAGATGTTCTTTTCTCACCTGTATATATGTTTTTTGAATACTTAAGTTTAGAGATGCTAATGAAATACAACTACTATCAGAGTAATTTGACATAACCAAGTGGTCCAAACATGTTTTGCCTTAACAATCTTAAGTAGAGAAGACACCAAAGCCTAATAAAAAATAAGTGGCCAAAAAAACTAAGATTAAAGTCAATACATCATCTTCCATTTCACCTTAGAAAAAGAAATCGAAAATCAAGAGAGTATATAGACCAACCCTCTATGTAGCCCAAAATGAAAGACATTAAGCCCTTAAATTTAGAAAGTGAGAAGCATCTGTTTTTTGCCATGAAAGCTGCATACAATCCATAATTTGAATATGTTGAAGTTAAGGTTTCATCTAATTAATATTCAAAAGGAACTTGGATTAGAATAACCTCATCGTAAATATGAAGAAATTGCATTAAAAATTATTGATTAATGTATTAAAGAATTTGGTTCTGATTTGAAATATGCTGAATAAGAAGGAGGCAAATTATTATCAATTGAAGAAACTGAACATTTCTTTAATGATTATATTCATAAATTAGGGGTTTAAGATTTGATTTCTTATGAATTTCAAGATCATACTGTAGCTCCTACTAGTGTTGTTCATAATCCAACTGATGGTAAAAGCAAAGTAATTATTGGATTACCAATAAATTATCGAATTAATCGAATAGAAGGAGTACTCAATCATGAAATTGGAACTCATTTTATTAGAAAAATTAATGATAGATAATAATAATGGTACAAAAAAAGGTATAAATTTAATTAATCAAGAGCTAAATATCATTTGGAACCATACTTAAAACATGAAGAAGGATTAGCTGTACTTAATCAAGTTCTTCCTCAAGCTCTTAAATAAAAAGGCAAACCTTATTTATTTATGGCAGCTTTACATTATATTTCTGTATAAATTATTAATAATTAGTCTATTATGGCTAGTTAAATGAGTTTTGCTAAACTATTTCATGAATTAAGATACTTTATTTAAGATGATGAAGCTAGATTTAGAGAATGTTTAAGAGTTAAAAGAGGATTGAAAGATACATCTTAACCAGGAGGAATGTACAAAGATTAAGTTTATCTTACAGGAGCCATTAAAATTTTAAAATATAGAGGAAAATTAAATTTTATTCATTTACTTAGTGGAAAGATAACTATTAAGGATTGTATTCGATTAGGAGAAATTGGATAAATATTTACTAAAAATATCTATCTTCCTCCTTTTTTACAAGATTTAGATCAATATAAAAAAGGATTGGATAAAATTGCTTAATAAAATTTCATTAATTTTGTATGATAAGAATATTAATTTAATAAATTTATTATCAAATGTTAAAATAATTCAAAATTTTCGTTGCTCTTCTGACTGTATTTTAATTTTTACAATTTATAATAATTTCATTTAAATATTATTGAATATTATACTATTTAAAGTATGCATTAAGTTTCTCATCATTTAAACTTTATTCTAGAATGACTTAAATCACTATATTATTTATTTAAAAAAATTACATTTTAATAAGTTCTTACATAAGACAAAGTTATGTGTATCTTTTATTTCTTATAAATAAGAAACTATTAAACTTAATAATCCATTTTCATAAATTTCAATACATTATTCAAATGTACTTTAATTGCAAAGATGATATAAAGCTTCTATTTGATGGTAAAATACTTTCTTATGTTCTAAAATATTTTCAACTATAAATACCTTCTAATTTCATCAATTCTAAAAAATAAAAAGGAATTTTATTAAAATGAATATCATCAATCATTTCTTAATTACATATAGAAAATAGATTTTTTAAAATTAATGATGCTTACAAACGAATGCAATTATTGATTGTATTATAATCAATATGATTTTCCAAAACTTATAATGATTAAAATAAAATTTATGGATTAGTTTGAAAAACAATCAATTTTTATTTATCTGATTACTTTAATATTTCAGCAATAATTTATAATGCACTTATTTATAAAGATGAAACATCTTATATTAAAAATGCAATTTATATTATTATTTTCCAAATATTTTAGTATTTAGTTAGATCAAAAGGAAGTCCTGACTTTGAGATGAAAAGATTTAGAAAATAAATAATTTATGATAGTAGCGAATACTAAATTTCGTTAGAAGATTCTTCTTATTGTATATCTAGATCCAGATAATTAATAAGTAATAATTTCTTACATAATTTTTCTAAAATAGTTAATAAGAGTAATTTGTTTTAATCAGAAAATGTGAGAGTATCAATTTCTACAAAAGTAGTTATCAAATATACTAAAGAGAGCATACAATGGTCATCATACTCTATTTCAAGGTTTAATACCTTAAGCGCAATTTATATTACATTTAAATTTAGAAGAGTTTCTTTAGAGATTAGAGACTTTTTAGCTATCGATCCTAAAATATATTGAATTTCAGTAATATAATTTAGATCCTTCTCTTTATCATAAGCTTACAATAATCTCTATCCGAGGAAAAATTGTACAAAAATATTTTAAAATTCTTGATCTTGATACTAATCTACTATTTGTTGAAGTTACTTTAAGTTAGAATCTGTTAATTACTGATTGAAAATATTTGTTATTAAACTAGGAATGTCTTTTGTTATCTAAATTTAATCTGTTTTCAGAGGTGAATTTTATCTTTCTATACTTAATTCATTTTCATGTGTTTAAGAGACAGAAAGCATCTAGTATCTGGCATTCATGAAATAAGTATCTAATCGTTACCGTCTTATCTATTATCGAAATTATTCTTTTTTAAATTATAACATAATATAATAATCAATGACTTGTTAATTTAACTATAGTGTAGATAAATGAACATAAACCTCCACAAATTCCAAATGAAAGAATACCATAATAAGTAAACTTACTCTTTCTTTTCGTTTCATCTTTTTCAAAATATTTTTTATGAATCAATATTGGAAATAGAAAATTCAGTGAAGCTCCCCCTATAGCTCCTAAAATATTTACAAAATATGCAAATTTAGGAATAGAATATCCTATTAATCCAAGTATTAAATTAATAAATGATCTAATTGCTAATCTTCTAAAACTTGAGTATTTAAGTTCTGGATTAATATAGTTTTTTAACTTTTCAATTCTTTCTATTTATTGAAATGCTGGTAATACTTATAAAGGGTATGAACAAATCAATCCAAAAGCATAACATACTTGTATTACATATGATAAAGGGTTATTATCAAGACAAAATAAAATTATTTATTGACTTTCCATTCTACTACCCATACCCCATACTGATAATAATGTAAATCCAAGAAACAATCCCAAATTAAAATAAGAAACAACATTAAAAAGCTAACCTATTAAAAAGAACTTCTTACATTTTTAAATTAAGAAGGTTCTGACATAGTAACTCTAATTGCAAATGCAAGTGGAAGAACTCCAAAACCATATGCTGTTACTCCTATAATCATTGGAAACTATTCAAAATGTGCTAAATTCATCACATTTTCTCTAATTCCTTCTCCTTCTAGTATTTGATAAAAGTTATAAACTAAACTAAATAATTCAAACTTGATTACATGTAATATAAACTAAACCAATAAGAATAAGAGTATTCGCAAATAAACTTAATTTTGCAAATCTAGCCATATTATCAATAAAAGATAGAGGTAGTACAATACAGAATGCCATTATCAAATATATCCAATTACCTGCTCCAGATTAACTATCAGCATTTGAAAATATATGAGCGAAGAAAGAAATAAAGAATATCAAATATGCAACTGCCTTTCCTAATTAATAGGCAATCAAAACAACTTTTGTTACTTATTTCCCCTTTTCACCATATGTGACTTCTGCCACTTCTGTAAGACCTTAATTTTCTTTGTTTTCTGCGTTTGCTACTTCTATTAGATAATGAACGCATAACATTAACATATATGCACTTATTAAAAAGATAAATATTGCTAAAAGCCAACCTCCAACATAAAAACTGAATGGCATTGCCAATATTCCTGATCCTACATATCCTTTTATAAGTGTCATTGCACTATCTTTATATGTACCTTTAACAGGTGCCTTACCTGTATATGGCTTCTCATGCATATAAACTTAATCAAAGTCTTACTTCTGTTCTTAGTTTTAGTTATTAACAATCTCATATACTTGAGACATTTTTTTAAATAAATAGATTAATATAGCAATTCTTAATCAATTTATAAATGTTTAAATCATCACTCTCATCTTTATATCATCTTATACCATTTATGTAGTTCCTGTATAGATTAAGAATCTTAAATTTTTGAGTTTGTATCAAGCATCAAATATTTATGAATTCAATTAGGAATTTGTATTCTTTTTATAATTTATACTTGATATACTTAAGTGCATTATTGAAGTATAGATTATAAATACTAACTGAGAATAATAATAATCTGAATTAATATAATAGTCATTATTAATTCCTGCGCACATTTTTATTGATCGGATATTAGGGTTCACCAGTAACTTCATCAAGATCTGGTGCTGCTTCATGCTGAATAATTTTGAAATTCTTACTCTTGCTTCCAAAAAGAATTCATTATAACCTCTAAACACTGTATAGACATTATATGCTATAAGACATAAGATTCCATTCACAACATAAACATGAGCTTTGTTAGCCATCTTAAAGCCTTTAGTCTCTGCCTTTGATAAAAAGGCATCCAATTTTTTCCAAATCATTATAAAAAATAACACAATTATTTTTTAGAATATCAGAATTCAATAATATTGAAAAACTTGATAAATTTTAGAAGAATATTAAGATTAATTAAAATTATCATTTACAAATCAATCTTATTGATATAAATTTCATTTCTTTTATAAAAATTTAAGTAATTAAGTTCCTTAAATATTTTTTAAGCGACCATTAGAAATTTATTTTTATAATGCCATTAAATTCTTACCTACTTATTCAAAACTTTAACTAGAAACTATTTATTCTTATTTTTAAGATTCAAACTATTATAATATTTATTTAATTAACCTTTGATTGTCCCTTATATTTCATTAATTACAATTATTTTTCAGGACTAGCTGTTTACTATTACAATTCATATGTTTTATCTGTTTTATCTGATCTTTAAAGTTTATGACGCACATTTTCCCTTTGTCTTTCTGTTTCTGTCATTTTAGATTCATTAAATTGTTAGGTTTCATCGTTTATTCTCTGCAACCCTAATTCTTTTTTTGCTGACATTTATATTCTTCCTTTGGAAAGTGATCTATCAGCATCAGTGTGACAAACCTTTATGAAAGTTTTGAAATTTGCCTCATAAGTAGAATTTTGATTTTATTTTTAAGCTTTATTTTATACAAATTTCCCCAACCTTTCAAAAGCAGAAGGAGTTTTCCTATGGATAATTTCTCTAGGAGAGCTATCTTAGAGCTTTCTGTTTTAGTCCTAAAAATATTCAATAGATACTTTAATTATCTATTCTAAACATCGTATTTTATCTTAATGCTGTTAAATTATGAGATCTTTTTCAACAATAATTTCATCAACTTTTTACATCAAAGCTTCGATTTGCAATTTCTACTATTGCTCTACTCTGAAATGAGTACGTATTTAAGCTTCAAGATTTTGTATTATTGATTCATAATCATTATTAATATGTTCTTCTAATTATTCTTCAAATAATATCTTGATTCTATTGTGGTATTAAATAATATAGCAACCGATTCAAATAAGCTACAATTTATAGTATGTATTCATATTAATATTTTTCAGACTATTCACAAATCTCTTTAGTAGTTTACTTATTCATTTATTAATATGCTTTCACAACATCCTAATAAGAAAAACATTATACTTTATCAATAATATCGAGTACATCTATTAATAGTTATTTTATACTTTCCATATATATATATATAAATTAATAAAAAGCATAAGATACTTATAGTAGAGAAGAGAAGGGAAAAAGATTGTTTAGATAGTATTGATAAGACATAGACCTAATTAAGTATAGTTTGTATTAATTATCTAATAATAAGAAATTAATTTGAGAAATTATGCAATAAAAGATGGACACTGAAATTTATAATTGATAATTAAAATATATATAAATGTTGAGTTTGTATAGAAATCAATTAAAAGGTGTATAAAAAAAGGTGCTTCTAATAGGAAGTGGTTTGATGGCCGAAGCTGTCATTGATTAATTATTGAAGAGAAATGACGTACTATTTAGATACATTTTTAGAATTTTGTCGTTGTTGCTTCTGCTCATGTAGAGGATGCTAGAAAAGTTATTCAGAATAAATAGAGATGTTCAGCTCATCATTTAGATGTGACAGAGACAGAAGAACTCAGAAAGTTTGTTTAGAATAGTGATATAGTGATAGCTTATATTCCACCACAATTTATAGTAGGAATAGCAAAGATATGTGCAGAAGTAGGAAGATCTATGATAACATCTTAATATACATTTCCTGAAATAAGAGCTTTAGAATAAGAATGTAAAAAAAAAGGGATTATAATCTTGAATGAAATTGGACTAGATCCAGGAATTGATCATTTGGCAACTGTGAAAGTGAAAGATGAAGTATATGCCAAAGGAGGAAAGTAAGAAATTATTATAAACAAAGAATCATTGAATATGAATCTTGGTGTGGAGGAGTACCAAGTCCAGAGTTTTGTGATAATCCATTTGGTTATAAATTTTCTTGGAGTCCTTTTGCAGCCATAAGGAATATTAATAATGATGCTAAATACTTAGAAAACGGAGTTTAAAAGTATATACCAGCATCAGAGTTATTGTATTCAACAGAGATTATTCATGTTAACCCATCTTTATAAATGGAAGGATATCCAAATAGGGATAGTTTGCCATATTAAGAATTATATGGATTAAAGGATTGTTAGAAATTGGTTAGAGGAACATTAAGGTATTAAGGACATTGTGTATTGATGGCAGCAATGAAAGCTTTAGGGTTTGCATCAGAAGATTTAATAAAGGTAGATAGAGAGATGAGTTGGTTTGAATATTTATTGAGCAATGTAAGATTTGAATCTTGCTCAAGTAAATATTTGGGAAATCATCACATTACTTAATTAGCAAATACGATAGATTAGAAGGTGTTTACATTAGCTTAACTGGAAACATTATTGACTAAAGTATTTAATAGGGTTTTTTCTTAATATTATTATAAAGATAAAAGTGAAGAATAATAATATAAAGATGCTGAATAAATAGTATAGACTTTAAAGTGGATGGGAGTATTTGATCCTAAAAACTTAATATTAAATAATGTAGCTCATGTTCATAACTTTGCTGCTCATCTTTAAACTCTAATGAATTATAAATAAGGTGAAACTGATTTGGTTGCGATGCAACATATATTCAAAATAGTTTATCCAAATGATCCTAGAGTGTATGTAAAAAAATCAACAATGGTAAAGATTGGACATAGAAATGGAAAGTAATTATATCTAAAACAAAGTTTAGATCTGCCATGGCTATTACTGTGGGTGTACCAACTGCTGTAGCTACTTAACTCATTTTAGATGGAGTTATCAAAGTCACTGGTGTTCATATGCCTAATATTTCTGAGATCAATACTCCCTTGTATGAAGAACTCAAAAAAGAAGGCATCTATTGTGAAGAAGAAGATTATTGACCTAGCAGTTATTCAAATATATATTATTATTATTTTCATCACTTTCTTAATACTAATATTTATATTAATATACATTAATTACTTATGTAAATATATCTATATATATCTAATATATGTATAATAATCATCCACTTTTGAATAATAGTATCGCAACTTATCCCATATAAAAATAAATGAAATGTTTTGTCTCATGTGTAACGTATGACCCAAAGTTTCTGCCAACTATGCAATGCCATGTGGGATTGTACTTTTTATCAAATTCTTTTTTAATGAATGCCTATTAATCTTAACAATTAGATTTACAGCAATATCTTTTTCAATATTGAATTTCTCCAATGCTTGATTTGCACAATCAATTGCATCTTATTACATTTCTTCTGACATGTCTGCATTCTTTACTACTGCCTTTCTATCTGCTTATGCCATATTAACTTTATTTAATTTTTAAATTTATTAATAACTATCTTCATTTTACATTATGCAAATTTATATAGTACTTTTAATTTATCAATTTATCACTCAAATTTTACATGTTATCTACATTTTGGACATTCCGATCGAGCTTTCAACCAGTCAGAAATACAAAGTTTATGATATACATGATCACTATGACAATCTAATCTTACAAATTATTCCCCTTCTATAAATTCCTAAAGACAAATTACACATTCATTATCCTCACTTATCTTATCTTATCCTACCATCTCAACTTTTAATTTTCCTATATTTTCTTAACTAGCACCGAATATATTTTATTTTTTTAAATTATGCCTATTGCAACAATATACAAAAGGTAATATAATTAAATATATTACAATTATTAAAATTGGAATCCCTATTCTTATATATCTCATTATTAAAAAAGTAAATGCAACACCCCACGTAAATTCAAACTCTGAATTCCCAATTTCACATTCTCCATATAAATTTTTATAAAATTCTACTTATCCAAATAAAAAAACAACGCAATCTAATCTATGAATTCGTATACATTCTATTACATAAATGTCATATATTTTGTAAACTTATAACAACCATGATAATCTGAAATAGCATCAGATAAATATTTTTTATTACAATATGAATATTCTGAATATGGTAATTGATTCTCACTTTAATTTCTATTGATCTTTACCAAATCATAGTATATTATCAATAATAGATATAACATTTAAAAAGCTTACTATATTAATATTGAAAAGTACCAATGCATTTGTTACTAAAGCTGAAATAAATAATTCAGGAATTGTAGTTTTCTTACAAGTAGAGGGTAATAGTCCTAAAGCTAAAATAAGGAGAAAAAGTTCGAGAAAGGAAATAATCAATTAGAAAATAGCTTCATTACGTAAACTCTTAAATACAATAATAATTTAATTAGTTCTTAATGCCTACTAGATAAGGAGATCACTCTGATCTATTTAGTTTTCTTATTATTATATAATAAATTAATCTTACACAATTAAATGTTACTCATAATTTATTAATTAATTTCTTATTCTTCAGGAGCCACTTGCTGCATAAATAATGATTTAATTTTTGATATAAATTATAAGTAATTATGATAAAAATTCAAAATAATAATAGTGAATAATATAAATAGCAAATATAAAATAAGAAATGCGTAGAGTAGTAGTAACAGGGATGGGAATGGTAAGTCCATTAGGTTTAAATGTAACTGAATCATGGAATAACTTACTTTTAGGAAGAAGTGGTGTAGTGAAAGTACGAGAAAGAAATAAAGATTTACCTGATGTTTATATGGGATTGATACCATAATAATTTGATAGTAAAGCATACTAGGTAGAATATTGTCCAAGTAATTTAACATCATATGCAATGTGTGCTGCATAAGAAGCTATATCAGATTCGAGTGTATTGAATGATTGTGATCCTGATCGAATTGTAATTTGATCAAATTTAACATAATAGGGTGTAAATATTGGAGTAATGAATTCAAGTATGACAAAGATAACAGAAATCATAAGTAATGCAGCAGTGAAAGGAAATAGTAGAATAAATCCATTTACAATGCTTTATGTATTATCTAATATGCCAACTGCATTATTAACAATTAAATATAAACTTAAAGGTCCAAGTAGTACAGCATCTACAGCATGTGCAACAGGAGCTTCTGCTATAGGAGATTCTTATAGAAAAATTAAGTATGGAGATGCTGATATAATGATTGCTGGGGGAACAGAAGATACTTTCAATACTACAGCTATTCATGCTTCAATCAAAATGTAAGCTATGTCAACAAAAATTTATGATGATCCTACTAGAGCTTCAAGACCTTTTGATGAGGATAGATCAGGATTCTTATTGGCTGAAGGTAGTGGAGTATTGGTACTTGAAGAATATGAAAGAGCAAAAAGAAGAGGAGCAAAAATATATGCTGAGATTTTAGGATATGGAGAAAGCAGTGATGCTTTTCATTTGACAAGGCCTTAAGATAATGGAGAAGGTGGAAAAGCCGCTATGTAAAAAGCAATGAAAGAAGCTGATATTAATGATGTTGATCTTATTAATTGTCATGCTACTTCTACAAAAGGTGGTGATATTGCAGAAGCTAGAGCTATTGCTGACTCTAAAGCTATTTTAGTTGCTAATAAAAGTTAATTAGGACATACATTTGGTGCTGCTGGTGCTATTGAATCAATTTTCACTATTAAATCAATTTATGACTCTATTGTTCCACCTACAATTAATCTTGATAAACCAATCATCAGAGAAAATCAATTTTTTAGAGAATCTACAGAAAAAACATTGAAATATGCTCTGAAAAATGCTTTTGGCTTTGGAGGTGTCAATGTTTCTTTAGTATTTGGCAAAATGAATTGATTATATTTATGAGTTATATTATTATTGTTAGTTGTTTTTGTTCTTTAGAATTTATTGATAATATAAAAAATTATCATTAGACATCTTATATTAGCGAAGAAATTCTTTAAATTTAAAATTTAAACTTTAAGATTATATTATTAATATTATTTAACGATTTTAATATTAACATGTCATCTGTACCTTCTATGAATTTATTTAGTGGACCTGAAATCTAAAAGACTAGGTCTGTTTATCGTCCTTTTGGAACATATCAATCAAATTACTATTCATTACCACCCAAACCTTTATATCCAGAAAATTATTATTCTTTGCCATCTTATCATGATTATTTGGCAGATCAAGGAAGAATAGATTATAATTAATCCTATCCTGAATACATTGATAGAGAACATTATGTCCCAATTAAATATGAAAGCCCTTTCTAAACACTTTACAAGTATGACAAAACTAATCCAACTCCTAAAGATGCATTCATTACACCTTATAGACCAAAAGAACCAACAGATGAAGAAATCTAAGAACATGTTCCTATTATTGATTTAGTAATTGAATAATAAAGATTTTATTCTCATTTTAAAGATCATGGTCTTCCAAAAGGATATGCTGAAAAAGATTATTAAAGAGAATTAGAAGATAGGTATAATAGAGATCTTTCATAACAAATTAATAATGGTTATAAATTAGAAGAAACTAGAACTAAAAAAGAAATTGATTAATTTTATAGAAATATTAAGGTTGCTGTTGATGAAAGAGGAAGAGTTCAAATTAATAACATTAGATAACCAATGTAAATTCAAAAACCTCTTTCAACTATTTACAAAACCACAGAAGATACGAATAAAGTTGCCAGCAATTTATAAACAATTGATAATAATAATACTTACTAATAGTCTAATAAATAACAAGAATAATCATTTATCAATTAATTTTAAGGATCCTTTAATCCTTATTCATAAACACCATAATAGTAATAATAATAATAGTAATAACCACTTTAAACTGAAGATAAAGTACCATCTGAAAAAAATTCTGTTGTTATACCCATTGCTGGTGATTCAAATTTATAGTAATCATAACTTGAATAATCCAAAATAATTACTAGTAATGAATGATATATTAATTGTATCATATCATCATATAAATTATTATAATCAACAAGTTTTCAGATACCATCTATTTCTTAAACTATTTTATATCCTAATTATTATCTATTCATAAAATTAAAAAAATTTTTTTTCTGATCTTTGATAATTTATATATTTCTTGTATTAGGAATTCCATCACAATATATATTTATAGATAAAGGCAAAGAATTATAATTATCTATCTCATAATCTTACAAAAATAACATTACATTCTTCAAATATTCCTAAAAATATAAAATCTAATCATATCTTTATTTACAACAAATTTATTTTCTTTCCTATTTTTTATTTTGCAAATCAAATTAACTGGAATTTCCTATTCATTTTAATTTTACTAAGATAGTAAATTTATTATTATTCAATCAAAAAGTATTAACAAAAATAAAAATATTTTTCATTTTTATATAATCATTAAGTATTTTCCTTTTTAAAATTGTATATTATATTTTTTCATATACAGATTATTCAAAATATGGTTGATTATTGATTTGATAACATTGTATAAATTCTTTAAAAACTCTTAATGTTCTTTTTCGAATCTATTTAGTGCTTAATATATCTGCCAATTTCAATTTCACATTCAATAATTTCTTTTATAATTAAGAATTAGAATTACTTTATAGTATTCGATTAATTTATTCTTAACTTATTCTATTGAATATTCAATTTATATTAGTGAATTATATATTCATTTGTATATTTTTAATTAAAAGTTTTTACTTAATTTGGTTTAAATTACTTAAATAAACTAAACTCATATTATTCACAGATTGTATCGCAATTAATTGCTTGAAAATAAATGATTGATGTTAATTTTATTAAAAGTAACTATTGGTTTACTAAAATTATAATTTATATTATAATCTAAAATATATATCCAATTATTTTTAAAAAATATGAATAAATTTTGAATCGATTACTCTTAGATTGTCATGAATAAAAATTCCATCAATTCATTAATAAAAATCATTGTCAAAGAATCGCTAAAAACTAATTAAAATTTTGTTAAGAATTATTTGTTATTTCTATGTGATACAATTAAGCTCAAATATTTTTTTTTAATCATAAGACCATTTTATTCTATAATTTATTAAGTATGGTTTACAATAAAAGTTAATAAATTTTTCCTCTACCATCAATTAATAAAACCTAAATTTAAGTAGATTAATCCTCTAGAGATAATTAATTGCAATAAACAAAAAAAAGAAAAAATTTTGATTCTTCAAAATATGTTAATTTATCATATAAATATTAATTAAATATATATGATAATTTCACATTTTAAGTTGCATTTTCAGCATTCTATTTTCTTCTTTAACTATATTACAATTTGCCTATTCAATATGCAGCAATTGTAAATTGGTTTTTAATTGAAATTGTTTTGTTTCGAATTCTTATTCGCATTGCTAAATTAGTAATTTTGATATTCATACATTCAAAAATTCAAAATATTATTTAACTTTCTCACTAATTGTTCCTTCATTTTAAATTTGATAATTGCAAAACCTCTTTACATTAATATTCTTAAAGAAATCTTCAAGTATTTTAGTTTCATCAAATAATTATTGATATTCTCTTTCCTTTTTATCTAATTATTGTTTTAATTGATTTGTGATATTAATATCTTTTCTTAATTTATTAATATCCACCTAATACATAAGTTTTTCTTCATATTTTTTTTACATAATATCTTTCTCTTCCTATAATTACTTATATTATCTTTGTAATATTGCTAAATCAGTATTTAATTTTTAATTTGCTTTCTACAACATAAGAACATTATCTGATAACTTCTTTTATTTATTTTCATCTGTCTCATTCTAACTATTACATTAGATTTATTGAATCGTTTACTCTAACTCTATTTTTACATTCGATAATTCAATCTTAACTGTTCTCAATCTTTAATATTATGAAATTTTACTTATCAATTTCCTCTAAAGTCTTAGATCTTTGTGTTTACTCTAATCTCAATTCAGATCTTAGTTTTAATACTTCATTTTCTTTCATTATTAATTTCTAGTTAATTATATCGAAACTATCTAAAAATTTACTTAGTTTTTCCTTTTAATATTAAAACTCTTCCTTTAATTATCCATACTTTAAAAGTCCTTCCTAATTTACTTTATTTCTTTCTAATTCAAGTTTTAATTCTTCATTTTATCTTTTAGCTTCATCCAAATTAATTTATGTTTAATAAAACAAATCTGAATAATAAACTTTTTAATCATTTAAAAACTAAGACTCTTATATTTATTTATCAACTTGACTCTTAACATTTTAAAATTTAGAAAGTATTGCTTTCTAAATTAATTCATTATTTAATTATTTTTCTTCTAATTACATTGTAGAATTTAATTAAGATAAAAAATCAATTTATCTTTATTCCATTTAAGTAAAATTTTCTTTTTCCTTTTTTAATAATTTTAATGATTTTAAGAACTTTTTTGATTTAATTTCACTTCTTCTCTTACATTTTAAAAGTTCTTTCAATTAATCTTCTATTAAACTTTCTTTTTCTAACATTTATCCCTTTAAATTGGAACATTCTATTTACATTTTTTCTACCAAAGATTTATTAAACTCAATTTCATTTTATAATCTTTCAATTTCTTCACTCTAAAATTCAATAGTCTAAGCATCAGTATCCATTTGATCTTTATTAATTTATAATTAATCATTTAATTCAGAAATTTTGTTTTCTAATTCTTGAAGTTATTAAGCTTTGTCTTCTTAAAATGCTTCTAATTATGTTTCATACTATTTTACTAATTAAGCTTATTATTTAAACTAATCCAATAATATTTCCTTATCTTTTTATACAATTTATAAATTCTATTCTAATTATGTAATGATCAATTATTATTCATTTCTTCTATGTTTTAAAATAGTATCTTCTTGTTAGAGTTCTAAAATTCTTTAATTTAATAATTCATTTTTATATTTTAATTCTTTCTATATTTCTAATGCTTATTCTAACTGTGAATCTTTATCTAACATACCTAATTCTGAACATTTTTGATTCTTAGTATTATAATCTTCCAATTCTGTTATTCTTGATTCATAATATTCTTTCATTGATTTAAGTTCTTTTGTTAACTAATCCTAATATTATCCACTTTCATTTAATTAGTAACTTAAATTAGTTATTTAAGATATTAATTCAACTTCCTTTTACTTTTTTGGAATAATTTCAGATTGATAAATTGATTATTGTAATTCATTTTTCAATCTTTTTATTTCTGCTTTTAAAGATTCCAAATTGCCACCAACTTCTTCGTTAACTATTGCTTAATTCTTTATATTTTTAGCTCTTGAAGCAAATTTCAAAGTTCCTAATGTTTCTTGAAATGATGAGCTAGCAGCAGATATTGTTGCTATCATAAAAGTTTTAGAATTTCCTCCTAAACTTTCTCTTAAAAGAAAAGTCAATTTACTATCTCTATAAGGTATAAACTTCTTTGGATTTTCAGCCAAAGAGTTGATGACTAAACCTAAAACAGTGAGAGATTTATTAATATTAGAAGCTTCTTTTAATCTATCTCCAGTGGCTGCAGTTAATTTTTATCTTTCACTTCCAGCCAAATCAACAAAATTGAGTTTGCTTTTCCTTGTATACATTCCTTTTGTTCTTAATTCTAATTATAAAGTAAATATTGAATGACTTCTAGAACTTTCAAGATTCATTTATGTAGCAGAAACATGTCTATTTGCTAATCCTCTTTACATTAAAGATATAACATCATTAAAAGAAGCAGCTGCAATTTCAGTTAAATTTTCAACATAAACTCTTTTAGCATCTTCTCTAATTGTTAAAGGCATTGGTTTTGCATCATTTAGTAGATCAATTAATTATTCGTTATATATTTCTAAGTAAGTACATTTAATTGTCCAATTATTCTCTTTAGGTAATTCTTTAAATAATTACTAAATCAAACGAGGTTGTAATCCTATGTGTATACAATCACTCGTAATATCATCAAAACCTTTCCCTTACATTGTATAAGTCTTTCCAGCTCCTGTTTAACCATAAGCAAAAACACAGCAATTCAAACCATCAAGAAATGATTAAAGTGTAGAATTACCAATTTTTTAAAACACTTATTCTTAAGTAGAATCAGAACCCAAAACATGATCATAAGTATACTCCTTCTTATTATCCAATGTTATGGAATTGCCACTTGTAGATACACATGCATTTGCACCTAAATGTGTTTCCCTGTAATTTAATGGCCTAACTCTTACCAATACTCTAATATTTTCCATCAAATATAATTGGTATTTTAAATTTGTTTTAACGAATTAATTTAAACTAAAAATCAATTCATCGAAGAGAATATATTATTAAAAAAAACAATTATAACCTAACATAAAATAAGATAAGTTATATACAATCATATAATCCTTTATTGCAATCTATTAATAATGAATTAAATTAAAAATTTAGAATTGCACTTCATAAAAAAAAATTTGAATATGCAAACAATATTTAAAATTTGTTAATAAAACAAAAATAACAAGAAATTGAAAAAATCATAAATCTCTCTTTCGATTAGAATATAATGAGAATTAAATTAATAAATGAATTAGTTATAACCTTTTAGATATTATTTTCAATTTTATATTAGATGTTTTTTTATAACTTAAATTTAATTTATACATAAACTATTTGAAGTTAAATAGAATTAATTTAACAAAAATTACATGAAAATCTTGAGATTATGAAAGTAGAAACAATTAAAATAGAAAATATAAAAGAAATTTAATTGCTTCAAGATCAATTAAGATGATTCTGATTTGAATTATCAAATAGAGGAACTAAATAAAAATAATTCAGATTTTGATAATTAAGAAATAATGGAGATAAAATTATTATAAAAAAGAACAAAATTAAGATAAAAATTTATCAGATAAATGATAAATGATAAATGATAAAAACTATATCATCAAGATTAATGTTAATATTAGATGAATTGTTAATTTCTTCTTATTTATGATATCTATAAATAAATGTAGAAAAGAATATCATATTAATAGTGATTCAAGACTATAAATCAATTAGATATTAATAATGATGATTATTTAATATATGAATTACAATTAATTTAGATATTAATGAGTTTTAAATTATAAAATGAAAAGTTTAGTTAACATATATATAAATTTATAATTCAAATAATGTTTCTGTTTATGTTGTTATCATAAATATTAGCATGTTCAGGTATTGATTATATGTTATGTAGATCAGAATTGTCTTGAGTGTAATTAACCTACTATTTGCACTGCTTGTGTAATGATTTTTGACCAAACTCTTAGGTTTCTTCGTTAATATTAAGCAACAATGAATGTGTATCCAGTTGTCCTTCAAATTATTATCCAGATACAATAAATAATGTGAGATAGTGTTTAAAATGTAATGATAAATGTTTGGAATGCTTTAATGGTTCACCAACTGGTTGTACTAAATGTATGAAGCCTTTAAGATTAATGTGTGGAAATTGTATAGATAGTGAAATAGATTCAGAATGTTATGATTGTAGTTCATAATGTGTATTATTATTATTAATTATATAGATAACATGTTTTGGTAGAACATCATCAGAATGTTATCTATGTAAAATTCCAAATTTTCTGTCTCCAGTTAATAATAGCTGCTAATTAACATGTGATTTTCCCTTATATGGAGATCTGAATGATTTCTAATGTAAGAACTTTTGTCCATCAGGAACATATGGATAACCATTCACTAGATAATGCTTACCTAATTGTCCAGATCCATATTTCAAAAATGAATTAAAAACTGATTGTGTTAAAGAAGTATGCTTATCATAACAATTTAAAAGTGTCCCAAAGGTACATATTCATAAGATAGATCTTGCTTATTGTGTAATATTACTTGTGAAACATGTTTTGGTGGAGAATCAACAGATTGCATCTATTGTAATACAGGTTTTTACATGAATAATCAATTGTGTGGTTAATGTGATAGTAAATAATACTCAAACAATTAAACAAGAACTTGTGTAGATTATCTTACATATTCTCTTAATATTTTAGAAGCATATGATTCAACTATAGTTTTTGAAATTTCATTTTCAAGTAGTATCAATCCTGATACTCTTGATATTATATCATAAATAAATGTTTAAGATATAGATAGCTCATAATATTCAATGTAAATTATAATTATTAATAAATAAGGACCTTAAGTTCTGTTTAAGATGATCAATTCTTTATTATTACTTTGGATTTTGATATTTCTCATAAAATTACTTAAATCTCTTGTAATTTTACTAACAATATTATGAATGAAATTCAAACACCTATTCTTTAATCCTCTGCAATTCAAAATTTATAAATACCAGCTTAATTTATTCCACCTGAAGAAGAAGCATATAGTAAAGAAGTTAATACTTATCTTATAATCAGTTATTTATCTTATTTTTGCTTTTTATTTTTACTCTGTTTAATTTTAAGAACTTAAAGAAGAATGTTTTATCTAATTATTAATAACTTGTAATTTATATAAGTCATGATTTTTATCAATTTTACTTTCTCAACTCTTACTTTAAATTCACTTAAACTTCTAGATATTGTTAATTTAAGAAGAATACCAGCATTGGGAATCTCAGAAGATGGAATTATTATATATTTCTTTAATACACCTATTTACAATCAAATTCCTAATAATAATTTATTATATAATGCAGGATATTATTATAATTTCATTGCCAATGGAGGAATATAAATCTTAGGAATATTATTAATATTTTGGCTTATTTGGATAATTAGCTATATTTTACATAATTTATATCAAATCAATAATAAAATAGAAACTTTGAAAATTTATAGAACAATGCATGAAGGTAGTAATGATTTACTTGTACGTATTCATGAATTTCTATATTTTCCATTAATCCTTATTTCTATCTTACAACTTTGGGGATATGATTTTAGTTCTGATATCAACATAGCTTCATTTGTTTTATCAATTGTTACTATCTTATACTATCTTTTATATTTCAGAAGTGTTTACAAATCATAATTTCTTGATTTAGATCAATAAGAATTAGAAAATAAATATTTCACATTCTTCTCAGATTTCAAATAATCAAATGAAATTAAAAAGAACTAAGAGTTTATTAATTACTTTTTGAAAACTATTATTGCATGCTCTCTTATTTTACTTAATAATTATCCTTACATTTAATTTTCCATTTCATTTACATTCATTGTATTATACTTCTTACTTTTAATCTAAAAACGTCCATATTTAAGAAATATCATGAATTATTCTGCTATCTTTGGATATCTTATAATCATAGGATTGTATATAACAATTATTGTTTCAGAAGTGGAATATCAAGCACAAATTAATAATATTGCTATTACAAAAGAAAATGTTCATAGATAATATAATTTTGGATTATCATTCATGATATTAATTTAAATTATCCTAGGTTTCTTTGCCATTACTTTTAGTTATAATAAATTTTAGGATTATTTAAAATTTTTAGATAAAAAACCAGATTGGGGAAAGAATTTTCTTTAAAAGATGGAAAAGATTTTGTTTTCAGATAAAATCTAAGAAGTTGAGATGGGGAACATGTCTTTTAATAATTGAATTTATTTTAATTAATATTTTATAATTAATTTTATACATCCAAATCAATTATTATTATTAAATCAAATATTTTGCTGCCATATTCCATATCTGAAAATTATTTTATTTTGTTCAATCTTTTAATTATTTTCTTTTAAAAGTAAATCAAATTCATAAAATTTATATTTTTTAAAGTTGATTTTTTTATTACTTCTAAATAAATTATGATTGATATTAATTAATTAAATTATAAGCCTTGATATTAATCAAGAAGATCAAACTTTTATAAAGATAATTAAATTAATAATTCTTAAATTATCATAATTTTCTCTCAAATGTAATATTGAAAATTCAGTATTAAATTTTAAATCTATTATAACTTAAGTATTAATTAAAAATTTTCTTATGAAACTAAAATAAATGAAATTAATAGCAATTCTCGCTTTTTACTTTTTGAGTATTGCAACTCATTAAATAAATGCTCCGAAGCAGAAGTCCATCTTAAAGAAAAAAACAAGATTAAATGGGATATCAATATTTTAATTGATAGAAAAAAAAATGGAATGAACTAAATGATGAATAAAATAATTATTCTAAGAGATTAATCAATGTAAACAAAAAGAGTTGATTGAGTTACCAAAGTTTTAACTATATAAATGATCCAATAATTAATTAATTTATAGTATAATGACATATCTTAAATTCTAGAAGATTAAAATTTTTTTTTTCATTTTTTTTCTAAATTCATACCAAAGATTGTTTCAAAAAAGAAATTCTCAATTATAATAAAATTAATTATCTTAAATACTTTAGAATATAAGTTTTCCATTTTATTAAATAATATCTCAAATGAATCCAAACGCATCTCGTTTAAAATTTTAACCTGTAATAGCTCTCAATAAAAGAACATTTGACTTAGATTTATTTGAATTGGAGAAAATAAACTTCTAAAATAAGATGGATAAAAAGATATCATAAACAAATGATTCTTCTTTAGAAATTCGAACTCCTACTTTTAATAAGCGCAAAGTGAAATTAGTTGGGATTTAGTAAGGAGATTCCAAATTCGTAAAGCAAGTTTTCAGATCATTTCCAAAAAAGTAAAATCGAAGTAAAACAAATGATAGAAATGACTTATCATCATTACATAATACATAATAGACGACAAATTAATGATAATTATAAAAAATAAATAAATGTCATTTAGTGGTTTTGTATATAAAATTAAGATTTTCTTTATGTATTATTTAATGTAATTTTTGAAGTCAGATACATAGAAAATTGCAGATGTGACTAAACAAATTACTTCCTTTTCCATTTATAACAATTTTCTTACTTTAAGTAGTCATGAAATAATAAAGGCTTTATCCTATTGTTAAACCATATTATTAACTTTTTTTGTACATTATTTGTTAATGATAAAAGTTCTGTAATTAATTCATTAATAGGTTCAATACTAAGTAGTTATTAAATTAAATTTAATTTGTCCATTATTAATTTAATATATTATAATTTTTTATGGCTTTTATTTGAGATTTTAAATTTAAAATAAAAAAAACATATTTTACAAGTTTAGATGATTAACAATAGTAAAATAAAGACTCTTTATTTTCTATATTCAAAATATACTCATAATAGAATTTTAAAGGTATTTCTATTTAATGAAGATAATTTCAGATATAGAATTGTAATAAGAATACTTAAAATGATATAAAATAAGAAAAAATTAATCAGTTTAAATCATCATCCTCTTCATCATAACCATCATATTATAGTTTAGATGATACTTAACCTCTTAATAATTTCTGTTAGAATTATTTTTAAACAACAGGAGTTTAATTTTCAGGGAATTATTATGATTACTATTAGATTTATCTTTACTATGATTAATTAAAGCTTTTAGACATAACAAGAGAACCATTTTCAAAATTATCTTCTTATTAAGGTGAATTCCTTTCATTATTTTTTGCATATTTAGATAAATTCTATGAAATCTCTTTCATTTCCTAATCTCCTCTACCTCTAAGAAATTATTATTATCTAAGTCTTTCTTCATTTTGATTTTTATGCCTTCTTATTTTTACATCCACTTATTCCTATTGTAATAATCTTTTATGACGCAAGCCTCTTATTATATTTTAATATTATACACTGAGGGTATACAAGCTAATAGTTCAGGCTAAAGACTTGTTTTAATCTAGTATAATTTGTCTTCTTTCATATTAAAATTTAATTGACTAATTAAAATTTCTAATTTAATACCTTTTTCTATTTCTTTCCAAAATTTCATTAACTTAATTCATATAATCAGTATATTTTTGTTTTTAAGAATTTCTAACCAAATATTCATATAATAAACTTTACTTTTCAGATTTTAACTATTTTAATTATTCCGTTGTCAATTTAATTAAAGCCTAATTGATTTTATTCTCATTTTAATTTATCATATTTTAAATATCCTCATCGAGATACTTACGCTTAGCTTGTCTTCATAATAAATATAAAATTACAATTCCTGTAATACTGTGTCATAGTTTATCACATTAATCATTTGATAAAATTAATAATATATATATAAAACATATCTATAAATTAATACAATCAAGATTCCAGTGAGAAAACAGACAAATAAGTTTCAGAACTTATTTTAGAAATCATATTTGTTTATTTTCATATATATCAAAGAAGATATCATGTATTTTTTTTATGAATTAAATTTCATCCTTTTAAATCAATTTTTCAATACATCTGTTTTTGATTTTGATTTTTTCAAATTTGTTTTTTATTCTTATCTATTTTATTAAGAAATGTTTGTTGATTCTATAACAATCTATTATAACTAAAATCGCAAAATTAGCATTTTACTAATAATTGAAAATTAAACTTATCTCATTTAAATTTTCATTTATTGATTGATTTAATTAAATTCAATTAGGAGTATAATTAATATAAAATTAGACATCAAAGTTGTTGTAAACTTAAAACATATTTTATTTTATAAATGTCTATATATAAATAACTTAATAATTTATAATATCAGAATATAAAAGTTTTAAATATATATGATCAAACTGGTTATCTTCTCCGTGCATTGTCCTCTGATAATACAGCTAGTTTTGTTTCTAAATTTCTAATTTTTTATTTATATCCATTAAGTGCTCCATCACTTCTTTCTGTTTCTTATGATTACAATTAATCTATTTTTTATTTAAACCTAAATAATTATTCTTCAGAAGCACTCAATTAATCTTATAATTTATCACTTAAAAATTTTAATTACTCATTTTCATTAAGAATAAAATCGATCTTTTCATCAATATCACCTAAATTATTTAATTCATCTTGACTAAATTTCAACTGCTCTGTTAAGTCAGCATTTCTCTCTAATAATTACTTAATATGTTCTTCTTAAGCTAAAATAGTTTCTTTTTTGTTCTCAATTTATTAATCCTTATAATCTAATTCTTTCAAAACAGCCTAATATTTAGTCTCTGTTAGAATTCTATCCTCTTCGGATTTACTGATATATTTTATAAAATAATTAGTTTACATTAATTATTCTTTAAGGATAACTACTTCTTCTCTTAATTGAGTTAATTCAGTTTAATCGCTTGATCTTTGTTTTTAATACTTAGACTCCTTTGTTAAAAGCTATTTAATTAGTTCTGCTGATTTCTCGTTTTCTTCAAGTAGAACTATAATCTTTTTAACTAAATCCACTCTTTATTAATTTGGAGACAGATTTTCTTTGTTTTTTGGTGATTACCAAGTAGCATACTTACAATCAGTACTAACTGAACGGATCTGTTGAAAGGGATTCCTTAAAAGGGCTGGCCCTTAGACTTTTGAAGGGGAACACACATTCATTAACGGTATATTTTATATAATTCATTTATATTCTTAGCTAATTATATATTGTATATACAACCATTGAGTGGTTATATTGAAGATTTACCATAGTAGAAATGATAAATAGAGAAACATTAATTATAATTGTTAACAAATTAATTTATGATTGAACTTCCAATTTTGGGAGATAAAGTAGAAGACACACAAACTTCAGAATACTTTGTAGAATTTAATGAACGATATGAGTTAAAAGTCTATTATTATGAGGAAGACAATAATTTTATGATCAAGATATTACGCATAATAAGTCTTGGACTTTTTTCTCTTTTTGAAAAATGGTTTGTATAGGTTTAATTGTTAAGGTATCTTTGATATATGCCATATTAGCTTTTAGAAGAGTACAGAGCCTTCACATTTATTGATTTAAAAGTTAAAAGATGGTAAACGAATGAGCAAAGATTAAATCGTATAATGCAAAAGAGATGGAGATAGGATTAAATTTAAGTATGAATACATAAATTTTCTTATCACTCCATAAAATTAATTGTAAAAGTTAGAAATGATCAATTACGATTATCATGAATTAACTAAATATGAAGCATAACAAAGGTAAATTTTATATGGTGAAAATATTATGTAAGTTGAAGAATGCACTAAAAGTTAAATTTTACTAAACGAAATATTATCACCATTTAACATTTTTTAACTATTCTCATTTATTGTTTGGTCTCTAGATGACTATTACCTTTATGCAATACTTATTGCAATTTTAACCATAATATAAATTGTCATAACTTTATATGATTTGGAGAAACAAAACCATAAAATTAGAGAAATGATTTATTATGAAAATGCTGTTATTGTACATAGAGATCATCATTAATTAAAGATATCATCAAAAGACTTAGTTCCTGGAGATATTGTACAAATTACAGCCAAATCTATGATTACTTTTGATGGTCTACTTACATAAGGAGAAGCTGTTTTCAATGAAGCAATTTTAACTGGTGAAAGCACTCCAATTCTTAAAACCATTAATATAGATATCTTTAGTGGATGTAGTTGTTTATCTGCTAGTTCAGATTGCAAAGCTTTAGTAAAATCTATAGGATTTAATACTGTTAAAGGATCATTAGCCAGATATATATTATTTAATAATTCTTACTCTTATTCATTTCAAAAAGAATCACTTAAATATTTATTGGTTATTGGTTTCTTGGGAATTTTATTATCAATTGCTAATTATTTTATTCGTCTTAATTCAACATCCAATCAATTTGAAAGTTTTATTTAAGCTTTAGAAATTATTACAATTATGATACCTCCATCATTACCTACAGCATTAGGAGCGGGTTTATAAGTGGCAGTTTAGAGATTAAAGACAAATAACATTTTTTGTATAAAGCCTGATAAGATTAATGTGAGTGGAATGGTAAATTTAATAGGATTTGATAAGACTGGTACATTGACTGAATCAACACTTAAAGTTTTAGGATGTGTAGAGAAAAAGTTATTATAAAATGCTAATCATTGCAAAGAAATGATGTAATTAGCATTAAAAAGTTGCCATACATTAATAGGAGGATGTGGTGATAATTTAGAAATAGCAATGTTAGAATGTTGTTAATAAAATTTTGATTTTGAATATCAGAAAGTTTATTAATTTGAATCAAATCTTTAAAGAATGACAGTAATAATTAAATATAAAGGAAAATTATTAGCAATAACAAAAGGATCACCAGAAATAATGGAAAGATTATGTTTTAAAACATTACCAGATTAATTTGGCTAAACAATAAAATAATATTTAGAGGATGGATATAGGTTGATATCATTTGGATATAGAGAGATAAATAATGTAGAAGAAGAGAGAAAATATATAGAAAATGGATTAGAATATCTTGGAACTTTAGTATTTGCAAATCATTTAAGAGAAGATTCAAAAAATTTAATAGAATTATTGAATTCAATAAATATAAATAGTATAATGGTAACAGGAGATAATATATTGACATCAATTAATATAGCTAAATAATGTTAGATATTGGATCCAAATTAACCTGTGATAACTGGATAAATGATAGATGATAAATTAGTTTTTGATAATAATGTAAATAGAGAAGAAATTGAGGAAATGAATTATTAAGTAGCTTTAACAGGAGATGCTTGGGATTATGTTGATAAAGTATTAATTAATATTATTTTTGAGTATCCTTGAAAAAACAAAAGTGTTTGCAAGAATGAAACCTTCAGAAAAAGGTAATCTAATGCTAAAACTTAAGAAAATGAATAAAGGAATCTTTACAGCTTTTGTAGGTGATGGTTGTAATGATATTTGTGCATTATAATAAAGTGATATAGGTTTAGCTTTATCTAATTAGGAAGCATCATTAGCAGCACCATTTCTTACACCTATAATAAAAGTTTCATAAATAAATGAGATTTTGAAAGTAGGAAGATGTGCACTTATTACCAGTTAATCTTGTTTTAAGTTTATGACACTTTATTCAAGTATATAAACAATTGCTTTAACATTATGTTATATTAGTAATACTAATCTTACAGTCGAGTAATTTTTATATTAAGATTTATGGATAATAATACCCATAGCTTTTACTATGAGTCTAGCTAAACCATAAGAAAATTTAACAAACTAATAACCTTTTGCTAGTTTATTGAATAGATCAATTATAATGTCAGTGATTGGATTAGTTTCTATCTGTTGTATTAGTTAAATAATCTCTTTAACAACCTATGATTACTCATTAATCACTGAATTAAACAAAGAAATACCTAATTCAATTAATACTTAATAGATAATATTGGCAAATACTCAAGTTATTGCTGTGGCTATTGCATATTCATAAGGCAAACCTTTTAGACAACCTATCTATAAAAATTATTCTCTGTTACTTGTTTTATTGGTTGGAATTGTTGTGCATATTATGCTCATTATTTAACCAAATATTATTAGTATTACAGTCTTATCTTAATTAAGAACAGATGAATTAATGATAACCAGTTTGGTTAATTTGGTTACATTCTTTATAATTATAATATTTGAGAATCTGTGTATAAGATAATATAAGAAAACAAGTGCATGTCATTTTTGATTTGATTTCTATAGGTTATCTAAATGTATCTTTTGATTAATTTATACATAAACAATAAAATAAATAATAAAAATCATAATATTTAAAATCCAACATATGTTCTTAATAACCATTTTACAGTTTCAGCTGTAGCTAGTAAAAGGAAACAAAATGGAAGTCCTGCTGATCCTAATAATTCCCAAGGCATACTGGCAGTCTAAAATACCCATTGAATTCCTGGCACATAAATTATAATTGGTAATAAAAGTAATGATATTATTAAACCATATATTGCTAAAATATTAATTTTAGTGTTATTATAAGATTTAATTAATGTTCTTAATGCAAAGTAGTTGATACTATTTAATTTAACATAAATTACCATTATGATAAAACTAACACAATAAAAAAGCATGATGATGCATAATCACTGGCTTTAGCTGTATAACAATAATTATTATTTATTAAACAATCTGGATATTCATATTTAGTATTCCAACAATCTTATAAATAACCATTTTGAATTTATAATTCAGTACATACTCCACACTTAACAAATATCATTCTTGTATCGATAGTATTATTAGGTGAACTCCATTAATAATTTACCATTTCATCATTATATTAGCAATTATCAGGTAAATAAGTATTGCCTAAATTATTAATGTCAGGAGAATAAGTATCATTTAGACCAACTTTATAGACACTTTAAAATCTAGTGAAATATAAATTTTATAAATTAAATCCAAAATAACGATAAGCACTGAAACTTGCCATCAATCCTCCTCCTGCTTCAATACATCCAATAATCAATATAGCAAATAAAAAAAGATTTGTTCTGTTAGGAATTCTATACTCTAATTCTTCTCTTGCTAAACTTATTCCAAGAATCAAATCAACAGATATACTTGTTAATAACATAAGATTTTATGAAAATGGTAATGGAGTTCCTAAAAAACAATATACAAATAAAGCTAATATCATGGCTGTGTTTGAAGAAAGACAGAGCATAATAGATTTTGAAACATTATTAACAGCTCTTTTAGCTTCTAGAATTGCATAATAACTATCAAGAAAAGTCTATTTGCTTGAAGTTAATACTAAATCACTAGAATTTATAATCATCTGTTATGACCCATGTTTTTTACTTATACTTATGTCTGCCTATCTAAATGCTCCTAAATCTGTTAAACCTTCTCCTGTTATAGCAACTTTATAGTTTTATTGTTGAAGAGCTTTAACTATGCTTAACTTTTACTCAGGAGATGTACGAGCAAATACTATTTCTTATTAAGAACACCAATTTCCTAGTTTATTCTCTACAGAACTTAATCTAGTAACTTCTTATTAATCATCTACATGTAGATATAATTAATGTCCTTCAACTATTGTTGGATTTTAATAATATCCAGTCTTCTTACATATCACTCTTGCTGTTTCTGCATGCTCTCCAGTAATGATAACTAACTTTATATTTTAATGTTGCAATTTCTAAAATATTTAAATAGTTTATTCATTTAAACTGTTATTCAAATATAGTGTACCTAGATAAACAAAGTTTTGTTTATTGAAATCATAGTCATTTTCATTAATTTTGAGATCTTCCTCTTTTAAAATTTCTAAAAATGCAAATCCTATGCTTCTTAAACCTTTGGAACATTAATTGATTAATTATTCATTAAATTATTATGTCTATTGTATATCAATTTTTCCAAACAAAGTCTAATTACAATAACTCCAAATGATTTCAGGTGCTCCTTTGATATAAACATAGTATTTTCCATCCTATTCCACAATTGATAAAGAATACTTTTTACTACTATTGAAGGGCAAATGATATTGAATTCCATTAACATAATACTTAGCATTCTTTATAAGGTTTTCTGTTGAATCATCTTTGAAGGTGTCAATAAGACTTTTTTCTGTTCCATCGAGATTATCATGATTACAAGTAAGTATTGCACAATAGTAAAGATGAATGGAATTCCTTTTTCCACATTCATACTATAACTATTTACAATCATGAAATGAATTAAATGTGTAATTCTTGGTAGTAATAACTTCATTTAATCCAATACATAAACAATTAATTTCACTTAATGTTTCTATACTTTCTGCATCTTTAATTAAGAATTTAAGTTTAGCAAGTCTCCTTATTGCCATTTAAAATGAGATAGTTACTATAACTAATAATCCAACAGGTACAATTGCAATAATAACTTATTCAACAACTCTAAATCCATATGCAAAAACTTCAGAACTATCTTTATCAGACATAACACCACTCCATATTATGACTAATATTATCACAAACAATGCTATCAATGTCATAATTTATTAGAATAATATCAATTATTTCTATAATACCTTACTTCCTTATCTTTTCTAAATCTAAGCTAATGTAGTACTTGATCCTGTTTTTATTACAACTGCTTTTCCTGATCCATTTCTTATTAATGAACCACAAAATATCTGTGACCCCTTTACAGCCTAAGTTACATCCTAATTCATTTATATCTATAAATCTGAAGATTCCAATACTCTCATATCACAATATATTAATAATCCTTCTTCTATTACACAAATATCTCCAGAAACCAAATTCTATACTTAAATTTACTACATTTTCCCATCTCTATAAACTGTGATTGTTTGTTCATTATCTTTTTGTATTGCATATTAAGATTTCTTCCTTTATTAATATCCCATTACAAAAGTTATTGTTATAACTATTAATAATAAACATGATGTTATAATTTCTTCTCCACTGAATTCAAGATTATTTTCACTTCCATATATTGCTAAACTTATTGAAATTATCATAGCTATTATTAAATCAAATGCAAATAAATTCAATTCTTTTATAAACATTTTCCAATCACTTACATCTAATGTTTTTGATTATTATCTCTTAGATGCTTCCTCACTTTAAAGCCCATTACTAAAATGTGTTTTTAAAAGACCCTCTAATTAATCTAATGGACAAAAGTATTCTTGCATTTCTGCATATTTTTCATAAACACTTGGACCTTGTCTCTCTTATTATTCATCTTATTCTGCATAATTTATACTCATCTAGAGTTTAGTCTGAATATCAGGTCCTTTCTCTAAAAACCTAAATAATTCTCATTCTTACCTTGGCTTGCATATTAACATATCCTACATTTCAGAATTTGCCATCTTCTTTTTATATTCTAATTTATTAAATTTATTATATTATATAGAATAAAGAAGTATCTAAAACCAAAATATCGATATTTTATTATCATTATCATTTACAGATTACTATATTTTATTATTTATATATAGCTTCAATTTATTTTACTCACTTTTTTTAATACTTCTTTAAAATTCCATTCCTAATTTTTTTGATTACACAAATTCATATGGATTTATTCATTAAGAGAATTTATGAATATCATTTACTTTTTATACAAGCTTTTAACTCAAAACAGTTCTGAAATTTATCTAATTTAATAAAATAAGCCAAGTTTACATAATATTATTTATGTTTAAGATTCCATCATATAGCAATAAAATATTTAAATCTTGATCACATAATAAAACAAATCAAAAGTTTATTGTCTTTAGCTTCAGTTACAACAATCAAATTTTTAGAAGATATCAAATGCATGATAACTACACTTTTTAAATTTGGCAAATACTTTAATATTTTGAAAACAAACCTATTTATAACAAAAAACTACTGAATCAACATTATTTAGAATATTAAAATATTACAATATTTAAATTTATGATAATACTTTATATGAAATTTAATATGGAAGAGATAATATTCATTTAGCAATATTTATATAACTATCTTGAATAATTAGATTTCTAATTCAAAATCCTACTTACCACTTCATCAATAATTTTACTGAAAATATTGAAATTTATTTGTGTCTACTCTGTTATAATGAATAACCTTATTTAATAAAAGTTTATGGTAAATTAAAAGTTGTAATTGAATACTGAAATTTAATGAGTTATTGATTGTAATCAAAAAATAATAGACATGTTAAATTAATTTAAAGAATACATTCATTTTGTATAATAAATAAAAATATCAAAAAAAAATTGATACTTAAAGTGAGAAAGACCACAATTTAAATTCTTTTCAAGAAGTGAATGATTTTTATTAAATTTAATTTCAATATTTTGAACTGTTTTAGTAGTAAGAATTAATTATTAAAAAATAAGACCTAGAATATTTTTTTTTTAGACATACATTATTTCTTTTGCTAAAAATTGCTCTTAAAAAAGAAAAGGAGATTGTTATTATCGAAAATAAATATTAGATCACTTATTACGGTCTAAATAATTTAGTGAAAAAATCTGAATAAATAATTTTGTTATACGAAGAATTATTTATGAAGGAATTCAAAAAAGGTTTCCAAGCAGACTTCGTTATTCATAAATTAATTAGAGGAAAGCTTAAAAATACTAAAAACCTACCATGATAAATAAATTATAGAATTTAAAAATTATGAAATAAATAGAGAGATGGCATTTTATGCTAAGGTCTTTAAATTAATTAAAGAATATTAAAAAGAAAACTGGAGTCAGTAATTCGAAAATTAGCATTACTAATTATTAATGAATTTGTATAGGACATTTCTAGAATTTTTATGGAATGGAATTAATGATTGATTATAAAGTCGATAAAATCAATTCAAAATATTATAACCAAAAAGATTGGGAGAAAAAGAAATCAGAGATAATTTCCACAAGTAATTTCAATAGACAAAAGAAAGGAAAAGTAATAATCTTTTCAGAAAAATTCCACTTTTGATAAGAAAACAATTAATAAAAATCATAATACCCACATATTCATCAATAAATTTAGTTGCAATCCTTAGTTGATTCTTTTAGTCAACAATAAAACAGAATCAAAATTCGAACGGGATCCCCATTTTAAATTGTGATTAAACCGAAACTCATAATTTAAATGGCAACATTTTTTTTATTAATAAATTATAATTATATTTTAAATTCAAAGATGTAAAATTAGAAAATCAGGCTTATCAACAGTAATGGCAAACAAAATATACCAAAGCCTTAAGCTTCTTAATAAACTTTCTCCTATAATCTAAATAGCTAATATATGGATCCTATTCCTCAATAAAATTAAGACTTTCAAACAAACATTTCAGTTAGGGTGATTTAAAATAAAAATGAGTCAAACAAGTAAAGGTCAACATCACAATTTAATGCTCCTTTGAATAATTATAATAATAGTACTAATAATTCTAATAATTATATCTTCTCTAAGGTTTATGAAAAGCCATATTAGAGAACAGAATTTAACAATTAAATTTAAAACTTCAAAAATTTTTAAAATTAAGATTTTTAAAGAAATTTTAAAGAAAACTAAGAAACTTCATTTAATTACTAAGCTTATACAGATTAAAATTATTTGGGTTATCATCAAAACTATTAAAATTTGAGTTAACCAAAACAAAATTATTTTTAGGAAGAAAAATAAATAAATCAAAGTAAGAAAATAGTTATCAAAAATAATTAAAATTATAATTAAGAATACAATTATTATGATTAATACTAATAACCTACAATGAATAATTATAATCAATGTTAGGAATACAATCGAAACGTTGAATAGTTCAATTATTAAAATTAACAATAAGTGTAATGTCAATCACAAAATTATTTAAACCCCAATTATGAGCCTATTTAAACTAATTAGTTTTCTTAACAAATTTATAAATAATAATAATATCAAATATAAAGTCATGAAATTTAAAATCCTTCTTATACAATATAAGAGCAGATTTTCACCAACAATTATTAAATAGAATCTACAAATTAATAAAAAGTTCATTCAGACAATGATTCTGCTGATGAAATTGATTTAAAATAATCTTTAATGAGATCCATTTCATATACATGTTAACATTGTAATACAAGAGTATTTTAAGATATAGTTTAACTTGATTGTTTTCATTTCTATCACTCTGATTGCTTTAAAGAATATTTAACAACTTAAATCTTAAGTAAAACTAATAAACATATGATATGTTACTGCTAAAAAAAGATTTCAGTCTCTTAGATAAAAACTGTTTTAAAATTACACTCTGATTCTGATTTAGTGAAATAATTATTATAATCATAAATTACAGCCTTATATTAGAAGTATTAAAAAGATGGTATATTCCAAAAATGTAGAAATTGCAATTTCTTTTGGATTAAAGAGAGATATTAAACTTCTCAGTAATATTACAACTGTTTGAATTGTGAAAAATTATATAAATGAATATTACTAATAATTATTAAATACTTAATGTAAGTCTTTTGTCAATTTGTAATATTATTCGAAAATTTCGAAAGAAAACAATATTTTCTGCTCTAATTTGGGGAGGATATTAAATAACTCAAATAAATTAATAAATTTCATTAATAGCTTTAGTAATATTCTAGATTTCACTCTATATATTTGAATTCTCTTATTCTAATTTTAAAACAGTTTAGAACTGTTTAAATATATTTAATAAATCAGATTCCATTCTGTCAATCTAAAGTATATCTAACAGAATAATACTTAGTCTTTTTGATCTACGAATTCAGCTTATACATCATGTAAGACTCTTGTCAAGATTGAACAAGTATCTTCTACAGATTTTATTCTTTCATCTTTTTCAATAACGTCATTCTAAATTTAATCGAATTTTTATGGTATAGTGACTATAATTTTTTTACTAGTGTCAGTTAATTCAGCAATTTATTATTATAGAGATTCAGGAATGACAGGCGTAATGCAAGTTAATTTATGTATAACATCCTCTAGATTTAAAATTCTTTTTTCTAGTTCAAACAATTTATCATTGCTATTTTGCTACAATTGCTGCATGTCTAATTTATTGACAACAGACCACATTTATTTAAAAGCAAGATCAAAAATTTCAAATGTAACATATTAATCAGGACAAATTGTTCTTAGTTATTCAATTAATAATGATCCATCTGAAGAATGAATTCTTTTTGTATTTTTCTTTTAGCTCATAAATATGATTAATAATTTTTATGCCAAATAATTTTTGTTAATGCTGTATCAAGAAAAATTAAAAAGAAAATAATGATGATGCAAGCGAAAAAGAAATTGAATAAACAATGGATTATAAAATATAAAAAGGTTTAATTCATATTGATATTTAATATAATAATAATAGACAATAAAAACATTGAATATATATAAAAGAAGTAGGTATGCATAAAATTAACTAAAATCTAAATTATTGAGTAGAATGATTAAGTAGCTGAATAATTAATTCAGAAAAAACAATTCAAATTTTAGGAAATATAGGAAAAGTGGTTTTTATTTTTTTAGTTTTACCATTTGAAAAAGGACAGAATAGTAAGTATTGTTTTTAAATAATATTTGAAATACTTAACATAAACAAGAAATGATAGAAATTTAAGTTAGATTGTTAGATTAGATGTTGAAATTCAGAAATTAGAATTCCAAATAAATGATTAAAGTGTATCTATTTTTTTCTTAAAGCTTTTTACAAAGTTTTGAGATTCGAAATATTTGTAAAACAATTGAACAAGATGATAGGTTTGAACAGAATTTATTTTATGATTTATGATATAAAATCTAAAAAAATTTAGAGGAGGAAATTTAAGCAAGAGAGTAGATTATAAGAGAGGTAGATTCTTTAATGAAGATAGATTGAAGGGAAACTTTGATGATTAGAAATATATTATAAATACACTAAAATTTTTGATTAACTTTTTTAATAATTAAAATGCCACCTAAATAATAGAGAGTTGCAATAAAGAGACCATAAATAGTAAGATTAAAAATTCTATAGTAGAAAAAACAAGCAAAATAAGTGAATTAAAATTTGAATCAATAAGACCCTGAGCCAGATGGAGATGAATCAGAATATTAACATGAAGTTTTGAAATGATATTATATTATTAGAGAGAAAAAGAGAGACCTTAATTAACAGAGAAAGAACTGAATGAAGATATGCCATCTAAAATGCTTATACCGAATAATCCTCAAGCCCCAAAAAATATCACTTAATATGATTATTTATAAAGAAAGGTAACTACCGAAGTTATAGATAGTATAAAACAGATGAATTAGTTGAGTAATTGATTATTCATTTCAGAATGGATGGAGAAATAATCCACAAAGATTCAAATGAAGCTAGAATACAGGAGGAATTATGGGAGACAAAAGAAGCATTAATAAAGGAAGCTGAAAGAAATTAAGAAATGGAAGATCCAGGAGCTTCTAAAGATATAGAGGCAATTAAATAGACAATGAGAAATAAGTTTAATTATAATGCAAGAGAAGCTTAGACTGATGGACGAGTCATTAGAGAAAGAGGAGTTTCGACAGAACCTCCTCCTAGTGATACATTAAAAGGTTAAATTACTTAATGGGAAATATTTGATGCTTACATTTAGAATAAGGCAAAGGAAGAGAATTAGAAGAAAAAAGATCATACTTCTGATAATACAGTTTATAAACCATCCTTTAAAAGATGTTTAAAAATTATGGAAAGAACTGTTGTTCATAATGATTAGAAAGAGAAATACAATGATTATAAATATTATTGGAGTTAAGGGGAAGTTGTTGAAACATCAAAAAATGAAGGGTAAATATTAAATAAATATAAAGACATTTGTTACCAATTTGGAAATTTTCAAATGAGAAATAAAAGAAAAAACATGTAACGTCTTTGTGTTGGAATCCTAGATATATGGACTTGTTTGCTGTTAGTTTTGGTAGTTATGAGTTTTCAAAATAAAGAATGGGTTTAATATGTTTATATTCTCTGAAAAATACAACTCATCCAGAATATGCATTTACATGTGAAGCTGGTGTAATGTGTTTAGATTTTCATCCTTAAAGTCCAGCATTATTGGCTGTTGGATTATATGATGGAACAGTTCTTGTTTATGATATCAGAAATAAACATAAGAAACCAATTTATTAATCTACAGTAAGAACATAGAAACATACAGATCCAGTTTGGTAAGTTAAATGGAATCCAGATATATCTAAAAATTATAATTTTTATTCTATTTCATCAGATGGTAGAGTTATGAATTGGGTTTTAATGAAAAATAAATTGGAACCTGAAGAAGTCATTAGATTAAGATTAGTAGGAAAGAATGAAGAAGAAAGCACTTTGATTGGTTTGGCTTGTGGTTTATGTTTTGACTTTAATAAATTCGAACCTCATATATTTTTGGTAGGTACAGAAGAAGGAAAAATTCATAAATGTTCTAGAGCCTATTCTGGATAATATTAAGAAACTTATATTGTAAATAATATATATTATATAAATAGGGTCACAATTTAGCAGTATATAAAGTAAAATGGAATAATTTTCATCCTAGAACATTCATTTCAGCATCAGCAGATTGGACAGTTAAGATATGGGATTCTAAAATTTCATCTTAAATTATGAGTTTTGAATAAGGAATGTAAGTAGTTGATGCAATGTGGGCTCCATATAGTTCAACAGGTATTTAATTAATTTTATTTATAACACTTAGTCTTTGCATGTGCTACATAAGATAAAATATTTGTATATGATTTAAATGTTGACAAAATTGGCAAACTTGCAGAATAAAAACCCTCTAAATAACCTAGATTAACCAATATAGCATTCAATTAAAGAGATTCCATTATTTTAGTTGGTGATACTCATGGTGGTATAACTTTACTTAAATTAAGTCCCAATCTTACAAAATGTAATATCATAATTTAAATTTTAGCTGGTGTTAAGGCATCTAATTTTCCAGATGGAAAAGTTCCTAAAGAATTTGAAAATATGCCAATGGAAGAATATGAAAAATAGAAGATGGAGAATCTTTTATAAGTTGTTTCAAAGTGGGAAAGAGAAGATTCTTGAGAAACAAATTTTATGCATCAAAATATTATAAAAAATACATTTATATTTAATGCACAATTACCAAGATAATAGTTAAAAACTCTTTTACTAATTATGGAAAACTGGTAACAGAATATTGTGTTAAGGTAAATTGTTGGTTGGGTATAAAATAATTGTATAGAAGTTCTGAAAATCATAAATTTATTGCCTCTCTTGTGATGATTACAATCCCTACTGTTTTATATTATGTGTTTATGGTACCGGTAATAAATATCTAATATCTAGGCTTTGGTTCAAAGAGACAAAGTATTGTAGGTTATCATCTTTGTAATCCTGAATTGTATAGTATATATCTTGATCACTATCACAATTCTGGTTGATCCAGGCATAATTCCTAAAATAGTACTAATAAAAATAATAGAAGACTACAAATTATGAAATGGATGAGTAGCTAATTATAATACCTTAAAAATATTTAAATGTCAATCCTTAAGTATTATTTGAATCAAAAACCTTGTAAATGAAAGGACATTAATTTAAATTGAAGTTTTGTAATACATGTAATAACCAAATTAAAAATACACAGGTGCTATTTATCGACCTCCTAGAGCCTCACATTGTCCAGCTTGTGATAATTGTGTTTTAAGATTTGATCATCATTGTCCTTGGATAGGAGCATGTATTGGAAGAAGGAATTATATCTATTTTTATCTTTTTATCTTTTTTCTTTCTGTTACAATGATTTATGTTTTTTCTACTTGTCTTGCCTATCTATTTGGGGATATATAAAGTGGTTAAGATCAAGGAGAATAAATTATCTCTTAATTATCTAAAAATCCATATTCATTAGCTATAGCAATTTATTGTTTAGTTGTAAATATTTAAAAATTACACAGTTTTCATTTTTTGTTGTTGGATTGTGGGCATTTCATACATATTTAGTTATAACAAATATAACTACAAATGAATATTTAAAAAAGCATTGGTTTATTTAAAGTAATAACCCTTTCAGAAGGTAATTTGATTTTTAAACTTTAGAAAAAACATCTTTAAAAATATTTAACATGTTTTAGCTTGTATAAGAAATGTGAAATTCCTAGAGCTTCGTTAATTTGTTTATGATCCTTAAAACTATAATTAAGTATTATCTATAAATATATTAAGTCTATTACATAAAATCAAATCAATGAAAATGAAAATGAGAACTTAAATCCTCTTGCAGATAATTAAAATAACATTGCAAGAAGATCATCAAAGAAAACTAAGGAAAATATAGAAGAACAATGAATATTCAAACTAGTAATATTTTAATTTATAGATATCTATATTTTAATGAATTTCAATTCTAAATTGAAAATATTGAAAAATATTATTTAAAATAATTTATTTTATATTTAGTATTTAGTAAATTAATATATAAGTGAATTATATCATTTATCAATTCATGGAATAGAAGGCAATTTCTATTGGTAATGTAGTAAACCCTATTAATGTTGTGTTGATATTTAACAATTAAATGTTTACTAATACGATTTGATCACTTTATCTAATCTTTTCCTATGACTATCACTTGCAGTTTATCTAAATAATTTTTCTTATGACTTGAATTCCTAAATTAAGATTTTTATGATACTTTTGCAATTTTTGGATCTATCAATGTATTATTCTATAAAAAGTCTAGTGGTTATACCTTTTTTAATGTCCATTTAGGACTTTGATTTTAACTTCCTTAACTTATTTGTATTCCAAATTATTTAGCTAAAATTCCTTAAGCCCAATCACATCTATAAGGATCTTTTTTTTAAGGATGATTGACTGTTGACTATTTTATTTAATAAATGATAACTTCTATTAGATTTCTCTTTTGGTTTTTCTATTTTTTCTAATTTTTCTGTTTTTAAAATTTTTGGTTAGATTTCATAATTATCTTCATTACAATAATCCATTATGGATAAAGGCTCACACAATTCTGCTACATATAAAGAACTTTAAAAAAAAAGTCCATCCTTTTGCTGTTTCATAATTAATTTTATTAAATTACAAATATGAAGTTTAATAATTATTCATTATTGAGATATAATCATTATTTTAATTGTATAATCAAATAATCATGAATCAAAAGTTTGTCTGCCCCTGTACTATCTAGATGGTGTCTTTATTTAAGGAGTATGACATGGATTGAATTGAGGGGCAGAACAATCTGTTGTTTCTTAAACAGATATAGTTTGATTTTATCTCACTTGACTATTTCTTCTTTTTTATAATCTCTCTTATATAACATTGTTTTGAGCTTCAAGATTATTATGAATTAAAGTGTTCAATTACTCTTACTAATGAAAAACTAATATTTTTTTTATACTTTTTATTGATGTTAGTTAATCAAATCATCAGCATTTTATTTTTAATCAACTTACCTAATTTACTAAAGTTTCTATTTGACATCCAAAGTTGGAGACTTTTTTTAATTCATCTTCATAGCATTCATCACATTCTTTTTTGCAAACAAGTTTTAAATTTTATTCTTGAATATTAGATATTTATTTGAATGAATGGCTTCAAAATATTCTACAGCTTCTTTATATAAATTAATTAATTGCATAATGGTATCCATTTAAACATTATCAGATTCGACATCCATTTCTAAATTAAAAAGTTCCTCTGCAAATTTCTCCCTTAATTTTGGCACAGTAGAATAAAAGTTCTATTTTGTTTGTTATTGTGTTTATTGCTATTCTGGTGGTTTTTGGGGTTCTAATGTTTAAAAAGTTTGCATTACATTTTTGCTATGAGAAACTACGTATAAAATTAAGCATGTATTTAAATAAAATATGTTCAATAATTCAACATCCTATTTTGCGAACTCAAATGAAAAAAACAACCAATTCAAAGAGAAAATCTAGAGTGTTCTTTATTCATCTCCAAACACATCATAGTAAAATTTTAGTCTAATCAATTAGTGAATTTATGAAGTGGATTCCTAGTAATGATATTTCGAATCTCTCTGTGTCTATTGAACAAGATATTGATAAAATTCTATAGGTTGTTCCTCCTTTTTAATTTTAATCAAACAAACAAATTTGCTTTTAAAATTCTTATACTTAACAATGTATCAACAGCCAGCCTTATACATTTTTGAGTTCATCTTAAAAAAGTTATTCTGAAAATCTATGTGAACCAAAAATAAAGTAGAATGAACTACATTAAACAGAAAGTAATTCAAAAGTAAATAGAAGAGAACAGTTAATTCCTCCGAAGTAGAATTAATACATTTAAGACTTAATTAGTAGATATAAAGAACCTCCTAAAAATCATTTTTAAGAAGAGTAAAATATTCAATCTAATAATATTGAGGAAGAATATGATGTAAATACTAAATAATCAATTACAAATAGAGATTCTCAATAAAAAGGTATGATTCATGAAGAAAAATGTAAAAATGATGAACTTTCTAAATTGACTGAATAATAAACATGTTTAAATTAGAGCGTTGGTAATTCTGCTATATTGGAACCTTTAATTAATGAAATAAATCTTAATTAAGTTCCTTCACTTGTGGAAATTGAAACCCCAGCTTTTAATACTAATTAAAATTGGGCAAAAATGAAGATAAGAAAAGAGGCAAAATAAAATGAAAATTACAAAACCCAAAATTTTTAAGATCTCCTCTATTCATTACCTTAATTTTTTATTCATTAAACAGAAGGTGAATTAAAAGTAGATAAATTAAGAGCTTAAGAAAATTAGGATGGATATTATTATCAATCCTTTGAACTTACTGTCAATCCATAAATAATGATTGGGCCTATTAATTTTAAGAAGCATCTTAAAATTGTATATTTCCATATGATAATAGCATATAAGATTCAAAAAGGGTTACTCCGGAGTTGTTTATTATGATAAACTTTTGTAAAATGTTATTCCATAAAATTAAGTCGATGGTATAACTTTAAAGAATGAACCATTTTTATTAGCTAATAATTCTGATAAAGCCATAAAAGTAATATGCTGTATAGTTGGTATCAAAAAATGATATTAATTCAATATATAACTCAACCAAATTCATTGTGATATTTTATCTAAATTATATTAATCAATTAGGGTTGAATTAAAGTTTTGTTTTGATTCTTTTCATAACTATTTTCAATCCTTTTTAAATTATTATATAATTATTATAAATCTAAAATAAAATTAGTTAAATGAATTTTGTTTATTAAGTATAGTTAGGCTATTATTAATATTTTCTAATTTTTTCTTATTCTTTTAAGCAAAAAATTATATTTTTTATTTCAAAATTTGTTCATAAGTATCAAATTTTTAAATTTAAAGAAATATTAAATGAAAGTCAAGTTGATAATTTAAACATCCAGAAATCTTAATTAGTAAGATAATGCTAAAAAAAGATTAGAAATTTAAGTCCCAAAATTCATATTTAGTAACATTATTTAAGTATTGTTTTTAAGAACTAATAAATAATAAGATTGTTTTGAATTGAATTTATTATTTTGAAATAGATACAAAATTTATTGTTTGATTTATAATAAGTAAATTTAAAGAAAGAGATTAAAAATTTAGTATAAAACGGATTTTATTGTTAAAAATAATATAAATGTAAAAAGCATTGCTTCTTATATTGGTGATATTAGGTTGTATGGCAACTGAATTTGATGAAGAATTTGCTGAACTTGAATAAAGTTAATTTGGATAAACTATTTTATAAACAATATAGATGGAAATATAAACAGATGATCCAGTTGTTTCTAATTTGATAGATATTATGCAGCATTTAGAATAAACATTAGAAAGTGAATAATAACGAGATGATGATAGGATTGTCAGATTTAAATAAAACTGTGATATAGCTTTAAGCTAATTGACAGAAATGATAAATACTAGTACAGTCACATCACTAACATTGAAGAGTGATTTAGACTCATTAAATCCGTAGAAGGTATAAGCAGTGGCTAGTTTAGAGAGAAAAAACTTAGAAATAACGGATTTGAAGGCAGAATTAGATTATTAGACTTTGAAAAGATAAAAGGAAACAGCTACATATTAAACCATATTGGATAATTTAGAATAAGCACTTTTTGGAGTGAATTAAGTTAAGGGATATTTCAATAAATATTTAGATGTCTTAGTGAAGAATAGAAACAGATTCTAATAACCTTAACCTTCATTTTTATAAGAAGATTTAAGTTTTGAGTATAATGATGATGGTATAGAGGAAGATATAGATACAAAGAGTATATCTTCATTTGCTTAAGTAGCTTAAAAGGTTAATAAATTAAAACATCATGTAAATATTATAGATTTATTTATTAAGGTTCATTTAGAAGGTTATAAATCTATGATTGAAATATTAAGTCAATTGGCAAGTTAAGCTTAAACATCAGCAGATGAACCAAGTTAATGTGAAGTATTAACAAGAAAGGTTTTATCAATTCTTAAATAAATTGAGAATTATATACAATCAGAAAGAATTAGAGAAGATTCTGCTGAAAATTTAAGATAAAGTTCTTTTGAAGATTTAAGAACTTTGTTATCTGATTAATTAGTAAAGGCTAATTAAGATAAAACTTATATGGAAGGTAAAAAAATTTATTATTTATTTTAGGATTGATTGATTCTTTATCAAATAGAATTCAATTAGCAAAAAATGAGAAATTTGAGGTTGATTAAAAGATTACCACTAAATCAAAAGAAAAAGAAAATAGAGAAAACGATTGTAGATTAAAAAGATAAGAATATGAAACAGATACTGCAAGCAGGTTCATTTATGATCCTATTTATTTAGAATTAAACAAAAGCGATCTGTAGCGATTGCTGTTGATTTAATTTCATCAAAATTAGGATAACTTAAGAGAAAAATGTTGGCCAATTGATTAGAAATATCATTAAATAATCATTATATATTTTATTTATTATAAAAAATTTATATTTATTATTAATAAATTTAAATAATGAATTATAAATTAATACATATCTTTAAAAAGTATTTCCATTGGCCTGAAATAATTTTAAGGTCTTTATACTGAATTGATTCTAGATCTTAAATAAAGTAAATGAAAATTATTTGAAAATTTTAAAAGAATGATTTTATAATTATTAAAAATAGATAATCTTTGTTTTCTAATAGTTTTTATTTAATTAATGATAATTTTCTAAGTTTCTATAAAGACATTATCTAATATTTATTAAATTTTCCTAAAAAACCAAAAAAATATGATAAAAATATTTATTTTATGTTGAAATTAAAAGATTTGAGAATTTTTTGATAAAAACATCAAGTGATTTAAATCCAAATTATTGGAAATCCATAATTTCTAAATCAAGCTAATTTTTGCATGAGCAATTAGTAAAAGTAGAAAAAAAAATGAATAATTTTACTCCTTAAGTGAAAAATTATTCAAAAAAACTGTAAAAATTTAAAAATATTTTCCCCAAAACATTTTCTAGGTTATTGCCTTAAATTTAAATTTGTTTAATTATTCTTAATTGTAAGAATTTTTAGAGCCAAACAAATTTACTTATCTTTTACAAGTAATTAAGTAATTAAAATTCCTAATAATTAAATTTATAAATTTGAAAACTTGATTAATAAAAATTTGAGGAAGTTAATTTTGGCTTGAGAATATCATTTTTAAGATGAATAATCTCTGGATCTGAGAATCAATATATACATTGATTAACTCAATTAGATTCATTTAAAAATTATCTAATTAATAATTTGGAAATATTGTTTACACTTCAAAAAATTAACCAAAGAGAATTAAATTTCTTTCGTTTCATTGTCATTTTGTATAAGAAAACAACAAAATAGATTGTAATTTGAATGAAAATAATTTTTAGATTTAAGCAGAGTAATTTTTAAAATATTGAAATTAAATTACTACATAAGAGTAGAGGTTTTAAAATTTTGAATGAAAAATGTTAAAAATTTTTGAATTAACTAATTTTTATGGAATCAAAAAAGCTAGAAATTCATATATTTGATCAAAAGCATTTAGATTGAGAGAATTTGAGCATTAAGAAAAAAAATTACTAATTTTGAATAGCAGGAAACATATTATAATTGAATTGAGTCATATAGATTGTTTAGTAATATTAGAGGATTTTATATTTAAGTTAATTCCAATATTTATGTTTATACTTATTTTTCTTTAAAAAAATAAAAATTAATAAAACTTAGCTAATTCTTAAGAGTTTAGATAATTTAATTTATTTCATAAATAAGATCTATTATTTTTTTTCTGTATATTTTAACATATCATACTTAAATTCCAAAACTAATAATTTTGGGCTTTATTAGGCAAAAGCTAAATTAACTCATTTGTTTAAGGATATTTCCATATTTTTAAAGGGTATTAGATGTTTTAAATTGATATAAGCTCTTCATTATTTTTTTTCCTAGAATTTTAAAATTAATAAATTTCATTAATCTTTTATTCTAGTTACTCAATCCAACTAACATTTCTAATTTATCTATTTTTTAATATGATTTAAGAAACTTTTCCATACTGCTACTTTTAATCAATTAAAATTTTGAGTTTTTCTAAAGGTCGAGATATAAAACCTTATGTTATATAATTCATTAATATTATTGAAAAAACTGATCCTAGACCAAAATAGAGTTGAAAGATTAAATATTAATACACAATAGATTCCATTTAAATGATGAGTTAACTAAGTCTTTATTAATAGACATCTTCATCAATCTATAAAATAAGAATTTGTTTATTTAATTTTTTCGTCCTAATTAATTGATGATATGTTTCATTTTTTTCAATACAAAGAGTTTATTTTAGTTCAGGTAAACATTAAGTCAAATAATTTTTTGATAATGTATACTTTAAAATTTCATCAAAATTGGATTGATTCAATCCTGTTAAACTCTCATTTTGGAGAAATTTAAACTCTAATGAAAAATTCTTATAATAAGAACTTATAAGTAAACGTCCAACCATATCTATTAATGATATTTTAACTCCATCAATTGAAAAATTAAAAACTGAGAAAGAACTCATATTATAATCATGTCCAATTACACCTTTTTATTTAAAGTATAAATCATTTAGGGTAGTTGTTTCTGTAAACATAACTCCACTAAACATTGATATATATGGATCACTTAAAATATACAAACTAGTGTTTTATTGAAGTTAATGATTCTTATACCAAGGTCTTGAATGAGGAAAATAATTCTTTAATACAAAGGTTGGATATATTGAAAAATACTAATCATCTTAATTTGAAACAAAATAAAGTTTTTCAACTGGTATCTAATGTTTCAAAGAATCCAACAAATTTGTTAATGTTTAATAGTCTTTAATATTCGATTAACTTGTTTAATTAGGTATTAAGTAACAAAATTAATTGGTTTCTTTCTTAAAATATTCACAAATTCCACTATTTTCCTTGGAGTAAATGTTATTTTTTTACATTGTTAAAAAAATCTCTTATATTGATCTTATAGATTGTTAGCTTTAATAGTTTACAAATTCAACGCTTCTAGAATATAAGGCTAAAGCTTCTGAAGTTAAAATTTCAATTCTTTATAAAAGCATTTTCCTTTGTTCTTATTCTTATTACTTTATTAACAAATTTTGAACAAATAATAAATATCCCGTTACCAAAATAGCCACAAACAAATTTACAACAATTTGTAACATTAATATTTACGATTTAATTTACCATTATCTCATTTGTCCAATACAATATTAAAATTAAAAAAAATATAAATTAAGGTTAGGATACAAAAGGTCTTTATCAATCAATCAAGACACAGTGAGAAAATAGAAAATTAGATTATCAATAATTTTAAAAGTTTTAAAGAATTTAGTTTAGAAAAATTATAAATTTTTACTTTTGAAATAGAAAAATTTTCTCAAAGGTAATTCATCCATAAAACATAGAAATGCCTAAATCAATATAATTAAGAATCAATATTAAAAAGATAAAACACCAATCATTGAAGTTTTCTCGAAATACGATACTTTTTTTAAAACTTATTTAATAGGAAATCAAGTAGGATTATGCTTAATGAGAGAAATAAGTTTTTTTTTTAATTTTTTGGAAATTTCAAAAAGAAATTATAATATTTCTTGAAAGATAACTAATACACATATTATCAAAAAAAAGAAAGCTAATAAAAATTCTCAAAAAAATTTTTTAAATAATATTTTTTATACCCACTCTCAAATTAGAATTTATGATATATTTATTTTTTAAATTTAAGAATATAGAATTTTAAGTAGTGACAAATAAATGCTATAATTTTTTGTATAATTTTCAATTTAGCCTTTTTAATGTATACCTAATGTTTATTAATTAAAAGAAGTTTCGAAACATTATTTTTTTAGTACATTATTAAATATTCTTTATATAAAATTGATTATGATTCAAAAAAAAGTTTCAGCTTCTTCCAAGGTGTAATTAACTATGATACTTTTACTAATATTCCATTTCATAAGGTAACTGACATCTTATGATTACCCAAAAGATCAATTTATTATTTTAATGATGTCAAATTTTTTATTACAAGTAGCATTGGAGGTTTTATTTATTTACAGTAAGACTTTTTATCAAAGGACATTATAAAGTTTCTTCATATTGATTAATGTAATTCTTTTTTAAATAGAATCTATTAAATATGGCTTTGAAAATGTAGATTCTAATTATTTGTTTATAATGATTTTATAGTTACTGGATAACTCTTAAAATTAGAATAATAGAAAAGCTCTGTGGTAAATAATTTAAAAATGCATACTTTTAACACTTTTTTTAAGCTTCTCTTATTTCAAAGATGATACAAAAGATTAAAGAATTGTTTTTTATTTATTTAGGATTTTGAATTAAAAATTAAATATAGCACTTTTTATTTTCTTATTGTATGAAAGTACAGAATGTAAAATCTAAGAGTAAAAGTTTAATATTTTGTCCACTATTGACGAAAAAATGAATTCAAAATAAGAACCAAGTTAGAAAAAGAAAGTAAGTCAAAAAATTGATACAAAAAGATCATCATTTTAGGATTTAAGTGAAATTGCAACTGAAAGGAAGTAAACATTCTATAAAAATTTATCATGTTAATCAATAGATCAAAATTTATTGTTAGATATCTTATCTGAAGCAGTAATTATTATAAAATTTGAAAAATCAGAAGATCCATATACTTATAAACCTAGGATTGATTATTAAAATTAAATAAGCAAAGCTATGTTTTAAAAAAGTAATTAAGAACTCCTATTATTTTTCGAAAAAATATAAAGTGAAGTTCTGAGTGATGAATCTCCTGTTAATCCAAGAAGCTCTTTATTATCATTTTAGAGTTTGGCTTAATAACAATATAAAAATATGAAAAGATCTTCTAAATTTAACCCTTAACAATATTTTATAACTGATACTAAATAAGATTTAAAATCAGGAGGACTTCCTTCTTAATCACCAAGACTAAGATCTTTAACTACTTAAGTAAAATTAATAATTATATTATAGTTAAATACTGTTTATAAATGTTTACTCTATGTATTCAATACAAAGAGATTAAGATTTGAAATAAATGGAAAAGTAGAAGCAATGATAATTGAAACAAATTTTGAAATAGAAAATCTAAAAAAAACTGCTGAAATTATCATTACAATAGGAAGTGAAGATTCTCTTCTTATGATTGCCAGAGATGTAGTTCATAGAAAAAACATTAAGGAACTTTTCGAAATTAATTAATCCAAATCAAAAATGTTGTCTTTTGTCAGTCATGAGTTTAGATCTCCCTTAAATGTTATGATAAATTTACTTGAAAAAATTAAAAAAGATATTAGTATAAATAAAATTGTATCATAACAACTTTCAATAGTTTTAGAGAATTCATTTTATATGCTAAATTTATCTAATGATTTACTTGACTTAGCATAAATAAAAAATGAAACTTTTAGTTTAAACTTAAAAACAATAGATTTAGTTTAGTTAGGGGAAGAATGCATTAAAATGTTTTAATTGTAGGCAGAATTGTCAAATATTTAAATAACAATTAAAACTAATATAAAACCATTATTTATATATACTGATAAAAATCGTTTAAAATAAATACTCATAAATCTTCTTGCAAATGCAATGAAATTTACAAAAGTAGGAACTATATCAATTGCAATAATATAAAAAGGATTATTGGTAGAGGTTGGTGTAGAAGATACAGGAGTTGGAATACCAGTATAAGAATAATCTAAACTTTTTAAAGCTTTTTGTAAAATAAAAGATAGTGATCATTAAAAATTAAATGAGTAAGGAGTTGGATTAGGACTTGTTATAAGTAATAAAATAGCATAACAATTATCTTTTGATAGTTAAGGATTAAAGGTTATTTCTAGAGATAGTACTTAATTAAATCATGGATCATATTTTTATTTAATATTGAAGATTAAACAATTCCATTAAAAAATATATTTATCATAGATTAAGCAAATTGAAAATAATGATAAAGAATCTCCTTAATTAGATAAACATGCATAATTAACATAGTTCAGAATGACATTTAATAAAGATTTAAACTCATTTGCTGATGATTAAAAATTTTCAGATAAGGTTGCTTGCCAACATATATTAATAGTTGATGATAATATATTTAATTTAAACATCTTAGAAATGTAGATAAAATAATTGTAAATTATTTTTAATAAATATTAGTACAAATACATAAATTGATAAAAGATTTAGTGGAATAGAAGCAATTGAATCTGTGAAAAATAAGAAGTGTAATTAAAATTGTTCTGGATATTAAGCAATTTTCATGGATATGGAAATGCCTGGTTTAGATGGAATTTAAGCATCTGCTTAAATATTAAAATATGATAAAAATATCAAAATATTCATAGTTTCTGGATATGAAAAAGATCATTTTAATGAAGAGAACCTAAAAATTGGAATAAAAGATTTTATTGCAAAACCAATCTCTTAAGAAGCTATATAAAAGATAATTTTAGAGAATCATTTGTGATTTTTAAGCTAGTGAAAATGTAAAGTATTTATCAAACTTTATTTTTTAAATTTCTGGCTAACATTTCTTATTCTTTAGATTTATTTATTCTTCTTCTCAACTCTTCTTATTTAGGATCAGTGATCTTTTCCTTAAATAATTCAGGATATACTATAATTATTGATTTATTATACATTACATAATTTTGCAATCATTTTATCTTCTTTTACAAAATCAGATGTTGTTTTTATTTTAAAAGGAAATCTGCCTTTTGTGTTAAAAAATTATTTAATAGGTGTTGGTAACTAATATAAATGAGTATAATTACTTTAAACATCTCTAATTATTATTATTCTTCTTTTAATATTTATTCAATCTCTTTAATAGATCTACAATTAAAATTAGACCTTTGAGGTTTGTTGTAACTTTTATAATCATAAGATTTAGAATCAAATAGATTGCTCATTTCTTTAAAATGTTATTCATTGTTTAAGTCTAAATTCTGTACATTCTAAATTGATTATATTTGTTCTGGTTCAAGAAGACTTTAGTAATTTGAAATACCAGTTGTATTTTTAACTTAAGGTTAATTCTTCTAAAATGAAACTGGAAATACAAATTATTTTTCTCTTTATGTTTATGATAGAAATGATTTATTTGTCGTTGTAAAATGTTCTAAATTAGGAAGTTCTTTAGGACGAGGACATTGAGAATACCATAAAAATTTATTACCTTTAGGAGTATAAAATGTAAATCTAGATTATAATGATTTTGCTTTAGCAGGTAAATAAGATGGTTTTAGAGCCAACTTTAATCTTTGTTTAAATCCAACTCGTCCTGTTAAAGAAGGATCAAATTCTTTAATATATTCTCCAGTTTTGTAAACTCTCTACTTTTCACCTGTGTGATTGTTTATTAAGTAAAAATTATTAGAGTCTTAATCATTCCAAAATGAGATCATTTTTATCGATTATAAATTATATAATAATCATTAAGTAAAAGCAATTTAGTTGTTATTTTAGTCTTAACAATTTTATTGCTCTTAATCTAAAGAAAAATGGCTTAGAGAACTTAGTTCTTCCAAAATGTCCATTTAATGTTATACGATAGGAGTACTAGTTTTAGGTCCATAGAGAGGAGTACGGGTTACAATAGATAGTTTTTTACTATCTTAACTTATTAATTTTTGATTAGGACTATTGTAAATTTGTAGATATTAATTAAATGAATCTTTAATTGAACTTTCTTAAATTTAGGAAGTAATTAATTAAGAAGTTTTTTATTATTATTACAAAGAATCATTTTATTAAAAGAAGGAATGTTACAGACATTATTCAGAAGTATAACGTTCTTAGAAATTATGTGCTGTCATTTTGAATCTACATTTTAAAATATGTATTAATATCTTACAATAAATCTTTAGCATCAAAATCTAATTTTTGATATTTTGGTTTAGAATAATCTAATTAAAATTCTTTATTCATTCTTAAAATCTCTTAATGACAATTTCCGATAAATAAACCTTCTCCCATAAGCAAAATATGAAAAATAACTCCTGCTGAAAATATATCACAAGCAGCTGTATATGGTTTAGTTTTGTCTATCATATTTGCAATTTCAGGAGCTACAAATCCAGGTGTACCACATTTAGGATATAAATAAGGATAAGAATCAATTTAAACTGAGAGACCAAAATCAGCAATTGATAATGAATTTAGATTACCTTTTTCTCTAAATAAAATATTCTCTGGTTTTAAATCTCTATGCATAATTCCTTTAGAATGTATATATTATAATCCTTATAAAATTGAATACATGATCTTTAATAATTATAAAATAATTACATTTTAAATTTCTTCTCTTTTATAAAGATTAGTCTTATTTTTCATTTCCTTATATAAACTTCCTCCTTAAGCTAAATCCATAATTAAATAAATATTGCTATCACCTTCATATACTTCTATAAGATTTATCAATGATTTATGTGGACTCAATATCCTCATTATTTTTATTTCATTTTAAACTGATTACTAAATATTAAACTTAGATTTACTTCTCCTTTTTCAATTGCCTACACTTTCTTTTTATCTATGCATTTTGAAGCGAATCTTTGATTTGAATGTAAATGTTGTAATTCAAGAACCTAAATTAAAAAATCAATTTAAAAATACTAAAGCATAATTTCCTTATCCAATAACTTATTAAGCCATATATTCTTCTTAAACTTTTGCTTAAAAGAAAAGTTTAGAAATATTTTTTTTTAATTCACGAAGTGTTTCATCTTCTCCTTAATATTCAAATTATATATCTCCACAATCAAAAATCAATCCTTTTAACTTTATAGGTTATTAATTTGTGTATCTCCAAACTAATCTATTAGTATTAGAGTCAGAAAATATTCGATCCGCTTTTTTTCTATTGGAATCCTAAAAGTAGAAAATTAACTCATTTCTACTTTATTAACAATCACTCTGTCAGGAAAGATATAGAAATAACGATTGGATGAACCAAGGAACAATTTTTTGATTAGACGACATTGATATAATTCATCACAAGATTTAGGAAACATTATAATTAATGATTATATCTTAGATTGATGCAGCCAACAACTACAGTTCTTCTTATTTTATCTACAGTAATTCTTCATAAGTTCTCTTTGTTATTTCTAATTATTTATTCATTAATGAAGATTAGTTTATAGATACTTTCTTTTTCTTCTTCATTCTAAGTTATTCCTCAGTTTTTTCTAATCTTTATTATGTTTCTTCCATTTATGTTTTTATCTATGGAAATTCTACTAGTTATTTATCTAACAAAGCTATTTTTTGTAAAGATTACTCAAATTAACTTCTTATTACATTATTATCCTAATATGAATATCCTTACAAATTACTTCAATTAAATTTAATACTTTATCCTTTGCCTCTTATAATTCTTACTCATATTTAAATTATTCTACAAAAAACTATTCTAATTTTATTTGTAATTCTTTCATTTCCTTTTATAATTGATTCTATCTCTCCTCATATAATGCTTTCTCTGCTAACAAATCACTGCATTAAGTCTTCCAAAATGATAATTATGATGATAATATCTCTTCATCAAAACTAGAATCCTATTTCTTTATTAATAAAGAACAATCATAATTATCATCTGTTTATGTATGTACATCTAATTTAAGCTTTTAATCCCCTTCTATTAAATAATTTGATTTTGTTATCAATTAAGATAATTCTAATCCAAGATTTCTTTTTGGAGTAAAAATTCCACTAAAATTTCTTCTTTCTTCTCCATCATTTAGAGAATGTAACATCACTGAACTATTTTCCAATTACGATTATTCTGTTTTATTATGTAAATTATGTTCCAAATCAATTATTTCTTATTTCAACTTAAATATCTCTTATTCTCTTAATTTCAATTATCTACTCAAAGATTCATTCTCCGATCTAGCTTTTGAAATATCAAACTCTTATTAACTTTATATTTTTTAATTCTATTTTTGTAACTATTTTTGTTAGTCTAATTTTTATTACAATTAAGTGACTTTATTACTCAAATCAATATTTTCTTCTTTTAACTTTGAATTCTATTTCAAGTTTTCTTTATTTTTAGCTTATTCCTAAAGAGATTCAGATAATTAACTTTTCAATTATTCACAATATTTTTCTAATTTTTACATTTATGTATATTTTCTATATCCTGCCTCTAATTTATTCCTCAAATCTTTTACTATTTCATCATGTACATCTTTTTCTTGTTATTAATCATTTTTTAAAGTTTCTATAATTAATTACATTCCTTTGATATCATCAATTCTATTTTAAATGTACTCACAAACTTCACAAACAGAATTAGTTTATGTAGTTTCATAAATTTGATTTAAATCATCATTTAAAGAATTTATTGTCTTTTATCGTGTTTCTAAATCTGCTTACACAATTTCAATATCTTCTTGCCACTTTTTTTTCTCCAATTCATACTAATCTTTAAAAAGCATTAATTCTTAATTTAATTTCTGATTTTCATATTCTAACTCTTCAAATTTTCTTAATACTTCATCATTAATTTTTGAATCTTGATCTAAAGATAAAGTAGACTATTCTTCTTAAATTAACTTTAACAGAATCATTTATGTTTCCTAATCCAATTACATCATTAATTCAACCAATTCACTTGAATATGAAGAATTAATTATTGCTTTTAAGAGAGTTACCATCTAATATTTTAAGAATTATTTAATACCATTTCTAAAATACATTAGTCATTTCTATTTTTTACAATCTAAAGAAAATTTGGTTTTTATTAAAGTTTTAGTTTGCTTTCAAATGCATTCCATAATTCCTTCATTAGTTTCATTTACATTTCCCAATTTTCACTTTATTCCAATTAAATATCTATTTAAAAACTTTATTAAAATAATTGCTTATACATGTGATATAACATTTATTATAGAGCAACTCCAGAACTAAAATCCTATAGTTGGTTCAACTTAGGCTGAATAAATTAAAATGAGTTAATCTATTTAGATTCTTAATCTTACTAAATTTAAAATAGATGAAGTCTGCTTATGATGTTTACTATTCATATAAAATAATTATTGAATTAATTTTCAAAATAAAACTATTAATTATTTATCTATATTATCAATTAATGAAAAGTTCAGGGTTTCTCATATGATAATAAGGTTTTGCAATTTTCATTGATCCATGCAACATCACAAATAAATATATTGGTCTTAATAAATATCTTATATAAAAAAACAATTAGTAAAAGAAACTTTACCAATTTTCTTTAATAACTTCTGCAATAACCGAATTAGTTGTAGTATTAGTCACAAATATGGCTACTCTTTCAATAACAACTAATATTAGCATTAATCCACTGATCAAAAAAACATATAAAAAATCCCTTAATTTTAAATTTATCTTACTTGACTAAAAGTTTAATCATTCCTAATTTAAGTGGTTAAGTTTGCCACATTAAAGTACAAAATAACACGAATATTATTCCAATTATTATGATATGAAGAGCACTCATCCATAATATTTAAGTTTCACCCTATTTAGTATCTTATGAAATTTGATTCATAGTTGATGGTTCAATAAATGATGACCAAATCAAATCAAAAATTAAAAATACATAAAAGGCTCCTAATTTAATATATAGTGCTCTTAATTCTGACTATAAACTTTATTAAATAATCATTTTTACTCTCTCATTTATTTTATCAATTTTAAATTAATTAATAAGAATTAATATTTCAATTAAGAAGAAAAATAATACAATCAAAACATTTTTATTTAAGTTTAAATGAAAAAATTTCATTCAGGCTCTTGCCAATTAATATGCAATTAATTCAAAAGGCAGAGGTTTTCAATAACAAATTTTCTTTTTTTTTTCGAAACTTTCGCTCTCAACTTCTATTGAAATTATCAATTAAAAATTTTTAATATAGTAAAATTTTGTTTCTTGAAAGTTGAATCAAATTTTCATTCCCTAATATAGTTCATACTAAATAACTAAATAATTACTACGTAAAAAACACTAAGAAAAGAGAAGATATCCTAAATTTTTATATTAAATACCATATATAAGATATAAGAAAGCTTCTTTTTGATTTAAAAACACTTAAATAAATTGTAATTATTTATACTTTTTATTGAAATTTTTTTTTTAATAAAACTTATTATTCACTTTTATCATAAATTTTCAAACTCAAGCAATTTATTAAGAATATTTTTCTGATTAATTTCACCCTTTTTGATTTAATACTATTTTATAACTCAAAAAATTTTTTTTTTTCTCTTGTTGTCATATATTTTGTACTAAATAGTAAAATCTCATAATTTGAACTAATTACTTAACTATATGTGATTAATTGTTGACTTTATTAGAGATAATTTTAAATTAAGCAGTTCTTGATGATAATTTATTTTTAACAAATAAAAATGATTAATGCAAATTTTCGAAAAGCTTAAAAAAAAAGACCAAAAAGTTAAGCTGTTAATCGACCTCAAACTTCTAATTCTAACGAAAGAAAGACATATACAGAATAAAAATCATTCGATCTGCATACTTGGGTAGATTTTGAAGATCAAATCAGAAAAATGGCAATTAAAAGTTTTCATTCATCTATTGAGCATAAGCCAAAATTGCTGAAAAAATAAATCCCCAATCAAAAATAATAATTGTAAGCTTAATTTAGAGAATTGATAAAAGACGTCCTTTAAATGAACTTGAGAAATGATCTATATAATAAATTATCAAAATTTATTTGATTATTATATTTATTGTTATTAGTTATTAATAAGTATCTAAAAGTTTTAGTTGTTTCTTTTTGTGATTGTTAAACATATTAAGATTCCTGTTTAATCAGAATTAGAGTTTCGCTTTCATTATTATCAATCTGACTTATTGATTGGAACAATGATTTGCTCTTTTTTTGAAAGTTCTATATTTAAAATTATTATCAGTTTTGATTCATACACTTACCACTTAATAGACATTTGATATGATTTAGAATAATGAAAATTTCAAAATCATTTGCAAAATTTTCTTGATAGAAATAAGAAAAAAATATAAAAAAGAAGTTCATTTTTTTTTGAAAAATTTAAGAATATATAGAATTTGAACAATTGATTGATTGAGAGCTTTGTTTTAAATAGAATAAACAATATAGAGAGGAAAATTAAAATTTTTTCTAAATCAATTTTTTATTATTAATTAACAAATATTTTGGCTGAAATGAAGTGATATAACTTATAATTTCTTGAACATTTCAAAAATGAAGCATGTTTTTAATAAATTTCTCGTATTATATTGAATATTGGTGATATTTAATTTAGAAAATTATACTTAGAAAAAATTTAATTTGATTTGAAGAAATTGATTGGAAAATTTTCTCCTTTATCTAAACTTTCATATAAATATAAAAAATTATGAAAAGTTTTTAAGATACAAAAGATTTTAATTAAGAGATATGAAATCAGATTATTTTAATAATTATATATTAATTAATTTATAATTAATATATAATTAGTATATATTAATGATATTATGTCAATATAAATTAATGTATGATAAGTGATATAACTGAAATTTTATATGTACGGATTCACTCTTTTTTGTTTGTATTTCAAATTATTACGATCTCTTAGCTTACCCTAAAGCCTAATTCAATTAGGATGTTGTCTTTTTCCTTAAAATCGTAATTCTTTTGGAAAATAATTAAAAAAAAAGCAGCATCTCATAGCAACGTGCTAGGGATGCTAATTGTTAATTAAATAAGTGTATTACTAAGGTCTCGTTTCGATTTTGAATAATTAAGATTTTTGTTAACTAAATATTATACAATCAGATTGGTTAGAGAGGAAGGAATGCTTGAGAAAGAGATAGATATTTAAATTCCATAGATAATAAGCAAGAAAAATTGACAAAATGTAATGTTTTTAACCAAAGATGGCTATATAAGAAAAATTTTATTTTAATTAATGAGAAAAAATATATAAAATGTGTATTATATTCAAATTTTAATTTATGTCAAAGAAATTAATGTAATTTGAAATTTTGATTTACCTGTAGCAGTATAAAACTGGATTTATAAAAAATATGATCATTAATAATAAAAATGAATAAAACATTACTTATTTCTGTTTGCCTTCTTAGTATAACTACTGCAGTGACTGTTGACAGGTCAGTACGTTGTGATTGTTCAGAACTTGATTAAAATGGTTGTGGTAAAGCTCTAAGTTGGTGCATATGGAATACAAATGATAAAGAATGTGAGGAATGGGATTTAGAATGTGAGGATTTTTCAACATCAGCTTCTTGTGATGTTGTAAGTGGATGCAAATGGTAAGATTCCTTATGTAAAGAATGGGATCCAGAGTGTAAAGATCTTACAACTTCAGCAGACTGTAAGAAAGCTAGTGATTGTTATTGGAATAAAAATAATGCTTGTGCTTCATTCTCAAAATGCGATGACTATGCTGAGGATAACTGTCCTTATAGTAAAGAATGTACAGTATCATCTGGATCTTGTGTTGCTGTAACATATGTAACTTGTTCATCTCAATAAAGTGGAACATGCTCAGGATACTAATCAAACACTCAATATTGTGCTTTGGATAATAGTAATAGTTGCAAGGCAGTGAGTTACTCTGGTAGTTGTTCTGATTACAATGATTTCACCAATATTTGCAACTAAACTGATGGATGTTTTCATGAGGGATAAACTTGTCGTTAAAGAAAATGTGCTGACTAAAATACCTCAAATGAATGTAGGCGTATTTCTTTAGGTGATAAAAAATATCAATTATGTTTTTGGAAAGATAATAATGCCTGTGTTGATGCTACTGATACCTCTGGTTTAACAGAAGAAACCTGTTATAGTTCAACCTACTATAATTACAAGTGGGAGAGTGGTAAATGCGTAGAATGTGAAGACTTAGTAGACGTTGATTCAGATAGTAATGGACTCATTATAGGAGCATTTGTTCTCTTATCTTTATTTGCATGATAGCATATTTTATTTGGATAGCATTATAGATATTTTTTATTATTTTTTTATTCAACTATTTTTAAAAACTAAAATAATTCCATTATCATATTTCTGCCAAACTTTTTAAAATAAATTATATATATTTATTTATTTATAAATTATAATAAATAAAATTTCAAAAAATTAATATCAACTAAAGCTTTTTGTATGCTAACCTAATATATAATATGTAAAAATAAATTATCAAATCATTCAATTATGATCATTGTTAATTTCTAAAATCATTCGAATATCATTAAATGTAGGTATTAGTTAATATCGTTTCGTTTTCTTCACAAAAGTTAAATAAATATACCAAGAAAAATTTTAATAATTTATTATTATTATTTAATTTTATAGAAATCATTATAATAAATAAGAATTATACTTTTCATTGTCTTCTAAGTATCTACAATTTATTGTTGAAGTTTAAAATAAATTCAATCCAAACTAGATCAAAATTTTAATTTCTCTAAATAGCTTAATTTAATAAGATGAATTAATATATTCCATATTTAGCATTTGTGATAGCTGTAACAAAATTTAAAATTAGATTTAATGTTGATTTAGGTATAATGAAATGGATTACTTTTAAGAATTTCGTAGGCTTAGACTTTTTGTGTAAAAAAATTAGCATATCCTTTTGATATTATTTGAATCTAAAGATAAAAATGGATTGATGTTAAAAAATGATTAATTGTTTGATAAGCATAAATAAATTTATTTCTTAATTTTTTAAATAACTAAATAAGTATAATCTTTTTATATGAATTTCTATAAATTTTAAGGGTGATATTTCTATCTTTTGAAAGAAACAAATAAAATATTATACTAAAATGTGATTATTAATAAAATGAAACTTAATAAAGATTTCTTAGTTAATCATCAATTCTTTAAAATATTAATAAATTATTTTTAAAGTTTAGCAGTATGAGAAATTTTTGATTTTTACATTTATAGCTGTTTAATATATTTTGTAAAATTCATTAATATGAAGTCAAAAATTATTTTGTCATTTATTTTATTTATAATGTTTCTGGTGATTGAATGAAGATAATTTGGAAGAACTCTCTTGTAAAGAACAAAATTTTATTAATTTATGTATCATAACACTGGCTTAGATAGTTATAAGACTTTTAAAGACTTTTAAATAGTTTTAAATGATTATGAATGTAAAGGAATTATTGATAAAAGGTAATTTATAATTTTTACAAAAGGAATAAATTATGATTATTTATTTTATTAAATATAAAAAAACTTATAAGGTTATAATTTAAAAAATTTTATAATGAGAAATTAAATGTTATTCGAATATTATGAGTTAGTTAAATAAACAAAAATTTGAATTAAATTGTAAACAAAATGCAATCAAACAAAGGGCATAAGTTAGATGAATTACTTACATGTTTTATATGTCTATCAAACTTAACGAATCCTCATATATGTCCATGTTGTTCAAAATTATGCTGTTATACTTGTATTACAAAATGGTTAACAGAGAACAGGCAGGTTTATAAGTTTGTTCTTAATTAGAATAGTGTCCACATTGTAGATCTTCTTTGAGAATTTAATAATTAGTAAATTGTAGATTTTTAGAGGATATTGTTGCATAAAATGATCCATGTCCCCTCCATAATGCTCAATTATAATATTATTGTGTAACATGTGCACATCCAATATGTTCTGAATGTGCAATGTTTTCTGCACATAAAATGCATGAGTTTGAACATATTTAAAAGGTTTTTGATTCAAAAATAAAAGATGTGAAAACAAAAATTGAAAATGTATAAGAGTAATTAAAAAGTTTAAAACATTCAGCAATATGTATAGATGAATTAATGGATGAATTGAATCGTAGTAAAGATGAAAGGGTTTAAGAGATTTAAGCATACACAGAATAACTTTTATAAAAATTAGAATAAACTCATACAGCAAGGATGAGTAATTTATAAATGTAAAGATAAAGATTAAATGATAAAATAGTAATAGCTTCTGCAGAATTGGATAATATTTAATAATAAATAAAAGGATCTTAAAAAAGTAAAACAATAATGACAGCACAAGAGTTATTATAAAGAATAGAATAAGTAAATGTCGAACCAGAATAAATTGGTGGTATACCAATGAATTTTTAATCTGAAATAACTCCTCAATATGTTTGTGATACTTTTGAATTAATTAATTTCAATCAAAGTGAAGAAATAGTATATTCTGATCATTTAATAACAAATGGGATAAAATGGAGATTGAAGATTTATCCACATGGAAATGGGAATGCTAAAAATATATATATTTCTATATTTTTAGAAATGGATTCTAAATATTCAGATATTAGAAGATATGAATATAAGATAGAAATGATAAATTAAAAAAATGGATAATCTGTTATAAGAGAATTTGCTAGTGATTTTGAAGGTGGAGAATGTTGGGGATATAATCGATTTTTTAGAATAGATTTATTATAGAAAGATGGATTTTTAGTAAATGAAAAACTTTTGTTTAAATATTATGTAAGAGCTCCCAATTATTATATTTAATTTTTGGATATGCAAAGATATATTAAATAATTAGAATCATAAGTTAGCATATAATAAACAACTAGAAAAATTGAATAACAATCATCAATTTAAAAATTAAAAGAGGAAATAGAATAATATGCAGAAAAGATAGAATAATTAGAATAATCATAACCAAGTAATAATTCAGAAATTTAAGAAAGTGAAGAGGATCATCTTCAATTACAATAATTGGATGAAGAAAGTAGTTCATCTAGTAATCATTCAGATTATTATTTTGATGGTTAATTTTAAGAAATACCAATTTCATAAGAAAGTTTACCTGTAAGAAGAAATCTTATATAGAAATTCAATTAATCGAGCTTAGTTAATACATCTTAAAATCTAAGAAGTCCCTTATCAGAGTTTAGTGAAAATTTATATTCTTGAATTAATTGCTTTATAATATAATATATAATATTAAATATTATGTATTAGAAATAATAATTTGGAGGATAAGATAAATCAACTATTGAATGTAGAAATTTAAGAAAACATGGTAAATGTTTAACATCTGGTTGTCCATATTCTCATAGTGCAGCATCTGTTAAACCAAAAGTTCTGAAAAAGGTATTTTAAGTATAAAGTAACTTAATGCCAGAATAGAATTAATAATATCGAAATAATTATTGGAATCAAAATAATTATAACAATAATTAAAATAACCAAGGAAAAAGAGATTTTCAATTTGCTAGATTAAATCAAATCAATAACAATTAATAGAATCAATTTAAATAAAATAATTCTATGAATTATAATAATAATCAATATTCACAATTTAATAACAACAGATAACAAATTTAGCCATAAAATTAAGGATTATAATAATAACCAACAATCGGACTTTAATTACTATATCAAATGAATTTTGAAAATCTTAAAGGATTTTTGAGAATTATAAATATTAATGACTATTTTTATTTTGGTCTCATAAATGATAAAGGCATTACATTTTATCCTTATAATGAAACCAAAGGAATAGATATTCTACAAAAGATTGATTTTGTTATTCAATATGAAGTAGAAGATGCATTCATATAATAATATACTTAATAAAATAACAGAAAAGAACTCTATTGTTTGGTTATCGTAATTATTGAGTCGTCTTTGAAAAGTGTTTTACTTTATCCAGATTTTTTAAATTGCTAAACTAATTTTATTAAAATATCCGACATCTCTAATACGTACTTAAAATATGTACATGTGAATACATTAAGTAGTGAATTATATGCTTTTAGTTCAGATGGTATTCTATTTGCTTATTGAAGGATTTATTCGAGTGTTCGATCTTCAAAATACTCAAAATTCATTAAAGAATTATGCCTAATAAAAAGAAGTCTTTTAGTCCATTTTTTTCCTTAATGAAACATCTAAAGGAAGTAATTTTCTTATTTCAACAAAAAATGGAAATATTTATCATTACTTAAATCAATAATTTACTAAATTGCATACTTTAATAGATCAAACACTAATAGATATAACTATTGAAAATGATTCGAAAAGAGTTTATTTAGTTACTAAAAATTAAGAAATGTTTAATATTTATATAATAAATGAAAACAATGCTTTTGAAGGTCCAGTTTATATACATAGATATCCTATATCGAAAGTAATTGGTTTCAAAGATTTTGAATTAATTAATTGTTTATTAGTATCTGATAATAGAGGTTAATTGGACATTTTAAAAGAATAATCATATAGTGATTAAGTGAAATTCTTAAGGCAATCTTAATGTAGAAATTATTATATATTTTAAGATAAATAAATGGGAGAAGTTAAGAAAATGATGTTTTTTAAAATGGCAAATGTCAATTAAGTTGTTGAAAAGATGCTTTTTGTTTAAAGATTAAGAGATCCATAAAAATAAGAATCAACTAATTTTGAATTTTATAGATTTTATTAGATGTTTTGAATTTTATTATACCTTTTTAAAGAAATCGTTTTTAAATAGTTTATTAATAATTTGATGATTTTTTATTTCTTATTTAATAAATTCGATTTTGAAATATAATAAACAGAGAAATTAAAAAATGGAAATATTAAGAGAGTCAATTAAAATACAAGAGGAAAACAAAATGATGAAAAAGCTTGTTTTGTTATAAGAATAGATTGGATATCCATTAGATACTTTAATGAATGATGAATTCATTAATAAAATACCAGAAGGTAGTTTTGTTTGGTAAGGAATTATTTATTATAATTTTGAGGACAATTATCTCTAAAAAGTTTGAATTACTAACAGGATAAAGAGTCAATTAAAATATGATTATTTAAGAAGAATTATATAAAAATATGACATTTGGAATGTTTGTAGATGAATGTTTTTAGGCTATATTGTAATTCCATTTAATAATTTCTGATCTTAAATTTAATTTGCATATAATTTAAGATTCTATTAGAATGCTTAAATAATAAAGATAAATTTTAGAAAATCATTCATAAATAAAGTTTGATTAACCAAATAGATTATCAATATGTTACACGAGACATAAAAGTTTGAAAACAGAGATATTCAATCATTATTAGATTAAATATAAGATAAATCTTAATGGATAAGAATAAAAATCAATATATGCAAGAGGAGATGAATTAACATGTTCTTTTCCAATCTTAGATGAAAGTTAATCCTTAATTTTATCTATTTGGGGTAAAAAGAAGAATGAAGGAAAAGAATTCAAAGTTTTAAATAGAATCGAAATTGATTTATAAGAAATATTAATTTCAACTCCTATTTAAAGTTATTCTAAGGAATAAATACAGCCGTGTTTATTGATAATAGATTATTAGGATGAATCACCAGATGCTCCTTTTACAGGAAAAAATCCAATTGAACTTTAGTATATTACTTATTTAATTTATAGATTTTCTATTTCTATGCCTTCGGAATAAAGAATAAAAATTATGAAAACACTTCAATTAAGACAAGAAGCTTTCGAATAATAAATTCGATAGGAAATAGAAATCAGAAACTTATTTATTTAATAAATCATTTAACCTTTTAATGAATTAATTTATATCTCAGGTGAAGATTTAAGAAATAAAAATGATGCTGATTCTTAAAGATTTTCATGCTCAGCATGTAAAATATTTTGATATGTTTGAATTTGTTTCAATGAAAAACATTGTTAATTTTTTAATTAAAATATTATATAAATCTGATGAATTCTGCTAAATTTTTAATTAAATAAAATACATTAATTTCCTATAAGGAAAAAAAGAGAAAATTTAGAGTTTAAAAAGGTTTATTACTATAGAAAATAAATCAATAAATTAACAAAAGCAAAAAAACTAAAACATTATGGGTATACCACTATCAACTATATTTGAATCATGGTTCTCAAAGAAAGAAATGAGAATATTAATGGTTGGTTTAGATGCAGCAGGCAAAACCACTATATTATACAAATTAAAGTTAGGTGAAGTAGTTAGTTCAGTTCCAACTATTGGATTTAATGTGGAAAAAGTTGAATATAAAAATATCAGCTTCACTGTTTGGGATATTGGAGGTTAAGATAAATTAAGATTATTATGGAGACATTACTTTACTGGATCGCAAGGCATTATTTTTGTTATTGATTCGTCTGATAAAGAAAGAATTAATGTAGCTAAAGAAGAATTAGGAAGATTAATGAGTGATGATGAATTAAGAGATGCTTCACTTTTAATTTTAGCAAATAAATTTGATATATCCTAAGTTACTGTTGATGAATTAATATCTAAATTAGAGTTATAAAGTTTAAGAAGAGAATGGTATGTTTAGACTACTTGTGCAATTACTGGTGATGGACTTTATTAAGGATTAGATTGGTTATCAAAATAATTTAAAAAAAGAAAAAACTGATTAATATTATATTTCAATTTAATTATTTGTTTTACATAAACTTTATACATTATATTTCTAAAATATCCATAACCATTCTTACAAAATTTCATAGAGAAAAACATTTAAATAAATTTTATATAATAATATATATCAAATTATTTTTTTTTGTTTAATAAAATAATATATATTATTATTTTTATTATAACGCTCAATCATCAAATTTATGAGGTTTTTATTATTATCTATAATTATATTTTCAAAAAATAATAATTTTGTTTTCTACAATCTTTAAATTAAATAGAAATGCTAAAAATAATTATATTCATAAAAATCAGCTATTTATTTATAAAATAGAATAGAAATAGGATATCAATATTTAAGAGACATTTTATATATTCAAGATTAAAAAAAAAGAGAAAAATATGAAGCAATTTTGTTTTAAGTAAATTAAACAAATAATGGGTTTTTTTTAATTAAATTACTTTATATTAAGGTAATAATTTAGTATGTATTAGATGAGAGGATGTTGATTAAAAAGTGAATAAAAAAGAGATTATTAGTTGAAATGACATAAATAATTTAATTATATTTAGAAAATAATTAATGAAATAAATATAAGAGAAGACATATAAAGAATTTACAGATATTAAACATCATATAGGAACACTATAGAGTCAATAACTTTCAGATGAAGAATTATCACTTCTTTATGAGAGATTGAAATATTAATTTACAAATCTTAATTAACAAGTTGCAGTTACTTAAACTCTGAAAGCAAGTAGTGAGCCACAACCAATTCATAAGAGATAAAAAATAAAGAGAGAGAAACCATTGATTTAATAATAAGGGAAATCGATAGCACTACCAAAGATTTTGAAACAACCTTCTACAGAATAGAGAACAAAGAAGACAAAAGGGAAATTGAAATCAGCTCATATATATTAAGCGAATGTATTAAATAGAGAATTAAGATTAAATCCATTTTCGGATTTACCAACAATATTAGATGATGACTTAAATAAGGGAGTTAGTAATTTAATATAATCTGGTTTGATACCAAGAGATGTTGATGTAGGTCCAGCATTTAAGAGAGGAGATGAATTATTATCTATATCTTAAGTATAAGTATAGAATCCAACAGAGAAAAGTAAGTATTACAACACAGGATAATCAGAAAATCTATAAAAGTATAAAGTAGCTCCTTAGAAGTAAGTAGCAAAATAAATAGCAGATTATTCTTCATCATTTGTAGAGAGATAATCTATTCCAAGAGAAAAAGTGTAATAGACAAAAGTTGTAAGAAAAGCGAAGTATATAATAGAGATCAAAAATGGACATTATGTACCAGATTTTCATTATCAAATAAGACATTTAATGATTTGGGGAGGGATTATGCATATTTTAAAGAAGTTAGAAAAGATTGCATCAGGGTAATTAGATGGAGATAGAATAGCTTAATTAGCATAATCTTAATTCAAGGTTCATTTATTTGAATTATATGAATGTTATATTTCAAGACCAATAATGGAGAGATTGTATATATTAAATAAGAAATAATTTTCAGTTGATAGTGCAATATTAAAGATATAGTCAACTGTGAGAATGTTCGTTGCATCTAGGAAGTATAGACATTAAAAAAGGATTGTTTAAAAGGTTATTAGGATATAAAAAGAATTTAGATTAAAATAAACATATGTTTATACAATTAATCAAATTAAAAAGAATATGGGATAATTGATTAGTACATTAGAAAATAGATAAAAGTAATTTCTATTAGAAGATTTAAATTAAAAGAGAATTGAGATTCATATTCCATCATATTCAATTAAATAATTCTAAAGACAATCAATGAGTCATTTCAAAAATAGAGAAGGTTTATAATTGACAAGGCTCTTTGCTTTAAAAGATCCAAATGTAAGTATTATATATGTATGTACACCTCTTTAAGAAGAAATTATGGCTTATTTCTATAAATTATTAGAAGTAGCTGGTATAAATCCTGAAGGGAGATTATTTTTTATTCATCCAGAAAATATTAATAGATTTCCATAACATTATTCATTATCATTATTGTTATATCTAAGTCCAAAAGCTATTCATTAAATTTCTGAATTAATAAAAGGATAATTATCATATATTGTTCCAATGAGAGTAGGAAAAGAAGAGTTTTTAATTGCTGAATATCTTAAAACAAACATATATTCTGGTCCTTATGAAATTATTGAGAAATACTCTAAGAAATCTGAAGCTATAGAATTATTTAGATAATTATCATTTCCTGTTGCTCCAGAATATCATAAATTTATTAGTAAAGATGATTTTGTCGATAAATTAACTGTACTGATTATGAAAAATCTGACAGTATAAAAATGGATGTTTAAAATAGACATTGAATTTAATGGTAGAGGAACAGCATGGTTTACATTAGAAGGAGTTAAATAATTTATAGAAATTAAAAAGTTTCCCCATAGTATTGAATTTAAAGTATTAAGAGAATTAGTATAAACAGTAAAATTATTATAATATAATCTTAGTTATTACCAATAAAAACAGTTTTAGCATTTCCATAAATGTTTACATTTGATGAATATTTAGATAATTTCATAAAAAATGGTGGAATAGTTGAAGCTTATCCAAATGCTTCAAAAGTGTAAACAATTAATATTTAAGTAAACTTGGAAAATTAAGGAACTTATTAAATATTGAATACATCTACAAGTATAGTAATAAAAGAGTATTAATATAAGAATATACATTAGAATGTGTAAAGTTGGTTGTATATATCCTTAGAATGTGTTAAATTTGAATGTAGATTCCCTCATATAGCCATTAGTAGAGGAATTATATAAGTAAAATGTATTTGGTTATTTCACATTATCTTTATTATCATTTAACGGAGCTTTCTATACAAAGTCTTTGAAATTTGGAATGGATGAATATATTGGAGCTACAATATTAGCAACTGCTATGGACACTGATTAATTCACATATATCCCATTTGTTTATCATCCAGGAATAGCAGAATAGAAATTTAATGATTTATTTATCAAATGTAGAAAGGAAGGAATTTCTTTTGATATTGAAAAAAAGGTTGGAACATTAATATGGCTATCAGATCAAATAGAAAAAGGAGTTCTATCTTTGTTATGTTTAGGTGCTCCAAAGAAAGCAGTTAAATTAACTACTGATGCATTAAATTTCTTATAATAATTTGGTGGAAATATTATGAAAACAAATAATCATTAAAAACAGGACACTTTTTACTTTATAGATATAGTTAGTAGATTAAGATAATTAAATAGTGAAGGTTAATAATGATATTTATATTGTTATGATTATAATTCTAATATTACTCCAAATAATGTCATTTGAATTGTTAACCATTTTTATTTATTTTCCATAGGTGTATATTTTTATTCATTAATTTTATATAATCTGTTATCAATAATAAGAATGTTGTTATTCTCATTAATTATGATAATGATACTTTTTATTGAGAGTATATTTTTTTATTAGATCTCTACTCTTTATTTTTTAATTCTTGCTCATATCCTAAACTAATAAAAGACTTATTAAATCTAAATTAATTGGATTAGTTTATCAATTATGTAATATTCTGCTTTAAATAATCTTATTTACAAATCATATATGAGTCTGAAATCATTCTTTATATTAAATAGTTTGATTAAAAACTCTCTCTATTTAGAAATAAATATCTTTATAAATATTATTGATTTAAGTATATTAAGATTTAATATTTTATTAGAGTAATTATTGTATAAATTTTTAGTATTAATTCAATCAATAATGTTCTGCTATAAATTTATCATTCATCCAAATGCCTTCAATGCAATGACTTTAATAATAATATATTCCAGATCCACAAACTTAATCATCAATAAATGTTCCTCTAAAGTAATTTTGATTCTTAAATCTTAATTCTCCTTTCCCTTATTTCATTCCTTAAGCAACTTAACCCTTAAAGTATTCCCAATTTGATAAATCTACGTGAGTTGTATCATCTTAAGCATCTTCTCTCCACATCTCTATATCATCTCCTTCAGGAAGATCATTCAGAAATGTCCCTTCTATCAATTTAAGACCATCCTTAGAAAAGAAGATACCTCTCCCTTCTCTCTTTTTAGTTTTCCCATTATATGAACCTACATAATAACATCCATTTGTATAAGGCAAATGACCTTATAATATTTCAACCTTCAAAGCTTTTGGCAATTCTAATATTTTATTTTCTGGTGTCCTTATATCTATTATTGATTCTGTTGCATCAGGAGATTATGCTGTTTTTAAAATTTATTTATTATATACTACCATAACTGTCTTTAATTCAGGTAATTTATAAGCCTTAGTATAATTACTTACAGAGATTGATAATTGAATTGGATCTGGTCTCCCATATTCTTCTTCTTCTAACATTGATCGAAGTAATCTATCAAAATATAAAGGTAATTTAAATCTAGTTATTATTTCATCTAACAATTCAAAATCAAATCGATCTTATTTATATAATATTTCAGTTTTCTTAAATCCCAAAGAATATAGACAAACTAATCCTAAAGAAAATGTATCTGATTTAAATAGATCGTGTTCTGGATGAGTTTTATAATACATGATGGGACTATAAAAGTTTCTCATTATTTAATTATGAAATAGAAAAGGATCTGCTAATTTATATACATACTATTATTCAATTGTATAGACTCTGAATATTCCTTTAGGGTTGATATTGTTATAATGTTGTTTCTATTCTTGCAACTTAGCTAAAGCTGATGATACATATCCTAACATTGACCACACTTCAGGTACTGTTAATTTAGTTGATACAAAATCTTCCAATCTTATTGGAAAATCAAAGAACATATTGATTGATATAAAATCACTATCATACTTATGAATCACTATGTTAAATGGATCTTATTCACGTTTAACTAAATATTCAAGTTAATCTCTAATCCTGAAATAACTATCATAGAGTTTGGCTCTAACTAATTTAAACTAAGGATCCCCTGTATGTTCATAAACTTCCATTTCACTAAATTTTAAAGCTTCATTTCGATAAGGATAAGGAGGTCTAAAATCTTCTGTGTAAGCAGCTATATCAGCACTTGTACAAGCTTGTCCCATTTTATAATTTATTATTATTATTATATGTATAATAAATCAATAATTAATTTATTATGCATCTTATATACTAGGAAATATATTGTTATTCTTAATATAAATGCAAATAAATTTAAAACTCAATCCCATCTAATTTAAATCCACCTATAGATTACATCTCTTTTCTGTAGCTGAATCACAGCAAAAGTATTGATTTTTTTTATTTTATCCGAAATTATCAAATTTTTTTATAGCGTAATTTAATAAATAAATATGAGAATTAAAAAGAAACTTAAGATAAAAGATTAAAAATCTTCTTTTTATTCTAAGATTTCTAAATTGTAAATTACTTAAAAAAGAAACTATTATATTTATGTTTATGATATTCAAAAATTTTAAAACATTTAAATAGTTATATTATATCAGAGCTTAATGTCAACATCTTGGAAATGATATGGCTCTAATTTCATATCTTATTCTGTTTATTAAGCTTACTTATTTTGATACAAATTTTTTTTCCTACAAATGAATCGATTTATTGAATTAATTAATTAAATAAGAAAAATAATATTAGCAATTTCTTATTTTAATCGAATATTCTAAAATATCAAAGTTTCTTAATATGGGAGAAATTCTTTGGGTTTTTGATTCCTTTATAGATTTATTGACGATATCGAAGATGCCAATTATGTTAAACAATCTTTGAATTAAATATATAATTAATTGCCAATTTTTTAATGAATATTCGACTATAATTTAATAGAATTATGTATACCTCAATATTCTAAAAGTTTGATTGAATTCTTCCACATCGGGGTCTTCTGATTATGATAGTAATTCACTGAATATGCGGATATTCAATAATTTCTGCTTGTAGACTGTGATTCTTTCTAAAAATTTGACTACCTTAAGTTAGTCTCCCAATATTTAATAACAAAGAGCTTGATTTTTTGAAGCGAAACTTATGATGGCCTTACAATAGTTCTTTGGGATGTTTTTCGTATCTTTTTCTTCTTTCATTGAAATTCTTTTTCTTTTCTGAATACTTAGTTTAATGGATGGTTATTAATGAAGAATCTACCTTGGTGTACATTATTACATTTTTAATTATCCATTTCTAATAGAGACATTCTTTATATCTATTTTATACCCTCCTAAATGTACCTACTTATTTTATAGAGTTTATACTAAAACTTCATTCAATGAACATTAAAATACAAATGGATAAATTGGAATACTTTAATTTTAAGAGTAATATTAAGCTATCTACAGATTATTTAAAGCATATAAGAATTTATCTACTACTTTTAAATAAATTTCTTAGAATTATTGGTTTTCATCGAAATCCTACCTTTTATTTATTTTATTATGTATTGGTTAATAGATACTTTATGGAGTTTCTATATTTTGTTCCTCCTACTTTACTATAAAATCTTTCATTGAAAAATCTTTTTATATATTACTAATACAATTTATTAATCTTATATTCGAATAGAAAATTATTTCTCTTTGATAGAATATATAAAATTCTGTATTTGAATTTATTCTACACTACAAGCATATTTTTTATTTTACTTTTTATCAAAATCAGATTAAAATATGTTATTTTAGAGCTTTATTAGTATAGAAAAAGTTATAATTAAGTTTAAATTAATATTCAAGTTAATCAAAAAAATATTTATAGTTTATGGAACAATATTCTTAAGAAAATCCATTATTTGAATTACTCTATATTCTAAGAGGTGGAATTCCTCAATAACAATTCTTATTTCATCATATCTTTCGATATTTTGACAAGGATTAAAAGTTAGCAATAAAATTATGCAGAAAATTGATGAATTATCAAGATTGTAATTAAAAAAATCCTAATGGACAAACTCCGCTTTAAATTGCTATTATTTATAACTAAAAAGGTGCTATTCGATATGCTTAACATGACAGTAGATTTGATTTTAATGATGATAACTTAATGTAATTAGCAATCACTAATTCTAACTTTGAAATAGTTGAAATATTATTAATTGTAACAATATTCTTCTTAATATTAGGATGAAGGGTTATCAGTAATAGAATCAAACTCAAAGAAAATGAATTCTTAATCTTCAACTAATTTAAAAATACTAAAAAGGTATGAAAAAATAGAAATTCAGAGGGTTTTGCGGGATGATACTTCTGAATATTAAGAAACTATAATTAATGAAATACCTTAATTTCTTTTAGCTAAGACTCCTGGAAAAATTATGATAGAGAACATAAATGAAAGTTTAATACCTACTACTTAATGCATTTAAACATCAGAAAATATAAGCCAAGAGGGTATTTCAGAAATTAAAATGAAATAGGCTAAGCTTTGTTCTTAGAGTTCATGCTAAGAAAATTAAATACTTAAATAAGAGAATGAAATTAGAAAATAATAAGAAAATAGAATTCCTTTTTAGAATTTATTTAGATGCTAAACTTATGTTGAATAATTGCTTTCTACAATATTTCAATTTAAATATGTAATAAAATATGCATAATTAAGAGCCATAGTTAGATTGCGCAATGCTATTGTTTCTCTAGTAAAATAAGGTGGATTGCTACTATAAAAATTTAGATGGCTTAATTGAACTAATGTCTATACCACCCTTACTTAACTAAAAATAATATTCTAGTTTTGATTAGACAAATATGATTGATAATTATTGCAAACAGTTTTGTAGAGAAATCACATAAAAGCTTTACGATTATAAGTCGGTAATTTCTTGTAATATCAAAAGTCATTAAAAAAGAAATAATATAACTTTGATGCACTGAAGGCTCAACTCTCATCTAAACTAAAATATGATATTTCATATTAAGGTCCAAGCATGGAGTTGCTATTTAAATTCTAAAATTTGTTACAAATTTATAGAAGTTTGTTTTATATTTTACATAAACCTTATTTGAATGCTAATTGTACATTTTTCATCTTAGAATAATTCGAGTTGATAAACAAGGTTGAAATGTTTCTTCATTTCTAATTGCTTACTACTAATTAGACAATATAGACAAACCATTAATGATTAAATATAGTAAATTAAACCTACTCTATTCAAATTTATCTTACTCATTTTTAATTTACTGACTTCTACAAATCTATATTTATTATTAAAAATAATGAATGACGATGTACTATTTAAGAAAATAAAATTAAATGTTGGTATTGAAATGAATCTTTGTTGATAGGAAGTTATGTGATGCCATCAGATGAAAATAAGACAGAATCTAAATCATCTATACTGTAGACAGAAGCTTAAAGAATTTTCAATTAATATTCTCATCTACTAAAAGAGGAAAAAAAATCTCAAGCTTTTAATTAAATAACATAATAAACTAGTGGATTTATAAAACGTTTAGAAGAGCATCGTTCAATTATGAAGACATAAATAGAATTGTAGTTAAAAATATGTTAAGGAAACATATTATTATAAAGAGCATTAAGTGGGATTGAGATAAAGAAATGAATTATTTAATATTTTACAAATTATATACTCATGGTAGCAATATGGTAATTCATTGAATATGAGATAGAGATTCAAAATAAGTGATAAACTTTATATGATGGCGAATCAAAAGAAAAAGTTTAAAGGTTTCCAAATTTAGTACCTTTAATCTGTTTAATCTTAACCCAATCAATCAATGATATTATCACTGGGAACATAATTATGATAGGAGTAACTAAATTATATTAATATAGTAAAGCTGCATAAGAAATATCCCTTTTCTTAATTAGAATATTAATTATAGATAAATATGTCTATAATTATATTCATAGACAGACCTATTTCAATTTCTATTAGATTCTTCATTAACATTTGAATTCAATCAATCTTTCTCAAATAGAAGAGTGATTTCAGTTCAGAAATTGCAATAATTTTCAAAGACTAAGTTGAAAATGGTTAGACATAAAAATAAGAAATAAAGTTATTTAGAAATTGAAGTGACTAGAGAATACTGATTGATAATTCACATAAGAGAGATACCACATTTTGGTCAATTTTAAATATTGAGTATAAATTAAAATTGATTAGTTTACTAATATGTTAAATAATATATATTAACATTTTAGGGATATAAATCATAGGTGAATATTGAATTATTAATGTAAAATATTTCCAATTTTATTAATATTATTGAAACTTAAGGCCATGTTACAATTACATATAAATAAATCTCTTTTCATTTAATTTTCTAACCCATTTGAGTTAATTTTCCTGTCTTAGAAATTATTAGATTGATAATAAAATAATATAACAAAATCACATTAAACAATTTTGTAAAACCCAAAAAACTTTATTCAATTCAACTCAGAATTGTTATATTTTGCCATCCAAAAATGACACCATATTTATAAAATCAAGTTTTCTAAAATTTTATAAATATTCTTATTTTTGGGTTATCTATTCTTATGGAGTTGAAATTCATGAATTAACCTTCTCCTCTATCAAAACATTTGCTTATGTTTTATAATACTTCATTGAAAAGATATTATATATGATATACATATTAATATATCAAACCAGCACATAATAGCTAACAATTATTGGAACTCCATGTAGCAAGCTGAACCAAAAATAGATTAATCCTATTCTAGTATTCTTAAGGAATCTTAATGCCATCATTACTGGCACTTATAATAACATTATGAAAGTCATAAATGGAGTGAATTACCTTAAAGCTGCTATCAATATAATTTCATGTAATAATGCTGAAAATGCAAATGTTAATACTTTCGACCAAATTCTAGGTACTTTCCACTCCTATAATTACAAATAAACATGTGTATGCAAAAATGCATAAACTACTGTATTCCATTTGGCATTGAATTCTTCAAATGTTGTTGCATTCCACCTATTTATCAAATATAATGAATACCAATCATGATAGAATTCTCTATCGCCAAAATACGTTATTTCAGCTAATAAATTTAATATATTTTCAAAAGTTAGGAAGAATAGTACCATCCAAAAAGCAGCTAAAGGAAATAATAACAATATTGTTTAAAGAATTTAATCTGAAGTTCCAATAATTGCTGGTTCTATATGGTTAGCTATAATAACTGCTCCAAGTATATCAAAATAAGCTATATTGAATAACTTAGCTAAACAATAAATTATTCTAATCTTCTTTGTTTTAGGATAATCATGATAGAAAACCAAAGCTGGAGTAATCATATAAATAAAGAATTGCCATAAACTAATAGGTTATTTACAATGTTTAATATAAGAAACTTCCTTCATAAATCCAATACAAGCCATTGCACCAACAAAAGCTCCAGGTATAAAGCCCAATTAATATTTAATCGTGAACCATGGAAATATTATAAAAGGTAAAGAAATAAAAAATAGTAACAGGATTTTATAGCCAAACTTATGTGAAAAGTAAACAGTGTATGGATATGTGAATGACTTATATTAGTTAATATAATTTACATAAACAGCCCAAATTATCATTAAAATTCCATCTCTTTTTACTGCAGAAATAGTTGGTGAATTAGCGAGTATTGTACCTAATTAATTGAAATACATCAGATCAATTAAGTAATAGATTCCCAACATATGTACATAATAGTAGAATCCATGAAATTTAGACTTAGACAATACTGAATGATCATCCATATCATCTAATTGAGATACACGATGTTGGTAATTATAAGGTTTCATAATGATAATAAATAAATTTTCATGAAATTTTTTTGAAATCTGAATCAAAAAATGTTCCAGGTAAGACTGCTTTGATATGTCTACCTGTAGTGACTAATTTCATATCGTTTTCTTCATAAATATCACAAACAGAATATGCTATATTTTTGCCTACTTTTTAACAAACTGCATGTACAAGCAAGGAATCATTAAATTTGGCAGGACTTATAAAAGACAAACCTAATTCAATGCTTAAATATAAAAAAATAGCAAACCTGACAGTTCTTGAAAGATTTCTATCTCCTCTTAAAATAGCAATAGTAGTAGCACAATCTAAAATAGTAGCCAATGCCCCTCCATGTACTGAACCATTCATATTCATTATATTTTAAGGAACCTTATATCTTAATACTAAATGATTAGAATTTCTCTCAAGTACATGTCCTGGTAAAAATTAAAATGCTTAATAGAAGTGTTCAGCAAATGTGTTCTTAAGAATTGGAATTTAAATAAATCTCTTGAAGATATCTCCAAATTCCTTATGCACCATTTTATAAAAATAAAATTTATTATTTTTTTAATAATCAATCTCCACTTGTTTAGTAGAATATAAGTTAATCATGTTTTCTTAATTGAAGTTTGCATTCTCTATCACTTACAAGACCTAATTTTTTCAATTCTGTTACAACTTCTTATCCATGTTACACAACTTCAATAGGAATTCCAATTAAGTCATTTTTGAACGATCCTAAGATGTTCATTGTGCTATAGCATACCTAATTCACATGCTTCATAAATAAATTAATATGCAACAGTATCAACTCCAGCACATCTACAATTTATCAAACGCATATGAGGATGAATTTAATAATCACGTAATTATGGTCTCTATTTTGCATATTCTATTCCAACCCAATCAAAGAATAAACTTTATATTGGACATATACGTTCTTTTGATTATTCTATTAAAGGCTCTTCAAATTCTATTGTATCTGGATCAATAAATGTCATTTTATTATAAAAGTTTATTGATATTTTTACACTATCTCCACTTAAAATTGGTTAAATGTTCATTACTTAAGTCACACTTTCAAAATTATGTTTTGTTTATTCTCTTACAATCCATATAACTCTCTTTGAATTTGGTGGCAAAATATCAAATTTATACTCACTTCTGTATTTGCGATTATATTTGAAAGCTATTGTTATACATTTCCCATTTAATCCATTTAATACTTCTGAAATTATAGTTCTGTCCCATCTAAATAATTTCTTTGTTTTAGTACTGTCCACCCAAAAGCTTTATTACAAAAAATCACTATTCTTAAATGAAAGTATATGCAAGTGAGCTTTTATAAAACGATTATCTAAATCTTCCAGCCATTCTTTTAATGTTTGATGAAATCCTACGTACCATCGTCCTGAAACTAGAATTAGGTTTGTAAAATCTGCAATCAAAAATGCTAGAATAGTCCTTCTTATTCTATCTTAACCTTATTTTATAAAGAGAAATTGAGTTAGTTTATCAGATGCCTCTTTAAGTTGAAGAACTCTAGCCATCATTTTTGGTATTGTTGCCTTCTTGCTTTCTTTTCGTTGCATATTATATTTATTTATAAATCATTTTAATCAACATTTATATTCAGAACCAACATATTTAAATATTATTAAGAACTTCAAATTACAACTAATTTTCAATAAAAGTTTAGAAAGGAATATTCACTTAAAGTTTTTAAATGATTATCTTACATTTATTTATTTAATATTATCAAACTAAAGACATTATTATTTATTACTAAAAATATAATTCATCATATTTGAATTATCTTCTTAATATTAATTAAACAAATACTTTGTATAAAATATTTAATTTAATGCAAAAAACGATTTTAGCTTTGCTAATTGTTATGTGTACAGCACTTCAGGTGCAAGAGTTACAATAAGCCCACAAATAATTTGATAAACTATCTTAAGACTCTCCTGTAGGGAAATTCTTAATGGATTTGGCTTAAATTCATGCAGAAGTACAAGGACCATTAGATGATTTAAAAGAAACAATTGAAAAATTTTATGAGAATTTATAAGATAGTATCTCATAATTAGATGGTGAATTTCAATCCAAATAAGCAATTCATTTAAAGTAGTTTAAATATGTGAAATAGGGTTCTTTAAAATTATGAATCTAATTAATAAGATGCTCAAATTGATATTGCTTAATCATAAGATTAATTAGATAATGTTTTATCAAGAAACAAAGAAAATATTGAAAAAAGATTGAAATAAATCTAATAAAATATCAATGATAATAGATCAAATATACAAAGAGATAAATTATAAAGAAATTAATAAAGAGATTAAAATGTTGAACATATACATGAACATTAATAAGCAACAACATCAATTGATGAAGCATTATCTCTTGTATAAGGTTTAAGTAATGGAAATATTGCATTTGTGGAAGCTCCAATGAAAAAAACTTTAGATTATATAAAATAAAAAGTAAATTCAAAGGAAGAATATGCTCCATTAGTTGATGCATTGATTAGTTTATCTGGAACTTAAGATACAAAATAAATTAAAGAAATGTTGAATAAATTAAGAAATTAAATTGTCGATTCAATGATTTAATTAACATCAGATGAAAATGATGCTTAAAAGATGTTTGATGATCGTCAAAAACAATTAGATTCAGAATTTTCAGTAATTTTTGATATAAAATATTCTAGGAATTCTAAAATTAAGTAAATTAAGCAACTTATGATTTGGCATCTATATCTGCAAGAATTGATTAAGAAAAAGAATTTACAAAATAAAGAAAAAGTGATTTAGATATGTATAATAGCTAAATTGGTATTTAAATAATTAATTTAAGAAATGGAGAATAATAACTTTGCTGCTATCACTGGATTATATAATGAAATTAGATCTGTGAGATTAAAAGAACTAAAGATTGCTGAAGATGCTAAAAAGTATTTTATTTATTTCAATACTTTTTAGTTTCGCTTATTCATCATAATTTAGAGAGTTGTTACAATCAAAATTGAACAAATGACATTTATATATATAATAAATCATATTAATGCTGGTTTTGGTTCTGTATTATAATATTATGGTTATTATATTAAATGAATTGATCTAGAAGGGGTTCTTGTTAGAATTTATTTTTTTGAAGAAGTTGGAGTTTAAGGAGTTTCACAAATGACTTCATCATATAATTTTGATAGTTCCTCAAATTGTGATTTTAAATTCTACTATTTGATACGAATCTTTTCAAATAATTGAGGAGATTGAACAATCGAAGAATTGTTATTAGAAAGACTAATTTATTTATGTAAAGTCTTTATAGATTCTGTTTAATCATCAATAATCTATTATAAATTAAAAGTTCTAATATCATATTGTTGTTTTAAATCTTTCAATTACTTATCTTTTTAATCAATCATTTTCTATTGCTCTTAAGTATAAGCTTCAAACTATGTTAATCTATTAATAATTTTATCTTTCTCTTCTAATAAATCTTTTAATTCATCAATTTCTACTTTTTAGCAAATCTTCAATTTTTGTATAGTATTTTAGAATTCTTCTAACTCTTTTTATTATTAAGCATTTTATGACTTTAATTTTTCAATTTCTTAATCTTTTTTTTAATTTTCTTTGTTATCCAAAATGAAATGAGATTATTACAATTAAGAAAATAGAGAGTGTTAACTTTCATTAACTTCTTCTATTTTAACAAGATTTGATTTTTCAAATTGACTCATCGAATAAGTTAATTGACTATTTTATACAGCTGATGTATTATAAGAGACTGTCTCTTCATCAGGAATAACACTATTTATTTTTTTCTATAATTGAGAATAAGTCATGAAGTCTCCCTTTTTGATTGGAGATGTATCAGTTATTTTAGTTGGATGCTATTCATTTATTTCTTCTTCAGAATTAACTTCACTCATTAATAAATTTTATTTTCTTATCTCATTAAATTTAATTCATCAAATAAAATACAATTAGCAAACTATTTTTTAAATTTTCTTAAGAATTTTTTTATTTCTTGATTAATTTAAGAATAGAGATTTTCATAACCTCATTTATTAGCTCTTAAATAAAAAAGTTATATAATTTTAAATAATGTCATAATTTGCTTACAATCAAAAACAATAATAATAAATCCAATGTTTCCTTTGATTGAATTCAAATTAATAATGTAATCATTATTTTTAATAACAATAGCCTAAATAATTTAAATCTAAATTTTCTCCATTAAAAAATTAAGATATTAACAAATAAAATGAGTATATAAAACTTTAACAATTAGTTCTATGTCTAAAATGTAAGGAATACTTAAAATAACAGAAATACTTAATTAAATTTACAATCTAACGAAATTGTGTTGTAGCTTAACTTTAATGCAAGAAAACTATTGTTGTTTCAAAAGAAGAAATTGAAATGTCTAGAAGCTTGAATATGAATATTTACAATCTCTAGTTATTGAACTATAAAATTAATAACAAAAAAAATCTGTACAAATTGTAGAGAAAACTATTATAAACAAAATTCTAAAGTTAAATTATTAGAATCTTAAATGAAAGAATTAAGAAGATAAAATAAATTTTTAAATATTAATATAATAATCAAAAGTTAATTTTGAAAATGAAAATTTAAAGAATTTATGGCACATTTGAACTTAGAAGTGCTTAATTTAAGAAATTGAATAATAAGAAAATTAATCCTATCTAATTAGAATCAATTTAGATGATCAAATATCATAATTAGAGATTAAATAATAAAATCTCTAATTAGGAAGACCGTAAGATGAAAAATATTAGATTACAAAAAATAATAAGGTCATAATTAAATCTACAATTTTTAGTTCTCAAGAAACTGAAATTAATTCTCTTAGAATATAAATTTCATATAAATAATAGAAAGCTTAAATCTTAAATTAGATATTGAAAATAGAAATCGATAATATAAAATAAAAAAACTTATTGATTCAAATAATATAAATTAAAAATTAAAAATCTAAATCTCAAATTTAGATTTTTGAACAAATACCAAGAGTAATAAACTTATACTAAAATTAAGATAATATAAGAGTAAAATCTATTTTTTAACATCTTAAAACGAAAGACTTATTTATTCATTATAGGCAGAATTTGAACCATTAAAAAAAAAATAAAAATATTTTAATTATCAGTAAGAATTAATAATTAATTTCAGATTAGTTTTTATAGATTTAGTTTATTACTTTTCTATTTTTTTAATTATTAAGATATAAATTTTTCTTTAAAAAATAAATTAATTTTGATATCAATATTAAAATTACAAAACATAAAATGAAATAAGCATTAAATACAGAATAAGGAGCAATATAAAATAGTGGTTATAAATAATACTTATAGTGAATATATTAATAATATTCAATATTAAAAATCAGATTATTATTCATCTTAGATTTAAACATCTGATACATCTGGATGTGGCGATTAGTATGGTCTATCATTAACTTTTTCAAAACATTTAGATATTTTAGAATTTGCTAATGGTGAAGGGTTCATTTAATCTAATTCATCATATACACTTCGAATAAAACTATTAATTTAGATATTATTTATATTTACTTTTTTAATCCATCTGATGCACTTTATCCTGATTCTACTACTAAATTTTCAATAAATTCAATAATATTATTCAAAACTTAATCATTCTCAGCTTTTAAAGCTAATCTAATACTATTTGCAAATATTTTATCATGATTTTCTATTTATACTTCAGCTTTAAACTATAAATCAAGCAATTATTTAGCTAAATCATTAGCATAAAGTAAAACAGTGGGATCACTCAATCCCAAATACACGTATTCTTTAGTTACTTTAGCAATCTATTCACAAGATTCCATATTTTATATTTTAAAATCTGTATTTTAAAAACACCAATGAAGTAATTCAAAATGACCTAATGGTAAATTTAATAGTTTTTATGTATTGAGCTATATAATAATATTAATAAATAATTACTAATTCAACCAAATGTAAAAGTATTTAAAATGAAACTTATTTGACATATTGAGAATTAATATTTAATTTAAATTTAAAACTTTTATCAGATGGAATAAAGAAATCATATTCATCTTATGAATCTGAACTAAATAAAGCCCATTATCTAGATTCTTGGGATACTTCAAGAACAATTTTTACAAATAATTCTAATAAAATTTTACTATCTCCTAATAAATCTACAATATGAATTAAAGATTAATTCATGAGAATATCTGAATCTATAGGTGTAGATGCAATTTCTATTCCTTTGGAAAAATGATTAACTTATGCTTTTAAATCAGAAATAATTCTATCATTTTCAATTGAAAAGAACTTTTATCCTTGTTAAGGAGATTTAATTAAATTTTAATAATTTGTAGTCTTTATAACTCCTCTAATCATTTCACTAAATAATATAACACATAAACAGCGATTTTGCCACCATCTATTTTTGGCTAAAGCTATAACATGTTTTTCAATTTTAACTTAAGAATTAGATTTAGCAGCATTGCATAAAATTGCCAAAGCACTTGAACTTAAAGATGTTGAAGAAGAAAGAAAATAAATATATCCATAACGTTTCATTTCATTCCACAGTTCTGATGATTCCAATTCAAATCCTGAAAAAACTGCTAAACATTACATAAAATGTTCTGCTGATAAATTTTATTTCATTGTTTAAATTACTTAATATTTAAACATAGGTTCTTAGAATGAACATATCATTTATATTAGTAATTATTTCTTTTCAAAAAATACACTCTACTTAATTAAATTACAAATTTCAGGTAAAAAAAATTCTAAAAATAAAGATCTAGTCTTTAATGCATCTTTTTATAATGATCTTGCTCCAAATTAATTAACAAGATCTATACAAACATGAACTCTTTAAACAGGTAAATTTTAAATGCATTAAAAAGTAAATTTAAAAAATTTCCATACTTCATTTGTGTCTTTAAATATAAAATTTATATATGCTTCCTTCTAAGTAATTAGTTCTTAAAAAAATCCATTTACAAAATCTTCAGGATATATATCAATTAGATCTATAAAACTTTATAATGCAGTAGCATTCTATTTGAATTAAACTGTTTATGCAAATTAAGAAAATTATTACCTCTATGTTAAGGCTTCATTTAAAATCTAAATATATTTCATATTCATACATCATATATAGATTTATCTAATTATTTTTCTCTTGTTGATGTTGCTTCTCTCTTATTTTCATCCATTGGAGTTTTTTAAAATGAATCCTATATCTATCTATCATTATTTGAATTGAGTTTTTCTTATTATTTTTCTTATTATTATTATTCCTCTTTTAATTTCAATAAACTGCCTTAAACAGGTCTATAACTTATATTTTTGACTTCAATTTAATAATTTAGATTTTCTAAATTCTAACTAATTGGTTTGCTAGGAACTCTCATAAAATTAGTTCTTTTAGATGAAACTGACAAAGGAGCATGCTTTTCAGAAAGCTATTCTTTTTAGAATTAATCTTCCTATTTCTATTCTTCTTGCAATTTTTCAATTCCTTTTTCCTTTAATAAGAATGTCTAAGTATTTTAAGTGGATGTCGCAAATTCTTTAGAATTTACATAAGATGCCAAAGGAGGATTTATAACCCTTTTTAATATTTATTTAATACTTTCTTTATGTTAAGAAACTATAAATGCTCACTAGAAAGTTATAAAGTGCATTCCAATCATTATCAATAATTTCTGCAAATCCTTTATGATTTGGAATTACTATATCATTCTTTTTAAAGAACAGCTCTAATTGTTAATAATTGTTTTGTTTTCTTTCATCCTTTTAAGAATTATCAAAAGAATGCATTTAGACTCTACCAGGATAATAACGTGAAAATATTTCAGCAATTAAAAAACCATTACTCAAATCTCTAAAAAAAAAGTTATTAACATCAATATTACCTTCTAGGATCTTTTACAGAATAACTTAGATCAAGTCCTTAAATCCATTTAATGATTTCTCTTGGTAATGCTTTTCCTACAGGTTGAAATGTTTATGTATTTGTATTGGAACTCATAAATTTTATTATTATTTTATTATCAAATATCGATTATATTTTGTATTGTTACAAAATTATATTCCAAAGAAATTAAGATATATAAATATATATATATTAGAATGAAAATAAATGTTTGTAAAAAAAATAGATGTGACATTTATATAACTTAAAATATATATGTCAGAAGGAAAGAAATTTAATTTATATAAATTAAATAGCTTAACATATATGGTCTTGAAAATAAGAAATATAAATGATTTAATTTGAATAAATGTTTAATTAGTAAATATTCATAGATTGTATTATTTAATTATTCTTTAAATTATTTGTTTAGAGATTGGTTTAACTATAAATTCCTTGATACCTATTTTTTTTCCTTGTTCTTTCAATATATTTTCATCATATCCAGAGGTAATAAATATTCTCATTTGCTAATTTGTTTTTAAGATTTGAGTTGAAGTTTACATACCATCTAAACCTGGCATTTCCATATCCATAAAAATTGCTCCATAACCTTAACAATTTTCCGAACATTTTTTCTATTAAATTTATTCTAGAGCATCAGTTCCATTATAGGCTTTATCTATTTATGCGATTGTGCTACTTGTTATATAAATATTTATACAATTATTTTATTTGCATTTCTAATATATCTTAATTGAATACATTATCATCCACTATCAAAATATGTTTACATTCTTTGATATCTTGTATTTTGATTGAATCTTAATTACTTTATATATCACTATTGATAATTATTTAATATTATTAATCCTAAGATTTCTTATTATTTAAACGTATTTCATTTAAAGATGGAGAATAATCATCTTCCAAATAAATTTAATCTAATTTAATACTAGAACACTTATGATGTAATTATTAAATTTATAAAGTTAAGTAAAAGTAAGATCCATGCTTTGTTTAAGATGTATCTTAAGAAATGACTTTTAATCCAGAATTATCATATGATAATTATTAGGCTAATTTATTACTTATCAATAAACCTAATCCAACTCCTTATTCATTTAAATTTTCAGAAAGTCCTTCCTTAATTTTACCAAATGCTTTAAAAAGTTTTGCTAAATTATTTTATGATATTCCAACTCCTGTATCTTCTACTCCAGCATTAACTAATAATCCTTATTAAACAAATTTTATTGAAATAGCTCCTTTTTATGTAAATTTCAAAGCATTTGCTATAAGATTTACTAAGATTTATTTAAGTCTATTTCTATCTGTTTTAATTTATAGGCATTTAACATTTGAAATCACATCTAATTTTATGTTCTTCAATTCAGCTTATAGTTTAAACATTTATAAACATTCTTCTCCTAACTATGTTAAATTAAAGGTTTTTTAAATAAGACTAAATTAATCTGCCTTAATTTATGCCAAATCAAGTAAATCATTGGCTAAATTTAGCATGTAGTATGAATTTTCTAAAACTATTGATATATTCTAACATATATAATCAAAATTGTATAGTTACTCTTTCAGTCTACTTAATATATTAATAACTACATTTAAAGGAGATCTGAATTCGTGACTTACAAAAGATAAAGTTTTAGATTTTGATTAATTAATTTGAAGAAGTTCTTTAATATTCTTTCTATGTATAACATCTCTTGCAATTATAAATAACAAATCTTCACTACCTATTGATATACTTATTTCTATTTATCTTTTTGAATTTTCAATTTCAAAACTTGTTTCAACAACTAATGAATTATTATTATCATTTATTTCTTTTCTAAATCTTTTTGTTCCAAATACATATAATAAACATTTATATACAGTGTTTAACTAAATAATTTAGATGATAATACTTAAGTAGTCAATGATCTAAATCTTGGAGATTGACTTTATTCAGTATTTCTTAAAGTCATCTGTTAATCTTAAGAAAAATATTTGAAAAAATTTAATTTTGAGGATTTATAATATTTTATCTATTATTAGTTTAGACTCTAAAGAGAAAATAAAGAATCCCTTGAATGAAGAGGTGATTCATCTACAAGAATTTCACATGATAACTTTTCAAAAAGCATTAGCAAATCGTGGTTATTTTTTTGGAAAATCTTTTTGCTGATTTAATTTTAATATTCAATTCTAGGTTTTGAGTTAGTTATATTATCACATTTTTCAAATTAAACTATTATTACCCCTTCAGAAAGTATATCAAATAATGAACTATAATCTATTTAAGAAAGAGTTTCATTTATTTAAATCTTTTATTATTTATCTGTACTAATGAAACTTAAATCTCTTATTATTGTTCTTTTTGGAATTATCCTAGATTAAGATTAGCGTATATTTGTATTTATGACTGTTTCAATTACAGTGTCTTATAATCCATTAATACTTGATGAGTGAGGCTTAATTATTTTCGTTCTATTTTTTTAAGGAAGTAACCACAATAAAAGCAATATATATAATTTTTGATTTACTATGACAATATATTATTAATTGAATTCATTAGATTAGTAACTATTTAAATGCGATTAATATGAAAAACTCAAAATAAGTATTATTAAAAAAAAAATCCTAATTGTTTTCCATTTTCGACTATCTGCCATGTTAATCTTAAGGGATATCTAATTGTGTAGGATGACAATATAAAAATAATTTTAATAAATATTGTCTACACCATACATAAATGATTCTACTTAAAATAAAATTATATCCATAAAAATAAGAGCAAGTTATAATTCTGTTTAAAAAAAGCTTGTCTTTTTAAAACATAATAATTCTAATGCAATCTAAATTAGTAAATTGATCATCAAAAATGTAACAAATTGATTTTCTATATTCTAATATTATATTATCATTCTTATAAATTGAAATAGCAAAGAAATAATCATTGAAATTTATAGTTTGCGAGAGCTTGTTTAGTTTGCCATCATAGTCAAATTTAAAATAGTTTAATATATATATATAAGAAATTAAAATTTATTTTTTCCACTTAATTCATCAAATTTATTTCTGATAAAATTGTAATTTTAGAACAACTAATTGGTGGTCCTTAGAAGTTAGAGTGAAAATTATAATTTGTTTTTAAAAAATAAATTAATTAACGATAGTTTTTATTCAAAATTATTGAATACTCTTCATTATCAATCAAAAGCTTAAGAAATTACAGTAAATCTTTTTTTAAAGATCATCATTTTAAATTAAACATAACACATTCATTTCCCAAAAAAAGTTTAAATTTAATCATTTATTTATCTAAGTCCAAAATAAAATTTTTACTTATGTCAATTAATTATTATTTTGTTCTGCTTAAATAAAATATTGCCATAATTAATGAAATCAACCTTAAAAAGTTTTTTTTATTATTGAAATTCTTTTAAAGCTTTAAATTATGGTTATCAAATTTGATTGTAAATTTATTCATTACTAATCTTTATTATTTATTTATTTATTTATTAATTTATTATTCCATACTGAAATAAAAACTCTATTTATGTTTGTTACAGTAAGTGCAATATCTTTCATAAATAAATCATCCTATCAATTAACTAAGATCTATTTTTATATTACAAATTTAACAGATAAATTATATACAGCTTGGCTAAAATGTAATTATTTTCAACTTTATTGCTTGTATGCCTATGTCAAAAAATAAAAATTACAAAAGAATTTAAATTTGCTATGTTTTAAAGCTTTTAATAATATTTTATAATTTGTGTGAAATTTAATTTTTTTTATACATTCTTATATATCCAAATTCAAAAGCTCAAAAATAATACAGCTATTATTCATCCTCAAATTAATGCTTTTAAAATATATTTTCATCATAATAGAAGGTTACAATTTTTTGTTGCTTTTGCTAAATATTCCTTAGAATTTAATTTTGCTTTTTTTATTATAACAAAATTATCGAAATTATTATGCGTATATTATAAATTTAGAATATCATTTTAATTAATCTAAGATTAGATTCAAATAATATAATTATCATTCTTTAAAGATATTTTCACGATTATAAAAAATCTTAAATATAAAATTATTACTTAAATTTGAAAATAATTATGCTATTTTTTAAAAAATCCCCAAGAAGTTATCAGATTTTGATTCTGTTTTATTGATAATTTTTAATTTATAAAACATTAATTTAATAAATTCAAAATCAACATGGTAAAATATTATTGAGCTCTTTTTTTTACTTTATAAGATCTGTATTTTTGTTTACCATTTCTCTAACTTTTTTTGTTTTTGGATGTTACAGATCCCCTAATTAAAGAGACCAGTTTTGTTAATCAATAGGCTAAGGATCATCATTAAAATAAGAATATAGTTTATCTTTAATTTATGATGGCTTAATGGGTAGACTTAGTACTTCAGGTTCGATATTTTTAATTTTATGTTCTATTTTTTATGTTGGCTATTAAGGAAGTTATTCAATTGAGTCAAAATCATTTTTAATTAAATCAGTAAATTATTATTAAGCTGTAAGCTCTAATAACTTTTCTAAAGCTGGATCAGATTTTATTTCTTATCCTTATTCCTAAGTATCTGGTAGAGTTGATTATTAACTTTATGATTCAATGTCTAATTTTAAATGTCTAAGAGAAGTACTTTTAGAGATAGCTAAATTATACTTGGAAGGGTCCTTAAAAATAATTAATATTGAATGAATACTTTGATTCGCTTTAACATTCTTTGTTATACTTTATGATCTTACATTTTAAAATCATGAGCAATAATATTTTCTCTCTTGATTTTTTCATCAATAGCAGCAGTCATCATCTATTAGACTTATTTATTACTATCCATTTATTAAATGAATTATATATTGTTTTTAATTTATTCTTTTTGCACATGCTATTATTAAATTTATTTGGATTCTTATTTAACCTCAGCACCAAACATTTTATTAACATAAGGTTTCATTAATAAAGCTTGAATTTTATTGGTAAAAACAGTATATCTTTCTGATTTAACTGATGAATAATATTCTACAGCTTGCTAGATTAGTAGTTTATATTACACTATATAATTCTAATAGCTCTTAAATTTCTTCTTTTGAAGCTGCATTCGATTCAACATCTAATTCTAAGTTTAAGACTTTCTCTGCAAAATTTTCAGATAGTTTAAGCTATTAAACTGGGCTTTAAGCTTTATTAAATAACCAAGACATAAAATATAAAATTTAATCAAAGCTTCTAATTGAGTAGTATCTCAATGAATTCTTTTTCTGTAATTTCTCCTTCTGCCTTACATTCGGTTAGAATTTATTACCAAAGTTCTTCATCTATACTACCAATCATTAGTTCTAATTCTTCTTTTGATATTTTCCCATCATCATTTGCATCAAATATCTTGAAAGCTGCTTTAACTCTTTCTAATGATACAAGTTTTTCTTAATTAATAGCTGCCATCAAAAATTCTAAAAATAAAATTAAAAATAACCTGAGAAATCAACCTATCCACTTTAATTTAAATCTACAATCTAAAGTATCTTATTGACTTCTTTAATTGCTAATTCTTTATCTTTTAAGACTAAAGTATATCCTTCAATCAATTCATCTTTTGATAATATACCATTTTTGTCTTAATCTAAAGTTTAGAATGTTTTAACTAATTCATCTTATTCCTATTAAGATGTCATTTAACATGCAATATAAGAAAGAACAGCCTATGTAAAAATAGATTTAGCCTAATAAAATATAAAATATAAAAATGAAACTTAGAATTTTTGTAGATTTTGTAAAACTATTTAATTGACTTTTTCATTTAAATTGTGTTTATCAATCCATGGATCATATAACGCTTATTTTGCTGAAATTCTCTAATTTGGATTAACTTGTAACATTTTTGTTATCAAATTTTTTGCTTCTTCTGAGATAAATCCCCAATCTTCCTCTAAACTAAATTTAAATTATTTATTACAATCAAATTTGAATTTTCCTTCACTTACTTTATGCATAATATCTTTTTCTGTTTTTCCAGTAAATGGTGGATATCCACATAACAAAATATATAAGATGACACCACAAGACCATACATCACATTTTTCATTGTAATCTTATTTTAAAACTTCAGGTGCTATATAATATGCCTAAAATTTAATAAAATATTACAGTTCCTAGTTTTTTAGTCATTTTCTTTTCTGACTCATATTTTCTAGAAGTTCCAAAATCAATTACTTTTAATGGTGAATTAGGAGATTCATTAACAAATAAAATATTTTCAGGTTTTAAATCTCTATGAACAATTTTTTATTCATGACAATAAACAACTGCAAGTAAGATTTCTCTAATAAATTCAGCAGCTTTTTTTTCACTAAAATATGTCATTGATTTAATGCGATCAAATAATTCACCTCCTGATAAATATTCTGTTATTAAATAGTAGTTCTATTAATCTTAATATAATTCATATAATTTGACAATATGAGGATGATCTAAATTTTTTAATATATTCATTTCTGCAAATAGTCGTTGTTATTCTTCAACAATCAATGAACTTTTTTTTAATTGTTTCATTGCTCTGATCATTCCTAAAATCTATTAATATAACTACCAGTATTTTTATGAGTAACCTTCCAAACTTTACCGTAGGCACCTTAACCCAAAACTTCTCCAGTTGTATAATATTTATGAATACTCCCTTACTTAAGATTCACGAAAACATCAGCTCCTAGCTTCACTGTTCCAATTGAGGATACAGTTAACTTTTTTTTAATCCCATACTTAGGCAATGCTACATTAATATTATATATATTACTATCAACTTTACTTTCTGATTATGCAAATACTTTACATTATTGCCCACTCTAATCATCGTTTGGTGTAACATCTTATGGAGAGTCTGCTATAACTTCAAAATCTTCATATTATTCCTTTATCTCATTAACATTGTCCAACAAAACATATTATTCATTATTTACACTTTTTTTTGATAATGTATGCAAACTCCCTTTCACATCTAAAACTATTTCATTTGTTATTTGTTTTTATGGAAATGAACAACAGCATTAAGCTCCCATTTATAATAAAAATTTTTAATAAATAATTGAAACATCATTATTGTTAATAATTCACCCCATCATTGATTTTCTTAGATATTTCATAGAAAAATTCTTTTTTAATGCATGTGCTGCTCTAAGATCCATTTATTTTGGTATCTAAGTAGCTGTTACTTTAGATTTAAGAATAGATTCTCTTCTTAATTAAGTTTAAACCTGTTTCTCTTAAACTTGGTCTTTCCATTCCGTATTTCTTTCATACATAGGTTTTCTTCGATCAAATATATCTTAAGTCGTTTTGAGAATTTTCGGTGAGAACGTACACTCTATCAATTCTTATTCTAGTTTCATTGTTTATGAATCAACATTTAAAGCTCCTTCCTTATTCATGTTTTTTGTAGACCGACTCATTTAAGAAGCATTTAATCTAGCTGATAGTAGACGAGATGTTTATGATAATTATGGTTGAAAAGTACATTTCTTTTTGAATTCCTCTTCCAATTTTAGTGACAGATAGTCTTATTTCTCTTGTTTATGCTTTAAAAAATTTATTCCTGATTGATACATATCACTATTAGGACGAATTCTCTGTGATTTGATTTCATTTTAACTGATTAATTCAGATTCTGAAAAGTATTTTTATTTGATATATTTTTGCTTATTAAGTGAAGATATTGTATGCTTTTCATGAAAATTTGATGTTGATAACAAGCTTAAGCTAGCTTCATCATAGATATTAATATTCATTAATTAAAATATTATATAATACTGTTAATGATTTAACAATCATAAATAAGAAAATTCATATGAAAAATTAAACTTAATAGAAACAATTTAGCATACTTATATTTAATTAGTTGCAAACTACTAATATAATATTTGGGTTAAACAAAAATGTCTATATATAATATAAAAAAGTATAAGAATAAGAAAAAATAAGTTAAATTTTAATTAAAATTATTACAATCAAAAGACTGAAGGTTAATTAAAAAGTATATAAGTAATTGATTAAAATACAATAATAAAAATAAGAATATATTTTTTTTTATTTTTTATCATTATTTGTGTGATTGTTGTTATATTCATTTGATATATATCTAAATGATATCATTAATGATAGAATTATCATGAAACAAAAAACTTTGGTAGAATAATTGGTAAAATTTTGATTATGAGAAGATAATTAATAGTGAGAGAATTTATATGAAAGAATAGTAATTGTTTAAATTATTGATTTATTGGATTGGTAATATTAGGATATTGATCTAAAATAAATGATATTATAATTAGTATGAATATAAATTGTCTAACTGATTATTAGATAAATATTTTATTCATAAATTTACTAGTAAGGTTATTGAATTAATAACGATTTTTTTATATTAAAACAGAGAGAAGTAGCAGTTGAATTTGATGGATTAGATAATCCTAATAGTTTGATAATTTAGATTAATGACGATAGCTTAATATAAATATTTGGTTTCTTAATTGAGGTTTATTATGAATAATTATATATATTAAATCAAAAAAAAAAAAGAATAAATGACAACTACTCTTCCTTTTATATCGAAGAATAAGAACTAGTAAAGAGTATTTATAATAGTAGTGTGGAAATGAAAGCAGTAACTTGGTAAAAGGACTCTCATGGACTATTTGATTATGAAACAAAATCTTTAAGCGTTAAAAAGCATAGGGTGGAGGGATCATGTAAAGTGTGCAGAGAAGGTTTTAAATATTATTAAAAAATTAGAGAATGAAATAGTTATTTAAGATGTTAAAAATAAAGATGAAGTACACTTACCTCTGACATCAATATAAGCTCAAGGAGGTAATATTAATAAATATTTTTATAGACTAATATTTCATACAACCAAATTAAAGCACAACAGAAAACGAGAATTATTTGATTGTTCGTAGTTTAAAAAATGCTGATGGTGTGTAAAAGGTATAAATAAATAATAGAAGATAGGGTTACACATTACAAGAGGGTGATTTACTCAAATTAGGTAGAGTAGAATATCATGTAATTGAGATAAGAGATGCTAAAGGACAAATAAGATCAGTGAAGGACGTTTTCTAATCAGAAGCAAAAATAGCTCCACCTTTGGATGGTGGTGTTCCAAAATAATGCAAAATATGTTTATTGGAAGAAGAAACAGCTGATGATCCTTTCATTACACCCTGCAAATGTAATGGAAGTTGTGCTTTTGTACATTTTAATTGTCTTAAACATTGGCTTGATAGTAGAGGATATAAAAAAGAGTCTGGTAACACAATTTCTTACAAATGGAAAAAGTAATCACAATCAATACTAAAATTGTAGATTGGAGTGTGAGGTTTGTTAGGAATTGCTACCTTAATAAATTAGATTTAAAGGGAAAGTATTGGATTTAGCAGCTTTAGAAAGACCAAATTAACCATATATAATATTAGAAAATACATAAATATCAGAGAAAGATAAGAAAGCTTAAAGAGGAATATATTTAATAAAAGGGACTCCAGATGATTAGGTAAAATTAGGTAGGGGTCATTAATGTGAAATTCGTATATCAGACATTTCAGTTTCAAGACTTCATGCATTTATAAAATATGAGAAAGGCAATTTTGTTATTATTGACAACAACAGTAAGTTTGGTACTTTAGTTCGATTATCAACACCATATCTTATCTGTATGGATAAAATTGCAATTCAAGTATGATTTTTTAAATTAATATTTAGGTTGGAAGAACAGTACTAACATTTGTTATGAAATCTTTTTCAAGTTTAAATGCTAATACTCATGCTGGAATAGCTGCTCTTCATAATGGAGAGTAAGGTAGAATGATGTTCTAGCCTGGATTTTAAGCTAGTAGTAATAAAACATAAACCATTAATAATAACTAAAAAAAGAATGATAAACATGCTGGATAATGAATTTTATTTTAATACAATCTACAAATACACTATATTAAGTCAATCAATCATAATATTATACATTTAAGAATTAAATAATATTCTAATTAAAGATCATTAAAATATTTATTTATTAAAGATAATATAAACATAATCATATAAATATACATTTTTTTGTAAATAATCAAACAATGTCATTGAAAGACTTTAAGATCTAATCAAAATTAGGTAAATCTTTTTTAAACAATAAAAGGTGATGGTGCGTTTTCTAGTGTTTATAAAGTAAGAAGAATTGAAGATCATCTTGAGTATGCTTTGAAAAAAGTTAATCTTAACAATTTATCTGACAAAGAAAAACAAAATGCTCTAAATGAAGTTAGAATTTTAGCTTCAATTCGTCATCAAAATATCATTAGCTACAAAGAAGCTTTTCTGGATGCACCCAGTAATTCTTTATGGTAAATTATAATTTATTCACATATCTATAGCATCGTTATGGAATTGGCTTCTGATGGAGATTTATTGTAAAAGATAAAGAAATACATCAAAACAAATAGTTCCTTTAAAGAAGCAGATATATTTCGATATGCTTTTTAACTATTAAACGCTTTGAAATCTCTACATGATATGAAAGTGATGCATAGAGATATCAAAAGTGCGAATATTTTTATTATTAATAATGAAGTCAAATTAGGAGATATGAATGTATCCAAAGTTGCAAAATAAGGCTTACTTTATACTTAAACTGGTACACCTTACTATGCTAGTCCAGAAGTATGGAAAGATCATCCATATGATTGTAAATCTGATATTTGGTCTTTGGGATGTGTACTTTATGAAATGGCAGCACTTAAATTACCATTTCAGGCTGAAGATATGGATGGACTCTTTAAAAAAGTTATTAAAGGTACTAATTAATATTAATTTTAGGTTTTTACCCAAAATTGCCAGTTACTTTTTCTTTTGACTTACATAATCTTATTAGAATGATGTTGTAAGTGTCAACTGCTTTAAGACCTACTGCTACATAACTATTAGAATTATCTTTCTTTTAAAAATACAAATTAAATACACCTGATTCATCTGCATAATTATTGAATACCATACAATTTCCAAAAAACAAAAGTTATATTAACATTTTCCCTAAACCGAATTATAAATTCAAGACTGAATAAAATGATAAAAATGATTTAGAATAAATACATCGAAAAAGATAAGCAACTCTAGGAGGAAATGCATCTATCTTTTCCAATCCAACTAGATTATCTTAATATGAAGAGAGCAGTAATATTATATATTAATTCAGATCAATAATCTTAAATACCAATCAAATTAAATAAATTAGATTAAATTCAATTAAAATCTAATCGTCATTCACTTGTTAAATTATTATCTGATGGTTCATTACCTAGATCTAATAGTAAAGTTAATTCAAATAAATTGCTATAAGATAAGATCCGCAAAAGAGTTCCAATTCCTACCTTATTAGATAACTTATCTCCCATACTTTGCAAAAAAACTAATAGAGTTGGAAATGATTCCAATTCTACTATGCTACCATAAATTTCTTGAATATTTATTATGTAATAACTAAATTTAACGAATATATATATAAAATTAAATTGCCAATAATAAATGCAAGAAATTGACTTGTTAAGGTTACATAGAGAAACACTAAAATTTATGGAAATAGAGAGTATCTTTAAGCGCTTAACTTAAACCTTCATTAATTAAATTTACAATCTTATTAAAGATATTTTTGCAGAAGAGCACAAATTCACTATCCAAGTAAATTCATAACTGAAAATAGGAATTATTGAAAATGGCTAATTAGAAAGATATTCCTCTCAAAGAATTCAAATTAGTTGAGCATTACAAACTAAATTCACAAATATTCAAGACTAATCTATAAACTATTTTTTCCATTATCATAGATGACCTTTAAAATACATTTAATAAATAAATTATTATTGAAGAGAGATCAATTTTAGAACCAAGATAACTTACATAAATTGATGAAGAATCATAAATATGTTTTACTGAAAATTGTAATGAAGTATCTCAAGAGTATTCCAAAACACATAGAGATGATATTAAAACAGAAGAAGCTCCATTAGTTAATTAAGAATTAAAATAAATCTAGAAAATTCCATTAGCCAAATTATTGTCATTTGACAAGATTACTAGTTTATCAGTAGCTAATTCACCTAGACATTCCAGAGAAAATAGTTTAACTAGTCATACATTTCGATAATCAAACAAACCAATCTAATAATTGATGTTAAATTCTAATGTTGGAACAAAGAAATAGACAGTAACATAATTAGCCAAAAATAAAAGTTTGGAATTAAAGTCTATAGCTGAAACCTTGATAGCTCAAAATAAAATCACTCCAAAAGGAAATTAAACAATTATTTTTAACAATCTAATGTCAAAAATCAATAACTTTAAAGAGAATACATAAAAACCATGAAATAAATTACTAATAATATTTATATAATATAATAATAAATAGTATTTTCACCATTAAAAATTATTCTCATTTTTAATATGTTTAAATGATGTTAAATACATTTCCTACTCATTCTCATATTAATTATCTATCTAGATTTTTTAAGTTGTCATAATTTCTTTCAATTTTGGTATCTAAAATTAATAAATATAAATTACTAAATCAATTGCTTTTTCAGTGTTTTTTTAGATTTATATTTATCCTCCTCCATTCAAACATCCTAAAGGGCAAGCCATAATTTCAACATATTTATATTTACATGTTTTTGTTTTGATTTATGTAATTAAATTAGCTATATTTTTTAATCCAAAAACACGAGCAAAAATGCCTTATTATTCCATATCTTCATTATAGATAGTAATTTCAATAAAATCCTTATTTTTTCTAATATTTTATTTGACTATCCAATTTGGAATCAAAATACTTTAGATTATATAATCTAAGTAATTATTTGATGATGAATTATGATATTCTTATAAATTGATTGCTAGAGTTGAAAGTGGAATTTATTAAGGGATAACATTTGATTTCTGAATGAAATCCTTAACAAATTATTCAATTTCTCTAGTACTTAAAACGATATTGACATCTTGATTGTTTTCTTCTCTAACAGCTTCAAGCTTTTTATCATAACATGGCATAATTGTGGCAATATAATCATGCTTATTCTTGAGAAGTTTTCCAAATATTTATTATGGACTCTTAACTTTACTCATATGATTAATTATAGATTCATCTAAAGTCTTTTCAGCATAACATACCCATCCTGGACATTCTGAACAAAGTAATGGAAAAATGTTTGTTTATTTGAACTCTTAAATTGAGTTATTAATAGCTATTTTTGTGTATTCACTCATATCATATAATGTGACATTCATTTCTTAAAATACTTATTGTAATATGGAATGCATTTAAACATCTGTAAAATTTAATACATAAGATAAAGAAGCTCTTGCTTAGGGACTAATTCCAATAGCAGGATTTTTATATTTCTTAATAGCTGACAAAAACTCTTCGAGACTTTAAGTTTAAATTAATATAGTTTCTGCTGTTGTAACACATCCACTACATGCAAGACAATCTTATAATGAGACTTTTGCAACATTATTCTAATTTTTAATCAAATTAGGTTTTAGCTAAATTGAAGGATCATCTAGTTAAAGTTTAACATTTTTCATTAAAGGTTTTATACATTCCTAACTTGGTACAATATAATCACTAACTGAGGAAATTTTGATAGTTGAAGAAAACATTGGTAATGATATTATTAATTTATGTTGGTTTTAGAAAAAAGGAACAAAACTTTAATACATATATTTTAGATAGGTATAATTTCATTCAGAAATTTTATGAATTGGCTTTTTGATTCCTACAAATAGCTAATAATTGAATAATAATAAATACCACATCCTAGAGCTTATTCTTCACCATTTGGTTTATGATCCATTTTAATAGGACATTTATCCTTACCAGGACATTTAGGAAGATTCTCTTTAGGGATTTTAGATACATAATCTCCATTACATTATCTTTTATGACAATCTTCACAAAAATGTGTTGTACCCCTTAAAGAATATTATAAATATATACCAACAAAACCATACAGCAATTTAACAACAGAATTTACATTTAAATTCAATATAATCTTTTCCATGAACTTAACATGTTTCTCCAATTGGGACTTCACAACAATTAGCACAAATCAATTCTTATGGTTTATATTATTTATCTCCTTCTTCTAAAGCTCTTTAACAATCTTTAGCACCTCCAAAATAAGGTAATTAGCATTTAAAACATTAATAATAACAATATATTGCCATAGCATATTCTTAAGGTTTTCCATAAAACAATTCTCCTACTTTACTTACTTTCTCATCTTTATCTCTATTTTCATATTTTAATCTATCGAGTGATTTCTTCTTAACATCTTAGAAAAGTTCTAAGTATTTATTTATAAGATTTTATGGTTAACATGGTTAGAATTATAACCATGAATTACATAAAGGACAGAAACAAAACTTAAAAACTATTCTTGGTCCATTCCATTTTATATCTAATCTTTTAAGAATACAACTATAATGGAAAATCTATTCTTAATATATTAAATACATGTCCACAAGTTGATTAAATTATAGGTGCATTCTTTAAACCCTCAACAAAACAAATATTACAATAATCATCTCCTTTTTATTCACCTTAACAACATTTTTCATCTAAACATTTTGGACATATCTATTCATTTTTAAATCCTGGACAAGAATGTCCACATCTTAATAATTTATTGCAAGCAAATTAAGCTTTTTCTTGACATTCTTTTTCTTAACAAATATCACGTAAGGCTTCTGGAACTTATAATTAAGCATTATGAATTGGCTAATCACAATATCTACAACACCTAAATAATATTTAATATCATATTCACTTTGATGATTTTTTTATTTTATATTCATCACATGTTAAACCAAGATGATATGGAATTGCTTTACAACCTTTGCATTATTCTGTTTTACATTTTGAATCAAAACACATGAATCTATTATTTAAATAATGTTCCACATATTTTCTAATTTAGGATATTGTTTATATACTATTGTAATTATTAATTAGTGTTAGGATCTTTCAATATTGTTATCGAACTTCCCTTCTCAAAAGCACCTTTTAAAGAACAAGCAGAACATTTTACAATATCATATTACCTTTCTAACATTATTTAAGAATATTAATCATGTTTTTCTCTCCCAAGTAATTACTAAACTATTAATTATTATTACTATTAATTCTTATTCAGTCATTTATTTTTTACAAATTAGATTTGGACATTAAAATATGGTATTTGATTTAGAATCTTTTTCTATTTATTTCATTAAACAAGGTCTACAGATTGGTTAAAAACAATGTTCAAAATATGTTATAATATCTGCTTCAACTTATTTTGCACAAACTTCGCATTTTTCATATTTTTGTAATTATTTATAAGTTGCAAAAACATCATCCATTTATCCTTATTATTATTAGATAGGTTAATTAAATTGATTAAAACTTGTTTATGAAAACTATTATGGAAATGACGATGAATATTATTGAAGCACCCTAATATTATTATTTGCAGGTCTTATAAATGTTGAGTTGTAAAGTCTATTGTCACTTGGATTTAGTAAAGCATCTACTCTTTCGATGAAAATTAAAAACTCACTCTTTAATGCAATCAAATGTTATTTTTGCATTCTTTCAACTTAAAGTTGTTCAAATCTTTAGAAAAAGGGCGATGATTGCCTATATAATTAGCATTTTAGAATGTGATCTTTCATGCTCTGTTGATTTAATGAAATCACTTCATTACAAAAACAGATAAATGTTTATGTCTCTTAAAGAAGTAAATTCATTTTTTTGTTGAAGATTATAAAAAAAATTAATTAGAAAAAAAGTTAAATAGCTATCCCTTTTACTCAATTTTTAATCATTAATTCTACTTATTTTCTGCAATATATATCATAAAAAAGCCCTCTGTAATGAGCTTTTACAAATTCTATTAAATGCAATAAGTTTTTAAAATTCGATTAAATGGTAATACTATTAATATTTTTAATATAATAAATTATTATAAGTGCGTAAAATAAATATAATTTCTTGCTGATTCAAGTATACTGTATTCTTATTGCTATGTTATTTAAAAAAAGATTAATCTTTTAACTTAAAAAATTATTCCAACATAATAATAAATATTTTTATTAGAATCAATTAAATATTTAAATCATATTCTAGTTTTCTACTCCAAAAAATAGGCATTCAAATAAATCATTATAAAAGGTAGGAGTATATTTACATGCTCTTGTACAATCAGGAGAAAATGTCATTTCTAATAATTTTGGTTAGAATCCATTACTATCAATCATTAAATCCATACCATAAACACTTCTATTCTAATAGTATATTATATTAATATATACTTTAGTTTAATTAGCCATATCTGGTTAATGAGTTCTTAAAGCAATAAATAGTTATCTGACCATTTATTAGATTGATTCATATTATTTTTCCCATGTATGTGGATAATATTCTTTATTGAATTCCTCAATGAATTCATGCATAAAAATCTATGTTAATTTATGACCATAATTCATAACAGTAAAATGTGTTTCATAGATAGATAATGTACTAAGTTATGATAAATGAATTACTTGACATCTTCTGTATAAGGATTATTAGAAATTCTAATCCAAAATGTTTTATATAAGTAAACACTTAAAGGTTCAATTGATTTCAGTGCAACAATAAATCGTAAGTCAAATTTCCTATTTCTTAATGTAAGTGGTCTTTCAATATATTTTTAGGCTAATTTTGGTCCAGTTTCAATTAATCTTAGAACAACATCTAAATTATTGGTAACAACCATATCCATAGATCTGGCCATATTAGGAGGTTTGATAATCCAAAGATTATTGAGATGCTATAATTCTCTAGTTTTATAGGCTCCCATAAATAATGGTAATTAAGTTTATAAATTAAAAGTTTCTTATAACCAAGCTACATCACCAAAAGTACTTTAGACTGTATTTGCTAATTTTTCTTTTGAAATGATTGCATATTCATGAGGATATTGATTAATAAATTTATCTGCATACTTTTGATTGATATCATCATGAACACCAGCACTAAAGAATACTAAATTTGCTTCATCTAAATCTAAAGTAAATGAAACATAAGGTAAAGTAAGATTTTTAGTAATCATTTCTAAATCTGTAATGACTTTAATATTTTATTAAGGTAAATATTCAATAGGTTTAGCAATAAGTTCAGGTTCAACAATTTTTTAATTCTGTAATTTCTTTTTGTATTCATTATAACCATTTAAAATAAAGTCATAAGGAATATCAAACCAAACATTCAATCTATATGAACGGAATTTAGCTTCATCAACCCCTGGTAAATAATCTCTAAAAACAGTTTATTAATGAATATCTTTAATTGGAAATAGAATGCTATATGCAACAGCATCATCATCAATTTTTCCATTTGGTAAATATAAAAATGGTACTACACTTACATTAGGTGTATCTGAATGTTAAATACTAGATCCTAATTCATCCATTAAATACCATACAGCAGATTCATCCATTTAATCACTAGTTAATAATCTATAATTTCCAGTTAATTTGAATAAATTTTGCTTTATAAATTAAATTTCATTTTATTCTTCTTAAGCAGGTATGTATGATTCATAACGAATATCCCTTTAATTTACTAATCTTAAAAATGGAGCAACAGCATTTAATTTATTTGATTTATGTAATTCATATAATACTTCTTCTACTTCTAGATCACAACTTAAATATTAGACATTAGGAAGCAAACTGAAAAAGCCATTGACTTCTTCTAGATCATTTAATTTAGTATTTTTTATATCTAACACTCTTAAATGTGGGAACCAATTTGCAATTTACTTCACATTTTTCAATCTTAAAACATTTCTCCCTGAAAGATTCAAATAATTAAGAGGTTCTTAACTATTTGCCTTTTTGGTATCAAAATCAGCTGTTACATATCGTATAACCCATTCAGTTGCATTCGAAGTAAATGACAGATCAACTAATTCTACTTATGGACAATTCTCTTCTATGGAAATTAGTAATTCCTCTTTATTTTCTGCTACTGGATTTCCATTTAGCCAAATTGCCTTTATTTATTTATAATTATTCAGAAAATTGACAACTTCATTTATCGATGAAATATTATTTCCAAAAAAACTAATGGCATATGTGTCTTCTTTTGGTTTAACATCTTTCATTGTTTCTAATGCCATTTCATCAAAATCTTCAGTATGATAATACACCTTTTCTATTTTGAATAATGGCTATTTTTTATTTTGATATTTAAGCATATTCTTTAATCTATCTACTTATTTTATTGCAGTATGTAATTCAGTGTATCTGAAACTCAAAGCATGATCAATCAAAAACACTTGCTCAAAGGCTTTTAAAGGTTTTGTACATTAAAGTACATACGATTCTTATTCTTAATCATCTACTATCTTAAAATAATCTCCAGCGTCATATATTTTCTTTTCTAATTTTATTTTTAATTATTCTAATAAATCCACTTTAGGGGGAAAATTGATTCCTGCCAATTATACTCCATGATTATTATAAAACACTTCTAATTCTCCACTTAAATTCTAAAAATTCATAAATTAATTTTTAAATCTTAAATAATTTGCTATTTCATAAAATTCATAATTTAAAATAAAAATATTCAATAATTAAGTTGGTCAAACTATTCCTTATTGATTGAGTATTATTTCTCATCATGAATAAATGTCAAATTTTATTTTTACTAACATTAACCAAGTCAATTTATTGTTCTCCTATATTTTTTATAGTAAATATGATTTAGATTTTGACTCATTAAAATTGATTATCAATTTTACATATTTGATTGATCCAAATTTTAGTTTATAATTTGAGAAATATTTTATTTTCTCAGTAATTATAGCTGAATGATATCATATATTAAGCATTAATGTAATACCATAAGTATAATTTGATAAATTATAATCAATTTAAATAAAAAAAAAAATGACTAATAATCAATGTTCTTTCCATTTTTATGTAACCATTACATCATGATCAATATACGGTTTAATTTATTTTGCTTTTGTTCTCAAAGGTTCTAAATTCATTTTTAAAGTTAATAATTTTGATTCATTAACTGATTTATTAGACATTGGTACATACTTTATTGATCTTTCGAGTAATTTTGCTTATTATTATTGTTGTTCAATAAAAGATTATGCTCGAAATCTTTAATTTAGAACTTAATATAAATGAACTTTCCTTTTAGCTTTTTAATATTCTTTTTCTCTTTGTCGAAACTCTTTTTCTCTAATTTCTTAAAAATCTCTTAATTTTGATAAATTTTCTGCAATTTATATTCTTCTATCTAAAAGAATATCTTATAGATCAAAAGAACATTGAGAAATAGATTTAGAAGGATTTCTATAAAGTGAGTTTAATTATCTTTTGTGATTTGATTTGGTATTAATGGATAGCATTAAGTTTATTTTGATAAAAATATTGTCAAAATAAATATTTAATTTTAGAGTGATTGCATATCATAATATTATATTTAAGTAATTATATAATAAGAATAATAGATGAGGAATAGATTGAAGTTTTATTGAAAATATAGATAATTAAATTAATAAATGAAAAAAAGTCTAAGTAATTTGATTCCTAATAGTTTGGTTAAGAAGTATTCTTTCAGACCACCTAATCCAGCATAATACACATTTGAATATAAAGATGGGAAATATTAGTTTTTTCCAATAATAAAAGGAGTAAAGAAATAAATAATCAGTTATTATTTACGTATAGAATCGTACATACTAAAGAATGATAAACTTTATGTTCCTTTAATTCATTTATCAGGGTATGTGTTGATGGAAAAATAGTTTATAAAATACGAAAACTGAAGCATCATTATCGAAGGACTGTTTATTTGATTCTAAGTCATTTTAGTACGAAATAGAGAAATTAGCATAAAGGAGCAGAATGTTAATAATATTTTCTCACGCAAATGCAAGTGATTTAGGAGATGTATATTTTTTTGGTGAAAGGATTTGTATAGAATATGGAGTAGATTTTATTGCATATGATTATACAGGTTATGGGATAGGATTTGGATAATATAAAGTTAGCGAATAATAAACTTATGATGATTTATAGAGTGTAGTATCATTTGCAATAAATCGATTAAATTATTCTTNATATCATATATTAAGCATTAATGTAATACCATAAGTATAATTTGATAAATTATAATCAATTTAAATAAAAAAAAAAATGACTAATAATCAATGTTCTTTCCATTTTTATGTAACCATTACATCATGATCAATATACGGTTTAATTTATTTTGCTTTTGTTCTCAAAGGTTCTAAATTCATTTTTAAAGTTAATAATTTTGATTCATTAACTGATTTATTAGACATTGGTACATACTTTATTGATCTTTCGAGTAATTTTGCTTATTATTATTGTTGTTCAATAAAAGATTATGCTCGAAATCTTTAATTTAGAACTTAATATAAATGAACTTTCCTTTTAGCTTTTTAATATTCTTTTTCTCTTTGTCGAAACTCTTTTTCTCTAATTTCTTAAAAATCTCTTAATTTTGATAAATTTTCTGCAATTTATATTCTTCTATCTAAAAGAATATCTTATAGATCAAAAGAACATTGAGAAATAGATTTAGAAGGATTTCTATAAAGTGAGTTTAATTATCTTTTGTGATTTGATTTGGTATTAATGGATAGCATTAAGTTTATTTTGATAAAAATATTGTCAAAATAAATATTTAATTTTAGAGTGATTGCATATCATAATATTATATTTAAGTAATTATATAATAAGAATAATAGATGAGGAATAGATTGAAGTTTTATTGAAAATATAGATAATTAAATTAATAAATGAAAAAAAGTCTAAGTAATTTGATTCCTAATAGTTTGGTTAAGAAGTATTCTTTCAGACCACCTAATCCAGCATAATACACATTTGAATATAAAGATGGGAAATATTAGTTTTTTCCAATAATAAAAGGAGTAAAGAAATAAATAATCAGTTATTATTTACGTATAGAATCGTACATACTAAAGAATGATAAACTTTATGTTCCTTTAATTCATTTATCAGGGTATGTGTTGATGGAAAAATAGTTTATAAAATACGAAAACTGAAGCATCATTATCGAAGGACTGTTTATTTGATTCTAAGTCATTTTAGTACGAAATAGAGAAATTAGCATAAAGGAGCAGAATGTTAATAATATTTTCTCACGCAAATGCAAGTGATTTAGGAGATGTATATTTTTTTGGTGAAAGGATTTGTATAGAATATGGAGTAGATTTTATTGCATATGATTATACAGGTTATGGGATAGGATTTGGATAATATAAAGTTAGCGAATAATAAACTTATGATGATTTATAGAGTGTAGTATCATTTGCAATAAATCGATTAAATTATTCTTTAAATTAGATAATTTTATGGGGTTTTTCAATAGGTTCAGGACCAGCTACTGAAATAGCAACACGTTTTGGTGGATTAGCTGGTTTAATATTATAAGCACCTATTGCATCAATATATAGTTGGTTTGGAGAAGGAGATTATGGATAATAGGATATATATGTTAATTATAAGAAAATACAATATGTTCGTAGTAGTATATTAATCATTCATGGGGATGCAGATAAGATTGTTGGTCATGAACAGAGTGAGAAATTATATAATAAATATTTATAATATAATGGAATAGGAAAGATTTAAATGACAATAGTAAAAGATGCTGGACATAATGATTTATAATTTCATATTGAAAAAGGAGAAGATGAATTAGGAGTTTAGATTCAACATTTTTTAAGATAAAAAGGAGGAGGATTTAATGAGAAAGAAAATACATTATTAAATTTATGTTATGTTAAAGAACATATTCCTGGATAACATATATATTAATGTAATTCTTTGAGAAAGTTTTCAAGTTCTTAAGAAATGCAGAGAAAGAAAATAAATCATTTATTTTCTTTATGTACTTGTGATTGATTTCTATTTATTATTATTGTTTTTTTATTATAATTAAGAATAACATTATTTGAGTAAAGATGGAAACAGTTCAATTTGATTATTTTGAATTTGATAATTATTAACCACGTTTTGGCCATACAATTTGTTTAATAGCACCTAAAACAATTGTGCTTTTTGGAGGTAGATTATTTTATAGAGGAAGGTGCTGTTGGAGACACTTCAAAATATACATTAACAGGAGATGTTTTCATTGCATATTTAAATACTTAAATTTGGAAAAGAATAAAAGTTAGTGGAAATATTCCAACTAATAGAGCAGCTCATTAAGCATTAAAAATTGAATTAAATTAAATGATAATATTTGGAGGAGCAGTAGGAGGAGGTGAATTAGCAGATGATTAATTATTTTTATTTGAGTTACATGAAGATTTCATTGGTACATGGGTTACTGTGCCTGTTATTGGAACAACTCCTGGTAGAAGATATGGGCATACAATGGTTTTAATAAAACCATATTTAATTGTTTTTGGAGGTAATACAGGTTAAGAACCAGTTAATGATGTTTGGACTTTCAATTTAGAGAAATCTCCTTATTAATGGTAAAAATTGGATTGTACATCAGAATTACCTAATGCAAGAGTTTATCATTCAGCTGCTTTTTGTAATGCAGGTTCAGCTAATGGTATGATGGTTATATTTGGAGGTAGAACTAATGATTTGACTGCTTTAAATGATACTTGGGGTTTAAGAAGACATAAAGATGGAAGATGGGATTGGGTTAAAGCTCCATATAAAAACTAAAATTATATACCAGAACCTAGATATTAACATTCATCTATATTTATAGGAACTTTAATGCTTGTTATAGGAGGTAGATCTAATCTAGTTTAAGATTTCATTCCATTTGAAATTTATGATACTGAAACTTCAGACTGGTATAAATTCCAATCAATCATGAGATTTAGACATTCATCATGGATTGATAAACACTATCTCTATTTACATGGTGGCTTTAATTCTGATCAACCAAATATTCCAACTCAAGAAATTTTAAAATTAGATCTCAACAAACTATTTGCTTAAACTCCTTAATTAATTTGGCAATTGAATACTCTAAGAAATGATAATACTTTTATGCAACCTAGGCCTCCTTAAAATTTAAGCAATAATAATACTCAAGATTAATTTAGAAGAACTAATTTTTTCACTCAATAGCTAAGTTTAATTTAATTAATAATTTTTAGATTAATAAACATAATAATAAATTTGTATATCTTCTGCCAATAATTAAAATATCAGATTAGCAAATTAAGCTTTTGTTACTATGATTTATGATCCTGAAAAAGATATTGCTAATTAAGTTAAGAAAATTCCTATTAATAAATTAAAGGATGAACATAAGAAATTAGGGTTATTTTTTTAAGATCTGAATTTTTAAAATCAATCATAATTTTTTGAGTAGATGCTTGCTCCATTTTTATAAAATTTATTTTTGCCAAAAGATTATTAAAAAATTCCTCCAAAATAAAATCTTATGACAGAAATAAAAAAAGATTCAATAATAAAGTTATGTGATGAAGTATAAAGAATGTTGGAGAAAGAGCCCATTTTATTGAAATTAAGAAGACCAATAAAAATATATGGAAATTTAAATGGTTAGTATTTAGATTTGATGAGATTTTTTGATCATTTCAAAGCTCCATACGAAAATGTGTAAAATGGAGATATAGATTCATAAGATTATTTATTTTTGGGAGATTATGTAGATAGAGGAACAAGATCTCTTGAAATAATTTTACTATTATTTACATTAAAAGTAAAATATGGAGATCAGATTCATTTATTAAGAGGACATCATGAAGATCCAAAAATAAATAAGATTTATGGATTTGCTGATGAATGCTTTTTAAAATATGCAGAAGACATAAATGATTCAAATAGTATCTATCAAAGAATCAATAGAGTATTTTAATACATGCCATTAGCTGCAGTTATTGAAGATAATATATTTTGTGTTCATGGTGGGATTGGATAAACGATGCACACAATTAATGAAATTGAATTAATTAAAAAACCTCTTTAAATAATCCATGATCCTATTACAGTATTTTATTTTAATATAAATTCAGGTATAATAAAAGATTGCTTTAGAATTATTATTTTCTGATCCATGTTAATATGAAGATGAATTAGAAAATAAAAAAAATAATGAAAGACATATTTAATAAAATTTATCTATAACTAAATTTGATAATAATAGAATCAACGGATTCCTTTAAGAAAATAATTTAAATATGATAATTAGATCTCATGAACCTACAAATGAAGGATTTGAAATATTGAATAATAATGTTATTACAATATTTTCTTGTAGTGATTATGGTAATTGTGGCAATAAAGGAGGTAATTGAATGGTAATAATAATTATTAGCCATTCTTTCAATTACAAAGAGAGGAGATATAATACCAAAGGTTATTCCAACACCTAATATTATAAATGAAGATAGATGGCTAAATTTAGAGGAAGTTTCTCAAAGAAGTTATAGCTATGCAAAATATTTTGATATAAATAATGATAAATTAATATATAGTAGAAGATCTTTTACTCCCTCAAGATAGATGAAAATTGAATCACAAACTTAATTCAAATGATATTATTCAAATTATTAGATTAAGAATCTTCTATTTATTATTCTGCATACTATATTAATTTAATTTGCTTATTCTTTCTATTAACAATGTGTGATATTTATTCATCTTCAGAGATAAAAGTACGAATTTCCTCACAAAGCTATTTTATTAATTAATTAAAATATACATCCTATTTAATGCTTGTTAATTAATTAATCAAATCTAAAGCTCTATTCATTTCTACATTTAAGAATTTTTAATCCTCAACTAAATTCATTTTTTTTAAATTCTCTTCATCAACATGATTAAAAAAAGTATCAATATCACCTTCTAATTCTTTGATATTTTTATCTAAGTTAATGTTCTCCAAATGAGTTTCTTTTGCTTCTTGTTAGCATTAATTTAATTAATTATTAATAAGTTTTTGTTCCTTAACCACAGCTTCTAAATTCTCATTTAATTATTAATATTAATCATCAAGCTACTCTGATTATTATTATTATATTTCTTATTTCATTTACATTTATTACAAATAATCTCCTTTTTATCTTTATTCTTTATTTAACATATCAATCATTTTTTTTTATTACAAAACTACTTTTTCTTTTTTTGAAATTTCGAATTCTAAATCTTATCTAGTTTACTCAAGTTCTTTATTTTATTTGTAATGTTTATCAAATTCTTTTTCTAAAAGTTGATTTTCTTTTTCTAATGAATTTTTTGCATCAATCATATCCTTCATAGTAGTTTCTAATTCTTATCTTTCATGTTATAGTTAATCTTTTTGTTGCATGATTTCATTAATTTCCTTTTTTAATAAGGTTAATTCATTTTATCTAATTTGTGCTAATTCTAACAATTAAGGATTATTGTTAGGTAGTCGTTAATGCAATTATTCTTGCAAATAATCTAATTCCTTTCTTAGTTGTTTAATTTCATTCAAATCAACTTCAGTTTATGCTCTTCCAACCTTTTATATCTTCTATAATTCCTCTTAACCTAAGGAATAGGCATTTTCAAGTCGAGATAGTTAATTGTTTAAACTTCCAAAATCTATTTGTCTTTGATGATATTGATACAATTCGCCTTTCAATTAAGCTATAATACCATCTTTTTTTTCACTACTTAATGGTTTTTTGTTAGACATTATTAAAATGTCTGATTAATAAATTAAATCTCTCCAGTGTGCAGCAATAGAAACTTAAGCCTATTATGATGTGTATTGGCAAATACCTTCAAAGTAGGCAGCTGCATATAATATGCTTCTCGATAAATTCAATAGTCTAAAATCTAAAGTGGAGGCTGAATATGATTATGTTCCATTACATCCATAAATATTAGAAATCTTAAACTATTTCGATCAAAGTGAATCTTCTGAAATTCTCTAGATAAAAGAGACTGATCATACTTTATTTTTAGGACCTCCTTCAAGAGATCCTAGTCAACATTATAATAAATGTATTCAAAGAATATGTTCTTAATTACTAAATGAAAATCTCATAGAAGATTTAGTTGATTTAACAATAGAAAAGTAAGTATTTAAAAATCTGAATTACATACTGAAATGTAAAGGTTTAGTATCTATTGGTTTGTAACCAATAACAATTCCAGTGTTAAGTAATTATCCACTCTGGTTTAGTTAAGGATTAATAAAAACACTCGAAGCCTATCAAAATGGAAATCTACAACCATCAGAAATAGATTATCTCACAGAACTTCAAATTAAATTTATTCACTCGAGCATTAAATATAAAGATTCTAAGATAAAATAAAAAAATAGTAATGGAAGTAAAAATGAACAAATTACAGTATCACCATATAATATGCCTAATGTTCGTTATTCTGATATGGATACTTAACAATCCTAATCTCAATAGAACTTTAATTCTTTATAAACCAAATCAAAAACAAAAAGCATATTAGTTTCTAATTGGTTCCATTTTAAGACATATACAAATCTTAGACCAAGAGATACTCCAAGTTAAATTAAAAGACATAAAGCAGTATCATGTTCATAAGTTGATTTACAGGCTCCCTTTAGTCCATAAAAGTAGAGTCCCTTTAATTTAAAGGCTAGCGTAAAGCCCAGATGGTTTGAGCATATTTATTAAAAATGATACTAAATTAAATTAGAAAATATTTCTCCAAAATCTCATAAGACGCCCTCAATCTAAGACACAAACATATCAATGAATAATATTCACATTACAAAACCAATCCTAAAATTTTCAATCCTAGAAAAGGAGAGAATGTTTAACCAGATTAATTGAAGAAAATGAAATTAGAGGCCATGCAAGAAATTGAAAAATTTCAAAAGAATTATTTATTTGATATAACTTATAACACTAAAGGATTAATCAAATTATTAGGTTAAGTCAGTTATGTGTATGATAACCATGATTTAATATAATCCACTTAATTTTAAGAAATCATTAAAAGTTCCAAAGAAAATTTATATTAGTTTTAAAACATTAGAGAATTAGCATTGCTATTAAATTTTTGTTTCAAACATTAATTAGGAGATGAAAATTTATGGTTTGCTACATATTAACATTTACTTAATACATAATCCTAAATTTAAGCTGAAGATTTACTTTTAATTTTTGAATCAATTAATGATTCAAATATAGAATACCTAAAACCAATTTTCAAACAATTTGAAAATATCATTTTAGAAGAAGTATAAAGAAATAATCACAAGGTAACTATTTAAGCACTTTAAATTTATCGTAAATTTTAACCAGATAATACTAATTTTTTTTATTCCATTAAAAAATAGATCATAGAGGCATTACCATAAACTAATACTGATTCAGTTCTTAATTATCTTAGATATTATGGTTTAGGTAATGAACCTATTGAAGATAGATAAGAAATACTTAATGCTATAATGCTTCATCTATACAAGATGCATAAATTCTTAAATAAAAAATAATTACTCTAAGTTTATTATACATATGTACGAACCTAATTAGGATCTGAAGTATTATATCGATTAATTGAAGATAGGGTTGCGTTATTAATAGATGAATTTCAATTAAATGAAATTGAACAATTGTTAATTATAGCTGCTAATCAAAAGAATTATACAATGTTTAAATATGCAGAACGATTACTCAAATAAAGATTATTTGACTGTAATCCTGCTGATATAGTATAAATTGCTGTTCTTTTTATCGAAAATAATTAAGGAACAACTGAGTTTATTGATTCTTTAGAATAACATCTGATCTAAGCTATTTATACAACAGATGATATTACAGAATTACTTTGGGCATTAGTTTAAAAATAACATAATTCAAGATGGATGGAGAAAATAGCTGATGCTTGTAAAGAACGTGTTCCAAAACTATCTCTTAAATAGCTCACTTCTATTGTTTGGATGACTAGTGACTATTTCAAAAGATTAACTAATAAATTAAAATAATAATCTAAATATATCGATCTGTATGAATTAATTGAAAAACATTTAATTTTATATTTTGAAGAAGGTGATGTTAAAAATAGAGATGTTGCACTTGTTATGAATGCTTATATTCGAAACATACCCATTTCTTCTGATTTAGTTGATTTAATGGAAATCTATATTCTTAATTCTACTGAAGAAGAACTTTAGGAATTAGATGGGTGGAGTGTCTCTTAAATTATATGGGGATTTAGTTAAATTGAATGTATTCATACTATTTAATATTGTAGAATATTAAAATTTAAAAGATTTATTAAACTTTATGATTAAAGTAACTATTGAATGTATGGGAGAAATGACTATTGATGAACTATTCACAGTTTTGAGAGTCTATGTAAATGAAAAATTAGAAAATGAACAAATGATCTAATAAGCTATCGAAAAAACTAATTTTTGGATTGATTAATTAGATTTGAATCAAGTCTACTTAGGAATTTACATTTTTACTAACACCTCATTTACTAAGTAAATTTCATATCTAGCTTTTTTAGTCTTCAAGGAATAAATGAATTAATTAAAAAACTTTTAGATAGACTTGAGTTCTTAAAATCCATTAAGCCATCAGAAGATCCTGAAGATGAAGAAGAAATAGATCATGAGAAAGAATAAAAAATTAGGTTAGAAGTAGAAAAATATAAATATTCTTGATACTATTATGAGTTATTATTAATAAATATCAATTAATAACTTAAAGCTTTCTATAAAATTATTTTATTGCTATTTGTAGACTTTATTCACCATTTTATAATAACACAAATTTATTACCAAATATTTTAAAGAGAGTCTTAAATTAATTTAAATGTTATTTTATTCAAATTTAACATAAAATAAGAGATTATAAAAGCTGAAGGATCCTTGAATAATAAATTTAAAGATAACTTTTTTAATTTAAGCTAGACTAAAGAAAATTTATATTTACAATAAGAATATTTTCTTAAATGGATAGTCAAAATTAAAAAATTCTTGATTTCGCGTGATAGTTTATCAAAAATCAGGAATTTAATGACTTAGAGAAAAATGTAATAAATTCTAAATTATAATAAGACAATCAGAAAAACTAATAGAAAATACATAGTTTAAACAATAAAATATAAAAAATATTCAAAATGTTAGTAATTTGTTATTTTTATGTATTTAATTCATTTCCCTATTGTAAATTTTAGAAAAAGAAATATTTTAAGGATCATTTAAGTTTTTATTTAAGAATTAAATATTTTAAAAATTATTCCTTTATTGTATTTCATTTATTCATTCAGAAATTTTGCATTTTTTAAATGAATTTGTTGTTGTTTGAATACCCAATTTACTTTATTAATGTATTAAGAGAATTGGAGATAAACTTATCAGATTAACATGCATAATGAAATAATATAAGAAATTTTTGTGAGGTTGAAATGAATAAATTTAGATTATAAATTATTTTAGTAATTTATCAAAAACATTTTATTTAAAATTTTAAATTCCATATGAGTTATTTTATTGATAGTTGTATAATTTTTTAAATTGAATATCATTCAGATGTGCAACAATATAAGCATAGCAGTCATGTTGTCACATCCATAACCAGTAGTAGTATCGATAGCCAAAGAAGAATCGAGTAAATTTTCAAGTATTAATGGTGGTTCCATACTCTTTTCAAGTCTTTCTCCAATGAATTACATAACTTTGTAACTATTCATGGTTTCGAATAATCCATCACAACCTAGAAATATGAATCTACTTATTTACACTAAATTTTACCTGTCATCCTTATTTAATTTTATCTTTCTTATTTCAGGTTCAGCTATTACCATTTGTTAATTAGCAGGTAATGGTTCTTATTTGAATTCAAAATCCCCAAAAGCTCTTGAAACTGATAGTGTTCCATTTAGACGACCTTCTTCATTAACAAATCCTCCTGCAAATCTGATTCTAGCCAATTCATTACAAGGAAGATGATCTTTTGTTAACTCTATTGTTTCATCATCACGCATAAGAAGACAACGAGAATCTCCTAAATTCGCTACATATAAAGTCTTCTTAACTACTAAAGCTACTACTGCTGTCGAACCTATAAATGTATCTAAAAAGGTTTATAGGATTATAGGATTACTTTTAGCCACATTGTTTTTTATCATCTCATCCAATTGTATAAAACAATCATGTAAAGCTTAATTGTAATCTTCACCTATGAATGAAGGTTGTTGAACTAAAGTTTCTAAAAAATTATTTGCCAAGTAATTTGAAATCCCAGCACCACCATGTCCATCAAAAACAGCAAATAATGATATATCTTCTTTAAAATCTACTTTCATAATATGGGCATCTTCCATTTAAAGTCTCCAACCTATAATATGATATTAAATAACTAACCTTGCATTGATGTAGTATGGCATTACAATATCCCGTTTTACTACCAATCATGCATTTTTTAAGTGATTGGTTACGATAAAAATTAACCCATTAATTATATTATTTATGTTTTGCTATCAATTTATTTGCTTTAGACATGAAAATTAGAATCATTTTATAACCATATCTGAATTATATTTCTATTATTTTATAAATCAAATATATTTTTGTATTCATATATTCTAATTGTCACTTTCTTGATACCAGAAAAATTATTATACGCCTATTCACCTCTCTTCTGGTTCAAAAAATACCCATAAACTGATATTACTTTTATATACATTAAAAAAAATTATAAAAATATTTAATTATTATATTAAATTTATTTCACTAATTATATATTTCATTTTTAAAATTAGTTGAAGACATTATAATAAGTTTAAGCACCTTTCTAAATTTAAAAAAAACGTTCATTACTCCTTTCAATATATCAATCTTTTATTAATCAATTTTAAGTAGAGTATAATATAGAGAAAGTTTGAAAATGATCAACTTATATTCGAATTCTTTGTTAATAACAAAAATTTTAATATTTGACATCTTTTGAGTTAGTTTTCGACAAGATGTAATCACTCAATTAAAAATACTATAAGAAAATCGATGTTTAAATAAAAATCATAAAAATTATTTCTGAACTCCTATGAATTTTAGTGAACTTTATCAAAAACAATTAAAACAAAAAGAATATTCACTTATTATTTTCCAAAAATTTTAAATTTATATAAAATAAATCTTATATTGGAAAGATTAAAATTAAGAAGACATATTTTATTACATTTTGGTCAAATAACCATTTTAGAATATAAAGTTAAATACTTTTTTGATATAAAATAATAGATAAAAGTCTTACCAAAATTAAAAATCAAGACTATGATATTTTAATAAAGTGATACTTTGAATTAGAGTATCATCATAAACAAGAATTCAACTTTTCATTTCTAGTTTAATATTCAAATGATATATATTTGAATATCATCACATACATTAAATGATGAGATCTAAGTAAAAGTAATAAGAAACTCAATTTGTTAAAACAGAAATATGTTACCTAACAAGAAACTTTAATTCAAAATTGGTTAAATAAATATAAATGACTCTACATATAATTTTTATCATTGAAAGGGCACATTCACTTTACTTAAATTTTTGTAACTTTGTAGTTTAGTCAATATTTAGAGAATATTATAATATTCAATTTTTATTAATTATTCACTAAAATTTTATTTCTTTTTGCTCTAAATTCATATAGCTAAAAGAAATCACCTATCAAAGTATCGTAATACAGTCAAAATTTATTAAAAATAAGATTTATCTTACCAAGCCAGTTCTTTATCATTTTAATATAGTATTCAAATCATGGGTTGGAGTTATTTCATTTAAATATTCAAATTTAGTTAAGGATATATTTGACAATACAAAAGCCTTATAACCTTTACAAAATTATCAGATGAGTAAGATCATTTCTAGAAAATTTATGGAAAATCATTATTACTTAAAAATAACCTTAAATTATTTAAATAATCTCAAAATTAATGAAACATCTCAAGTTAAAGTAAAAAATGAATCAAATTAATTTTATTAGGTTTCTAAATAGCAAGTATACCTGAAGTAAATTAAAATTTTGAATAGGTTACAATCTTAAAAATTATATTTTTTTAGGGAGAAAATCTATGCAACCAATTCCAAATATATAATCTAAAATATATTATCATTTTAAATAATAATCATTTTAAATAAATGATTAAACTTACTTGGTTATGTAATAATTATTTTTTGACAATAAAAATTATAGATCACTATTAATTTAGCTAATGAATTATTAATTCAAAATATTAGGTGAAAAATTCAATTTAAGATTTTGAAAAACAATAGTTTAAACAAAAAGATAAATTTTAATTTATAAATAAAAATCTAGATTGACTTATTGAATAAATAATTTCATTATAATACTAATTTCAAGTTATCTTTTCCAAAATAAAAAGGACCTATAAAAATAGAATTTTATTTATAAAACCCAGATATACACTTTTAAAAAATACATTCTTATCCGTAGATTATAATTTCATCAATGATGATTTCTGATTGACATTACGAAAGATTTAAGATGACATTATCTTCTTTAATTTCCAATTTTAAATCTATAAGTTAAGCTTTGATGGCTTTTTCTTCATCTTCAAAATTATCTAAATCTGCAAAAATTCCTATAGAAATTTAATTTTAAATAGCAGCAATCAATCTATAATGATTATCTAAAGATTTGACATTTGAAATGAGTTCTTTAGAATTCTAAAGTATCAAATATCCACTTCTTATAAAAATAGGTGCTAAATCATTATAAGAACAATAAATAACATGATCTTATTGACCTTAATAATCTAAACCTGTATTGAGATCATACCAATTAGATTCTGGAAAATAAGCATTTCTTGTGACTCCTTCATCTAAAATAGGAACACCCATTAATTCATTTCCAATCATAAGTTAAGTATCCATAACAAAATCTCTAAATGTCAAATAATCTTTAGGAAAAATAAAAAATAATGGATTGATGACTAAATTAAAGTGAAATAAATACTTGTTCCATGATTTTATTCTCTAATGAAGGCAGAGTAAAACCATTTTAGAAGAGAATATCGAAGATGAATATTCTTTTAAGCAGCTTAAATAACTGTATGATTTAAATGATAAAATTCTTATGATTTAGATTAGTCGTCATTATGATTTCGAAAGAAAGGATAAAAGATTCCTAATTAAATCCATCTTGAACAGAGTTTATAATTAGTATTTCCTACGAATCCACAAACATCAGCTCCAACCATTGGAATTCCATATATTTAAAATTAAAATATTTATCCTAAAGATAAATAAAGAAATTCCCATGTTGCTCCATTATCCCCTGTCCAATGTTAAGCATATTATCCAGAACCTGGAAATGTTGATCTAGTAATTTAAAGTGGTTAAATTTTGCCTAATTCTTTTAATGCTTAAAATGTATAATAGGAATCCATTATACCATATAGATTATGAACATCTTTATGTAGCAGATTTCCATTATGAATTAGATTTGGAGGAAGAGTTTTATGAGCTAATGAAATTTCTCCAGGAATGTAAGCAAATTTAATTTCCTAATTTAATTTATCAATTTTTTATTAATGATCATGCAATTTTCTGTCTTATTGACACTCTCCATCGCAAAAATTAGCAGGTTCATTCATATCAACCCAAAGTCCATCGAATTTTACTTAATTGTAAAGATGGATGTGCATTTCATTCCAATATTTACTTATATTTGGATGAAAGAAATCAGGAAAATATGATTCTCCAGGCCAAACTCTTCCCTAAAATCTGTAACCACTTTCTGGAGAATATAAAAAAATATCATATTCTGTTCCTTTTTTATAACCTTCATCTTGGTTTCCATATTTTACACCAACAGCAACATCAATTATAGGTACATATCTAACACCTAAATTTTGTAAAATATCATAATCTTATCTTGTGAATCTATTTTAATCTATTGAAAATATTTATTTATCTTTCATATAATCTATATCTGACCAAATTGTATCTATCGGGATTTGATGTTTTTAATATTATTAAACTACTTCAACTAACTTTTAACTGTTACTATATCCCCATCTGCTTTAATGAAAACCAAAACTCCAAAATGGAGGTAATATCCATCCTCCTAAATAATTATGATATTTTTTTATAACATTTCTAGGTGATTCATCACCCAAAAACATTTTTATATGGATTATACCTCCTATAGTGATAAATTTCATTTTATCCTAGGTATAAATTACATCCATTGGAGACGATGATTTATAAAACATAATATTGTATTTACCACTCTCCTCCATACTCAATAGAACAGGATGACTTGAATAAACATGCTTTCCTGGTCTCTAACCATCTTCGATTATATTTGGTTCATCTCTTGCATATAATGTATAATTTCCTTATTTAAAACGAAATCCAACTTGGTTTCTTTCTCCCAAACCCCACATTTACTTGTTTTGAGGATAATGTGTAAACTCTATATAATTTTCACTAAATGCCAATTCAGATATTGTAAATATTGCTCTATCATCTCTGTAAATCTCAATTTTTACTGGGTCGTTTTGGATTTTTAAACTAAAATTATAACTGTCTAAAGGTTCAGGATTATCAATGTCTTTATAATTGAATGGCTTATGTGATTAGAAATATTTACAGGAAATTTAGGAATTCTAAAATGTGTTTGATCTTCATCATATATCTAAATATCAACTTATGATGCAGTTTCAAATCTAATTTCAAGAATTAAGATTTTAGTTTATATTATTTATTATCCATTCCTGAAAATAATCTCATTTAGAGTATGCAATTTATATTGTTGGATTTATTTGTCATTTCTAATTTATGTGGCAATAAACTGAGTATATACAGCTTATATGTATAAAAAGATGATCAAAAACATCTAATATTATTTAATATTAATTTATAACTTGATTTCTTTTTAAAGAAGTCTTACGATAATTTATTATTTAAAATAACTTTAATGATTATTCTACCTAAAAATAAAGAAGTTTAGTTACATTATTGCTAATAATATAAACTTTTATACTTCTTGTTTCAGTTTAACAGTTTAAAATGTATTTAATTTAAATTAAGAGACACTTATAGACAAAAGGTTTATATAAAAATAAAATCTTATGAGAAATTAATTCGAAATGTTTTTATGAATTAAACTTACTTATTCTAATTAATCTAAACTAGGGTTGTTAAAATTATTATCAATTATTTGATTATAATATATAGTAATATTATTTGTGATATTAAATAAAGAACATCCCTTAATTAAATTATTTTTTTATCTTATAATAGTTCAACAGGATTATAATATGGCTTAAAACTAGGATTTACAATATTTTAAGACAGGAATTGTAGGATTTGTATTCATGTATTCAATGTTTAATTTTGGTCATTATTTTAATAAAAATAGAAAAACAAAGAATCAAATAAAAAAATTGAAATCATACCCAATAAAAAGTTTATCAGAAATAGCAACAGAGGTTTAAGCACGATAAAAGTCAAATATATACTTTATTGAAGGAATTCCTTAATAAGGTAAATTATAATCTACATTTAAAAAAACTCCCGTAATTTTGCGTATTAATTAAAAAACAGCACTTTTTTCATGTGATTCTTTCTTAGAGCCAAGAATATAGTTTGATTGGAGAGAGTAATATATAATTTAAAAGAATTAGGGCAAGCACATCATCAGATTATTAAATAGATAAGCTTCCATCTTTCATTTTAAAGGATTAATTAAGTTCATAAGAAGCTTAAATATCGATAAATGATGAAGTTGATATCAGTACTGCATTAATTAGTTTTGGTTTTAAAGACTAAAAACGTTCATTATCAATTGCAGAACATATTGGAAATTTTGCAACAATTTTATATTCATCCTTATTTAGAATTTTAGGACCTGCTTCCCTTATTTAAGTTCTTTTTAGAGATGGCTCATTTAAAGGAGTACATATTGGATATAGAGACAATGAATTCGGTATAAAAGCTGAGGGACTTTTATCAGTATTAGGATAAGCAGTATATGATACTGAAACAAAAAAAATAAAAATTATAAATCCATTAGCATTAACATTATCTAAGAACAATTACATTTATTAATTGGAGAAGAAATTATAAGAAAATGGAGTAGCTATTAATTTCTGGCTTATTATATCTTTTTTAAGTGGTTTATATATTAGTAGGAGAGTTTATGTATATAATAAAAAACATCCTGAAATTTTAAATAAAATTATAGCTTATTTTAATAAACTATTCAAAAAAGAATAAACTTCAAATATACAAGTTAAACCAATTGAATAACAAAAAGTATCTTTGCCAGATGAGAAATAGGCAGAGATTAATGAAACAGCCACAGCATTTAAGTGAAATATTATAAGAATTATTATATAAAAAATAATATTTATTATTACATGTTATAAAAGTGGGCAAATAAATTTAATTTCTTTAGTGGATTCGTTTTGGGTTTTACAATAACTTGGATGATACCAAGAAGTGCTTTTGATTAAATTGCAATGAAGTATTATGATATTATGGATGAAAATTGATATATTATATAAAATTGTTAAAAAATATTGCTTTGTTGAAAAGAATCACAAATAATTTCAAATAAATAAGCAATAATTTGTCACAAACTAAAATAATTATTTTTAATTAAATTTTTGTTTAGTAATGGAAGACAAAATAACATCCATAGTCTCAGATGATAGAATAGATGAAATATTACATCTAAATGCCACAAAAGAAGAATTAATCATAATACTAAATTACATTATTATGGATTATAAAAAGTTTTCAATGACAGATAAAATCTTATTGCAATCATAAAAATTACAGAAACTAACATTACAAGAATGTATTGAGAATCGTTATGTGTTTTTATTCTTACCAGGGGTAAAGAATTCTATGGATACCTAAACTTAAAAAGAGGTCAGATATACATATGAACCAAAAGAAGGAAAGATTTTAAAAGAAAAATATAGAAATGGTCGTAAAACAGAATCAACTGAAGTTACATATGAATAAATAAATAAAATGTTAGGATCCTTCAATTAGAGTACAGGAGCCTTTTTATAAAGCAAACCTAATTTTGCTGAAAGCAGATTTATAGCACCACTTTTACCATAAGAAGAAGTTTAAAAAAGAGAGAAAGTCTAAGTTAAAGGTGGATAAATGCAATATGTTTAATAATCGAGAAAAAATAAACCTGCTTTTAAAAATTATACTGCCGAAGAAGTTTCAAAACATAATAAACCTGGTGATGTATGGACAGTTTTGAATGGAAAAGTTTATGACATTTCACTTTACTTAGATTATCATCCTGGAGGAGTGGAAAAATTAATGCTTGGAGCTGGAAAAGATTGTACAAAATTATTTAATTAATTCCATTCTTGGGTGAATGGACATGCTTTTTTAGAATAGGACTATATTGGTAACTTAAAATATTGATAATTATATATATTATGATATATAAATTTCAATAGAGCAAATAAATGACCAAAAACATTGCAACAATAACTGCAGCGATAAAAAGTTTTGTTCTTAAAGCTCTACTTTCTTAATCTTTTCTGACTTATGTTGCCTTGACTGATAATAAATTGGTTTACTGTTGTTTTCATTGCACCTGCAAAAGTAGTCATAGTTTAAGTAGTATGTACTAAAATCTAAATTTAATCTTCTCTGTCTAAGATTTGATCTTTTTTAATTTTAAATAATATATTACCTAACGTCAAAGACATTTGATTAGCAACATCTGTTAATTATTTTTGTAATCTAACAATTTTTTCATTCTCTGGATCATTGTTGTAATAGTTCTGGAAATTTGCAAAATTATATTTATACCATTTTTGCTTTTAAATACTCTACAAATTAACTTTGCATTCCATAATTAATAGCTTATCTTCTAATATTTTCATTAAATTTCTCGCAAAATAATTCTTTGATTTCTTCTAAAAATGCAAAGGCAGTAGCTTTTGATAATAATGCATCTGCTAAACATAAATAAGTAAAATCGTCTTCATTTATATAATGAAAATGATAACTAGTTTTTAATCTAAATTTACTCATTACTTTTATTCGTAGACACATGTTTAACGGGTATTCTTTTTAAGTTTATCGAATAGTTTTTTTGCTAATGAAGGGAAATTACTTGTAACAGATTCATAATCAACAAGTGTAATATTGTTTCCTCTTACAATGACGGCATAAATCAAGGACATAGAAATTTTAAAATTATTTAATAATGAATATTAGAGGATTTAAGTTCTTAGTAGAAGCAGCAATCATTAATGTTTAGATTAATGTTCACTTTAATTGTAAAATATAGGTCATTCTAAAAAGAGGTATAACATTTCATTCTTAATTAATTCAATCAGGTTCATAAAAATTGGAAACTTAACCAATTTATGAATTGTAAAAAGGATAAGCAATAATTAATGAATCCTTGAATTTTACTATCTCAGTTAGTTTAGGTTTAGATGGAAAATTTGAAGAGAAAAAAACTCAAATAATTGTCATTTTAGTTACAGATAAAGGATAAAAGAATGCTGGAATGCATAACTTGAATTTATCCTAATATCTCAATCAATAGCAATTTGGTATGAGAATGTTTATTTAAAATTATTAGAATTTTAAGAAGCATTTCTTTTAGAAAAATGTCCAGATAAAAATGCAAAAGTTGTAGTTAACTTTAAAATTAAACAGATAGGAGAAATGGATTAGGAGTATTATTTGAATATTATTTAGATCGGAAACTACAGAGCATTCTCTTGACATGTCATAAACTTCAATTTAAACTCCAAGTAAGATAATTTAGGAATCAAAAAATGAAAATAGTGGTACACTATAATTTAATAAAATTAGACAAGAAGTAATAAGATTCTGATTTAAGACTTTAAATTTAGAAACTTAAATGCAAATTAAATGACATGATTGAAAAAGAACATTATCAAGAAACTATTTTAAATTTTGAATAACAATTGCAAGAGTTAAATACAAAACTAAAATCATTTATTAATGAAAATACAATGATTCATGCTTAATTGAAGGCAAAATCTTTTGTAATAGAATAGTAAGCCAGTGAAATAGCTTAATTAAAATCTTAATTAAGTGAATAAGAAAATGAAGATTAAGAAAACTATAAAAATGAATTAAGAATTCTAAATGATAAAAATAAATAATTGGAAAATTTAGTGACAGAGTAAAAATCATAAATAATTAATTTGAATAATATAATGGCAGAAAAATAAGAGAATAGAAAAGAATCTTTTAACTCAAATGAAAATAATTCAGTTGACTAATTAAATGAATAAATTGAAAAATTATAGATTCAACTAAAAGAGAAAAATGATCAAATGTAGAATTTAAAAAATTTAACATCTGGAACTATTATAGCATTATAATAAAGGAATGAATCTTTGGAAAAAAAATTGAATGATTAAAAAGAAATTATTGAGAAATTAAAAAATTAAGATGTATATATCCAATATGGAATTAGTAAACATTGAAAGCAATTTCTAGTAATGATTCAAGTATTTTGGTTGAAGAATTACAATCAGCTTTGAGTATAAAGAAACAGGATATTGAGACTTTATAGTAGAAATATGAATAAGAGTTGGCAAAGAAGGAAGAGATTGTATAGAATTTATAACATAAATTGGAAGAGTCATTGAGAAAAGAATTGGATTCTAGTAAAACAATTTAAGATTCTAAAAATTAAGCGTATTATTTAGAGAAATAAATTGAAGTGTAAACAAATCAGTAAGATAAATCCAAAGTCGAACAACAAATGGTTAGGCTAAGAAGTCAAGTCCAATAATGGCAATCCAAATGGGAAAACAATCAAAAAGTACTTAGCGATTACAATAATGAAGTATAACAGATGCAAAGACAAATTGCCGATGTTCCATCATTCATTGAAGATCAAAGAGAACTTCCAGAATAGTTACTCTTATTGAAAAGAGCAATATAAGCAAAACTCTAAGGCTATCATTAGTCTTAATAAATTTTAGAGTAGAAAGTTCAATAGTTGTAATAGGAGTTAGAAATATGTTCATATAAATTGAAATTGGAATAAAGTTAATAAGTAATATAATATAAGTATGGAGTGTTCTGATTCCTAATACCAAGAGTAGATGCACGCTTATAGTGAAGAAATCTCACAATTAAATTCTGCACTTCAACAGTATCAAAATATTATATTTTCTTAGAAAGACAGATGAATTAAAGTTTTTATCTTTAGAATCAGAGCAATCAAAGTAATAAGTAATAGAACTCTCCAAATAATTTGAGGAATCTAAATCATAACTTAATAATGTTAGGTAAAATATGATGAAAACTAAATAATCTTTGGCTGAAGCATAATAAGAGAAGATTTTAATCTAAGCTAAAATGTCAGAATATTAAAAATCAATTAAAGAAAAAAATGCAGAAATATAAAAAGGATAAGAATTAATTGCTGAACTTGAATAATATAATATTCAAATGGAAGAAACCATTTCATAAACCCTTGAATAATATAAAATTTAAATCTAATAAACTAAATAATCCTATGAAAAAGAAAAAAAATGGAGGTTAGAACTATAATAGTAAATCCAAATTCTCAAAGATGAATTATAAAAACTTCGATAAGAAGTAGGTACAGGAACTCCTTAACAAAATGCCTCTGAAAAATCTCATTAATGTAACTGCTAAGATTAACTAAAATAAAATTAACATTATATTGATGAATTATAATAATAAATTGCAGAATTACAATTATATAAATTAGAACAAGGAATTCAAAGAAATAGTATACATCAAATAAGAACTAGTATATATGCAAGTAAGAGAGAATCATTAATTCATCAACAATATGAAGATAAAAAAGAAGATACTGCTATAAATTAAAGATAAATTAATTAAAATGAAAATGGAAAAATTAAAGAATTGGAAGAATATATCCATCATTTAATAAATGAGAAAATAAAAGTATCAAGAGAATATCAAAATGAATTAGAAAAAGCACTTTTAGCTAATGATAAATTAGAGATAAAATATACTAGGTTGTTGTAAGAGTTAGAGCTAAGTAAAATAAAAATAGGGGATATCTTTAACGCTGCAATTGAGATTGGAGGAACTCCTTTAGTTGATAAACTTTAGATTGCATTCGGTATTTAAGAATGAATATATAAATATAATTAATGCAATAACAAATAGTCAAAGTTAAATCAATTCATCATAAACAAGCCCTAATATTTTTCGTTATTAATGTAAAACTAAATTTTAAAACAGTCCAATTACAGGTATTTCTATTGCTGCTTAAATATTGAATTTATTATCAAAACTCTCGAAATATTTATATATTTATAAATATCAATTTCAAAAATATACATTCAGATGATTATAATTCTATAAACTTAAAGGGGTTGGAACCAGTGCATTAACATATTTTCGCATATATTTAATTAATTATTATAAAATACCGCCAATTTATTATGAGCACAATAACTAGAGAGGAATATGCTAAGAAAATGAGAATGGTTTTATCAGACAAACATATATGTAAACCTGATGGAACTGTTAATCATTAATATTTCTTGGTGAAAAAAGGTTAATATTGGGGAGAGGAGAAAATTCAATTCCTAATCGAGTAATTAGAAAAAGTGGGTGTTGGAAATTGGAAGTTAATGTAAAAGGGATTATTAGAATAAACTGTAATTTATTTCATAGATTTATAGAGTGAAATTGAATTAGAATTAAGAACTTGTTTATTATTTAAAACAACAGATATTTAACCCTATATGGATAGAAAATTCACGAAAAATGAAATTGAATAAATAGCTTAGTAAAATATAGAAAAAGCCTAGTAGTTAAGTAAATTGAAATATGGAGTATTTGTTGTTTGATAGTTTATATACACTCAATTAATCAATTTATTACAAACAAACATTTCTTTAAAAATATGAAATTAATTTTGGAATAATTTTAATTTTCCTAATTATTTTAAAGATCAAAAAATTTTTTTAATATAAGAATAAATTACACTATTTTCGCATTTTTTCCCTGGAATTTGTACGCCTAAATAATTTTTAAATTATTAATTCCTTTCAAAACTAAAGTTCCTTGTGCGTTAATTTAATATTTAACAAAAGTCAAACTTGATTCTAAATTAATTATTTTTTCTCTACTTTTTAAATCACTAGATATGTTCATTGAAATTATGTTTATTACTCCTATCTATAATAAAATTTGGCTTTCATTTTATAAAAATAATTCTTTTCTTGTATGTAAAAAGAATTATCTAAATAAATTAGATAATTTAAAAGAGATTTTTTATAAACAGTCATTAGGAAAGGTAAGTAATCTTTAAATATAAATTTCTCCTAAATTTTTATCATTCTAATCTTTAGTAGTACTCCAAATAAAGAAAAGATATAATGAATTACAAAAGTTTTTACGTCATTATTCAATTTAATTTTATTATTAAGTCCAGTAACATAAAAGCTTTCTTTGAAACAGAATCTTGATTAATTTAGTATTCTGAATGAATGAATATTAGGTAAATTAATAAATCAAAATATCATATAAAAATATCAAGTATCAACTTTTTGTTCTTCTGCATCTCTTACAAATTACAATTTTAAATCAAAATAAAATTTCGTAAGATGTACTTATGCAATTGCTGTGCTATTAGCAATTGATTAAGGCTATTCGGTTGTTTTTTACTACTCTATTTATGGTATAGCTGAGAGAATCTTATTTTTTAAGGTTTAGCCATATTGTAAAATTGGTTGAACTATTTAGTCATTATATTGAGATTTGTCTTTGAACAGCAATTCTGTCTTAATAATAGTCTACACTCCACCATAATTCTTAATCTTAATCAAAGTTTTTGTCCAATTAAACAATTGAGTATGATTATTGTTTCAAGTAACAGCTTGTTAGTTAAAATTATAAATTTTACTTGTGTAGTTTCATGAGCTAGTAACTCTTTGATACTATTACAATCATGAGATTGATCTTTGTATATTAAATAATTGTCATTGTAGTATTCTAAGACTTTTAACTTAATCTTTAAAGCTTTCTCTGTAAAATCATTATAACATCTTAATATAATTTCTGATTTATTTTCGATTATGGTTGCCATTTGAGCACAACAGTCGAGCTAAATTTTTTTTTTTTTTTTCATTAGGTCAACAAGGAAATTCTTGACTGGTTTAGTTCCATGAAATTAGCTAAATCATTAGAATCACAATATATAAGTGCTGCCTTTGAAGTAGGCTAAGATTGACGTGATACTTAAGTTTATGAAGAGCGAATTTCAAAATACTCGGATGGTTTGGCTTTGCGTTTAGAACATTGAATTCCCATTTTTATAAAAAGTTTAGAATCAACTTAATTTCTATAGTTTATGAGTATATTTCATTGATAATATCAATAATTTGAATCCCAGTTTGGATCTCTTGCTTTTTCCTTTTTATAAGGTACGCCAATCTGGTTAATTTCTTTTGATGCTAATTTACCATGAATAATAGCAGATTATATATCCTTCTCTTAGATCATTCTGGATTTTTTGGGAAGAAAAGGTGATTTCAATTCTTTATCCATTAATTTATCCTAATAAAAATAAATAAAAAGATACCCAATCAAACTTATCAAACCAAGTATTCGCCTTAAGAGAGGCATAACCTCCTCCCAAACGTACTTCTGGTGTTTTGGATAATAACTACTCAATAAATTTTTTTGCTTTTTTATCTTTCATAAAAGGAGGGAAGTTTAATGATTTTTTTTGAATTTCTTCATAAATTTCATAAGGATCATCAGCATCTTCAGCATATGGTACTCCGCCACACATAAATTCATATAAGCACACTCCAATTGACCAAAGATCTACACTAAAAGTATATCCCTTCCCTGTAAGGATTTCAGGAGCCATATAATGAGGAGTACCAATAATGGTATATGTTCTTATTGATTTCTAATTCAAGAATTTTGCTGTGCCCATATCTATCATTCTTAGGTAACCCTTATAATTTAGTTTAGTTATACTTTCTCATCAACCATAATATTTTCTGGCTTGATATCTCTGTAAATAATTTGTAATTTATGTAAATATTCAACACAAATTAAAAGGGAACCGATATAAAATTGTGAATCACTTGTAGTGAGCAACCCTATTTCTCTAATTGCATCAAATAATTCCATTCCTTTTATAAATTCAACCAAGAAGTATATATAATTCTGATCTTTCATGCTTTTATAGAATTACATCAAGAAAGGGAAGTTAATGGTTGTTAGAACTTATTTTTCTTACTAATTTTAAATAACATTTCATTATTACAGCCAAATGTCTCTCTAAATGTTGTTCAACAATCTAGGCTTTACTAATACATTTTAATGCATATAGTTTTTCATCTTAAGCTGTTCTCACCAAATAAACATTACCAAATTATCCTTAACCTAACTTTTTAATACAAATTAAATTATCTAATTTCAAATTTGAATAATCCTTCTTTTAATGAACACTAGTTCTATTTAAATATTTTTATTCATGAGAGTTTTCATTTTTTTGAATCATTTACTCTACACTACCTCCAATCATTTCAAAAAACATTTTAATTTCAAACTCTGCAATTATGGCTTCATCTGTCTATACTTAAATTGTCTCAACAAGTTTATTATCAGAACTCTACGATTTTAAAAACTATTCTCCAAATATTTTGCCCTTGCCCAATATTAATTTTTTTGAGGGAATCTATAGACCTTAGAATTACGAAATAAAGTGTTACTGTAGCTATTTCTCCCTCTAATATTATGTAAACCTTTGTACAAGGCTATCCTGCTTTTATTATGATTTCATTTTTTTCATAATGAACCTATCTAATATTTTGTAAGATCTTCTCAATCTAAATTGAAGTCAATTTGCCTAACAATGAACTCTATTACAAAGCCCATTTTTAAGTATTGATATACTTAACAGTTTATATTTTTTAACCTAATATTCTCTATATATCATCTTTAGACAAAGATAAACATCTAACTTCTTCTTCAGCCGCTTTAACTGTAGCTGCTCTTTAACAACTTTAATATAAAGCAGCTTCACCAAAGGATTCTCCTGCATTCATTTAAGATACTTCTTTATCTCCCTTTATGATTGCCACTTTCCCTTTTTTGATAATATAAAATGAATTTGCAATATCCCCTTCAGAAACTATAATTTCTCCTTTTTTAAAAACCAATGTAATTAAAACACTAGAAATGGCGTCTCCTTATTCTTCAGTTAAAAAAGCTATAATATAATTTGATTTAAATTACAAAAAAATTCAACTTTCTTCATAAATTCCCGATTTTCTTCATAACTTCTCTGGTTTTATTATTCTACAACCTTTCTAAAAGTATTTCTATCTATAGCCCAAAATGCACAATCTAATTCATAATATTAATTATACCTCCAATAGCTTTAACACTTGCACTTCTAGGTGCATTATAAAGCATTGCTAATTCACCAAAAGCATCTCCACTTTTTAGAGTTTTTTTAAGTTCCCCATTTATTATAATCTAACATTAACCCCTTTCAATTAAGAAATATGAACTAGCCTTATCTCCCTACTTAAAAACAAATTGCCCATCAGGAACTGTACAGTAGAACATTTAATCAACAACATATTCTATGTCACTTTATGGTACAGATTTAAAAATAAAATGCTCATTGAAAGCATTTAACATTAATTAGTAATCAAAAGGAGATTTTCTTTTTTCAACTTTCTTAATATTTTCAAAAATCTCCACAGTGTCTGAAACTGCATTAATTTTAGCCTATTTCTTTTTATCACCACGTTTTAACTAATATTAATAATTATGATTTACTTCTATTTATTATACTTCTTAAACTTACTAATCTTCCTCTCCATCTTCTTCATTTTGCTTATGAGTTGTTTTTTTTGATACTGTTGTACCATTTTATTAAGGTATTGTTATTGTTTCTCCTTTTTTATTTACGTTCTCACTTCTCCCTGACATCAGCTCCATATTTTCAGGAGTAAATTATTAACAACGGCAAGCATTACCCATTTTTTTTAAATATATTATAATAAAAATCAATTATTTGTTACACTTTATGAAATATAGTTTTTGTATTAAATCTTTTACAGATCAAATTATACATTTATAACAATATTTAAATCTTTCTACACTTTTACTTCTAATAATATTGTATTTTTTAAGAATATAAATCTTTTCATGAATAACCATGAACATCTTATGAGATCTGAATATTTGGATATCTGCTTATTAAATTAACTTATACAAATATTTGACATTTTATTCAAAATTGATATGATATGATCGAATAATAGATAAAGAATTTATGTTATTAAATATTAAAATAAATTCTTTTTGTAATATTTACAAAAAATCTTTGCTATTCGATATTGTTGATAATAATAATTTATAAAAATTATATTATTTTTCATTTTATCCATTTGAATGTTCGAAAGGAATATAATGAGTAGAATTTTAAAAAAGCATATTATATTTATTATAGTTCAAGTATTTCTTATTATCATGGAGTTGATGATGGTGGACTGTAATCTCTACAAGCAACACAAGCACCTTTAGTTGAGTCCCAAATATAATTATAAAATGAATTAACTAAACAGTTAGAATAATCTAAATGTGAGACATCTTAAGCTTCTTAGCATTTAGCTCCATCCCACATACAAAGAATAGTTCCATCTTCAATGAAATTTTATCTTTATAAAATGCATGTACTTTCTGTTGTAAAATCTGAACAAGCAATAACTTAACATTTGTTATCTTTCCATTAGCATCCTAATCCTTACCCAAAAATAAAACATAATTCTTCATTAAGCTAAGTATCACAATATCGAATATCAATTATATTACAAGTATTATTGTACCAATAACATAATTTCCATTAAGTTTAAAATCCAGCACAATCATCTTCAAAATTTCCACATGGTGTTAATTCATAGTTAGAGCATTAGTTTCCGTTTTCTGTTGGCATGCAAAACTAATTTAAATCCTAATTTCCTATTTTATAGCAATCATAAGAGTCGTTCATGAAATAATCAGTACATTTTGTAAATTCAGCACATTTAGAAATATTCCATGAACAATGTGAAACTGCATTGCACTTATCTTTGTTATAGTATTGACTACAACTTCTGTCTTAACAGAGTGTAGTTCTCCATATACAATGCTCTTATTCTAAACAAGTGGTTTCATTTGGAAACTTTGAACATGTGCATTAATCTTTTAGAGATGCTGGTATAGATTGATTTAAAGCAATTAGACATAATAAAACTAAGTTCTTCATTATTTTATAAATAAAATGTAAATTTATTAATTTCAAACATAAAAAAAATAGAGAATTTTAGGGACATGTTTGTGGGAGAATAAATATAAATATAAAGAATAATAATAATATTTATTAAATATTAATTGTTTATTGAATATAATTGTATGTAATAAATAATGATAAATTGTTTAATAACATATAATTATAATAAAATAATAAATGTTTTTTAGAAAAGAGAGAGTGAAACTTCATGGGAAAACAAACTTTGAATATCGATCATTGGGTAGGAAAAGACCAGAAGATGCACCAAGATTAGAGTTTTTATCAACAGCAAGGGAATAAAAATTTGATGAAGTAATAGCAAAGAGATTAGCAGCAACAATATAAAATCCTCTTTCTCAATCTTAAGAATTTTATAAGAGTGCTCATAAAACGATGAAATAACATCCTTAAATAAGTCGACCAAGGTAGATAAATATAAATTATAGTAAGATTTGCACATTTAGAAGAGAAACAAAGACGAAAACCAGTTTGGGTTGGTGATTCATATTTAGTGTATACAAATGTAGAAGGTAGGGAAGATGGAAGATATCATTAAGATAGATCATAATCAAGTAATAGTATTTTGGTATGTCAGATACATAAAAAGCTGATCTTGTTCAAGCGAAAAGAGATGAACATGGTTAAGCAATATAGGAAACATAATTAGTAGGTATGGAAGAATATGCTAAAAATACTTTGGAAGGAAAGGTGGATATAACAAAAGTGAAGGAGATAAGAAGAGCCATTAGAAGAAGATATGCGAATCGTAAGAATTTTTAGAAGATTTTTACATTATGGGATGAAGAAGGAAAAGGAAAAGTTACTGTGAAGAACATTTATCATATGATTAAAAAATTAGGATTAAATATGAATCTAGATGAAGTTAGAGTTTTAGTAGCAAGTGCTGATGAGGATTTAAGTGGAGATTTAAATTTAGATGAATTTATGAATTTAATATTTAATGATAATGAAGCCTTAAATGTAGATTTGGGAAAATTAAAAACTCTTAATGGAGAACAAGAATAATAATTATTAGAAGGAGAAGATGATTAAATTTAAGATGTTTTAAGAGAAAAAATGTAAGCTTAAGTTGAGAATAGATAATTTAATTAATTAAATTTAATATTAAAAAATAAACTATCTTAACTGAATAATGCTTTTTAAGAATTAGATCCATCTAAATAAGGACATGTTAATTTTGAAAGATTTAGTGAAGCTATTTAAAAGTAATTAATCATTTTCATTTAGATTATAAATATCAGAAAAAATAGTTAATGATGATATAATTAAGAAGTTTTATGATAAATTTAAAAAGGATGAATATTAAATAGATTATAGAAACTTTTTAAAACATTTGAAAGAATTTGAATTATAAAGTTAGTATTAGTAAAAAGAAGAAAAGAAATAAAAACCAGTTATGACAATCACATTAAATCCTCTTTAAGAAGAAGAGAAATTACATATTTTTGATTGCACAAAAATTAACTCTCATCATTTGAGTAATTTAAGATAAAGGGCAACTAGAATGGTTAAGATATTGTAAAGATATTTACCTGAAAAAGATTAATTTGTGGAATAGATACTTAATCCCATTAAATCCTAATATATTAATGCTCCAGATCTCACTAATTAACTCCAATCTTATCTATAAAATTGTGGTGAAAAAATTGATACTAAAGATCTTGGAGCATTACTCTCTATAATACAATATAATAATTTATAAGTTCCAAAAGATATGATAGGTTTTTATGTTTATGAAGAAGGAGATGATGCTTTTTATGAAAGATGTTCTTTAAAGAGAAAAGGTCCTGCTCCATTAAATAAAGCTGTTGAAATCACTTTACCTGCTTAAGATACTTAAAAATCATCATTTTATGATCCAGGATTTGGATTATCATCTTTATCAAATAAGTTTTCACCTGAAATGGGTTAAATGTTATAAAAAGTAGAGTAATGTATCTTTAAAGCAAGTGCTCGTTAATATGATATATATAATTCATTTGATAAAGATAAAGATGGTAATTCTTAATTAAATTTTAGGTTATATTTCTCATGATGATTTGAAAAAGAAATTATAAGAATTACACATATTATCAAATAATGAAGAATAATTACTCATTCATTATTTAGATCCAGAAATGAAAGGTTCAGTTAATTTTTAAGAGTTTTCTTCTAAATTGTATCCTGGCATGACATTATATGATAAGAAAGGTAGTGTTGGAGTTGTTCCTTCTCTTTATCCAGCTAAAGAAAGAAATGAAAATATGAAAACCAAATTACCACAAATAACACGATCTTTTGAAGAAACATCATAAAGCATGTAATAATTAAAAGGAGCTACTCGTTTTGGTGCTACTCCTTAACATAAGAATACATTTTTAAATGTACAAAGGCCTCCTTAAGATTCTGCACTTTTTTTAAATGAAGATGGAAGATTTGAAAAGAATGCCCGTTTACGTTATTTAAGAGAAGATCAAGAAAAAGAAAAAAATATTTATGAAAATAAATTAAATCGCATTCGAAAACATCAGAATGAAATTGAAGAGCGAATTGAATCTAATTATTAATTGTCACTTTAAAAAGATAGTGAAAAATGTAAAGCTAAAGGACTAGCAGCATGGAGTTATGAATAGAGAGCTCATATGCAAAATGATTGGAAGTGATATATATATATATTTATTCTTGATACATCAATATTTTTATATAGATTTATTAATAAGATAATTTCAATCTAGTTTTCTATTTCAAAATTTTAGGATAAAGATTACTAGAATGATTGTTGTAAGTTCGATTGCATAGCTATCAGGTTTTGATGTATTATTTGTATTATTAACTTGTTTTTATATACATTTCTCACATCTGGAAGTTGCAGTATTCCATGTGTAGGTGTTAAGACTTCTGGAATAACATCTAGCTTATGAAAGCATGATTGGATCATCTTCACTACATTCTGATTCACTTTTTTAAATACATATAGTTATTTCCTTTTCATCAAAACTCAAAATTGGTGAGCAATTAGGACTATTTCCACATGTGATAGGTTAACATGACGTAATATCAGTATCATTTTTTCTATCAAAATCAAAACGGCAAACTTTAGGTTTTTTTAAACAAGCTGTATAACTTCTATTAGCATCTTCACATTTAGTCATTAATGAACAATTTTCTCCATTAAAAACACAAATTCCATCAATTCCATCTGATTCACAAGAAATCTAATTAGAATAATTAGAACAATTCATTTTATCTAAACATTTAATGCCATCAGAAATACAACCAGATTTTAATTTAGAGCAAGCTTCTGTTGTTTTTTCTATATAATCACTGCATTCTTTAATTCTACACTATTTTGTACCAGATTTTTGATTAATGGGGAAAGTAAAAATACAAGGGCCATCTGTTCCTTCATAGCAAGATTATTCTGAATAGGTTGAGCATTATTATTTATTAATGCATTTGATTCCATTAGTAGTACAATTTAATGAAATATTGAATTATGAACAATATTCATGAGTTATTTATGAAATAAGAGGAAAATCAGAGCATTCTTAAATTCTACAAACAGGAGGAGATTATTATGAATCCCAAAAACAAGTACCATCTTTTCCAGATGTATTGCAGGCTTCAATAGTTAAATAAGATTTGCATTATCCAATAGGGATACATTTTTAACCATCAGTTGTACAAGTCGAAGAATAATATTGACAGTCTTCTTTTTTGATACCAAATATATCTGAACATTATGTAAATAATTGACATCCTAACTCTTGGTTAGCTTATCCAATTACCCATCCACAAATACCATCAGTTCCTTTATTACAACTTATGACATTTTTATAAGAAGAACATTTGGATAATGAAATACAATTTTCTCCATTACTAGTACAAAGATTAGAATATAATTAACATTCTTTAAATGTAGTTTTTTTGATGTCTGAACACTAAGAGAATGTTACACAACTTTAAGTATTATTCATCCAAAGACATGGATGACCTTAATAATTAGTGACACATTTTTATTTAGCATTTAGATTTTCACAATTATAATTTTTATAAGTGCATCCATTACCTGATGTTTTGCATTCTGGTGATATTTATTAACAAAGTTAATCTTCAGTTATTGATAAAGGTGCATCTTCACAAACCTTGTCTCGACATCCATTGATTTCCCAAACACATTATTTTGTATATCCTAAAGATATTGCACTATGACATGTTTATTTGTTTAGATATTTAAAACATTAACTAATTTCTATACATCCATTTCCAGTTGTTGTACATTATGAATTTAATGCTTAACAATCCGAGTGTTTTGTTAATAAAACACTTGCATCTGTGCAAGTCCAATTTCTACATTATTTTGTAGTAAAGTCCCAACTACATTTCATGTCTTAATTATTTAAACATTAAGAATATTATCTTATTTGCATACAAAATAAAGTATTATTTAAACATCCTTCAATAAATAAACAATCAGGTCTATATTTACATAATCTATTTGATATCATATCGCATGTATTGAGATCCGTACACCCATAACCTGTAGTTTTACAACCTGGTCTAAATTGATTACATTTATCATCAGTATCATAATTATTAGGAGCATCAATACATTATAATTTTTTGCATTATTAAATGGTATTATTGATTCCTTTACATGGCTTATCGATAGCATTAAATAATGGACATGTTTTAGCAGAACCATAAAATGAAGAGCAAGTTCTTTAAGTTAAACATTAGAATCCATCACTAACACATCCTTCTAGAAAAGAATTACATTCTACATCATTAGTACCTCTAGGCATATGATTACATTCTCTATTTATACATCTAGTTTAGCTAGTGGCTTCACTTAGATTCCAACATGGTTTAGTGTTATTATCTCCTTTGAATTTACCACATTAAGCTTAAGTACCAAAATAACTCGAACAAGGTTCTGTATCTGGTATACATCCAATACCTTTAGTAACGCATCCTGGCATGAAATTAAAACAATCAGAATCAGTTTTAGATTTTGAATCATCAGAACATTATCGATCTCTACATATAATAGAATCAATAATACTATCAGAATAACAAAGTTTTTAATTTCCTTTAAATTTTGAACATTATTCAAGGTTTCCAACATAACTGGTGCAGGGTTCCAGAATAGAAACACAACCTTTACCATTAGTAACACAACCATCCATAAAAGATTTGCATTCAAAATCAGTTGAAGATTATTAATCATGAAAACATTCTCTAATTGAACATTGAGTAGTTGTATCAAATCCTCTACATTTCTTTCCATTACCAACAAATTTCAAGCAACTAGATTATGTACCTCTATAAGAATTACATTATTATGTAGATTCTGTGCAACCTTTTCCAGTTGTTTTACATCCTTTTAAGAATTAATTACATTAAAAATCATTAATAGCTGTTTAATTATCAGAACAAACTCTGGTTCTACAAATTTTATTTGAATTATTAAGATCCTAAAAACATTATTCACCACTTAGTGTAGTTACTTTTAAGCATTATTCACTATTATACCCAATATATTGAGAACAAAATTATTAAATATTAACACATTTAATTCCGTCATATGTACAACTAGGAATATATATAGTATTGATAGTTTAACCAATGTATTTTGAACAAACATCTAGATTGTATTTATTTTATCTATTTGAACATTCCTTTTTTATACAACTATTTTCGGTATTATAAGTATTTCTGATATCATACCAACATTAATTATTATTAGCATCAGTTAATTGAGAACATAATTCGTTAGAACCTAAATATTCATTACAATTAGTTCTTGCTTACATACATTTTATTCCATTAAATCGACAATTAGGTAAATGTTTAACACAATTATCTATTGAAGCATCTTTAATATAATCATCACATGATGCATTACTACAAATAGTACTTTAATATTAATGCCAACATGAAATATTATTTTTAGTAGTCACATATGTACAAGCTTCTTTGGAGAATCCAGTATATTCAGAACAAGTATCTTTAGCATCTTAACATCTAATTCCATAATATCTACAAGTATGTAAATGTTTAACACATTCTTCAGGTGAAAAGAATGCTAAATTATCTTAACAAGTTCTTTTAACACAATTTTTACTTGATTCTTTGAACCAACATTCCTCACCACTTTTTGTAGTTACTTCTTTACAAGCATTAATAGTAAAATTGGTATAATTTTCACATTCTTCTTATTCATCAGCACAGCTATTATCACCATCAAATCTGCATTTTTCTAAATGATTTCTACAATTTTTATCTGATGGTTATTCTATACTATCATTACATGATTTATCTGAACATGGACCATCAAAATCATTCTATTTCCAACAATTTTTTAAATATCTACATTCAGTTTGACTTAATGTTAAATAATCAGAACAACTATTCTATTTCTTTGTACATCTTACTCCAGTATAAATACAACTAGGATGATGTTACGAACAAATATCACTTGAATATTCTGTTAATTCTTCTGTACATAAACGATCTCTACATTTTCCATCTGTATTATACCAGCATCCTTATCCTGCTTTATTTATTGCCTCTTAGCATCCCTATTCTGAAAAACCCATATACATTGAACAACTTTATTATAACTCCTCACATTTATCAACCCCATTATATATACAATTCTTTCTATATGAACTACAATCACTTTATGAATGAACATTTGTTGCATCATTACATTTACGATTCCCACATTATAACTCTACTTCACCATTAGTACAATTATCACCATCTAAATTTACCAAAATTTAACATTATTCTTAAGAATATCCATAATATGCATAGCAAATGTTTTTCTATATACATTTCATTCCATCAAAAACACAATCCTCTAAATATTCTTAACATTCTTGTAGAGATAATGGATTTTATACATCAGAACATTTACGTTCTTCACAATAATCAACTCTTGCACATGGTAATTCATTTCCTCGATATCTTGAACATTGTTACTCATTCCCTTTATAAGTCTCACAACTTAATTATTTATTTTAACATCCTTTCTCATTAAATACACACCCTTCTAAAAACTATTAACATTCAAAATCACTCTATGCATCAATATTATGTGAACACTCTTTAACTACACATTGACTAGGAAATGTTTAATCATACCAACATTTTAATCCATTTCCAACATAATTAGAACAATCTTAGATTGAATTACCAAAATATTATGTACAAGGAGCAGTTGATGAAATACATCCAACTCCTTTATTAACACATCCAGGTTTAAAGTAATTGCATTCATAATTTTCCAAAGCTGTAGAATTGTCATAACATTCCAAAGGACGACAATTACCTATTTGGCCTAAATCTTATGAACATTTATTATTAAGAGAATAGCATTTTTAAGCATCTCCAAAAAATTCCTTACATTCTGCATTTTAAGTCACACATCCATATTTTCCTGTAAACAAACATCCTTCTAAAGTGCCATCACATTCTTTTTGAGATTGAGCATATAAATTATCTTAACATATTTTAGATCGACATTTTTATGTAGCCGAATTAAAAACACATGGAATTTTACCATTACTTCCTTTAAATTAAGTACAAGTATCTTCATCACCAAAATATTCTTCACATGGTGCTGATATATCAACGCATCCTTACCCATTATACATACAATTAGGAAGGAAATCTTAACATTATTAATTGTTTTTCTATTCGTTACTTGCATGTTTACATTATTTATCAACGCAACTAATTCCATCCCAAAAACATTCCACATTTGATGTATATCTCTAGCAAATTCCTTTTGTAGGAAAACTTCTACATTAATTAGTCACACATTATTCTATCCATTAACATTTCTGACCTCCTATACTAAGACTTCCTTGACAAGTAACTTTTTATAATGTATTTAGACAAGTTTCAGCTTTAATACATTTATATCCATCACTTAAACAATATGACTAAACACTCTTACACTCTTCATGAGTTTTTAGATTTGCATGTTAACAAGTTTTGACAGCACAATATCCATTTTCTCCTACTGTGCATCTTCCTTCTGTTCCTATATATTTATTGCACTTTTCAGAATCCCCTTTATATTTTAAACAACTTATCAAAAAAGATGTGCATTCAATACCATTTGAAATACAATTGTATTAAAATTAACCACATTCATTATCAGTTGATAATTAAGCATCTGAACAAATTCTAGATTTACATTCTTGAGATTCTTCAAAACTTGAACCTGTGCATTTTCCATCTGCTCCTATTCTTCTTTCACATTCAAATTTAGTACCTGTATAAGTATTACAATTTAAGAGAATAGTGACACAACCAATACCAGTTGTTTTACATTTAGACAAATAAGATTTACATTGTTCATCTGTATTATATTATTTAGGAGCACTTTCACATTTCCTAGCTTAACATTTTCCTTTCAATCCTTCTTCGCATCTACCACTACTTCCAATATATTTTAAACACGTTTCACTATCTCCACTATATGTAGTACATGGTTTTAATGCTTAATCAGTACATCCTATACCAGTTGTTCTGCATCCTCTTCTGAAAGATTAACATTATTGATCAGTATAATATGTGATAGGAGCATTTTTACATTCTTTAGATTAACATTTTTCATCTTTTGATTCACACAAACCATCACTTCCAATCATTCCATCACAATCTTTTTCATAATAATAACAATTTATTCTTTTTGTTCTACATCCTCTTCCATCTGTCACACAACCTTTAATAAACTAATTACAAGCTTCATCAGTATTCAAATATTATGGAGCTTCTTCACAATTTTCATCTCTGCAAATATCATTTTCCCAAATACATTTTTTTGAACCTGATGAACTTCTTACTGATGTGCACAATGATTTTGTTTTATTTAAATTACATTCCCTAGGATTTATACATTATTCTCCATCACTTGTACATTATAAACTTACTAATTAACAATCCTCATGAGTGGTATAAATATAGCTAGTGCACCCACTAAAATGAGTGCAAATTTATTTGAAGTAAGCGCAACCTATTTTATTTATACAAACCTCTTATGTTAAACCCTTACAATATATGCTCTCTGGTTCACTTTCAACTATTTATACTTCCTCTTTCTTTTCACACATTTCCTTCTTCCATTAACATTCTACATTTTATTAACAATCATTTTATGATTTTAATTGCATACACGAACAATTTTCTGATCTTTGTATTTTACAATGTGCTAATAATATGAAACCCAGCAGAAATAAATGATACATACTAATATTCATTCAATTTAAATATATATTAATGAAAAAAACAATTTTGTAAATATTCGCACTCTAAGGATATCCCTAATTCATTCAACAACAATTACAATAGCATTTTCAATTATTTTTATTCTTATTATCTTAGTTATTTCATTTTTTAAACCTTACAATAATATATTACATTCACAAAATCAACCCATATTATCTATTTTTCTAAATTATCATCAATTCTAATTCTTTAAACATTCCATTCCAATTATTTAATATTTATAAATCACTAATTACTTCTTAGCTATTAGATATCCTCCTCTTTCTTAAATATAAGAATAAGAAGTTTATACATCTACTACATACTATTCAAAATTATTCTTATCAATACATTATCATTATCTTTTTGTTATTTAAAAGAACTGCATGAAGATTTACCAATAGATCTAGCTGAATTAAAAAATTTCGAGAATTCATAAAAAAAAATGTAATGTTGTTAAATTTCTTGAATTTATATTTAAATATTTTTTTAATACTAATGGACATAGAAAAATACTTAGCGCGCTTTCCAAATTCAAACACTAACCTAAATAAATTTATTTAAAAGGATAGTTTAAATCTCATATGTACCTACATTCCACCAATAGTTATACTTCATAAATAATCATAAAAAATAGATTTTTCAGAGACTATGAGTCTTTTACAAAATTATCAAAATTATAATACTTGCGATTTTCGATAAAGCCATCTTGATTTTGATGGGAAAACATGTATTTAAATTATTTCTATTCAGTTTATGTTACCATTCATGATGAAAAGAAATCTATTTTAAAGGATGGAGAAGATAATGCTTTAGTTATTATTAATTCATAAAATATAATTACAGTTGGCTTTGTAGATTCATTTTCAAAGTGTAAAAAACAATTCCTCTAAACCTTATACCTATTTGATAAATTAAAAAATGATAATTATAAGTAATTGTTTTGATTATCTATTAAAGTAAATTTATTTAATTTAACTTAAAATTGACTGACAAAAATATTATTATTTATTTTTTATTAATGGATTTTTTATGTAAATAATTTTATATGCAGAATAAGCATACATCTAGTTTCTTTTTTTCTTTACTTAATTATTATGTGGATCAAAATTTTCGGTTAAATAAAACTTTACCAATCAAATTTGATTATTTCATTAAATAACTCATAAGTAGTTTAAGTAAATACTTAATCAGTTATCTAAATTTCTAGAAACTTAACTGAAAATTTTATTAAAGTAGACTTAAAAAAAATCTTAATACTTAAGGTAAAATTTTTTGTCTTGTTCAATTTTAAAATTGTCCAAAATTTAATATTCAATTAAAGCTGGAAATGTAGTATTTTTTAATAACTATATATAAATTTGAATAATCTTTTTTGTTCCACAAGTTAATTTAAAAGTGGAGTTTAATTTGAAACTAAAATTTTTAGTATAAATGGTTGTAATACTCTGATAGGAATATTTAAAAAATTGTATAGATTTATTAAACAAAAATTATCCACTAACATTAAATTATTACTAATGATTATAATTAATTTTGCTACCTATTCATAATATAAAAAAATCATTTGATATATAAATAATCTAAGGTTTTTTAAATAAAAGGAATTGGTTTTTAGTTTTATACTAGATTATTAAATTTTTTGTATTTATTTTGAGTAGTATTGTTATTTAATTTTATTAAACAATTGTAGACTACTTGATGATGAATAATTAATGATATATAGCTTAGGATAATTTTTAGAGAGTTGAAAAAATAGAAAGAATTTATCAATTTCTATATAAAATAGGGTNTTTAAAAGGATAGTTTAAATCTCATATGTACCTACATTCCACCAATAGTTATACTTCATAAATAATCATAAAAAATAGATTTTTCAGAGACTATGAGTCTTTTACAAAATTATCAAAATTATAATACTTGCGATTTTCGATAAAGCCATCTTGATTTTGATGGGAAAACATGTATTTAAATTATTTCTATTCAGTTTATGTTACCATTCATGATGAAAAGAAATCTATTTTAAAGGATGGAGAAGATAATGCTTTAGTTATTATTAATTCATAAAATATAATTACAGTTGGCTTTGTAGATTCATTTTCAAAGTGTAAAAAACAATTCCTCTAAACCTTATACCTATTTGATAAATTAAAAAATGATAATTATAAGTAATTGTTTTGATTATCTATTAAAGTAAATTTATTTAATTTAACTTAAAATTGACTGACAAAAATATTATTATTTATTTTTTATTAATGGATTTTTTATGTAAATAATTTTATATGCAGAATAAGCATACATCTAGTTTCTTTTTTTCTTTACTTAATTATTATGTGGATCAAAATTTTCGGTTAAATAAAACTTTACCAATCAAATTTGATTATTTCATTAAATAACTCATAAGTAGTTTAAGTAAATACTTAATCAGTTATCTAAATTTCTAGAAACTTAACTGAAAATTTTATTAAAGTAGACTTAAAAAAAATCTTAATACTTAAGGTAAAATTTTTTGTCTTGTTCAATTTTAAAATTGTCCAAAATTTAATATTCAATTAAAGCTGGAAATGTAGTATTTTTTAATAACTATATATAAATTTGAATAATCTTTTTTGTTCCACAAGTTAATTTAAAAGTGGAGTTTAATTTGAAACTAAAATTTTTAGTATAAATGGTTGTAATACTCTGATAGGAATATTTAAAAAATTGTATAGATTTATTAAACAAAAATTATCCACTAACATTAAATTATTACTAATGATTATAATTAATTTTGCTACCTATTCATAATATAAAAAAATCATTTGATATATAAATAATCTAAGGTTTTTTAAATAAAAGGAATTGGTTTTTAGTTTTATACTAGATTATTAAATTTTTTGTATTTATTTTGAGTAGTATTGTTATTTAATTTTATTAAACAATTGTAGACTACTTGATGATGAATAATTAATGATATATAGCTTAGGATAATTTTTAGAGAGTTGAAAAAATAGAAAGAATTTATCAATTTCTATATAAAATAGGGTGAATTGATTTATATATTAATAAATTCCCAAAATATGATGTTGGGAAATTTGGATGTATAAATATGCAGAACAACAACTAGCCAGTTGGCTGCATAAAATCTTGAGGAGACCTACATCATATAAAAGCATGTAGGATAAGGAAAATATGGGTGATTTAATACTCTATTAAGTAGATAGGTCTTTAAGGCTTAAAACAAATAAAATAAGTAGATTGTTGCCTTAAAAAAAATAAAGCAAGAGATTGAGGCGAATGGAGTAATAGTATATAAATAATTAGTTTCCACGAACTGCAATGAGAGAAATTCAATTACTTTCATCATTAAAGCATGAAAATATAGTGAGATTTAAGGAAGTTGTCGTATAATCTAGTAAGGAAAAAGAAGTAATTATGGTAGAGAATACTTATTTGGTACTGGAATACATGGACACAGATTTGCATAATGTTTTGTAGAGCCGAATAGTTTTTAGTTTAGATTAAGTTCGATGTTTGATGTTATAAATACTTGAAGCTCTATGTTATTTGCATTCTTAGAATATATACCATAGAGATTTGAAGCGTATCCACAACTATATTTTAAAGCTAATAATATACTATATAACGATAAGGGATAAGTAAAGATTTGCGATTTTGGAATGGCCAATGAATTTTCAAAAAAGAGACCATAAACTAAGAGAATATTAGTTCCCCAATACAGAGCTCCTGAAATATATTTGGGCCATGTATTTTGGTTTGTATTTAACAAGAATAGCAGTACGATTGTTCGGTTGATATGTGGTCAGCTGGCATCCTCTTTCTTGAGCTTATTGTAAAGTAGAGTCCATTTATGTTGGCAAAATCTGAATCTCAATGTTTTTCTAAAATTATTGATCTTTGTGGAACTCCATTGGAAGGTTAGAATTTTATTTTTTCTTTTATGGTGATTGGTAAGGAGTGAGTTCACTTCCACATTACCATGACTTTATAAATGGACCCAAAGAAAGAACATTGAGAAAGTACTTGCACGCTAATTAAGTTCCCTCGTCTTAACTTATCGATCTTGTTGATAAAATGTTAATTTTGAATCCAGCTAAGAGAATTACTGCCAAAGAAGCATTAAAACACTAATATTTTCAAACCAGAATCTTTATAAAGTGATTTATTATATCCTTAAACCAGAATGCCCAGAATAGAATAGGATTCATAGCCACCAAAAGATCCTCCAATTTAAAAGAAAGTTAAACAAGAGCAACAATAACCTTTAATTTAAGGTCTCAAAATTAATAAATGTATATGATTATATATTATATCTATATAAATATTAAGTAAATCAACAAATTTAGCTTTTATTAATAGACTTTTACAAATTATTAGATTATTATTATTATTTCTATATTTTATTTCTTATTTTATATAAAATATATATATATATATAAAATAATCAATCATTATCTTCCTCATCTTTATAATCAGGAAAATCTTCTTCATCTGCATTTGGAAAATCTTCAATATTATCTATAATTTTTGGAATTTCAAAGCAAAATACATTTTTTATAGAAAAAAACATATTATCATCATAGTCATAAGTAGGTTAAATAAACTCTATTTTCATTCCATCATCATCATCATTATATTTTGATTCTAAACTAGATAATGGTTCACTAGATTCTCTTTCATGCTGATAAGAAAAAGCTTTAAATAATTTTGTATCTATTGGAATATATTCAGTTGAATAATTATTTGAAAAGGTTTTAAATAGATCTTCTTTGAATCCATCAGTATTGAATATACTTTATGGATATTTTTTAATATATTTATATTAATAATCTTTTAATTTAGATTCGAAACTTATAAGTTTTTAAACAGTATTTTGAATAGTACTTAGTTTATGATTAGCAGCTAAACAAATAATTAATTGTTTTACTTCTATAAGAATCACTTGGATCATCTTTTTAACTAATACTATTTCTTATAATTTCAACTTGATTGAAGATTATATCTTCATTAATTAAATCTGCTGAAATTTGAATATCTTAAGATAATCCTAATGAATTTTAAGATTTTTCAGCAATAATAACATATTCCTCAATAGCTCCAATAATTCTAGAATCAATTCGTGCTATTTCACTTGTATTTATATTTGAAAATCCTTTAATATAAAGTCTTGTATTAATGAAATTTACTAAAACTTCATTGTTTTTCAAAAAATGATTATATATTTCTTTGAATTATCTTACTTCATTTATAGGCATTTTAAGTAATCTTTCAATTAGAATAACAATTAAAATGTATGAATTATAATACAAATTTAGCATAGTAAACAATAATAATTAATAGACATATTAATTTAATCTGTATTTCAATAATCCATTTTTATCATGAATTGAGATCTAAAAGTAAATATGATTGTTACATCTAATATCTAATTGAATAATTATTAACCTTTGTAAAACTCTTCAAAAATATTTTCAACCTGTTATTATTTAAAGTAATTCTTCTTTTCCTCTTTAGGTGTATTAAAACTTGATTTTTTAATTGAATATAGTGCAGCTTTCTTCTTCAAATAAAGATAATACTTTCTAATAAATGAATCCATGGATAAATTTTCTAATAAGTAGATGAAAGCTTTACTATATTTAGGATCTTTTTCAACATAATTTTCAACATAATTTATATTCATATTGACAATGTCTGAAACAAAAAATCTATACTCGATGCATCTATCTAAGATAATTAAGTTTTTAATGATATAATTCCAATAGATTTTAGATTGTGATGATTCAAGTTTAGCTAAGATAGTAGTGAATCCAACTTAAGGACGAGTTTCCGGATCCTTACCAGAAAGAGTAAGCATAATTGCTAGTCATGTTTTCAAGATTACCTTCAATATCAGTTTCATTTGGATAATAATAATCACCTTTATATGTGGCTGACAATCTAGCTTTTTCAAATGTTGAAGTACCTCCAAACTGTACTATATTACGAACTAAATTAGTAATCATTTTATATATGAAATAATTTAGAATAAATTTCTTAATAATCATTGCTCTCATCAATCCATCATTCTCCATTTATCAGAACTTACTACTTTCAATAAGTATTTGCATAATGTTGATTAATCAATACTTAATTTATCATAAATACTTTAACATTTAGAAATTACATATTTTAATGACATACTTAAAATGGATAGCAATGTATGCTTAATTATCTTAAAATTGTACATAATAGTAAATATGTACATAACTCATTTTACTTACTGAACTTGAATTAATGATTAAAGTTATAATTGGAATTGCATCTTCAATAAATTCTATCATATAACCAAATATATATGGATTTTATTTAACTATTCCATACATGATAGTTATTTTGAGTGTAGTTTTATATGATTATTGGAAATTAATTTAAGAATAATCTAATAGTAACATTCAACAGTAATAAACTAAGTTTATCAATTTTAAATAATAGTCTAATTAATTTGATAAACACTCATCTTAATTTTAAATTTAAGAAAATGTTTTAAAGTCTCCTGAATTAGAATGTCCTGATTAATAAAATAGTCCAATGGTTCTAGATATTTAATGCAATGAAGAAGAAGATGTTCTTGCTCATATGTATAATATTTTTGAATTCTAATCTTTAGGGCTTGGATTCACAATTAATCTATTTTAATTTATAATTAGAATTTTGAGATTACCTACTAAAACTTTTATTTAGGGAAACTAAATAATCGCTAAAGTAAAGGAGTCAACAATGATTATGAATAAATCTTTTTAGAATCTATTATAGAAATTGGTAGTCGAGAAGTGAATGACTTATTTGGAAATTCAGAAATAGATTTAGATTAAGATGAGTATTATATAATTAACTAATAATAGTTCCTTAATTTTAGATAGTACTGTACATAGTAGATATAAGATTAAAGGGGGAATTCAAAAAATTAGATAAATGGTAGCTGCTTTATTTAATAATTATTAAAAGTATTTCATTATATTAATCATATATTTTAGATGGAAATTCTTTACTTTTTACTCTCTTTAAAATAAAAAATAATGAACTAAATTTTAAAAATATCAATATCAAAGTATTAGTGACTGAAGTTAAATCAAAACTTTATACACTTTTTATGTTTGAGATTATGCAAAAAGTTTCATCAAAAAGAGTATTGGATGAACCTCAATAATTTTAAAATGTCTTCTAAACTTTCCTATCTGAATCTAATAATTATATTAATGCCATACATTTATTACTTCTTCTTTGTACTCATGAACATGAAAAGAATGCTGGGAAAGTTTAAAAAGAATATTTAAAATAAATGAGAATGAGCACATAAAAGTTCATGATTTTTTTAGGAACAATGAAGGATTTAACTTTGTAACTTACAAACCAACTAATTTTTAGAAATTCAACTTTTAAAGTTGCAGATCTTATGGATGAACTCTAATTGATTTATGATGATTGCTTAAAAATTAAAGAAATCTCCATTATTCCTATTGTAGATAATGATATTATTGTTTTTAATGATTCTGATCGTGTAAATTATCAATTATATTTAGACTAAACAAATTCTAAAATGTCTTTTTGAAATAGCAATTAAATATACTGTAGCTTCTAAAATTAGAATAGATATTCATTAAGTATCACCAAATAATTATTAATTTTAAATTAAAGATATTCCATTTAAAGAAGATAACTCAAAGTCTTAATATTAAGTAGTTCTTAAAAATACTGCATAGTTAATGAAAACGAATTGTAAAGATTTTGATATGAGTAATTTATTGGAATTACAAGTATCTGCAATTCTAGCCTATTTACTTTCTGGTTCACTTCGAAAACCTTTAGAATTAAATTTTGATAATAACTTTTAAGGTACTTTTACCTTTACTGTTGAATCTCTTCCATTAAATAGTAAACATGGCTATCATGGTTAATAAATAAAACCAAAGCGTGCATTTGATACTTCATTATCTATGTTATTGGCATAAGCCTAAGATAGTTCTCATTATAAAAATGAAGAATCAAAATATTTATCCTTTACTTAAATTTCTAAATAGTATTCATTAAAACCTGATGTTCCTTTCGATTTACAAAGTGCTCACTTTTCATAAATATCAAAAATTAAATAAGAATCTCCATAAATCAAACCCTTAAGTTCATAAGCTCAAAGTAATTCAGGTGGAACAAATAAAATATAAGATTCCTTTTTTCCAAAAAGTGTGAATACAAATAATCCATCTAAAGTTATTAAGAGTGATTCAGCAGTTAATGAATCTTCTAAACCTATGACTAGTGCTTTAGATTTTGGAGAAAGTACTAATCCTAATATTGATCCTCCAGAATTAAGTCCAAAATTTCTATAATCTGTGATCAAGTTTAAAATAACAAATTAATGTTGTTCAAAAGTCATTATTGCAGATAATGATTATTTGAATGTATCTGTTCTTTAAATTCTACTTAACAAATATGAAGTTAAATCAGATAAAGCATTTACACAGTAGTAAACTCTTTAGTATATCAAAAATAAATAACTTAATCCTTGTAGATGCAAAAATAGTGCTTATTTATTATATTTTATTGATGCCTCTTTACCAGTATGTATTGAATACATATATAGCAATCAGCCGTTGAGTTGATTAAATAAATTAAATAATTATTTAAGTCTTTACAAGTAGACAAAGGCTTTATAATTGCAATGGCTAGTTATAGTGACATGGATTTAAAATTGAGTTGCTTTAACTCTGGAATAGATTATTTTATTTCAAAACCTTTCGATTTGTTTGAATTAACTGCTATTCTTTAATATATATAGTTTTGATTAAAAAATAATTTATATTAAATAATAGAATTTTCTTTTTATTAAAATTTCTACATATTTTGATAAAAAGAATAAGGAATTGTTAAAAAGAATAATCTTATTGACATGAAATTTAAATATTGAGTTGAATAAACCAATTTTATTTTATACTCTATTTTGATTACAAAGAATAAAAATTAAAAAAATATGAACTAAAGAATATAATGAAAGAACTTATGGATTTTATAAAAAAGAAAGATTATTAAACATTTTTGATTTTTATCAATTTTATTAAATTTAGTGAAATAATTGTAGTTCTAATGATCAATTTGTAGATAACACAATGATTTTACCTAACAATTTATTATCACAAACATAGTTAATTATCGACACGGATTTCTAATTTTTTATTGGAATAGAGAGAGGTAGTTTCAAGTTAGTGTGTTATGAAGTTGAAATATAATAACATTATGGAAAATAGAAAAATTTTGATATAAAAAATAAATTCATATATTCTTGTTCAAAATAGGAGGTTGTTGATATTAATAAATACTAATAATAACTTTGATGAGTTTTATTAAATTTAACGAATAAATTTTTATTAATGTCTTTAGAGCAATAGCAATCTAAATAACACAAATTATAAAACTATTATCATCAATTTGAAAAGGGTTAAATAACTGGAACTTAATTGAAATCTGAATTACAAACTAATTTAAAAATAAGATGGAATTCCAATTTAGAAAATATTATACATCAAGTAGATCCATCTTATACAGATTTTGTAAGATCAATCAATAAAACTAATTAATATGTACCAAAAAAAACAACAGCACAATTAACTGAATAAATTAACTATCCTAAAAAAATAAGAACAGAACATATGTATTTTATAAATAAAATTAAAATAGAGGTCATACAGATTTACTAAAATGGGATTGAAGTATATTTATCTTTTTTATATGAACAAATACTTAAAATAATAATTACTTTTCTTATATTCCACTCAATAGATTATAATAAATTTCTACAATAGTAGATAGGTTATTGTAATGGTATTTATTTTTATTTTCAACTTATAAAAAAATAAATGAAAAATCAAAACACTCCAAAAAGTTCCGAAAGATATGGTAAACTGATTTAACCAATACGTAAATCACTTCCAGTAGGATTGTTTTCTAGTTAGAATTCTCTCTTTGCTTAAATTCTATCTGTAAAGAACACAGAAAAAAATAGTAAGAGTCAAAAACAGAAGTATTCTTAGACTCATTTTGAAGCAGCCACATAAAGAGCAGAAACACCAAACAATTAAAATCCATCTATATCATTCACAACAAAGTATCATTTACATAGTCAATCTCAAAAACTAAAAAAGAAATCTAATTTAATAAATAAGGAGTCATTTAAATCAATATATTCGAATCTAATTTGCTAAAATAAAAGTGCAGATATTGATAATTTAAGTTCTTAAAATAAAGAGAGTGATGATTAAGAGAGCAATAGAATTTATAATAATCTAAAATCTATTAATCAACAAATCAATACTATGAAGATTAATTAATTATCTCACTAGATTTTATATTAGTGCTAGAAAGCATTAACATCTAATTGTGAAAAATTGATAGAAATTAATTAATAGAAAAAGAAAACAGAATTATAAGGATATCCATAATTAATCAAAAGTGATAGTTCTTAATCCTAAGTATTTGATGCATCTGGTATCAATCTTGAAAAGTTGTTAGCTGAAGAAAGAAAGAATCGTCTTTTAGTAGAAGAATAGACTAGCAAAATAATATTAAGTCAAGAATCTGAAATTAAATCATATGTAAAAATATTTCTCCATATTTATATAAGATCGAAAAAATCAAATAATTAGAATAAAGATTAATTGAAAAGAATTCTTGGTAAAAATGATTTAATTAGATATATGTGTATAATAATTTTATTCCTCATTTTTAAATTTTTTGAAATATAAATATCTATTTTTAATATTCATGTCGAAAATTTAAAAACAAAATACTGTTCAACTTAATTTATAGAATGTTTAACAGTTTATTCCTTCTGTTTAAGTTGGATCATAAATTGGAAATAATTCTCCTAAACCACCAATAAGCTCAAAATCAAATAAATCACCAAAAGGGGATATTTCATTTAGAGTCATATCACCTTAATTGAAAATTAATAAAAATAACACTTAAAGATCAATAAGTAAGAATAGCAGTCCAATTGAAAAATAAATTTCATAGCCAGATAAACTACAATTTTTTGAAAATGAAAATGATGCTGTAATTGAAGATAATTAAGTAAATGTTTCAGAGGTCTAATAATTAAGTTAAATTAAGGAAAAACTTATCGATATGGGTGAATAAATATCGAATTTTCATTTAGTTGATATTAATTTAAAGGTTCTCAAAAAATGGCAATATCAATTATTGTAAGAAACAAAAACATTGATTCAGTTAAATAAAAATGTGATTAATTTATCACATACTAAAATATAATCACCGAGAACAAATTCAGTCTAAAAAGATTCGAATGAAGAATTATTAGAAAAATTATAAGTTGAATAAAAAAAAAGATTAGATTCAGAAGAGTAAAGTAGTAGAATTCTTTAAGAGTAAGAAAAATATATTTCAGTCTTGGTAATCTTTTGTAAATATATTAGAATTAAAAACTATTTTAACTTGAATAATAATATTCAAAAAGACAGTCTAAGTGATTATATATGTAATAAAATAAAGTTTTCAAGATAATGATAAATTTTATTTGATAAAATAAGTCTCAAAAATGAATAATAAACTCGAAAAAAAAGCAGTTCGTTCTCTACTTAAATTAGCAAGAGAAGAAGATACAACAAGTCAAAGAGACTGGGAACCTTAATCTCCTTAACATCATGATTTTATTTCTCCTCAGCCTAAAAATATTAATAAGCATAGAAAAAATATAAGAATGATTCCAAATGATAAAGCAAGATAAAAATCATCAATAGAAATAAATTAAGATGATGATTAATAGCTTTCATAAATTTCATAAAATGAAAATTCACTATAATAATTAATAGAAGAATACATGAAATAAATTCGTCATACTTAAAGATAAATGGAGTCAATACATTAATCAAAATTTGATTTGAAATCTGGTTGGGTAAATTTTAGTTCAATAATTCTCGAAAACAAAGAAAAGGTACCTAAAAAACATAAAAGAACATCATTAGAATTATAAGTAAAAGAAAACAACCAATAAAAAGTATAGTAATCTTAAGTATTGAAAAAGACACCGCTTCGAAAAGTATTAAATAATGATTCTTTTTTTTTACCAAAATTGAAGTCAACATATCTAAAATGATTCATTTAATATTTCAAGTTTACTCAAATTCCTTTCTTTTCTTCTTCCCATTATTTATTATCTAAAGGACATGTATTTTTAGTTTTAAGCCATTATCTTATGCAATGTTCATGATAAGCATGACCACATTTACCTTATTAAGTATTACAAATTTCTTTTTAATCTTTTCCTTCACATTCAATACATTTTTCCATAATATGATTTTTACAAATAGCACAATGTTCAACTTTTAAGCTCCAAGCTAATATTAGAATAATAGTATACACCAAAATGCAACTGGGTACCATTTTTTAATCTCAAATCTTCCTTTTTCTTCTTAATACATGGGTATTAAAAATTAATAATATATTTAAAAATATTGAGTCTAATATACATATGAAACATTATCTAATAAAATAAACATTAAGAAGATATTATATAAATAATGGATACATTATTACTCATAATTCAAATTGATTTTAATACATTCTCAATTATATCAAAAGCAGAATTAAGTTCAGCTTCATTAATTATTAAAGGTGGAGTTAATCTAAAATATTCTATAAAATAAATACCTCATAATAGTTTTATGAGTAGGTTTACAAAGTAATCCTTATTTAGCTAATTAAAGACAGAAATTCCATGCAACATCCCCTTTTCCATCTTAGAATTGAATGGCTCCCATTAATCCTCTATTTCTAATTTAAGTAACATTATTAAATTTCTTCAATTCATTTAATCTTTTTTCCATAACTTTTCCTAGATTATGAGCATTTTCAATCATTTTTTCTTCTTTTAAAACTTCTAATGCTTTAATACAAAGACTAGCAGCTAAAGGATTACCACCATATGTAGATCCATGTTCACCTGGTTTAATTTATAACATAATTTAATCGTCAGCTAAAACAGCAGAAATAGGATAAAATCCTCCTGATAAAGCTTTACCTAATAATACCATATCAGGTCTAACATTTTCCTATTAAATAATTAATTATTTATACATGTTCAACAGCTAACATTTTTCCTGTTCTACCTAAACCTGTTTAAATTTCATCTACAATCATTAAAACATTATATTTATCACATAATGATCTTACTTATTTCAAATAATTAGAATCAGGAATTATCACTCCATTTTCACCTTATATTGCTTCAAAAAATATGGCAGCATAATTTGGATTTTCTTTAAATTTAGTTTCAATTGCATTAATACTATATAGATAATATATGTTACTTATTATAATCTACAAGATCAAAATTTAAACCACCAAAAGGTCCAAATCTTTAATATCTTTCAGGATCATCACTACTACCACATGCAGCTATAGTTCTACCCCAAAAATTTCCATTTGCAAATAATACTCTTGCTTAATTTTCGGGAACCTTTTTTATATTATATGCCCATCTTCTAGCAAATTTAATTGCTGATTCACCTGCTTCCACTCCTGAATTCATAAATAACACTTTATCATATTTAAATAATTATGTTATATATTTCTCAGCTTCCCCTAATTTATTGTTATAAAATCTAATTATATATATTTTTATCTTACGCTCTTGATGTCAAAGTTAATTAAGATGCTTATTTAATTAATTCTTAATATATCTTTTCATGACAATGTCCTTAATTAACAGCTGAATATGCTGCTAAAAAATCCATATACTTATTTCCTTCTTAATCCCAAACATATATTCCTTTTCCTTTTGCAATCACTACTGGTAATGGATGATAATTATGACATCCATATTAGTTTTCTAATTCTACAAAGTATTAACTATTTTTAACTTATGAGAATCTCACAAGTGATTTGAACAAAAGATTTTTCATTAATTAATTAATACGTAATATTTTGATTATGAAAATTTCACAAATTAATAATTAAAAGTCATAAAACATGATCTTAATTGGTATTGATGTATTTCTTCTTATCTTCAATGTACAACGCAAGAATCTCTAATCCTTATATAGGCAATATAGAATTTGTGATTTCATTTGGAGGTAGCAAATAAAGAATACTATTTCCAATATATGCAACCCCTATTTTGTTCTTCTCTGAAAAATAATCTATATATTCTTAAAATGCTGTATTCTAATATTAGTTTTAGTTTAAATACTTAATTAACATCTGAAGGACAAAGTATAAATTTAAAAGCTTCATTAGCTTACTTTTTAGCATCTGGAAAGTTACCTTTATAATTGACTTAGATTTATGGAGTCATTGAAATAGGAGCCTATTATTTAATATTTATATATTGATCTACTTCAGCTTCTTAACATTTTGCATCTACACCAACCTTATGACTTTTACTTCTAAACATGAATCCACTCCAAAATGTATCCCAATCTTATCTATGTTATTATTGTTATTATTAAGTATCAAAGTTTACAAATCCATCTAGAATTTCTTGATTTACATTTTGATTAGAAATAGGTTTAATTTAGTATTCAAATTCATGAGGTTAAATTTATGGAGGAATATTAAATTATGTTGGATCTATAAATTGATGTTACATTCTTCTTTCTTGTTTAGACATTAGGAATTGTGGCTATTAATACATGACTTATTATTAAACGAAAAGTGGTTAATAACTATTTTAATATGGTTAAGTAATAGGAGGGATCATCAGCATTTTGTTTTATAATGGTTATTATGGAATGATTGGAATTGGTTAATATTATTATTATTATTGTTGTTACTATTGCATAGGAATTGTAGGCAATGATATTATTCCAACTTCACATTTTGAATCACCCAAAAGGTCTACTAAATGCTATTACAGATAATTTCTTATCTAAATCGCTTACTTTGTATCTCTAAATTATAGAAGTGTATATGATTTATAATTTGTATCCTATTACACATGATTCCAAAAGAGAGGTCGGCATTGATGATTTTAACATATCTTTTTTTATCAATTAAATAAATACTTCAAGCAAAAATGCATGATCAACCTTTTTATTTAAATTAGGAGGAAAAAATATAAATAATACTTATGAAAGTTTAGATTGTTATTCATTTTATAAACTAAAAAATCTAATAAAATTTACTTGTTGCCAACTATATTATGTCTTTTTATAGGGTCAGAAAAATAAATTTTTATTTAAGTAGAAAATTATTATTAAATACTATCCATTTTTTAATAAGCAAAAATAGCTTAATCTATCTAAATTCAAATAAAAAAAAGTTTATACAGTAAAAAATTTTATATAACTGTTAAAAATATTATGCTTATTAGGATACAGATCAATCCTCTCTATAGGACCAAATTATTAAAAAATCTATAATTTTCACATTCTATTACCTAGCGAATCTTCTATTCATCATAATTCTTGGAAATTCCACTAACAAACAATTCTCTAACGAAAAGTTGAATTTATATTTTTGGAGACGGCTCCAAAGGAGTAATGGGTCCATTAGTAAGTACTTATCTGTTTTTCTCTTAAGATCTGGATCTAGAACGAGATTTACATTTAGTAATAGTTTATTTATCAATCTAAGGTTTCACAGTCCAATCTCCTATTCCACCATCTTAGATTGCCTTATCAGCTGCATCATTATCAGCAAAAGCAATAAAAGCATAGCATGAAATATGTAAAGGTAATCCTTTTGTGAATTAATTCCTATACCTGTGGGTGTTTTTCTTATGATTCTAATGTCTATGATATTCCCATATGTTTAAAAGGCTTATTACAATTATTGAGTTGTGACATTTAAAGGTAAGTTAGCGACATGGATTTTTTATCTAGCAGAAATAGGTTAAGCAGGGTTAGGAACAGGTAAAGGATACTATGATGGTGAATTTTGAAATTGATGAGAAACTAAAGAATTATTGATCATAGAAAATTTAAAAATATTAATATCATTTTGATATTTAATACATCCATTTAAATTTATATTTATGTATTACTAACTCACAATTCGAATACTTGAAGAAAAATAACAAAATGATAGGTTTACTTTTTCAATAGTATTAATATCCTTTTCATAAATATATATAAAAAAATAAATTAAATGAATAACAACGATGAAATTATTTAGAAGTTGGACGTGATTGTTGCAAACTACTTAAATCAAAAGGATCATAATGGTTAACTGTTAACTGAAAAATATTCAGAGACTTACATATATTCTTTAGTTCAGAAACATTTATTCGATTATGAAGCAATTTTTACAGCATCTTAAAAATCTGTCATTGATGTCTTTGATTTTATAACTTCCTTATTGAAAGTATATTTACAACTATTGAAACTAGTTTACTTCAGAACCTATAGAGGATACCTTATTCATAATAGTATAAGCAATAGATTTCTTCAAAGCTATCTGTGAAGAATATTAAACTTATACTATAAAATTTAGTGATCTTTCAAGTTATCTTTGCAAATACAATCCTAATTTGGATGATGTAAGTATCCAATTTGATTTTAATAGAAGGATGTTCCTCTACAAAATAGAACTATAACTTATCATAAATATCCACCTTTGAAATAGTTCAATAAACCATAAAGCAGATAAGTAAGAAGTATTGATCTAGAAGCACCAACTATTCTTGGAACATTAGGTCATTACATGAAAAGAATCAACAGAGAAAAAATATATATAGATTCTTAGAAAAACTAAAATAGTTCTATTCTGAGAATGTAATACTAAGAATCTGAATTAAAAATACTGATTCTACATTAATATAGTGATTTCATAAGTACTTATAACCCTGATTGTACATTGCATAGTAGATTAAGACCAAAAGCTTAACAATTAAGAAACATTATTCATGATTTTTGTTGGTCAGAAGAACAATAAAGAATAGGAATAGTTTTTAAAGATGCTTGGATTTGTTTTATGGATTAGAGTGATTAATTTGAATTAGAGAAATACTTTACAACAAAAGTAGATTAACATAGAATTTATTATGTTCAAAGCAAATGGATGACAATTGGTGGTGATTCTAAAATATCAATATGGAATTTGGAAACAGAAAAAAGTAGTGTAATATCTCATGATCAAATAAAAAATATTGTAAATATTGTTGAAATAACTTATTTATAATTAGTATGTATAGCTTGTTAAGATAAGTTAACAATGTGGGATTTGTGGGAATATAGTAAACCTAAGTTATTATTTAAATTGCAAGTCAATCATAGCAGATTAAATAACATAGTTTTCTTTTAGGAATACCATTTAATTATAACTTCAGGATTTGATACAAAAGTGAATCTGTATTAATTACATAAGAAATATAATGATGGAGATTATGTAGGTTAATTGGAAGGTCATACAGCAATAGTAACAGCAATTTAATGTGTAGAGAAATCTCCAATAGTAATAACTACTGATGATCGTTTGATCGTAAAATTGTGGGATATTAGAATAATGAAATGCATCTAATCATTTGATTTAGAAATGAGATAATCTATTAATTACATAACTATAATGTAAAATCTATAAAGTGTATGTTTTGCCACAAATAGACTGATAGTAATGGCTTTTGAGGGTCAGAATAAAAATCTTACTTAACCGAAACCTTAAAAATAGAGAACCTTACACTTATTTCCTAAGCAAGTGGAATTAAATGCAATAAAATAATAATTGATAGTATCAACAAATAGAGATATTCGAATAATAAATTTATCAAATGGATAAACTGATACCATAATTAAGGCTATGATTGGTCAAACAGATGATATGATCAACCAATTTAAACGTATTATATGTCAATATTCAAAGCAATTCAACAGCATAAAAAGATTGTTCTTGGGACAACAAAAGGACTAATTAAAATATTTGATACATACTCTGGAGATCTTGTAAAAGAATATTAGAATAATAGTAATAAAATAACTCATCTTTCTATTGATTATCAAAATAGATTAATTTCAACATCATCATTAGATGGTTAATTGAGTATATATAAGGAGAATAATTTAAATTTCGAATGTTTAAGGAAAGCTGAAAATGTTCACAATGGTATTGATTATTGTTATGTTTCATTATTTCATGATTTAATAATAACAGCTGGAGTTGATATAGTATGTTTATGGAATTTGGAATTTACAAAGCCAATCTCTACAATAAGAACAGAATCAGCTCCAAAAGGAGTTCACATTTTAGATGGTTATCGTATATTGATAATTGGATGTAAATCTAATACATATTTTCTCTAATTTGATAAGAGTGAAGATTAATATTTCTATTAATAGATAGGATTTATTCCATAGAGTTGCTGTGCTTTTACAGATAAAAATGGAATAGTTCTCTTAGGATCTAGAAGAGGTTTTGTTTGTAAACTTCAATTTAATACTAATAAATGTTAAAAAGCATAGTTCCATCCTTTTAGGTAAAATTGGGAAGATTATAATATTGGTGTTAATAATCATAAAGTTACAAGATTTGTTATTAATACAACTCATGAACTTAAGGTAGAGTAATTAATTGAAGTTCATAAAAAAAGAATATAACATATAGATTATATATCTTTAGAAGGGGATAATATATTAAAAGAAAGTCAATGTAAAGTAATTACAACATCTAAAGATGGCTTTTTAAAAATCTTTGATTATCCTTCATTTGAATTAATGTGTGCTTTGAATGTTAATCATGTTCTTCCAATTAAATGGTCTATAAATGTGGATGTACATGAAATTATGAAATTTAAAGTAGCTTTTGCATTAAAAGTAATACACTTTATAAGATCTTAACCTAATTTAACAATAAGTCATTTAAGAATGTTAGAACCAAACTCTATTTTTAAGAATTTATTAGCTCAAAAGAAATTTTTTAAATAAAGTACGAATGATAACAAAGTTGAATTATTATAAGATTTTTATGAACCTAGAGATTTAGTATTTTAAAAAGTAAAAGAATTTTATAAAAGTGAGTTATAAGGACTTTCTTTAAAATAAATAGAAGAAAAGAAGAAAGCTTTACTTTAAGCAAAAATGTTTGAGAAAGATTATAATGAATAGAATTTTTAATCAGAATAGAAATAAAATGAAGATATGGGAAATAAAGAATTTAAAGGTTGGTAATAATTTTTACATCCAAATTTCAGAAAAAATGGAGTATAAGGTGAAATTGAATAGATTGAAAGATTACATATGGTACATTAATTTGAAAAAAGATTAGATTAAGTTTTAACAAAAGAAGATGAAACAAATATAAAACCAAATGTTTCAGGAAGAAGGTATTCAAAAACAAAATAAGAAATTTAAAATAAAAGTGCTAATAAATCAACTAGATTAAGATCCACTCTACCTTTTTTTCAATATGCAAGTGATAGAAAATTAGCATCAATTCCTGCTTCAACTGATACATCTCAAAGATCTACTCATGTTGGATATGATACAATGAGAGAAGAATACTCTAAAAAAAGAATTTAAAGAGTTTAATTTTTATCATAAAATATAGGTTAATTAATTTCTGATTTAGATTAAAATAAAAAAAAATAAGGATTAGAAATAGGTGAAAATACTATGAGAAAAACTAGTGGGTAAGTATTTAATTAAATTGTTAATAAATTAAATGAAAAAGTAAGGGATTCAAAATTTAAGAAATATTCTAGAAGTATGTGTAAATAAGATTTAGAAGGAATTCTAATTGATGCTCATTTAGATTCTATGTATTCTAAGTAATCTTTAAGGAAATTACCCTGATTTCAAAATTTAAATACATTTTAATTCATTTTTTATATGTATATATGATAAATCTAAAGATTATCATGAATTGATATCATATGATAATTATAAAGAAATAACACACATTTAAATTAATTTTATTATAATCAAATGGGAATCACTTGTTCTTGTCAATAGAAGATAGATGATGATATAGATGATTATCAAAGTCTTGATAAAGAGGATTAGTAAAAGTAGGGTGATCTTGTTTAGAATGCTGATAAGATTGAAGTAGAAGAATAAGAATAATAAAAAGAATAACAAACTATAGATATAGATCCAATTTAACTAAAATCATATGATATTTAGGATAATTGTCCATAAGGATTATAACCATTATCATATTAAGCATAATAAGAATTTATTGATTAATTTCCAGTGGTTGTTAAAAAGTAACTTCAAAAACTACAGAAACTTAAAATTAACGCAGCATTATCAGCTAACTATAAAAAAATACCTCATATAGATACTCCGTAATAACTCTATCTAAAAAATTAGTTATTAATTATTGAATGGAGATGTTTATGTTGGTTAATGGGCTGAAGGGAAACCCTTTGGTTTAGGAAAACTATATTACCTTGATCATTAGATATATGAAGGTTAAGTAATAGATGGAGTTCCTGATGGTGAAGGTAGAAAAATATTTAAAGATGGTTCACGTTATACTGGTATTAAAATGATTATAGTTTGAAAGGTTAATTTAAAATGGGAGAGATAACAGGGAGAGGTATATTTTCAAGATAGGATGGTTTTACTTATGAAGGTGAGTTCTTATGTGGTAGACCTGATGGAAATGGAATAGAAACATGGCCAGATAATACTACTTATTAAGGTTAATATAAATTAGGTAGAAAATATGGAAAAGGAACTTTCACTTGGGGTAATAGAAAGAGTAAGAATACAGGTAGATAAGAAACATATACTGGTGATTTTAAAAATGATGAATTTCATGGATTAGGTAGATATGAATGGACTGATGGAAGAATTTATGATGGTGAATGGGTAGATGGTAAAATGGAAGGGAAAGGAGTTTTTATATGGCCTGGTATTTATTTATTATTTATTTTGTAGATTAAAGAAAATATACTGGACATTACTTAAAAGATATTAAATCAGGTTATGGAGAATTAGAATGGCCAGATGGTAAAAAATTAGCAGGTTAATGGAGAATTGGAAAATTGAATGGAATTGTTACTCTTACTATTAAAGGTAAAGTTAAAGATGGATAAACTGAACCTGATAAAACTTTTCTATCTGAATGGGAAGATGGTAGAAGAATTAGATGGATTGATAATTAAAAACCTAGTGGAATACATAGCAATATTAGCTATTTAAAAAACTTTGATGAACATTAATAAAATACTAGCTAAATTTTATAATCATAAATTAGATAAGATGATATTCTATCTAATAATAAAGATTCTTTGTTAAATAATTCTAAAAATTAATAACAAAATACTATTTTCTAATAAAATAAATAAAGCAATCTTTAATAATAATAATAATAATAATAAAATATCATTCTTGAAAATCAAGACAATTAATCTATGAAATAAAATTAATAAGAAATTGCCAGTTTAAAAATTGAGGAAAATCAATTTTAATAAAATAATCAATCTCATCACTAAAATGAAAATCATAGTAGTGAAGCTAAAGATCTTGATTAAATATAACAAGAAGGTTAAAAATAAAAAACAGACATCTGATACAATTTATATTTATATATATATATTCATAAATACATATTTAAAAATCAAGATATACTTAAAGTTTTTACTTTGTTGGTTGGTTTTTAAGGCGTTTTTTTAAAATCACTATTAGCTTAAGTTCTCATTCTAATATTTTTTTTAAATGGCATTAATAAGTTTGATTTTTCATCATATTGTTTTGAATAAAATTACTGTACAAAAGATTTCATTGCATCATCATCAACTGAATTTACTTATAAAGTTTAAGCATTAGTTGGAGTAAATAAGTATTATGTTGAGTTAAATTCTTCAGCCAAATCTATTTTTTAATGATTTAATTTTAATAAAGACAATACTTCAGGTTTTTATTTAATCTTTTCTAAATCTTCTCCTAATGGAGCTTATTATTACAATGCCATTATGAAATTAGCTTCTTTTTCAATATTACTTATAGTCCCCATTCTACGAAAAGTCCTAGCAGTATTAACTTTATGAGAATTTTCTGTTTTAAATTTAATGTCCTCTTATACAATAGGATCAAAATTAATATGCATCAAATCTTATTTAGATCCTTATCTACTGAAATAATCCACAAGTGCATAAAACTTCATATCACCAAATTCAAAATATTTCTTTGGTTTTTATTAACTTTCTCTAAGCTCTTTTGAAATATTTTTAACTCTTTCTAAATAAGTTTTACTAAAAACATTCAATTTTGGAGGTCTTAAAGAATCAGCATACTTTTTAACAGCCAGCATTTTTTAGAGAAGCATTGTATTTTTCTTTTTCTCATATTCATTATATTATTTAAGAATGGCCATTTCAGCAGGTGTAAATTTTTCATTCAAATCTATACAATAAAATAAAACTTACCTGCTGATTCTTTATAACCAATACCTAAATCGTATTTCATAAGGAAACCATGTTACCAACCTTTTTGTCCCAATAATCTGTCTGGTTAAATTTTCAATATCTTGTGTCCAGGTGGGCCAATAAAGGATTACGTTTAATCGATCTAATTTAATGTGACCCTACTTTGCAGAACTGCTTTCGACAAAATTTTCTAGCAGAAGTCTTCTCACAACCTTCCTCACGTAATTTAAGGTACATCATGGCATTACTGTTATATGATGCATGAATTCGAGTACACATAAAAAAATTAATTAATGATTAATCAATAATCAATATCATCTTATAGAAAATAAATAATAATTCAATAAATTTATAAATAATCATAAATTACAGAACATATATTTGAAACATCTTTTATTAATTTTAGTTCTATTCAATATTATTATTTTTTATTCATTTTAATTTAAAAAAAATCAAGATCTTTTAACAAGAAAACTGATTTAGAACTTATTTTATTTAAAATTAATATACTTTTATTAATACTTATAAAAGAATAAATCAATTCTTTCATTAAAGTATTAATTATTTTAAACAATCCTCTTTTTTGAAATATTTTCCCATTAAGATTTAATTTACTCTAAAATAACAAACTAGTTAAATTTCATTATATTCTATTAACTAAAGTAAATATGCTATTAAAAAAATAAAGGAAGTATTATTATTTTATTTTATAATTAAAAATTATATATGCCTCCAAAAAAAGAAGAGAGAAAACCGCTGGAACCAATGTTTCAAGTAATCCCACCTTTTTATGAATATATTGATTATTCAAATGAATAAATGGAGTAATTGAATGAATATCTAAATTATTTCAAACCTGAATTGAGTACTATGATGAAAAATAATATTTTCGATAATATGGAAATTTTATGTTAAACAATAGGGATTGCTATTCATCCTTCATTTATTAAGTAAACTTAAATGATTGATTTAAATGATTTTGATGAGAATACAAAATTTAGAAATCCTGAAGAACTTGATGGAGATTAAGTTCCTTAAATGATTCAAATAAATTCTGTAATTTTGATTGTTTATAGTAAAATAGATAAGAATAGATCTTTATACATTAAAATTATTGGATTATTGTGCAGGTATAAGTGGATTGAGTACAATAAAAATGACAAATAATGGTTTAACAGCTCAATAATATTAATAATTAGCTGGAACAATCAATAATCCTGAGAATAAAATAAAAAAGTTGTTTATTGATTGGTAATAAGTTAATGAAAACTTTTTATAATAAATGTAATAGATCGAATTTTTAACTTTAAGATCTTGTTAATTAAGTATAATTATATTTAAGTATATTATAGCAACATAGTAAATTTAGGCTCTAACATTGAATGTTCAAAATTTAAAATGCTTAGATTTATATGATAATAAATTATCAAAAGAATCTTTAAATTTGTTAGGAAAGATGTTAAGTTAAAATAGTTTACTGGAATATCTTGGTTTAGCTAAAAATGGAATACAATCTTTTGATGATTTATAAGGAATAACTTAAAATATAGGAAGATTTCAAATGAATTAAGAAGATTATGATGAATATAGAATAAAAGAGAAGGAGAGAGATGCAATAATTGAAAGAAATAAAAAAGTAAAGAAAAAAGGAACTGAGGAAATTGTGCCATTCTTAGAACCAATTTAATAGATTGATAATAATTGGTATTTGATGAAGAATTCAAGATTATGGTTGATAAATCTTTCAATGAATTAGATTGATGATTAATCTAGAGATGCCTTAGAGAAATTCTTACTGTAAACAGGAGAAAACTTTTAATTAGTATTGATAGGAAATAGATTTGATGACTAAAAGGCATTATAGAAAACAAAAAAGAAGTTTGGAAAGAAATTAGTATTATGATTCTATTTATTTTAACTCAATGAAATCAACAAAAGCCAGACAAGTTACAAATTCATCTCAAATAGAAACTACCCTGAACAATTAGAGTATTTCTTCTCGTAAGGTCCCAAAATTGCCATATTTGTACACAAAACATAATCAAGTTCTATCTACATCTCGGAAACTCTTATTGGAAGAGAATTCAGTTCTTGTTCAGTTAAATGGTTAGAAGAAAGAGTTGCTAAAATTGATTTATGATAGATAATTGGATGATGCTATAGATAGTAAGTCATTCTCACAATAGTGTAGCAACAAAAAAATTAGTATAGTAATGTATTGCGTATGATTTGAATATATTTGGTAAATCACTTCATATACTGGCAGACATGTATATATCTAACAGAGAATTTGCTAATGGATTATACATTTACAATGTACTTCGTGTATTAGGAGACGTTTAAAACAATTAAACTCTTAAAATTGATGCTCTTATATAAATGGGAGATTTGTGTAAATTATAATAATCGTATCAACTCAGCAAAATATTTCTAAAAAAAGCACTTCAATATGTTTGGTATTTAAATGATACTGAAAATGAAGCAACTATTTATGATTATTTTGGTGTTCTTTATTATGTATAAGGAGAATTAAGATTAGCTAAAGAATATCATGATAGAGCAATGAATTTTATTAGAGAATCTACTGATAGTGCTGCACGTAAACATGGAATTGAATATGTAAAGACATACATTAAAAGAATTAATTATTAATCTTAAATTATGAATAATATGGTTTTATCTAAATTAGGTTTAATTTAAGGAAATGATACAGACATTAAATTAAATACACTTCTAGATTTTAATACTTTATCTGATTAAATTTTATAAGATTATGAATTTTAAGTTGAAATGTCAACTCCAAATAGACCTTAAAGATGTATAACTAAAAATGGAATACTTTAAAATGATGTTGATATGTTTGAAAATGTCAAAGAATTACATGAAAGATAAAAAAAAAGAAAATTTTTTGAAAAAAAAATTCCTGTAATGCATCTCACAAGATCAGTTTTTAAATAAACTATAGAAGAATAACTTGAATAACGAATGAAAACAGATAAATCAAAAAATGTATTAATATATTTATTTATTTTAATTAGTCTGTTGAAGAATTTAAGAAATAGTTATAAAAATTTCACACCTATAAAAACTTTCCTGAAAAATTAGAAAAAGTTAATATTAACCATCTTTCTCCAAATAGAAATCTTGTTGGCTTTAAATATAGTTTTAAACCTATGCGTCATTAATTGCTTGATTTATTTGGAGAGATTGAATAATATATGTATTTACATTCATCCTGATTTTTTTTAATTTTAATTTTTGTTTCTACCTATAAAAATTATAACATAATTATTAATTATTGTTCTTATAATAACAATAATATATAATAGTATTTTCAAATTATATAATTGTTCATTCTATAGTTTACATAATGAAAATAATTATTGCTTGTATTGGATTTAAAGTAAGTTTGAGTAAGGATGTAATCTAAAAAAAATGATTGAAATGTCTATAATATTAAATATTTAATTTTGGATATGAGAAGATTAATTGTCAACTAAACAAGAAGCAAAACAGTTGCAGCTCGTCCAAGTGTTAATTTAGATAGAGTCAACAAATGGTTGTAAACACTTACTGCTAAAGCAAATACTTTAGAGAGCAGATTTTATACATCATAATTAAGTTCCTTATTTAATTACTATTCAAAACCAACAACAGGTGCAGCTTAAGTATTACATAATTTAAATTAATAGGAAATTGATTGGAATTACTGGAGAGAATAAATTACAACAGAAGGATTAGTTGATAAGGTTCAAAAAGGTCATGATACTCTCCTTCATAAAGAATTTGATGTTGAACGTATTTGTCATCAAGTTGTTTCCAGTTAAAGCAAAGAATTAGAAGACTTAGAAAATGAACTTTCCTTCCATAGTGCTGTTTGGAGCAATTACTATTTGGATTAACATTTAGCATTACTAGATTTAGAATAATATGGAGATAGAAACGATTACGTCAGTATTCTTATTGAATTAATTAATAGTTCATGAGGATTATGATTTTTATCCTGGATTAGAAGCTGATTTAGAAGAATTAACAGAAACTCATAATTGGATTCCTGGATCAAAGGATGATATTAACTTAAAGGGTTATATGGTATCCTAATTCTAATGGGGAAAAAAAATCATTTCATTCTATAGACATCCTTGTGATGACTTTAAAGCTGCAAGAGGTACCAAAAACATCTTGGGTAGATGAGATTTATACATAATGCAAAATATTTTAAAAACAATACAATATTTTATTATCACTTGTTATTAAATTTTATGTAAAGTTTATTTCCAAAAATACTATTTCTATTTATTAATTAATAACCTTTTTTATACCTTTACTTTGATTATCAAATCAGAAATTATATTATTCAATTTTACTATACTAAACTTTTGTATGAGTAAAATTTATAACAACATTCAAATTTCTTTTTATGATACTGTTACAAAAATAGTATTGTTAATATTAAATAGAATTGAAAAGTTTACCATTAAAATTTTTAATTGTTATTACATCTATATAAAAATCATTTTATTCAACATGCCATTTTATAGATGAGAAGAATAATTTGTTTTATAAATATCATGATTTAAAAATAAAATTATTTTGCTTCTGTTAAACATTTATTGGGTTGAAATGTAAATCTGCAAAATATATAATAATTTGAATTAATTATGTCAATTTTACTTTTTTTCATATTCTATTGGATAATTTTCATCTTAACAAATGTAAACTTAAATTTCATTATTTAAAGATTGAACCTTTGAACTATTTAAGTATACCTAATAAGGAAATTCAGGATTGTTTTCTAAGACAGTTTCTACTAATGTGCCTTTAGGAGCAGTAACAATGAAGAGAGTTTCACCTTTATGATCAATTTATTAACTTTTTGAAAGCTCTTTAAAATCTTCTTGGGTTAGAAATGTATATTTCATAATTTCAGGTTCTATCTAAAATTTGTCTTAAAGATTTTTTTATAAATGTTCGATCCAAAAATCATAAGTTTTTTCTTCATTTTATAATAATTCTAATTCTTATTTAATCAATAAGAGCTCAGTTTCTAGTTGTGGATCATCCATAGCACCAACCCATCTAATTTTGTTTTTTGAGATTTTTTCAATGTATCCTATTCCTTCTAAAACATTTGTAATATCATAAATTCTTCTTTTTTAGACTCCTAAATCGTTTACAGCCATATTCAAATCTATTGTAAATTAATTTGAATTTTATATAAGTTCAACAAACTTTTTAGTTAAGACAGATAAAGAATTATCCTGTCGAGTTTTTAACTTTCCACTACTTTTAAGGTCATCATCGTTAGATTCATTATATGAATCTTCATCGCCAGAATACTCTTCTTGTTTTATTTTTTTTTCTGATTCCAATTTGATTTGTTTTCGCTTCGAATTCATTCAATTATTAATAATTTTTCTTTGCATAAAAACTAATAGTAGATATTTCATTTAAAAAATATATATATTAATAAATGAAAATATTACAGTAATCCATTAGAAAAATTGATAAAATCAAAGAAATATTTTTAATCATCAATACATTCTTCAAACATAAACTTAATTTGATATGACTTCAAAAATCATTAATTTTAATGTAAAATATCAGTTTTGAAAATATTTATATTTATTTTATATATCAATAAATCTAATTCTTATTGATACTTAAGATTTTGAGATAAAAATTAATCTCTAAATTTATAAAACGATAAAATAAAATATGATACTAAATTGTTTTTTAATAATAATTTATTTTAATTAAGTTTGATATTGGTAATCATTTTGAGAAAAATATTAACTTTGAATTCAAAATCTATTTTATTTGAGAATTTTTGATTTTTAAAGGTAAGATTTTAAGAATTTTTTTAAAAACTTTCTAAATGAGATTTTGAGCTAAATACGGCTTGATATGTTTTATCGATTATCTTAAATCTTTTGGAGAGACATTTTTAGAGTGTTTATGTTTTAATTGCTTGGGAAATCTTCACATTTACAATAAATTTTATTGAGTTTAGAAATAAGAAAACAATAATTTAATTTTTGTTAGTTCACTGTTAATTTAATGATTTAAGAGGATATGTAATCAGTTAGATTTTCCATAATTTTATTTTTTCATTAATTAATATCTTTACTAAAAGACTGTAAATTAGATGATGTAGAGAAGAATCTTTAAATAAATATATACTTTTTGAAGAATGAATTAATGACTATTTTATTATAATGTATTCTATTCTCACAATTATGTCTCTTTTATGGAGAAATATTTCATATTTATCTATTAGGTATTTAGAAAACGTTAAATTGACTTTGAATAGTGATAGTTATGTATTTCAGATATAGAGGAATGAAAGAGGAACTTATAGAAATAACAATAATAATATAATATTTAACTCATTTAAATGGTTATTCTTTTTTATAGATGTGAGTTATTAAAATAGAATAAGAGATTTTTAATTATTTTGCTAGAGCATTTATTTTGGCAATAATATATATGAGTGATGAATTAAATTTAATTAAATAATTATTAACCGATATGAAGTATTCGAAAGATTCTGTTAATCCTGAAGTTCGATAATTCATAAGATAATTCACATAATCATAATAAGAACTAAAAATGAATAAATAACCTAGTACTGACTAAAGTACATCATCAATTATCTAAAGTGATGTAAAGTCAGATAATGCTAAAGTAAAAGAAGTATTCTTTAAATTGCCATAACAATAAGAAAATAATGAAAATAAATAACCTTATCTTAAAATTTCTAAGACTCCAGTTGCAGGTTCATTTTCTAATTCTCTCTCTAGTATTGACTAAGATAGATATACTGAGATTATTGTTTAGAAAGTTGTAGAAGAACTAGAAAGGAGAAATTATTGTAAGAAAAAGCCTTTATTAAGTATTTAACAAAATACTATACAAATGAGTGTTGTACCTAAAAATGATTTAGATTATTTAGATGATGATTCATTTATTCGTCAAATGTAAATAAAATATAATTAATTTAAGATAACAAACATTGCTCAGTCCAAATCATACACCTAAAAAAGTATAAATTAAAGCATTTGATTGTTTTGATTAGAGGTAAAGAAAGTTTTAAGTTCAAAAAGAATAAAAATTATAAAAACAAAGAGAAACTTAAGAACTTACTAAATTAGTAGATGAATTTAAAAATTATTTGCTACGTACAAGATCTTCAGGAAAGTTTTGATTCTGAAATTTTATGAATCATTTTTTACTTTTATATATTAAATAATTAATATATTATTTATATATATAAATGTCTCTCCTTCTTTTGAATGCTAGCAATAGAATTGCATAAGGATTTTTAAAAGTTGCAGCTGATAGTGGAAAATATGAGAAAATCATATGTGCTGATATATTCCCAACTTATTTTACAGTTTAAAGACTTTTAAAATTTAAGTCATCATTATCAGGAAACATAGAATTATTCAAAATTGGAGATCGTTAAGATTTACATGATGTTATCAAATAAGCTAATAATATTCTTTATGTTAGTCATGATTATACCTAATTGACAGCATCTAAAAAGAATTTATTAGTTGCAACATTAGATTTAGTGAAAAATAGAAATTATAAGACTGTTGCTTATGTTGCACCAGTTGAGCATGATCATTAAGAAGAAATAGATGAATGGAAACATTTAGAAGTAGAAGGACGTCGTTTCATTCCTTAATTAGTTGGAATTAGATCTGATATTACATTTGGACCATAAAGCACATTTACAAATAAATTAGCATCAAGAATTTATAATGGTGAAAGTATTTACTTTTAAAGTACTGGACAATCATGTGCTCCAATATTCACAGGTGATTTAGAATAAATTGTTGCTTAAGTACTTGCAGGATCTCATGCAGGTAAATTACTTTTAGCAAAAGGACACAAGCATATTGATTTCAAATCTATTATTCATTTGATTGAAGATAGTCTTGGAACTACTTATAAAGCTAAATTAAATTAATCATTTATTGAAAAAGTAAATCTATATATTCCTATTTTAGATAATTCATCCAACAAATAATTGTATCATTGGCTAATAATTATATTGTCCATCATACATCAATCTAACTAAATTAATTGCAAATTATAAAGCATTAGAAAATACTGGATACGATCAAGTTGTTGGTGATAAATTAGTTGATATTGAAGAGTATCATAAAAATAATAAAACTGTAGTTGATCAATCATTAAAAGCTGATTACTAATTAAGTTATTTAATTGGTTGAATAAATCATGATTATCATCTACATTAATCAAATAAAAAATAAAATATATTATATTTAATAAGTTATCTTAATTACTTTATTTATTTTACTCTATTTACATTAGGATCTTATCATTTTATTTAATCAATATCAATTTCTATATAGTATTTTAACAAAAAGAAATCTTTGTAGTTTTTATTTGTGTATTTTAAACAAAGGATGAAGATTTATATTATTACAGATTTCACAAAATTTTATCATGTATTTACTTTAATTTTGAATAAATTTTTATCATTAAAAATGTTATGTATATACTATATTAGAGATAGAAAATCTTTAATGATAAACTCAAATTATTGTAAATTTAGTGAAAAGTAATAAATTTTAAAAAATATGTCAAAAAAGAAACAATAAATGATCCATTATGATGAAAAAAAAGAGAATCAATTTTAAGAATTGAGCCTATAAACCTAAAGAAATATAAGTTAAAATAAGAATAATAAAATACTCGTTTTTAAAACACAGATAATAAATTTTTCAAAAACATTATAAAAACTAATTTGATTTTAATTTATTAATATTTTTAAAATAAAAGGATAAAAGATTTAAAATAATATTTCTTTTAAACTTAGATAAAATTGATGGAATAGCTTATTGATTTAGTAAAGTATTTAGTTTACAAGGAATTTATTTTTAATCAGTGAAATAATGTAAAATTAGAATTTAAACTTTAATATTATTAAGGATGTAATAAGATCGTACACTTTAAAATTTAATTTAACTTCATAAATAAAATCCTACAACATCCTTAATTTAAAAAGTAGGTATAAATGCTTACATTCAACATCTTAGATAATTTTTATTAATTTAAAAATGTAAAGAATAAATATATAGAGAAAATTCAAAGCTTATAGTTTAAGATTATTAATGATTGAAATTAATAAATAATTTGTTTTGCAGCTGGTTATTGATAATTGATATTAAAATTTTATAAAATCAATAAATATATATATAAATAAGAATAATAATAGTATCCATGTAATAATTGATAGAAAAAAAGCCTTTTCAAATGGAATGTTAACGAAAACATTTCATAAAGGATAAGTTATATCATCTTCTTTTAGAGGATAGTTGCATAAAAATTGCTGAGGTAAGAAAACATCCAACTAAAAGAGACAGTCATTTTTCAGAATAGTAAGTATCTACTTGAACTAAATTTTGAAAATATGATTTATTGGAAGACAGAGCATAACTAACTTGTTGCATTTGGTATAAAGTATAATAAAAACCTGAAATGGTTTCATGCTAGTAACTCTGATTTATAGCATTTATATAAACACTTATGTGGGAAAGTGTTCTTTGGAAATATTTCTTCAATATATGAAAGTAATGAAATATTAGGTTCTGGGGCATCATCAAAAGTATATAGAGTTTCTAATAAAATAACACATGTAGAATTTGCATCTAAATGTATTCGTAAAGATTACATCTATAAAAGAGAAGATAAAGAAAGATATGTAACTATTTATATGAGATAGAATCGCTTAATTTAAGAAATAGAATTAATGAGAAAAATAGATCATGAAACAATTGTTAAAATGATTGATATTTTCGAAGGAGAAAAATCATTTTATATTATACTTGAATTATTGAAGGGTGAATCTCTTCATTCCTTTTCGAAAAAACATACATTATCGCTAACATAAATTCGATAGATAATAAGTGTATCAATATAATCATATGATAGAGATGTTTATAAGCATTATGCTATTTGGACTTGAATAATATAATTCATAGGGATTTAAAATTAGAAAATTTAGTTTTAAATGAATAAGGAAAAGTAGACACTGTTAAAATTATTGATTTTGGTCTTGCTATATATGCATCAAGTTCTAATAGATAATTATGTGGAACTCCAGGATATATAGCTCCTGAAATGTTTATAGAAAAATACCCATATACAACTAAAGTAGATGTTTTTAGTTTAGGAGCTATTTTTTATAAATTATTATGTAAAAAATCCTTATTTACTGGGAATACGAGTGATGAAATTTTAGAAAATAATAAAAAATTCTTATGTAATAATCATTTAAGAAATTGTAATGATTTAACTATTGATCTAATTAAGTAAATGCTTTAAAAAGATCCTAATAAAAGAATATCAGCTTATTAGGCTTTGTAACATCCCTTTTTTGGAGATAAAAGCTCTGGTATTGATTTAAATTAAATTTAATAGAGTTGGGAATAGCTGAAGAAAGTCCTCATGAGATAGTGAGAACATTTCCTCACACAAAACCAATGTAAATAATAAACTCTAATGACAATATTGCAGATATTAAAATTTAAGCTATTCGTGGAAGTTAATAAAGCTTTGAACATTTAGGATCTAATTATTTTCCATCTTTTGATGAAGGTTTTAATAAACCAAGGTGTGGTAGCGATCATATAATTGAATGACTTTTTTCAAAATATAAACTTTAATTTCATACACATTATTTAGGCTATTTCTTTACTATCATCATTCATTTATAAAAATTTAATAGATAAATTTAATTTAACAATCTATCTTTTGCACTTTAACTTACTTCTTTCTTCATAAAAATCATTTTTTGTTTTCTCTAAACACTTATTTAAAATTTCTATTTAATGCTGTTTCATTTAATTCTTTTATTTTTCTATCTACCTCAATTCTTACCTCTTAAATATAAGTCAATATTCCTTTATTTAAACAAATACTTCTAACTGTCTATTATTTTTGAATTCCATTTAAATATCATAATTCTTCTATTTTATCAAGAGCTTGAACAAGTGTTTCAATTTTTTTCAATCTTTCCAAATTTTCAAGCCATGGTTAAAACTTTTTTTATTAATAAATCTTAAACAACTTTTTATATTTATTATATTAAAAAAATTCTCAAACAATTATTAATAAAATCAATTATCTGATAGGTGTAAATAAACTAAAGTAGTATTAATATTAAATTTTATTTTATTTTCGTAAAATTTAAATCAGATTACATTATTCTCTACTATGAAAATATCGCTTAAATAAATATTAATTTCTAAATTATTAGAGTACTGTTAATTAGAGTTATTATAATATTTTAATAAATAGCAAATCAAGTATTTTTTTATAGTATATATTTGGCATACTCCTTTAAATCTTAAATATCTTCAGGGGATTTTATTTCACCCCATTCTTTCAATCTTCTTTTTAGTTATTCAATATGTCTATAATAATTAAACAAAATATTAACTATTTTTATTAGATTAGCTTATCTGTTAAATCACTTGGAAAATGATAATCCATATCAACCTTAAAAAAAAGATCTTATTTCATCTATTCCATTTCATGACTAATATATGGTTATAAGACGTCTGTTGGAACCTGAATTTAAAATTTGTTTGGTTCATCATTCAATTAATTCTAATTATTAAAATTCATTTATTTTTTGGTCTTGATTTTAAGATTACTGCGTTTAAAAAATTAAGTTTTTTGCTTTTATTACTAAGGTTAAATAGTTTCTTCCATTAAATCAGGTTTACTCTATATTCTTTCAGATATCTATTCAATTTTAGGCTCTATTTTGATTAAGTAATTAAATTTCAAATTGGGTTTCTTTCTTTTCTCAGGTGTTATATAATGTTTATTGAAATGCCAATGATAATCTGGAGTATGATGTTAATTTGTTGGGGATCTAGAATGATCTGTATTAAATCGTTATTTTTCTGAATTAATCCTCACTAAACGATTCATTTAATCTCTTTCTTTAATGAAAGGAACAAATGATTAAATATTCTTGACATCTTTACTAAATTCTTTAATAAGCTTGAAACGAGGTAAAGATAAATTAGAATCTTCGTAATCATTGAAATACTCTGATATATTGTTTTTGAAGCTATGTATATAATTATTCGACAGCATATATATTAAATCTAAAATGAAGCTATTATTGATAAGAAATAATTTATTAAAAGAAAATAAATTAATTGTTTTGCTCAAATGAAATATATAAATGATCACACTAAAAAATCCATGCTTACAATTTTTATAGTAATAATTTAAGAATAAAAGTAACTAACAAATATATAATAGGAAAATAATTTAAAAATAATTACAAATTAATAAACTAAGAAATAATGATACTAGAGAAAGTATTGTTAAATGATATATCATAAATCAGTTACATTTTTATCATTAATTTACTTAATGTAGGATTATATAGTATTTTAAATGCTTAAGTTTCTTTGTTTTAATTATCGAAAGAGAGATTATTAATTAAATTTTGGTTAATATATACATGGAAGAAGAGTTTTAGTATTTATCTCTGTTTACCTAATCTGATTACATCTCAAAACAGAATTGTCTCTAGAAGTTGATTGAATTTCTTCTAAAATTCTTTAAGTTTTTGCAGGAGATTCATTTGGTGATTGTGTTTCAAAATGATGAATAGATTATTTTGATTATATTACTTTTTCTTATGTATTTGATTCACTTCTTTGAACACTCTTAAAATTGAGTCTTTTTGGAGGATTGGATGTAGATTTTTTCTTATCTATTTCTTTTCCTACACAAAAGATTCTTAGATTTGTTTATCTTTTGATTGTAAATTCTAAGGCCATTCTAGTAATATCAATTATATGTTGTAACAATATCAAGAATATAGATTGTTTACTCTAGTTATATAATTCATTTTATAATTGATCTGCTTTAGAAGGAAGACCATAATATAAGTAAAGTTCAATTATATTTTTACTTGTCGAAGCCAAAGTTGGTTCTAGATTAAGTAACTAATTATAGATTAAGTTTTTATACTTCAAAATTAACTGCAATAATTTTAAGTATAAATTTAATGGCTTCTTGAAATTGGAGTAGATCATTTTGATTAAGTTTCTTGGCCTAATATAATTGGTTCATGGAATCAGTTTCGATTATTTATCTAATCTTCTCCCTATACTCAGAGAATCAAATTTTTGAGCATACTTATTTACTTTATTGCCATTTGGTTGTTCTACAAATTGCGAATATCTTGTGCTCGTTCTCTCAGTAAATCCATAACATTCATTATTAAAAAATATTAATTATAAAATTAACACATTCTATTTAGTTAATCTAATATAATTAAAATAAGTATTCAAAATTTGTAATAATTTTTAATATTTTAATTTATGAGTAGAGGAACAAATCTCTTTATAGCTTTTTCAATATCAGCAGTTGTCTGGGTGATCACTCTATTCTTATCTACAGGATATGTGAAGTATTTAAAAAAAATAAAATAGTGAAGTTGCAAAATCTATGCCAACATATGCTTTGATTTTATATTTTTCATATGCACTCTTTAAAGTTGGAGGAGATTTAGCAAGATTAAAGGATTATCCTGAAGAAGCAGAATCATTATAAAAAGAAGTTTAAGAGGCTAAAAGATTCTATTAACAATAGGGATTGAAATTGTGAAACAAAAATTACATTTATATATATTTTATATAAAATTTTATGGATTTCAATCATCTTCGCTTTGAGAATTACTAGCCGAAACAATCCTTTTATATGATGAATAAAATACTCAAACTTATAATTGCCATATAATTGCTTTTAGTTTTTTTTAGGGTTTATGTAAGGAATTAAGAAACTTTTTTTTTATCTGATTGCTTAAATGCATGTATGATGATACTTACATATTGTTAAAAAGTATGAAACTAGACTAAAATATTAGAACTATTGTTTAGCATTGATTACAATGTTTTATATATTCTCTTTGATCTATTTGAATGCAATCTTCTTTTTGTAATTTGTTGAATATAAATTGCCTTTTTTTATAGATGTTCACAAAAACTTTACATTGATGCTGGTATGCTTTTCACATCAATTAGATTTTCTCTACTTTGCTCTATGTTTTTGAATCGATTATGTTGTATCAAATATATAAAGAATATAAAGCAATAATTTATGATATAAATCAAGCATATTTAGACAATTTTTAATAAGAATAAATTCATTAAGAAATAGAGACTTTATCTTTATAATAATTACAACAATCTTAACAACATTTAAATAATTAATAATAGTAAGTTGAATAATCGATAGAAAATTAATCTATATAGGAACCAAATATTGCTGCTGAATCAGTAACAAGAAGAATAAATAGTTAAAATTAAAGAAGGGAATAGGAAAATTAAGAAGAATTATAATAATGATTTAAACTTTTTAATATATGTTTAGCTATTTTAAATCATAAAATTAAATTGATATTAGATAATATTTATGATGCGAATGAATGAAAAATATGAAATTTTGACAATAAATTATTCTTATAAATTAGTTTATCAAATAAAGAAATGTAATAAGAAAGTCGTAAGATTATAATAAATCGTCGGGATCTTAATATATTGTTTCCTTCAAATGCAATAAAGACATCTAAATATAATGTGTTGAACTTTTTTCCAAAAGCAATTCTATTGTAATTTATGAGAATAGCAAATATTTACTTTTTGGTAACAGCAGTTTTGTAAAGTATACCATTAATTTCTCCATTGGCCCCATTTTCTGCAATAAGTAAAAAGAGAAATTAATAGTTAGGTCCATTAGTGTTTGTTTTGGCAGTATCATTATTTCGTGAAATGTTGGAAGATTATGTATAATATAATTTTAGTAATAAACCTTAAGCGTAAACATAGAAATGATGACATGATTAATGAATAGGTAGCCTTATTGTATAACAATTATGTATTTTAAAAAATATAGTGGAAAGAGATCAGGGTTGGTGATATTGTACAAGTTTTAGAAGACTTTACAATACCAGCAGACTTGTGTATTATACGTACAAGCGACGAGAATGGCTAATGTTTTTTAGAAACCTCGAATCTTGATGGGTGAGTTACAATACTAAACCTAGTGAACGTAATCTCAAAACAAAATATGCAATAACAGAAATATAAGAATAGATGACTCTTAAGAAGTTTAGTGATCTTACAGGAGAATTGTAATGTGATAAACCCAATAATCGAATACATAAATTTTAAGGAATGCTGTCGGTAGATCTAAAATAATTCCCAATAAGTAATAATAATATTTTGTTAAGAGTATAATTATACTAATAATATTTAGGGGACTACTATCAAAAATACAAAATGGGTTGTAGGTTTGGTAGTATATACAGGTCATGATTGTAAAATAATTAAAAATTAAGGTAAGTTAAGATATAAGACAACTCATATTGAAAGAGCATTAAATATAATTGTAATTGTGATATTGATTCTCTAAGCAGGAGCTTGTATAGCATTAGCATTCTTCACTGCTTATAACTATAATCCATTAAATTTTGAAGGAAAACCTTAATTCATTTACATCTATCCAGAAAAGGAAAAGAATGGTCCTGTTGTAACTGGAGTTATTAGTTATTTCTCTAATTTTCTACTTTTAAATTCTATGGTTCCCATATCTTTAATAATCTCTTTAGAAACATTGAAATATTTGTAAACTACTTGGATGGAGTTTGATGAACAAATGCAAAATGAAAATCAACCATTTAGAGTTCTCAATACAATGATTCATGAAGAATTAGGCAAAATTGAGTATGTATTTACAGATAAAACAGGTACATTGACTTCAAATAATATGGAATTTAGGTAATGTTGTATAAAAGGTATCGCATATTCAGACTAGGATTTACGAGAGATTTTTTAATGTGATAATATTTTGAATGATTTGGAATTGGAAAAATACATAAATTTCTTTCTTTGTATCATTATTTGCCATAATGTAATTGTTGATGAAAAACTTAATGAATTTTAAGGTAGTTCTCCAGATGAAGTTGCTTTAGTTAAAGCTGCATATGAACATGGATTTAAATTTCTTAAAAAAACAAATAATTCTATTTTTATTAAAGTAAGAGAACAATTATTGGTTTATGAGTATATTTGTGAATTTGAATTTTCATCAGATAGAAAGAGAATGAGTATAGTAGTAAAGGATATGTAGACTGAATAATTGCTATTATTTTGTAAAGGGGCTGATAATATAATCTGGAGAAGATTAGATATGAAAAAACATTAAGAATAAGAATTAAGAATGACTCAAGTCAATCTTAAGAAATACTCAAAAGATGGACTCAGAACATTATGTCTATCATATAAATAAATTGATGAAATATAATTTTAAGATTGGCAGAAATAATATAGAGCTATTTAAAATGAAGTAGCAATTGACCCAGAAACAACTAATAAATTAAGAGAACATGAATCTATTTTAGAACATGAATTATTATTATTAGGTATAACTGCATTAGAAGATAAACTTTAAGAAGATGTTCCTGAAGTAATTAAATCTCTTCATGATGCTGGTATTAAAGTTTGGATGCTCACTGGAGATAAAATGGAAACTGCAGAAAATATTGGTTATCTATGTCATTTGATTGATCATTCTACCAAATGTTTCAGAGTTAATCAAGAAGATTAAGAAAGCATTTTGTAATTAAATTTATTTTATATTTTAGAATGAGATTTAAAAAAATTAATAGAAGCATCTTAACTTATGAAAAAATTACCAAAAAAACTAATAAAGTTAAAAAAAATTAATAATTTTAATAATAATTATAATGGTTAAGAGAATAATCTTCTATTAATTCATAAATCAGGTCAGTTCATAAAATGAAAATCAATCAAATGTCTATTAAATCAGATACTAGCGACAATCGTAGTTAAAAAGAAATTAAAAGAACATTTGCCTTAATTGTAGAAGGAGACTCAATCTATTATCTCTTACATTCTAAATAAATCTAAGAGGAATTCCTAAAAATTATTCCTAAATGTAGAACTGTTATTTGTTGTAGATCAACACCAAATTAAAAAGCAGAAATTGTTGGTTTAATTAAAAAAAATTTAAAAACTATCACATTAGCTATTGGAGATGGAGGAAATGATGTTAGTATGATATAAGAATCTCACATTGGAGTTGGAATTTTAGGAAAAGAAGGAAATCAGGCAGCCATGAATAGTGATTACTTTTTTTGTTAATTTAAACATTTATGGAGATTATTATTTGTACATGGAAGATGGAATTTATATAGAACAAGTTATTTTGTAAATTACTTTTTTTTTAAAAATATATTGTTTACATTTCAACAATTTTATTTTGCATTTTTTAATGCATTCAGTAGTTAGTCTTTTTATGAAGATGGTTATTTACTGAATTTCAATACATTAATAACAGCAGTAGCGCCTGTATATTATGGAGTATTTGATTAAGATTTAGATGTTTAAGATGAATATATAAAATCATAATTGCCAAGAGTATATGGTGAATTTAAGTATCATAAATTGTTTGGTAGAAGAGCATTTGCAAAATGGTATGTGAGTGGTTTGTTGTGTAGTGGATTGGTATTTTTTGTGACAAAATAGATATATTTAATATAGGTAAATAGTGAAAGTGGAAGAGTAGATGGATTATGGTAATTAAGTATATCTTGTTATTGGTCAAGTGTATTTATAGTATTTATGGTAATAATAAGTGATTCAAATTAATTTACATGGATAACATTTTTATCATATGGTCCATTGAGTATATTAGCATTTTTTCCTATATTTACATTGGCATGGAATGAATTTTAGAGTGAGACAAAACATTATGCATATGATTGGTTAGGAAATGCAAAATTTTTTATTGTAGTGATATTGATAGTAGGGACAGTGTTTATATTTAAGAGAGTGATTAATATATGGTAATAACTTGAATATCCAACAGTAATTGATAAGGTAAGAAAAGAGAAGGAAGAAATGAATAATGTAATGGAATAATCACAACAACCAGGATCTAGTAGATAAGAATTAAGTGATTTGGAATTTCCAATGTCCATTGAGAATTAAATTTAAGGTGTATATAATCTCTAACATAATATGGGATAATAAAGAGATATGTGATAAAATTTATTTGCACTATTTATATTAAAATGATCCGTCCACGTTATGAAAGCTAAAAAGACCATCCTTTATAGACAGATGTGGCCTGTTTCTTAATGGTCATAGAGATATAGAGACTCTTAGATGAAAATACACAATTGAAAGTGGAAATGCAAGAAATCTTAGCTAGACAACTTGACAGAGCTAATTATGAGTAATAAATAAAAGATCTTATGGAACGTCTTCGTTAACTATAAGGGTATAATGATTTTATTAATTATATAGTTTGGTAGCAGATCTAACAAAGGAAAATAAATAGCTTAAATAACGATAAGCTGATTAGGATGCTGAACTTGCAGATTTAAAACAATTTGTAGAAGATAATAATTTAGAAGAGAAATAAGAATAATAGGAAGCGGTTGCCAAAGAATTAGATGATCTTAAAGATTAATTAGAAAGAGATTAAAAAGATAGGGTATTATCATTATTCTTATATTTATAGGATGATTAAAAGGCTTTTTATGAAGGATTATTAGCTGATAAAGATGATTTAATTGCTGAACTTAGAAGACAATTAAAAGATGCTGATGATAAATTTAATAATTATCGTAGAGAAAAAGAGTAAATTATTAAAGAAAAGGATTATGATATTAAAAATAAAGAAAGAGAGATTAAAGATTTACTTAGAAGATTAGCTGAATTTGAAGGAAAGTTATAAGGTAAAAGACCAGATGAAATTCAAAGAGATATGGATAGATAAAAAAAAGAATTAGCAGATAAAGATAAAGAAATTGATAAATTAAAAAAGAAATTAGCAGATTTAGAAGCTTAATTAGCATTATTAAAATAATAATTATAGGATTCTAAAGATAAAGTTAAAGATGCATAAGCTTAAATAACAGATGCTAAGAATTAAGCAAATTAGGCTGCTAAAGATAATGATGCTAAAAATTAAAGGAGAATTAGAGAATTAGAATAATTAGTTGAATAATTAAAGGCGGAAATTGAAAGATTAAATTCATTAATTGATAAATTGAATTAAGATGTTGCATCTGCATTAGAAAGAGAATAATTGTTGAATGATAATTTACAAAGTTAATTTAATATTCTATATTAGAATAATTAAGCGATAATGGTTCAGTTTCAGCTGCCAGATAAAATAGATAAGCCAAATAAGCAGAACAAGCTTAATAATAATTAAGTTAAACCTCTTAAAAATTAAAAGATGCTGAAAAAGATAATAATGAACTTAAGAAAAAATAGAATGAATTAGATAGATAATTAGAAGAAGCAAAAAAATTAATTAAATAATTACAAGATGAAATTGCTGCTTTAAAAGAAAAATTACTATTAACTTAAACTGAAAATGATGATCTTAGAAATCAATTTAATGATTTTTAGGATTAATTGACTGAAGCTTTGTTAGATAAAGATTATTTATAAAAGACTCTTAAAGAATAAGAAGATGAACTCAATAGAGTTAATGATTAAATATAAGATTTAAACAATGAAAAAGAATAAGCTAAAGCTGCTGCTTTGGATGCACAACAATAACTATAAGATTTGGCAGATGAAAAAGCATAGGAAGAAGCAGATAAAGAAAAAGATTAAGATAAATTAAATGATTTAGAAGATAAAATAACTGATCTTGAAGATTAAATTGAAGATTTAGAAAAAACAAGAAATCGTTTACTAAATTAAATTTAAGATTTAATAGATAAATTACATGATGAAAGAGAATTAGGTGAATATTATCATAAACTATGTACTGATTAAGAAAATTAAAATAAATAATTATAAGATTAAGAAAAGAAATTAAAGGATTAAGTCTAAAAGTTAAATAATGAAATTGAATAGATGGAAGAAGATCATGAGGAAGCTTAAAAACGATTAGTAGAATTAACTTAAGAATAAGAAGCTCTTAAAGAGTTAGCTTCTTCTAATTAGGATAATGTTATAGATAAAGAAGCTTATGATAATTTATTAAATTAATTGGATGAAAAAAATAAAGAAATAGAAGATTTAAATGAATTATTAAGAAGATATGAATAATAATTCAAAATGTTGAGAGCTGAGTTAGCAAGAGTGAATTTAGCTTAACTAAAAGAAAAGAAAAATAAATAAGATACTGAAGCACTTTTAACTAAGATTATGATTATGTAAGCTGAAAATGAACGTCTATAGTAAGCTGCTAAATAATTACAATCTTAAGTTGCTTCTCCTGAAATTGTGAAGAGATCTGAAAGTTAAGGTAATGATCCTACATAAGGAAAGATTGAATAATTATAAAAGGAAAATCTTGTACTTGAAGATTAAGTTAGTGAGTATGAAAATAGAATTGCTTTATTAACAATGGAATTGAAGAGACTAAAGGATTCTAAGTATTTAAATATCTTTAATTAATAGGCCTGAAATTCTTCCAATAAAATCTAATGGTAGTGATGAACAATAACTATAATTATAAGTTCAATAATTATAATAGCAAGTTCAATAACTCTAGAATGTTGGATTATTGTAATCAAATGGATAACCTTTATCTAAGGAAGATAGAAGATTATCTGATTTGTTATGCTTAGTGACAATTATGGCTGCTGAAATAGAGAACCTTAGAACTCATGTTGCCCAGCATTGAGATGAATAAATATAAAATACATTATATTAATATTTCTTTGATTATATGTCACTCCTCATAAAAGAATTAGGGAACTACACCCTAATTAATTGTTGTAGAATTATCACTAAATTCTTAGCTAAATGTAGGTTCTTCAAATTGAAATTCATCAGTTTCAAATTTACCATTAGCACCATAATAACTTAAACAACTTTGATTTGGTGTTAAAGCTTAATTTAAAATAAAAAATTATACCAATTGTATAAGGTTTATCATATTCAATCTTAATTGCCTTAGTAAAATAGATTTTACCTATATGATTAACGAATTCCATATCATTCTTAATTATGAATTTATCTTAGTATATTATTTTCTTACTATTTATTATTCAATATTATAATACCTATTAAGATTTGAACCTTCAAATATTTATACTTAGAAAGATAATTCTTATTCTGGCCAAGTTGTAATCTCATACAATCCTACACCTGAAAGCCATATATCATGTTTCTTTTTAGATTTTAAACATATTGCATCAGTCTCCTTCAAATTCCATTATTCATAAGTTAATTGATATCTATTTTAACTGCTTAAGATCTTTATTTGCTTTTTTATTGGATTCTAACAAGTCTCATATAGTTTTTTTAGATCTGTCAAACACTAGTAAAAGATACTATAAATATTTACTTTCTCCAACCAAAATTTACTCTCTCTCTCAATTACTTCGGCTGTCTTTATAAGCTTTTATGCCTATTAATTAACTTCGGTATCTCTCAATATCCAAATCTATCCATCACATGTTTTTAAAAGTGGTTCTATTTTCTCTATTGCTTATTCAATCTACAATTTTGTTAATTTTTCCATATTCAATATTGATATTGATTTTTCAAATGCATCTCCAACAAATAAATCTGCTTCCAAATCTAACAATTTTATTTATTTTTCTATTTCTCTTTCTAGTTTGTTAAGGATTTCTTTTATTTCAATTAGATTTTATCTAAAAGTTTGTTTAATCTTATGATGTTTCCCAAATATTTCATTCCCCTTGTTATGTAATTCTTATTAATTCTTTGGATTATTGGCTTTATTTAGACTATGAATTATTGTTTTAAGTGGAAATACATTCTTTACATGGTCTTAATGATATTTTAATAAACAAAATGAACATATCAATCCTTTTTGTTAGCAATCTACTTCTAAACAAAATAAATTCAAAGGATTATCTTAATGTTCTTTGTCTTCACAATATAAGGCTTACATTTAATTAAATGTTAAAATTATTCAACAAAGAAAAGAAGAAAGCTCCTTAAATTCAAAATGTGCTTACTGTAGAAGAATTTTTCAAAAGAGATGAATATGAAATCAATGATGAGTTTTGGAAAATGAATGCCACATAACTTGAAGAAACATGTAAAAAATAAGAAAAATATATCAAAAAATTGAAAAATTTATACAGAGCAGTATAATTCATTTTTTTACTTATTCAATAGCATTTAGAGTATCTTGAATAATTGCAGATTAAACATGAAGAAGAAAAAAAGAAACTAAGAATTGAAATTGAAGAATGGTAAATTAAAAATTGTAAGATTTAAATTGTATCATTAATATATAGAAAGCAATTTCGATCTAAAATAGTAGATAGAAGTTTAGTATAAGTAGATGTATGAATAGTTTACTTCTTAAACCTAATAATAACAATAACCTTAAATTATAGAAGAACATAAATAAGAACCTTAAAATTCAGATTTATTAGAACTTATTGAACCAAAAGAAGAAGAAATCGAAAGATTACGAAAATAATGTATAAAAGTTTGTGAAGAAATGAGAAGATTATAAGAAGATAATGATGATCTTAGTACTGCTTTAGATACAGAGAAATAACATAATGAGTTTTTAAGATAACAATTTGAATAATAAAAAGTCTAATTTTAATAGGAAATATCTGATTTGTAAAATAAAATTAAGAATCATTAAAATGAAGGATAAATAAATTCTTAATAATTAGAAGATAGAATAAAAAATTAAAAGGACTTAGAATCAAATATATCTGAATTAACAACTAAAATTCATGAATTTGAAAGTAAATTGTTATAAGAAAAAATTAAAGTTGATTCAAAAAATAAAGATTGTATTCGATTAGAAGATTAAATAAATGAATTAAAAAATTAGATTGAATAAATGTCTAATTAAATAAATATATAAAAAAGTAAATTATAATTATTAGAGTCGAAAAGATAAAAAGATAAAGTAACTATAAATGAATTAAAAAATAATATTGCAAATTAATAAAGCAATATTGAATTAATATAGTTTTAATACAAAAATGAAATTTAGAGTTTGAATTTGCAAATTAGTGAATTTTAATTAAAAAGCAATCTCTATGAACAACTTAAAGTTTAATATGATTAGTTATAAAATTAATTGATGGATAAAAATGTCAAGATTTAATAATTATTTCATTAGATTTCAGATTTGGAATAACAGATAGAATAGAATAATAAGTAAATTTTTAATTTAATTGAAGGTAGTTTTAGAATAGAGAAGAAAATTAGGTCTAAAAGGAAAATGAAAGAGAAAACTTAATTTAACATCTTACATTAAAGAGAGAGAATGCAAGAGTGGAAATTGAGTAATTAAATGATAAGATATTATGTCTAATGAAGTTGGTTGATTCTATCAAACATAAAGCTAAAGCTTCATAAAATAATGATATTTAACAAATTATAAAGCATAACTCAGAAGTACTTAATAAATCAGAAACACTTTAGAAAAGCAATAGAAGAATATAATTATTTCCAACTCTCCATAAATGTCTAACAGAATTAAGAAAATTAGAAGAAAAGTGTTATAAATTATACATTTAGACAATGATATCTGATTTTTAGAATAGAGAATCAACTATATAGATAGAAAGATATTTGAATGATATAGGAAGAAGATCTCAAGAATTATTAGATTTGTTGGATGAAATGGGTTTAAAATGATATAATATAATAATTAAAAATTATCATAGATTAATATTATTTTATTGAGTGATTTATGAAATTAGTTAGATTTCTAATGAAACTCAAAAATGAGTAGGTGATTGTTGAGCTAAAGAATGGTACAGTGGTTTTGGGAACAATAACTGGAGTAGATGTAAGAATGAATACTCATTTGAGCAAAGTGAAATTAACATTAAAAGGAAAAAATCCTGTAGGATTGGATCAATTAACAATAAGAGGTTTAGAAATAATAATTAATTTGAATAGGAAATAATATCAGATATTTTCACTTATCTGAGAATTTATAAATAGACAATCTATTGGTGGATGAATCAATATCTAAATCAAAAAAAGTCAAAGCAGGAATGGAAAAGAACGATCCAAATTTTAAAAGAAAGAAAAAGAATAAGGTTACTCGGTTACCAAGAAGATGAGTAAGGATTTTATTGTACATCAAAAATAAAGTTATAAAGTATTTACAATTATTTTATTAACAATTTTCTCTTTAATATAATTATTAAATTTATACTTCTTTAATATGTTTCCCTCTTAAATTATAGAATATATGATTTATTTGAGACTAAAGAATTTTAAGTATAAAATTAGTCCTCGTTTACTTTACATTTTCTAATCTTCTAATTTATTACAATATTTTATTAAGAATAAATTTAATCAAATTTTATTACTAATAAATTTGATTAAAACTTAATCTGTAATTTTCTTATATAGATTAAGAATACTTGAATTATTTTAAATATGTAAAATAACATATTGGATTTTATAAATTTTTATGAATAATTATATTCTTAGTATTATTAGTTAATTAATTAATTAATTGATAAAATTCTTTTTAATAAAAAATAATGATGTAAGAAGTGAGTGAAAGAAAAATATCAACGATAACAAAAAATGATAATGTTCTTGATTTAGTTAAGATCAAAGTTAGATTAGATGAACATTTTTATATTTTTTCTCGTTTCATGATAAGCAGAATGTTAACATTATCAAGAATAAAGAAATTAGATGCAATATAGATTGCTAAAGATATAAAAAAATAATTAATAGATAGAAATTCACTTGAAATTAGCTCAAATGAATTAGAAGCTATAATATTTTAGACGATGAATAAATTCGGATATTAAAATAACATATAAAAATATCAGATGGTTTCAAAGTACTAAATCAAAAAATCGTAGTTTCTACCGTCACAGAACACCTATGATCATTATAATTTTTGGTGCCCCAAGTATAGGAAAATCTCTTTTAGCTAATAATTTAGCAGAAAGATTAAATATTTCAAATGTTTTGTAAACTGACATCGTAGAAATGGTTATGAGAAGTATAAATCCAGAATAATTTAATTATGATGAAAATGAAGACTTTATAACAAAATTTAAGAAAGTAAAAGAATTAGAATTAATTAAGAGAATTGCAGATTAATCAGAAGAGGAGTTTCAACTGATATTTCTAAATGTTTATCAGAAGGAAAAGCAGTCATTATAGAAGGAAGTGCTGCTATGCCTGAATATTATTTAGAAGCTATTGATAAATAAGAAATTGAAGATGATCAAACTTAATTACAATTAATTACAAGTTTCAATTAAAATGATATTAAACTTAAAAAACCTTAAAGAAAAGACTTATTGCTTTTTAATCAATAAAAAAAATTAAACACTTAGTTTAAAATCATATTTCCTTAACCTGATGAAGATTTTGAAGATGAAGAATAAATTCAAAAACACTTTAAATTATGCAAAGATTTGGATAAAATTGTAAATAAATAATTTAAAAATTAGGATTAATCACATTCAATGATTTTAGGCTTTTTACCTATACTATCTAGAAATGACCATTTATATAACATAGAAAATAATATGAGTAAAAAGATACCAAAGGACTTAATAGAGGAAAAGCTTAATTAATTTTAATCTATATAGAATGAGTTATTAAAATAAAGAAGCAAATGTATTCTTTTACCTATTAATTTACATAATTTAGAAGAGACATTAGTATAATATATAAATTATTTAAGGACACAATGCATGATATTATTTTATAAAAAATCCTAGATCAATCCACTTGATGTAAAAGTGAATTGTTATTTATTTATCAAATAACAAAAAAAAGTTATGAAAAAAAAAAAATGGTTTTCATTCAAATTTAGAAACAGCCAATTCTTCAGAACTATCTTCTTGCTTTATTTATAATCCATTGATAGAATTAAAACTATCTTCAGTTATTTTACTTTTTATTTCTGGAACATCAATTTACTCTTCTATTTCATTTGCTGTTTGATTTGGACTAAAATTTGATTCTAATTGTTGACTACTCAAATAGAATTACTCATTTGTGCTTGCTTATTAATGATTCTATGATTATTATGAAGATAATCTGTGATTATAAGATGATAATCCTAAAGGACGAGTGAATGTGCTTGAAAACTTTCCATATTTTGTTTAGTATTCAGAATTATCCCCTTCATAATATAAATCTTTCATTCCTTAGCTGACTTATGAATATTTATAACCTACTTCGTTATCAGTCTTACTATCATCAAATGGTTCATGAGAAAAATGACTACCATTTTAAAATTCTTAAGTATGTCGAAGAAAACTCTATACAGCCTTTTTTTATAATTGAGTTTAAGCTGTATATTTTGTAGAATTAGATTTTGCATATACTGGAGGTTTATTTATATTAACTTCTTCTATTACTTATAAACCAGTTGCTAATTTTATTGTTTTTTCGAGTAAACATTCTTGAGACATCTACTTTGTTAAATTTCCACCTATTTATGCTAATTTCTTAGCTCTATTTGATGAGATTTAACATTATTATCCTTTTTAATTAAGTTCTTAATTTTATATTTGTTATATTATTGATAATTATTATTATTATTATTATTATTATTATTATTATTATTATTATTATTATTATTATTATTATTATTATTATTGTTAAGATAAACTTTTAGTTTACAATTAATTTTTAGAATTTGTAAACTATTTTTAATATTATTATTATTAAGAGTGTATTTTTTTTATGTTTTAATTTTAAGACAATGTTTATGATTTTGTTTTCAAACCTGAATGAGCATTTTTTGGTAATTCTTAAAAGTTTAAGTTTTTTTATTTTATCTAATATTTTTTATTATCTTATTCTGTCTAAACAATTTTTTCTTAAGAATTAGAAATTGTAGATAAACGTCTTTATTATTAAGAAACTAAAGGATTCTTTCTTATCTCTGTTTTTTCTGATTATGCTCTGATACTATTAGGCAACAGTTCTAATATTCGCTTCTCACAAATCTTCTAAATTAAACACAATCCATCACTATATTTAAGAAATTAAGTTACTTTATATGATTAAGTTGATTACCTTCATAGATTTTCTTTAATCTACAAAGTGAATGAATGCTTAACATTTTAAATTAAAGTTCTGCATCCTTAAAGAAACTTTCTATATCAAAAGAGAGACTGATCCATTTATTTGTTAGAATAAAAGCACTTGATATTTTTACTTCATCTGAACTTTTACTATATGCTTGCTATAGATTGGGACTTACTAATATTCTAAAATACTTCAATCTATAAGTATCAGAGAATTACTTCTTATTTATTCGATAGTTCAAGTATAAATTTAAGTTTTTCAATCAAATATATTTGAATGTACAATTTAGAACCTTTAATATAGATATCACTACTATTATGGTAATTAAATAAATTAGAAGGTCCAACTTTTAGAACAAAACCTCTATATGACAATTAATTTATACTTTTCAAAGTTTTATCAAACATAACATTTTCAGATTATTGACACTTCAGCTCTACTAATATAGATATAACTTACCTTTACAATCAAATAAAGTGTTTTCCTGATTTATCTTTGGTAAGTGAGTCATTAGTACAACTGTAAATATTATTTTTAATAAATCATAAAACTAATTAATGCAAAAAAGAGTTAGTGACATTACTACTTTCAAAATTCGAGCAATAAATCTAAATGATTTGAACAAATATAATCCTTTTGAGATATCTGAAAAAGCGATTAGCCTTTTTTAAATCAAAAACTTTATTTTACCAAAGAGAATATTAAAATGCCTCAAATAATTAAGTAGATATTATTTAATCACTTTTAAACTACATCTTTGATATTTCATCTGCTGTCCCTTTTAATAATACGTGTTAAAACATATATTATCAAGTTGTAGACTATAAGTATTTTTGATGAGTTTTATAAGAATTTAGAGCATTCTCTGAAATTAATGTGCTAATTGTTTTGAATTAGGATGAATTCTATAAATTTATTATAAAGACTTCCTATTTTGAAAGTATCTACATTTTGTACAACATTTACATTGCAAGCCTACTTATAAAAATTTTTGTTAGGAAAATTAGTTAATTCAACAGATTGATTATAAATATTTATCACTAAAGGGAATTATGAAATTAATTATAGTACCCTAGACTTTTATGGTTGAAATTTAGTTGAAAATATCAAAAAATGGAAAATGCTTATTATAGGCCTTTATTTTAAATAATTGATTGTAAACTTTTTAACAACTAAGAAACCTAAAATAAGAATATTGGAATAGTAGTTGGAGATATAAATTGATGTGTGTTAAAATTTCAATTTTTTTTTTCAACAGTCTGAAGATTAAAAAAGCATCTTATTTTCTCATTGTTATAATATTTTGAATTATATGGTAATTTTTGGGTTGTTGCAAACTTAAAATAAAATTATTTGTTGACTTATAAAATAGAATAAATATATTTTCTTTTAAAATTTCTTACAAAATAATTTTTATATTATAATAAAAATAAAATGGACATATCCGAAACAAAAGAAATTTAAGAAAAATAATTTATTTGCATAGATCCAAAGTGTGATTAATCAAATCGATTATTCAAATCGAAAAATGAAAACCATCCTCATAAATCTCATGATCATTAATTATACTCTGAATTCTAAAAACTAATTCGTGCTCAATTTCCATAATAAATTCGAGAATAAATTAATCAATAATTTAGTAAGGATGAATTAATCAAAGCAATTTAAACAAGATCAGTTTAAATGCATGAATCTGTGAAAAATTTTGAAGAAAATCTGATAAAGTATTTGTAACTCATAATGAATCATTAGAACTATCGAAGCTTATGACATTTTGGGGGCTGACAAAGCTTCTATTAATTAAGCTTTAAGTTAATTAAATGAATAAAATCCTCCTTAATAACTTAATATTTAAGGATTAATGCATGTATTAAAATTCAATAAATTGGGTCCTTAAAAAGTATTAGAAAAATGGAAAAGAGAAAATGAAATTATACTTAAAGAACTAAGTACATAAGCAGATGCAGCCTTAAAAACCTTAGGGAATGTAACCATTTCAAGTTATATGCATATTTAGCATTTATAAAGTCCATTGTTATTATAAAAGTAAAATATGTTTCTATTTAAAGAATGAATTATGTATGGAGTAAGAGTTTAAAAGCTAATTCAGTAACAATTAGAGAGGATGCAACCTATGAGAAAGGAAATTCAATGGGATTAGTATGCATCTAATAGGTTTTAGAAAAAGATTAAGTTCAAAGTTTGACTATTGATATTAAAGAAAGAGCTGGAGTATTGTTAATTTTTATAATTAGAATCTTTACATAGGAGTATTAGATATGAATGAAAGAAAGTAAAGAGGTAGAAAGACATTCAGTTTTCATGATTGGAATGAATCAGGACATGGATTATATTTACTCTATCATGGAGGATGTATAAAAATCATTTTAAATTAGATGTTTTTAGTTCGAATGATCTATCTATAAATAGTAAAAAAGCAGGTTTTACATTTGATTAAAATGATAAGATAATTCTGACTTGGAATGGGCCTGAGCATTCCGTGACTATCCTTAAGGTTGGGAGCAGCCATGTAATTAAAAAAATATAATAAATAGCAATTTACATTTAAAGTCAACCCTGATGGATAATACCATTTTGCTGCTGGCTTATTCAAATGTGAAATAAGGTTGCTTGATTGATCAATTTTATTCTTATAATTAAATAAAAAATTAAAGAATTATATTTATAGATTTTTAAAAATAAATATATTATATAAATTATTATTATATAATTTATATAATTTAAGAGTCATATATATTTGCATTCATAAAGATTGATGAGATAGATCTAAAAGAAATTAATATAAAAGTAGAAAACAAAAATTCAATTCTAATTTGAAGAAAAAATGTAGTTCAAAAAAGAATTAAATATAGTTAAAGAAAATATTCCAGAAATTTGGGATAGAGTTTTGAATTTACAAATGGCTATGAATCAGTACTCCACATTTTATATGATGATTAATCACATAGACTTTAAAAGATGTAATCGATACTCTAAAGATATTTAATTGAAATTCTTATCAAAATATAAAAAGATCAAAACAAAAGAATTTGATTTGTTTTTGATTATTTTACATTAAACTCATTAAAATAAAAATTAGTTATATTATTTGCTTATAGTTCGTTGTGTGTTTTCATTGCATTTTGATTAGTTCTTTCTTTTAGAATTTGAATGGTATTAATGTTCATATGAATTTTCATTTTCTTACTCTTATTCATTGGTTTCTATGTTAAAATTTTATTATGTTGGATAATTTATTGATAATCTATTTGATTAGTAAAGACTCTTAATATAATATGGATCTTTTTATTCTAATGTCAATGTTTTATTCATTTTTTTGATGGGACTTATCTTTGCTGATGGAAATAATGCTTCTTCTAAAGATTATTGTTTGTTTATTTAAGTATCCAATAATTATTTTTTTGTTTTTTGAATAGAACTTCCTTTTCCTAATAATTTTTCAATTTATAATTAAAATTTCATATTCCCTTGCTATATCTATTGATTTTAGCTTTAAAGCTAAATAAATTCTTCATGCAGCTAATGTAATTTTTCACCTTCATTTTCAAAATTTTACTAATTATGAAAATTTTCAATCTCTTACTTCAATCTCTCTACTTCTTAAGTCTTAAGTTCAAAGCGGTGATTTAAATCTAGTCTCATTAATTTTTCTTCTTTTAGTTCTTTATGTGTTCGTATAAGTTCATTCTCAAAATCGATAATTTATTGTTCTTTTATTTACTTATATTGATTAAATTTTTATTTTTCTAATCTTAATTCTTCATCTTTTCCTTATTAATCGATTTAACTTAATAAATTCAATGGATTTCCTTCTTTTTACAATTTTGTTATTTCCCTTTGAAGATTTTATATCTCTTCGTTTGCCATTTTTTGAGCTTCTGACATTCTCTCTAATTCTTAGATAAGTATATTAATTCTTTGTAAGCAACCTTTATGTTTTTGATCTGTCATTAATGAATTTGATCTTGAAACATTAATAGTATTCCCTTCGGATTTGATTCGCTCATTTTCAATGATTGATCCTCTTTAAAAATATTAATTAAACATAAATAAATTTAATTTTGAAATAAAGTCTAAAATAAAATCAATTAATAGCAAAAAATATGATTTGAACTTAATATTTTTTTTCTTTTGACTGATATACAAATTAAAATTAAGTAATTGTGTAAGAATTTAATAAATACACTTAATTACTTAATTAATGAGAATGATATAATGATTGAAATTTCTTGTTGATTAGTCATTATACTTATTAGCTAGAATTAATAATTTTAATAAGAGCAAAATTTTATATTTAGATAATATCAAATATTAATTATTTTATTAATTTATTTTTAATATGGCTGACGAATATGATGAAGAATTTGGAGAGGTACAATATAACAAAAAATAGTTTAGCTTGGATTAGTAATTGGAGATTTTAACATTCCATCAAGAGCTTCCGATCTACCACTTTAATTTAAAGAACTTTTAGTTCCAAATAAAGTTTAATATGTATTTTGCACAGGAAATGTTGGAAATAGCGAAACTACAGACTGGTTGAAAACATTATCTGGAAATACACATATCGTTAAAGGTGATTTCGATGAAGCGAAAGATATTCCTGAAACAAAAATCATATAGATTGGTTCATGGAGATTAGCTTTAGTACATGGTCATCAAGTAAATATAAAAATTAACCTCTTAGGTAGTCCCTGCAGGAGATGATGAAGCTTTATATACATTTTTAAGAGAATTAGAAGCAGATGTGCTTGTGACTGGTCATACAGGAGTTGCCAAAGTTTCTGCTGTAGAAAAGAAATATATAATAAATCCTGGATCTGCTACAGGAGGTTTTAATGGATTATAATAGTAGCTTATATTTATTATTTAGATCTATACCATCATTTTTAATCTTGGAATTTAAAAAGGAAAAAATATAAGTTTTTATCTACACATTAGATGGAGAAGTTAAAATAGATAAGTAAGAATTGCCTTTATAGAAATGAATAAATAAAATTAAGTATCATTAATATTGTGATTTAAGCCAATAATCTTGCCCCTTTAAAATACAAGCTCTCTCTCTTAACTTTTCTATGCCATCCCAAAAATCTTGGTCAGCAATATCAGGATTTCTAGATTCAAACTCTTATTATGATTGTCGATAATAAAAAATTCTGTCTGGAGAATTTTCTAATTATTATTACCAATTTTAAAACAGCTTCTGAACTTCTTTCTATTTTATTCTGTATTATTATATATAATTATAAATCCCTAAAGGTATTCCAAACAATAACATGATAACCATTAGATAATTAAACCAATCTAGATCTGATCTATTTGACTACATAAAAAAATAAAAATTATTAATATATTTTTGCAATTTAATTAACAAAACACTTTAATCAAACGAAAAATTGTGTAAGAATAGATTAAACTTCATAAAATGTAGATGATAGATTGTCAAATTCATTTTATTTTCTATATAAATAGAAAATAACACCCAATTTATAAATAAATTTAAGTAAAACTTTAATCTATAAATTATTTAATAAAATAATAAATCAATATGAAAAATTATTTTCTACAAAAATACCTTAGCCTTTAGTAATTAGAGTCAAAGCTTTGATAAAAAACTTTTTATCTTCAAGAACTAACTCTGCATTTAAATCAGCCTTTTATTCAGCCTTATTTTAAAGTATAGCATTATTTAATCTATTTAATCTTAGGAACAGATTATCTAATTTAAGATTTATTCTTCCTGGTTATTCTGTATCAAAATATTTTCCTCTGCACTCAGTAATTATTTCTCCACATTGTATTGTAGACTTAGAGTATACTTTTCCATCAATTATTTATAGTTTTAACATATCAGAATCGCAAATGACATAATGTTCGGGGGTAGGTTTTTGCTTTTGTTATTCCCAATATTCAAAAAAATTTTCTCCCTTATATGCCTTCATTTGATCATAAAATGATTTCCAATAAGAAAAAGAATAATCAAAAAACAATTCTTCACCTGCTTTAACATTCTTTGAAGCCACTAAAAACGCTTTATCATACTTTATTGAAAGTTCAACATTATGCTTTAAATGTTCATGAAAAGGAAAAATACCAAAGTTTAAGTTTTATTCTTCTTGAGGCGTTAAAAGGCCAAATCTAACAATATCATTAAATCTAGATGATAAGGAACGTCCAATAACTGAATATTTTTCATTTATCTATAACATTCTGTCTTCAAGCATAAAACATTGAGCCCATGAATATTTAGCATTAATTACTAGTTTAAAGATGTATTTTACTTTTTCCTCTATATTCTACTAGTATCTATCCTTTGGAAATATCATTTTTTGCAAAAACTCCTAATCCAGAATTAGGAATTGAAGATTGTTTTGTAAATAACTATAAATAATCACTTTTCATTTATTTTAATATATGATAATTTTGAGGGTGATTTCTAAAAAGTAAAAAAAATCAGAAATATTGATAGTCTGCAAAAACCATAAATGACAATCTTTAGTCTTGCTTTTTTTATTTGAGTTATTAAAGTTTTGTGAAAAGGCTAAAATTTAACTTTTTAGTTTGATTCCTAAAATTTACACTATTCTACTTTTTTTTAGTTGAATTTGCTCTTTAAAAACTGTTTGCCCTTGACGATTTATTCAATTCATTCTAATCTACTGAGCCTTTGCTTTCTTAGAGTTAATTTTCATTTATTGAGCAGTTGTGAAAACATGTAGCATCCATCAGTTAAAGAGATACTCTTTTTTTACATTTTTCCCTAGATTTAGAGAGATTTGTTTAATTACAATCATTACTTCTTTCAACTGATTAAACACTAGATTTCAGTTCTGTTTAGTATAGTTTTTTTAATCTTTAATATGAATTTTAAGAGTTATGTTAACAGATGAGACTCTTTGACAAACATATTTATTCTGCTTCAAGAGAGATTCTATCAGTTTAAGAATTAGGCTTGGATCTATCACTGATAAAAGACTTAAGTCTGTTTATCCTTGAATACAAACTTAATCTTGTCTTATTTTCATCATCGATTTTATTTTACTTTGATTATTGTGTATATTCTTATCCCAATTCTTCTGAGTCTCTAAATGTTTCAGCAACAGTTTATCTTCGAGATACTCTTAAGTTAGAGTTAAAAAATTAGATTTTTTTGATCATTTCTTTCTCAAAAGTTTCCGAAAAATCATAACATCTTGGATAAACATATGGTTTTAGACTTGCTTTTCTTTTTTAAAAATTTGGTTTACCAGAGTTCATTATATTCATTGATCTTAGTTATAATAAATTTTTATTATACAATTTTTTAAACAAAAGAAAATAAATTAGAATAACAAAGTCTTCAAGGGTTGATATGGAAGTTATTTATTATTCACAAGAATTATAAAAATAACTTTCTATAAAAACAGAAAACTAATGTATAAAATGCCTTTATTTTTAGAATCATCATTCAATTTCCTTGAGTATTTTGTCCCCTTCATCTAAAGCTCTTGACATGTTTTCTTTAAGTTCTTTGAGAAATTTTTTGAAACTCAAAATTACTGATTGAAACTTCGACTATGTCTTATCTGTTGTTACTTTGAGCTATTTCTATACCTTTTTTATTCCCTCAGAAACCTATTTCTTATGTTTCTTTGCAGAGGTAAATTTTTTCTTAATCTTCTTCATAATTGTATTTGCTTTGGCCATTTTTGCTTTTGAGGATCCAATCATTATTATATCTGGACTTTCATCAGACTTCCTTTCTTCAGTACTTTATGAGGTTGAAGCCTTTTTTTTTGATTTAGGCGGTCTTCCTCTTTTTATTTTTGTACTAACACGTATTGGATGTTAAGTTAAGGGTTGTTTTTTGTTTTCATTGTAAACATTAATGCTATCAACATTCAATGATGGTAAGAGATCAATCTCTAAGTCTTCAGATATCATAAATTAATAAATGGACTCCAAAAACTATATTGTATTTATAGTAAAAAGAGAAAAAAGCCTGAAAAAAATTGGATAATTTAAATTTTTAAGAATTAACTAGTCTATTTCAAAAATAAATATTTAACTTTAAGTTTTAAAGTTAAATGAGTCATTTTAATAATCAATTCAATTGAGTTACAAAAAAGTTCTGCAACAGATTGTGCCTGTTACTTCGTAATTTATTTACTATCTAAAAGAATTCTGTAAAAAAAAGTTAAGTTAAATATTTCTTTTTTATACGAAATATAGCTAATTTTTATTGGCGAAAGTTTCCATGTATTTTAAGCTTTATATAAATATACCCTTTATAATAAAATAAATGTTTATTTTTACATTAATCAACTCTTATTTGACTTTTTTCAATAAAATTAGCAATTATTGCTTATAGTCAATTAATTCTGAACTGATGTATTTTTCATGCTTTGTTGTCAAAATCCTATCTCTTGTTTATATTTCCTATCTTTTATAAATCATACAGTTATAGATAGTTTAAAGAATTTAAGATGATCATTTGAAATTTAGATTATAATAAAAATTCAAATGAATAATAATCGAAGAAGATAATCTCGCTCTGCCGAAAGAGTTACTTAACAGTCTTCAATAAAACATTAATCAGAAACAAAGCCAGCTTTTCTTTTAGATCTATAAAATGAAATGGAGTATATAGAAGACATTTTAATTTTGATGGCGCGAATAAATCGAACTCAATTTTAAGACCCTCAATAATTGAAACATGCCCTAAAAACATAGAACTCAGTCTATTTAAGTATTACTCTATATAACTAGATATTTTATAACTTATTATGAATGTAATTGATCCATACTTAGAGATCAAAAGCTTTTCTGATGAAAAATTTTAGTTACTATTAAAAAGACTTGGCTATCCTTGTAAGCACATGTCAAAAACAAGGTTTATGAGTTTAGGGTCATCTCATACCTATTTGCAATCACTTCATATTTTGTCTTGGCTTTGCAGGCAAGCTTAACAAATAATATCAATCAATGAACGAATAGAAAATGGATAGTATTAACCAATTGAGATAGAAAATGAATCATTTTCTAATAAACTTAAAAAGAAATTAGCAGAGTATATAGTTCACCTACTAAATTAGATATTTACAGGATGGCTATATAGGTACAATTGACGACTCAAGCCTAGAGAAGTGTTATAGGGATGCAAAACAAAAGTTAACCATCGAAATCAATTAGTTATAAAAGGACATATCCAAGCTTAATTGTGACTTGAATATCATCAAGGCCTCTGAACCCAATCTGCCTGAATTAGAAGAATAATACAAAAATTTAGAAAATGAGCTAACAGAAGTTACTAAAGAGGTATAAGAAAATTAATCATTACTTGAATCAACTAGGAATCAAACCAATTAGAGCATGAGCAAGTAATTAGAGTTCGATAATGAAATACTTAAGGTACATAAACTAATAGAAGCTAAAAGATAATATATTGCCTAATAGCCAATTAAAATTGATAAAGCTAAAGAAATGGAAGCTAAAGATTATTAGTTAACTATTTAATCTTAATAATTACTTAATGAATTATAAAATTATTAAAAAGAACTTGATAAAACAAGGTAGGATAAAACAGAAGTACTTTGTAAAATATCAAATATTATTTAAATGTTGAATTCTGGCAAAGTTAAATTTAATAAAGATTATGAAACATTTGAAAAAAATCTCTATTCTTATTAATAAAAACTAGAATAGAATAATGGAATATAAATTGGAGAAGATGAAAATCTTTTGGATATGGAAATAGATGCTTAGTTTGAGCAAAAGCTTGCTAACGAATAGATTGACTATAAAAGTAGAAAGAGTTTAGTAGCATATGATCTGATTTAAAAATAGGATACAGAATCTATTCTAAAGTTGCTATTGCCAAATAAAGAATAAATTCTCAGAGATCTAAATTAGTAATTACAAGAAATTATAAATAAATTGTCAATTAGTAAAAATAAGGCCTTAGAGATGAAAAATGAATTAAATCAAAAATTAAAGTAATTAGAAGATATTGAATGCGCAAAAAAAATGATTATTTAAGAGATCAGCTAATTAAATGATTCTACTGAAGAACTTAAAGTTCTTAAATAAATCTATTTAGAACATCAAGAAAAACAACAAATATTACTAAAGGAAATGGAATAGAAAAAGTTAGAAATAAAATTCATAGTGGATAGAAAAAATTTAGATATTATAGAAATTGATAGATTGAAGAAATAAAATCAAGAAAATTAAGAAATTATATTAACAATGTAACAGCAAGCAGAGATTATTGAAGAAAAAAATACAGCATTGTAGCAGCAGTTTAAAGATTGGGTAAAAGATAATTTGGATCAATTTTTGAATTTAATTTAAGAAGTTAAAATTTGATAAATTAAATTTATGCATTAGATAAATTTATTATTCTTTCAAATATAATATATTAATTGAGTAGAATTATTTAATTAACAACATTAAAAGAATTTTTAGATAATTTTCTTTGGATTTTTGAGTTTCCTACACTCTATTAAAAATCTTTAGTTAAAGACAGACATCAGCATCTAAACGAAATTTTTATTTAAATATATAACTTATGATTAATCTTAAAAAAAAAAGAATTAATTTTTTAATAAAATTAAACATAATTATGATACTTTAAAATTTCATTTTTCAATTCTATCATTTCTCGACCTTATCACTTAATTACTTTATTTATGCTTGTAAGACAGAATTTTGATTAAATAAAACTATCATTCTTCTATTTAATTCACTAATCCCTTCTCCATATTATTCTTTACTTAATTCTAACGTTTTTATTTAATGTTTAAGTAAAATTATTAATTTTTCTTATTCTTAGGAAGCTTAGAGTTCTTGGCTCTATTTTCTAGATTATTTTTATTCTTAATCATGCTAAATTTTTTTGAGAATCTATATGACAGGCTAAGTAGCTTGATTTAAGTTAATCAATTGCTTATTTTCTTCAAAATCATCTTGATTTTCTTTCAATAATTATTCTAAAGTTTACACAAAAAAAGCATTTTTTTCATTAAACTTTTAATCTAGATTATCTAGTGATCCTTTTAGTTAATTACATTCATTTTCCAAAAGTTCCTTCTCTTTTTCAAGTTTTTCTATTAGTTCTTAAAATGTTCTGTTTTATTCTTATGCTACGATTAATTACTATCTTTATTAAGCTATTTCCAAGCCTTATTTTTCTATAATATCATTCTCTTTATTAAATCTTTCTTATGAAAATTAATCCTGTTCCTATATTTATTCTTTGTCTTGATTTATTTTATCTAAATTTTATTTAGTATTTACGCTTGATTAACTTTCAAATAACTTTATCTTTTCATTTAATGATTAATTAAATTACTAAAGTTATAGCTTTTCTTGATTTAATAATGATAATTACTCTTACAATTCTGATAATTTTAATTTTAAATTTTTAATATCATTTAATAATGGATTTTCATTATCTTAATCATCATGTAGACTTTTTTATAATTCTGCTGTTTTGACATCTTGTTATAATAAACTAACTGAATTTAAGTAAGAATCTTATGGCTTTGTTTTTTTCTCCATTACATCATCATCTTTCTCTAAGTCTAATTAGTTTTCTAATTTAGGACTTTATTCTTATAATATTCCATCTCTATCCATTTCCAAGAGCAAGTATTGATTTAATAGCTTGTTGTATTTCTCTTTTTACTTTTGAATTTCTTCATCTAAAGCTTTTTCATGTTCTTGCTTTTTCTCCTCCTACTTTTTATTTAATTCATCATTGAGTTCTTCTAAAGCTAAATGTTCAGCTAACAGTTAATTAAATTTATTTTTGGATTTTTCATATTCACTCTTATCAATCAAACTTTCTTAATTTTAATTTGTTTAATTCAAAGCTTACATAGCTTTTTCACATTAATCTTATAATTTCAAATGTTCATTCAATAGATTATTAAACAAATCCTTAGCTTTTAATTTTTCATCATCTAATTATTATTAAAATTCTTTCCTCAATTACTTTTCTTATTCATTAATTAAATCTCCTACATTTAGTAAATGAAGATGTTCTTCGAGAAGATTATTGTATTTCTTTTTGTAATAATCTTCTGAATCTTAATCTAATTTTTATGCATCGTTATTTGCAGATTCTAAATTTAATTATGGTTCTTACTAATTTGACTCTTGGTTTGTTACTTTATCTAGCATCAACTTTAACTATTATACTTCTTATAGTAATTAATTATTTTAGTTCTACAGTTCTTGATTTAATTGATTGATGTCTTATTTTGAATCTTACTCCTTAACATCTTATTTTTATGCTAATTTTCTCTCCATTACATCATCATCTTTCTCTAAGTCTAATTAGTTTTCTAATTTAGGACTTTATTCTTATAATATTCCATCTCTATCCATTTCCAAGAGCAAGTATTGATTTAATAGCTTGTTGTATTTCTCTTTTTACTTTTGAATTTCTTCATCTAAAGCTTTTTCATGTTCTTGCTTTTTCTCCTCCTGCTTTTTATTTAATTCATCATTGAGTTCTTCTAAAGCTAAATGTTCAGCTAACAGTTAATTAAATTTATTTTTGGATTTTTCATATTCACTCTTATCAATCAAATTTTCTTAATTTTAATTTGTTTAATTCAAAGCTTACATAGCTTTTTCACATTAATCTTATAATTTCAAATGTTCATTCAATAGATTATTAAATAAATCCTTAGCTTTTAATTTTTCATCATCTAATTATTATTAAAATTCTTTCCTCAATTACTTTTCTTATTCATTAATTAAATCTCCTACATTTAGTAAATGAAGATGTTCTTCGAGAAGATTATTGTATTTCTTTTTGTAATAATCTTCTGAATCTTAATCTAATTTTTATGCATCGTTATTTGCAGATTCTAAATTTAATTATGGTTCTTACTAATTTGACTCTTGGTTTGTTACTTTATCTAGCATCAACTTTAACTATTATACTTCTTATAGTAATTAATTATTTTAGTTCTACAGTTCTTGATTTAATTGATTGATGTCTTATTTTGAATCTTACTCCTTAACATCTTATTTTTATGCTAATTTTCTCTCCATTACATCATCATCTTTCTCTAAGTCTAATTAGTTTTCTAATTTAGGACTTTATTCTTATAATATTCCATCTCTATCCATTTCCAAGAGCAAGTATTGATTTAATAGCTTGTTGTATTTCTCTTTTTACTTTTGAATTTCTTCATCTAAAGCTTTTTCATGTTCTTGCTTTTTCTCCTCCTACTTCTTATTTAATTCATCATTGAGTTCTTCTAAAGCTAAATGCTCAGCTAACAGTTAATTAAATTTATTTTTGGATTTTTCATATTCACTCTTATCAATCAAACTTTCTTAATTTTAATTTGTTTAATTCAAAGCTTACATAGCTTTTTCACATTAATCTTATAATTTCAAATGTTCATTCAATAGATTATTAAACAAATCCTTAGCTTTTAATTTTTCATCATCTAATTATTATTAAAATTCTTTCCTCAATTACTTTTCTTATTCATTAATTAAATCTCCTACATTTAGTAAATGAAGATGTTCTTCGAGAAGATTATTGTATTTCTTTTTATAATAATCTTCTTCATCACAATCTGTCTAAAAATTTTCATCAAATTCTTTTTCATTTTTGTTATGTTTTAATAATTCATCTTTTTATTTCCCTTAAATTTAATCATCATATTTTTTTAATTATTCTTCTAATTGAACCTCTAATTCATCAATTTTTTTTTGTTTATCATTGTTTATTTCTTTTTGTTTCGTTAATCTTTAAAATGTATTTTCAAATTTATTTTCTAATTTTTTATTTTAATAAATAAGCCTAAACTACTTCGCCAACAATTTGTTATACATATTTTAAATTTTTTAACTATCTACTTAATTCATATCATTTTACTCTATGGATTAACTTATAATATTGTCATCATTTTTATTATCCTCATAATACTAATTTTGATTATCAATAAGATCTTAAACAATAGCCTTTTATTTTGATAATCTTTTCATTAGCTAATCATTTTCTCTATCTTTTTAAAACATTTAACATAATAATTTAAATATCTTTGCTAGATATTTTTTATTTTATTAATTTAATTTATCATTTTCGATTTTTATCATTTCATTTAAACTTTAATTTTTATTATCGTTTTATTAATCTTCTCTTAATTCCAATTATTTTTATTCTTATATATTTGTGTAATTTTATTATTAATTTTCTAATAATTATTCTAATTAAGCTTTCTTTTACTACAATTTAATTAATACTTCCGCATTAGTCTTTTTTTAAACATTTAAATTGCTTGTAAGAATAAATAGTTTCGCTATAAGTTTGCAATTCTTTTCTTTTATTTAATATGTACTGTTTTCTATTTTTGAAAATTCTTATATTATTGCATTTTATTTTGCCAATCTCAAATTTAATTATTGATTTTCCTTTATTTTTTTTTCAAGCAAAAAAGATGTTCTAAATAATTTAGATAACAACTTCTTATTTAGTTTTTCAATCTTATCATTTTCCTAAAATCTTTCTGGCTGTTTTACTGGATCCGATTCACAGCCTGCTTGAAGTGAAATTTCCTAATGTTGCAACTCAGGATTTATTTTTCCAATTTTATCCTCGAAAATTTAATCTATCAATTAATCATTAAGTGCTTTTTATTTTTTTATTCTTTCATTCAATATAATAAGTTCATTATCTTTTTTCTTTTATTGACTTAAAATCCTAAATAATTTAGAAAGCAATTTATTATTCTTTAATTTCAAAAGCTAAATCTCATTTTGATTTTTTAACTACTATTCCTAACATTCACTATTAAATTAATTGTTTTCATTTTCTTAATTATAATTAATTGATTTTTCATTATCCTCACTTTTGGAATCTGTATTTTAGGATAAAGCTTCAATAATTGCTTTTGATTTAGCTAACCTTTATTCAAGTATTAAAATTTAATTGTTTTTTTTATTGAAACTACTCATAACTCTGAATAATTTGACTAATAATTTTTTATTCTCAATTCTAAGTTTATCATTTTCTTAGTCATGAACACTTTAAATTTCATTTTATTATTTAGATGTGGACTTAACATCTTCAGATGATTTTTCTGGAAAATTACTATTTATCGCCTCAACTTATTGTTAATCTTCTTAAATTTATGATTCATTTAGTGATTTATATTTCGATAATCTCTCATTTAAGTTTTCGATCAATTTATTTTATTTATTAAATTTGCTCATAATTCTAAATAATTTAGCTGCCATTTTATTAAATTTTTGATTTCCTATTAAGGTAGGCTATTTTTCATACTCATTTTGATTAATTTAACATTAATTTTTCTCTGACGATTTTTCTTCAAAATTAAAATTTTATTCATTTTCTTTTTAATCTAAATGTGAATCAGTATTCACAAAAACTTCTTAATTAGTTAACTCCTAAATTTATGCTTTTTATTTCTAAATTCTCTGTAATAATTACTCAATCTCATTATTTTTCTTATTTATTAAGAACATAGATCTAAATAATTTCCCTTAGAGTAATCTATTTTAATTTTTAATTTTTGCTGAATCAATATCCAATTATTTGTTTTCGATATTTTATTAAATTTATTTATTATTTTAGAAATCATCTATAATTAATTGATCTTATGAAGATTCTTTTATTTCTTCTTGATTATGTTCTGAAAGGAGAGTTTGATTTATAGCTTATTACTTTAAAAGCCGTTCCTTCATAACTTATAATTCGTTGTTTTAAATTTTTAACTATGTTGTAATTCTAAATACTTTTGACAATAATTTTTAGTTTTTAGTCTTAAGTTTTTGTATTTCATTATTTATTTCTTATTGATTATCTTGAATTAATTTTTATTCTTGATCAATTACTTCTTCTTATTTTTATACTATTTATTCTTCGTTTAGTTTTTACTATTGCTCTATGGTTTTTTAATTTTCATTTAATTCTGTATTGATTGCCTTTTATTTTTCAAGCCTTTTCTCTAATTATAAAATAATCGATTTTTTTTATTAAAATTAAGTTGCAATTTTTAAAATCTTGCATAAAAGTTTTTGATTTTGTAATTTTTGTTTCCTAAATTCTTCCTGCCAATCTTATTGAACATTTGATTCTTTTGCAACTGATGTATTATCTTTAGACTAATCAATTTATTAAATTTAATCAGTAATATTTAATTTTTCAATTTTTTGATTATCTAATATTTGATCAGTAATGGCTTTCTGTTTTTTAAGTTTATTTTCTAAATCATATATTTATTTTTGATTTCTCATCAACTTTCCTGCTAAAATAAAGATGATTCGTATATTCTTACTATTTTTATTTTTTGTTTGAATTAACTCCTAAGTTAATTTAGCATTTTGAGCATTAAATTTTTCCTAATTTAATCTAGCTATTTGAGCCTCTTTTTCCTCTGTATTTTCCTTTTTCTATAGATTGATTATTTATTCGTGTTCTTACTTTTATTATTGGATTATTTATTCATAATCATTAATTTTTTTTTCAGCATCCTGCAACTTAATTAATAGTTAATTATTATCTGAGGTTATATTTTTATTTTCCTGCTCTAATTCCTATAACATCTACTTAAAGGTGGAATCATCTTAATTGTTTTATCGCTATTAAAATATTAGCATCTCCTTTTTTAAATCATTTATTTATTCGTTGGCTTGCTTTAATTTATCCTCTAAATCTCGTTATTTAATAGAAGTATCTTTTGATCTAGGTGTTAAATCTTTTTATTAATATTTTAAAGCTATTTCTAGATCATTAATTTTAATTTCTTAATCCTTTATATGCAACTCTAGTTCTTCAAACTTTTTTTAATCTTTATTCTCTTACTCTAAAATAGCATTGAGTTTAATGTTATTTTAATTATATTTATTAGTCCATTCTTGAATATCATTTTCTTGTAACTTTACTTTGTTTTCTAATTTTTTAATTTAATCATTCAAAAGTTAAATCTCTTTTTATTTCTTGTTTTTATCATTTTCTAATGTTTCCTTCTAATCCAATGTTTCTGTATATTTAGCTTTCAAATTAGAAAAATCATCACTTAATTGTTTGAATTATGAACTCAATTCAATCTCTTCATTATTACCACTACATAATTCAATCAGATCATTTTAAAGATTTAATTTTACTTCTAAAGGCTTCGATGTCAATTCTTCATATAACTTTAGATTTTCAGCTTTTAATTCTTAATTACTGTTTTATATAGTATCAATTTAATCCAAAAGCCTCTTATTTTCAATGTCTAGTTCATTTAAATTATTTTTTAAAACTGTAATGCTTGCTTCTAACTCATTTATTTTGATTTAATCTTCCCGTCTTTAATTTTCCATTTCCTCTTTTTACTCTAGCAAATTCTCAATTTTACCATATGCAACTAAATTTAGAAGATTAGATACTTGCATAATAATTATCAATTTCATCTTTATTCGATTAAAGTTATGAATATTTATTTTACCAATTTATTATTTCTTGTTGATTAGATTTTAATGTCTCTTCATATTCACCGATTTCCTCTTGTAAATCACTTATTTATTTTTCATAATTTTAGATAATAGCAGAGCTAAATAATTAAAAAAAATAATACTTTTCATCAATTGAATTTTTTTATGATTCATTTATTTTTTAAGGAGTTTATGATTATTTTTGAGAAGACTTTTCCTTCATCAATTTATTCTAAAAATCTTATAAGTCTTTCAATAAAATAGAATTTTAAGTCGAAAGTTATTCAATTTGTTTATCCTTTTGGTCATTATCATTCCAAGCTTAATTGAGATCATTTGTTAATTACGCGTTTTCTATTTTCAGATTTTCTATTTCGGTTTAAAGTAACTTTTCCTTTTAATTCTTCTCAAGCTCCATAGTAAGTACTTCTCGTTGTTTATTTTAATCTTGACTAAGTTTGTCATTATCAATTTTTAATGATTTACTACTGTGAATTGATGATCGTAGGATACCTGGCCCTTCTGTCTTCTTAAGCATCTCATCAGCTTGCTTTTTATATTTTTCCTTTTCCTCCTAAAGCTTTTCTACTCTCTGACTAAGCTATTATGCAGCCTCTTTATTAATTTTTGACTCTTTCATGGTTCGTTCTAATGCTTGTGAATGTTCAATTTTGAGTTCTGATTTTACTTTTTATACTTGAGTTTCAATTTACTAAGATCATCAAATTAAAAATATACTTTGATTCCGATGGGTGATTGTCCTTAATTTGCTTGCTAGATACTTCTCATAAATAAAAATAATTAAAAATATAGAAAACCAAACCAATTATTAAATCTCAAAATATTATGCATTAATTATCCCGTTATGGATTGATAAAATCATTAATTTATTTTTTTCAAACTTCAAATTCTTGAATAATTAAAACTATTATTATCTAGATTTTATACATTTTTATATCATATATTATGTGTTTCAGGAGTTATTTATATAGCACGCGAAAAGCCAATACAGTTAGAATAAGTGATAAAAAAAGTTAAATGAATCAAACTAAGATGAATTTTTATAATTTACATAATTGAATCAATTGAATTTTGTATATACTCTAATTTAGTAATACTTTAAAATACTAAAAAGAATAATTTATATTTATTATAATTATTTATAAATATGAGTGTCTCTTAAAATTAGTAATAAATATATGAAGAACTAATGGTAATCAAATTATTTTACTATATCAGGAAAAAATAAAGTAAAATTCAGAGATAAAAGAGAAATTTGATAGCAGAACTTAAAATGGATTATTAGATAAGGACTATGCACATGAAATCTTGATAGATTGGAGCGAATTACTTAATTATGATCTCGGTGATGCAATTACTTATTTTGATCTCGATAACCCTGACATACCTCCTGAAGAGATCAGATAGCACTTAGATTTTGACAGTTTCATTAATCTGGTGGACAAATGGCTATNTCATTATCATTCCAAGCTTAATTGAGATCATTTGTTAATTACGCGTTTTCTATTTTCAGATTTTCTATTTCGGTTTAAAGTAACTTTTCCTTTTAATTCTTCTCAAGCTCCATAGTAAGTACTTCTCGTTGTTTATTTTAATCTTGACTAAGTTTGTCATTATCAATTTTTAATGATTTACTACTGTGAATTGATGATCGTAGGATACCTGGCCCTTCTGTCTTCTTAAGCATCTCATCAGCTTGCTTTTTATATTTTTCCTTTTCCTCCTAAAGCTTTTCTACTCTCTGACTAAGCTATTATGCAGCCTCTTTATTAATTTTTGACTCTTTCATGGTTCGTTCTAATGCTTGTGAATGTTCAATTTTGAGTTCTGATTTTACTTTTTATACTTGAGTTTCAATTTACTAAGATCATCAAATTAAAAATATACTTTGATTCCGATGGGTGATTGTCCTTAATTTGCTTGCTAGATACTTCTCATAAATAAAAATAATTAAAAATATAGAAAACCAAACCAATTATTAAATCTCAAAATATTATGCATTAATTATCCCGTTATGGATTGATAAAATCATTAATTTATTTTTTTCAAACTTCAAATTCTTGAATAATTAAAACTATTATTATCTAGATTTTATACATTTTTATATCATATATTATGTGTTTCAGGAGTTATTTATATAGCACGCGAAAAGCCAATACAGTTAGAATAAGTGATAAAAAAAGTTAAATGAATCAAACTAAGATGAATTTTTATAATTTACATAATTGAATCAATTGAATTTTGTATATACTCTAATTTAGTAATACTTTAAAATACTAAAAAGAATAATTTATATTTATTATAATTATTTATAAATATGAGTGTCTCTTAAAATTAGTAATAAATATATGAAGAACTAATGGTAATCAAATTATTTTACTATATCAGGAAAAAATAAAGTAAAATTCAGAGATAAAAGAGAAATTTGATAGCAGAACTTAAAATGGATTATTAGATAAGGACTATGCACATGAAATCTTGATAGATTGGAGCGAATTACTTAATTATGATCTCGGTGATGCAATTACTTATTTTGATCTCGATAACCCTGACATACCTCCTGAAGAGATCAGATAGCACTTAGATTTTGACAGTTTCATTAATCTGGTGGACAAATGGCTATAGAAGCAGTTAATTTAATCATCTCCTAAATAAAAACAAAGTACGAACTAAGATCAGTATTGGTTTAAGAGTGAACCTGGAACGCTCAATACAGAATAGAGTGATTTAAAACATTAAGAATAATTAATCAGAGCAATTTTCGAGATTTAAGAAGCTAAGACTAAAAAGGTTTTTAATGAATATGCAATGATGAGTGATCAAATTGATACAATTAGTAAATAAGATTTTCCTCTTTTACTAAAAAATTTATTATATCAACATAATGCATCAATTTATGAAAAAGCTGGACAAGAAGATTATTTTATGAGAAGCAATTCTTATGGAAATTTAAATAACTTTTTAAGAGAAGATTAGATTAATTATTAATAATTTAAGGAAGCTGCTATTTAATTTATAAAAGGAAATCAAGATTTAATTCTTTTAGATAATGAATAAATTAATAAAAAAAAGGAAAAATAGCAGCCCTAAAATCCACCAAATTTAGAGGAGGAACTTTTATAATAAATAGAAAAATATCAACAAATTTTATAAAGTACTGATCCTGAAATTGAAAAGTAGGTTCTCAGGAATATGATAACAACTTTAGTACGTTAATTAGATTTAATCAGAGACAATACTATGAGATTGGATGAAACTCAAATAAATTCTACTCTCAAACCAAAAGCTAATCTTTAGGTGTCATTTTCAGGAATAGTAAGACCTGAAAAAAGGTCCAAAACAAAAGAAGAAATAGAAATAGAAAAAAGAGATAATTAAATATTGGAAATATTTCTTTTTTTTGCTAAATAATAATATGTAAATGGAGTTGCATATGAATTTGATAGATATACAAAAGAAGCCTAAAGTTTAAGTTTAGGTATGTTCTTGTATTTTTGTAAGTGTTTTAATTTGATTGAGACTCATGTGAGAAATCCAAACGAAGAAAATTTATTAGAGAGAAAAAAAAGAGGAGAAGAAGTTAATATAACAAAACTAAATCAAACAATAATAAATAAAAGTTTATTAGAGGAGGAGAAATAAGTAGAATAAGGTTCTACTATTATATCTCCAAAACAAAAACCTCCTACAGTAGGAGCGGACATTAAAAAGGTTGAAAATTTACCTCGAAGAAATAAATATTCTCACATCCCTTCAAAATTTGAGTAAAATATCATATAAATATTTTAGATGGTGGAATGATGAATTAAAATTTGATAAATACTACAATCCTAATTAAAATCCTTTGCCACAATAAATCATGGATGATATGAAATTTTTAACGAAAGATGAAATTAAGAGTCTGTTTAAAAGAAGTTCTTTTGGAAAAGATGTATAACAATAAATTTAAATAGCTTGATTTTGATGAATTTAAATGTTTGTTAGGATTTATGGCAAATCTGATGTTCAAATAAAATGGGGAAAGACATCCTCATGCCTATTAATTGATGTTAAGACTAATGTACATTGATTATCCAGAAGAATACAGAAAAAGATTAATTCCTGTTAAAATACCTTTTAATTGCAAAGAGAAAATAGGTTTTAGGCTATTGCCAGGTTATGAACATCATGAATATAAGGGGAGATAATTATCTTAATAAGAAAAACAGCAACTGTAAAAATTAAAGCAAGAGCGAGAAAATCAATTAAGAGAAAGACTTACAGAAAATCCTAATCAAAGCATAAGATCTATTGGATCAATAGGATCTCAATCTATTTCCAATTTACCATATAATAAGTAATAAGGAAGATTCTTAAATGGAAGAATAGATTTAGATAGGGAAAAAGTATCATGGGCAAAACTAGAGAATTTAAATCCCAATGATTTAAGCGGTCATGGTAGAAATTTTAAACCTTAAGATTTGATTGATGAATTTGAAGATGAAGAAGATAGGTTAATCATTTTTTTATTTTTAGATTTTTTTTGAAAGAATTTTCACTTGATGAAGAAAAAAAAAACTAACCAAAACCTGAAGAAGTTTAAAAAAATCTTGAAAAATATGGTGCTTACAAACCTCCAAAGAGGCCTACCTAAAAAAATTAAATGAGTTAACCTTAACTTTTAAACCAAAGATATGATTAGAAAAGCGTAGACATGAAAAACTAATACTTATAAAGAGCTAATCAAATTTAATAACTACAAAATAAAAAGGAGTAATAACTACTCTAAAAAATAAACAAATAATATAAGATTTGATTATTTTAAAGTATAATTATTCGTATTACATTTTAAATAATCGTAATAATTATTTTGAGAAAAGAGCTTTTTAAATTTTTAAATTAAATTATTTCTTTTCAAAATACTTATTATTATCCATTCATACAAACTCCACAGGTATTGCCTGCTCCTAATCTAATGAACCCTGACTCTCCCCAACTTGAACCCCAAGTATTTTTCAATTTCCAAACTCCATCATTTGTTATCCCAACAAGTAATGCACCATGATTTAAAGAGGTTCCACATTAGGTCAAAATACCGCTATATTTTATTAAAATAATTCTTACCTTCGATAAAATTACCAAGAAGTTGCATCAACTGATACAGCAACTGTTGAATTAGCTAATACTTTAATCAAATCATCACAATTTTTTACAGTGATGTAATCTGAGATGCGAAATGTTCTTTAAACATTTTTACAGACTCCACTTGTTGAAGTTGTTGGATAATCTTTTTCGTAGGCCAATCCTTTTTCTTTTACATAATTTAATGAACTTGAAACAAATCCACCTTAACATCCTTTATTACCGTATTGTTATGTACAGTCAATTAAATCTTATTATGATAATGGACTATAAATATTGTTAACGATTTTATTATTTGCATCCAAAAGATCTAAGGTGAAAAAAATATATGAGGCACATTATCCTTGGTTTCGAGCACTTCCAGCATATTATGACCAATCAATAGCTTGATTTAAATTTGAATCATCTTTAAATTGCTGAGCAGCTTGGGGATCTGTAATTTGATGGTCAAATTATAAATATTGAATGGAAAATTCTTCTGATGTTAAATCAGCGAATTCATTAATTTCTAAAACAAAATCATTCTACTTTTAGTTTATTTCATCAATATATTTAACATTTTGCTCAAATACTTTTCTTCTATATCTAGAAACTATTTTTTATTTTATTACTCTTATTCGAGGGCTGAATAGTATTATTTATGATGTTTTAGCATCCATAAGTGATGCTCACTTGAAATTGGCTCATCAATCTAACCTTATAAGAGAATCGAACTTAATAGAAGAGCTGTTCCTAAGATTATATAAGATTTGAAAGCCATATTTATATTAATGATGTAATGCCAAAATTTCTTTATGTGAAATACTTATTAAAATAACGGGACAACCCGTTTATAGTTTTCGAGAATTATATATTCATAAAACATTTATCACATATTTTATCATTTTGATTAATAATATTAAACATTTATAGAGACAGTATCTTAAATAGAAATACTAAATAAATTGAATTCTTAAAATTATTAACCTTAATAGTTTTCAATTAAATTTGAAAGATATATAAAAATAAATTTTTACAGCAATAAAACAGATGCTCATTCAATCTATTGGCTTAAATTTCATAAGAAAATTAAGAATTTTTGACCTAAAAGCTAGTTAAGTTGAAAAATTTTTAGTTGAAATTTAATATTGATATTAAGATTCTAATATTAATTCAATTTTAAGATTCATTTCTTTTTAAATTCAGGAGATTTATCATCGAAACTAGCATCATTATCAGAAAAAACATTGCCAAGAGGTTATTCTTCTGAATCATCCTTTTTAAAAAGAGTGTTTTTGAATGTTTTTATTTACTCAGCAGGGGGTTTATCGCCTTGGTTAATTAAGGAACTTAAAATGTTTTTAGCCTTAATTTATTTTTTGGATGATTTGGTTCCTCCAAAAAAGTGTTCCAATTCATCCTCTGAATTATAATTATAAACATCTGAATCAGATTGATTTTCAGGTTTTTCATTATGTATTTTGATTTTTTCTTGAAGCTGAATAACACTAGTGTCAGAATTAATGGACGGTTATCTTGACATTTTATTTATATTTTATGAATGAATCGAATCCTTCATCATAGATCGTTAAGCATCTGATAATTATTACATTCCACTATCTCCTTCATTATTATTTTCAATAATAACTTTATCTTCTTCCTCTGAACTTCCATAACCTCCATTTTAAGCCCTTTATATTTATTTTTCTAATTTCAATTTTCTTTACTCTATAGCTTATCTAGCCAACTCTTTATGATGCTCTATAAAATTGTTTATGTCTATATACGTTGGAGTTGACTAAGGATTTTTATTTGATGTCTCTCTTACTGCAATACAATTTCCCATTTAATTATATAAATTAATGAGTTTTCCTTTTAATCCATCTCCCTCTTACTCATTTAATATTGCCAAAAAGTATCAATACTTTAATACTTAGAATTCAATCCCATTTTTTATTACCTTAAATAAGTATGGGGCCAGGTTAATATAATCCTCAAATTGATAAGAAAGGAGGAACTCTTAATTTTGGGTCATACAGCGAGCGCAAAATGATATTAGCTTAGGATTCTTTTACACCTGGACCTTTTCATTATACTATAAATACAACAAGAAGTTAAGGTGTTTCATTTCCAAATTCTAAAAAGGCTTAAAAGTAACCAGCTCTTAGTCCTGGGCCAGGGTATTTTTAAACAAAATTAGGCAATATCTACCAGTAGATTAACTTCATAGTAGATTTGGAGGATCTATTTCTAGAACATCAAGAGATAACAACTTTGATAATAAAATTCCGGGAGCTGGTCATTATCCTATTAAATCAACATTAAATGGTTTAGGCTTTAAATTTTAATAATTACATAAAAGGGCTAAGACAGATCATATGAGTCCTGGTCCTGGATCTTATTCAATCTTAAAAAGATCTATGAAGCATGGTGTCAAAATGCATAATTCTAAGAGAACTTGGTCTTATATTCTAAAAACAGAGACTCCTGGTCCTGGAACTTATTAAAGCAAAAGCTTCATTCAAAATGGAGCTTCATCCAAAAATTCAATATCATTTTTCAAAGAGTAATCAAAGATCTTAAATAAATGTTATTCTTACCATGAATCAAAATTATCCAATAAGATTGGAACTTAAATTTAATCCAAAGCATATCTTGATTCTTATGAAACTTTAACAACAAGATAAAAATTCAAGTCTAATCATTTAAGATAATAATAAAATAGTGATTCTTATAATAGATTAAGGGAATATGGTAAATTAAAAGTAACTTTTACAAAATAAGTTAGAAATGAGGAATTTCTAGATGAATTTTCTGCTCCAAATCCAAGAAAAATTAATAGATCTCCAGGTCCAGCTATTTATGCTGATATTTAATTCAAACCTAATACCAAATTAGGATTTGTACCAACATCAAAAAAAGGTGATTTATTTAAACCAAAGGAAGGACCTGGGGTAGGTGACTATTCTAAAATTATTCCTTTCGGAAAGATTTACAATAAACATATAATATCTAAGAGATAATTATTTAAATTTAGAGATCTTAATTAATTTGATTTTGAATAATGACTATTTATTTATTAGTACAAAAACTTTAGAAAATTATAAATTTGATTTATCTTAAGTTTTTATTAAGTATGATATTTAAGTATAAATAATATGTAACTACTCTATTTTTTGAGTTATTCTTATTGAAATAATAAGATAAATATTTAAATGTTGTTTAGCCATTGAGAATTAGTAAATTATAACTTTTATGATGTAATAATATGATTAGATTGAAATTTAATTATATATAGTTGGAAAAAATCTTGAAAATTATATATAAACAAAGCATAAAAATTTTGGAGTTTATAAACTATAAAACCATAACATTGAAAATCTTTTTTACACTTATGTGCAGTAATAATTTTTAGGGATACATAATTAATATATGATTAATTAAATGTCATTATTTTTAAGTATCTTTGAAATTTGCATCAGTATAGGATTCTCTTTTAACACAGCCTAAAGCAATCAGCAACTTGTGCATAAAGGTTTCTTTTTTTTACTTTGTTGTGTATGCTCTTATTTCTTTTTTTTATGAATCAGAATGTCTGCTCCGTCGATATTACTATTTGTAATCTTAAATAGATTGTTCAGTTTGTGTTTAGAGTATTATATTTTACCTCATGAAAGATTGTTGAGAAGTAGCTGTAGATTTAGAGAAATATTAATTTTCTTAATGTAAAGTATTTCCATAGACTCTGACTCTATTTTATGAGGTTGGTAACTAATCCAATTCAAATTCATTTTTATTGAGCCATGCATGATTTAGGATCTATTTCATCGTCAATCTATCTTTTTATTAATATTTAATTAGACCAGTAATTAGATTTTTAACATCCGAACTCAAACAATTATCAGAAATTTAGTAATTGATCTTAACAATATTATTACATCTTTCAATATCATTCTTCCCTTTGAATGGTGCTTCACCATGTAATAATTCATATAATAAAATGCCTAAACACCATATATCTAGAGTATGATCATGAGGTCTATCTTCAATCATTTCAGGAGCCATATAATCTATTGTTCCACAGAATGTATTTCTTTTTTTTGAACCTAGATTTTCAGCTGACCAACCAAAATCACAAATCTTGACATTATCTGCTACATCTAATAATATATTTTCAGGCTACATATTATTTAAAAAGACTTACTTTGAGATCTCTGTGAATAATATTTTGTTGATGCAAATAATCTATTCCTAAACAAGTTTACTTAAAAAACTTTAATGCTTCGTTTTCTTATAATTTTCCTTTTTTTGTTAATAATTAAAAGAGGGAGCCATGTTCTGCATACTCTAAAATAAGATAAACTTTATCCTTATCTTCAAAATAATGGAATAATTAAGTAATATTTGGATGATTCAATTTCCTTTGTATTCGTATCTCTCTTTTCAAGTTTTCAATTGAACAATATTCAAAANAAATAATAAGATAAATATTTAAATGTTGTTTAGCCATTGAGAATTAGTAAATTATAACTTTTATGATGTAATAATATGATTAGATTGAAATTTAATTATATAAAACCATAACATTGAAAATCTTTTTTACACTTATGTGCAGTAATAATTTTTAGGGATACATAATTAATATATGATTAATTAAATGTCATTATTTTTAAGTATCTTTGAAATTTGCATCAGTATAGGATTCTCTTTTAACACAGCCTAAAGCAATCAGCAACTTGTGCATAAAGGTTTCTTTTTTTTACTTTGTTGTGTATGCTCTTATTTCTTTTTTTTATGAATCAGAATGTCTGCTCCGTCGATATTACTATTTGTAATCTTAAATAGATTGTTCAGTTTGTGTTTAGAGTATTATATTTTACCTCATGAAAGATTGTTGAGAAGTAGCTGTAGATTTAGAGAAATATTAATTTTCTTAATGTAAAGTATTTCCATAGACTCTGACTCTATTTTATGAGGTTGGTAACTAATCCAATTCAAATTCATTTTTATTGAGCCATGCATGATTTAGGATCTATTTCATCGTCAATCTATCTTTTTATTAATATTTAATTAGACCAGTAATTAGATTTTTAACATCCGAACTCAAACAATTATCAGAAATTTAGTAATTGATCTTAACAATATTATTACATCTTTCAATATCATTCTTCCCTTTGAATGGTGCTTCACCATGTAATAATTCATATAATAAAATGCCTAAACACCATATATCTAGAGTATGATCATGAGGTCTATCTTCAATCATTTCAGGAGCCATATAATCTATTGTTCCACAGAATGTATTTCTTTTTTTTGAACCTAGATTTTCAGCTGACCAACCAAAATCACAAATCTTGACATTATCTGCTACATCTAATAATATATTTTCAGGCTACATATTATTTAAAAAGACTTACTTTGAGATCTCTGTGAATAATATTTTGTTGATGCAAATAATCTATTCCTAAACAAGTTTACTTAAAAAACTTTAATGCTTCGTTTTCTTATAATTTTCCTTTTTTTGTTAATAATTAAAAGAGGGAGCCATGTTCTGCATACTCTAAAATAAGATAAACTTTATCCTTATCTTCAAAATAATGGAATAATTAAGTAATATTTGGATGATTCAATTTCCTTTGTATTCGTATCTCTCTTTTCAAGTTTTCAATTGAACAATATTCAAAAATCTCTTTTTTATACATCTAAAATTGAATAATCATATGTACAATCTTCATAGCATGCAACTATCCATTAGTTCTATCTTTGACTAACCTAACTGCTCCAAAACTACCTTTACCAAGTTATGGATAATCATATATAAGTTCAAACTCTTCTGGAGTTCTTTTCATTTATCTTAGGGTTGATACTTTATCACTATAAGCTATTTCTTATGAATTTAACATGTTTTAAGGAATACATTGATTTTTATGTCCAGATGTCCTTAAATAATAATTCAATTTTACCAATCAATATCTCTGCATCTTTACGAACAATAATAAGCCTGTTTACAAAAGGGACAATAAACTCTATATTTTGGTATTGGAACCATTTAAGTCGATGTTAAATTATATTGACAATATCGAGAACTGCAAACGTTCATCAAATAATATATTAATATAATGTAATTATCCTATTAGTATCGAAAATCAACAAGTTCACCTATTTTAAAATCTCATAGTTTACCAACAATAAATGAATTGAAATTTGCTTTGAGAACTAGGGCAGGAAGTGATTAATAGCATTCAGTCAAAATAAATTAGGACAGTTTTATTGCATGTAGATTGTAAAAATTATTATAATCAGAGTAATGGCTATTAATTCTTTGCTATATGTGATGGTCATGGTTAAAATGGGCATCTTGTTTCATAATATTTAAAGAAAAACATTCCAAGTATAAATCATGAGAATTAGTCATTCTAAAGAATTATTTAAAGGACATGTCCTTAAATTCGGAAGGTATAAATTAAGCAATAATTCGTTCATTCCTTAAAATTAATAAAGATTTATTTCAGAGTAATATCGATACTAATTTGGCTGGATCCACTATTGTATCAATATTAATTAAAGATTAATAAGTATATATTCATATGTATATTAAAATAGATATTTTGTTCAAATGTAGGTGATTCAAGAGCTATTATTTGCTAAAAAGCTAATACTTGGATGGCCATTTAAATTAGTGTTGATCATAAACCAAATAATTCAAAAGAAAGAGCTAGAATCGTAAATGCCGACGGTCGAATATCTTAAAGAAAGAACTCAGATGGTTATCCTGCTGGTCCTGAAAGAGTTTACTTAGCATATTCAGACACTCCTGGAATAGCTATGACTAGAAGTTTTGGAGATAAAATTGCAGCTAAGGTTGGAGTCATAGCCGAACCAGGTATTACTCATTATACTAAATAAAGAGATATTAGAATTTAGAAGAACGAAAGCTCATAAATTTATTGTACTTGCTTCTGATGGTGTTTGGGATTAATTGACTAATGATGAAGTTATGGATTTGATACTTCCTTATTTTAAAGACAAACAAGTAGAATTGGCTACTGAAAGAGTTGTAAGGGAAGCTTTTAATAGGTGGAAACAATTTTCTATTTTAAGAGACGATATAACTTGTATTGTAATTTTTTTATGATTTCATTTAAAATAGTTTATTTATATATATTGGTCAAGTAATTTGTTTAACTATCAATTCAATATCATCTTAATTATTGAACTATCAATAAGTTATATTAATGTTGATTTTAATAAATAATCATAAGAACATTATATACTGATACTATAAAAGTTTCATAATTAGTGACAAAATATATTTTCCTTTAGAATATCTCCAAATACTAATGATCTTAGTTTTAAGTAGTTTGATTTTAAAATATATTTAAGATAAAAATAAATAGAATAAGGTTAGTATTATATTCTACCAAGAAAAATTGAATATAGATAATTAGATATGAAATCAATCAAGGAGAATATTATTTTTAAAAGCTATAAACTTATCTTTAAAATTGAGATAACCTAGAGGCCTGTAAAATTTAGATTTATTTCATAATTATTTTGCTTAATGTATAATATATGAAAAAAAGCTAAAGAACATAAAGTTTTGAGAACATAAAAAATATAAAATATATATGTAAAAGAATATTTAAATATTTTAATTATTTAATATTAAAATATTTCTTTTTATTATTTAATATTTATAGGATGAAAGATATTCACTATCTTTTATCAAATTTTTCTAGCTTAGCTTCTCTTAACTTGAAATCCCTTCTATCTTTTTCATATTATTTTTCATTTAAAATTTAACACTCTTAAAATTCTCCAACTTTGGATAACTTATTTTAAATCGATTTCAAATCATATTCAGAATTAAATTCAATATAAATATATTTATAATGAATGATTCTATAAGCAGATAAATCATAATTTTGTTTTAAAGCATTTGTAATGTTTTCAAAAGCAGATTTTTAAAATAATATTTTTTAATTTTTTTAGATTTATTAATTTTTGAGTTCATCTTCTGGAAATTTAATATACATGATATATTTTTAATTTATTTTAATATCTTCAGGAGTATTCAAATTAATATTATAATTGCTTTTAAATTAATTTAACTTATTTTTTTGATTCTATAATTCTACTTAGGTCAAATCTTTTGTCAAATTAATAAATATAAATCCAGTCATATAAGCATCAAAACCAGCTGTATGATATGCATTTTAATCTAGATTGGCCTCTATTTAAGTATAATTCATATTATTTTTAATAAATTCTGCTAAATTTTCAACAGATGTTGAATTTTCTAATTTTCCTCTGATTTTTTCTAAAGATTAAGCAGACTAAATGATATATTTAGTATCATAAATAGGAGGCCAATTTCTAACAATATCTTCTTTAAATTCTTCCCAAGATATTGGAGGACATTAGACAAAATGACTGTAACAAAACATAATATCTGCAAAACAATTATGTCCTACAATAAACTTTTTTGAATTCAAAATACAATCCCATATTTAATAAAATCCAGTCTTAGTTTAAAATCTATTTGTTTTTAATATTTATCTTTCTTCATTTTTTGCTTATTTTTCTGCATTTGTTAATTTAGTAATTTTCATTTCTCCTTTTAATAAGGATTCTCCAATCATATTTTTCTAATAAGCTTCTAAATAAGTATAAATAATTTTTCTTTAATATCCATTAGTGGTTTCAATAGTGGTTTATTTTTCATCTGATTTATGAAATTTTTCTAGTTTATCAATTAAATCTTAAATCTAATGAATAAATAAGAATGTCTTACTGTTTTTTTATCTGCTGCTTTTACATCATCTAAAATCTTTTCAAATTATCCCTTTAATTCTTCTTAGTCTAATTATTAAAAGTCTTTATTATAATCATCTTAAAGCTTTTAATATTATGCTCTATTTAAATAACCTATTCCTTTATTAATCCATCTATTCCAATCCATACCATGTTCACTATTAAAAAATATAGCTCCTACTTGTAAACCAACGAAATCATCTAAACTATTAATCATAATATTTTCTACTCTTAAGGAAATAAGAAGAATGTATAAGGAAAAGCCACATATCCTTTTTAGTTTTTGATAAATATGCACAGTCCAAATTGAATAATATTATATTTCATACTTACTTTTCGTACCTATATGTCATTAAAAATACCTTTAAATATCTTTCAAAGGGTAATTCTTCAAATGTATCTTAATAATCACCCTTAATCCCAGTTAATTCAAGATCAAAACCTATAAAATCACAAACCTTTATCTGCTCCATTATTGTTTATTTGTTTTACTCAAAATTATCAAGGTCGATAAACATTTTTTTATATAAATATTTACTATTATTAATTATATGAAATCATTTCTTAAACAATATCTAAACAATACCTTTTTTTTTATCTGCTGGTTTTATTGCTAATTCATCTAATATTTCTTCCTTTTCTTTTTCTGAGAATTCCAAAAATTAAAATAATGTTATTAATATTGCTTCTGCTAAATCAAATTTTTAAGTTTTTGGTCCACAAGCAGTAATAAACTTTTTTAAACAATCTTTTAAATGAGCCTTAGCATGAACAGCTTAAGGATCAACAGATGTCTTTTACATTGCCATCATTTTATGTTTATACTACAAAATATTTCTTTTATTTACATCTCTAGCCAAATTATTTAATTATATCATTTATTCCTCTTTTGCAGCTATTCTTTCTAATAAAATTTAAAATTTTCCTATTATTTTCACATTTTCTTCATTTGCTGCTTCCAATTTTGATTTCAAAATATTAACTTCTTCTGTATGTGAAAGTTATTATTTATTTAAAGCAGAATTCTTCATAATAATAATATTCATTATTTACTTCTTTTTTATTTTTATCATTATTAACAATTGCAGATATCTCTAAGTCTCCAATAAAACCACTAATATCATTTTCATCAATTTCTAACTAATTTCCATTTGATGGGAAACTTAAATCTTCATTTTTTTCTTCTTTTATATTACTCAAAGCTGTTTTTATTGGCAATTTAGCCTTCATCAATTAAATGTCTTTTTGATAACTCAATAAATTATTTTACTCTTGTTAAGTTAATTTAAGCTATATATATATATTATTAATTTATACATAATTCTAAGCATAAAAAGAGGCTGGTTAATTTCTTAAATATTCATCCATTAATGATTAGAGGCATTAATAATAAGTAAATTTTCTTTCACATTACTTTTCATGTTAAGATTTAAATTATTTTAAATAGTCAAGTATGTTTTCTTAATTAAATAATTCTTTTAATTCATTTAAAATAGAAGAACTTTAATTTTATGTTGCTTAAATTTTATTTATTTAAGCTATTTACATTTCAAGTTCTTTTTTTAATGCAACAATTTCAGAATCTTTCTAATTATTAATCTCATTAATTTTGTTTTCATTTTATGCTTTTTAAACATCACCTCCTTATTACTTACTAATTTCTAATTGACTTTTTAATTCTAAAATTTCTGCATTTAATTCTTCTATTTATGTAATTACTTAGTTTTCTTTAATGATTTATTAGTTTTTCATAATATCTAACTCACTTTTTAAAGTTAAAATTTCAGTATCCTTCTAATATGATTATTTATTTGTTTCATTATCTTTCTTACTTTGTATACTATTCTCTTAATCTTTTAAAGCTTCAATTTCATTTTACAATGTTAATATTTCTACATCTCTTTAAGCAAATAATTTCAAAGCTTCACTTTCTCTTTTACTATACTCTGTTATATCTTTATCTTTTAAAATTAATACTTCCTTTAATTGATCAACTTATTTTCTCAAAGCAGATATTTATGAATTTAAGTTTTCTATTTAAGAATTTAATCTTTTTTACTCTTTTACTAGTAAGGCTTCTGCATCTTTTAATTATTAATCCAGTTATTAATTTTATTATTCTTTTTATGATAATTTTTAATTCAAAAGTAAAAGCTTATTATCAACCTCAAGTTTTTAATTATTTATTTATTATTTATTTTCAATTTCTTATTACAAATCTAATTTTAATTACTTTATATCTTATTATTAGAAATCTGTTTATAAGGATAACTAATTATTTTATTATTTAAGTTTTTCATACTCCATTTTCTATTATGCAATTTATTCATCATGATCTTAAGCAAGTTAATTATTTTACTATAATAATTTTTATTCTTAAGCTTAATTTTCTTATAAAGAAAGTGTTATTTGATTTTATTTAGCTTTTAAATCACTTTCTAATAATTATATTGTTTCTTATTAATGATTTATTTACTCTTGTAATGTAGCTATTAGTCTATTTTAAGCTTAATCTGCCTCTATTTTATTTGTAATTTAAACCTAATTTTCAACTAACTCTTTATTATTTTTCTTCAATTCCAAAATCTCATTTTTCAATTAATTATTTTTTTCTTATAATTCTAAATTCTTTTGATTCAATTAATTATAATTTTGAGTTTATTGATTTATTTATAATTACAACTTCTTATTACTTTAGTCTAGTTCTTAGTTTGAATGTTATTATACATTTAATTCTTATTAAATTGACTAAGTAAATTAAGTTCTTTCTTAAATTTAATTCTCAATAATCTAAATTTATGATTGCAATTACTAAATCTTGTTATTACATTTCTCTGTTTCCTTTAATTGATTTTGTAATTTATTTTCCTTTTCAATCAATTCTTAATTTTAATTTTTAATTTTTATGTCTATATCATTTATAATATCTATATTATTTGCTATAATAATTTCTCTAGCTTCTAAATTCTATTCTAAATTAAGTTTTAAATCTTTTAATTAATTATTATCATTTTTTATTGATTCAATTTCAATTATTTATTGATCTATTTAATTTGATTTTTATTTAATATCATCCATTAATTTGGAACTTTTTTCTTATTCTTACTTTAGAATCTATTGTAATTCATTAATTTTAGATTCTTTCATTAATTTATTTTACTCTAAATCTTTTATAATATTTTTTAAATCTTAAATTTATTATTGATTATTGTAAACATCTTCGGCTAAATTCTTACACTTTTAATTTAAATCTTAATTTAATTGTTACTAGCTTTTCAATTATTATGATATATTCTCAATTTCCATTTAATAATTACTGATATCTTATTCTTGAATCTAATTCTACAAGATTTATGTTTAAAGTTCTATAGTCTTCTCATTAAGTTCATTCTGTAAATTTGTTATTTTGAATTCTTGCTGCTATGCTAATTAATTCAATTCTTCAATTTAGCTCTTAATTTATTATTATTATTAACTTTCTTAAATTTTAGAATATTCAAAAAAAGTTTGATATTTCTATTCTGAATCTGCAAGTTTTTTTTCTAATTTTTCTATAATTGATTTATTTTTTTCTAATATTTCAATGAAAACTTCAATCTATGATAATAATTTTTATGTTTCTTAAGATTACTTCATAACTTTATTAATTAATTCAGCTTCTCTAATAACTATTTCTGAACTATACTATGCCTTTGTATCTTCAATTTATTAATCATTTTTTAAATTTGTAATTTCTAATTATTTATTCAAATCTGTTATTGTATTTAATTATTCATTCAGCATTTCTGAGAGCTTAGCTTTTTCCAAATTTGCATCATTTTATAACTAATTAAATAATTCTATTTATTAGGTTAATTCTTAAATTTACCTTTCATGTTTTTTAATTATTTATTTATTTTGATTATCACTATTTCTTAGTGTCTCAATTTCTTAATTCAAATTTGATTCGACATTATTTAAGGCTGATTAATAATTTTAAATTTCATCTGATAATTAAATATTTTTTTATGTTAGATCTTAATTTAAAAGAACAAGTTCTTCATTTTCTTAATGTTGAGAATTCAATTCTTCAATTTTTAATTAATTTTCTTTTAAAAAATTTTATCTTTCTATTTTAACATCATTTTACAAATCTTAAATTCTAGATTCCAATTATTATATTGAATCTTAAGCAGAGATTAATTCATTTTCCATTATATTCAATTTACTTTAAGTATTTTCAAGTTAGATTTATTTATCATTTAATTAATTTTATATTTTTTCAGCCTCTTCTAATTCTAAAATTAATCTTTGTATTTTTTCTGTTGATTATTTTTTTTCATCTTCAAAATCTTATTTAAGTTTTTTGATTTATTACTCTAATTATTATATTTGATTTTAATATATTGCTTATTATTCAGTCAAAGTTATTTCATCTTTTTATTTTGTAAAAATTTAATCTTCTAATTTTTTGATCTTATATTATAATTCTTAATGTTCAATCTTTGCTTTTTAATGTTATTATTCAAATAAAATAGTTTATTATTTTTATTATTAAATATGATCTTTTTTTTAATTCTACAACATTTCAATTTCATGCTATTTTCCTAGTATTATTTGATCTTTAAAATTTAATGATTCTTATAACTTTTATATTGTTTGATTGAGAGTTGCAATTTGCTTTTCATGATGATGGATTGTTCTTTCTTAAATTTATATTTTTTGGTTTAATCCCTAGAATTCTTTAACTTATTATTGCAATTAAATTATTTCCTAATTTTTATTTTTGATCATTTTTTCTTTGATATTCATTTAATCCTAATATTCATTATTAACTTTGGTTAAATCTCTTATCTATTATTCAAAATTTGAAAGACTTTTATTCAAAGTATCAATCTAAGATTTTAAATGACCTTAAATTGTTGTTTATTCTAAACTTTTACTTCTTATTTATTCTGGAGTTTCATTTAATATTCTACTATTACTTTCATATTATTAAATAATTTAATCTTTACTCTATATAGTGTTATCTAAAATATGTAATTATTCAGCATGTTCTTAATGGAGTCTTTTGATATTATTCTTTAGACTATTTATTTCATCCTCATAATTTAACAATTTAATTTCCTATTACTTAAATGCCATTTAAGCTTGTTATAAATCATTCTCCAATTACTTAATTAATTACTATTAAGTTTCTATTTCTTATTAAGATACCAAATCTAATTAAAAGAGACTTTATTATTCTGAATTTCTATTCTCAAAATCCTCTTTTTAAGTTTGTAATGACTAAACTATTTATTTATTCATTTATTAATCCCGTTAATATTAATCAGATAACTCTTAATATGATTACTTTAAATCATTATATTTTTATTTAATTTCTTGTAGTTTTTATTGAGTTTAACCATTTTCTCTTTCTTTTTCTTCTTTTTCAGACTTTAGTTTAGAAATCTATTAATTAAGTTGTTCAACTTCAGAGGAATGATCAAGAGAATTGTGTCTAGTTTAATGATAGGTAATTGTAAATACTTATTCTAATTTTACTTTAGATCCACTATTTCTTAACTTAATGATTTTAACTTTTAACTTGAATCATCTTTATAATTTTAATACTCAGAATTCACTTCAATTTTTTATTTCTACACTACTTAATTAGAATATTGTTACATTTTTTTTCGCTTTCCATAACTTTAGATATTTAGAGTTTTAGTAATTTATTTTCATTTTCTAATTATTTAGTTTTTTTTAAATGATTCTAAATAATTTCATTAAGTTCTTCTATTTATTATTTTAAACTCATGATTTCTGTTTCTTTTTCAACAATATCTTCTTAAAATTAATTCAATTAATTTTCTAATAATTTATTTTAATTATTTTTGGAATCAAGACTAGATTATGATTCAACTAATAGATTTTTTTATTTAAATTTATCAATATCTGAATAAATATCTTAAGGTCTATGAGAATTTAATAATTAATTAGAATATTATTTATTAGAAAATTCTAATTATTGTTTTTTATTTTCTAATTTATTTACTTTAGCTTCTAGTTTAGTGATAACTGCAAATAAGTTTTTATTTTTAATATTTAAATCTTTATTTTAGATTTCTTACTAACGTAATTAAGTATTGATTTCAATAAGTTTATTATGATCTTATTCTCTACTTTAGAGACTGATTGCTATAATTTAATAAAGCTAATCAAATGATTGAGGATATATATTTTAATATTTTTCAACTAAAGAATAGAGTTTATTGAGTTCATCCTTCTTTAGTAATTAAGGAATATTTGTATTGTAAAGTTAATTGATAGGAATTTATGCAGTTTAACAAATTTAATTGATTATATTACGCATATTATTCCATTCAATAATAATGTCTCTAATATCTTTGATTACTTGCACTTATAATATTTATGAGGATTTTTAGATCTACAATTTCTTGGCATTAATCGATATGATTGATAGCTCTTAGAGAATTTCAGTCAACAAATCATCCGTCCTACACGTCATAGGTGGGTCATACCTTATTTATTCAGTTTTGCGAGTACTTTTGTCATCAGCTCGTTTAAGTAACTTATCTAAAGGTTACTAAGAGAATTAAAAGTTATCACCACTCATTCTACTCTAAAGTAAATTTGATTTAAGCACTGATATTTCTTTTTCTATTTACTAACGACCATCTTTCAACATATTGAATCTAAGAGATGAACATAATAGTCTATCTGAATCCTAATCTTGATGCTTTGTTGTATATGAATCAATAAGAAAATTTTACGAATTACGAGGTCCATAAATTCCAGGAGATATCATCTATCTTACAGGTTAGGGTGAAGAAATCCCAGGTTAAGGAGAATAAAATGCTGTCTGAGTATTTTATCTGCTTTATTTTTACATTATTTCAAATTATAAATAAATTATAATAACAACAAATTCACATTTACATAAGATTATTTTATATTTCAACCCAAACTGTTTAATATTGCTAGAATTATAAACACATCGATTTCATCATCTTATCTAAATATTCCTTAATTTATAAAGAAGAGTAATTTATAATCTCATCAATTGTTTAATATGCTCTTTAGTTCAAAACTCCAAACTGATTCTTTAATTATAATTACTATGCATTCTCCTTAAAATACTTCAATTAAATAAAATACAGTTTTGCACATGCATTAAAATGCAATTTAAGGAGTGGATTTTATTTACTCTAATTTGAAACTATCTAAAAAACTTTCATCTAAATCCCATTTTACTACTTCTCCCATCTGATAAAGTTTCTCTTTCTTTTATTTTAATTTTTAAGAAAACTCTTAATAAGATATTAAAGATTTCTCTCTTAAATTTAACAACTCTCTAAGAGGTTAAGTTTAATGATATTAAAACCTTTATTGTGGATAAATTGTTTCATTCAAAATCTTTATCTAATTTGATTCTAACTTTTATGAAGACTCAAATAAATCTTATAAATTTTTATAACAATCTTTTAGTCTAGTATTTTAAGCCTTTGATTCTCTAAATAATTCTTTATATACTTCTGTTAATTAAATTAATGTTTAATTTTTTTATTACATTTATTTCATTAACTATTTTATTAATTTATATGCTTTTTTTTAAATAGGTGTTATATTAGTTAAAAAGTAATCAGATTATTTGATAAAATTAGTTATGGATGAATTTATTCTAACGTTAATTTCACCTTTCATGTTGCAATAATTAAATTATTGATTAAATGAAAATTATTCTGACTATAGAAATTCTTGTATAATATTTAAATTTCTTATTTCAAAATCTCCAAGTATAAAATTGAGAAACATTTGTAAATGTCTTAGTTATTTAATAAATGTAAAATCAATTGGAGATTTTCTTTAATTTGGAATATTTGGTACTGTATAATACTTATTCAAAATATTTTTGAGTTGAATAAATTCATCATAAGTTCTTCTTACCACCCAATTAGTAGGTTTAGTTTCAATTTAAAAATAAATAATAGTATTTTGAAAAATACCTTTTTATACTTTTTCATATCCAACAACAATAGCTTAAACATCTTATATTTAAGATAGTGCATTTGGAATAGTCTTATTGCATTTTAAAATAGTAAAATAGTCATTTTATTAATCTTGAAATTATTTAACAAATTCTATAAGTTGATCATGATCCCATGATTCAAGATCATGTCGTTGATCAATAGATTTTTAAAAGGCATCTATGTTGTAACCTTTTTCAATTATTTCTTTGACTAATAAATTTTGTTTTTATTACAAAGACATCACTATTAAATATTAAATTATTTTGTATTTTAATATGATATCTCATTAAATTTTCTTTCTCTCTTCTAATAATCTAGCATTTCTGATTCTAGAGAAGAATTTAAGGATTTCATCAACTATCACAACTGGTGCTGATACTCCAATGATCAAAATCCTAAAAATAAAAATATAAAAATAACCAATCTTGAATTGACAAAGGTACAGTGTTGAAGATGTTTTCAAATAATGGAACATAGCAGATCATGCAATGGAGAGTCATAGATCCAAAAATAGCTAAAATTAAATATGGGTTTGCAAATAGTCCAACTTTTAATATTGATCCATCCTAAAAAGAGTTTAATAAAATAATTATACTTCAGATAAGGCATTTAAGGCATTAAACATTTCAATAACAACAAGTACAGAAAGACTTAAAGTGGAAGCCTTTTATTTACCCCAAGAGAAATAAAGGCATGGATCTTTAGAGAAATCATATTTTTCAAAATTGGCAACTTTGAATCCTTCCCAATGATGACATTCAGCCCAATTTCTAAGTTAATGGAATGTAACAATTGGATGTCCATCACCAGCCCATTCATATCCCAAATAATAATAAACAAAGACAAAGACTGTAGCTAATCCAACATATGTTCCAATAACACAATATCTAATGAATACAAATTCAGTGATAATTGGTTCATCATGTTTTCTTGGTGGTTTTTACATAACATCAGGATCAGGTGGATTAAATGATAAAGCAGTAGCAGGTAAACCATCAGTTACTAAATTAACCCATAATAATTAAATTGAATTGAAACCATCAGGAATACCTAAGACTGATGATGTGAAAATAGATACAACTTCACCAATATTAGATGAAATCATATATCTTATAAATCCTTTCATATTTTAATAAATAGCTCTTCCTTCTTCAACAGCTCTTACAATTGTGGCAAAATTATCATCAGCCAAAATCATATCTGATGCTTCTTTTGCAACTTCAGTACCAGCAATACCCATAGCAATACCAATACTAGCTTATTTTAAAGCAGGAGCATCATTTACACCATCCCCTGTCATAGCAGCTATTTAATTTAATTAACCAGTCAATAATTTAACTAATTCTCTCTTATGTGATGGATCTGTTCTTGAGAAAACTAATCCACTTGGTCTTCCAATAACTTATTCAAGTACTTTCTTTTATTTCTCTTCTCCCATTGTTGAGAATTCTAATCCTGTAAATGAATGAGTTGGGAATTAAGATTAATTATGTAAGATACCAATTTACATAGCAATTGATTATGCTGTCTCTTTAATATCACCAGTAATCATTATAACTGATATTCCAGCTTCTCTACATTTTTCAATTGATCTCTTTACTTCACTTCTTGGTGGATCTTATAAAGCGACAACACCAATAATTATAGGCTTACTTTCTAAATCTTTATAATTATTTGTATCAATTAATAAATTATGAGCTGGATGTTTAGGTCCATCATAATCACTTAATTAACCACAATCTTCTTAAACACAAATTGCCAATGTTCTCAATCCCTTTTCTGCTAAATTCTTAACAATTTTCAATAATTCATTCTTATCTTAAGCCTTTAATGGTACAGCATCTCCATTTGAATTAAGAATTAAATTAGACTTTTCTAATAAATAATCAGGAGCACCCTTAATGAATAAGACATTTGCTTTTTCATTTTTGGAACTAGCTAAAACAGACATACTTTTTCTGTCTCTTGTAAATTCTAAAGTGGCTCTCTTTGTAAATTCACCAACAATCTTTTCATTATATTATTCTGGTGCATCTAAAGTTGGTTTACTATTGAATGAACTATCATATTTTCCAATTTTTTCAACTAATACTTTTAATGCAGCTTCAGTTGGTAATCCACTTCTTTAAACTCTTCCTTTATCAGTGAATAATTTAGATTCATTGCATAAAGCCATAGATTAGCATAATCTGTTAACATTTCCAGCTAAACTGTTTCCTTTGACTAATTTAGTATCTAATCCTTCGATTTTTCCTTCAGGATGATATGATGTTCCTTCAACTGGGAATACATGTAATGATGATGCTTCCAAACCTGTTAATAATACTAATTCTTTAACACACATTTCATTAGTTGTCAAGGTACCAGTTTTATCTGAACAAATAATAGTTGTGCATCCCAAAGTCTAAACTTTTGGTAATTTACGAACAATAGCTTTTTATTTAGCCATTCTTCTAGCTCCTAAAGCTAAACAAGTTGTAATAACAGCTGGTAATCCTTCAGGAATAGCAGCAACAGCTAATGCAACAGCTACTTTGAAATAATATAATGCTCCCATTACTGTTCCTCCATATGCAGGATCAGAGAAATTACCAATATTCATAACCCAACATATGATACAAATATATGTAACATATTTAGCTAATTTATCTCCAAATTCATCTAATCTTTTTGATAAAGGATCGTCATCTTCTTATTTCTCTTTTGCTGCATCTTATACTTCTTTTTGAATCTTTCCAATTTCAGTTCTCATTCCTGTATTGCAAACTATACCAATTGCAGTTCCATTTGATACTAATGTTCCTGAAAATAAGAAATTTATTTTATCTTATACGGCTGCTTAATCTTTTAAAACTGGATCAGTTGTCTTATTTACAGGGTTTACTTCTCCTGTAAGAATTGACTATATAATTAATTAATTTATAATACTTAATCTGTTTTCAATGTAATCGTCTTCAAATCGACCATTCTCAAATCTGCTGGAATTCTATCACCTTATTTGATTTCAACCACATCACCAATTACTAAATCTTTTGCTTCAATCTATCCCCAATTTTCATCTCTTAAGACTATAGCATGAGGTGATTACAAATCTTTAAGTGCCTAAAATTACAACACGTAATCATACTTCAATTGCTCTCTCTGCATCTAAGTCTTACCAGATACCTACAGCAGCATTTAATATCAATATTGTAAATATTACACAAGGTTCAACCCAAGGAGGCACTGCATGAGATTCTTCATGATCTTCAAATTATGAAATCACAAAAGATATCACAGCAGCCAATAATAATATTCTTACTAAGTTGTCTTCAAATTATTCCTTTATCTTTTCCCAAATACTCTCTTTCTCTTCCTTTTCTAACTCATTTGGACCATATTTTGTTAATCTAGCTTATGCTTCAGCTGTTGTCAAACCCCTTATTATATATACTTATTATACTTTTATAAGCTTGTTTGAACTGCTGTAACTACCTTCTCTACTGGATAGGTGTGGAATGGCTATTTCAAATCGATCTCTGCCATTAATTAAAAATTTATAATATATGATATTCCCCAAAATCTTTATATGTTATATAATTCATTTTATATACCTAACTATTCTCATATATTCTTCACTTTAATCATTTAATTCTAAATTTATTTATTAAGGATTTATTTTTATTATTTCATCTTTCCTAATAATCATTTCCTGAACAACATCTCTACATATTTCTCAAAATTATTTATATATAGAATTTATATATTTCATATCATAATTTAATTTATTCTATAATTCCCTCAATAAAATCTAAGACTTGTTTCTTTTCCTTCACAAATACACAATGAAATTTGTTCTTGTAAAAATTAAACATTTTTATTGGTGATTGTAATTCATCCATTTAATTACAATTCTTAAAAGTTAAAAGCTAATATTTTTCTTAATCAGTAAACTCTGACATTATTATGTTTTTAAACAAATGAGGCAAATGATGGATTATAATAAACTCTATCATTTGACTTGTTCAAGACACAATTAATTTTTATGAAAGCTGAAAATAAATTTTATGTTTTTGGTACAAATTTTAAAATATTTCCATAAATTTATTACACTACCCATTGTAAAATTATTCATATAATATATTTTATCTTGAAAAAATGTTTAAAATCTCGAAACAACTAGAATGAAATATTTTTGTATTTCAAAACAATCCTTAATGTGTTTTATAAACATATCATTAATTTAAAAAATGATTTATATAAATAAAAAACAAAAATATAATTTTTTTCTTTACTTTCAATAAAAATATCTTTTTTCAACCCTGAAAGCAGGATTATTTTAATCTAAAGCAGAACTTTTAACTTTCTTTGGATTTTAATCTGTAACTCCATAATTTAGGTCTCTTATTTTTTATGGTGATTCAATATATTAAGATTTAGTTGTGAACTTTGAATTGGAAAGGCGAGTTGAATTTGATTAAAAGCTAAATCTAGTCGATTCTTAGGCAGTTGATCGATTTTTGATTGGAGTCAGCTCAAGAGAATGTAAATTATTTTTAGACTTTAACATCTTAATCACCCAATCTGAATTTAATACCTAATAAATATTAATTCTTTTTTAATGTGCTAACATCTATTATAATAAAAATAAGCATTCTGTAGACAATTTTTGATTGAATTTAATTAATTATTTATTACAAATTTTTTCATGTAGCTCTTCCTTTTCTTTGGCTCTAAATAATAATTCACCATGTAACATATACTGTAAAATTATTAATTATTTGTGATACATATAATAGAATTCCCATGGACCAAATATCAACTGCCTTGTCGTGTTTTTCCTTTCTTATAATCTCTGGTGGCATATATTCAGTTGTACCACAAAAACATGGTTTTGCTTTACCACCATTTGGTAAGAATGTTGACCAATTGAAATCACAAACTTTTACATCACTATTTTACAATAAAATATTATCGGCTTTTATGTCTCTATGAACTATATCTTTTTCATGCAAATAAAGAATAGCTTAAGCAATTTAATAGAAATAATGAAATGCTTCTTCTTCATTTAATTTTTTTTTTTTTTTTATCAATTCATCTAAGGTTCCTTGTCCACAATACTCTAGAACTATATATATATTATCTCTATCTTCAAAATGTTCAACGTATTCCACTATATTTTTATGCTTACATCCTGATAAGTAATTTAATTCATTTAATATATGTTAAGTTGCATAAATTTGCTTAATATAGCTTTTTGAAATCTTTATATATAAATTTGTTACTATTTTAATAGCAAACTTTTTATTTTAGACATTGTTAATTGCTAACTTAACTTTCCCATAAGTTCCACTTCCTAGTTCAATCTAAAGTATCTCATACTAATCTTTGTGTAATTTCTTATGAATTTGAGGTTAAACTGTTTGAGGTTGAGAAGGCAAGTTATAGAACGAATAATAATTCATCTTAAATGAGAAATAAATAAAAATAAATAAAAATAAAATATGATATTGAAGTCTTACTATTACAATACAGATATACAAAAAATTTAGTTTATTTATCCAAAATTAAAAGAGTAAATTAAAATTTGTTGTCCATAAATTGTTTCAATTTAACTTATCAAAATGCTCATAATTGATAATTATCTTTAAAGATTTAATAAAAATAAGTTTCAATAAAAAAATATTGGTATTTAAATAATACTAGTAATAAATAAATTTAATTTATGAAAATAATTATCAAAACCTTAAGTGGATAGACTTTTGATCTTGAAATACAATAAACAGATACAGTAATTCTGATTTATAAATTAGGTTTTAAAAATAAAAGAAAAAATTGAATAAGTTAAATAATTTGAAGTAGCCTAATAAAAACTTTTAAGAAAAGGAACTCTTTTATTAGATAATTAAACAGTTGGTGAATTGGGATTTTAAGAGAAAGACTTCATTGTAGTAATGGTGAACGTAAAAGTAATTCATATAATTATAATTTATCTAGAAAGGTCCACCTTAATAATAACCTGCATAATAATAGGTACATTAGGTACCTTAATAACCACAACCAATTTAAGCTTAACAACCAGCTTAAGTATCAAAGCCATTAAGTAATCCTTTAAATATAGGGACTGCTTCAGAATATGATATAACAATCCAAAATTTGATTCAAATGGGATTTGCGAAATCTGAATGTGAAGCAGCTATGAAAGCAGCATTAAACAATTAAGATAGAGCTATAGAATATTTATTAAATGTAATGAAATATCTTGCTATTTAAGGGTATTCCTATTGTTAATCAACCACCATCATAATAAGTACCAAATGCTAACTACTAAATAGATTAAAATACATTGTAACAATTAAGAGAACAATTTACTTAAAATCCAGAGGCAATTCTATAAATGTTACCATAATTGTAATAGATAAATCCTTAATTATATTAAGTAAATAAAATAATTACATTTAATTAGTAAATTTAATAAAATCCGTAGGCTATAATTTCTTTACTTTTAGGACCTGGCTAGGAAGGACCAGATGAGATTGAGACAGAGATAACCTAAGAAGAATAATAACACCTTAATTAGTTAATAATGATGGGATTCACAAAAGAAGATGCTTTAGAAGGATATTTGACTTGTGATAAAAATGTGGAAACTGCGGCTTCCTATTTATTTGAAAAATAAGCTAGAGGAGATTTATTAAGTATATTATCAATATATATGTATGACAGGTTAACATATTGAAAGAGAAGAAAACAATCCTGAAAATTATCATGATGAAGGTGAAGATGATGATCAAGATGATGATGATTCATATTATTGAATTTCTATTATTAATTTATTTTCAACTCAAAACTTCTTTAAGAATTATTCATACATAAATGTTATTTAATAAAAATTCTTGTATTTCTTTAAATGTTTCTTCAAAAAAAGGACATTTCCTCTTTAGTTCTATTTGCATAAAATTTTTATAACTATTTAATATATTTAATTAACTCAGTATTTATAAAAAGTATTTCTTATTTATATAATTGAATACTTCATGAAGACTTTAGTCATTAGAACCTTTATCAGACCGACCTTAACTTAAATATTTCTTGCTCAAATTCAGTAACATTAGAGAATAGATTTTTAGCTTTTATATAAAATATTGGATGACTTAGCTATGAAATAAATTTATTTAATACATTGCTTTCACCCTATTTTTGAAATAATCATACTTATAATTTATAAAATAAAGTAAAAGAGATTCAATTTAAATCTAAAAAAAATAAATAAAATGTTATAACAGTTTCAATTATGGAAGAAATTTATGATATGATTTGGAATATCCAATTATGGATTTAAACTAATTTTATATATATATTTAAATTTATTAGGAATAAGTTTTTGTATATTTTCAATATGTTAATATACAATCTATAATATATCATTTTAATATGATGTCTACATTATCATGAGCCCCTTTTAAAAGCATTTAGCCTTAAAAATCAAGGACATTTTATTTTTTGGCTGCTCTCAATGTACCAACAAGGGCCATAGAATATTGATATAGAATACTTCATAATATTATTATGTTTTTTCATCGTTGAATAAGACTCCAAATTTTACAACATATTTTCCTTCGGCATTCTTTGTACCTAGACGTTAAATGTCTTTTTTTATTTCCTCAATTTCTTCTTAAATTCTGTCTTACATAAAAATAATTATTAAATAAAATTCTCAATTCAAATTGAATGTGTAAATAACAAAAAAAAATAAAATAACTAAAAATAAGAAAATCTAAAATAAAGATAGGTAATTATAATTTTTTCAACTTGGTGATTTATTAACTAATGTTGGAGTATAAATCTTCCAATAAAATGTTATTGCTATAAGCGATCCAATCCATGGGCCAATGATAAATATTAATAAATTTACCATCTAACTCCATCTACCATAATAAATTCCATAAAACATTTATAGGCTATAAACATATGTTAAAATGTTTACCCAAATGCAGCTGCTGGATTAAATAAACTATTTCCCATAGTTGCAGTATATCTAAAATAATTAGATATATTATTACTATCTGGCTACAAAATAAATAACACTAATAAATGCTGCTGATTAAACTTAAGAAGTAGTAATTTTTGTGTTTTCAGCTGTTTAAATTTAAATAAAAGTAAAGAAAATAATAGAACCAGCAATTTCAGATAAAATAGTACCTAATATTTACTTAGTTGGTAATCTAAAATTAATTATATTAATTTACTCTTCATTATAAGGTAATGTAGGGAGATTTGCAAATAAAGGCGTAAAAAACATTCCAGCAATCAAACTTGCAAATATTTGAGATCCAACAAAATAAACTGTTTTTTTTTTATTAATAGTTCCATCTATAAATCCAATTAATGTGCAAATTGGATTGAAATATCCTCCACTTAAGCGACCAAACAAAATTAAACTTGTAAAATAAATGAGAGATAATCCAAAATTATTTCTACATAGATTTTAATATTTTACTCAGCCGCTAAAGCCCCATAAATTAATAACAAAGTTCCAAAGATTTCAAAAGTAACGATGCTCATGATTTAAGCAGCTTCTTTTTCTTTTGAATCTTCTTAGTTGATTTAGAACTAATTTACTGTAGGTTCCATATTATTATTTATAATTAATCAATATAATCAATTTAGTTTATTTCTAGTTAATGTTTGCATCATCTATTTTTACGACTATGACATCATTCCTTTAGTTAACTATGTGATTAATTGCTTAATATATTGATAATAAATATACTTATTGTTCTTGATTAATTCTTTTATTTTCAATACATTCAGCTAACATAGCTTTAATGCATCTCCATATTTATTTAAGATTAGGTAATTGATCTCCAGAAAAATAATCAGGAGGTGAACATGAAACTATTAAATCTTTTAAACAAGAAATAAACTTATTTTACTCTTTTAGTTTCAATTTCTATTCATTTATTTTAACTAAACAAAGTGAATGTAATTTTGGTTCAAATATATTTTCCTTATTTACTAATCCAATCTCATTAAAAACTTAAGATACAAATGTTTACAATCGTTATACATTTGCATAATTTCCTATCATCTTTTCCAATACTTAGACTTAATGCTCTAATTTTTTAATTTATTCTTCCTATTTTTTTATCAATTCATTTTAATCATTATTTAGAGATACTTCATGAACTGATGAGTAATTCATATTTTAAAACTGAAGCATATCGATATCCTCAGATTTAGAACTCTTATGTTATCTAAGTGGATGAAGACGAGGAGATTATAATGTTTTAAAAGAGTCATAGTTATCATATGTTTTACATCTCATTTTGAATTATTGAATTTAAAACTATTTGTTATTTTTAATATTTTAACAATTTAAATAATCATAAAAACAACAAGAAAAAGAATGGTATTTAATCCATTCAGCCTAATGTGATTAAATATTTCGTAATCTTTTATTCAATGTTAATTTGTTTTAATTTAATTTAATTTTTAATTTAATTATAATGTCACGGCTAATTGTGAAGAATATACCAAATTTGATAACAGAAGCTTAATTAAAGACAATATTTGAAAAAAAGGGTGAAGTTTCTGATGTTAAAGTTATTTTTAAAGGTAATAAGAATAGAAGATTCTGTTTTATTGGTTATAAGAATGAATCTGATGCAATCAAAGCTAAAGAACATTTTGATAAAACATATATAATGATGTCAAAAATATAAGTTGATTTTGCTAAAACTGTAGATGATCCAAACTTACCTAGAGCTTGGTCAAGACACACTCCTGGATCATCAGCATTTTAGAAAATTCATTAAGGTGAAGAACCACCAGTCACAAAAAAAATTAAAAAAAATAAAGAATAACAAGAATAACAAGAAGAATAAACAGAACCTTAAAATTAATAAAAATCTAAAAAATTTTAAGAGTTCTTATAATTAATGAAAACTAATTAAAAAACAAATCAAGAGATATCATGGAATGATAATGTAAATAATTAATTAGATGAAATATTTGAAAAAATAGAAAAAGAAAAACCAAAAATTATTTAATAATAACCTACATCTAATCCAAATGCAAATGTGAATGAAAGAAGGCTGTATGTGACAAATATTCCATATACAAGTACAGAATAAGAGTTGAAAACAGTATTTGAAAAATATGGAACTGTTTCTAGTTTAAAGATACCAAAATAGAGAGGAGGATCACTATCTGGATTCTGTTTTGTTGAATATCAATTGCCGGAAGAAGCAATCAGAGCATTTAGTGAATTAGATAATAAAATTGTTTTGGGAAGGATTTTTCATGTTAGACCAGCTTTTAAAGATGATAAAGAAGAATAATAAAAATAAGAATAATTAGAGAAATAAGAAAAGATGATAGGAGAAGAAAAATCATCATATAAAAAGTTTAAGAAATAACAAATGCTTGAAAGATTAAATGATACTACATCATGGAATACATTGTTTTTAAATCCAAATACAATCATTGAAGGAATTTGCAAGAAATATTCTTTGGATAAAAAAGAAATATTATCTGAAGAAAATGATGATATGGCAGTTAAGATGGCTTAAATGGAAACATAAGTTATCAAAGAAACAAAGGATTGGTTAAAAAGCATAGGCTTGAATATTGATTTTCTTAAGGTAGAAAAAAATTAATGTGAAAGATCTTCTATAACACTATTTGTTAAGAATATACAATTTAGAGTTAATGAAACAGATTTAAATGAACTTTTTTCAAGATATGGTTAAGTTAATAAAGTATTCCTTGCTCCTAATCGATCTATTGGAATTGTTACTATGTAAGATGATAAATAAGCTACAAATGCATTTACCAATTTGCAAAATTATAAATTTAAAGGATCTATACTTTATTTAGAATGGGCTCCAACAACATTAATGGGAGAAACAAATAAAAATAATGATGTAAATGAATAGATTGAAGAATAACAAAATGAATTGACTCGAATTCTTTATGTTAAGAATCTTAATTTCAGTACAACTGAAAAAATTTTACTTAAATTTTTATCTTCAAAAGTTAATGATATAAAGAAAGTTACTATTATAAATAAAGAAGGAGTTTCTTAAGGTTATGGATTTATTGAATTTGATAAACCAGAATCTGCCCAAAAAGCATTGCGTTTAAATAACTTAATTTTAGATGATCATCTTTTATAACTTAGTTAGAGTAAACCAAAACCAAAATAAGGTATTAATAAATTAACTTTTCATTAGATATAAATAAAAGAAAATAGAAATAGGAAATTGAACCTACAAATAAGCTATTAATTAAAAATTTACCCTTTGAAGCCAACGCCTAAGAATTAAGAAGATTGATCAAATAATATGGAGAACTTAAAAAATTAAGACTACCTAAAAAACTTGATGGCAGTATAAGAGGATTTGCATTTGCTGAATTTGTAAATAATGAAGAAGCTTAAAATGCTGCTGAATCTTTATAAAATACACATTTCTATGGAAGAAGATTAGTTATTGAATATTCAAAAGAAGAGTGACATTATTTTTTGTATAATAAATGTATTTTATTTTAAATTAATTATTTATATATTGGTTAATCAAGCATTATGACGCTCTGCTTTATTTTTTTCAGTTTCAATATAAATCCATCCTGTTCCTTTCAATTGAAGTCCAATCTTAAATTCTTTAGCTTTGGTTTATAGTTATTTTTTATAAAATAGATAATAGTAATTTTGGATTGGTGTTTTTTCAGGCAATATATAAAATCCATTATTGTCATGAAATAATTATGCATTTATCTAAGGAATGTAGTCAAGCAAAAATATATTCGAATTTTTCAAATAAAATTCATAATTAATTAGGACTTATTATTCTGGTTTTTATTCATTATTCTAAATTTCTTCTTACTATTAATCAATATTTGAATACTGAAACTTAATATATCCATAATTTGCGATTTTTAAAATATTTTTATTTTTTTCATCATTACTATCAGATACAGTAGAAAAATTGTCCAAATCTTAATTCTTGGTGTTAGTTTCCAAAACAGTAAGAAAATGATTAGGAAAAAATTTTAATTTCATATCTTTACATAAATAAATTATATTTTAATTTTAATAAGCAGTGATAACATAAGGGAAAAATTCTGAAGTAAAAGCACAAATTTTACTACTTATGGAATATTCAGCTTTAAAGAGTTAATAATTATGTTTCTTTTTATCAAATTATAGGAGGTATTGTTTTTAATGTTCATCTAGATTATTGAATGTTTTTTCTATAATTTTCTTTATTAAATCTCTTCTTAAGACTTCTATTTCATATATCTCTGAATAAATTCCTTACCTTAACATTAAATTCAATCCATATTTTATTGGAAATATCTTTGGATGATTAATTTTAATTAAAGTTATAATTTTAATGAAATCTGTATCTATCATTTATTTTTATTACGTATAAGTACTTATAGTAATAAGTGGGCAATCTTCTAAATGCTTTGACGTGTCATAATAAAGAATTTTGATTTCCTCACAACATTTTAATTAAATACTTTGAATATCAGGGCTTAATTTAAAATACTATAAGAATCCTGATTTTTTTTTTATTAATAAAGTAAGTTCAGCTAATAAATTTGAAATTTCAGACAATTTATTTTCTACTGTCTATAATCTTGTTATCAATTTATTTTCTTCATATTGTTATTTGGAAGACTAAATTTGATTTAACATATGATCAAGTTCTTACAATTTTAAAGCGTTTATCTTAGAAAATTTAAGCTTATCCTTAATTTAATCGATTAAAGCTGGATCTGTTTAATTCATATAAAGAAATATTTATAGAATTTAAAATTAATTTTTTATACATATAAATTTTAAGCGATTCTAATTACATCTGTGTGATTGATAATAAAAAATACGTACATTTTAATATTTAAATGTATATATTTATTGAATATCATAATCAATTCAGAAATCCTAAGGCTAGTACATAAAAAATAACTAAAATGGATGAATAAGCATTGAATTGACATATAGGACTATCATCTGTACAATTAATTTAGGCTAATTGATACGAACAGGCAGCTAGAGTCCAACTAGGAGAAACTCCATTAATAGAAGCAGGAGCTTACACTGTTGTATCACTAGGAATGTTATATCCATTATAAATTAAAGAATAAACATAGGTAGCCATGAAAAACTATGTACTTAAGTAGGGGTTTTTAGGATAAGTTTAATTAGCTTATTCCCAAGTTAGACCTGTCAAATCCTACAGTTTATTATAATAACTATCTTTTGTAAAAGATGTAAGGTTAAAGAAGTCGGCCATTGTATAAATTCCATTAGTCCCATAAACTGTTGATCCAACTACAGGAGGTTCATAGCTTTAATTAATGCTAGTATTTTAAGTAGTATTTAATAATTATAAAATTAAATTTTGACACAATTCTAAACTTCCTGTTCCATTTATTGTATAATTTTTATTATCAATAATTGTATTTGCAGAATAGCCTTTAAAAAAACAAGGAGAGTATATTACATCATTATCTCCTTGAATTGATAATTTTAAAACACTTATTCTAGCTTAATCATTTCCATAACCTAAATAAGATACAGCATATAATGAAAAATTAGTAACGTTCGGATTAACATTTAAAAGAACAAAATCTGGGCCAGTTGCATTATAAGGAAATGCATTTTGAGTTGATGCTCCTCCTAAATCCATTGTCAAAAGGTTCTTAACATTTTAATTAAGCAAATAAAAAACAGACATCCACATGTACATTCCCTAAAAAAATGGTATAAATATTTACTTCCTCTTATCCAGTGATAACTCTAACCCATGATTCGTTGTAGTAAAGTTAGGTTTTCTAGAATATTTATTAGACAGTTGCTATGATTTCATTTTATTATATTTATGATAATTATCTTAATCCAGCAGTGGCTCCAAGCATTATAGGAGTATACTTATACACATTTTTGGGTACAACTTTATATATGAATTCAATAAGAGGATTTAAGTAATTTTAAATTCCATCCAAATCATTAGCAAATGTAGCAAGGCCAGGCGATTACTTTTCATTATTAGACTTTTTATTAATTAAATAAATCAATTACTGTTTCACTAAGGTTAACCATAGGTAATGTCCATTCTTTTCTGCAATTCCATTAATAAATGTATACTCTTGTTCCTGAAGATCCTGCATCAAATATAGAACCATAACATTAAGGATTATTTTTAAGATCTTCATCTGGAGCCAAGAATCGATTTGAATAAACAGCACAAATTAGACTTATCAAAAAGATCATGGAATGAAATTATCAATTTATATATTTATTTTATAAATGATTAAACTATGTAATTATATTATGGATCATGAATTTCTTAATATTTTACCTTTATTACAAAAGGAATATATGATTATTAAAATCCATATGAATAAAATAAAGTAGCTTACTATCAAATAGATTAAAATGAACATTCTTAAATGCATACAATCCTCATGTTATAAATAAGCATACTAACAATAACTAAATAAAATATACTGTCAAACCAACTAAAATTAGAATGTTCAAAAATAACTCTACAAACTAAACTGCATCTATTAATTAATTTTGTTAAGATCCTCTATTATAATATAGAATTGGTATTTCAATCAATCTTTATAATAAATGAGTCCTTACAATTTAAATCCTGCCATAAAAAATAAGAAGATTTCAGCAGCTAATGACCAAGCATTAATAATATCACAAGACTAATCATCTCTTTTTTAAACAAATCAAAAATTACTATAATGACGAAAGATCAGAAATAGTAAACCCCAACTAAAATTATATGTGAAATCAAAGATAGTTGTCTATATATTATTAGCAGTTTAATCAGGGTTTTTCTTCTATTACAATTCTGCGTTTGTTTTAGATGTTGGAATATCAAAAGTTTCTTCATCATCTTCATACTGATTCATAAAATAAAACGAATATTAATTATTAATAATTCAATCAAACAAAGAGTCTACAGTTTCAACCAACCATATTGTATTTTATTCTTTCCCTCCAACTAACACAACTTCTCCCTAAAAAGTAGTTTTACTTGATGGTCTACTAAGAGCAGCCAAATATTAAGAGGTCTTAATATGTTTAAGTCTAAATGGATATTCAAGTACGAGTGTGCTCAATTCTGGTATACCTTTTTCAACTCCTAAAAATTAGAATATTTATACCTTCAATTTGAAATTCAGCTTCATCTTGTATTCCACAATTAACTTCAAGATAATCCTTCTTTTTGTTTCTAGCACCATTAATATGCATTAATCTCTTTCCTGTTCCAGTATGAGTTAAAAATAATAGAGAATTATTTGATATTGGATTTGTGATGTCTGTATTACTACCAGCCAATTCTAATAACCACCAATCATTTTAATCTCTTCTAATACAATATCTCCATGTTATTTCTTGCTACTTATTTCCATGAGAATAAGTGCTAGTGTGAGAATGTAAAGATCCTCCAGTTAAACAATTTCTAATCACCACTCTATCCATATTATGAATATATTTATAGCATCTTGGCCTTATTGGTTTATCTATATCTGCTTATTAATCTTTTATGACTATTGATTATCGAACAGATCTAGTTGCCTAAATTAACAAAGTTTTATACAGGAATAATAGTCCAATAATCATTTTAGTCTACTCCTGTATATCCTGTTACTTCATTGAAATCTTTCGGATTCTTATATTGTCTATTATGTGAATGCAAAGCATGATTATTATCAAGAACATTTACAAACTTTACTCTACTCAGATTTATATCATCAAATTTGTCAAATACCAATATAAATTATTATTCTCCTGTTCCTTCATACTGATTTGCTACCAACATTTCCCCTTATTTTGTTATTGGTGATTTATTTCCAATGTTGCTAAATTTAGAATATTTAGGATACCAAGTGATTACATTTCCAGTTTTTCCATTTCTAATAACCAACATATCACCTGGCCATATTTCAACTTTAGTATAATTAGGCTTTTTCAATCCCTAATTAGGAGGACTATACTTTTCTAATATCCATAAAGAATTTTAATCTTACTCTTTCTATGTTCCCAATAAATAGCTAAAATCATTCTAAATTCAAGTGTACCCATTTTGATAAGATACTTAAGTATCTGTTAAATAGCAGTCTGTTTCGTTATGTTTTATGTAAACAATATCCTTATGAATTAAAGTTTCTTATTCCATCAAATTATAAAAAAAATTATGAAAATTAATTTAATCATTTCAATCATCCAAACCAAACTGATAATATTATACCTAAAAAGAATACCATAATTTCTAAAATGAATTTAATATTTGGGTTTGAATTAGGTTAAGCTCCTATAATAAAAGAATTATCTCGATTTATGTAGATAAAAATTAAATACACATTTTCATTATTGATATTTGTCATTCCTTCTGTGATAGTATATTAAAAAGTCCATTATATAAAGAATTATTTCTTGCAATATTTATATATATATATTTATTATTTTAATTCAAATTATATTATAAATAAGTTTATTATAATAAATAATATATGCTATTGAAACATTCATCTTGTGGTACTACTAGTCATTTATCTAACTAATGTGGATGCTTCATAGTGATTTGGATCCATTTAGATTACTTTTTCAAAGTCTTTCAAAGCCAATTATGGATTTTAAAGATACAAGAGGCATTTTCCTCTCTTAAAAAGAATATCAACTGAATTCGCTAATTTTATAGCTTTATCAAATGATTCATAAGCTAATTAATACTGTTTTTTGTTAAAAAACTCAACTCCAAATGAATGATGAATTATTGCCAATCTTTATGCAACAGTCTCATTTTTCTCAATTTCATATGCTTTATTATAATCAGTAATGCTTTCTTTTAGTCTACCTAAATATTTAAATGCATCTCNGTCCAATAATCATTTTAGTCTACTCCTGTATATCCTGTTACTTCATTGAAATCTTTCGGATTCTTATATTGTCTATTATGTGAATGCAAAGCATGATTATTATCAAGAACATTTACAAACTTTACTCTACTCAGATTTATATCATCAAATTTGTCAAATACCAATATAAATTATTATTCTCCTGTTCCTTCATACTGATTTGCTACCAACATTTCCCCTTATTTTGTTATTGGTGATTTATTTCCAATGTTGCTAAATTTAGAATATTTAGGATACCAAGTGATTACATTTCCAGTTTTTCCATTTCTAATAACCAACATATCACCTGGCCATATTTCAACTTTAGTATAATTAGGCTTTTTCAATCCCTAATTAGGAGGACTATACTTTTCTAATATCCATAAAGAATTTTAATCTTACTCTTTCTATGTTCCCAATAAATAGCTAAAATCATTCTAAATTCAAGTGTACCCATTTTGATAAGATACTTAAGTATCTGTTAAATAGCAGTCTGTTTCGTTATGTTTTATGTAAACAATATCCTTATGAATTAAAGTTTCTTATTCCATCAAATTATAAAAAAAATTATGAAAATTAATTTAATCATTTCAATCATCCAAACCAAACTGATAATATTATACCTAAAAAGAATACCATAATTTCTAAAATGAATTTAATATTTGGGTTTGAATTAGGTTAAGCTCCTATAATAAAAGAATTATCTCGATTTATGTAGATAAAAATTAAATACACATTTTCATTATTGATATTTGTCATTCCTTCTGTGATAGTATATTAAAAAGTCCATTATATAAAGAATTATTTCTTGCAATATTTATATATATATATTTATTATTTTAATTCAAATTATATTATAAATAAGTTTATTATAATAAATAATATATGCTATTGAAACATTCATCTTGTGGTACTACTAGTCATTTATCTAACTAATGTGGATGCTTCATAGTGATTTGGATCCATTTAGATTACTTTTTCAAAGTCTTTCAAAGCCAATTATGGATTTTAAAGATACAAGAGGCATTTTCCTCTCTTAAAAAGAATATCAACTGAATTCGCTAATTTTATAGCTTTATCAAATGATTCATAAGCTAATTAATACTGTTTTTTGTTAAAAAACTCAACTCCAAATGAATGATGAATTATTGCCAATCTTTATGCAACAGTCTCATTTTTCTCAATTTCATATGCTTTATTATAATCAGTAATGCTTTCTTTTAGTCTACCTAAATATTTAAATGCATCTCCTCTGTTAACCAAAATCCCCCAATCAAGTGGCTTAAAAGTTAGTCTAACATTATAAATAATATTAATATAATACGCTTCATTTAATAATGTCAATGCATCTTCATAATTTCCTTTTTCAAACATTACCTAAGCCATCTCATTATATGTTATTGCTAACTGTTTTTTGATATCTTCATTTGTTGGTTATTAATCAAAAGCTTTTTTCAATAAATTTAAAGAAACATCATATTTTATGTTAATTCTACAAAGATAAGCATTCAGCAACAATAAATCAACATTATTTGGATCCAATTCCAATCCCTTATCAACATTTAATTTACATCTTTCATTATCCCTTTGTACTAAATACAACTTTGCATCATTCGTTAATTTTTATATCTTAGGCGTAATATATAATATAAATTCTTTTATCTCTTAAAGTTCTGGATTCATGGCTTGGGAATTTAAAATTAATTTTTACAATGAACTTTCCAATAATCACAATTTCCTTATGCAATTTTCCCTTAAGCCCAATATAATTTACCTCTTAATAATAAAGCATTTATATTCAGAGGATCATTTGCTATAACTTTTTGAACTTCTTAAAGTGTATAATTTAAGTAATTTGTCAGTAAATAGCTATATGCCTTTTGAAGAGAAGGTACACTAAAATCTATTAGATATCCAAATTATTCAAATTCGGTTCCTTCTAAAAAATTAGTTACATCTCCTTATTCCAATAAAGATTGTCCTTTTAACAATATTAATGCCTATAATTCATCTTCTACCAAAATATCTTGCTTCACTGAATATGAATATTGTAAGCAAGCTATTGCTGGACTATAATCTCCTATTTTTACATATAATTAAGCTAAATCTTAATAACTTTATAAATGATCTAACTATTCAATTATTGTATTTACTTTTGTTTAGAAATAATATTTTATAATATTCTTTTATTGCTTCATGAACATCTGTTTTCACTAATTGTTTAGCATTTTGCAAATGTTTATCTATCTAATTAATATTTAATTATATATTACTTTTTCCTATAAAATTTTTTTCATTTATTTTAATAATTATTTAACTCCATATGGACACACATAAATATACTAAAGCAGGTCTGCTAAATATATCTATTTTAGGTGAAGTTTTTGTAAAGCATCATAAATATGGTGTAGAGAAAATCCGATTGGTTTACATTTAAGATGACATCCTCTATTGGACGAAGCCTGATGATATCAATAAATTAAAGCCAAAAGGAAAGATTAAATTAGAAGTTTGAGTTAGTAATTTAATTTAAGGATATTTTGTAAATAGAAAATGGATTGAAAAAAGCAAAGAAATTAAAAGATTTAGATCGATCATCAAATTGTTTTTCAATAATAACAAAAGAACGTACTCTTGAACTTGAAGCATCAAATATTCAAATAAAGAATATATGGACAAATATCATAAATAATATTCTAAAAAATTAATAAACTCCTTCTTAGTGAAAAAATAATTATTTATTTATTACAATAATTTTTATAAATCTTCAAGATTGTTAAAAACTAAAAAAAATATATAAAACAATTCTTAAATTTTTTTTTTTTTTTTAAATAAAAAGCTTAATGCTTAGAAGTATGATTATTCAATATTAAATAAACTTCTAAGGAATTAGAAAGTAATTTTTAAATGAAAAAAAATATTTTTATATTGCTATATTGCTTTTTTAATTTTTTCTTTCTTTTTGTGAGTTTGTAATTTTGAAGTATTATTTTAAATTGAAAAATAATATAAATTATATGCAATAGAGTATTTCTAATAAAATTTAGGGAAGAAATTCAAGAAGAGATATGGGAATCAATAAACAAATTGATATTGTATTATAAAGTCCATTACTTAAGAATTAGATTAAATTGAATCTTGAAAATATTCAAAGATCAACATCAGAATAATTTATTACTCCTTTGAATAATAAATAATCTTAAAAATATGCCTAAAACCAATCACATCTAAGTAAAGATGGATAAAAATTTGGATTAACAGAGAGAGAAATGAATGTATGCTCAAATGAAATATAGGAAATTTAATCACATTGTAAAAATTTATTGGGGGCTTCTTTATCTGTACGAACATCATAATCAAATTAAATTTTAACTCCTAAATAAATAGAATTAAGTAATTTAGATTATGAGAGTCCGAAAATAAGGAAAGATTTTAAATTTAAAGACAAAGAGAATTAAACAAATTAAGAAATTTAGTAAAAAGTTGAAGAAATGAAAGTTAATTATATTAAATCTAGTGTTACGCTTAATTAATAATTAAATGATAATACAAGATTATTATAATAAATTGATTAATTGAAGAAATAACAATAAAATTTGTCTCGTAATTATTAATTTTAAAAAAAAGAGGAGGAAAACAGAAAGAAGAAAAAAGTTGCTATAAATTTAAAAATAAATAATGCTGAAAATAAATAATTAATAGGCTTAAAATAATAAAGTCTTATTGATTTGATAGCAAAATAATAACTTATTATAGAAGATTTATAAAAAAAACTATAATATGAGAAAACAGAAAAAGAATGTTTAAAATTGTTTTGTTATTCACCAAAATAAGAACATCATTAATTAGATCCAAAATAATTGGATTTAAGAAAAAGCCATAATAATAAGTTTAATTTTAATACTTGAATAATCTTGATTTGATTTCAATTTATTTTATTGAATGCTAGTATAAATTTTAAATATAAACTTGTTGATGTACATTAATTAATAATAACATAAAATTGAGTATTATTAAGAGAGGATTGTTATTTAATTTTAAAATAAATATGAAAATTTCAATAAATAAAATATATTTATGAAGTTTCATTTAATTTCCCCTTCAACTACTTCATTTACTCCTATATGGACATCATAATAATAGAAACGTCCTTAGATTAAATTAAGTGAGTTGGCAAAATTTACATAATTACAGCTACCAAAATAAGAGGATAATCAAAAAGCATTAGAGTACAAATAAAGATAATAAAAATTGCTGAGATAATCAAAAAATAAACCACTTTTAAATGTTTTGACTAAATCATAAATGCTTTAAGGTTATTTATCAATGAGACCTTAATAATAATAGAAGAAATAAATAAAATCTAGATCATCATCTTTGATTAGTAAATTAAATTCTTCAAGTCCTGTTGTTTCAATAAATGAATCTCCAAAAATTGTTAGAGAGGAAAGCTAAATAATGAATTAACCAATGTAATAAATTCAACTTATTGAAGAGCAGCAATTAAGTCCAAAAGTCATAAAACCATTAAAATAAGAAGCATATGCTAAAGCTTTAGATTTTATAAGGCCAGAAACTCCTTTAAATTTTCGATGTTTAGTTTAAGATATTTCATATAAAAAACATAAAATAAATGTTAATGCAATAATAAAGGATATGATTAATAAATTATAAATACTAAGAAGATTAGAAATTAAATATATAGATAAACGAATTTGGTCAAATTAACCATTTTAGAAGCGAAATTAATATAGTTTTATAAAAGCATGCAAGACAGGTAATTTAAATTTAGTGAAAGAATTACTTGAGTAAGATAGATTTTTAAACTTTGGTTTTGATTATGTAAATAAAAATTAAATATATTTAGATTCATTAGACAGGATTGCATTGGGCAGTTAAAAGATCTCATATACAATTGGTTAAATATCTGTTAAAAATAGGATGTGATGTTGATGCTTAAGATCTAATAGGTAGGCCAGCATTGTATTTTGCAATAGAATAAAAGGATGCGAAAACAGTTAAAGTAAAAATATGAATAAAATTAATGTAGTTATTACTAGAAAATAATGCAATCCCTTGGAGTACTTAAAAAATTACTTATTCTAAACTTTGCAATGATGATCTTTAGATAATGTTGTTATTGAATAAAGCAAGAAAAGTACATGTTATATATCGAATGGTTGATGCAAAAAAGAGAATATAAATAAAATAGAAAGCGTTGACTGGATTATTTGATGTTTGACTATAATTGATAAATTAAAATATGTATAATTAATTTATTGATGATGGAGGATAAGAAAGATAAATCTAATATTTAGTTGATTTAGGTATTATGTTATTTAAGAAAGGATTTCCTGAAAGAAAAGCAAGAAGAGGAGTAGAATAATTTGGTTATACAATATCTTTAGAAGATTTGATTAATAAAATTTTAGATATGAGTGATGATAATTCAAAGAAGTCAAATGGAAATAAAATCAGTTTGATTCATTTTTCAGATTCTAGCAGTGAAAAAAACTCTCCTTTTAACTAACCTTTATAATAATCATAATCTTAAAAATAAAATTAGGGTAAATAGATTTAATACCCTCAAAAATAAATGAGTAAGTAATTATAATAGCAATAAAAACCATAATAATAATACTAATAATAGTAATAACTTTAATAATAGAATTAATACTAGCAATAAGTTTAGCTACAAAAATAATAATTATTTTAATATTAATAGCCTTTTGAACATGAAGAATTTGCTTAATGTTAAGTTTGTTTCACTTAACCAATATAATGGGTTCATTTTGAATGTAAACATAAATTCTGTTAACCATGTGTGATTAAGAATATAAAAGCATCAAGAATAAGAAAGACAGAATAAGTTACTTGTTTATAAGAAGATTGCCATTAAAAATTAATTAAAGAAGAGATTCATTTAGTTAGTAATGAACTTTTACCATAAATAGATGTATATTTTATTTATTTATAATAATAATTTAGATTGAACCATATTAAGAACCAATATGTACAAAATGTAAATTACCAATAGTAGCTCATAAATTTAAATTGTTTTCTAATGCATGTGATAATGCAGAATTCACTATATTAAGTGCCTGTATTAAACATGATGAAGAAGGAAATCAACTTTAAAGATGTCCTTAATGTGGTATATGGGTTTAAAAATCTAAAGGGTGTAACTCGGTTTTATGTTCGTACATTTTTTATTTATAAAAAGATTAGCTATTGTAAATTTAATTGGTGTTGGTTATGTAGAAGAGAATGTGATAGTAATCATTATGTATTTTTTAATCCTGTTGGATGTCCAGGTTTAGGAGCTGAAGAATTTACTATTGAATAATATCCTTGCCATAAAATATGTTGGATTAGAGTAAAAGTAATTTTAATCTATTTCCTTTTAATTTTACTATGTATCATTGTATATCCTTTTTTTGTTGCTTAAGTAATTATAAGAAGAATGAACATTGATACTCAAGGAAATATTTGTTATCGTTTATTAATCTATACTGGAATTGCAATTTTATTTTTAGTATTATCTTGTTTAGCTATCTTTCCAGGAATTATTATTTTTATTGTTTCAGAAAAAGCAAGAAGAACAGTATTCGTTGGTTGATTTGAATTTATTTTTTTATTTATTATTTAATTAACGAATAAATATGGGGACTTAATAATCTCATGGATATGATTTATCATAATATTAATATTTAGATCAAGTTGTTGATCCTATTTATGGAGAAGGCAAATTATTCTAAAAATATGAAACTGGAGAAATTATATGTCTTATTGAAAAAATTATATAAGAAGAATCAAAAAATTCAGAATTATCAATTAGGTTAGATCATCCTAATCTTCTAAAAATTTATCATTAATAAGTAAATGTTATGAAAGAATTATGTTCATCTATCACTAAATTATCAATTGTTTATGAATTTACTAGTCTTAATTTAATTACAAATATTAATCATAGAAAAAATAAAAATATTCCATTTACTTAACAATAATTATGGAGTCTTTTAATACAATCATTAGATGTATTAAAATATCTTAAATAATTCGAAATATATCCTTTAGATTTAAAGCATATTATGATTTCAAGTTAAGGGTCTATTAAACTTCATTCCATTTAATCTTAATATTTGAGTAATTACAAAAAATTACTCTATAATTTAACTGATCATATTCATATTTCACCTGAAGAATTAGAATGTTTAAAAAAAAGAGACATGATTCTCAATATAGATTATGAAAAATGTGAATTGTTCTAATTAGGTTTAACCTGTTTATATGCTGCTTCATTAATTGACACTAATGATATCTTTGATTTAAACACATTTTCATATTCATAAAATGCTATTTAATAAAGAATTCAATAACTTTAATATTCAACAGAATTTAAGTAAACTCTTAACTAAATGTTAAGTCATGAACCCTAAAATAGAGGAACTTTTTATTCTTGGTTAAATTAATTATCATAAATGAATCTTGAAAACAATTTATTATTATTGATATCTAAAGAATAGTAAGATAATCAAAAAAAGAATAATCAAAAATAAACTGATTATTATTAAATAGAATACTTACCATAAAATTATCCCTAATAAAAACTACCTGATATAGTTTCATCTCAATACTAAATTTCTTTATAATCAAATTTACCAATTTAAAATGTTCCTAAACAATTATAATCACAAAAACAACCTATTCATATAATAACTCCTGATTAATCTAGAATTTCTAAAGAAATTAAGAGATCATAATTATCTCTATAACATCCACATGATTATAACAAAATTGAATAATAATTTTTTCAAGAATCAGGATTAACACTATAAACTTAAAATGATGAAAATTTTGATAATTAATAATTCAAATAATAATAGCCTTAAATTCAATTCAATTCATATAATAACCCAAACTATTTTTCTAATTTATCATCAAACAATAATTTTATTAAGACTTCACAATAACTTCCATAAAAACAAACATTTTCTATTCATGATTAAACTTAACAGTTAACAAAAGTAATGAATGTATTGTAATAAAATAATTACTATTCATAATAATAATAAGTAGTTGAAAAATAATCACAAATTTCATAATATAGTAATAAAAGCTAAATTGAAGAGAAAATTGAGTAAGCAGTATAGTCATCCAAAATGGCATTATAAAAATTTGATTTTGCCCTTTAATCAACAACTAAAAAGAGGGTCTGATAAGTTTAATATTTATTTATTATATCACTTATATTTTTATTAATAAAAATTGATGTGGTTAGAAAACAATGAAGGAGATATTCCTAAAGATTATGCTAAACTAAAATAATAAAATATTAAGTTAAGAAATGAATTGAAATAAATTAATGAATTTTTAACTAAATAAATCGAAAAAAAATAGGATCAACAAAATAGTCATAGAAATTAATTAAACATTAATAGTGAATTGAGGGAAGGTTTAATTTTATAATTATTTTAGATACTCTAAGAGCTGAATTATAAAATGCTTAAAAATAAATAAAGATTCAATTGAAATAAATTTAAATTCTATAAAATAGGCAAGAAATGCTTTCATTAGATAAGTATGTGTAATTCTAATAATTTTAGTATTGTTCAATTATAATCATAAGTAAAGAAATTAATGGATAAAATAAAAGAACTTGAATAGGAAAAAAAAACTTTAATTAATATAAATGGAAAACAAGAAAAAAAGTTAATTCAACTGTCTTAAGATGATTTTATTAAGAATAGAATAGATTAATTAGAATAAGAAAATATAGTTCTAAAATAAAAAGTAATCGCACAAAATAAAACTGAAAGATCTTAATCTGTGTAAACAGCTAAGATTGAACCAATGATAAAACCTATTTAATTAACGTAAAAACAATAAGAATTGATAAGAGAGAAGGATCTTTTTATAGTATAATTAAATGATATTTTTATAGTCTTAATTATAAGAAAAATTAGGAGAGTAAGAAAAACATATCAGAATATTGAATAATCTGAAAAGTTAATATGATAAATAAATTAATGGAATGACTCATAGAATTAAGTAACTTGAAACACAATTAATGATTTTAAGTTAGTAATTGTAAGAGAAAGTAATCGAAATTTTGTATTCAATAGAATTCTGAATTGAACAGAAAAAATCATTTATTACCAAATTTAAGTGCCAGAAATAATAGATATTAATAATAAAAAATAAATTTGAGTGTTGATAATAGCTTAAATGATAAACCTAAGAATCTTCTTCAATTAAATTATTAATAGTATACATAAGCAACTACTTAATTAAAGTCTAAAAGTTAGTAATCTTAAAAGTTTTCTTCATAAACGTAAAGAACTCAAAATTTGTAAACTACTGAATAAAATCAAGATTTAAAAATTATTAGAATAGAATAAGTTGGCAAATAAAATTTATTGGAATTTCATTATGATATTCCTTAGTATTTGAGATTATATAATCTAAAATTATGGTGGAAGAACGATTACTTATCTGGTTTATAAGCATATTACCATAGTGTTGATTAGATAGTGTATGGTTAAATATTCTGTTTAAGTAATTTAGAGGAATAAAACCCTTAAATATTTGAATTAAATTAATCTGATTGGATAAATTAAATTGGATTTGGTTTTGAAAAAGATAAAATAAGTATAATGATAAATATAAATTTAAATAGAATTTGTAAAGATAATTTCAAATTAAAATTGTGTTTTGAAATTTGGAAGTGAAATGGAGAAAATTGAAGAAATAAGATATGGATTAAATGAAATTATAGGGACAATAGAAGTTTCTTTTAATGAATGTATAATATTTAATTTTTATTTTAGTGTTTATAGCAAGCATTGGTTTTAAAATATTTGATGAGAGATTATTTGATAAAATATGATTACTATATTACTTAATTTTTGTATTTTAAATGTAGTAACGTTTTGTTTTTTTAATTGTTTATACTTATTTTGATTATTCAAATAAAGCTTCTTATTCAATAGATTAAGCTTTAGATCTTAAGTCCGTTTAATTGACTTCAGTATCAATTACAATCTTTTTTTCTCTCGTTTCTGCAATAGCTCTATCAACAATAGCTTCTCCTTCAGCATTAAACTTAACACTTTATGAATATTTTTTCAATAATTTTATTTTTAGTTTCTCCTGCTTTAACTTTATCAAGTAATTGTTATACACATAATTATCTTTTATATTCTTATTCTAATTTTAACATAAATGTTTAGATTGCATTTCTTGGATATATTAAAATCAATAAATTTATTTTCAATTTTACTTAAAAGTATTATTTTCAATTCAAAAAAATTTTAAAAGAAATTTATTTTAAACTCATATATAATATATTTATCAATATATTTCTTAATTATTGTTTAATTGTTTGTTATAATATTTTTAATGTAAAAAATATATCACTACATTTAAATCCTCCCATTTTTCATCTTTTATAAAAATATAAAAGAAATGCAGTTCGTTTATATTTTTTTTTTAAAAATTATATTTTTCATTAAAAAGGCTTATGTTTAATCTGTTATTAATAACGATTGATTTTTAATCTTATCATCATTTATTTCAATATCTTTAAATATATATATGTAATATATATTTCTACTAAAAATTACCCCAAACATGCTTCTTGATCTCTTTTTTTTTAATAAATTTTATAACTCTGTTTTAATATTAATTATGAAAAAAGTTGATTATGATCTATTAGTGATTGATAAAATCAATATGATCTAATATCGCAAAATAATTAGATGCAGTTAAGATGCTTCAGTACATCATTTAAAATAAAAACTATCCTCAAACATCAAATGTAGCTTCGCAATTATTTTTAATGAAGAGATTCTAACTGAAGGAATGCCTCTCAAAGAAATATTTTCTAAGCATATATAGAATTGCATCCATCTCAATTTTATAGAAGAGCCTATACCTGATTAGATAAAAAGACCTTAATATCAACCCAAGTAGTGTTTAAAGAAAATGCCACAAGATGAGTATCAAGAAATCTAAATTGATCAATTCTAACTAAGCAAAATTTTACAAAGTTAAGAGCCAATTATAATTGATGTAGATCAAAAGTCTCCTAAATGTTGCTTATCTTGTTAAACAAAAAAATAAATTCTTTCTAATTATTAAGTTTCCATTGAAAGTCTCTTAGAAGAAAATGCTGAATTAAAACAATAAATTTCAGAATTAGAAAAATAAAATAGAATCAGTATTTATAATCAAAAAATAGAAAAATTAAAATAAAAAAAATGAATACAAAATAAACTTTATAAGCATTTGTATTATTTTATGGCAATCTTTTTCTAACTGGCATCATGAAATATTTCCCTTTTAAATTAAAAAATTCTTATATATGATAATAACACAAAACCACCAAAGTTTAAGAAATCGAACATCATTTTAAATTATAAAATATTCAATTAAACAATTCTCTTAATTTATTTACTGATGTAACTACCTTTTCTCTGATAGTTTTTAATGTCAAATTAAATCCAACTTTAATTCCAAAATCTACATCCATATATCCTTTTATTATTAAACTCGAATTGTTTTTCTAGCTTAGTTTTAAACCTCCTAATATTAATTAACCTTCTTATAATTATTTTAAATTTTCTTCACTAATTATAGATTAATCAAATACAATTGATCTTGAAATCTGACTGTTTAAAATACTACATAATAATTTTCATTAATTTATCGAATAGATTTAAAATATGTAAAATATTGTTGTTTGATCATTCCTTGTCTATTTAATGTAATTTGGCCTATAGATATTTCTTCGTTAAGTTTTTATAAATTATAAGTATTGATTAAATCGAAATTAAAGAGTTATTTTTCATTCAACCAATTTAAGAATGTTGTAATAGTAGTATTAAGTTCAAAGGAAAACCTATAATATAAACATTAATACTTTATTATCAAAAACATTTTTTTATTTCTCATTTTGTGTGAGGCATATAAATCAATATCTTAACCATTTACTAGAAATTCACCACTACCATCATTTAAATCCTTATTAACAATTTCAATAAAATTTGTTAAAGCATCTTATGCATAAAATTGTAATTCTGTTAAATTAATATTATTTATGCTAGGTAATGTTATTAACTATCCTTCCTTAAAAGAGAGTGGATATGGAGAGTCAATACTAGGATTAGTTTTGCATTCTTCATTAAGCATAAATTATTCTTATTCTTTATGATTTTAATTTGAATTCATTTATGGAGAGCGAAGTGCTGAATTTTATTTATTCGAAACAGTTTCAAGTGTAATATCATTTTCATTTTTTTCATCTGCTTATGACATTGTTCTTTCATTTGATTAAGTAGGATCTTATGTGAAACCTAATTATTAAAATTGAATTCACTTATTTATTAAGCATTTATTTTTCCTTAAGTTTCTTCAGCTGGATTATTTGAAAAATTGACTAATTGATGAGTTTATATCTAAGATACTGGTTTTGGTTTGAACATTTAAAAGCATTCTTTGCATTTCATCAGTAAATTTCCCATATATATGATATCGGTATAAAATTTTATGTTTATATTTCTATATTATCATTAATAAAATTATTAGTATATACATTTCATCTATAATATCTAATATGTACTATTTAAATTAATGAATGAAATGAAAATCAAATAATAAAGTAATTTTCAGCAAACGTTTAAGTCTATCATCTCATAATAAAATATTAATTCCATATCGAAATTTATAAAACTAAATAAAACAAGTCTCATAGTTCAAACGATTATTATTTTCTTGCCTTAAATGGATTCAACCAGATTCCATTATCACTCAAATTAGTACTTTGTTCACCTACAAATCTAATTACTGTCATTGGACCTATTGAAGGTGATTCTCCAATAGTTTATTAAAATATAATGGCACTCTTTTTTGGTTTTTCACTAAAATATTATAGTAGAATTTACTAATAATCTTATTCTTTCTTTGCAGGATCAGTTTTAAATTAAATTCCCAATGATCTTAGATATGCAACGACTCTTCTCTCTACTTCTAATTATTCTCTATTTTCACAATGAAATTATGGTAAGAAGCTATCTAATGATTCTACTGACTCAGTTACTCTTGAAAAATCTTCCAATATTTCTATTTTAGATCTTGATAAATCCTCAGCGAGTTTCTTACCATATTACATTTGTATAAAAATGATTATTATAAATAAATTTTTAAACTTATCAAATCAACTCAAGTAGTGTTAATAGTTTGGTATTAAATTCTTTAATATATATATATTAAATAATTTGAATAAGTTCTTTTCAGAACAAATATTTATTTTATTATTTAATCAATAATATATATTTCCTTTATGGACTCTTATCTCACGCTTGAATTAAGAAAAAGATTCAATTCTTCTATGACTTATTAAGAATATCTAGATGCTTACGATAAACCACCTCCAAAACCTAAATTAAAGTAATAAACCTAAATCAATTTTATTTAAGACCAAAAGAATCACCAGTCATTGCTGAATTACTTCTATTAGAACCACCAAAAGGTCCCAAACCTCAATCATAAAAATTAGAGATATATGAACCAGATGAAATAATTCTAGAGGAATCAGAAACAGATGAAAGATCAAGGGCTCAATCCCCAATACAGAAACCTCCTTGTTATAAAGCTCTTAAAGCTAATGTAAAATAAATGATTTTTTAATTTATAGAATGTAAGAGTACGAAGCCAGAGTGAAAATTTTGGGTTTTCAGTGTATCGTTTCTTATCAAATAAGCAACAAGTCCCTAAATAATGATAAAACTAAATTCATCAAACTAATATCTAAACTATTCCTAATTTATTCTAAACTTTTCTTATTTATTTCTATCTCTCAAATACTTCATTCTTATCTCTCACTGAACATTCTTAACACTCAAATATTTAATTCAAGATCAAAAGATGAATTATTTTGTTCAAATAAACTTTAAAATTAGTTTTACACATGTAGATCCACTTAAGTACTTCGCAGTTAATTAACCAATCTATCACAATAACATTCAAGTATTTCAATTTTCTAACTTAATCAAACAAACAAAAAATTATTTTCATGAGAATCATTTTAAATTGTTACAATTGAACTTAATGATCTTAATTTATTGATCAAAACATAAATTTTTAATATTAGTAATTTTTATTAGGCATTTATGAAATATTAACAAACAAAACTTTATTTTCGAATAATTTATAAATTACAATATTTACAATTCCAAAATGTATTAAAAATCTTACTATAAGATCTAAAAAATCAATTTATTAATACTAAATAAGTGGAACAACTATGATTCTTCATTAAGAACTATTAAAATCTATATAAAAGTTAAAAATTTTATTATTTAAGAGAATTTATTGTTTTAAATTTCTAATTAAATTATCATTTTAATTTAATTTAATACTGATGAGAATTTAATTTATTGTTGCATTTACAATTAAGAAAAGTTATCATAATTTAATGTTATATAATTGATTTTATCAGAAATAGTTACCAAGAAACTTTTATTCTTTTTAAAAAACCATTTAAGCAAAGAAAACAGCATCTGTCAAACATTATTCACTTTGAGAGAATACATGTTTTTAACCTTCAAAATTAGGATGATCAAAAATAGTTAAAGTAGTTCCAGATGGTATTTATAGTGATCTGATCTCATATTAAAAATCTCTAAGTAATTTAATGATTAAATATACTTCAATTAACCAAGATCTCCACAAGTCTTCATTGATTCCCCTTTGAAATAGCATTAATTGTAAATTATGACACAATCATTTCTCTCACTATATAAATATAGAGATGCATTACTTTACTAATATCTCATTATTATTAAAATTAATATCATTTGGATCAGCATTATTATTAGATTCTGTAGATTTATTTTCATCAACACTTTCTTAAGTTTGATTTTCAACAACAATTTATTATTATTCATCAATAATTTATGCTTCTGCATTATTTGATTCTTCATCAGGAATCAATTTAATTTCTTAATTAACAAGATTTTAGTTTGTTGGAGAATCTTAAAATTCAATTGTCTCATCTTGAGTTTACGTTTATTCTTAATTATTTTCTTAATCTATTGATGTAACATCATACTATTAAATATCTTCTTACTAGGCTTATGGCACATCATCAATATAATTTTCACTTTATTCAGCTTCTTGATTAACTTATTCATATTGTGTATCTGTATAAATTTCAGAACTTTAATCATTTTCAGATTCAACTTAAACATTTTATATTTCAGAATCCTATTGCTAAATTTCATCATTTTAAATTTCTGATTATTAAACAGAATCTGTTTCAGGATCAGCATAAAAATCTTGTTCACTTTGATTATTATCTACTTCTTATTTAGCATCATAGATATCTAATTCTTATTCAACTTAAACTTAAGGATCTTCATTAAATTAATTATTTTCTTATAAATCCTAAATTTTTGAGTGCTCTTCATTTTAGGGCTAAATATCAACATCATTTTAAAATTCAACTTAGTTATTGTTGATAATTTAATCATTTTATGTATCTTCAATGTATTCAATATTTTATACTGATTAATCATTATTATTATCTTAAACATCTTAAAATTGTTGTGAAAATTCTTAATTTTATTGTTAAACATCATCATAATTATTTATATCTTGCTGTTGAACAATCTAAATTATTTGAGTCAAGTACTTCAATGTTGTTTTATGGACTTTCATTATCAGCGTTTAACATTTATTGTGATTCATCAGTATTATTAATATCAGTATTCAATTGAACATCATCTAAGTCTTATAATTAAGTAACTGAAGAATTGTCATCTTAAGAAACTAAAGTAGTAGCCTCAACTTAAACATCTTGATTACTTATTTCATTTGTTTCCTCTATTACCTTATTTGCATCCTCTCTAACTATATATATTATAATACTAGTTAGTTTATAAGAATGATAAGACCACAGTCATTTGTTATGTAGCTACCAATGCTAACAACAAAATGTAAATTTTCATAATTTATATTATATTTTATAAAACGAATCAATAAATTTTTTGGGTTCATCATTACATATTATATTTGATTCAAAAGAAATAGGAACACATAAATATTGATGATTAGATAAGTGAAAAGAGTATTAAATATTTTAGTAAAATAAAAAAATAATAATTTATTTAACTAACTTTGATACATAAATAATAATTGTATCTAATTAAAGTGAATCTTCATAGGTTTCTAAACTCATCTAATATACCTTATTGTTCTAATAATCTAATTTCTTTTTCTTCATACCATTTAATTCTCACTCCTTCTTCCCAATAACCTATCTTTTCCACATTCTGATTTGATAAATAGATACCAATTCCATGCTATTTATTTTATTTCCAACATCCAGCATATTTGCGACCATCTTCCCATTTAAACACACCTTTTCCATGTTTTTTATCATTATCATATTCCTAAATAATTTAAAATTCTTGATTACTTACTCCTTTGTAAGTTTTGCCATCAGACAATTTTAACAGCCCCATTCCATTCATTTAATTATTTTTCCATTATCCAATATAGACTCTTCCATCAAACCATTAATATGTACCTTGTCCTTAAATTTCATTTTAATAAAATTCTCCTTATCAAATTGAAATCAGTGAATTACCTTAATAATAAGATCCATCAGCAAATACAAGTTTACCATTGCCATGTTTCTTACCATTTTGATAATCTCCTTCATATTTAGCTCCATCTGGCCATTCTTCAATTCCTCTTCCATGTTATCTATCATTTAACCACTAACATAAAATTATACTAAATACTTCTCCAATATACTTAGCTCCATTATCATGAGTATAAGATCCTAATCCATTTGCTTAATCATCCAACCAATCTCCATCATAAATATCTCCATCAGCATGAATCAATCTACCCTTTTATTAATTAATATTCTTAACAACTTTTCCACATGATTTATCATTTTTCCATTCTCCTTCATAAACAGAACCATCCGGCCATTATTGTTTTCCATATCCTTCCCTTTTTCCATCTATCCATTCTCCTTCATAAGTTGCACCATCTTTTAACAAAATCATCTAAACAATTATAATTAGACTATTTTACAGGAAGTTTTATTTTTTCTAGCTTCCCAATTGTTTTTTTTACTAAAGGATGAATATTTTAATTTTCATTTTGACTATTCAAATATTTTTGAATCTCTTTTATTGATGCTTTATTATGTTAAGATTATATTGGTATTTCATTTTAATTTGCCTCTTCAACTTATCCTGAATTTGTCTTTTTATTAGTTAAAGAATGTTTTGATTTTTTTACTGAGATTTCAATAGAACGATTAGAATTCTTTATCATTTATATTTCCTCTTTTGCACAACAAGTATTTACAGTACAAGATTAACCCATTCTTGAAACTTTTAATTTTCTAAATTAAAATCATTAACAAAAATTATAGAGTCCTTAGAATTCAATTTCTTTATTATAATATCGTAATTTCAAATGAATATAAAATTATATTTTATTATTAAATATTATGATATTTCAATCATGAATAAATTTAACTTACTATTGCACCTGTAAAACCAGCTACTCCTGCGACAATTCCTATAATGAGTGTAACTATAATATTTGAATCTGACCATTTTTTCCCTTCTTTCAATTCTAAAGTAATAAACAATGTACATGGTAATACAATAACCATAATCATACCAAATATTCCACCTAACAAACCAAAAATAGCCCTAAAATTTAAAATCTATTAATTACTTAACATTTGGATATATCATTGCAATAACTCCAGTTGTATATTATAAAATTACTGTAGTAATTACATAAGCTTTCCAGCTCTTTTCCTTATTTATCAACTGCAAAACAGTCAATCTAGAAGGATTTAAGTTGATTGGTACTGCAAAGAACATAATAAATGCAAATAAAGCTTTTGCTATAGTGAATGCAACATCATCATAGTTATCAATAATGATTTTTTCAGTTTTCTCAAAAAAGCTCAAGTATCCAAATATCATCAATGTTAAATAAATAATAGCTTCAGAAAAGATTGCTCTGTTAAATATTTTTGACATTCTTTTAAATGTTGATCTCTTTAATTCAGATCTAATTGGGAATATTAACTAATGACAAATGAAACCAAAAAATGTTGCAGCAAATGTACTCGTTATTTAAATATTGAAATCAAAATAAACTATCTTATCTCCTTCAAAGTTATCTGAAACATTAATAAAGAAATAAATGACTATGGTCACCAAAATATATGCTATAATTAATATCTATAAATGAGTAAAGTATCTTAAGGAATATAAATCTCTCATCATACTTACAGGAAAGTTAATAATCATGAAAATCGATCCTCCAATATATCTGACTTGATCTTAGTATGAATCATCAAAATTAAACTTTAATAATACTTGCCACACAAATTAAGTAAATAAAATTTAATAGCAGACAATTGCTCCAAAAGTATAGCAAATAACATCCACAGAATAAAATTTTTACATACTTGGACCTAAAGCAAATTTTACTAATTCTGCATAAGAGTGCTAATCATATTTGAATGCACATTTCATTAATATATACATTGAAAACCTTGATAATAATGCACAAATAATCATTAAAACAATGCAATTAATTAATCCAGATTATACAGGATTTGCTATAAATATTATTAAAATTTATTTTTACAAGGAAAGGATAACATGCCTGAACCCATTGCTGCACACATAAGTGCAATAACAGATTATCTTAGAGATCCTTTTTTCATTGGTCCAAAAGTTCTTACAAACCAAGAATAATGTAAAGTACTCTTTTCTAATTATCCTTCATCACTTAAATTATCTGCTGATTAATTAACGGCATCATCCTGTAATTTTGTGGATAAATCATCTTCAGATCGCTATATTTTCATTTTTTTTTTTAAATTATGATTCAATATATATAGAAAATTTTTTATTAAGAATGTTTAATTTATTTCATTTCCAAAATTTATTGTATTCATTTAATAGCAATTTATATACAAAAAATTACTAATTAGAATAGTTAGATAAAGCTTTGAAATTCTAATAAATAATAGTCCACTTGAAACCGAAAGAAAATGTTATTTATTATTTAATAGTTTGAATATAATAGAATAAAATAAATATTAAATATATAATAAGAAAAAGTACTTTGATAATTCTCATTTTTATTCTCCACTTTTAACATTGATCATAACTTTTGAATGCAATCTTTTTGAAGATTTTCTTCTTAACTAGCTTGTCAAAGTGGCATCCATATTTTCCTCTGCAACTTCTGTTTCTTTAAAAAGATGTACCTTTCTCCAACATTCTTCAGGTATTAATTTAAATACTATTCCTGCAAGAATTCCAAAAGCACCAAACCCTGAACATATTAAATGTTCTATTAAAGTTAATTGTCTAACTTTAACATAACTAGCAGCAAATTGCAACAAAGCAAACTATATAGAAATTGTAAGTAATTGAATCAGCCAAAACATACCATTGTTAAATAAATTACTAAAAGGATTAAGAGATTGGTAATCTAGTTACCTACAAGTTATTGAATTGAAAACTTACATAAGTACAAAAGTTTAAAAAAAGATACTTAATTTTGTCAACTATAAATATTTAGATAAGAAAATACCTCATCAGATGGATAAAGAAATAAAATACAATTAAGAACAGCTAATTAATAGAGACTTTGACAGCAAATAGTTCTATACATATATGCTGAAACAATTGGTTAAGTTCTTTTGTATGGTTATCTATCCAAGAGTGCTGAACTAGGAGGTTCAGTTGCTAATGCTAATGATGCAAAGGTATCCATAATGAGATTAACCCAAAGCATTTAAATAGTATTGAGAGGAGATTAATTTAGAATGACGGCTCCAAGAAAAGCCATAAATAGAGCAACAATATTAACAGTCAATTAAAATTGAATGAATTTTCGAATGCAATCATAAATATTTCTTCCCCATTTAATTGCTTAGAAAATAAGATAAAAATTTACCTGTAATAATACTACTAAAATTATCATCTACTAATATAATATCAGCAGCATCTTTAGCAACATCAGAACCTGATTCTCCCATAGCAAATCCTACATCTGCCTTTTTTAATGCTGGAGCATCATTTGTACCATCTCCAGTAACTGCTACTATATTCCCTTAATCTATTAAACCAGTAACTAACATAAATTTATCTTCAGGAGTAGCTCTGGCAAGTACTTTTAATTATTTACTAATTTTATTAAATATTTCTTAATTAGCAATTCTTAAGACTTTTTTTCCATCTACTTGAGAAGTTACTAAACCTCCAATGCTTTCTCTAAAATCTTTTCCTTCCATACATTCATATTCTCTTGGTTAAGCAGATGATAAAATTCCACTTTCCTTTGCTATTGATATTGCTGTTAAAGTATTATCTCCAGTAAGCATTCTAACTTATATTCCAGCTTTGTTGCATTATTTAATTGAATTAGGAACATCTTTTCTTATTGGATCTTTAATTCCAGCTATTGCAATAAGTACTAAATCTTTTTCTAATTCTTCTTCACTCAAATTAAATGCTAATTCTTTTAATTAATGTTATGTTCCTTTATAATTTGTATCCTTATAAGCAATTGCAATTGTTCTTAGTGATCTTGATGCAAATCTATCTATAACATCTTATTTTATTTATTTCTTTTTATTTTCGTCTAAAAAATGTTCTTATCCTTTCGCAATTAATTTAGAAGATTGATTTAAAATGATTTCTGAAGCTCCTTTAACAAATACTCTTAAAAATCCTTTATAATAAATAACAGTAGCCATCTTCTTTCTTCTACTGCTGAAAGGTAATACTTTAACTATTTTATCTGTTGGTCTATATAAGGAAATACTATAGCCAAATTTATCTGTTAATTCAAGTAAAGCACATTCAGTCTTATTACCAGTTTATATAAAATTTCCTGATTCTGTTTTTGTTGGATAAGCGGTTGAATTAAATGTTACACTTTCAGCTAATAATTCTTACATTTATTTTGGTATTTAAGTATCTTTTTTATCATAAATAGCTTAATTCATAAAAATATCATTTTCTATCCATAATCCAGTTACAGTCATTTTATTTTATGTTAATGTTCCAGTTTTATCACTACAAATTGTATTAGCTCCTCCCATAGTTTCACAAGATGCTAAATTTTTAACTAAATTATTTTCATCTTTCATTTTATTAACTGAATATGCTAATGCAATAGTAACAGCTAAAGGTAATCCTTCTGGAACTGCTACTACTATAATTGTTACTCCTATCATAAATGATTTTATAATGAATTATACTGTTTCTATACTTAATATTTTATTATAACCCATAAATCCTAATATTAATTAATGTATTGTCAAAGCAAAAAATGTTAATATTGCAACAAAAGTACCAAATTTACCAATATCTTCAGCTAAACCTTCTAATTTCTATTATAAAGGAGTAGGTGGAGTTTCTTAATCTAATAATAATTTAGTTTTTCCAGCACAAGTATTTTATCCAACTGTTAATACTAGCATAGTTCCTGTTCCATCCATTACTTTTGTTCCTGATATCATAAATGGAGATGCATTCTTTAATTATTTCTTTAATTAATTGCTATTCTTCATTTATTATGATTAACTTGATTTCATCATTAAATATTCAGTTATCTCATTATATGGTAATTTTCTTATTGAATCTGATTCTCCTGTTACTGTTGATTCGTCCATTTTTACTTCTGATCCTGATACCATTAATCCATCTACTTAAAGCATATCTCCTATATTAAAAAATAGAATATCACCCACTACCAATTCTTTACTATCTATTTATTAAACTTTTGAATTTCTAATCACTTATTACTTTGATTCATCTAATTTATGGTATAATTTTTGAAATTATCTTTCCTTTACATAATTGTTACCAACAGTAATTGAAACTATTAAAAATACAGCAAAAAATATTGTTGCTCCTTCACTCCATCCTGTCTCTATACCTTCTTTATATATTCCTATTCCTGTTGAAACTAATGAAGCTACTAATAATATTTATAACATCGTGTCTCCAAAACACTCTATAATCATTGAAAATATTGAAGATAATTCTTTCTCAACTGGTAAATTTGCTCCATATAACTATCGTAATCTCAAAACATTTTCGTTTGAATCTACTCCATTCTGTTATAAATCAAAATTTATACATTAACATTTGATTAAAATGCTGTCAATAAACCCTAATCTCCTCCTATTTCAACTAATTTTTTCAAGCTTTTACCCTCCATTATATTATTCATTTCAAATAAATTGCCCAAAAATTCAATGTCAATTTTTTCCATTTTATTATTTATTTAAAAATTAAATTTCTCATTCTAAATTTTTTTTGGAAAATTACATAACAGCTTTTAATATTTTCATATATTCATAAAATAAGATTTATACATTTCATCTTCACATTTAAAATTACATTAAATATAATATAAAGGTAGATAAAATAATCAAATACTTGAATAATTTATTTAATTATTTAAATTTATAATGAATTTTTTCACTTCTCATTTTCATCTTATGCAGATATTTTATTAATTATGGACTCTCTTTTTTTGGTAAGTGGTTTTCCTAATATTAATCTTTCATATGTAGTTAAACCATAAAAATTATTTAGAATTTATGTAACAATCAAATTTATCAATGGAAACAAAAACAAAAATTCTATCGCAGTAAGAACTATTAAAATTATAAAACTTGTATTCTAATTATTTGATGCTTCGCTTAATAATGCAAAAATACCAAGAACAACTAATAGAATAAAATCAACAACTAAAAAAAATAGAAAAAGATAAAATAGGGATTAATTATCCTTTCCTACCTGAAATTATTTAATTTTTTACACAATTATTAATCCAAGGACAATGATGATCATATAAAATTACACACCTCTTACAAAATTCACAATGTTTTGATCTATTTGGAGGTTTAATAAAGCAATCATAACAAATCTCAAATGATTAAAATTACTATAATATTTCTTTCAGGTTTTTTCTAATCTTAATTTTAAAATATACTCATCTTTCATCTTAGCATAACCAGGATTTGAATATGAAACCAATATATAACTAAGGAAACATAGTGATGAGATTACAATAATAAATATAAGATTTCCTGTAATTTGATCAACATATAGTGAATTATAAGCTAAGAAAATAGTTCCAGCATTTGCTAATGAAAAAAAGAAGAGAAAAATAAATGTTTGAACAGGAGATCTTTTTCCTAAATATAAGTTTTTAATACTTGGTTTAATATTTAGTTTAAGTAATAAAGATTTCCAAGAAAATCGAAAAGATTTTAAAGCTTCAATAGTTTATTCATCTTTTGCTAAATCCATTGGTAACTAGTTATTATTATTTTTAACACTAATGCTGCCTCCTCTTTGAATTAGTTTTCTTATTAATTTATAACTACCATTATTTGCTGCAATATGTAAAGGTGTATTTCCTTGAGAGTCTTTTACATTTAAAGGATGTTTCCATTTCATTAAAACTAAAGCTGCATAATCACTTTTAGATTAACAAACTAAATGCAAGGGTGTAACATTATTTTGATATGCATCTGATATTTTTTCTGATTCTTCCATTTTTTCCTTAAGAATAATCATTGACATAATATCATTTTAAATTGCAGCCATTCCTAATAAATTTTTAGGTTTATAAATTGGAGAGATATGATTTAGTACATCCACCTTACCTTTGTAAATGAAATAATGAATAGCTTCTAGACCATATTTGTCTTTTTTTTATAACCATTCTTTGTTTTAAGACTCATCATATTTCCTCAAAAGTTTTATAAAAATAAATGTATTTTGGTTTAATGCTAGATAATGCAAAACAGTTCGATGATCATCTTCATCAATAATTTTTTCAATTTCCTTTGTAGTTTCTATTTATTCATTTAAAATAGCCATATCATTCTTTTTTGCTTCTTCAATTATGCCCCATTTACTTTTATTATTAGAAATGATCATAAAGTTATAAAAACATATTGTTTTTGATTCAGTATTACTATCTTTAAATACTACTACTATAAAAAAAATATTTTACTTTCAATTAGAGTCTAATTTGTAGCTAGTGTTTCTTCCATATTATTATTTATAATTTATATAAATATTTCATTTAATTATAAAATCAATCTAAAAGTAATTATATCATTTTGTTTATTCTTCATCACTTGTTTTTGTTTCATTTAATTTTTAAATTGAAGCAAAAATAGAAGAATGATTTAAATGATTATGGCTTTTTCTTTTTTATTATCTATTTATAATCTTTTTTTTAAAAGCACTCATTTAATTATCAATATCATGGTGAATCAGTTCCTCTTAGTCTTTTTATTACATTTCATATTCCTATAATTAGATAATTTTCTACTTCCTACATTGTTTTTATCTTCTCAATACTGTTATTTAAATCTGACTGAACTTATGCTTATTTTTCCAACTTTAATACTGGTAATGAAAAATTATGTTAATGTCTATGGGTTATAGGTGTTTTATTTTAGTTTAGAACTTATTTATCTCTCAAATTTAACAATGTAAATGGTCTTGATAGGATAAATTACATTTTTTCTATAAAATATTGTTTGATTGGATCCTTCTTTAAATCATAAAACATAACAAGCTCTCCTATACTTAATATTAATTGTTCTAAATCTTCTTTATCTGCTTCTAATTAATAGAATCTTTATTCTAAATTATTTAATTTTGTGTAAAAGTTAGAATCAAATTTTTGCTGGCAATTTGACATTCAATATATTTTAAATACTACGCATGTAAATATCAATAATTAATTTTAATTCAAGAATTATTTCTGTTATATCAATCAAGAAAATTAATAAATATAATTAACGAATTATGAAAAATACCATTCCATAAAGTCCATCTCCATATAAATTAAAGGATTCAAATCTAAACTATGATACGTAATAATATTAAGAATTAATGAAAAATTTCGAAAATTTAATCAAAGTTACTCAAGACAAATTATATTCTAATTAAAAAAAAATAGAAGAAACATGTAAATGTTCAATAGAAGATCAATATTAAGCATTATTGATAGAAAATGAGAATTTAAAGTAATTGATAGGAGATTTATAAATAAAATTAGAGCAACATAATTTAAATGTTAAATAAAATGAATAGCAATAACTTGAATCCTTTATGAAGGAAGCTGTAATTAAATCAGAATAATAAAATGAACTTATAGAAAGATTATAACAATAAACTTTAGAATTCTAATAACATTTGTTAATTGAGAAAGGTAAACATTGCTAAACTCAAAAATAACTTTCAAATATTTAGGAAGAATTTGATAATTATAAAAAAGAAAGAACTCTTTAATAGTTTTATGATTTTGAAGTTACTGAGAAAATCACCTAAGGTTATTAGGAATTAGTTAAAGAAAATTAAAAATTAAAATAATAAGAAAAAGAATTTTAGTAAGAAATAGAAAAGTTAAAAATAGCATTAAATTAGGCTTATATATCACTATCAAAATAATCATAATAAAATAAAATAATAACTAGAATTACAAATCAGGATGAAATGTAAACTGCTGGGACTTAAACAGAAACCATAATATTTTAATAACATGAAATTTTAAAGGAGAGAATAAATAATTCAATGTATAATCTAGAAAGATTCATAGCTTAATATTTGGATAAAAAGAAGCTAAGAAATAAATCAGCAAATGAAAACAAATTTTATTCTGATCTAAGTTGTTGGTATATAAAATTATCATTAATTTAGGATTGAATAAGCAAAGAGTGAATTAATTTCTTATAAATAGTAAATAACGGGATTAGTTTATGAAAAAGAACAATCAAAAGAATAGTTAAATGTAGCCAAATATGACTTAGAACAAATTTAAAACTAATTTAATTTATAAACACAAACTTTAAGAGATGAGCTATAAACTCTAAATAAAAAGCATTAAATTCTATTGGAAGATTTTAACAAAGCCTAATTAAAATCTTCTGAATTAATAGATGAAAAAAAATAATCTAATAATTAAATCATCTAGCTTCAAAAAGAACTTAATGAACTTAAATAATAATATGAATAGTTATAATTTGAATCTAATTCATATGATACATAATTTAAGATTATTACTCAATCTTATCAAAGTGAAAAGAAATAATTAGAAGGATAACTTGAAAGTTACTAATAAAAACATTAATCTTTAACAACTGATCTGAATTAAAGTATACTGTAAAAAGAATAAATAATAAATAAATTGGAAATGGCAAATAATAATATTTAACAATTATAGATATATTTGAAAGAAACTTAAGAAAATGCAAATAATTTTTAAGAATAGTTGAGGTTATCTTAAGAGAAAATTAAAATTCTAGTACAAGACAAGGAATAACTTGCAACATAAAATTGGGAATTAGAATAAAATCAATAATAAATGAAAGAGATTAATAATAAATTTAAAGAAATATAATCTAAATATGAAAAGGATAAATAAAATAATTAAAATCTTATTAATGAAATGGAAAAAGAGAAAGAAGATTTAAAAATATATTGTTAGAAACTTTAGTATGATTTAACAGAGAGAAATGTTTAATTAACAGCTTTAAAGGAATAATTATCAAATATGGAGTATTAATTATATTTAACTCCATCTGAGGAAAAGTCTAGAATAGAAAATACATATATGTCATCTAAAATTGAGGATTTAGAGATTATTTTAAAAGAAAAAGATCAAAAAATTGAAGATCTTGAAAGGTTATATCATTTAACTAGTTATGAATTAAGAATTTTGTAAGATTATTAATAAACATTTGAAAAAGACTTGGATTTTTATAAAATCAAAGTTACAAAATTAGAATAAGAATTAATAGAATAACATAATGTATTATCAATATCAAAATCTTAAGTAAATTCAAATATATGTAAGTAATTAATATAAAATTAGAAACTAAGAAATTTGATGATCAAACAAAACTGTAAACTTCTCCTATTTCAACTTTAAAAATAGATTCTAAATCAAGTAGTGGATCTCCATAAATTTAAGTTAAAATTTTATCTGGTGAAATTTAGAGGTTAAGTTAAATTGTTAAAATATAATAAAAGAAATTGTTGGACTTATAATATTTTATTGAAAAAATGATAACATCAAATGATTAAAATAGATTATTAGCAAAATAAATTCTTGTATAAGCTAGTTAAACTGGAGAAATAAATGGTTTCAATTTATTTGAAAAGTTGAATATTAATCAGCAAATGAATGTTAATTCATCTGAAACATTTGGTATTAATGTTTAGAGCATTGAAAAGAATGAATTTTGAATTATTTTCTTTTGATATAAATACTTATAGATTATTATTAAATTATCTCAAAAGCGATATGGGGATTACCGAATGCAAAGAATGTAATTAAGTTTAGTTAGATGATCAATTACCATAGCCTTTTTAACTATCTGTAAGAGGAAGATCTCATTTAATCTCTATCACTTCATATTAAGGAGAAGTTAAAACAGTATTTTTTTATAATAAATCAATAAAGTTATCTGTAGAACCAAATCTAGAGATTGCATATCCACTCACATAAGAAGAATTAGTTGAATATGAAGATAAATTGAAAACACCAATTAAATTAACCTTAAAAGAACTTGAACCTTTACAAATCAGACCACTTAAATCAGTAAAACTAAATTATTATCATAGTATGAATATTCAGAAAGAGCATATAAATTAAAAAAAACATAATCTATATATTTAGGATAATGGAATAATGGTATACCATCAGGTTTTGGAATTTTAATAAATCCTATTGAAAATTCATATTATGAAGGATCAATACTTGGAGGTAAACCACATGGATTTGGAAGAAAAGTTTATTCATAAGGAAATTATTATTAGGGTAAACATATCTTATTTATTTTAAGGAGAGTTTGAATATGGAAAGATATCAAATAATGGTTTAGTAGTATTTCGAAAAGAAAAAAATGATACATAAATATAAAATTAAGTAGAAAATCAATCATAAATTAATCAAAACTTGAAAATTGATTCCATATAAACTGACAGATCATAAATTATGAGTTCCATAAAAAAATGAGATTTTTTTTATAATTACATTTTTTCATTCGACTTTTTCTTTAACATTGGATTTTAACATCCTTTAAAATCATTTATATTATATATTTTCTTCATACTTAATTTTTCGAATTAATTAATAAAAAACTACAATTTAATATAAAGAGATAATAAAAATTAATTAAAATACTTTTAAATTACTTTTATTAAAGTTTCTATGGGAGAAATTTTTAAATAAATATAATTTTAGAAATATAAATTAAACACACTAAAATATAAATTGTATTACAATAGATATTAATATAATGAATATTCTTATAATCAATTTGTATATTTGAAGATCATAGAATTTTTTATTGGTTACATATTGAAATTAAAAATATTTCAAAATATTCAAATAAAAATAATTTAGTATCAATCGATTGAGGTTATTATTATAAATTTTACTAATTCTAAATAATAATAGTCGAAAGAATCGTTTATTAAAATAACTCTCAAAAATTATAAAAGATAGAATTCCATCAAAATATTTATTAAAAATATAATCAAAGGAACTAATCAAGAAGTTTTTAAAGAAGGATTTAATTCAAATTAATTTATTAATGTATTTTCTAGTTTATGAAAAAATAATACATGTCATAGGTGTCAATAAAAACTTAAAAATTATTGTCTTGATATAGTTATAGGTTTTATTAAATATTATTTTTACAATTAAATGTAAAATTGATTAATTAATTTTTCAATAATTGTAAATTGGGTGTCTGAATAAAAATTAAAAATTTCATAATTAATCAATATATATATCAAATGGCAAAATGCATATATTATAAGTATATACCATAATGTCGATATAATTGAAAGTATTACTAAATATTTAAAAGAAAGAAAAACAAAAACAAAAACAAAAATTTATTTTAATAGAAAATTTCTAAATATTAGTACCTAAAATAACTTTTTCTATCCAAAATGCTTTATATAATGTTCTAATAATTTTCATAATTCAATAAATAATTTAATGAGTAATAATTGTTCTAGCGATTAAGACAGCTCCTCAATTTTTGATTAAGATGACTTAAAAAATTTTGATATAGATTTTGTAGGTCACTTTAGAAATTTTGATAACAATAGTTATTATGACTCAATCTAATAGAGCTAAGCTTAAGAGAACATAAATCTGAGAAAAAATATTGATGATTAGATTCAAAATCAGTGTCTTGAAGAGTCATAAATAATAGTGTAAGACTTTACCAATTATTCATTTAGGAAACATCAATAAAAGACTCCTAAGTAATCCTGTGGTTCTTAGTATGCCTGTAATGCTTAGTCATGTATGGAACATAATCGAAAGGTTTCAAAGTCAAAGTCAATTAAAAAATATGGAACTTTAAATTTAAAAAGAAAAAACTATCCTACATAGCTGGGTATGTGTTTACTACACTATCTTAAAATAAATAAGAATTAAGATTACCTAATCGATTTTCAAAATTTGAAGAAGAAAGGCAATCTAATTAAAAAATATAAAGCCTTCACTATTAAAGATTTAAGAAAGGCCTGCTTAGCAAATAAAGAGAGCTAAGAGTTTTTAAAGGATTTCATCAAAAATAAATTTCCACTTTACTTAGTCCAAAATCTTAATATTGATAATATACTACCCTATGTGGATTTTCTTATTAATTCTTATCAAGGAGCAGGCAATCCATTACTATGGAAGGGAAATAAGCATATTTATAAATTATGAGTCCCATATTCATATCCAAAAAATTTTAAATTTCTTATATTTTTCTATTAATCATTTTCTATTATTAATTAAAAATCAATATGAGTTAATATGATAAAGATCCCTAAATATTAATAACTAAGATAAAGATCTTAAATATTAATAACCCCATGAATAAAGAATCAATTCTTATATGAATAAATCAATCCGATGAAGAGATTAAAAAAACATATTAGGATTAGATTAGATTAGATTAAATTTACAATGACTAAATTGTCCTAGTAAATTATTATTTAAAATAGACATAAGAATAAGGGACAATTATTATGCTTAGATCTGATTGTAGAAAGAAATATTATTAATATAGTAGATTTTAATAGAAAATTATCTAACATTAGCTAATTTTGCTTCTTCAGCAGCTTTAGCTTCAGCTTAGTGCTAGTATTCAATTGGATAATTTTTATTTTAAAATGCATTTTACTCCTCTTCCCATCCTTCATCATCATCTTCAACATCTCATAATTAAGATTATTTATTTATTTTATGCTTATTTTCCTTCTTCATTTGAATTATTTTTATTTTACTTTCAACTTTTATCTTCTTCATTGATTCATTGTTAATCTTCAGAATCATATCAATGAATTTAATTTTCACTACCTTTTAAGAATTTAAGATTTTAAAAATAATATTCAAAAATTGATCCCTAAAAGAAAAAAACCCGATTCATGTTTCAGATGGTATTTAAGCAGCAATTATAAAATCATTATGTTTTAAAACAAACTATAATTGTATAATTTAATGATATAAAATTTGAAAATTTTAATATTTTAAAAAATGGTATTAAATTTATATGACATAAAATTTTGTGGAATTAAAATCTTAATTACCATTATTA